TAATAGCTGATCTGCTATATATATAAGTGGATGACAGCCGGTCTGATATATATATAAATGGATGACAGCTGATCTGCTATATATATAAGTGGATGACAGCCGGTCTGATATATATATATGTGGATGACAGCTGATCTGCTATATATATAAGTGGATGACAGCCGGTCTGATATATATATAAGTGGATGACAGCTGATCTGCTATATATATAAGTAGATAATAGCTGATCTGCTATATATATAAGTTGATGACAGCCGGTTTGATATATATATAAGTGGATGACAGCCGGTCTGATATATATATAAGTGGATGACAGCTGATCTGCTATATATATAAGTGGATGACAGCCAGTTTGATATATATATATAAGTGGATGACAGTCAATCTGATATATATATATAAGCTGATTATAGCTGATCTGCTATATATATATGTGGATGACAGCTGATCTGCTATATATATAAGTGGATGACAGCCAGTTTGATATATATATAAGTGGATGACAGCCAATCTGATATATATATATAAGCTAATAATTATTAATCTGGTATATATATAAGCCAATAATTACTGATTTCATATATATAAGTAGATGATCGCCGATCTCATATATATTTAAACAGATGATTGTCAATCTGATATATATATAATCTAATTACAGTTAATCTCATATATATACAAGTAGATAACAATCAATTTTATATATGTATAAGTGGATAACAGTCAATCTGGTATATATATAAGTTGTTAACCACCAATTGGGTATATATATAAGCTGATAACAGGTGATCCACACTATATATAAACATATGATACTCAATCTGATATATATATAAGCTGATGATAGCTGATCTGGTATATATATAAATTGTTGACCGCCAATCAGCTATATATATATAAACTATTAACAGCCTATCTAATATATATATAAGCTGTGGACTGCCAATTGGGTATATATATAAGTTGTTGACTACCAATTGGGTATATATATAAGCTGATAACAAGTGATCTGCACTATATATAAACATATGATATCCAATCTGATGTATATATAAGTAGATAACAGTCAATCTCATACATATATAAGCTGAACACTACTGATCTAGTATATATATAAATAAATGATATCTGATCTGATATATATATAAATCAATAACAGTCAATTTATATTATATATATATATTTATCACATCCAATTTACTACTTATATAAGTTAATAAAATATAATATATAATCAATATTAGCCAATAACATTTATTTATTACTAATATTAGCCTATAACATCTTATCTATCTCTGATATTAGTCAATACCATTGGATCTATCACATTATATATATTCACACTTGTCAATATCCAAGTCATATCCGATCATCTCGTCAAATATAAGTTACATACTCTAATCATATTTAATCTTTAATTTTATATATATTCACAACTCTTTTATAATCTTTATATATATATGTTTTTAACAACGGAGAAAACACAATATTTTTAAATGTTGATTAATGTTGCTGCATAGCTTAAGTGTTATCCTGTTGCGTTTTGATTCTAAGCGACCCTGTTCGACCCTGCACGATGCAATTTTTGTTTCGATTTTTTTGTTTTGTCGTTCCCGATCTGGGTTGGTCTTTCTTTTACTATAGCAAAGTCAAAAGGTCAAACCAACTGAGGATCAAGGAGTATATGTAATATCAAAGATAGTATAAAAGAAACTTTTTATGGATATGAATTAAATTGTCATATATAGTTTTCTAAACTAATACTGCGCATTATCCACATTAGCTATTATATTATATTTAAATAAAAGGAAAGTCGTTATACTTTGTTTAATGCTCAGGAAGATATTACTGCGCATAAAGAGGTAATGTGGTTAATTATTTTCAGATTGTACAGATTTATCAAAATAATGTCTGACAGTTTTTTTTTCTGTAATAAAACAACAGTATAATACTACTGTTATGAGTTTTCTTCTTTTAATAATTTGTTTATTAAATTAAAGAGGTGTAAAGGAAAAGTCTGTTTACATATTAAGGGAAGGTTTGAGATTGCTTGTTATAATAAGACTATTATAAAAGTTAAAATCTCAAGAAATGAAATATAAATAGAGATATTATAGTTTTAGAGTATATTTTTTATTATAGTATAGCAAACGAAAAAATTAATATAAAATAAACTATTTAGCTGAAGTACAAAATCAACATTTAGTTTTTAATTTTTAATTTTTTATTATTATTATTTTTGTTTTTTTTTTATATTTTTGTTTTTATATTTTTTTCTTATTTTTTTTTTATTATTTTTTTTTATTGTTTTTTATTTTTATTTTTGTTTTTGTTTTTATATTTTTATTTTGTTTTTTATTTTATTTTTTATTATTTTTTTTATTTTTTTTTTATTATTTTTATTATTTTGTTTTTTATTTTTATTATTTATCTATTTATTTATATTTTATTTTAATGCTTTTATTATATTTATAATAAATTAGCATTTCAAAAAAATTATGAATAAACATATTAATTTTTTTTAGATAAATTCTATTTTTTTTAATATATATATATATATATATATATGATATTTGGCTAGGGCGGAAATATTTGATTTATTTTAATTTTTACCCACCTGCGCACTATACCAAATCCCGGCGGCCATCTAATCGTAGCATGATTCAAACCCCGAAAAAATTCTAAAGACCGACAATGCGTCTCTAATGCCATTTTTCTGTTACTCTTCATCATTAGCTATCGATAGAGCTAAGAAGCATACAGATACAATCAGTAGAAGTCGAGAAAAGTAGAATTATATGCATTTTATTTTTTGAATAAATATTGATTTTTCAAAAAAAATAAAAAAAATAATAATATTATAAATGCCGACTAAAACCAATATTTTTTATTTATTTATTTATTTTTTAGTATCTTGTGTGCTCTTTAACCAAGGCGACAGATTGTTCAAATAATCTCAATTACAAGAGGTATATATATATATTTGATATTCTTTATATTTTCTGTTGAGAGGTTGAAAAGTTGTAAAAATATATTTTCATTGCAGTCATTGGTGCAATGATTCCATTTAAGGAATGAGGACGGGAGGTTTTTTTTGAAGCAAAATAAACAAATATAATACTCTTATTTATTTATTTTTCTTCTGTGTGCATCTCTTTCAATAACCATACATATTCACATCAACATGTCATGAAATTTACAAGTAACATTACTATAATCATACACATGCGCACTTGCGCGTACACACATATTTTACTGACAGCATCTTTAAATATATATTTTATTTGTTAAAAGCACAACTTTATACCAAGACCACGAGCAAGTTTTGATGTGTATGAATTAGAAGCCAATTCTTTACATTCGTTCTGTAAGATAAAGCCGTATTATAATAAATATTTTTTTACTTTTTATACTTTTTAGGCTCCCTGTGGTATATATCGGCAATAACAGAGATAATTGATAGATGTGTATGTTTGGAATAGTAAATAATAAGAAGAGTTGGCGTGTACAGCAATGGTCACTAGCGTTTCGTTTGTGGGTCTATACGACGATGTTAAAAAAAAGACTCTTACTGTAAAGGTTTAATTCTTGTTTTTGTAGAAAGTATATCTAAAATTAAAAGCTTCCCTTTCATGTTAAGTCGAGTAAGGATAAAGGTGCGTTACATATCATAAACGAAAATAACTTTATCGGTGGAACAAGTTTCAACAAATAAATGGTTTTTATATATCATATATATGCTTCCGGGGGATATTTTTTGCTAATTACGATGGGTGAAAAAATAATGCACAATATTTTTAACTAAAATGAATTTGTATTGTGAAGAGAATCTACTTAGAATGAGAATAATATCTGTGATGGCACAATAAATGGCACATGTTTTGAAAAGAACTTAAAAATAAGTTGCTTGACCAGAGAAAGTCTATCATTTTTTTTTCTTTAAAAAAATGAAGAAAACCAGAAAATAATAAAATTACGAGGTAAAGTATAAGACTTTTCCATACCCAGAAAAAGGTGTATGAACAGGCATTACGCATCGCAAGAGAGGTAGACGATTGGCTCATCCCCTGTATGACATGGCTCAATAAATAAATAAACAAGTAATATTTAGATTTTGAGCCACAAAAATTAAACGCTGCTTTCCCACATTTTGATTATTTGTCTAGTTAGAATCCTGAATGAATCCAAGAGTAATAAAAATAAATAAGTTATACAACTGTGGTGATGTATTTTAGGAGGCTACAGCCATCGACCTCACGGAAACCAAAGTGAGGATCCAATAACTCCCAAATATTTTCTCTCATTCGCATTCAGCGTCAACCAAATTATCTTGGCCTCATCCCGCACACTACAGGTATCAACCATTTTTTTTACTACTATTGTTATTCTAAGCTTCAGTTGAATAATTAATTATGCGTTTACTCTGCACAAAACTCGATGTATCTTGGCAGATGTTAAAAGAAGTTTGTTTCTATATGTGCTCAAACCGTTTTTAGGAAACAGAGCTTTATTATACAGAATTTAGAAAGAAAGAAAAGGTAACATAGAAGTTGGGTTGTCTGAAATTGCAGTCAGCCCTAATTAATTCCTGGTACGGTTGATGTTTGTGCGCGTGAGTAAGCAATATGAAAGAAAAGAGTAACTACGTGCCTTTAATATTAGTGAAATTGTTGTCATTAAGAGGGGTGATGAGGACTGTGGCGGTATATGAGTTTGGTTAGGTACAACTGTACTAATATTATTTCGTTTTTCACCAGTTGCTTTGTATTGGCAGCCAGTTATTTTCGTGAAAGATAATAAAATGGTAAGAAACATAAAATATTATAAATCCGGTGTTGTGTGATTGTGTTCTGGATCCGATTGCTTTGCGTGGGTGCGGGTGTGTGTGCAGAAGGGTATCCTTTCGATGTACCGTATTCATTTATTTACGACCAAAACCGATAATTGTTCATGTATCCCCATCGGCTAACTACTCAAAAATTTTAGTAGCAGTACTCCTAATGATTTGCACAAGTACTTATTTCCATTGCAAGTAAGATATATCAGTATAAAAGTACTTTTTTCTTTTTCTTTTTGTTCAACAGCCACTTGAGTATAAAGTATATTGACCAACTCGGGTGCATTGAAAATTGTACAATAAACATGTAACTTTTCTTGCTAATTGCTTTATAAATATTTTCGCATTACGTTTACTGTTCTCTACAAGAACCTCTCTGAAAACAAAGATAATATATTTTGCTTTAATTAGGATTATGGATGGTCGATTAGCATGGAAAACTATATCCTACTGCATAAGTATAATTTCTTGAAGACGCCGAGGATATTTGACTCTGGGTATAGCATATACAAGTAGTCTGTATTTTCTTTAAAGAAAGTTAATATAAAGAGTACAGAGTAATAGAAAGACTGAAAATAAGTATTTCTATATTGTCAAATATATGTAGTTCTGTTGAGTATTATTGTAGTTACTATGTCATTTTTTTCTGGATTCAAGGTATTAGAGCAACGAAGTACTTGTTGCGTCCATTTCAATAGCTTGAGTTGGTAATATAAAAATAAACTTCCGGGTCTCGAGAGCTATATCATTACAAAAGAATGAAATGCGTACTTAGAGATGTATGTTGGTGTACTTTACGTGTCTATTTCACACTCGGGTTTTAATACCAATTATCGTGTATTTCTGTGCTCTGGTAATTAATATTTTATTTATACATATATACCAACCCATTTTTGTTAGTTATCTACATTAAAAGGGTTGCTCTAACAAAAAGGTCGGATGATCGACTGGCAAGACCTGACTGAAACTTAAAACAATTAGTGTGCTATATGTACTGTTAATAGTCATACTTATAAAAGTATGATCAATCTTACGGGTATCTTAATCAAGATTATTACACCCAAAATGATTTTACTTAAGAATAATAAAGGTACCCAACACGTTTTTTTTTCATATTGAACATTATTTCGAATAGTAGTTAAAGCATTGCTACATCGAATTGTCAAGCATCGACAGCTAGTAAAACCCTTATTGTTATTATTTTAAAAGAAATAAGAAATAAATAAGAATCCATTTGTGATTATTACTAATAGAGACTGTAGACTCAATACAGTTAATTAAATTGATAATGGGCTGTTATATCTCAATAACCAAGACCAAAAAAAAAGTGTAAAGCATATTTTATTTTTATTTTTATTATTGGAGATCGAGATACTTCTTCTATTAGATTTGCTGAAGCCACCACATGTAGTATACCTTTTTTTAGAGAAGATAAAGCCTTTAAATTCGAAGAAGAATATGATACTGAGACATCATCATCGTCGTTTGACAATAACTACCCGGACCAAAGTGAGGAGTTCAACGATGAGAATGAAGCTGTCATTGTCGGCGGTATAGGATTTAAAGATAAGATGGCTTCAGGTATGTGCATATTTAACAAAGACATATACATAAATCATATTACAGATAATAATGATAATTACCAAAACACTTGCCTTTCTGTAGGCCTATATTTGAAAATGCATGGCATGTCTCAAGTTATTAAACTTATGGTTCTATTCGGTGTCGTCTTTTAAGTGTTTTACTTGGTTCAAACAGGGAGAATATACAACACTGAAATTAATCTGCTATTTTCTTGTTACCAATGAGAAGGATACCCAACCCCATGTCACCGTTGATGTATTGAAGACCATGTCTGGATTCGGTCTTAGAACAGAAACCATTTCGAAATACACCGTCTGTAGCAATTTTTCTTATATACTTGCCATGTCATCATCAATTCAATTGTTCCTCCAAGAAGTACCCTCCGAATTATTTATCTATAGCAGTAATTCTCTGTATGTCGACTCATCAGTCGACAAGTCAGTCCATTTCATGGTATTTCTTTCCAACTCGCTAAGAGAATATCTTGGTACTACACTTTGCCAAACACGGGTGCAAGGACCAAATCTTGCACTAGGAACCATGCGAAACAATAGAAAGTACGTTGTTGGACGCATATTATGGTACAGATTGGACTGAACTGCTCGCTGAAGCCGTCAAGATTTTCGAAAATCCCAACCATTCCCTTATGTTGAAATTGAAGGTGAATTGTTTTAAGCTGTTTGAAGGCCAGACTTCTGCAAGTGGTGTCTAGTAACTATTGATTAACAATCTCCCCAGGGAAGACCAGATGAAGCCAGAAAATATTATCCTCGTTGATGTAATTCCTGGTCCAAAGGAGGTAAAGGTTGACGAGATGGATAAATTTTTGAAAACACTAGTAGCTGAGCTTGTATAGTTGTATAGTTGTACAACTCTAAGGACTACCGTGTTCTATAATAGTATCGCTATCCATGTTATTCTGATATGTGTTAGCCAAAACATGGTTACTGTAAGAAATACCATTTAATTCACAGGATAAGCAGCCACCAAAAGATGCCACAATTGCAACCGCCAATTTTCAACAACTTCTGGATCAAGTAAGATTGTCTATTCTTAGGTTGACCACAAAAACCAAGTTCTACGAATGGATAAATACCAAGTAAATTGAGCTGTGGCTTGGCGCAATCAAACACGGAGTCAGTCAACGGAAAAGAAGAAAATCATACGATCTTCCGAGTTGCATTACCAGCACTACTTTGACTCCGTCCGCTGCACAGTTGTTGTTATAATGCAAAGTCTGATTCTTAGGGCAGCAAACCGTATATCCTGCGTTTGAAACGGATTTATATGTATTTCTACCGCTGTTCTTTCTCGTATGCAGCGTCTTGCCGATGGTATTCTTGTTCCATCCTGGGTATGCCGTCTTGTCAGCAAAAATTGAATCTGGGCTCCCATACATGAAGGCAGACGAGTGGCGATCGTGGCGATCATGGCAATCATGGTGTCTCATATATTCGCTGGTAATACTAAAAGACGCTTTGCCTGAAAACGACTACAAAAACTGGACTCTCTTTGTCAAGGCATGCCAAAAGTCGACCGGTCCTTCAGTCACGTACTCAGAAATCGACAGCACACACCAGCTCCTGGGAGAGTTCGGAAAAAAATGTGAGATTCTTTATGGAGAAAGCAGCATCACACCGAATATGCATTTGCATATGCAATTGCATGAGTCGATGCTGGACTTTGGTCCGGTATATGCATTCTGGCTGTATAGCTTTGAAAGATACAACGGCAAGTTGAAGAACATCAAGACAAACCGCCGCAATTGTCCTGAGGTCACCTTAATGAGAGTCTTCCTGGAGAAATCATTCATTGGTAGCTTTCTTCGAGCGTATTCTACCAATATTTTGCCACCACTGATAGAGTTACTTGAAGGGGTTGCCTAAGTAAAATCGATTTCAGACGTCTCATCTCCCTTGAACTTGGATGTTGGCCACCCTCCTGCATTGCCATTTAGCTTAGCAATTTTCCAGCAAGCTATTACCAATCCATGGTACAATGTAACAAGAAGTGAGGCCTTGCCCCCGACCACCTTGCCAATCAAGTTACTGCCTTTGACTATAATGAAGGATAATCACTATTAGTGGTTATTCGAATTCTATGTCAAGGCTTACCAGAGTACAAGTGTTTCCTTCTGTGCGGTAGGGAGAATCCCAATTTGTGAGGATGTGTTTGTAAACAATCGGATTCGAAAGATGAAGAAGATTTCGTTGCTGGGGCAAGAATACTTCAGTGGCGAAAAGAAGAAACGCGGATCATACGTACGGGTTGTGTTTCGTGAAAGAGCAAGCGATGTCATATCAAAGTTCCCTGGTCAAATTGAATATATACTTACTCGTGTCATCAAGATTGGTGGAACCAAAAGGGTGCCCACTTTTGCGTTTGTTAAATGGTTTTCTGCCTACCATTCAAGTAGTCATCAGCCATTAGCTGATCAAGGCCTGCAGTCGTAGGACAAGGGGTTTATGGAGGAGGATTCTTCGTGAATTGTTTCAGTGCATCGTCTGCATTCGTGTTTCGCGTTGACTACACACAACATGTAAGATGGAACCAAAAAGCGCTCGGTTATTCGTCTGCCTAGAAAAGTGATCACTTCAAGAATAAATAAAAAAAACAATACAATTATTTTCTATTTCCTATATAAATAATTATAAAAAGGTTTATGTTTATTTATCTCTCGATTATTCTTTGGATTTTATATATATTTTTTTTATCAGAGATTTAAAAGCATTATAGTGCATTCTATTATAAGCTTTTATTTGATTATTAACGAACAGTAAAAAAATAATAATCTATTCATTTTCCTCGTTTTTACTACTTACATAAAGAGGGGTTACTGCACTGGATCCTGAGTGGACATTCAAATTTGTTCATTATCCTAATGATCTTATTTCATAGTCAAGAATACGAAAAAAAAATTAAATTAAAAAAGGTATAAAATATAGATCAATTAGGGCAAGACACTATTTATACTTGAAGTTTCTATATCTTCAAAGTATCATTATTTTCTTCTTTTTTACGCCGCAAAAAAAAAGAGAAGATATTTTGTCCAATAATATCGCTTTCCGATTTTTGAGATTCTGCGTTGAATATGGTTGACTACCTCTATTCCGTTCCCAATTCCGGTAACATCAGCACCCGGTCCACTTATCCTCGATTATTCCATTTCCTTTTCTTATTTCTCCTAGACTTTTAACTCTTGTATTATATATCTTGGCATAATTTGCCTCAAAGCCTATTTTTTCTTCTTCCCTGACTACCCTCTTGTTATTCTTTGGCATATCTTTTCTTTATTATTATTATTTTCGTCTAAGTTATGCCAAATCTCAATGGGTCACTTAAATATCCAAGTGTGAATGGGCTTATATAACCTACAAATATATATTTTACCATTATATTATCTATATATGAACTTTCAATTGGTTTCTTTCTTCTTTTCTATTGCTGCTAGCATAGAAACCAATTATGTATTGGCAACAAGACATATATTATTATAGTTCACTTAAGTATACACACACACATAAAAATTATCGATCAGACTTTGTATAATTCTTATTACTTCAAGAGATAAAATGGCTAATACGATCAATTCATTAAAAAATTTATAGTTATGGGAACAGATTTATGTTATTTTATGTTATTTTATGTTATTTTATTTATAATTTATTTATTTTTTATTATTATTTATAAACTATTTTTAAAATAGTAACAATTAAATAAAAGAGGTAAAAAGAAAAGAAAAGAGAACAGAAAAGGAAGGGAAAAAAGCTCTCTAAGCTATATGTATATATTTGCTAATAAAGATAACGATAGATAGTGATAATCATAAGTATAAAAAGATGGAATTAAAGTCGAGTGATAAGAATGCATCGGTTCGGTCATAAAGTGATTAAAAACCGCCGTGCATACCGTGTCTGCCAAAACTACCAAAGCCGCCTGGTCCACCAAAACCATGATGAGCGCCATGTCTGCCAAAACCACCAAAGCCGCCTGGTCCACCAAAACCATGACGTGCGCCATGTCTGCCGAAACCACCAAAGCTGCCTGGTCCACCAAAACCATGATGTGCGCCATGTCTGCCGAAACCACCAAAGCTGCCTGGTCCACCAAAACCATGATGTGCGCCATGTCTGCCGAAACCACCAAAGCCGCCTGGTCCACCAAAACCATGATGTGCGCCATGTCTGCCAAATCCACGGTGTGCGCCAGGTCCACCAAATCCACCAAACATGCCATGTTTACCGAATCCGCGATGCATACCATGCTTATGGAGTCCGCCATGCTTTCCGTGTTTGCCGTATCTGCCATGTCTAGCGTGTAGACCAAAACCTCCGAACCCGCCGAGTCCGCCAAGTCCACCGAATTTACCACAGCCGCCATGAATGCCACGTCCTCCATGCATAAAACGATGTCTGCGGTGAAGATAGGCCCAAACTGAAGACTCAGTGTCACTGGAATCACTGTTACTGTTACTGTTGTCAATATCCATCATAGAAGCTGGTTCAGCATAGGGTTGGCACTCGCTTGATTTTCCTTTCTGATTACAGCAGCTTTCTTGGACCAAAGCGGCTCTTTTGCGCAGAAACTTAGCAATGTTCATGTATTGGTCTGCCATGGTCTCGGCCTTGCGGAATCCAGAGCTAGGAGAACGAGATCTTTCTTGACGATGATGCTTGTGCTTGCGGTGCTTCTTGTCCTCGCGGGATATGCCAGAGTGCTTGTCAGACTTGTCAGCTCTTTTGGTGCGCTGCTCACAGCACTTTCCGGAGGTCTGGGAAGTTTTAGTACAATCGGTAAGATCCTCTGATCTGTGGTGGCGGAAACCCCTGCGCTTGCCAAAGTCCTCGGTGGGAGCGCAAGAAAAATCTCTGTCGTCTTCCTGAGATTCACCTTTACTTTGGGAGAACGACTTGTGATGTCCACGATGTCCACGGTGTTCAAGATTCTTGTGGTGCTCACGGGAACCTCTGTGCCCTTTACCATGACGTCTGGACTCTTGGTTAAAGAAGGATTGGAAAGAAGGACCATGTTCGCTCTCAGAAGGGTTACTGGGACTGAATTTTTCATAATGATGATTTCTTTGCTGGGATCTCATGGGATAATGAAAGCCATGATGTCTAGATATACGGTGATAGGCCGACTGATCAGGAATCTCAAAAGAAGTAATGTCGGGATTGCCATTATTGGCATAAAGAGGCTCATTCTCATTTTCACTTGAAGAATCATTTTCACTTGAAGAAGAAGAGGAAGAAGAAGAAGAAGAAGTCTTATTCTCAAAAGATACACTCTTCTGGCTTTCGGTGCTCACGAGTTTGAGCCAGCGTTCAAAAGATGCAAAGTCCACTGAATTAGGACGCTTAAGCAGAACTGTCAACAGATTGCCAATAGCATACGAAATAACCGAGTCATCCTGGAGGTCGGGCTGGTAGGAATCAATCAAGGTGCCCAGTTTCTCAAAGACAATGGAGGAGGAGATGTCGGTGGCCGGGTCGATAGTAGTTTGTCCAGATTCAGATGTTTCGGACAGAGGAAGCTTGGCACTCAGGGCTTCGGTTGGGTCACTCCAGATGTGGACTTCTTTACAGTCCGAGCTCAATAGTTGCTTAAGACCCTTGTCATCAAAGAGAGAGACTAAAAGCCCATCAGGGTTGTAATAATAAAGAAGACTTGGAGATTCTTTGGGGAAATGCTCAGTTAAGGTTGAAAGAAGAACGTTCCAGGTAGGTTCACAGGACAGAGTAAAAGCTGCGTCCTTTCTCTTAATAGTCACTTTGAATTGAGTAGTCATTGTACAATTAGGGGTAAGAAGGAAGAAGGAATAAGGAAGAAGATGAATGATGAGATGAAAATTAAAATATTTGGCTGTTTGTCTCCCCCTTTTTATACTTTTTTTTTGTTCAAAAATATATACATATGCACCACATTTTTCATTTATTTTTACTTAAAATTTACTGCGGTTGATTTCTTGGCAAAAAGAAAAGAAAAGAAAAATGAACAAATTAAAAGTACGGGGTTCGGCAAATCCGAGTCTCCGCGCCTGTGAATCAAATAATTGTACACCGAATATGCGCGCATTCCAAGATACTCCTTTTATTGGTATGTTGAAACCAATCGCTAAAGTAGACTGATATGGCATCTTATTCTCACATTTATCCAATGCCTTTTCCCCTGGCAGTTCTCTTGCTTTTATTTTTAGAAAAGGAGATAGCCTTGTTTTACTAGCATTCAACCATTGGAACAGGAAAAATAGAAGACCGAGTGACTCTTGTTGAGTCTTCACTCAAAATGTCTCATCTTGTGTGATTATAACCATAAAGAAGGAGGAGCAACATATCTGTTGACTTTAAATAAGAGTTAGCATGGTACAGTGAACAAGGCCTTGAAGAGACAAAATTAGGATAAATGCATTGTAAAATAATTGTAGTAATTACAACGTTTCTTATTTAAAAAAATACTGAAACATACACCTCTAAGCACGCATTTGTTCCTTGTAAGACAAGTATCAGGCATACTATATCATTATGCAAGTTATTAATCAATAACCATCATAAATATCTTTATTAAAACGATGACCTTGCTATACACATTATTTCTCAAGCATGATTGCAACTGAGAAACTTTCGTTTAAATCTGACCCCAAGTTTTCTTTCGTAAGCTTCTTTAACGCATATATTGTAACCACAAATTCAAGGTATTTGGTGTGGACAGACTAAAAGTTCAAAACAAGGCAAAAAAAGAAGCAAAACTTTAAGTCATATCATTGGGCTAGAGTTTTAATTAATTTTGCCTTTTTTTCTATCCTTTTTTTTGAACCTCCAAAAAAAGGCAAAAAAGGGTAAAATTTTTAATCGACTTTAATTAGCTAGTCTTTTTCCATTGCCACTAAGATTGAGAAGAGGAGCATTTTTTTATTATGGAGATGTACCATATGATGAGGGGTCTAGAAAAATACACTATAGAAGGTTTTCACTTAATGACAGAGACGGGATTATAAGCACAATTTTATCTAATATGTATTTTGATTTTTTTTTTAAAAAAAAAGGTGCGTACAGCCATAATTTAAGCTTATTGGCTAAATTCAAGATGGACTTGTTTTACCCCTTTTTTTGCCCTTTTTTTTGAATTTTTAGTCTGTCCACATCCTGTTGGACAATAATGACTTGAATTGAGTATAGGTCATATCGATAAACTCGAATCCTTTTGTAGAAGTAAATTATCCGGATACTTTTGTACGGACCAAACGCAGCTCATTCAAGACTCTGCATTGAAATGATAGGTACCGGAGTACATCCAATGTAATCAATGATCCAATAACTGTGAAAGACTGTGGCGAACTTCTTTTTATACTTTTCATAGCATTGCAATTAAAAGCGACATTAACTTTCGACAAAGCAAGTGTTAAGATAATCTTATTTCCAAGAAGACCGTCTAGCATGAAAGGTTCAAACCGACAAGGTATTTGTAGGTGACCCAAATTGGAAAAATGCGTCTTTTCTTTCTATTAGTAATGTTGGAATATTGATCACTTCTTGATATAATACACACAAGCCATTGAGAGACTTGGATAATCGAGGCGAGCACATCTCTAAGAGTAGCTTGTTTAAAACGTCTGAGTTCTCGGAATAAAAACTATTGATCTGTTGTGCAAGGGTGTAAATTTGTATGTGTTTTAAGGGTTGCCTGAAGCAGGTTATTGTAGCATAATAAAGTAGGTATTCTTTGGTAGGGTGATGTCTTGGTCAATATCGCAGCCAAGCTGTAAGACCATCGCCCTAGATAAACTGCATATGGTGTCTAGAAATGGATTTTTTTACACCAGATGTGTAACTTGGAAGTAACTGCAGTAGTAGCTCAGTAAATGACCTCAAAAGGGACCAATCGGCTTGGCTTCCAACAAACTCTGTTTTTAGGATAATATCTTTTATCGATATATACTTTATGTTTGTAGATGTTCTTTGTATAGCACCCGATTGTTTGACTGACATACATTTACAGTTTATCACATGTATTGATTTTATGAGATTTCCAGCGTATCGTTTAGTGTACCCCAGATCGATTCATTTTTTGCACAACCTGTCTGTGTAGCTGCCTAAATTAAGGGTCAAGTCGTAATGCATGGATTCTTGAAAAGATGCCTTCCAGGTCTTGCACACAAGGGAGCACAAGGCTCTGTCTTTTGTGGAAAAGCATTCGGAGATGTTAAGAATTACTTCTTGAGGAAGCTCTGAAAAAAAGCATATTGAAAAATAAAAATGAATGTTTTTTTTTGTTTAGTAGCGAATAAGAATGATGTTTTATAGCTTTTGGTTTTTTTTTGGGGAATTTTGCTTTTAAAAACTCGTTTAACCAGTAGTGCAGCACCATGTATACCAGACATAAAATTCAGAGCCATTATTTGTGAATATATGTGATAAACAGACGCTGTAGATAGTTGAACATAGTTAATAGAGCACAACGGCTCATGCTGACTACAATATTTTACTTTAGTAATAAGGCATTTGTTATTTTATAGCTGTATTCGGTGAAAGCAGTATATTAAATTATAAAAGATGGAAAGCTTAGAGTAATTTTGAAATTATAGTCTTTTAATGACAGGAAAGTTTATCTTAAAAATATTCTTGTTAGACATTTATTAAAAGAAGGAAGACAACAGTAAAAGCAAATTGGCTTGCTTTATGTATATTGTATTTTTGTTTTGTTGCGTACGTTCATAAGAATCAATATGTAATATATGCTTTATTATAAAAAATAACTGATTATAAAATATATTTATTTGTTAAAGAAGAGTATAGGTTTCTTTGCTTTCCTTTGGTCGATTCGTTGAGAAATAGCATGCCCACTCTTTATTTATTTATTTTTGGTCAAGTTGCTCATTTAATTAGGGGTACTCGGCCAGAATCTTTGAAGAAAATTAAATTTACCAATGAACCAATAATATGGCTTCATAGCTGAGTACACCAATTGTTATTTGGCGGTATAAGAATTAAAGTCCCACTCAGCAATATTTTAGTCTTAATTTAAAATGTCTTCAAAGATTCTGGTTGAGTACCCCTATTTGACATGTTACGATATTTTATTAAGCTCTCTATTCTTTTTGACTTGAACATCACAGACTATTTTTGTTCTTTTGTTCTTTCTTCTTCTGAACAAAAACCAAATACACACAAATATATATACATAAAAAAATCTAGTATCCTAGAACAAGTTTTCTCGTTGATTCACAGCGTAATTCAACATAGTATTGAAGACTCGTTGTCTTTGTGAACAGAGATGATTTCTTCCATTCACGAAATTTTGTATCAGTCGATTCTTTATCATAAATTAAATCATATCCAATTAGCCTTTGGTCTTTAGCATTTTCTTTTTTCTTTTTCTTTTTGGTTTTGTTATTCATTTATTCACAAGTCTACTCTCACCTTCCAGTTGTTCCCATGGTGTTGATTTAACCCCCTTTATTTTTGAATGATACTTGTGAAACCAAAGGGTGGTTGTGTCTGCAATTGTCGGTTGGGCTTCTAAAACATCATTGTTGAGTTGCTGCTGATGTTCAAGTGCAAATTTGTTGTTAGGGTTTATTATAGTGACTGCCAACAATGCCAGTCGAGGAATTAGTCCTTGTCTTCCTTTGCCTTCATTGGTGGGTGGTTTGGCCGGGGGTTTTATGGTATCGATAGAACACATATTTAGCAATTGAAGATTACTATGCGATAGATCGATATAGATCATCTCAGTCGAATGGAGCGGTACGCTTTGTATCCGAAGATCACGCAAGGTCAAATAAGATAGCTTTTGACAGCGCTGTGACACGTAATTGAACAAGAATGGATTGACTTTTGCGCTACAAATACTAAGAGACAGGAGACCGTGAGAAGAGTAGATTATGGCAGAATTTTGGCTGAGTATGACACTATCTGTGTCAAGGACCAGGTGTGTCATTACTGGACAGTTGTCCAGAAGGTTGTCGAAATCAAACAGGATACCCCTGGTGGTCAGTTCTACACGGATTAAAAAGGGACAGTATTTGAAGACCTTATGGACTTTTGGTATATGGTTTTGAAAATCACCGATCTTTGACTCGATATATCCTGTGGGTTTTGAAGAGGGCGTGATGTCCTCAAAGTGGGTAACCGTGTCGCCCGAAAAGCGGACTGTGTTTGTCATGTAATAGGTGTATATATTAAGAAAACCTAGATGTACAACAGATATGCTTCAGTCTTTCTTTCCTGTTTTAGGAAAAAGAGGAGTAAGAGTAAGAGGAGGGAAAGGAGGTGAATCTGGAAACACAAGCTTTCGAATAGTAGAAAGTTTGTTTTCTTGTGTAAATTGATTTGACCTTTTCTTATTATTATTATTATTATTATTATTATTATTATTATTATTATTATTATTATTATTATTATTATTTTTGCACACTAACTTGGTATATTCTAAAAGAAAGAAAGAAACCAACAGACTAAAGAACTCTTTTAAGAATGACACTGCTTTAAAGGGAAATAAAGAAAGCTAAAGTATATGTGGGATACAAGCCTGGTTGCTATGCCCTAAACCAAATGTCAATTTACCAATAAACAAAACAAAAACAAAAACAAAAAGCAAACAAAGTTTGACACAACTTTTTGATAAGAAGAAACACACCAGTTTCTGCAAGGTCATCTTTAAGCTTACCAAACATACAGAATAATAATAATACTCCAAGCTCTTATACTTGGTTCGTTTGAATCAATATTGAAAAGAAAGACAATTGTACCTTTCTTTCTTTCATTAATATATATATATATATATATATTTATAAAAGAAAGATTCAATATTCGATTGTTGGTTTGACTACAAAATTTGAATAATGAGCACACAGACACACAAACACACCCTTTAAAGTATATATATATAGAATAACAATAATAATAAGAGAAGCCAAACCCGAGGTTCAAGAAAGTACCCTAGGTTGTCTTGTGGGAACAACAACAAATAAATAAACAAATGTATTCATAATATTTTCTTTATATGAAATGCTTCGATTGGTTATTGAGCATGCCTTCAATGGTCATTGCTGTAGTATATATAATAAAGAAATATATGATCTATAGCTTTTGATAGGTTTTTACTGCTGTAGATCTCGGATAGTTAGATCCAATGGGACCTTGAACACTTTAATGATGTGAATTACTGCAATAATAAAAAGGTAAATTTCATTTAATGTATACATATATAAAGGTTTCCAAGCTGTCTTTCTCCCCCTCAATGAAGAATCCAAAATTACCAAAAAAAAAATGTCAATTTTGAACTAGTCTGTGTTGAATACTGTGAAGGTCTAAAATTACGATCCAAAATAAATAAAAGGTGCTCAACACTGATAAACATTGTTCTACACTGTTATTGTTGGGGAGAAAGGGAGGGTTTTTTTACGTATATTTTATTTGATAAAAGGTAACAAGTATGTCGCACATACTTTCTTGTTTGTTTGACGCCCTTGCTACAATAGAGATTGGTGTTTCCACAAAGAACCTTTGTAAATAAAGAAAAAATATGCGCTTTTATTTTTCATGGCTCTAATGGTTTATCATAATAAGCACAGTTATTATTACTAGTGAATATTAAGATATATAAAGAACATGTCAATAATACTAATATCTTGGTACAAGTACAAGTATTTGTGATATAAAAAAAAATGAAAGAAATATATATTTTTATTATTAAAATTGACCTTTTGCATGTATGTATGTATGTGTTTTTTTTTGGGTTTAATATAAATGTTGTACAGAACAATTATTAATTCTTGGGGTCTTGAATTATTTTTTTTTCGCATTTTTGATTTGCTTAATAAGCTCAATGAGGTTCCTATACCCACGAAAATATGTACTTTGATGTCTTTCTACTTGGTACTCATTTATTTGTTTTGGTTTGGTTTGTTTTCTTTTCTTTCCTTTCTTCATTCCAATACCTGCTAGTTAAAAATGGGGCGTGTGCTTGGAACACAAAAATGATAAAAGCTAATGCAAATATATATATATATATATAATTTATTTTATTTTATTTTATTTTTTTAAAAAAAAAGGCAACAACATGACTCCATTTTACACAATTCTCTAGCCTGGCCATAAATTCTAAAAGCAAGATTGTTATCATGATCCCATGGTTACTGTTCTAACCTAAGAAAATAAAAAAAAATAAAGTATCCAAACTTACATTTAAACTTATAAGGTATCTTTCTTTGCTTGGTCATCAAGAACGATTCTTGTTTTATATAGAAAATAAACCAAATGTAATTATAGTAGTTTCAAAAGAAATGTAATACAACTCTATAGATTGTTAGTTTTGAAAGGCATGTACTGGTTTATTTTTTGGAGCATCAATAGTTATGATAACAAAACAAAACAAAGCAAAGCAAAACAAAAATACCTACAGAGACTACTAAACACTCCGTCTTAACCTGTCCCAAAACATTGGTAAGCCAAATCTATAGAAAGTTGTTATAATGCCCACGATACCTTGGATCCAATATATGATTTATATAGAGTTTGTGTGAATAGTATGATATAGTAAATGATAGTAAATGATAGTAAATGATAGTAAAGAGCAAAGAGTAATAGTAGTAAGCAAAACAAAACAAAAATGAAAACAAACATTTGGATATCCCTACTATCCATGAATTCTTAAGTCTTAATTAGAATGGGTACGTCGAATGGTTTCTAGAATGAGGAGATCCTCGAGATCCAGCTGACGATAGTTGTCTACCCTGCCATTTCCATTATTATTGCCGTTGCTGTTACCGTTTACATTGCCATTGCTTCTGATATTGGTATTATTAACCTGAGCATCTCCATGAAGGTCAAGATCTTCAATATAACCGGCTGAATAGGTCTGTAGTCGTTGAGATACTGCTGTCATTGTTCGGTTCCGAGGACGAACAACGACACGACGAGTGCTTCCTGATCCGGACAGAACGCTTGAATGGCGGCGTCTTTTGGACAGCTTGTCGGCCATTTCTTCTTGCCAATGAGGTCGTACCTGATCCACAAGCACAACGTCTGGGTCATCGAGATTCAGAACGACTCTTTTTTCTTTAGTCCACTTTTCAGTTCTTGGACCAAATCCAGGGTGTCTGTCATTAAATGCCTAAACATACACACACACACACACACACACACATATATATATATATATATACATATATGAAATAATGTGCATTAAGAACATAAAATATAAATAATAATAATAAATTCTGCCTTTACGATATGATATTGACTCCATTCGGGTGGTGTGTGAATCACTCCAAAATCGGATCGGACGCAGAATGGGCAATAGACAGGAGAAAGGGTATCAAGAGGGCGCCTGAGCTGCAGGAAGCACTCGGTGCAGATGGGCTGATGACAGCACCTTGAATAATTGATACATGCTGGATACCACTAAGAATTTTTAATTTTTTTTCTCACGTTAATATAAAATTCATTCGCTTCTACTAACAAAAAAGAAAAAGAAAATGATCTTCTTTGATAGGTGTTTAGTGTATTTGACTTGCAAGAAGACAGATAGGACATTCTGCTGTTTTGGTATATAACAATTTAAACTTTGATTTGTCCAAGCATAAGTTCTGCTCCAGGGATTCTTGATCTTGCCCTAAAGGAAATACAGGAGGATCAACAAGTCCTACAGGTGTATGTATGTATGTATCTAGATATTAATATTAGCATTACTATTACTTATTCTTCTTACCTTTGTAAAAAGGAGCAAGCTTTCCTAGTCTCATAAGCTTGGTCACAACATTGGCATCGTAGTCTTGGGTGATGATGCCGTAGAGTCCCTGAGGGATGAGTGAACCGTAGTCTACGGTGTCATTTGCTAGTTGTGTCTGTCTTTGAATAGATCTCGAATTGGTGCTCTTTGAATTAATTGTGCCCATCGATAAAAGAATGCAGGAAAGAAGAGACAAATGTAGATTGATTGATGGATGAATGAAGTTGAATTATTGAATGAATGAATGAATGAATGAATGAATGAATGAATCTATAATTTTATTTTTTCTTGCATCTCACAAATACCTTGAAGGTTATATATTATATTATATTATTTTATTTTCCTGTAATCGTCCAAAAAATATGAAATCAATTTTGATTGGCCTGTGGTATTACTTGTTGGATGCACTGTACAAGGATTACAAAATGGGGTTGACCCGAACACAATTGATATTTGGAACAACCACCAGTTCTAAAAAGACCAAGCCTGGCTTTCAAATATGTATATATATATATATTTTATATGAAAATCAATGGAGAATAGGACAATAAAGAATAGTCAAAATCAATAGCCTAAACCTCACAAACAGAGTAATCTTGTGTATGTGAGGATAATACTCTTGATAGAATTCATTATGTAATATAATATTAATAACAATAACAATAGCAATAGCTTGGTCTATAATGTTTTATGCCCATGTGCAAGTGTAAGATACTTATGCAGGGTCTGGTTCAATAGAAGAAGAATAAAAAGATATAATAGATAATAGATAATAAATTATGTTCTTATTTATCAATTAGAAAGACTCCTAATGATAAGTAGCTATTACTATAACAGACTTTATTGACAAATTTGCCAAGTTGTTAAATTTGATGTATTTCAAATTCTAGTGCTAATCACTACTAAATATACATACTTTATATATATATATATTTTGAAAAAGAAAATAAAAAGCAGTCTGTCTAGCCTAGATAACTATCAATTTTCTGCGCATTCTCAACCAACCCTTTCTTTCTTTTTCTTTTTCTTTTTCTTTTCTTTTTTGGGTGAGTCCCTTGGCTTTGCCTTGGCGCTACCACTATATCCAAGGGTTGAGATTTGAATTACTACTATCATTTTTATATAAAAATGATATTGCTACTGCTACTGCTAATGTTACTGCTTTTAATTAAACCAAAGATACTGTTTTATAAATTTGACCTTACTTGAACAACAAATAATAATGGTAATGGTACTGATACTGATACTGATAATGTAGATATAATCTTTTGGTTTTTTTTCATTGTATTTCTTTTTTTAGCTTCAAGGTAAGACAAATGTCTAGAGTACAAAAAAAAAAGAGAGACAAAACAGAGCTTGATTTTTTTTTGAAGCACAGGCACGTGGTGGTACGTCTATTGTCTATCTATTTATTGTGTGTTATTGTATTGTATTGTACTTTATTCTTTTATGCTTTATATCAGCGATTACTGTCCACACGCCTTTTTGACTTACATTTATATTTATGTTTATATTATGATTCTTTTCTTCTCCTTTAACTAGACATCTTTGTATTGGATCGGCAATCGCAAGTAAAGGTAAAGATAAAAAGTAAGGGGGAAGGAGAGGGGTAATTTGAATTTGAATTTGAATTTGTATTTGTATTTGTTATGTTTTGTGCTCATTTACTTATATCCCTGGCTTTTGATTAAGTTTGTTGGCCTCATTATTTATCTATTATCATTTTATCCAAAGATATCAAGCCAAGCCATTAAAGCCTTAAAAAAATAAAGTATGGGCTTATTTATTTATCACTATAGTAACTTTATTGTTTCTTTTTTAATATATATATATATATAAAATTAAGGCTTTGAAATAGATTGAATTCAATTGAATTGTATTCAATTGGATTAAATTTGATCAAAATGAATTAAATTGAACTGAATTGAACTGAATTGAACTGAATTGAACTGAATTGGGTGGTGGTTGTAGTGATAGTGGTGATAGTTTTTTTTGAAGCACTTTAAAATTAGAGAGAGAGAAAGAGAAAAAAGAATCCAGCAAGAGCCTTGTGACCAAGTGCTTGGATACAATTGCTTTGCCCTTATTTTTATTTTATTTTTTATTTCGTTTATCTTTTTCTTTTTCTTCTTTTGCTCCTATTCCCTTGCTTCTTCTTCTTCTTCTTCTTCTTTAACGAACTTCTTTATCTTCACTTTTGGTTAGACAAGGAAATATACATTTTTCAAAAAAAAAGTAAGGTTTTATACACACACACACATATGTTTATAAGCATCGGGGAACAAAACATTATTTCCAAGAATAGAATACTATTTCTCATCGAATCTTTGTGTGTAATCTCAAATTATAACCCACAAATACACACAATTTCAAATTTTATTCTTCTTCTTCTTCTCTATCTTTCATTTCTTGTTTTTTTTGAAACTAACAATGTCTACAATTTCTCAGCCAAAGAGATCCGTAAGACCCACACCAACCCAAAGCAGCAACCTATTACCTACTCACGAAGAGATGATACCAGTAACCAGTCGACAACGACAGACGAAAAAAGATGAGGTGCGTCATAAGCCCTGAGGATAAAGATACAGACACACACACAAAGGAAGGAGAGATAGGAATAGGAATAGGAAGAGGGGTGCGTGTGGGGGTTGTTCTTTTATGCCTTATGCTTTAGAATCTCCAAAAAGAAAATCACTCTTTATTTTTATTTTATTTTTGTTTCAAATTGTGAATTTAATAAATAACGGTTCATTATTTATAGGCTATTCGAAAGAAAATTGAGCAAGAATTGTCAAGGAAACGAGGCAATTCAACGCGTATTCGTCAGACAAAGAAAATAGCCGGCACAGTGTCTGCATTGAGACCTGCCCAGGCCCTCACAGTACGGGAGAACATCCTGGTCATCGAAGCTGCTCAGCTGATGGCAGCAAAGAGAAGTGACTGTGTCTTAGTAGTAGACGATGATGAGCATCTCAGTGGCATTTTTACAGTAGGTTTCTTTCTTTACCAAAAAGATAATAATCACTAGCACTAGACAGATTGAATTGCAGGAATTGTATATAAAGAAATGAGGAGTACTATATAGAGGGATATAGACATAACACACCAATCAATAGAAACAATCTCTTGGTATTCAAACACTAACCAGCTCATTTTCATCCTTATTGGAATTCATTTAGGCCAAAGACCTAGCATATCGTGTAGTGGCTGATAATCTGGACACGAGGTAATTATAATAATTAAAGAAATAGGCAATATGGAACTGTGAATATATTATGAATGCCTTTATACAATATATATACATATATATATATATATCATTGGATGATTTTTTTTTTTGGTTCTTTACATACAAGTGGTCTCATCGGCTGAGAAAAATTTAGCTTATATACACACATATTTGCGATTATTGTAACTGTAAATAGATGGTTTATTAATACCAAATTACCCACAGATCAACTACCGTAGCAGACATAATGACAAATGGTCCAATGTGCGTCACCGCAGACACTTCTGCACAGGATGCCCTAAATCTAATGGTGTCGCGTGGATTTCGTCACTTGGTAAAACAAAACAACCGGTTCCAATCAAAGGGGAATCATTCGATTTTTTTTCTTTCTTTTTTTTTCGGTAGTTGATAAGCTGACTTATTATAATTTTTATATTTTTATATATATATATTATTTCTCTCTCTCTCTCTCTCTCTCTCTCTCTTTCACACACACACACACACACACACACACAAAATGACTATAATTTCATAGCCGGTCTGTAACGAAGAAGGCGATATTTTCGGTTTATTGGATATCACAAAATGTCTGTACGAAGCACTAAACAAGATGGAGCGGGCGTTTGGATCTTCAAGAAAACTTTACGATGCACTCGAAGGCGTAGAACGTGAATGGGCTCATAGTCCGGCCCAGTTTGTCCAGTACATGGAAACCTTACGAGAGAAAATGGCCTGCCCTGACCTCACAACCGTCCTAGACCACGCCGGACCAGTCCAGGTACCCGTCAAAGCCCAGGTCAGAGAAGTGGCCAGGCTGATGAAAGAACACCACACGACCGCAGTGCTTGTGATGGATCACGGAGGATTAGCGGGTATTTTTACAGTAAGTTTGCTAAAAGAGGAAACTAGGAGCTACAAGGGAGGAGGAGAAGCCAAATATATATATATATATATATAAATTAGTAAGGGGTGGGTGAGTGGGTAAGGAAAGAGGGAGTTAAGGGGAGGTAAGGGAAAGGTGGGAAAATTTAGATGTCGAGAAAAAGATACCGGTTTTGTTTGTTTCTTCAAGTGAAAACCACTATGCATGCATATGATAGATAATTAAATAATGATTGGTTTGTAGTCCAAAGACATTGTTCTGCGAGTCATTGCAGCCGGTCTTGCACCAGATGCATGTAGTGTTGTGCGGGTTATGACACCACATCCAGACACAGCCTACCCTTCTACTAGTATCCTTGAAGGACTAAAGAAGATGCATGGTAATTGAAACAAAGAAAGGGTTCAATTTAGATTATTATTAATGACAATAATTTTTTTTAAAAAAAAACATTTTCTGCTTCTGTTGGTTTTAGATGGACACTACCTTAACCTTCCAGTGCTGGATTATGACAAGAACATTGTAGGCATTGTGGACGTTCTTCGGCTGACCTATGCTATCTTGGAACAAATCAATAGCATTGAAGGAAATGTCGGTGACAATAGCAAATTCTGGCAGAGCATTGCCACTGGAGATCACCCGGATACCGAGTCCGCAATCTCAGACTCGTTGTCCCAGGCAGCCAATTCACACATGTTCCAATCGCCTTCTCCAGATTCGATGACGATGATGAACCCAATGCAATTACCCGGCCATACCCAGACATTCACCAGTCTTGGGCTTGGCCGCGGATACTCTGAAATCAGTCCTGCAGACAGCGCATCGGTGGTGGATGACAACCAGGATATCCAGGATATCCAGTCCAGTAGCTCGTCCAACCCGATGATCAATGGCAACAGTAGCGAGACATTTAGTTTTAAATTTACATACGGTAGCCGTGCGCATCGATTCCGGTGCGATCCGTCACAGTTCAGTAGTTTTAGGGAGATGGTGCGGCAAAAGATTATTGCAGAACATTTGTCGCTGTCACAATCATACGTTGATGTTGGCGGCCCCAGAGATTCGGCTACGACAATGAATCCAAATCCAAACCCTAATGATAATGATAATGTTGATGTTGATGTTGATAATGACTGGCTGAGCATAGCCTATCTCGATGACGAGGAAGACCAGGTGTTGATGACATGCGATAATGATCTAACGGATGCTGTCCAGTTGGCGCGCAAGATGGGCCATGACCGAGTACGACTGTTTGTGCATGATAGTCTGGCTGAACAACACCCGAACCATAACCACGACGAGAGTTCTATTGCAGGAACCACAGCAGTGTCTTCGGCCTCTGTAGTTGCAGGCTTAGATATCCCAGCTCCAACACCGGTTAGCCAGCCAACACTGTCGACCCTTTCGGACCCTAATATGAACATGAGCACGATGAGTATCAGCAGTGCAAACAACAAAAGTACGGTGGCCCCGGGGTCAGACCCGGCCCCGGAATCAACACAAAGACAACTCAAATCGAAGCCAAAAAAGGCCAAGCCGAGACAGATTATTAATAATAGCAAATCAAAAAAGCGCAGACCAACAAGAGTATCAAGACAGGACGAATCGTCCGACAGTGATGAGGATAGCAGTGGTTCCGATATGGAACGCACCGGCCGCACCCTCAGAGAACCCAATTTTGTTATCCCGCAAGAAATGCTGCTTCCGGCTGCCATCACTTTTCTGGGTGTAGTGATCTTGGGTGTCTTTGCAATCGCTAAACTAACAGGAGGATCCAACAGTCGTTATTGAAACAAAATAGCCATTCATTATCTTTACTTTATTTTATCTATATCACTATATCACTATATATCTATATAATTACATATAATTAATTAATTCGTTAGAAATCGCTTCTTCTTTATCATGTAGATATAGGTAGTTATGTGTACATAAGCCATCTCTACATCTAAATCTACATTTATATATCTATATCTCCCACTACCACTATCAACCACTACATTTACATTTACACTCGAATTTCCATTTCCATTTCCATTCACATTCACATTCACATTCACACACACACATACATCCTTATATATAAATACAAATATACAAATATACATATTACATATATAAATATATATAAAAATATATATCTACAGACACGTCCATATACACTTACACTTACACGTCCATGTACACGTACAAATCTATACATAAACAAACACCTACACATATAAGCACGAACACAAGCACAAACACAGGTACAAGCACAAGCATAATCACAAGCACACATAATCACAAGCACAAGCACAAGCACAAGCACAAGCACTTTATCTTTATATCTTATATATATATATATATATATATCTTGTATATCTCACACTCTCACATTCTCACACTCTCATCCATATACTATTACTCTTACATTCCCATAATTTTTATAGACTAACTAATTGGTATATCAATTTATCATGCGTTATGTACATCACATATAAGAAAGAGGTCTATTGAAAAAAGTAGTAGTATCAAATGTTATTCTTTTGAACTATAAAATTATCATAAAAATAACAATTCTTTCTTTTTTTTTTTGCTTTTCTTCTTTACCTTACCTTACCTTACCTTCCTTGCCTTTACTTATTATTATTTTTTTGCGTTTATTTATGTATCTATTTACCTAAATACTTTTATACATACAAAAAGTTTCATTTTTTGTTTTTTGTTTTTTGTTTTTGCGTTTTGCGTTTTGCATTTTGCGTTTTACGTCTTTTTTTTTGTCTGTCTGTCTGTCTGTCTGTCTGTCTGTCGGTGCACTGACACTTCAATGATCGGGTTTGCAGAATTAGGCAAAAGAGTTCTTTATGAAACGCTATTGATCGGCACATACTCTACACTCTTACTTTTTATTATTCCCCTTTATTATTTTTATTTATTTATTTATTTGACTGACTGACTAACTAACTAACTGACACTTGTGTGTCTCTATGTCTGTTAAATAATCACAATGTGTACCAAAAATAAAAATAAAAATAAAATTATATTGAAAAAAAAAAAGCTTAAATAAATCTTTATCGTTAGCTTATTATTATACACTATTGGAAATTAAACGCACGAAGCGCATGGATTGAGAGAGACATGTGAATATTGACATGGAGCATACGCATTGTGTGAGAAATACCTACACTACATACATACACAATAGATAATTATTATTATTATTATTTTTATTATTTTTATTATTATAATAATAATAATAATATATAATTCCAAGCTAATAAAGATAAACCATTTCTTATTTACTTATCTATTCATTTATTTTCTTGGATTTTTTATGCTAAAAAAATGATATTTAATAATAATAGTAAGTTTATTCGCAAGTTTTGTATTTTTATTTTTTTTCTCTCTCTCTCTCTCTAAAAAAAAAACCAAAAAAAAAAAGATGTATTTTGTAACTGTACTCTATAGCAAAAAGGAAATCCCGGATTAGTCTTCCGCTTTGTGCGAACAATAATCACAATACTGATACTGTTGCTAACCATCATAATCGCAACTTGGTATTATTGCTATATATGTGAATAATTATATATAAAATATAAAGCTAAAAATATTATGGTGTAGCCCACAATAGAGAGACTAAAAGAAAATGATAATATTAGAGTTGAATTTTTTTTTGTCCAAAATCTAGTTGTTGTGTTTTTGTTGGGTGTATTGAAAGCAAAGCAGGACAGTTAAATATAAATAATAAATAAAAAATAAAGTCTAGATGTGACACCCGCGTCTTGTTTATCTTTTTCATCTATATACTCTTCCCGTGCAGTCCGAGGCTTTTGCTCATTCTCTTTCCTTCTTTCCAATCTCAAATCCCTCATTTGCTCCTTTCACTTCATCCCTCATACTCATACTCTTATTCTTATTCTTATTCATCTTTATCTTCCAACAAAGCTACAACCCATCTACTACCACAACTACTCTTTTAACTCATATTTTTCACCTCTTTCCCCGCTCTTTACCCTTTAGCTCTCCCCCCTTTTTTTTGCTTTCTTTTTCTCTTGACTTCATTATCTTCAGTCCTTTCCCAATGGAGCCAACATACCCTTCTCTACATCCTCTTCCAAACCGTCTGTCTCCCCCTACCTTGCCTTACACGCGTCACCAGTCCGACAACCTAAACCAACACTATAATCACCACACAAACTACAAAGACTACCACCACTACAACCACACTCAACACTGGAGATCCCACGATTTGCTTCAACTGCAATCATTGCTTTGCAACAAGCCACAGCAAGACACTAACAACCACCTTCCTCCCCTCATCCTTCTTAGCTCTATCTCGTCGTCCACAACCACCTCAACAAACAACAACTCACCATATGGAGGTCAATCGCCTTCTCTATCAACATCATTCTCGTCTTCATCCTCATCCTCATCCTCGTCTTCATCATCCTCTCCTCCTCTTTCTTCTTCTTCTCCCTCACCTTCACCAGCCGCTGAATCGATCTCAACCTTTCCTTCGCCCCAACAAGATCAAGACTTTGATTTGGATCACAATAAGCAGCACCACTGGTCGCCTTCACCACCATCATCTTCTGCTTCTGATAATGTTGTCGTTGTTGATGATTCTGTCCGTGGCATAGTATCAGTCACCTCACTTCTTAACCCAGTTCCCGAGTTGCCTGAACCAAAGCGAAAAAAGAATCGATCTGGTTACTTGTCCGATGCCCGGAACCAAATGCCTGCCACCAAAATCGCCCCAAACAGATCGTCTTCTAATATTCTGCTCAAACGTGGTAGACCCCGTCAACTAACCCTGAACAACACGAACATGAACATGAACATGAACAGTAATAATATTAATTCTAGCATTTTCGGCACGTCCGGTACTCCCCCTGTTGCTGCAGATCATTTACATTTTACACAAAACACCAAAAAACAACGTCGTTACAAATCCAAAAAGAATAAAACAGAAAACAACCATAATGATGATGATGACGATAACCATATCGCGCTTGACGTCTCGGAAGATCACCGACGCCTTAACAAAGGGCTACGACACTTTAGTAAGCAGGTTTGCGACAAGGTTGCCAAGCGAGGAACAACAACCTACAATGAGGTTAGTTTATAAAGAGCAAGTCCAGTATATAAATATATATATATATATATATATATATGGAAATGCATATAGAAATGGAAATATTCAAAAAATAAAATAAAATAAATTTGTAGATCGCAGATGAGCTTGCTACAGATATCAGAAACTCTCCCCAAGACAATGTGAGTAGTTGTTGATCGATCGAGCTGTTATTGATTTTCTAGGTAATTAATACAAAAACCTATACTTCTTTTATTATGATTATGATTATGATCACTATAGCAACCTGGCTGTGATCAAAAGAACATTCGTCGTCGTGTGTATGATGCTCTCAATGTACTGACGGCGATAAACATTATTGAAAAAGATAAAAAAGAAATCAAATGGCTTGGTATTCCTGGCTGCACCAATACACATTCCGAGACCGCTAAAAGAGAAGCTGATCTGTTGCGAGAAATTGAAGAAGAAGAACGCTGTCATATCGAATTGACTGCATCTGTCGAGGCTGCACGAGAAAAACTCGCGCAGGCAAGGTGCCCTTTCCTTCCTTCTTTCTTTTCTTTTTTGTTATATACAAAATAGACCATTACTTTCATTTACTTACTTACTTACTGACTTACTTTTTTTTTTATATATACATATAACAGTCTCTCTCAAATGTTTGCTCTTCCCAATTGCCCGACTGCCTTTCCTTGCCCATCTTCATGAATCAATCAAATACTGCTCCTAGCCATGCTACTGATGTCGACAATAGTATTGCTACAGCTAACACGCATAAAACGAGACAACTTGACCTTAATATTGTCTCATCAGACTATCAGAATGCCATTCTATCCGATACCATGCCTGTTAAATATGTCTCAGCCTTATGAAATCCATTAAAAAAATTCATCAACAAAAAACAAAAAAAAAAACAAACAAACAAACAAACAAAACGAAAATACCAGCACGCAAGTACCAGCTACCAGTAACCAATGCTATATTACCAACCACTATAAGTACCAGTACCAGTACTTTTATATTAATTTATTATGACACATTCGTTCAACACCCTTCATTTATTCCGTTCGTTCACCCAAGTTTTCCCTGCCAGTAACCTTTATCCAGTCATTTCTCGCTCGCTCATTCACTCATTCATTCAACCAGTACAATTTACCTTCATTTAGCACACCTTCATTTTCAGTACCTCTTATTCATCACCATCACAACACAAACCAAAACAAAACAAAACAACACAACAGTAATCAACCCAACCCAACCCAACAAAACAAATCAAAAAACTCTTACCTCCCTTTCGTTTAAATTATTCTTCATATTTTAACTTATTTTTTTTTATAAATGGCAACAGCACCTCTTCACACACAAAATCATGTACACACACACACACACACACACACATCTTCACAAAAAAAAATCACGCACAAATCTACATTCTATTTTATTTTACCTTTTTTTGTTTTTTTAAAAAAAAAATATTTATTTATTTATTTATTTATTTATTTATTTTCATGTAAATCAAATATGTAAATTGATTTTTTTTTTATATATATATCATTTCATATATTATATCTTAAAGAAAAAACTCCCCCTTTCACCTATCTACAAAACCCAAAGTAACAAAATAAAACAAAACACACAGAGAAAGCGTGTTTCTATATTGTTCTTCAGCTTCAACCAACCAATCAAACAGTCTAAAAAAAAAAGTCTAAAACAAATAAGCAAACATTAAAATTATCTGTATCAACAAGCATTTATGTATTTTGGATTTCTAAATTCTTTGGCCAGGTTTTCTTTCACTCTCTTTTATACTTATTTATTTGTTAATTGTGACACCTCTTTTAATATCAGATAGTGCATATTAAATCTTAAATACATAATATTTTCTTTCGATTGATTGATTGGCAATTCACATAAAGTTATTGATATCTGTACTTGTGTATAAGAAGATCAAAAAGAGAGATACTGTAAGTAGGTTTGAGTTGAGTTGATTTGGTACACTTCTTTCTGTTTGTATTTATGTTATATATGCACGTATATAGGTATGATTTATCTATGAGAAAGAAAAGAAAGATAGAAATAGAGGAAGAGAACTAGAGAACTAAAGGAAAAGAAAAGGTAGAGGAAGTATAGATTAATATATATATATATATATATATTAAGTAAAAAATAAAATAAAAAATAAAACAAAAGAGTGAGGAAGAAACTGTGCAAATACATGGTAGAAATAATAATAATAAAAATAAAAATAATAAAAATAAAAATATAAAGTAAAGTAAAGTAGAGAGAAAAAAATATCATCTCTTTCAGCATCATCATCACCTTCACCATCTTCTTCAAACTTCATTATATATATATATATATATATAACTTAGTTTTCTCTCTCTCTCTTTCTTTATTTTTTTAAGCCGATTCATCCCATTCACGATGTGCTCTTTTCCTACTGGCCGCTGCTGCATACATGGCAGCCGTCATATCACCATCAGGCCCGCCACCACCACCACCGCCATTACCACCATTACCATACGCTGGACCCTGAACTGTATTTGAATACTGGAATCCATGGAAGGCAGGTGTCGGTGTGTTGTATTGCAATAATGCGTTCATTGTCGCAGGATCCATATTAATTTGATCAAACAGATTCGAAGTATCAAATCCAGGGCGACCCTGCTGCTGTTGTTGTTGTTGTTGTTGTTGTTGTTGTGCTGCTGGTCCAACTGCCATAGAAGTAACAACAGAAGAAGGATATGCTTGTGCTTGTTGAGGTTGGCGTGATGTCTGATTAGGATTTTGGCTCATCATCGATGCCTGTGCTTGTGAAGTTTGTGGTTGTTGATTTTGTTGTGGTTGAGATGGAGGTTGTGTTTGGCTTTGATTTGACAGAGACTCCGGAGATCCGAGTCCAAACAACGAGTCATTTGTCAAGAAGGTGCCCGGGTAAGAAGACCCTGTGACCACTCCTGATTGCGAAGGATTAGTTTGATCGTACAGAGAAGTCGGTCCAAGACTAGCAAAAGAAAAGTGACTAGCATCTGCAGAAGTCGAAAAGCTTTGTCCTCCACCGTTAACATTAACGCCACCAACATTAACATTAACGCCGACTCCTCCTCCACTACTACTACTACTACTACTAACACCACCACCACCAACGCCGACACCAACGCCGACACCGACACCGACATTCACATTCGAAGCGAACGCTCCTGCATTTGATGTTTGTTGTTCCCGGCTATTTGGGTGAAACAAGGGTGTATCGAGTGAGCCAAAAATTGCCTGTTGTTGTCCAAATCCAGCCGAGGTTCCCATTCGACTCGTGTCCATTCCCGGGTTGTTTATATCGAATCCCATATTCAACAAGTGGTTCATGTCATTTCCATTAAAGTTCATCAGACTAGGGTCATTGAATAACATGTTGGGGTCTACCATCATATTAGGATGATTGCTAACCGGCATTGGACTAGTATTATGTCCCATAGATTGTTGTTGTTGTTGTTGTTGATGATGCTGATGATGATGTTGTTGTTGTTGAGGATGTTGTTGATGAGGATGACTTTGAACATGGTGTTGAGGTTGAAGGTGTTGTTGAAGATGGTGTTGATGTTGGAGATGTTGATGTTGAAGATGTTGTTGAGCATGGTGTTGAGGATGATGCTGAGCATGATGATGATGATGTTGTTGTTGTTGTTGTTGTTGCTGCTGTAAAACATGATGTTGTGATGGTGGTGTATGTTGATTGATAGTATCTGGGAAAGGTCTTTGAGGTGATGGTGCAAGGGAGATAGGGCTGGCGTGTGCGGATGTTTCATGAGTGAATATAGGCATTTGCGATGATCCATTTGGATGTCGCATGGTATTATTATTATTATTATTATTATTATTACTATTACTATTACTATTATTAACAACATTAGACCCAACCGTAGGCGTTACGGCTGCGGTTGGAAGTGGTGTTGACGAAGCTACTTGAGGGCGTGGAGATGACATTGAATGAGGGCCAACACTGCCAAATCGAGACTGATAGCTGTTCATAGAAGGTGAGTCTGGCTCTGATCGTGTGTAGCTTTGAGGTGTGCCGATGTTGTTGACATTATTATTATTATTATTACTGTTATTAATATTGTTGTTGGTGTTGGTGGCGGTGTTGGTGGCGGTGGCGGTGGCGGTGTTACTATTATTACTATTATTACTATTGTTGTTGTTGTTGTTGTTGTTGTTGGTTTGCTGCTGCTGTTGATGATGCTGTTGATGATGCTGATGCTGATGCTGATGATTGGACTCAAAAACGGTAGGATGGAACACAGATGAAATCGATTGTTGATTGATTGAATCTTCATTGATTGGCGGAAGGTCACTCAATTCAGTCGGGCATCCGCTCTTCTTCAAAAATCCTTCGATGCTTTCGATGATCTCATTAACCTTGTCCATGTACATCAGCGGCGACTTCTTGAGCACGTTTGCAGTAATGATCAGGTTACGCTGGGCAAGATGAGCCACCTCATGCTCACTCGACACTGCATTGACCTGATGGATCGTCACACTCGCAATAACACCGTCAATTGCATAGAAGAACTGGCACCAGGGTAAGTTTGCAGCATAGATGTCGAGCATCTTGGTAATGAACGTGGCTGACTTGGTGCAGATGTTGAGCGACAGGAGCGCGACCGGGGTGGCGGTCTGGTCCTGTTTGGGCAAAAAGAACTTGTGGAGCATGATCCAGGTTGTCTGGTACTGGATATTGAGAATCAAACAGGCCTCGTCTCTAAACGAACCAGTTCCTCGGAAACTGTCGTCCTGTTCTAAACGCAGATCGCTGGGTAATTCATTCAACCAGTGGGTCAATGCGTTTTCGAGACGTGAGATTGCCGACAGAAGAGACTGGCCAGACTGCTCGGACGGCAGGTGCTTGGTGATGTCTTTGCGGATCTTCATCAGCTTGATCGAGTTGACGCAGAAATTGACCCGGTGTCCGGTCTCGTCGTCTTCGCAGTCAAGCCGGGTCGGGTATTCGAGATCGCAGTCCTTGTCGTCTACCATGGTTGGGCGGTTGGACTCTAGTGCAGCGCACAGATCGAGCCAGTATGCAGACCACCAGAGGCGCTTATTGGTCTCACGCTGCTTCAGGTCCGCCGGCATATGCTCTTTTTTGTGAAACTTGAGGTCCTGGGCCATGCGTATAGCTAAGCCAATATAGAGATATGCCAGACTCGATCGTTCGCTGCTCAGTTGGTACATGTAAAGGTTCAAAAGGGCGTGGATGGTGGTCGGGCTGCTGATATCAAAACATTTCTTAAGCAGCTGGCGTGCGTTCTTAAAGTAGGCTTCTCCCATCGTAGATGGGTCGTGCTGGGGTCCTGCATTGTGATAAATGCATCCGTGCTTTGAGACCCAAGCATTGATAGAGTTTGCCAAGAGTGGCTCGAGTCCGACGGCACTGTAGGTTTGTGTAAAGGTGTCTCGGTCGACGATTTGGTATGCCAAAAAACAACGATGGTAGCAGCTTCGCATCAGCTCGTCCATAGTCTCCTGGGGTAGTGTATCACCCGACTGCTTACGTTCCTGAAGGATTTTGCGTGCTTCATTTTCATCTACTTCCCAGAGTCTTCCGCCACCGCCACCGCCACTACCGCCACCTAACCCAAACCCTCCTAATCCTCCAGAAGATTGGGATGACAACGTATCAGAAGTGGTATCCATGGCTATGTTTGTATCATGGGGACCCTTGCGCGACTGGTTATTTTTGGAGTTGCGAGCCTTGGTGCCGTCTGAACGGATGGAGTCTGTGCTAAAAAGGGTCGTCGAGTCGCTATTGATGTTGAGTTGGCTGATGCCATTGAGCAAGATGCGGTAGAGATCGGCTACACTAGCGATATTTGTGTCGATGCGTAGACCGGAAGGTGAGAGAGATAGTTTCCAGGTGACAGGTTGAGATGGAGACTGAAGAGGTTGTTGCTCTATGACGGCCATTGAATCCTTGTGTGCGTTTGAGTCTATCTGGCCATGAGATAGCATCCCATAAGGAGATGTGGAGCCTCCTCCTCCTCCTCCTCCACTCCCGCTTCCACTTCCACTTCCTCCTGGGCTGCCCATGTCGTCGTCTGGAGCTCGAATACCGCCAGTTCCCGGACAAGGGTGGATGCTGTTTTTCATCATCGTCAGCTCATTCTGCATCTTGTGCATCCGGTCTTTCAACTCTTCTACATGATTTCCTAGTTGATCAAACGCATGGCCATCTACTCTCCGAGGAGGAGTAGCATAACTACATGGTAAGCCTGCAATAGAACATCGACCGCATGTCGGCTGCACAAAGTCGCACTTGACCTTCTTTTTCCGACATCGAATGCACTGTGATCATCGCGTCAGCATCTATTATTCTTATTCTTATTCTTATTCTTTTATTTTATTTTTATTTTTCCTAACAACCCTGTCAAATTACTGACCGCTAAACTTGAGCGTGGGCGTTTTGGCCGAGAAGGCTCGGGAGGTTTCTGCTGTGATCCGTTGCTATCACTGGTAAAGACAGAAGCCATAGCAGAGATAGAGAATTATCGAGAGAAAAAGCAAAAAAAGAAAGAAAGAAAGAAAGAAAGTGTTATAAAGGAACGAACGTGAAATAAGCAAATGGAAGATGAAGAAAAGTAACGCGATGACGAAACTCTTTGAAATGTTTTGAAAAAATAAAAAATTAATTAAATAATTAAATAATTAATTAATTAATGAATTAATAAATAAATAAAATAGAAACAGAGGTTTAAAGAAGAAAGAGAGATAGAGAGGGATAAGGGGAGAAAAAAAGAAAAGAAGAAAGGAAGAAAGAGAGAAAATAAAAGTGAGTGTAAGTGAGTGAGTGAGAGAGAGAGATAAAAAATAAAAAGGCACTCATAAATTTGAGCCAATCAAAGCACGATTATCTCTTCGGTTAAGAAATAATCCGTAGATTTTAATTTTTTTTTATTTTTTATTTTTTTTAATCCAGCCTCATCTTTATTTAAATACAATATATAATATATATAATATATATATTTCTGCTTTTGCTTTTGCTTATTTTGTAAAGGCAAAAGGACAATGAAAAATTAAAGTGTACAGAAGCACAAAAAAAAAGAAAGAAATCTCGAAATGATATCTTGGATATATAATGATTATAATGCTTTATTTATTTAATTATTTATTTATATTGTTGTTTGGATGGGGGAGGTTTGGGGGGTTATTCTCTTATGGGCTGGCAGTGATTTTTTGTTTGTTTGTTTTTTTTTTGTGTATTTTTTTTTTATACTTTGGTTGTTGAGGGAATAAGTCTTTCGCGTGCTTTTGGTGGGTCACTAAGATGAAGTCCTGCTATGGCTGCTTCAGGAGTAACACCATTAGTATGACTATGGCTACCATTAATACCATTGGTAGTCCCATTGATCGCCGTCCCATTAGGGATTTCTTTATCCTTATGGTTCTTTAGGGGAAGAATCGAGACTGGGTCCTTGACGATCTCTCCACTTGCCCCAGGAACTGATTTAGGTTTATTTGGGACACCTGTGGCGGTAGGCTTGACTACAGCCTTTGCCTTGACTGGTTTGGGGCGATGGGTATCAACTGCCTCAATATCGACTGCGCAACATTATATATAAAATAAATATATAAAAATATAAAACAAGAATGGCGGAGGTCAGTTCAATTGTGCTATTCTGATTATTGCACAAAGCTATCTGTGTGCTGCAAATTGATCTCAATAAATCTTATTTGATTTACCTTTGTAGCGCTTCTCTTCACAGCCATAGGCCTTTGGCGTAAACTCAATGACGGTGTGAAGAGGGATCTTGAGATATGGCAGGTCGTCTTGGTCATAATTCATAAAGTACGCATAAATGCATCGTAGGATGGCCTGGTGCCCAACAATCAAAATATTCTCGTGGCGCTCCAACTCCATGATAATCGGCTCCAGTCGCAGTACGACGTCTCTGTAGGACTATTAAAGAAAGAAAACAGTGAGTAAAAAAGACTGCATGCTCGTGTTACCCACGCATAATTTCGCACAAATGTCTTTTTTTTTTATATTTATTGTCTTTTCTTACCTCTCCACCACGGTATCTATAATTAAACTTGTCTTCATCACGATTGGCGTAATCCTCTGGGTATTTTTGCTAAATAGAATCAGAAAACAATCACAATTGGTTACTCACAGGTTAAGAGGTTGATTTACTTTAAAGTACAATATATATATCTTACCTCGATTTCTTCATAAGTCATTCCATCACACAATCCAGAATCCAGTTCGTCTAATGCCTTCCACTGCATTTTTGGGTATGGCAAACCAGCAGCAGTCTGAATGGTGCGGTTCATGGTGGAGGTCCATACCGTCAAAGGCTTACCACCCAGGTTATCACTAATCAAACCCGGCAGCTTTGCCGCATAGAGCTCTCCTCTGGGTGACAAGAACGAATCTCCACCAATCTTGCCTTGTACATTAAATTGAGACTCACCATGCTATTATCATAATGAACACAATAATAACATTGATAAGTAAGCGGATCTACATGGCTATTAATAGTTAGTATCTTCCAAAACCTACTCTACTAAAGTATATCTTGCGGGGAGCAATATGCAGATTCATCAGGTAATACACAATCCGTGACTCAAGATAGACCTGGATCATGTTAATGATCGTCTGAGAGCCGACGTTGATAAGTTTGATATACGTATAGTTTTCCTCCGTAATGGTCTCATACTGCTCCTTGTAATGGTCGATACGGGCCCGGAAATCAATGGCTGCATCTTCGGGATCCACGTTAGCATAATCTGGCGAAGACAGCTTGACCTCCTTGATATTTGCAATGATCAGAGATTCGTCCTGGCAGATGCTCTCGATAAACAGAACCTTAATGTCTTGTTTGGAGAGCGATTCGTGCAGCCATTTTCGACGAGCAATCGTGCTGTTCGTGGCATCATAGATAGCCACCACGCCCTGCTCTTCATTAAACCACCGGATCATATCTTCCATTGCTGCTGCTGCAGCCTCCCGACGATGTTGCTCGCCAATGCAGTTGTGTGGGTCAAAAAATGTATGTGGCATGTTGGCCCCATGAAGCTTACGACGATAGTTTCCCACATTGAACACCTTTGTCTTGATACTGAGCCAGGTCAAGTATCGGCAAACTGCCAAAGACCGTGACACACATGAAGGTCAGAGTCAGAAACAGATAAACCTTGTTGAATCTTTCTTTGGGATATCTCAACGAACCTTTTTGGGAAATATATGTCTTGCCTCTGGCAGGTAACCCTACCATCTAAAATAAATATAAGAAACGAGTGCATATGTGCATTTAGAGGGTTGAATGAGAAAGAGCATGTCATTAGGCTAATGACACTTACGACGCACACGATGCGTAGATCTAGAAACACCACACACACAAAAGGTTATTATTGGTTAGGTTTGATTTGATTTTCGTATGAAACTCTTACTGTTTGACATTGTTTTTAAGAGATAGAGATAAGAGACAAAGTTGGGTCAGAAAAAGAGATAGAGGGAGAAGAAAGGCAGATATATTGACAAGAAGTCAAGAAGAAAGAAAGAGGGGCAAGAGGTACAGTGGTTTGATGCCAGGTACTGTTACTAGAAAGGCTGTTTTTTTTGGCACTCATGAGCTGACCTGAATTATTTGGAAGGAAATTGATTGCCAGCTCACCCGAATGGCCCAATCATGCTTGATAAATGGAAGAATATCAGACCAGGAAACAAAGTTCTCTACTGACGGTTGCCCAGGTTTCGCATGAGGGGGCGCGTGTCAAGATGAGGGGTAGGGTCTCTTCCGATACGTGACCATGTTTTGAGGTGCAACTGTCTACCCTCTCCAACTCCAACTCCACCCCACTCCCCACCCCTTGATGTTCCTTTGAATACCCAAAAAGAGAATTAGAAACAGCACAGAGCACAGAGCTAGTTAACTTCAAGGGATGTGACCCGGAAAGCCATAAGACAAATATATATATATATATAATTACATATAATATTATATAATATCATAAATAAATAAATAAATAAATAAATAAAAGAATGCTGTAAAATAAAGTATGGCCAGACGAAATTTTGTTCTTTTTAATTTAATTTGATTTTTTTCTTATCTTAATATTATCACCAATATTAACCACTGACTCACTATTACTATTAGTATTATTATTACTGCTATTAAGAATAATATTAATATCAATATCTTTTGAATCTTTTTTTTTTTTGAATTGCCTGATTCCGCTTTTGGCCTTTCGATTTTGTACCTCATTGTATATTCTTTTCTAGGATCAACTTTTAAGAAAAAAAAAATTCAAAAAAAAATTCAAAAAAAAACCCTGTTTCTCATGCGACCATTTACTCCATTGCGAAATAATCTCGCCTCACTTGTAAAAACGGATCTGGTCCCAGAGTCTCTACCTCGGTACGCTGGTTCTGTTCAACATTTCTACAGAAACAAGGTCCTCGATGGCCATGTGCATCAAAAGGCAACACCCATTACACTGAGGCAACTCATCTTCTACGAGCGACACCGGAATACAAAACGTATTCTTGCTTCAGCCAATTATGTCCGCACCGAGTTGCCTATCAGACTATCTCACCGTATCCGAGAGTTCCAGAACCTGCCGTTTATTGTTGGTACGAACCCCTTTATTCAGGATGTGTACGACCTCTACTGGAAGTCTTTTGAGCGGTTGCGCACGGTGCCGCCTATCACCACACTTGCGGAGAACGAGGATTTTTGCGGGGTCCTCAGAGGCACCCTGGAAGACCATCGGGTGGTCATACCCCGATTGGCGCTGGGAATATCCGAGTGCCTTGATCATATATCCTCACAACGGCTCGATGCCTTTATGAACTCTACCCTAAAGGCGCGTATCTCTCGCCGAGTGCTTGCCGAACAACATCTTGTCATGTCTCATGTTGGAACCGAGATACCCATCTCAATCTTCAGCAGTTGCTCAGCCCACGCCACCCTCGAGACTTGCAAGGCTCTTGTGATGGAGCACTATCCAGAACAATCAAAAGTCCCACAGGTGATTGTGGGCGAAGGTGAAAAAGATTCCAAAGATACTGAGTTTACCTATGTATCCGAACAGATCCAATACATCTTGTACCAACTCTTGTCCAATGCCGTCCGTCATACAATCAAACACCATTCCAACGCAGCCGGATCTTATCCACCCATTAAAGTCACCGTGTGTTCAAACTCGACCGACGTGTTCTTTAGAATCTCGGACAGGGGCGGAGGAATTCTTCCTGAAGTTTACAAAAGCCTGTGGTCCTATGGTGTCCGGAATCAAATCTTTGGAAACTTCAAACATATACCTCAACACACTGGATCTGTTGCAGAGCACAGTCATGATGTACCTCTTGGAATTGGGCTTCCAATGAGCAGAGCTTATGCAGAATACTGGGGAGGTGAGATCAATGTGGTAACAATGGATGGCTGGGGCACAGATGCATACGTTAGGATCCCTAAGCTTGGCACCCAGATTGAAAATATCGATGTCGAACCGACCGATGAGCATGCTGTTCTTGATAGCGCCCATGAAGGCCCTACTCCTTGTCGCCTTGCCGTGTAAATAACCCGATCTTTCTTTATTTTATTTATATATATATATATATTTATATATGTCTTTATCTGTCTATCTACCTTTATTTTATTTTATTTTATTTCACACACACACATATATATATTATCTCATTGATTTTCTTTATTTTACCCACATGCTGTGAATATATTTTCTACAATCATACTTTAACAAACAAACCAACAAACCAACAATCAAGCAAAGGCAATAAGGCAATAAGGCAATAAGGCAATAATGAAATAATTAGTGTTGCACATAAAAAACAAACAAGGTTGTATGTGCAGCTCAACTCATTTCTAATTATCGTTATTCTTATTTTCACTATGCTTTATCGCACTTTATCTTTTTTTGGCTACTTTCATTTTCATTTCATTTCATTTTAATATAATCCAAATTCAATACCAAGTTCAATTCAATTCAATTCAATTCAATTCAATTCAATTGTCCTTTCTTCTTCTATGCACCTTTTGTCTCGTGACCATGCTATTTCTATTCGTCTGTCTATATTATTGTTTTTAGTATGCTTCATGTATGTTAGTCTAATTAATCACCTCTTCCTCTCCTTGTCGTCAGGAGAGAAAGACAATAGGATTGCGGGAAAGGGAGACTATGAGGCTTGTGGGGGTCCAGCATAAGCATATTTGATGGGTCCGGATAAACTTAGTGCTTATAATATACCAATACACCAATACACTAATACTAACACACTAATACTAACACACCTATATACACACTATTGACGAAATATCAGCACCTCATGAGTCAAGCTTGTTGTACAGTCCACCCGCCTTATCACATGAAAACACGCACACACACACACAAAAAAAAGAGTTTTTGGATTCTATTTTATTTTATTTTATTCTTGAGAAATCAATAATTATAATAACCTCCTGTTGTTTATAATGGTAATTCATGGCTAATGTATTACTAGCAACAGTTCAAGTAAAGAAGTGTTTCATATTAACTATTTTATATGTATAATTTTTATATATATACAGCTTTCATAATACACAGTGCACATAACACCTTATAAAGTAAATGGTATATATGCATAGTAAGCAACGTTGTATAGAATCATGGGATGAGAATAAAGTAGAACTAACTAACATAATCCTGGTAAACTCACACGCATGCACACACTCACACACTAACATTTACTAACACACTGACGCACACATACACACACACACACATATATATATATATATTCAAAGCATTCAAATCAAAATGCCGGCTTTAATTCCAAGGTGTATCTCAAATTAAACGACGATTCAATGATTGATTGTTCACCCCGACTAGGACTTTCTTGATTTGTGGTCTGCAAGATGCACAATATATATATATATTCTTTTTAATAAAACCTATTTTAGATAGAGAAATAATGTCGATTTTCTTTTATAAAACATACTCTTTGTGTATCCTTTGAAGAGCTTAATCTACTTTAGCCACAAAGACGCACAGAGACAATGACTCAAATTCTTGCTCTTTTATGAATGTATAAATCGTTAATAATTGAATACACTACTCCAGTATATATATATATGTAAGTCTTGGTTGTAGGAAGAAAAAGGAAAATAAAAAAACTTAATATTGATTTAGAGTAATTTAGACCCTATATTTTCAAATTTTGATTTTTTTTAATATGTACTAATTGGTCTGTTTTTTGATTTATTAAAGTAAAATAAAGAAGAGTCCTTCATTTATGTATTTGGCTTTTAGTAGATTAGTCTTTAGTTTGCATAAAAAGAAATTGCTTATATAAAATAGCACTGGCTAGTTTAACCAGACCCTTTATATCGAAAAATAAATTAACCTGGCTAATACTTATAGGCTATTAGAATTATATCAAGTTTGAAATAGTAGGCCTACTCAAATTCAACTGTAATTTTTTTTTCTATATTCTTATTCTTTAATGAATGAATGAAAGCCTTGTATAATCATGTCAATTAATTTGATATTTATTAAACCCTTTCAGAATCGCAAATACATAATTGAGACACGATACACGACACAGATACTCTACCGTATTTGTATCAGTGGTAGGTATCCATACTCAACTAGTTAACCCTGAACCATAATACGGTAAAGAACATATCAATATGAATATTATAATCCATAAAGCGGTACCACACAACATAAGTGACGCAGCTTGGCATCCTACCCAATATATAACTTTAGCAAAATACATAATATAATAGGGATATGCGTTAATAAAAGAAAAGAAGAAAGGAAGCAAGAGCGAAAAGGGGTTGTATTTATAAGCTATTTCCGAGTGGCTTTTTGTAACAGAAACAAGTAATTCTCACACAGATACATAAATGTATATGTGTTTCAATTTCAAGTTTTTCTTTCTTTCTTTGCTATTAAAGTTCAAAAGTAAAGACCTGTATTCAATATTTCACTATTGTGCTACCATGTTTATGAGATTAATGCAAAGTATTTTCATATTCATCTACCCCCCCCCCCCCCCCCCCCCCCAATTCGCAGTATAGAACATATTAATAAATCATTGACTACTTTATTGAATTAATCTACTGCCCTATAAAATGCCATCTTGGGAATACCCGATAATAGCCAGTTTGGAAAATTCATTTTTTCTTCTTTTTTCTTGCTATTGTTGCTATTGGTATTGTCCTACAACTTGCCAGTTCTCGTCGCATACCGTGTCCTTCTGGAACTATTTTCTCTCTCTAATGTAGAGCACTTTTAACTTAAAGAACACATGTGAACCTACCAAGTCTCATAACATTATATTACAATAGATTAAAGGTGTATCAAAAGTTCAAGACTATCGCAAAAGATCTAATCTACGGTTAACGTTAATCTCAAATACCTGTTTACTTTATTTTCTTTGTAAGATACAGTAAACTCATCCAATTAAATGAAAAATTTGCCAAAAAAGTGGATATGGTATTTCTCGGCGAACCAACCAAAGCAAAGCAAAGCAAAGCAAAGCAAAGCAAAGCAAAGCAAAGCAACCTATACCTCTTTATCAAATAGATGTATTTTATAATCGGCTATTTTCTATAACTGAACCTATATAAGATATTGATTCTTATGAATGTATGGAACCAAGAGAAAATATAAAATACATAAAATAAGCCAATTTGCTTTTACTTTTGTCTAATTTCTTTTAATAATTGTCTAACAAGAATATCTTTGAGATTAACGTTATTGTCACTAAAAGACCTTGGTTTCAAAATTACTCTAAGCTTACTATCTTTTCTAATTTAATAGGGGGATCTCAACAGTCATTCAATCTTTTAAACTTAAGCTTTTGAGTTTAAAAGCTTGAATGACTGTTGAAATCCCCTAATACATCCTTGCTTAAATTTGATTTTTTTTTTGGAAATTTAATATATACTTGATGCAAATATCTTTGTCTCTTTTAATACTACTTTAAACTTAAATCCTATTATCACAATGCCTAATAGAACCAAAAGAAGCATTTAGGGTACTCAAAAGCACTCAGTAACTCTTACGTATTATTGGCTACTGCTTTAAAGCTCAAAGCTCAAAGCTTAAGCTTAGAAGCTCAAAGGACTACTGAAACCCCTTTAATATATGGGAATTGGAGGTAAGAATGGCACTGTTGGGTCCTCACATCGAGGATTTGAGCCCAATAAAGTTAGGAAATATTCATCATGTTAAGCCTCCAGATGATTAAATGGATCAAATTTATCTTGCACAAGGTGTCGCTCTCCCTTCTATACTTTTGCTATTTTTATTTATTTTTTTACAAAAAAAAATGCTTGGAGCGAACATTAAGATTCCAATTTGTTTGAACTCACAATAACATAAACCTGAACTAATTGGCTACTATATATTTAGGGCGATTCTTCTTCTTCAGGTGGAGCCCTTGATCAGTGAGTGAGGCTCATATCATATTAAAAGGCTATATTATATATATATATACAATTTGTGCATGTGCAGAATACTACAAAATAAAGTAGATTAACAAATAAAGTTTATGGAGTGCAAGCCATTTTGATAATTTACTATACACTGCTTTAGTCGAATATAACTATAGATAAACCAATGTTTTATTGCTCAAAAGCATTGTAATTGGTGTAAGCCACTTTACTCGATTGATTATACCAATTTATCTACAAAGTCTATATATCATATGTATATTGGCTTTAATTCACAAATAATGACTGTCAATTGTATATCTATCATACATGGTACTATTTTTTATTATTAAACGATTTAATAAAAGTAAAGGCTATAAAATATTATCCTCACTAGTTTTTACACAAAGCCACCCATCTCTATTCGTCAGTATGCTTTTGTCAAAGCTTCCTCCAGAAGTAATCCTCAATATCTCTCTGTTCCTTCCCTTAAAAGACAGAGACTCGTGTTGCTTTGTCTGCAGAGCTTGGAAGGGACCTTTTCAAGAATCCATGCACTATGACTTGACTCTCGGATCTATCGGTGCCATTTATAACTCTTGGGAAGAATTGGTTGACTCAGAATCCATAAAGCAATACACTGGAACCCTATTAAGATCTCTGACTTTGAGCGACTGTAGAAACTTATCAGTTCAACAATTGGGTACTTTACAAAGAACATTTCCAAACGTAAAATCTGTCTGGATACAGAAACTTTGTTGCAGCTCGAATCTTTTTGAAAGAGAGACAGATTGGCTCCTTTGGAGGTCATTGACTGAACTACGGGTGGATATACTTTTATATCGCACAATCCATGTAGAAGTAGACAATCCTTTTCTAGGCATAATATGCAATCTATCTATGTTGACGCGATTGCAACTTATCAACAGTGTTCATTACGAAAGTTGTATAAACCAAATATTCAGACTGAGCGAATTTGAACTCATTCACACACGTTTGGTACATCTCACTCATCTAGAACTAAGCTCTCGCTTATTAAGTATTTCCGGCACCGAGATTCAGCGTATGGGAGAAGTATCACCGGCTAATAAGATAAAGCTTTTCAGAATGATATCCAGCAAAACAGATCATCAGTGGCTCTACTATTTCGCTAAGAAATACCCTAATCTCGAATCATTTAACTTCTCAACAATAAGCGATGAACTCGAGTCAGAAAAACAAAGAAACAATATAATATCTCTACTCCAAAGCCTGACTCATCCGTTTCAACATCTAAAGGCACTATACCTTGGAGATAAAAACTACCTTCCCAAAGAATACCTGCTTTATTATGACATGATCAATTGTTTTAAACCACCCTTGGAGCGCATATACATTTACATATTTCAACGAAATCTCTTTGGAAATCTCAGCAAGCCGTTGAGCGCCTTAAACAAATTGTTTAGGTATATGTGCTCGTCTCGATTATCTGGGTCCCTCAAAGACTTGTGTGTTTTGTGTCCAGAAGTGTTAATCATCACAACATTACTAATAAAAAGAAAGGATACATTCTACAATTTGGTGCATCTAAAACTATCTTGTCCGTTCCAGCCTTTCAATCTCGATGATCTTCTTGACAAAAGGAATTTCTTGAAAACACTTGATTTGCGTTTTGCCAAGATTGAAATTAATCCCAAAGCTCTGAAAAGAACAAAAAGACGTTCCCTGCAGTCATTTACTGCTACTCGTTCAGAAATTACATCAGATGTACTCCGCTACCTATCATTTCAATGCAGAGACTTGAACACGCTGTATTTGCACCGCACAAAGGTATTCGGAAAATTTAATTCTACACAAGGATGCCATTTTATCGACATGTCATACACACGTTTCAACTTGTTACGCTTTGTCAGCGTACCTTTTATTATAAAAGACAACCCGATAAATGGTCATAATATCAATATTACGCTGATCACTCGACCAGTTGATGATATTCCTCCAAAGAACGACGACAGCGTTGAAACGTTACCAATATCTTTTGAAAGTTCGTCATTCAAAGTGCACTATGATTGGCTTTACTCATTGAATTCCAGTATGAGACCACTTCCAAAGGCTGCATCCAAAAATGCCGAGGAATTCTTTATGAATTTTGAAGACAACAAAGAATTGTTTTTAAACACATACGTTCCCAATCCCAGAACAGAAAAGATAAACTTAAACAAGTGGAAATACGATCCCAAGTGTCACAACAAGACAGACTGGAAGTTGAAATTTATCTATGGCTACACCAGGATAAAATGTGGCTATGTGGCTAACTTTGCACTAAACTAGGAGGGGAAAGACGAAGAGATACTACGTTAATCTCATAAAATATAAAATGCCATGGACCTAGTTTAGTGCTTGGAAATCTCGTATTTTGAAATAAAATTACTTTTGCTGGTTTGTTTGTCTGTTCATGATTTGGACTGAAAGTTTGAGTAAAGAATATATGTTGAGCCGCTTATTAGTTTACGATAGTGAATAAAACGACAGACTTGGCCTGAATATCACCTACAGTTTAAGCTTAACCGTAAAGGAGAATTTGCTACCAAACACTAATGGCTCTTAGATTTTGTCTTTTAATGCAATCTTGCTTTCAATTCTCCAAACCATTTTCTCTTTGTCTTTTATTTTATATAAAAAGTGTCAAATTATTAAAGGTTCTGAAGATTAATATGTTTAATATCTATTCCACCAGTATTCCTATAATATTACCAAAGAAAATGCTTCATTACAAGAAATTGATAGAAGATTATTTAAATACTGAATTGGATATCAATTATACCCTAATTAATATAACGTATTGCCTGCTATTCATACAGGCTTTAATAAAATGGTTTTGGATTCTTGTTGCTAGCATATTATTATAGAGTGCTATTTCACCACGCGTGTCATTAAATGAAAACGTTAGACACATCAACAACTGAATAAAGCCAAGAAAATAAAAGATAAGGCTAAATTTTAGATATATAATAAAAAGGCATTAAAGAAATTACACTGCCTCAAGTTCTTTTTTTTTTCTTTTTTCTATTGGTAATTTTCTTCATCCTCTTTTCTAACACTATGGAATAAAAATGGCAACACCAATGACGATTTTGAAAAAAAAATCAAAATCGCCATCGGAATCGCCACTTTTTTATTATAGCATATATATGCTTCCCAGGATAAACTATATAGTATGTTTCATTTAAGCGTACAGATATATATATATATATACGTATAGCTTTTGAAATTGTGAGCATCGCTCTTGTTATTTTATGAATATATATTACCTAAAGTAAAATTTAAGCTACAAAGTAACACAGCAATTTTCAGACGTGTAACATATCTTCTATTACCTAGTTAGTAAACTTTAGCTTTATTGCTTATTGCTTATATAATATATCTTCCAAAAAAACAAATAGTCTGCTATTGTAGCATTACAATCGTATAGATTTTATGCATTTACGCAAAAGAATAGGGTATTAAGAAATATATATGCATAGTCTCACTCTTCAGTCTTTGTTCGTTTGTTTCTAATCGTGAATTTTAAAGCATTAAATGCCCTGAACAAACTTGGGATATTTTCTCTATTCAATAGAGGATTACAAGGTTAACTTTTTATACTAATGCCATGTAACAAAGAACGAACCGCTGTAATTATAGCTTTATAGACTTTATAGACTTTACTTTTTTAATTTTTTTTTTAAAATATTAATTATTATTGTTATTTTGGATTAAAACAGCATTCTCAAATTTCAAATACACTTTTAAACAGTCTGATGAATATAAATAGGAAAGTCTTAAGAATATTTTCAGCATATTTTTTTGGCATATAGATCATGGGCATAATACATAGATCAATATTCACTTATTTCTTTTTTGGAGTTGTAAAAATAAAAGAATATTGCAAGCTTTCAAGTGATGAGTGGGACGATGAGAAAATTAATAAATATGAATGTAAGTTACACACCTATTTTTTGTGCTAGGGGTATTGTTTCTGAAAAGCTAAATAAGTAAAGATAAAATCAAGCAAGCTTTCTTGCAAATGATAGGGAACATATAAGTTTAACATAGAAATTAAGAAGAAAAGAAGAAGAAAAGAAAAGAAAGGAGAGGTGAGGTGAGGTGACAGATACAGATGATCTGTTAATAAAAGCGACTGCCGGGATTAGTTTTAGAGCTGCGTGTAGCCATTCGTCGTCTAGGCTGCTTCTCATCCTGGTCTGAATCGTGCTTATGTTGTGCTGCTTGGGTGGGAGGTGGAAGAATTGGAGAATATAGCAATGGTACCAAAGGACGTTCAACCCACTGGACTTCTCTCTCATCATCTCCTCTCTCTTGACCAACAACAATTTTATTAACAGAGACCGAAGGCGAAGGTGAGGGTGAAGGTGATCGAAGAGGGGGTGCTGCGATCGCCTTCCACTGATTATCGTTTTCCGCGGATCTGGTAGACTCGATGGACTTATTATAAGGCTGAATTCTTCTCAAATTTGGTCGATGAGGAGAAAGTGGGGACTCCTGACTATTTATCCAAGGAAGTCCTTGGGCCTCGACATTTTCAGGTTTTTGGGTTGGCTTTATCTCTTTACTGGTAACTAAGGGTGTGTTTGGTGGCAACTCTATTTGAGGCAGAGATACTTGGGACGAACGTGCGATATTGGTCTGAGATGGAGACGGGCAGTTTTTCTCTATCTCGAGAGTTTTATATGAATTATACGGTTCAGGAGGATAAGATCCATAAGGACCTTCAGTATGATAGTATTCGGATCTTGGACCGATGTTATACACACCTGAGACACTTGAAGTGTTAGACCCCATATCTCTGAAATGACCATGATGCTGTTGGAGCTGATAGAGCTCGAAAGGATGGTTGGAACTAGAAGACGTTGTAGAGTCCCTGTGTCTCGATTCATATTTACGCTGCTTCCAGTTACTACTAGACTTTAAAGATTTGTTGATTTCTTTGCTGTCTTCATCGATATCCCCATCTTGCTGTGTGTCATTAGAGTATTTGTCACCAAAAAATTCACCAGATCCACTAGCAGAGCTCCCGTTTTCATTACTCGCTCCATTTGAGCTACAGTCTGCCATACTATTTGGTAATACATTAATACACACAACCAAATATGCATAATTATGCATTTTTTTTTTGTATATTCACTTACCTGTTTGGAGATTCTGGCTTCGATCGCTTTCTGGTACGGCTGACCATACGACTCACAGCAAATTGGGCACTCTTAAACTCTTTGAGATACTCTTGGTGGCTCTGTTTGGAGTTAACAAGAGGCATTTAACCCTGAGGAACTACTACTCCTGGGACTCTCATACACACCCTTGTGTACCTTATACTCCGGGGTTCTGCGATACCTGTCAAACTGGGCAGAGTATTCGTCCTTTGCTCGCATTGCTGTACGTTCATACTCTTGTTTTTCCGCGAAACTCAAATTTTTCCATCTGTCTCCTACAATCTTGGCCAGTTCAGAAAAGGTAAGATTTTGATCCTTGAGTTCGGTGCGTGCATGATTGGAAAACATGATGTATGCCGATGGAGGTTTTACGGGAGCATTCTTGTCCTGGCGAGGGTGTCTGCGGTATGTACGCTTTGGAGGCTGAGAATCGCCGGCACATGTCGAGTCCTCATCATTTGAAGAGACACTGCTTCCTCGCGTAGGATCGGAAACGCGGGGTAATGAATCATGAGCCCGTTTGGAAGGTCCGTCATCCTCGATCATATTTTCTTGCGAAATCATCATATTCGGCATACGTGATTTTTGAGTAGAAGACATTGATCCATATCCACTATTGATATTTGACGAAGAACTTGAACTGCTGGTATTTTCGTTATTCAATTCCACTTTAACAGGCAGGTTTGGTTTGAGAATTGAGCCTATAGAACCATCTAGAACCATCTTAGATGAAGAGTTTCGATTTACTGTGTAACCTATGGGATGACGGGTCTTAATGGAGTTGATTATAAGCGGTTGGTCAAGCGGTATTCCTTTTGCAGTTGCAATCTCTCTTTGGATAAGCTATATAAAAAAAAATATCATGAAATTCGGTTCAATGTCCTATCAATTAAACATCCAATTCATAGCTGACTTTGTAAATAAAAATAATAATAAAATATTTACTCTTCTGTGGCCACGCTTGACACCCATAACTATCATGTCTTCTTCCATAATCTCATACACCTATAGGAATCGATCATAGAAATTTTTTAAAGAAAAAATTAAAGCCGATTACTTAATATAATTTGTGTGTGTGTATTTAACGTACGGATCCAAGAGTATCGAATCCTTCCGATAAGAAGCATTCCAAATATTGGGATAACTGACAGTAATCCAAAAATTCCTTGACTTCTTGCCGTCCGCATTCTTCAAGACTAGTGATGGTTGAGGAGTCTTCTCTGATAAAAGACTGGGAATTCAAAGGTCTTGACATTCAGAAAAAAATCGTGGATTTCTTATATCAATTATATTGATTTTGTTGACTGAAAGATTTCTCTCTTATAAACAGAATTATAATAACAAAAATAAAAATATCGAATAATCGAGTCTCCAAGATGAATACCCGTTTATATGGGATTTTCTTTTTTTTTGGTGGTTTGTTCGTGAGTCTTGAGAATTGAAATATAAATATAAATGGAACCTCTGCTTTTGTTAATATGTGTTTTTTCTTCTTCTTCTTCTTCTTCTGTTTGTTCATTATTAGACAAAACATACTTTATAGTGAGAGACTTGAGTGTAGAGGTTTGTGTGAATGTAGGTAAGATTGGCCAAGAGTGTTGAATACTAATTAAGATAACTAAAGAAGATGGTAAAATAACAAGAGCTGGCTATTTATACTTTTAGCTGTAGACTGCATCCCAACCCGTAATTAAAATATATGTATATAAAAATAAAAATAAAAGAAAATCATCATAAATATGTTGCTGAATAGTTAATAAAAGCATGGTTTCTGTACCACGGTTAATATCCATTGTTGTCCAAATCGAGACTCGTCTTTTTTCAAGGATATATACATATTTATATATTTCATCCGTTGGATTTCAGTTAAATCCTTTAAATCACATTAATTATGACCTACGCAAACCTAGACTGTCGGTTTCTTTTTTGCTGCCAATGTTGGTAATGGAGAATGAGCTAGCTTAAAAGGGGATTGTAAAAGTACATAATAATTCCCGCTCATCGAAGATTTATTAGTGATTCTGCGATTTGAAGAATGGTATTGGCCATGCTTTGGACGCTCCTCGAATAGGATTTCTTCTCCTTATACTTCATTGGAATAAAGTTTCGATGAATTTCAATCTTTGCTGAACAATTCATACAAGTTGTTGAACATCATGGCTAGTATTATACACCAAACAAACTATATAGACGCTACAACTATTGGGCAATAACCATATGCACAAGTAAACGTATCAAAACTGTCTTTTTTTTTAGGCTTAGAGATTCTGTAGTGACAGTGTCACTGATTAACGCGTATCCTTATCGAGACACGTTTCAAGGATCGTTGGTATGAAGTCATACACCAGATGTATATATATTAAAATGCATTGACATATTTGTTTACCAAGATAGAGAGAGAGAGAGAGTGTGTGTGTGTGTGTGTGCGTGCGTATGTGCTAATTTCTGTGGATCAATAATCGGCTTTCCTGATCGATGTCCCTAATATGGTTACTAGGCTTATGTAAACTCTAAACAATTTAGAGTATTATACTTTTTTTTTATTGACAGGCCAAGGTGTTGAATATATATATATAATATAAATAAGACAATATTTTAATAATGCGTCTTTATGTAAATATCTACCTATAGTCACTAACAGTATACATCAAAGTTATGTAAAATACACCTATACACATACACATACACATACGTACATATGTGTGTATATATAACAGCAGTTCCATACAGTAAAATATTTTAAGGATATAAGATTTAACGGTAGAAAAGTTTACTTTTGATCTTCTCCTAAACCGTCAACCCCAGAATCCCTTTAATGTATATCACTTGTTTACATATGAACTAGACAACCTTGAATATCGAATTATTGCGTATATAGCACAGATTAAAGACAGTGAAAAAATATAATCCTAGATCTGTCAATATCAGCTATGTATATATGTACATATACATATATAAAAAATACAATACATATATGTATATAAAGGAAATGACAAAACAATACTATATTTGGAAGTGATTTTCGTGTGTGTATCGGGGTGCGGGATAATCTCAAGATAGCAAAGATTTGGTATAGATTAGTGTGAAAGGCATTGTGGTTATCTAGATTATACACGTATATGTACATAACTTATATGTATTGATTTATCAAGCACCTTTTGCACCTATACATTCAAATACTTGCCATAGAATTTGTTTTTGAATATTATGACTACAAAATATACTGAAGCCAAATATAGATTGAGTTTATTTAATGTTCTATTTATTTATTTATTTTGTTCCCCAAGCCCGTGCGGTGTCTATCTGAATTAATATCCCTACAACCAATACTTCTAAATTTATTGAGTTTCTCAAAAGTACCAGATTTTGGGTCAATAATGACTTAATATGAGCGACCTAAAGAATTCTTCTTTTTTTTCGCTTAAAATATTTTGCTTCCTATCTTCATATATAAAAAATCTTAATTCTCGGGATCCTTCTATTTATTTGTTTTTACTAGAAAATATCAGTATCAGCAATGGTTATACCAGAAGCAAAAGATGAACTCAATTACACATTGTTGTACTAACTGGCCATCCAATCTACAAAATTCCTGTTACCAAAATATAGCTCTAATTATTATAGAAATAATGGCTTTAGGGAGACCAAAGCAGACCGTTCCATCAATAGCAATATTAAGCAAAAAGATATATTGATATAGTGGCCAATATATTTCTCATAACTCCTGCGTAATCCTCAATGTCTTGCATATATTATTGATTGTAGACGCTATATCTACATATACTTATACATTGCTTTGTCAAGAAGGGATTTTTAGTGTATTCTTCTGCAGACTTGTGGCTAATTCCCTAGGCCCATTTTATATATGTATATATTATTTTTGTATAAATAATATAGTATAATATCAATAGACTTGGTATATTCTACTGGCTAACCTTATCATTGTCACAAACTTAAATTTGGATCCAATTAACCTATGAAAATAATATAATGTGTAACTGGATATTCTTACGAAGAAAATCAAAAAGCAAACTAGGCTCTGGCTTCATGTTTCTCAACAGAATCTTTATAAATTGCAAATATCTTCTTCCTTTCAAAACTTCTTTTGTATTTACAAGTTGTAGTTACGGTTACTGAATTTAAAGATTTTCCCCTCTTTTTTTTTGAAGTGTGACAGTTAAACCAAGGGTGTGGAATAATTTTCCATTTTTATTGTCATCCTCGATACCCTTTTACAAATAATGACGTATTTGCTCTTACGATCGCCAAGTCCAAAAAATCAAGAGTCCGGTTACAGACTGTAACCTGGATCGATAAAAATAATAACGTCATATGTTACAGAGTATTTTCTTATTCTTTATTGTTATTACGATGAATTTATTATTATTATTATTATTATTATTATTATTATTATTATTATTATTATTATTATTATTATTATTATTATTATTATTATTTATTGTGTGTATGGGTCCTTGTTTTTTCTCGTTTGTTTTGGCCCATTTGGTTTCCATAGTAACAAATTGCAGGTCCTCACCCCCTATTATTCGGGAGGTTATATTCCAGCCTTTCATTGCAATTCATTTCCAAAAATGGAGATTCTCAACCATTAAAATATAAGACAAGAAATTTGTTGTAAAGAAAATTCCAACTTGCAAGATTCTAGTTAAAGTTTACGTTATGGAATATACTCAAGTGTTGCAACTCAAAATATACAAACGTCTTGTTTAAAAGTATTCTCTTATTCGTTCACTTTATATAAAAGCGTCAAGATATATACTTGGAAAAAAAATATGCTAAATTAAATATATCAAGCTATTAAAAAAAACTGTAATCAGATTTTAAGTAACTAACTAAAAGTAAAATAGTAACAAGAAAAGCTTATTTTTCTTAGCATAATATAATACAGAAAATGTATTATTTAGTCACCCTCTTCGTTGTTTGTTAATGTCTTTTTATTTTATTTTAATATTCTCTCTGTATCGGATTATGTCTTCTGATAACCCTAGCAAAAACGTTTTATAATCCTTATTAGGGACATTGAATCGTCTGGAACAATAATTCGAGACAGTTTCAATAAACCATTTACACTACACTATGACAATACAAGCTAGTAATATACTTTTATTTAACATTTAGTTTTTATTAGCTTGGACGCCTTCTTTATTTTTATACTAAAAAAAAGGATAACAAAATAAACCAAAACCTTAATTTCTCTTGGAAAATTGATGAGTTAAAAAATAAATAAAAAATACTTAACCAGTACTTTGTCCTCCATGAGCTTTTGTTGTGTCTTTACTTCTATAAATTGTACTTTTGGGGCGTACATATAGCCTTTTAAAAAAAATACTTTTATTCTCAAGAAACTTAAGCAACGGAGACCTCAATATTGCTAGTAAACATTATTCATCTGATGGGTTTTAGAGTATGCTATATTTTCTCTGCGGGAATACAATCAAGACTTTACGATTTACAGTAGACAAAATCTTTTGTATTCTTCATCGGACCTTCTACGTCGTATGTATACGTTCAAGTAATACAGCTTGCATCATTATCTTGGAAAGTACTAGTACTGTACTCATAATTTAATTTCTGGAACCAAAACTTGATAGCCTTTGTATAGACAGTTGACCTGTGCATCATAGCTTACCGAGTCTTCGATAAACAATAAAAGACAAGATTATCGGTCCAAACGCAGCTCCGCGCAATGATATGAAAACATTTCCAACCTTCTCCGTTATAATGGCGTGTCATTTTTTTGTACCTTTCTGTAAACTTTCAAATCACACGTTGGCTAAGAAGTACTCTCTATCCGATGTATCTTTGTTCATATGATCACTGTTCTCTATTTTATTCTAATCTAGTATTTAACTGTATGTCTCATGTTAGCTCTAGCTCTAGCTCTAGCTCTAGCTCAAATTGACCCACCATTCTTCTGTTTATTAGAAAATTAGCATTTGGATGTGGAGATGTAGTAACCGGAATAGTTTAGCCAGGTCTATCCACTAAATACCTTTTTGTAGTCAACTATTCCAATAGTTGTCATTTTTTAGAATGTTGAGTTCAGCTTTTGAAATCATTCCGCTTAACACTCAAACAAGAACGCGTTTCGATTGTAACTCTGGCATCGTTTTGTCTCCCAAACCTGGATATTGCTTTAGTATTACAAATTTCGTCACAAAGTCTTTGTGATACTATATAATCTTGGCGGAGGGATGATGAGGCAGTTTACCGTCTCAATTAAGGTAAGCTTCGCAATAACATACCACCTAGCATCTTCGCCTTCTAAATATAATAACTCGTATATATGAGAAACACGGTTTATTTATTTTATCTTATTGAATCAAATATGCTATTAGTCTGGGAAAAGAGTATTCTTGAAAGAAGACCAAATAATATTTAAGTACTAATAGTCTGCTCTGTTTTATTTATAATTATTGACTTATACTATCCAGACGACTTGGAAACCGTAGAAGACAGTTCCAAAGAGCTAGTTAAAAATGCCACTATATTTAAAAATATTGTATATATGTATCTTACAGGAAGTTTGGAGAAAATAAAGGCAAACGTGATAAAGGTAATTATATTCTGTAAATATATATTTTTTAGTATTGGTTAAGCAGTACTTGTTTTTTTCCTAGGAAATATTTTTATAGAAATACACATGGTGATCTTTCCTTTTTCTCTTGGGAAATTAATGTGAGCCAATAGCTCTCATAGTTAGTCCTAGCTTACCATATTTTGGCTTAGTATCACGCGTGAATTTAAGGCAATTTTTTTCAAAGGCTAATATTAATGTAAATACTGAAAGCTCTTATTGTATAATACAGCATTGAACCAGCAGGTAAGATTTCACGAATATTATAGCTTTCAATATTCCTATATTATACCAAGTTAATACCGGAATACACTGCATTAGACAGTGTTGGTAAATGTCTTAATTTGTGGCTGCCAAGAAAAAAGAAATGGAAACAACACCAGGGCTCACATTTTTTCCCTAGCATATTTTATTCATCTTTTATCTATGCTGTTTTGAATGAATATATTGTATCTCTATGATGCTCTATTAATAATAATAATAAAAAAACTGCAATTTATGCATAATATAGATAATATATATAGCCCCTATGAGTTTTGTTTTGTATATAGTAAATATGAAAATCTCTTCAAATGAGATATTCAGAAACCTGAATATAACGTATCTACTATATCGAGTAAATATTGTGAACTTCTATTCAGAGTATAGCCTACTTTTTAAACCACAAATATGAGTGTAGCTTTTTTTTAAACCTTATACATATATCATAAATTAGTCCATTAAGCTTAATCATCTTTACGCCTGAAATTTCCTAACATAAGATAAAAAGGGAGGAGAAAGGTATACTAGATCAGAGATATGAGCTGGCAAGGGCGATTATCGCAGCCGTACAGCCGACTAGTATAGTACTTTTTTTTTCTTAAAGAAAAAATAATGAAATAAAAAAAAAAGTCTATCAGAAAAAACTAGTACTTTCGTAATCTTTCAGACTAAAATTCTTTATAGTTAATCAGTGTCGAAACAAACTTCATTTACAAAAGATTATATAACGAAATCACCACACTCACAAGCGTACTTTTGGTCAAATGTCACTTACTGATATTGCTACTATTTTATATTAAATTATTTGCCAAAAAAAAAACACCTGGTCATTTCCTGTTTATCTTACAAAAACATTTAAGCTTCGTATTTCAAACAAAATACCCCATCTTGATAGATGATACTATGTGCATTGTGAATATTTTATAACACCGTGTTCAATAATTTATTTATTTTTTAAATCATTAATAAAGTATTCAATTAAATGTTAATAATATAACAATAAATCATAAAATATAGTAAAAATAAATAAATAGGCTGTACATGTTTTCTTTTGGATTTAACGCGTTTCAGCAAACAAATCCTAATGACAAGGCTCTGAAAACTACATTGAGTCAAAAAATTGGTCATGTAAAGCAATTACTATTAGCAACATGGGAATCCACTTTTATTTTGACAGGCAAGTAATGAACATGTATAAATATAAAAAGGAAAGAAAAAGGAAACACTATTTTCTTTCTTTTTTAGGACAGATTCTTATAAACATTCAAATAGATGATGAGCGATTGGAGATTTGGGGATTCAAGCCAGCAATTAACTTGGAGGAATGGCAAACAAAGAAACCCACATGCATATTTGGAGATCCAAATGAGATCTTGGGTCTGGTAGATGAAAATAAAAATGCGTGGTATTGTTATGGATTCTCGGGAGAAAGCATGCCTTTGAGACAACTGGCAGTAAATGTAAAAAAAGCAGTGTACTGTCAAGGTCGGCAGGCTATTTATGTGCTTACAGGTAATATCAAGGGTCGCTGCCTGTCGTAAAAGTTGAGACTTACAATGCTGGTATATATTTACTTAGAGTGTGGCAAAGTTACATGCTATACAGGCTTAAAAGACAACCTTGTTCATAGTATTATGGATATACCAAATCGTGTCCATGATATTGCTGCTTCTTTTAGCCATATATTATTCTATTCTGCTGGATATGATCCAATATACGCCTTGGGCAGCAACAGGTTCTCGCAGCTGGGTTTGGATTATCAACAGAGTACCAACATCGAAATGCCTTTTCCTATCGACTTTTTCTGCGGTCTAGGCAATCCTTATGGAACAACAGACGGGAGTGTAAGCTGTAGTCCATTCCACTCGGTTGTAATCCTCTCGGGCGAAGTGTACACATTTGGCTTAAGAAAAGATGGCCGATTAGGTTGGGGGGAGGAAGAAGCGGATGATTGTGATGACAGCACTGTAGGACTGGGAGTATTTATGGAGAATGGCGTCGAAGTGCAAGTCAATGCAATAAAATCTGTCTGTGGTTCTTCCCACACAGTTGTATTAGATGGTAAGCAATACATTAAAATATTTCTTGATTACTAAACGACATTTGGCTGCAGATGAAGGAAAGGTTTGGATATGTGGAACTAGTTAAGTATATTGCATTTATGCAAGGACTTACAAGCCTCACTAACAAAAAAAATTAACTTGCTTTTGAATAAATTTCAGACAACTATGGACAGCTTGGACATCCAAATATAGGCACGATTAATAATGTGTTTTGTCAATGGATCCCATCTACAAAATCAAAAGCGATCGATTGTTGTGCAGGTCGCTGGAATACGTTTATTCTGACAGATCAATCCAGAGAATATATATAAAAAATTATTTAATTCTATTGTCTTTTGCTTCTGTTTTTCTTTATTGATGTATTAAAATAAGATACAAGTGTCGGGAATCTTCAGTCTACTCTTTTTTATCTGCAGATTCGACGGGTTCCAACAAACCGTAAATTCTTCTCATAAGTTGGGTGTGTTGGGGATTAGCGCTAACTTTACTATCATCATCTTGGGTGCGAGCCTGCTCGTGAGGCTTTGTGCTGAACATGTCATCAGCAGCCATAGATCCGAATAAGCTGCTACCACGACCCTCATTATATCTTGCGAAACCGTCTGGTGAAAGAAGACTTGGGATAGCGGATGATGATGAGTGGTTTATGTTTACAATCACCATAGGTTTGCCCTGCTCATCAAATCCTGCCTTCTCAACGTAGAAAGTGCGGATACGACGTTCGCTATTTGGTCTCAAGCCAATCGAGTTACGCTTGGTAAGAAGAGCTGTCACACCAGCAATACCCACAACATGGCCCTGTTTATCTGCATTGAGAATACGTCCCTCAACGGGGTAGTCCCAACCATGCTCATAGTCGCTGTAAGTAGGTCCAACAGTGGTCGAAGAGGGTGTCTCGTTGAAAGTGACGTTGAAGAATTCGTAAAGCTGCTCGGGAACAACCTCCTTTCGGTCCAACTTCTCTTTGAAATCGTCTTTGTTCTTAGACACCTTCTTGAGGAATCGCTTGAATTCGGAAGAGGACATAAGAGCAACATTGTGTTCGGGCTCTTCGCGTCGTGGTGCAGGCTTAGTTGAGTTGGGGAAATTCTCCTTCCAGCGCTTTACAAACAAAACCTGGCTCTGTCCTGATTGCCATGGTGTTTGGTGCTCAGCTGTGTCAAGGTCGCCAATCGTAACGTAAGGTGTGCGGATAACAGTTGGCAAGTTGCGCTTCAGGCCCCAATCACCAATTTGCTTGCATTTTTTTGGTGTTGTGTACACTTGCGCAAGACGACGGTCATAGGTCGCCAATCGTGAGTTCCGCAAGAGACCTGCAAATGATTTTTCCATTGCAATTGTCAGATGTGAAGGGGCGTGTCGGTTGTATCGAAACCGCTCTTCTAAATTTTGTTTGTATGAACTTGTAAGTGGCTTGTTGGAGAAGGGAGGGGTGCCAGCTAGCGGCCATTTAAAAATGCTTTATTTTTTGTTAAATGCCATGCTTTGATTCAAAGTAGTTGATGGCTGCAGCCATAGCCATGCGTTTCATTAAAGTTTTCTTTGCTTCACGCTTAAAACTGTCATCATTTTTATCATCGACAGAGCCACGCTCGTTAAATAGCTTGACAAGCTATGGTAGAAATATATATATATATATTAATATCTATACTATCAAAATTTGATCCATTTTTGGCAATAGTGTTACCTCTGCAGCGGCAACACTGGCAATGAGTTGTTTCGCTAATTTGCTGTGGACTTCTTTGCCTTCCTCCTTCTGTTTTTTCTCCCAAGAATTTACAGCTTCAAATGCGGCTGCTCCGGCCAAAAGCTCATAACTAAACACATTGTCAGAATTAAGGTTTTACTATATCATAAACAGATCTACCTTGTTTTAGCCCTTTTTTCCTTGTATATCTTCTTGTGAGCTTCATGCAAATCCTCTTCTATTAAAAGCGCCTTCTTACGATCTCCCCAACCACGCCAATTTCCAAACCAAGCTCTCATTCTAGCACGTTTGCTGTCATCTTCACTTTTATCATCGGGATCAACTTTTCTTGGAGGATCACTGAGCTCAATGGACCAGAGTTGGTTGATGGAATTCTCAACTGGTTTACGCTTATATATCATCAGACGTGCGTCAGGAAGATCTTCTTCGTGACGAATATCCAAGACCATGCTGGGGTCACTTAGTGAATAAATGTATCCAAATTCGGCGTCATATCCAAATCGTTGGTCGTTTGCCTACGAGTGTAATGTGGTACCAGAAAATAGAGTCAGCCCATCTGTATTGCTAAATTATCCTGATTGATTTTTTATGTCCCGGCTAGATACGTACTGCTTCTTTTTCTTTCATATTATCCAGGTACATACGACATTCTCCAGTAAATACAGCTATTATATATATATATATGTGTGTGTGTGTGTAATTTTCAAAAGAGAATATAAGCTTATGAAATATGAATATGCTTGCGTGAATAAGCAAATGAATCTCAAACACAAGATACAACAACCATGCCGGTGCCCAACCAAGTTTTAGATATATCTTCGTACTCTCCAGTCTCGCTTTTGTTTCTTACCAAGAAATGATTCTGCTATATTAATATCAAGAACGAGGCCTGTCATTTTATTGGTCAAGAAGCCTGAAACAAGCTGTATTAGGAAAGCAAATCATAAGTTTCAACTATTTTGTCTAGAAGAATCACCATCTTGGTGGATCCAGAGTTGAGTGTCTTTTTCAATAGCAGTCGTCTTCTTTGGCATCATCACAATCTTTGCTCTGGCCTACAAGTAAAATTAATAATAAGAACAATATCAATGGAGACAATATCAGCACTATGGATACGTATGTGGACATATTATATTTTCTCCGTTAATTGAAGACAAGCACTTACATTAGGGATCACAGACGGGTCCCGGATATCCATAGCCAGGTTATTCATTTTGGATATAACATAAAAGTAGCCAAGAGGAAATTCTGACTTGGATACTGTCATGGCGTATTTTGAGGATTCTAGTTGGATAAAGAAAAAAGGGGGGAAAGCGTTGGATATTTGGTATTTGTTATTTATAATAGAGAAATTGGCAGGTGAAGTAAGGTACCTGTGCGGTTAGTCAAATGGGGTTGTCCCACCCTCCAAGACCCACAATATTTGTCCGGGGGTTACTAATCCATTACCAACATGACATTGAATTTTGCTAATTACAACATATTCGAAGTACCTTCTATACTATGACGGTCTATTACATACATATAATTACTATATCTTAATTAAGACTTTAATAATAGTACTCCATGAAAAAAAGTAGTGCTGTGATGACTTTTGTTTCAAAGAATACCTTTAGTTTCACATCTGTTAAAAAAAGAAAAGAAAAAGAGCAAGTGTATGCATAATGATATTTTGAACGGGGATAGGAGTGGAATAGGACATGTATAATTTACTAAAAGAAAAAAGAAAAAAGGGCGATGACAAAGCTCCTATTTATCAAATGGTGAAAGCTATTTGTGGATGGTATGTCATTTTATATATAATAGATTTGGTATGTTGTCAGGCAGTCTTGGCTTAATTAGGTTGCTCTTTCTTTCCCTTTGGCCTTGTCATTTTTTGGTTGACTTTTCCCTTTTGATGTACCGTTGTGACACTCTGTGCATACATGATGGTCTGTCCCAAGTTGTAGTTCTATACACTGACGATGGTAAGCATGTCCACACTGAAACACGACAATATCTTTTGGTCCTGGTTTGGTTACAGGTTCGTCTTCGTCTGATTCCATATCTATCGTGTCTTTTGTATCGTCTTTGGCCTCTTTAGATTCTTTGGATGATTCTTTCGGCTCTTTAGACTCTTTTGACTCTTTTGACCCTTCCCCTGGTTTTTCGGCTGCGGTATCCTCCTGGGTAACCTTGATTTCGCCCTCAAAACCCCACGCAAGTGGGCGTTGAAGTAAGGAAAGGTCAAGAATAGCAGCGCCACAAATCTCACACACTGCACGTCGTGGGCGCCATCCTCTCCCCTTTTTACGCACCATTTCTTGCACACCCTCATAGAGGTCTCGATCGAACAGTTGATTCGTCATCTTCAGTAATTTTCCTTCGTATTTGTAAGTGTCAAGCATACTCAACAAAATGTCACGGAAATCGGCAAAAGTTGTCTCTCCCCGTGTTTGAGAGCGGATGAGTCGTAGTAGTAGACGTGGTAATGATACCTGGGGTGATGTAGAGAGAAGTAAAGACGCAAGGATAGATTGTACGAATGATTTGAAGGATGACACTATGTGATTATGAAGTCCCTGGGGTATTGTGGCCGATGATGATTTTTTTATCGAATCAAGTGCACCGTAAATCTCAATAGATGCTTCTACATAGGCATCCAATAGTCTGAACCACAGTAATTCCACTTCGTCATTTTCTAATTGCGGTCTATCTGGCTCTTCTTCTGGGTCATCAATAGAGTTTTGATCCGGTTCATCGTTATCTAATTTGGATGAAACAACAGAGATACTGTCCCGGTCATCGTTAGAGGCAGCCACCTCTGTGGTATATGTTGACAGTGACATCCGGCTACTATTCTCGCACAAGAGAGTACCAACACGCAGCACACCGTTTAAACCTATTAAGCAGCTACTTATTGTACTTTGATCTTCAAACGTCCACAGACGGGGATTAGCGGGAATTCCTTCTGATGCTTTTCCGTCTTCAGGAGCGTGGTCTTTAATGATTTGTAGTATTGTTGTATTTTTTTCTTTTGCAACTTCTAGCATCGTATCCAGTGCGCCTTTGGTGTCTCCTTTCTTTTCCATAATCCACACGACAGCATCAATGATATTATACTCTTCGCAGCTCTTCAAAAGATTGTCCAGGTTCACATTGTCGCCTAGCTTTGTACTAAAGTAATCATACACACCAGAAGGATCAAACCGACACATGAGCTCAATATAACGCTCTTGGATAGCAGAGTCTACATTAGGTGTTCTATGCTGATAGACCATCCCAGAATCTCTTGTGTGTGAATCGCTGGTAGCCACCTTAGGTATGTGTTTCTTGTCATCTTCTGGCTCCAAAAGTCCACGTAGATACAAGAAAAGACGCTTGTCAGCTGTGGCATGATGTTCTTCTTCTTCCAGTTCTTGATCTTCCTCTAATAAGCGAATGGCTTTTGCATGCTCGTTATTAAAAAACTTTTCAATAATAAACGCAGTTTTTTGACCATCTATTTCCACAAATTGTGATATCCGAATCATTATAACACTTTTCACTTCGTTCTTTTGCTTGATGTTGAGGTTGGAGCGATTGCCCAAAAGTCCTTGTACGCATTCAAAGACCATATTTCTCCGTTCATCATCCTTCAGGTATGCCTCAACTAACTTTCCGTATTTTTTGTCACGTCGGTACACATTCGTGAGGACCTTCCAGAAACCCGCCTCCTCGTAAAGTGTTGACATGTGTTCCTCGTTGACAGGTGTATAAATATTAAGTAAATTCTGGACAGCTAGTTGTCGTTCTTCCCGTGTATCAGTGCTGGGCTCTTCTGCCAATCGAACCAAAATCTTGTTCAATGTTTTGGGAGGAAGTAAGATAAAGGTTGTGTATTTGTGAAGATTATTGGCTATAAACATGTAAAGCTGAACCAGATTATCACTAGAGGCATAGTCGTAGTTTGCTGGTGAATCTGAAGTGTGTCCTGATCCATGGGTTGTAGAGTCTGACCCTTTCACACTGAAAGATTGGACAGTTGATGTGGATATTGATTGTTTTGGTCTAGGTGGCGGCGGTGGAAGCCCGCTACCAGACAGCCCTCCTCCCATGACGTCCAACAATGTACTGACGATAATTTGTCGAGAGATAACTTTTCCTGGCAACTCATCCTCGAATGTCGAAGTTAAGATATCTTCTCCTCCATTGAGCCAAGGATCTTCAAACACAACCTCAAGTGCTTCTAGGAACTTTTTGGTGTTGAATCTAAGTAAGAGTCGCAAGTAAGGGTAGGTTGGCTCCGACATTTCTTCATCTTCCGTTGTTGTTAATACAAGTTTTCCACCAATACGCGGCCAAACAACGCATCTTCCAGAAAAAACAAAAGAATAAACAGCACTCTTTGCCTCTGTTGCTCGTGAGCCTATCATCTGAAGATCGTCTGGAAATGACCGGCCTCGCAAAACCGACTTGAGGTATTCGAATAGTTTTTCAGTATTTTGTCTCAAGTTATTTTCAGGAGAGGGGCGTGGCCAAACTCTACTCTCACCACTAGAAACACGGGATCGCTGCGCTGGATTGGCTTGTTCGATTGTGGCTGACTGGCTCTCAGTCCGTAAAACACGACGGATAACCTTGAGCATTTCTACCACAGGACTGACGTAGTCATTCATACTCTTGTTCCAGACGTACATCATAGCTTCATACAGACCCTCGCGATGACACATACTGACAATCTGGTCAATACTCAAACACTGAGGATTTACATGCCAAATTACTTGTTCAAGTTGACCAAGTAGTTTTTTCTCGCTGTAATGTTCTACCAAATCTTTCATAATAGAGGGTGGTATGTCTGGCATCTTGTCGTCTACAATATAGGGCGCTAATACTTCCAAGAAAACGCCTCTTACGCCCGATGCGGCAAAACGTTCGTACACTGTATCAAAAAGAAAATCGAGTTTTCCCATGCTTAAGCATGCTTTCATACACCCGTCTGCCAAATCATGAAAAAGAATCGAGTTTCCCCCCGCGATGTCATCCGTCATTCCTTCATAGGTGCGTTTGGAAGAGAAAGCGTAATTAAGAGAGGCCACCAAAAGCTCCATCAGCTTTTCACCAACAAGCTTCTTACGAGCCTGTTCGTCTTCGGGAAGTCCAACGACCGTCTGTATACGTTGCCCATTGTAAAATAAGGTTGCAAGTTCAATACCTTCAAGGAAATCACCTGCTTTTACAAGAGCGAGAATACGATCTGCCCAAGACAAGAGAGTGCCAACAAATATTTGGCGCAGTCCCTAAGATATTTGAGACAGGTTAGTGGTCTACATTTGTATTATTATTATTTCTTTAAAAATATACGTACCAAAAGGAACATTTTGCCTTTGTAACCTTTCAATGAGTGATAGTATGCCATTTCAATAGTTTTGTGAGTAACAATGGTGTTGTTTGTTCCAAGAGCTGGTTTCTGGATTTGTACTATGGTCTCACTGGCTACCTCCTTAAGCGGATTGTTAAACCAGTCGTGGTAGACTAGCTGCTTGTTCCGAATATTTGCTCTTTCTGTTTCTCTCATATTTTTTGGGTCAAACAAGATCATCTCTTCGTTGGGTGTAAATAAGACAAGGATCTACATTATTAATCAAAAGATTCATATAAGTATTATGTTAAAAGAAGATATTTATGCCTCTAAAAAGGAAGGAAAAGAAAAAGAAAAAAGCATGTACCTGTCTGTTTATCCACTGAAGCCCAACAATAGGATCTCCACATTCCCATTCTCCTAGCTTAATAAATTCAAGCTTATTGCCTTTCTTTGGCTTGTTTCCTATTGGATTTCTGTTTGCCCTGTTGCCATTCTGCTGCTTTGAGTCAGCAGCTTCTACTCCAACACGGATAATAAATAGGTGATACCCCCAAGAGAATGCAAGCATAGGATCCGTTGAAGGAAGAGAATCTTTAGATTTCTTGTCTTTTTTTTAAAAAAAAAAATTAGTGCCATTATTTCAAATGCGTGTTTGTTATTTCTATCCTACCTTGGGGTTCTCCTTCATCGTGCATCCCAGTTTTGGTTACTGGAAGCCAAGCAAGACAGCCAGAAAGACTGTCGGCGTGTTCTTTAGAGTTTATAGATTCTTCTCTTTCAGCCTCAAGAGATTTTAAGCCATCTTTATTTACTACTAAACCAGTAGAATGGAGATATTTTGGCTTCAGGAATTTGAATTGTGTTTGAGGTGTCGGCTTGAGACCTACGATAATCATCTACGTAGTTGTGATAATTTTAAGGGGTGGTTTTTTTAAAGAAAAAATTAGCATACATATTACATTATATGTTAATGGGTTTTTACTTTGTATGGGGTTAAGAGTGCGACCAATCCAAAACTCTCGGCCGGGTGTGGTATATGCCCGAGTGGAAGGGGTTGCATCCCAAATACCGTACTGGGTTTCTTTGGTTTGGGTATAACTGGTATATCATCACTAGGTGACCCATATTGTCTGCTTGATGCCGCGGAAGAATAAGCTGGGTCTGAAGAAAAGGATATATTCTGATATCTTCCCAATATCCGGGTTGTGTCTACCGCATTGACCATAACAACCTTGTAAAGTAAATGGTAGAAAGCCATTCCCTGGTCATCGGCCGAGACAATTTCCGACTTTTTGATACTAATGAATCCTATGTGAAGAATCGCAGCACCCTTTATATGACCTTCCTTCCTTAGAGGTGTTTGTTGTGGACCAACCGCATTTGAAGCCAATGCGCCAGCCAGTTGACTAGCCGGGAGGGGATCGATGGTTCGTACAGGATAAGCCGGCTTTTTAATATTCCAAACAATTATATAGCCTTGGCTGTATCCACAAGCAATCGTTGTATGGTCGGCTGATATGGCTAGTGAGGTAACAGATCCGACTTCTACAGCTACAAATATACATATAAATACACATGCACGCATACACACACACACACACACACAGAGAGAGAGAGAGATTAACTAGCCAACTTTCAAAATTCAGTCAATAATACGGCTTACCTCGTGCACTATCACCGAGAACACACTTCAGATTTTGAGAATAATCATATACAAACACTAGACTCCGGGTAGTTCCAATAGCTATCACACCACTAACCTTAAAAGATTGAAATACATTATATTGAGAATCAAACCCTCCCAGAATAAGAACACAGTCCCCAATCACTTACTGCAAGCACTGTCAGTAGACCACTATTTTTTCTAACAGAATCCGAGTACAGCTGTTCAGATATTTTTAGTAGTGGAGTCCACTTGAATGCTTCCCATGGTTCAACACTATCTTTACTCTCATTCTGTGGTGAGTCTGTACCATTCATAAGAACAGAAAGAGATAAAGAATGATCAGACTGAGTTCCAGCATCAGAGGATTGGTGAGATGTGGATGATTCGCCTGTAGAAGATCCGATGCGTCGGAAATTAGGGCTCGATGTTGTTCTGTTCTCTGAAAGCGAGAAATATGGGCTCGCTGAGGTACGACGTGGTGTTGCTGGTAAAGACGCAGATACGCTAGAGAACGAACCGACTGGTGCGGACGAATATGTTGAAGGAGACGCAGGGGTATTAGGTGATGTTCTGGAGATATCCGACGAAGAGTCCTTTGACACACAAGAAGATGAGACAAGCCTTTATATGAGACTCCCCCTGTTTCCACCTACAAAATGTATGCCGCTTCCGTCGGTTTCGAATATTTCTGAATCTTGGTACTCATCGCCGCTAGAGTCTGACTCATTGAGGATATTTTCTAGAGATAGATAATTGGCTAGAAGGGTAATATTTCACAAGTAGATTACAACTAGTCATTACTTTGATTACAAGCCAAAAAGAAAAAGAAGAAACGTTCCCTTTTTATAACTTACCTTTTTTTACAAACTCTTCGTAAAGACCGATTTCTTTGGCAATATCATCCAAAAGTTGTGTTACCTTTTGCTTTTTTTTCTCGCCAATATTCTGAGAATGGCGGCCATTTTTTGCAAGCGGGCCACCATGCAAATGGATAAACAAATCATCTTGAATTTTGTACAAAGAATCCAATCGTGCTCGAATTACTGTGTCAGACACAGAAGGCAGATCCAACTCTGGAATCCTCGAAGCATAAAACTTCTGCTCCAGTACAGTCAAGGATTCGACACCATTGATAAGACGTGTCTGGTAGGGAACGTCGTCAAGGAGTTTTGAGAGTGGATCTTGTTGAGCTCGAAAAAATGGCTTGGGTGACATCGGTTGAGTAAAAGAAGTTTGCATTGGTGTAGAAGGGCTTGGTAGAGGTACTGTAGGTTAGTAAAGCAGAATATATCGAAAGTCCAGTAGTCTACCTCGAAAAGTCACCCTTGCTGCTTGTCATTGAGCTATATGAATGTGTTCGACGATGACTCATAAACGTCTTCAGGTTAGCAAGATACTTGTCAGCCAGAGAGCGATCTTCGAGAGCAGCCCTTAGTTCATCGGGAAGTTCTGCCGTAGCTGCAGTAAGGTCAATGTCCATTTGGTTAAGCAGCTCCTCTTCATCCTCTGAACTTTCTTCCAAGACTTCTTTTAACAATGCATCGTAATTGTTCCGAAACTTGACGGTACTAGTGCTTGAACTTCTTTCCATGACAGGTGCTACAAGAAGATGAGGATTGACATTGCTGTCTGAATGATGTATAGGATTTGCTGTAAAGTCCGTTGTAATGACAGACGGGCTGGTCTTGGTCGTTTCTGTCGAAGCAGTATCATCCATTGGATTCATCGTGTACCGTGTAGATCAATAAAAGGTAATGTTCAAGATGAGCAGATGTTCATGCGTAGGGTTTTGGATAGAAACAGGCGCAACAATGGGGGTCACGCTAAAGTGGAAATCAGTCTGAACTTCCAAGGTTCGGTTCCGGGGCGCGTCCGAGTGAAAATAGACACACACAAACACACACAAACACAAAAATAGCCAAGCTAAGGTTAAAAAATTAATAAGGAGATCTATTAGAAGAAGGTCCGGCTAAAGACTCCAAGATATAATATATAAAATATAAAATAACAATGGTTTATAGGTGGAGTGTAGTTTTCCCCTTACTTTTCTACAGCGCGCTTTGTCCTTTTTCTCATTGATTCAGTTTCTCAGTTACCACAAAGGACACCCTATCACATGATCTTTATCTCACTTGGTGTAAGCCCCGCAAAACATATCACACTTACTGTTGATACTTGCTTATACAGTACTTGTTTGGTTTTATTTTCTTTTATTTCCTCCTTGATATTAAATATCTATCTTCTTTACTGAAATAACAAAGGAATATTTCATAGAAAAATTCTTGTTTTTTCTCATATTTTGACTCTATTGAAAATATGTAGATTATTTACTAGAACAAAATATGTAAAATTTCTTCTATACACTAAATCATATTGATTTTATTATTTATTTATTCAGGGCTATTGCCAATAATGAAACTTGTAAAAAGAAATATTAAAAGAAAACTAGATTATTATTATATTTGGTTTGTATTTTATAAAGGATGTTAATCATAGTACTGCTGGCGTTGGTCTATAAACGCTTTATAAAGAATGATAATGAACAAATTTAACCAACAACTGCTTGATCGGCAAAATCAGAGATATCATTATCAAAGCACTCAAATGATTTCACAAATACAATTTCGTTTTATACCTGATAGTACTTAATAATAAGGAATAATTTCAAAAGAAAAAAAAAACATGAATTGTATAAATAGTTATTATGTTGCCTTTATTATTTTATTTTATTTTTATCAAGAAAATATTCCAAGCATTTGATTTCAATATATCATAGCATAGCTCCTTACCCTACCTGATTTAATATGTATATCTTTATATATATATATATAAAGGTGTATGTATGTACAGTAATTGTTTTTATTGTGTAGTGTATTGCGCATATATTCGTTCATTTCTTTCTTGTTTCCTTTGTGATGTATGATGTACCAGAAAACCTCCATTCATCACCTTGAATACGCCACAGGTTTTGCTTTTCTTTGAACTTCTTTTTGAGTTCTGTGAGCATTACTGAATTTCTTTCTGGATCTTCGGGTTGTTGTACTTTTTGGAGTGAGAATGAAGCTACTCGGACGTCTTCTTGGAGTCTTTTTTGGCTTGATTGTAACGCTGCATCATTTGCCATCTCAAGCTCGTATCCTAGAGTGGATGGTGTGCGAGGTGATTGGCTGTTTTTATGAGACTCTTCGCGCTCTTCTTGAGCTACACGAAACAGCCTGTCGTTAAATGCACTCGAACCTCCATCCGATTTCCAAAAATCGTCTTCATCATCGTTTTCTTCAGACATCTTTGCCTCTTCAGGTAATCTTTCATCATCAATATCTATCGGTAGTTCTGGATCAGTTCTCTGGCGTTTATGAGCTGGAGAGGATATATTATCCTCTGGTAACACCCGCTTGTTGAGTTTGTCTTTATGGATCTCCTTCCAGAACCGATTGCTGACTCTCCGCCCACTGGGTGACCTGTAGATTGGCATGTACACATATATGTAAATTTTTAATACAAGAATAAGAACACAGATGAATAACTGAATAAATGAATACACATGTATATATAAATATATAAAAGTTCTATTGTGTATTTCTTCCTTTATAAGAAAAACTAGGAAAGTTGTACAAGCTTACACAATAATTCGAGCTGATTTTAGTCTGGCTTTAGGTATATCTTTCAAAAGACCAGCTGTCAGACCGTGAGGGGAACTTGGCTCTGAATGTTTTTCCCGAGCCTAGATTAATACAATAGTTTTAGATAAACGTTTTAATTCCTTTTTTCTTCTTGGAATTCTTAATTATTATTATTTTTATACATTTTTGTCTTGTTGAGATTTATCAGAAGCTTTACTTGTTTGAACGAAAGGTGCATTCTGTGAAGATACAGTTTGTACCGGAGGAGGAGGAGGTGGCGGTGGTGGTGATGGTGGTGGTGGTGGTTTCTGTGAGGGAAGGGCAGGAGAGGGTGTCGGAACCGAGGACGAGTGTGTTGCACTGATAGGTGAAGAATGAAATTGGCGATAAAACGAAGATGGTGTGTTATCCAATAGGTTTCGAGGGGATTCTGCCACTTCGCTGTATTTTTTGAGCTCATTTATAGGTAAAGCAAGTGAAGTTGATGGTGAACGACAGTAATGCTCTCTTGTATTTGCTCGCTGAAGAACTAGCTCGGATTCATATAACCTGTTTTCAGAAGATGGGAAAGGTGTTCTTGGGCTTTTGGCCAGCTCAGAAGTCTAAAAACGAAAGAAAGCGAAAAGAGAAAGTTCCAATAAACTTTAACATCTATTATCATATACAAATGTACACACGATCCAAGAATTATAGATGTATATGTAAGTATATTACCTGTAATAAAATATAATCCAAATTTTTTTGCAGCCGTTCGAGTCGTACGTTCTCTGCCATCAACATTTCAACAAGACGTGAGGCACGGTTATCTTCCTGTGGTGGTTGCGGTGTTTGGTGTTCAATCGAGCGAGAATCAAAAGAAAAGCTACTTTTTTTACTATGATCGATTGACTTCTCGAGTTGGTTATCATCTGAATCTTGTCGTGTGTGATTTATACTTGTAGGTTCTGATATTTTTTGTGGAGGAATACTGAATGTATTGTTGTAAAAGGAAGTTTCTTCATTAAATATATTTCTCGATGAAAAATTGTGGTCTTCTTCTACCGCGAGTGGAGTCTGTGTACCTACTCCCGATTGTAGTGTTAATCCTGTTTAATTTTGATCTACTTGGAGGAGCTAATGATTACGCACCAATGTCTTGTTTGATTGAATCCCTCACTGAATGTCTTTCCATAATTGGTGTCAAGAATGTGTGATTTTTATGCTCATTCAAGATCTGATCAGCATCCAAAGTTGATTTTGATGTACGCTTTGTAATAGTTTTAAGAGTTTTCTGAGACTAATATAGTTATATACATATACATATATTTTTTGGAGCTTTAGTTAAAAGAAAACAATACTACTACTACTATGTATTTTTTTTCTTTGGCATTTCTGTTTTTGTGAATGCTCTTACTCTCTCCTTTGGAATTGGGCTTATGCCTGTGAGCTCTGAAAAAGTTTCGTATATGCGACCAAGTTCTTTATTTCCTTTTTCACGAAAATCATTTAAAGTACTTGACAGGTATCGCCTAATTGGTGAAGGTGCTGGAGAAGTGGTGATCTGTCGGAATCGTTGATTGACTGGAGTCTTTAATGTCTCTTTGTCAGAAGAATAGTCTAATGACCTTTGTGGTGTGTTCATTTGCTTTTAAGAAAACACAAGTGTGTGTATTGTGGGAAGGTACGAACAGCAACAACAAAAAACAGCACAACAAAAACAACTTTAGAAAAAAAAATGAAATTAAATAAAATTAAATAATATATTAATGTGTTTTTTTGTTTTTTGTTTTCAGTGCTTTGCCTTGTAGCCGACCAATAAATACAAAAAAAAATGTGCTTAATTTGAAAAATTATATTTTCAAATTAGTGATATTTGCGCTCTAAATAATGATCTACGCTTTAGATATCCAATAAAAATGGTATATTTTCTAATTACCGTGACGACTTTGATAATGGGTGCGTGATTTTTTTTTCGATTAAAATAAGAATAGAAAAAGACATCAAGAATGTAAAGATTTACTATGTAAGAAATTGTGATTTGTGAATCTTAATTTATTAATATTCTTTTTTTTTCTGTTTCTTGATTTTTTTTCTTAAAAGAAAGTAAGTTATATACATATGCACATTGACGTCTTGTTATATACAATACGAAGCAGCGTGGCTTGATATGTCGTGACGTAAGCAACTAAACATTGTATACCAAGCTTCGAAAGGGGGTTTCAAATTAAAGTCTAAAAAAAACATATATTTTTCTGTCTTGTGAAAGTTTAAATTGATTATAGAAGATCGAATTAAAAGAAAGAAAAACTTATCTCAAGTCTTGATACTTTTTTTTAAAAAAAAATTGTATTTATATTTTATGTTGCTCTTTCAAGGACCTTATACCCTTTAACATAATATATATATATGTGTGTGTGTGTGTATATTTGTGAAAATGGAGACCAAATAACTGTTCTTGTTAGCCAGATATTGATCTGATTTAAATCATGAAAGATTAAAAGGTAAAATACTTATTGAATTCCAGTCTGAAACTACTTTATTTGGATCATTTGTGGAGTACATGTGTTATCTTACCACAGCTGTTGAATTTGTATGCTAAAAGCCATATGCTAATAAAAGACTCATTAATAGTTATTAAGCCTGGTAGTGGTAAACATTGTCATATCTTCAAAAACGCAAGTTTAATATGAGGTATACAAATCAACTTATGAATAGCGAATTATTCTATTGAGATTAATACCTTTCTAACTAGTAAAGTCTAATGGAATGACCCTTTTATGTTTTCGTGACCAAATTTAATCTTTACCGAGAAAAAAGCTCTTTACTACTGATTTTTGGGAATTAAATTGTATACAACTGTCAAAGATACTTAAAGAATAAATGAATGACAGTCGATAGCCAACCTCTACAGAAAATATCGATTTAAATAATAGTTCATATTTCGCTATTAACGTGTGTTGTCTTGAAACATCTTACATTATAATCTTATTAAAAAAGAAAGCAATTAGCGATCATACGAATAATAAAAATGAGGTTCATCGACTGAATTAAAGATACTGAATTGATCTGGACAAAGTTAATGTTAGTTGCTTTTAGCTATTTTGATTATAGAGATCGACATGATAAACCAGATAATTATATTCACTTCTTTAGAAAATAATTACATTAAATTAAACATTGGAAAAAGATAACTTGTGGACAAAGTGAATAACTGCTTTGGCTGTAGTCTATTGACTTGAAGCAGTACCTTGTAACTGGGCTGATTTTTTTGTACGCAATTGAATGATGAGATAGAATCGAGACTTGGATATGTAAGCATGTAATAATAGACTATGTAACACGATAACAAGGTGTCTTAAAGTATAACCCAAGTCCTGGGGTTTAAATCAAAATATTCTGGGCCTGTAGAAAATTGTTTACCTTGAACCCCAGGGAATTATTCACGAATGGCGATACTCTTACTTCAATTTGCTAATAAAAACATTCATCTGATGTCAATAGGAGTCAGAAGTATAAGCTTTATTTTATACCAGAAGCCTGGTGAGAAAAAAGAAAGGTATATATATATATATAGTTTCTTAAATATGAGTTAGAAACAGTAGCACAGCAGGATCAGAAGCATTCTGCCACAATAAGAATGCATCTTTCTTTGTTATACAAAAAGGAAGCCACCCGCTCCCAGACACAACATGACGTAGGCGATACAACCATGTACAATTAAAAATACATACAATTATTCGCTATTAGACCATAAACGCCTACTAAAATCAACTATCTTATTCTTTTTTGTTATTCTTTTATCCCGATTATATATATGTGTGTGTACAACGAGGTGAATGCAAGACATTTGTACCTTTTACTTTTAGTATTTGACTTTGTGTCGACTTTGTAAGCTATGAAGTTAAACATATTGCTTACATGTAGCATTCTTACCTTGAACTCGGGAATATGAAGTGTCCCCTTTAAAGAAAATGTCGACACACAATACAATACTTCTTTAATAAACTATTTTTTAGCACTCTTTATATACTTCGTCACGCCGATAAGAGCGAAAGAGTTTTCTCGGAGATGCAAAAACAGAAAAAAATATATAGTATATTTTTTTTTGGGTATATGAGACTGTAGTACACCGTCCTTGAATACACTGCTATTTGCTGTAAAAAATATATAGAATATAAAGTATAAAAACGAACGTGGATTTAATTACACACAATGTTCACAGTTATTGTATTTTTTGCTTTCTTTTCTTTTAAGAGCAATAGAGGAAATCATTAAGAAAACCAACATAGAACATATTGTCTTTTGAGATAAAATGTAGAAATTCGATCACTTTACAAAAAACCAAAAAAAAAAGTCAACCACGCACATTGTTTTTTTATTATTAATTTGATACAACTTTGCAAGACAAAACCTATTTGGACACTCTAAATATAGAGTTTCCTTTTATTCTAACTAATCCTAACCATACCTGTGTTTGTCTGTCGCGTTCTTCTTTCTTCCGTGTACCGAGTATTCTCTCGTCTCCACCCGAAATTTCGTACGAGCCACATTTGATTTATATTTATATATTTCTTAAATCCAGTATACATTAATATATATATATATATACACGTATTTGGCTCATAAGATAATCGAGAAAAAAAAGTAGAATTTTAGCAAAGAAAATAGATATTCTAAATAATGTCATTAACCTATACCGCAGCAATATTCTTTGCTATATCTTTTAGGGTTATCCATACGTTCACACTCGCCAGGTTTCAAGTGCATTAATACACGTATTAGCAACGGAGCTATGGTTCGGGATATACGGAGTTTATGCAAGCCGTGTTAAGAATTTACAACAGTACTAACAACAACAACAACACTAGCACCGGCACCAGTACCAGCGGTAACAGTAACAGCAGTAACAACAAAGTATTTTTTGGTTCTTGTACACCTTTAGCCTGCATGGTTACAGTTTAACCTTAGATTTTACCATTCAATAAAGAGCCTCTTCCTCGATTAAGAAAATAAACTTACTCCATAATACGTCGTTTATTTCCAATACATAAAGAGTAAATAAAGATAGCTTTAACCAACTCCAAGAATTATAAGAATCGCGTAGGGCTTTAGTACATAAATTTAATACATTTATTTATATATATATATACATTTATATAATATATATTTGTGTGTCTATAATGATAGGTATATTTTCTCTGCTAGTATTTTATACACCTATACTTGCCCTATATTATTTATAATAAAATAGTATATGTGCAAAATTTTATTCTCGTTGTTTACAAGCAATATATAAATATATAAAATATTTTCTCTAAAGCTTAAAAATCAAAACCGAGCAAGTAAAATGCAGTAATAATCGAAAGAATGATTGACTTGAGTACCATACAGATGTGTACAAACCAAATCGCAAATCGAATATTTTTATTTTTATTTTTTTTTGGTTCTTCTAAACAATCTATACACGTAAAATATATATATAGTTTGTACATGCATGTCATTATCTTATTTTTCTCCACGGAAAATGACTTATCCGAAACTACTCTTTTGATTTCAATAACAACAACCAAAAATAATAATAATATACTTGTCCTTTGAAACACTAGTACCTAGTTGGTGGAAGTACTAGCTCCTTATTATTGACATTAGTCATAATTAAAATATGGTGTTTTATTGGCTTAAAACAAAAATGGAATTTTATTGACATTTAACTTTTAAAACATATTGTTCCTGAGTAAATATTAGGTATTTAAATCCCAGACAAACACTAGTTTATGTATTAAACTACTTATTATCTTAGATTGTACATCCAAGTATATAATTTTCATATTCATTTTTTGAAACAATAAATGTTATATAAAGAAATTGACATATTTTTCAATAAGAAAAATAAAAACAAAGAAAAAAGATATAAAAAAAGATGACTAGAACTATCATTTCTTGAAATAGGCTTTGTGTGATTCTGGCATATCCATTTTTTTTTGTTTTTTTTATTGTGCGTGTACAGATACAAAGTTCATTGGTTTACTTGGTAAATGTATATAATAAAATATATATATTTCACAAGATGGTACTACAGAAAAATAGAAGTCAATATTGAATGTTCTAGACCACTTGATATTTTGCTTTATTTACTTAATTTGTTGTTGTTGTATGGAATACTGTTAATGATAAAAGGTTGATATTTTTTTTTGCATAAAACAAAAGTAAAAAAATAAAAAAATACCTTAATTTGTTTGATTTGTTAGCCTTTCTAATACATACATATGTACATCATATAATCAATACATGATCTTATTAGGCAAAAAAATATATCTGACAGGACCAAAAAAAGAAAATGTGCATATTAAAGATTCCAAACAAGGTATTGGTTCTATAATGGAAATGCTTGTGATTTACACTGAAATAGCAAGATTATCCAATGTCAAATTTCTTTTTTTTTCTGGAAGAAATCAACAGAGAGCAAAGACACGCTTTATAAGAAGATCATCTTTATGACAGTAGATATATGACTTATGATATTTGATTCTTTGTGAGATATTAGAATGTACCCTAGATCAGCCAAATGTATATGAAGATCTTTAGAACACTTGTATAGAAACTAATATGTGCCTCAAAAGATACGAACATTAATCATTCAGTTTGTTCGACTAGTATCTCTTGGGGTTTAGCAGAACAAATTGTTATCATTATTTTTACTTCTTTTTAAAAATTATTAAATATACACATTGTGATAAAGGGGCTCGTTTTTTTTGTGGTATACGTTTATATATACATATTGTGTTCATAGTTATTATGTTTTTTTTTAATGCAAGAATATATTATATATTTCAACAATAATTACTAAGAACAATGCATAATATTCTTTGCTGTGATTTTGTCCTTATTCATTTCGACTACATATATATATATATATATATATATGTATGTATATATATATTTTGCTGTTCTCTTTCTACTCTGTGGATAAATTAATAATAAATGGGATTGTTGGAATTAAACATAAATGATAAATGGATAATTTTCTGGGGGAGGGTCTTTTTTTGTTGGTCTTTTTTTTTGTCTTGATAAAACACTACAAAATATGAATATATGAATATACACACACACACACACATATATATATATATGTGTGTGTGTGCTGATACATACATACATATACATATACATATATATATATATATATATACATATACACACACATGTATGTATATATATAATATATATATCCTGCAAACAAACAAGCAAAAAAAGCAAAGAAAAAGAAAGAAAGAAAAAAGACCTATGGGTTGTCTAGCTCTTTTCATGGGAATCTTGTTGAATTCCATAATTCTGTAATTGTTCGGGAAGTTGTTCTCGTAGAGAGGGTAGCGCCTGTGCGTGTTGACGTACGTTTTGCTCATTGGCATTAAGAATTATTTCAGGGCGATCAGGGCGAGCTCCTAGAGAAACTCTTCTACCTTGGGCAAGATTTTGGGGAGAAAGTGGAATTAGATTCCCGTTTGCCCTTGAGTGTTGCATATTAATAAATGAATATGGGGCATCATTTTGCTGATTCCAATTTGTGTGTAGATTGACATTTCCGATACTCCTGCTGCCGTTATCTTCTTTGTTTAACGGTGATTGGGATTGTGGTTGTCTGTGTGTGATGGGTGGGAGCATGGTGAATGGTGCATTAGATGATCCAATTTCATGTTGGTGATGATAATGTACTCTTTGGTTTGACAGCCCTGTCGAGGTAGGAGATGGGGTTGATAATGTACTATGTTCAGGGTGAATCAGGTTCGCTAGGCTTAATTTCTTGTAGCTTTGATCCGTGAGAGCTGCTATTATTATTATCATTATTATTATCATTATCATTATCATTACAATTATTAATACAATTGTTGTTATTGTTATAATATTATTATTATTAATCAAATAAGAATATTATAGTTAAATCTTATTAATATCATCGTTTGAAAGAATTTAACTAAATAGGTTAATACATCTATTAACGTTTCTAGGATACTTACTTGGTGAGTATTTTCGTTTTGTTTCGTATAGCTGTTGATTTGTGGTATTTTGATTAGCCAGGCAGTCTTGATTAGAAATCCCAAGTCCTAAACGCAAAATATCAAATGAAAATGTTTTTTTTTTTAAAATAAGCATCAATAGAAACAAGGGTGGTTTATCTTTTGGGTTATTTTTCTTTACCAATTGAGCCACTCCCCTATTTTATATATGTATGTGTGTGTGTGTGTGTGTGCAATTTTTTTTTGCTTACCCGAAATTAGAGATGAAACAGTGTATTGTCCACTGGAACTGTGATCTGGTGTAGATGATGATAATAATGGTGTAGAATGTTTGTAGTGTTGGTGCTTTTCAATAGGGTCTGTGTCCATGTGTATTAAGTTGTCTCGTGTGGGGATAGGAAGGCTACAATCGTCATTGTGTACAGGAGCACCCATGTATTCATCAGGATACGAGCACGCTGTTGTAACGCTCTGGTTTGAGATTGAGCTCCTTGTAGTGGTGAGCATCATTTCATCATAGTAATTTTGGTTTTCGGCTGTGTCGCATTGATCACTCTCGTTATCTGCAGATTCTTCGTCCTGGGAATCCTCGTCGTCTTCGAACATGCAGATGGATTCATAGGGTTCATTGGACACAATAGCTTCCGAATGAGCCTTTTTACTATTGCTACTGCTACTACTATTATTATGGCTATTGCTATTGGTAGTGGCTTTACGTGCAGATTCTCGTTTGCGGGTTTTCGATTCTTTTCTGATTCTGATTTTTAAACCCTGATCTGCAAAGGATCGGGCAAGCGGGCAGGATTCGTACATACCAGGGAACTATAAACTTATATGATCAAATGTATGAACATTGGAATACGCGATTATCATTTTTATCTAAAAAAGAAAATCACAAGAGGTTTACTGACCTTTTTAGCAGAATAGACACTAAATTCATCGGTTGTAATTGATTCTCTAAAGCAAACATGGGAACTACAGCTGTATCAGACTCCACACAAACATACATACACCCACCCACACCCACACACACTACCCGCAATGTATATATATAAAAGCCTTACCTTTCCATATCAAATAAAGACATCCGAAGTCGATAGGTTCCTTCTGCTCTAACAGACATTTCTGAAAACACAAAAAAGGCACCTTCTGTATTGTCCAGATCTCTGAGAAGATACAAAGAAGACACACTTCGGCCAACAGTCAGTCTGCTGTGAAACTCTAGGGATAAACTATCATCGTCTGATTCTGTTGCGTTTGTGGGAATAAGAATCGCAGCAAGAAATAGATAAGGCGAGCGTAGCTGAAGTCTGTATTAATTAATTAATTAAAATATTATTATTATTATTATTATTAGTCATACGTGCTACATTTTTTTATCCACCCTTTCTTTATATATATTATATATGTTGGCTCACAGATTTTTATTTTCATCGTTTTTTCGCTTTAATTTTAGCTCTACTATTGGTGGAGGATCGATAGGTCTGCGATCAACTAGAGAATAAATTTTGATGACAAGTTTAGAGAGTGTGAACAAAATTTCAAACAAAATAATAGTCGCAGCTTTACCTCGTTCACCTATGCCACACATCCTAGACCGAACGGGTTGTTGTCTTATGACGAGTTCAAATGATCTGGTAATTGCGTTAATATAATGTCAAATGTCATGATCATCTGATTGAATCCTGTTTGCTTACAATGAAGTGTTGTTTTGACTAGAATGTGTACTCATTGGTTCCAAGCAGGGTTGACTGCTCATTCTTATAATGATAACAATAAAAAAAGAGGTGTATATAAAGAGAAAAGGAAAAAGAGGGAGGGTAAGGGGAGAATGTTAAATATATTGTACTTTGTACTTTGTGTGTGTGTGAATATGAAAGAAAGAAGCAAAAGAAGAAGCAAAAGAAGAAGAAGAAGAAAGAAAGAAGAAAGTACCCAAAAAAAAGGGGGAGGGGCTTGTAAGGTGTAATTTTCCATATATTTAATGTATTAAAATTGGGGGTAATTTTTTTTTATATTGTGCTTATTATTATTTGTTGCTGTTGGTTGTTTTGGCTGTGTATAGTGTGTGTACATAGTATGTGTATATAGTGTGTGTATATAGTGTGTGTGTGTGATGGTTGTGCAATGCTGAACCCATTTTTTGGCTATCCTTGTAATGTACAAGTGTGGAAAAGCGCATACTGTGCTTGGCTGAGTTGCTTTAAGCTGCCATAGTGTCTGACGTTGAAAATTATTACGTGTGCTGATATCAACTGCCTAGTTTGGTACTTGAAGTTCTATTCCATTTAGTCTTTCTGGTAGCCTGAGCTTTTTTGCAGCCTACATGTCAGTTAAATGTTACCCAAAAACACAAAAACTCGGAAGGCTCTCCCATACACAGTAAGCTTTTGCCTATTGTGTAACCATAATGAATACATGCTCCTCTGGGTCTAATTTTCTTAATGTATTTTAATACTACTTCTAGAAGACTGGATAAAGCATTTTTCCCTTCTTAGCAACCAATATAATCCCCCAAAAATTACAAAAGCAAAATCAGTTTTGAACTCAAGGCGTTTACCAACTGGACGAACAGGTGACAGCAATTCGGGTAAAGCTGTATGGTGAACAAAAATAAGTAGAGAATTTATCGTCAGATTTAATCGATTATTGGATAATTATATTGAAATTAGATCCGCCACGTGATTACTGTTTGAAGTCGAAAAAAAAAAAGAAAAAATTGGCCCAAAAGAAAGTGATTCAGGTTTTCCAAAAACAAAAAGAATATTCCACATCTTTTAATGTCAAGGCATCCCTTTTTTTCTCATTTTTTTCTGCATATTATGCCTTAAATCGACAGCCAAGCTAAAATATATGTTTACTTTGTTATAACTATGAATAATAGCAGGCAGTAAAATACTCATCTACTAAAAGGTTGTCATTAGCAGGTTAACAATAGTATTTTATGAAAAAAGAAAAAATATTGAACTGAATTCACAGCTAAATCACAAAATAAGTACTTTTCTCATACATATATTATATTACTATTAAATGTGAGAGTATAATTGCAATTTACTATCCCGCCAAAATAAGGGGAGGAGGAGGAGTTTGATCTCATCCAAGAATTGGTTTCTATTATAAAAGCGTATTAATGGCTTCAGTAGTATTGTATACTTTATATTTATTTTTGTGCTGTTAGAAATCACACTCATATTAAAGCGGCGAATATATGTCTAGGGACGGCCTCCTAATCTTCCAAAAAAAAAAAAGGTATTTTCTTATAAATGTATGTTGTCTTGGGTGTGTGTGTTCATAGTTACTTATCTTAACACTCAATATAAGTGCAAATGGCTAATCTATTACTGTAATATTTAAACAAGTATACCTTTAATTATGTTAAGAAGCAAATGAAAAACATTACCCTTAAATATATATTTCTTAAACTTCCATAAATGCAACGTATTATTATTCTATATATGAAACCCCCTTGCTTATCTCTCTCTATCTATCTCCACCTTATGGTCGAGCTAAAATAATAATAAAAAGTAACTGCATCAAGCTATAGCTTTTTTGTACTTTACAATAAATTTTGTCAATTTAATTAAAACAAAAATATATATACATTTTATATATTAAAATCTGTAATACTAATTACAGTTAAATCTCAGGTTGAACATATAAACTCAGTAGTATATATAATTATTATTTTAATGATTTGCAGCAAAATACTTGTGATTCCAACAAATCAAACCAATGTTTTGATTTGTCAAAAAACCAAATTCAAAGTATAAAAAGAATAAAATAAATATATGTATGTATGTATCTATGTATGTATATCACTGTTGAGATATGGCAGTTTTATATATCTATATACGCCTGTAAAGAGATTCAATAACGCCAACAACAGTAACAACGCCCACATTAGCAACTTGTATTTAGGGAAAACCAAGTCTTTTACAAAAGCATTGTTAGACTTAATATTTTTCAAATACACCATGTATTCCATGGCACTACTGTCATTAGCTCCTCTTATCTTTCTCTCATAGTTCATTATCTTAATTGATATCAAGACATTAAAACATCCCTTGTCCCCCTTATTTTATCTCATTTTAGAGAGAGAAAGAGGGAAATGAATAAAGAAAGAGAGATCGATCAGAATATTTCAAATATCGAATGACTACATATTTTACTTTAATTCTACCTAATTTGGACTATATTTGCCATGGCAACCACTATATTAAAGGTGTCGGAAACATTACCATCATCGCGCGGAATTAGGTATTTGCCCGACCTGTATTATGGTGTATTCTATGCCTGATGTGTACCATGCAGTTTCTATTTTGTCCTACACAAATGTAACAGTCATCAATTTTCAAATACAGGAATAGACGCCTGTAAATTGTGATAAAGTACAGTAGCTTAATAATATTGTAAAGAGCAAAAAAAGAAAATAAAAAAATAAGAATATTACAGCATAATAAAGTAGAATAAAGTAGGATATAAGGACAATATCAGAAGCAAGACAAAATAGCAATATATTATTTCAATTGATTACTAGAAGCTATTCTCTCCATTGAAAGTTGTTCCTCTGTCAATCGCTTCTGTGCAACTGTCTCCGATACTCGCTGCTCCTCTTTTATGCGAGCTGCGTCATCTCTCTGACGCCTCTCACGTGCATCATACTGATCTTGGTAAAAATCAACCGAGTTTTGGGTACTGACTGCTGGGGAGGGCCGATTGATACGTGCATCGTATGCTTTGTTCACAAATAATAATAACAACAACGAGAATAAGCTTGATACTCTCCTGAATAGTTACACTCTTAAAAAGAATAACAAGGCTTACCCCAATAGGCTGCACATAGAACACCAGTTCCTACAATGACCGCACCCCCTAGTCTAACATTCTGTCGAAATCGAATCCGCTTTTCTGCATGATCAGAACTGCCCGGAGCACCAAGTAGTTTTGGCTCTAGTTTATCTAAAAGTATCTTCACTCCATATATAGATGCGCCTCCTACAACAGCCAACAAAAATGGGGGAAGTCTAGGAATCATTGAATGCGATGGTTGATTTTTTTTTTCTTTTCTGTGTGGGAATGGAATGGCAGAGTTTGTTTGTGTAGACTACAAAAGCTGATATTAAACCCCCGAAAAAACCAAAGCCAAGCAAATCAGATACCCAGAATTCGACACCGATAATCCAATCTTAGTGTTGCGTTGTGCCTGAATACGAGAGATATAATGGTAATATTCATAATACTCATAATAGAAACAATAAGAGCTTTCTGTTTGTCCTTATATAGCACAGAAAAGTATAATACTTAGTAGGAAGTAATTATGAACGATTTTCAAATTTATCTATTTTTTCTAGTGATATTTAAAGTATATTCTACATAATTAATATATTTTACAGAGACCAAGGGTCATAAAGCTTAAACAAAGGGATACAGTTATACTTGCTTTTATTCGTACCTGAATCTCAGCACATATTAACGAAAAGATATAACTAAGCCGAAGAATAAGAACTTTAGATGACACACCATGAGAAGAAAAAAAAAGGGGGGGGGGGCGATTAAGAGGACTCTTTTGAAGAATGCTTTTAATCTTTTTCAAAACCACCCTCTGAATCGCCTCTTTTTTTTTGGAGTGAGAATGGGTCTCAGAAAATGACAAAGACATATTTTTGCTACGTATTTCGATCACACATTAACATACTGTAAATATACTGGAAAGTGTTTTTTTTTTTAATTTTAGTGTTATATATATCAAAATAGCTTTCGAAACCCCCTAACTGAACGGCATATATAGTAATGATCATTAAATGTCTTTGAAAGTAATAAAAAAAAGTACGTAAAGGAAATCCATAAAGTTATTTGTGAGCATGAACTGTAACTAGGTAAGGATGGTTTTTATCCAACACAAAATTTATCACAGAAACAGAGTTTATAACACTATGGATATCATCGTCATATACCTAGTTTTTATCTAAATCTAGACCTTGGTTATTAATATAATTCATTTGATATATATTTATATATTATATAAAACCAAACTTAAAACACCCTTTTAATTAAATCAGGAACATAAGACATAAGATAAAAAACAAATACACATACACACACTTGAATCGCTGGTGCGACTAGTACTGAATCTATTGTTACGACTTTTGAGAAGTTCTATTTGTAAAAAGTCTCTGGAGGGGTAAATTATAAGAGAAATTAGATTATTTATTTGATGGTTTTTAATTTTATTTTGAAGGGGTTGAGGTATTTTGTATTCTGAATGTTATAAATGAGAGTGTGGCTTTATGTGGGGGAGGAGCCTGTTGAGTCGAGAGCAAAGTCAGAGCAGAGACGTGATATTGATGTATGGACAGTGCAGAGGACAGAATATAGTTGAGAAGGAATAAAGTGAAAGTATAAAAGACATAGGATAGAAGGGCATTACTCGGTGCAGAAAAATATAACAAGCTAATTTATGGGTACAAGCCGTAGAACCAAACGCTACGGTTTCTGTGGGGAGAATAATGAATGATTAGAAAAGGTGTTGTTGTTGTTGGCCAAGAGAAGGGTTAATTGGGCGAGTATGGATAAATTCATTGGAGAAGATTAGCCGATAAGATTGTGTGGGTAGTTAGGACTATGGCTCGGCTGAACACCGTAGCGGATAGAAAAGGATGGGGTAAAAAAAACAAGCGTTTTTTTTTTGTGAGAATGCATTGCAGGATACGGTTAAGAGAGATAGTGCAAAGGAGAGGGCGCAATGATGTTTACGTTCCATGTGCCCGCCAATTTGGTATATGTGGCGAGCCTTCAAATTACGCCAGGATGTTTAATAAGTACAACAAAGATGAAGATTAGACTGAGGATTAGTAACCATGTGAGACAATGGCAATAGAAGGAAAGTACATAGGTTGGTAAAAAGGGTCTAAAACTTGCGTTGGAGATAATTATATGGCTTTCGTAACGAGATTTAGAGGTAGACCGAGTGCTTGATGAACTCTAGATCGAGCTTCAGGGAAGACCTAAAGGAGAAAGGAGTTGAAGCCCGTGTTCTCGGATCGGAGGAGAGTTGCCATCCATTGAGAGACCAAACCACGGGGCTGATATGGGGCGTGGATGAGAGGCTGGAGCCAACGAACTTGAAGGGCACATTACCGTGTAACAGGGTCTAGAACACCAAAACTATAGTACTTGAATTTAGTCATAGCTTTAGTTATCAAAAATGTATTATCATTATTATTATTCTTTTTAAAAATAATAATCAATAGTAATTAATTAAAGCATCTTTACTGGTTTAGATAATCTGAAAGTATATCTGTTTATTCCTTAGATGCATATATATATATATATTATTTGACTGTCCCAAGGTATGTGCATGTGTTCCTGTGTCTGTGTCTTTTTTTTTGTAGGTTGAGAGCTTATGTCTCACATTTTTATTGCTCAGACGTTGGGGTAATAGAGAGGTGGCTGGACAAATGTTGTTCGAGTACTTAGAAGAAGTCTAGACTAGACATCAAATTCCAGCATGAAAGACTTTAATTAGCTTAATGTACCAAGATGTTAATAAGTTTAAAAAAAGATGTTAAGAAACTTAGTGTTCTTGAGCATAAGTCGGATGAGAATTTGTCCAACCTATAAAGCAAAACACACAGTCTAGCCGTTAAAAACATTTATATGATTTTTGAACTACAAACACAATGTGCTGCCCATTGCGCCACATGTGCTTCTAGCCGCGATAATGTTAAGATTATATTTATTAAAAAAATGTAAAGACTCGGCTTTTGGATATAGCTTGCAGTAAAAACTTGTTGGGTATTGTATCTCTTGAAATATTAAAAAACTCGGCTTTCGGAAATAGGCTTGGAGTAAAGCTTAAATTTGTAGTAAATTTCTTGAAATATGAAAGGATTCGGCTTTCGGAAATAGTCTGCAGCACAACTTATTGTGTTGTGTGGTATATTCAAACCAAAATTTACTTTGCTTATATAATAGTGGCGTGGATTAACAACTGAATTGTACGAGTTATCCCTTTCAAATCACAGATAATATATTTATAGACTACCGAGGAATATTCTTAAGAGAGATAAAGTATAAGTAATGGCTATTATGGTAGGCAAACAGCTATATTCACTATATATATATATATATATATACGGTATTCTCTAAAATCAGTCTATATATGATATATGCAGTATACCTTGTTCTCATACGGGAATTGAGACCTTTGGCGCAGTATCTCCTTTCCCTCTCTCATACGCAATCTTTATGATCTTGATAGTGTGAGAAGCTCTTAGATATTCAACAACATTGATTGCCTAGCCTTAAACCAACCTTCAATGCCTTTAGACTACTTTCAGTCGAAAACATAAGTTTAAGCCTCCACTCTTTTCTCTTTTAAAAGCTTTTTTTAGAGAACATTTCTATACTTTGTTAGTCCTTAGAATACCAGATCCGCTCATACGATGATTATGATAATGATGTGAAGCAAGTGGTGATATTGTCAAATAACTCGGACAAGGAAATCGAACAAAGACGAATTAAAAAAGAGACACGGAAGTTTATTGGGTAATAGTTTATTAATATTAATATAAAGGGTTTAAGTAGTAAAATGGGTCTCTGAGATAACGTCTAACAGAAGAATATGTATAATTCAGGTAGTAATATTAAAATTTGTGTGCATAAGAAAATAATAAGGAGTATATAAGTGTATATATGTATATGAGAGATCAATGAAAATACACATACGTATGTGTATATGTGTATGTATGTTACATATAAATACAGGCATATATATATGTGTGTATGGTGTATGAGGTTGACAGTACTATTATCAGTAAACACTAGACCTCTAGGCTTGAACATTCTCGGGGTCCTTGACTGTTTGAGCTGGTTGTCCAAAACGAACATTTTTGATAAACAGTGAAAGGATAAAGCCAACAGCTGCAACACCGAGGGGAATAATGAACACTGAGTGCATCGCTCTGGCATAAACATGGATAATAGGTCCTTGGTACTCAACAGGCATATTACGAATAAAGAGATAATTTTTTAGGGCACCAAATTTGTTGGCGACATACTATACAGATAATTGTTATTTGATAAGTAAGCATTCATTTTTTTTGGAATATATATGTATATACTAGGTTTTAGAAGTGAACAGAAGCTTACCAAATATTCGAGAGGAACATCTGCTACGTTGTGAACAACAAAGGTTCTTATTAAGACTTGGTAAATAGAAACGCCCTAAAGAATAATCAATGTAATTAGTAAGACTTTAGCAATAAAAGGATGTCTAGTCTGCCTTTTTTTCTTACAATGGCAGCTCCCATAAACATAAAGAAGTTGAACTAAAGAAAGAAAATGATTAAGTCATGTCAGAATTTCGGGTTTAAAATGTTTAGTTCTTACCATAGCTGTTGTTATGGCAACATCCTTTTCTGCTACCACGGATTGAACATTAACAAGACCGTTTGTTTGAGAAATACCCAAGGCAAAGCCTAAAAGACACCAAAGTGAGTATATTTTAGAGTAAAAAGTAATTTGTGTATGTGCTATGTTTCTATTTACCACAGAATCCTAGGTAGCCGGCCTGTGCACCCCAAGAACTGTTTTCATTGACAGTAAGGAAGAGACCGTAGCCAATTACTGCCGAGGCAGCTCCAAGGACAAGGAAAAATTTGGTGAAAGGAAAAAATTTGAGGGCAGCTGTTGTACCTATGGCGCCAAAGATAAGGCAAACCATATATGGAACCAAACGAATACCAGAGCTAATTGCATCTACTCCATAAAGGGCTTGGAATAACATAGGACTAATGAACATATTGGCCACAAATTGAGCACCAACGCAGAGCATAAAGAAGAAAACAACGACGGCATGGAAGTTGGAGAAAATGGACTTTGGCAAGAGCTAACATAAAAATAAATAAATAAAAAATAGACTAAAAATTGATTCACAAAGATAGATGTACTTACAGGCTCAGCGGCAAATTTGGTTTCAACAATAAACAAGAGGATTAAAGCGATACCGCATGCGGTAAAGGCTCCATAAGCGTGGGGATCTGTCCACCTATATATAAAGATAGTCGGTAAGTTAACATGAGTGAGTGTGTTTCGATTCTATACTAGCAATAACTTGCCCTAATATGCTACCAAAGCTCAATGCAATCAATATACAGCAAATAGCACCCATAGCCAGTACCACACCAATCCAATCGACTCTCTTAAGCTTGCTTAAGACTGAATCACGCGAAACATTAGCAGGCTCTTTAAAGAAAAAGACCGCAACAACAAAGATGATACTGGAGAGGATAAAACCAAGCCAGAAATCCCATCGCCAGGTGACATAGTCTACCAGTGCACCACCTATATTAAGAAGATTTAAGATTATTATTTTTTGTGTAATGTATATCCAAAAATAGAATTTATTTGTACAATCACTTACCAATAATTGGACCGGACACACTGCCAATGCCATAAGAAATGCCCAGCAAGGCCTGAATACGAGGACGTACTTCAACACTTGCGATATCAGCAACAATAATAAAAGACATGGATAAAAGGCATCCTCCGCCAGCGCCTTGAATAGTACGCCCAGCTATGAGCATATTGATAGTGTGGGATAAAGCACAGACCAAGCACCCGATCATGAACGATAGAGCACCAAATCCGAGGACAACTCGCCTTTTAATGATAAGATAGAACACAAAGGTATAAGTCTTTTTTTTTATTCGATTGGTAATTTAAGGATATTCTAGATCTTATAAGAGACATACCTTCCAAAGAGATCAGAAAACTACAGTATCGAAAAAAAATATTGTTATTATTATTGGTTTACATTGTCTTAAAATATTATTGTAATTTACCTTTCCGGCAACTGGTTGAGAAGCACATGCACCAACCAGAAAGGCAGACGCAATCCAGGCCTGACTGTCAACACCGTCAAGATCGGTTGCAATCTTTGTCATGGCAGGCGAAATAATTGTTCCGTTGAGGATCATCAAAAAGGTCGAGAGTACACAAACACCAGTTTGGAAAACAAATACTAATTTATCTGGCATTCTGCTCGATGGCAAAAATCCTTTTTTGGCTATAACTATGTTTTCGCTACTTTCGCTCTCTTGCTTTATGATTGTATCTTGACCGTAAACTGTTGCTTTGGATCCTTGCAGGTTCGTGTGGGATCCTTCATTAAGGTCTTGGGAATGCAGACTTGCTGTTTTCTCGGACATTTCCCATTTTGTACTTGTTGTAATAGTTTCTCCACCGTCCGTAGTGGTAGTAGTAGTATAGGTGGTTTCGGTAATATTAGGTACCATATCGGGAGTTTCGTATTTTCCAAGCATAGCTTGATTTATATAAGAGGTCAAGTAGAATAGTTTACTAAGTGTTGGAAAGATAAAAGCTTTTATATTTTTTTAAAAAAGAAAAATCAAAAGATTTATATAGTACCCATCTGAGTTTTCTGCGCATGGCTAAATTTGGTGCAATGGAACTGGATCGGATTACCCTGCTGTGCAAATGTACAAATGTATTCCAATTTTATTGAGGATTACTGCCAGAACATTTTACCGCTATAATGTTTATTTTTGCTTATCTTTATAGCGAGACTTTACGGAAATGAATTGGCTAGAATATACTCTTGAATAGCTACACGATCGTATTAAAGTCTATATAAACCTCTGGTCTAGCAATGTTCCTTGATTTATCCGGTCTTGAAAAAGAAATACTACAACTATGTGTAGTATGTACGTAAATTTATTAGCAAAGTACAGAATACATTGAAGATATGTGGGCTGAGGTGAAGAATTGATTCAGAATTACTATACGATTATATCCTATTTAAGGATGATGATTTTTATGTCACTTTTTTAGAAAATTATATCGTTTATTTGATATATTTTATTTAAAACATGAAATAAGAAGAGTTTGCTTGTGTCTTTATACTATTAAGTGATGGTAGTTAAATCTTACATATCTATTTTACTATAGACATATATACATTTACATTGTTGCTTTGATACATTATATGATACGTTTGTATTGAGCCACCTGGAATTGTATGTAAGCTATAATATACATATATAGACATAGGTATGAATATAGATATACTTCACTTGCCCAGAGTTTCTTGCTTATTTTCTCTTCTGTCTACTTTTGAGTCACAACTTAGCCGTGCTTGTGAGACCCTGTCTTAATGTTTGAAATATTCTTGGATTTGGAAAATTCTACACTGATCTGTGATTTTTTTTTGGTGAGCTTGGTTTAAACTCATGAAATCAAAAAAATCAAATTAACGTTTTTGGAAGTAATATTTTATACCCCTTATTTAGGTAATACTTTAATAAAAGCTTACATGATCTGCCATATCCAAAAGAATAAGTGAAAGCTTATTGTACAGGGAAAAAGGTTTACTTCAAAACATCTTTAGATTATTAACAGGCGAAGAAAATTATATCAGAAAAAAAATATGTTTTCATTTTGAGCGAGCTTATTGATCCTCTGGATCATTAATGTCAAAAGATATTACACTTGCTGTTAAAGTTTACTCTATTTCAAAGCAAAATCTCGTTTTAAGAAACTTAAAATAGGCGATGCCGTTATAGCCACATAGATTTCTATATATCTTATAAAAAGCTCAAAATTAAAATCAAAATCAAAATGTACAGAGAGGAACATAGATATAAAGAGGGAGAGAGGAAGGTGAATCTGTACTACATCGGTAAGTAACAGTAGAGAACATACGGAGTAAGAAGCATTTGGTATAAATATTAACAGGAAACATATATGCCGCAGGGCTTGCTATATATACAAGTGATTCAAGTGGGATGTCTTGAGTACCCACCGGGAAATAACAAGAAACACACAGCCAAAAAAGCTTGGCAAATACATGCTTATCATAAGATGAGCTCAAGGTAACAACAAAAGTAAATTTAAGGATATAAATTACAAAAATACATCATAGAACTATGAGACATCAAATATATACTTTATAAGAGATTGGCCATACGGACTTAAGGAAATATGCGATTAACTAGGTAATTTGAGTTTAAATAAAATTTCATTCTACAACCACGGTAAGCTATACAGGCCCCAAATGATACAGCACAAAAACAATGCTGTGAACACAGGTAAAATAAAATAAAATAAAATAAAATAAAAAAGCAGTAATTTTCTATTTTATTTGTTAGGCTTACACACAGAATACAGAAGCTAGCAAAAAAATCAAAACCTTCGTGTGCGTGTGTGTGGCGCAGAATATGTTGTACATTTGTCAGGTAAAGAATTCATTTGCAATTTGGCACAAGCTTCTGACCATATTTCATAGCTTTGAAGGTGCTTAGATCAAATAATACACCCTTATCTATTTCACGCTCGAATATAAGTTACGATAGTGTCTGGTAATGGTCTCGACCGTATTGATTAAAAATTAATAAACATATAAAAGTCAAAGACGAAGAATAAGACCGATTGGAATCAGTTAAGACATATGACATGTTGTCACAAAGGCAAACTCAGCTAAAGTAAATAGGGTAAATTGATGAACCGTGAGTAGTAAAGAGGATCGTAAAATACAAATCATACATATGGTTTGTTTCTTATCTGTTAAAGGTATGAGCATTCAGAGAAAAAATAATACATAGCTGGTCAAAACTCATAATGATACTAATGATAATAATAGTTTGGTTGATAAGGTGGTTAAAATTCATATGTTAAGCTGATCTCTGACTTGATCACACTTTTGAACCTTTTGGTAAGTTAGAGCTGGATGCCAGTTTCCCGGGACATCTCAAGCTTTTCATTTTTAAACAGTCACAAAATTTAAACAAAAAAGCAACCTTGATTTCGTCAAAAAATGAATATGGGTTGAATCGTCTTTGAAACCAACATAGCTCAATAACAACCTTTGCTCCTCAGCCTCCTTAAAACACCAACAACAAAAAAGACAAGCGATTTGGGTTGGAGGTACCATTGTAACAGAAGCTTTGGGCACTATGCAGCCTATATAATTAAGGCTGATTTAAAGAAAGAAGAAGCTATATATATTCTTATAAGTATAGCTTGTTTGTCGTGGAGTAGAAGAGCTGGCTGACGAGATTTTCGAGCAAGCAATATTAGTTGAAAAATCAGACTACTGAAAGACAACGAATATTTTAAGATTTGCGTTGAGTTTTAAAAAAAACAAAAACAAATTTTGTAGGGGTCTAATTACTTTGGACAGTCAAGGTTTTTTTTTCTATTATTTTTGGAATTCAAGATTTTTTGTATAGAGAAAAGATGGCTTTACTGAATTTTTGTCTAATGATTGTACTACTTCTTTTCATTCATTCTTCTTGTACCTTTGAAATAAAGACATGTATATACATATCTGTGCGTGTATACGTATATCATGGTTTGCGTATATCTCTATTTGTGTTGATTTCCTTGTGCCTGAAATATCTTAACTTTATCCTCCAGAATATAGACGTATATACAAATATAAACATATTTCTTCTTGTTTGGTTTGTGTAGCCAACTTTTATCTTAATAGCTATTATAAGCATATCTTTATCTATAGAAATGATGCTTTGACAAATTTTATCTGAAAAAAAAAATACCCCCAAAAAAGCTATTTGGTGCATAGTCACGTTTTCTTTTATTAATATTATAATATTTGCTTCAAAGAGCAGAAGAAGAAAAAGAATGCTTCTCGGTGTCATTTTTTTTGAAGAAAAGTAAAATAAAGACAGAAAGCTGTAGATAGTGGCGGAGGTGGCTGCGATGGGTTTGCGCTAATTTAAGAGCAAATTCAAGGGCGGAATATGTAACCCGTACTCTCAGAAGAAAAGAAAAGAAAAACCAAAAGCTGTAATGTCACACCTAAAGACTTCAATTACTATAGATACATTGTATCCAAGGCAACAAACCCCTTTTCAGATCAACAAAAGGGGATAAGGTGCAGAGGCGTAAACCTATGGAAGTTAGATAACGTAAATCATTAGTGCGACTTTCTCGAATAGTCTTGTAAGAAAACTGATATTCATTCTTGTCTAAATAGTACTCCTGTTGACCTCTTTGGAATACGCCTGTGGGTAGAGAAGAGAAATGGCCAGACCTGTTCTGTCTAAATTAGTCGTCTGAATCAAATGTGCTAGTTAAGTTTACGCTTGTTGATTGGCTAAAAAGACCCTCGCTGTAGACATCCTAACACAGGGAAGCCAATCACGTGCAAGCTAATATTCTCGTCTTCTCTTTGAGCCTCCTACTTTTCAAGGTCCTGCGTCGAGAACAACATCTTTAACTTTCTTTCTTTCTTTCATCATCATCATGGCCATTCGTGGTATGTAGTAATTTTTATAGAAATTAAACTTGTAGCTTTGAGACAGTACGCTATTATATATCTACCTATTCTATTTCTCAGAAACTTATTCTTGTTTATTGTTTATTGTCATATTCAGACGTCTATATTGCCTCTGTCTGCCGCACTCCCCTTGGTGGCTTCAATGGCTCTCTTGCCTCTTTGTCTGCTACCAAGCTCGGCTCCATTGCTATTGCTGGTAAGTAACTCTAATGTATTGATTACTAAGCACGCGAAAACACAGCCAATTTTATCGGTGTATTGACAATTCTTCCATTTCTTTTCTTCTTCTTCTTTTTCACACGCACAGACGCTATCAAGAAGGTTAACTTGCCTATCGATGCTGTTGAGGAAGTAATCTTTGGCTGTGTTTTGTCTGCTGGACTTGGCCAAAACCCCGCTCGTCAGGCTGCCCTTGGTGCTGGTTTGAAGGAAGAGACCATTGCCACCACTGTTAACAAGGTGTGCGCTTCTGCCATGAAGGGTAAATATTTAGAAATTTCGCACGGGTTTTAAACGCGTCCGTTTCATGTACGATTATTAATCTATGAACATATATGTGCGTGCGTGTGTACCTTTGTGCCTGTGCTTGTGTTTGTGCTTGTACATAATTTTAGCTGTCATGATGGGTGCTCAGTCAATTGCACTTGGCAATGCCGATGTGATTGTTGCTGGTGGTATGGAGTCCATGAGCAATGTTCCTTACTATTTGCCCAAGCAGCGCTTCGGTGCCACTTACGGAAATGCCGAAGTTGTTGATGGTATTGTCAAGGATGGTCTCACCGATGTGTACAACGCCTACTTGATGGGTGTCGCTGCCGAGGAGTGTGCCACTGAGTATAAGATCACCCGTGAGCAGCAAGATGACTTTGCCATCGAGTCTTACAAGCGTGCCCAGGCTGCATTTGCTCAGGGCAACTACAAGGATGAAATCGTCCCTGTGACTGTTTCTGGCGGTCGTGGCAAGCCCGATCGTGTGGTTGTTCAGGATGACGAGGTTGCTAAGCTCAACGAGGAGAAGCTCCGTGCCGTCCGTCCCGCATTCGTACCCAAGGATGGTACCGTCACTGCCCCCAACTCCTCCCCTCTTTCTGACGGTGCTGCTGCTATCGTCTTGGTCTCTAAGGATGCTGCCGAGAAGTACGGTTTGACCCTTATTGCCAAGATCTCTGGCTGGGCTGATGCTGCTCAGGCACCTGCCCGCTTCACCACATCCCCCTCCCTTGCTATTCCCAAGGCTATCAAGCACGCTGGTCTCAAGGAGTCTGATATTTCTTTCTACGAGATCAACGAGGCTTTCTCCGTTGTCGCATGTGCCAATGCCAAGATCCTCGGTCTCCCTGCTGACAAAGTGTAAGTGAAGTATTATATATATATGGGTATTGGTGGTTACATTTAGTAGAAAAATCTTGCTGTGTACTTGATTACTGTAACTATGTACAAAAAGAGAAATAGAGTTAAGAAATTTGGTTTTGCTGTGTCAAATGTAAATAATGTTTAATTTTGGGCGCTGACATCTATCTTTAACTGTTTCTTAGCAACGTTTGGGGTGGTGCTGTTGCTATGGGTCATCCTCTTGGATGTTCCGGTGCTAGAGTTATTGTGACCCTTACCTCTGTCCTCAAGCAGAAGGGTGGCAAGTATGGTGTTGCTGGTATCTGCAACGGTGGTGGAGGAGCTTCCGCAATTGTTATTGAGCGCCTGTAAAATAAATAAATAAATAATAACAATATATATATATATATATAATCCAAAGTCATTGTACTTTTGGCAGAAACTTGTAGTGCAAACTAATTTTTTTTAGAAAACCAAAAGTGGCCATACAATGTTCACATTCCCAATAAAAATTAAGTATTAATAATAATAAGTAGCAGCATAACATAAAAGGCTTATATACAATGCACGATTTATCCGCATTGATCTTTAACAGCTTTACTGATTTCTTTGATGATAAAAGCAACCACCATTTAACCCTGTTGCTGGTCTTACTCATTTTGGATTTTGTGTCTAATTTCGGTTTTAGTAGCATGGCAAAAAAGGAGACCTCTGCCAGATATTCTTTTTCTTCTTTACCTTGAACATATTGATTGTTAAATATAACCCCTTGGAGCATCCACAGCGGATTATCTAAATCTAGAATCGCATCTTTTTATTGCTCGAATGTTTTAGTGAAGAGCCGAATTTAGATATCTGTTAAATAATTGTCTAAAGAAATTGGTTAAAACATTTATTTAGACAAACCGCTGTGGATGCCCTAAAATTGCCTTTTCTTTTTTCTATAGTGTAGCACATATAGCCATAGATAATAAAAAAATCAAAAGAAATATGGTCGATCGATAAAAAGCTAGCCGACTACAGCCAGCTGCACATCTACTGTATTTTAAGCTATTTTTTGATGGTTTGGAAAATTTATTTTTAAATGCATAGTAATTTTAACCAGAATCCATCGTCAAAAATAGGTCATCAATAAAAGGCAAACCTATTGACTCAGCTGGTCTGATATTAGGTCCTTTGGGAATATAACTATACAACCAAAACCAGAAACCAAAGAGAACCTCTGGTGGTGATATTTAGGCTCGTAGCCTTTTAAATATGATACTTGTAATATGATAGATTATAACTTCTTCTTTTAATCAATTATCCACTCCATGAGCACCCCATTAATGCGTAAATTTTATCTGGAAAAGGTGTATACCTTTAACAACTGCAGATTTCGTTTTAAATATCCGATAAAAATTGAACACAAAAACCAAAACTGACAGAGTGAGTACTGTATTTATAAACAACTATAAATATACATATATATATATTGGTGTGCTTTATCCAATGTCAGACTTCACCTTGGGGCTTGGCTTTTTTGTGGCCTTGGCTTCAAAGCCCTTTAACCATGGATTTCAATTGGCATATTTTAGCGTAGGCAACAAAAATAACTTACAAAGGTATATATATATTCTTGGCTTTTGGTTTTTTTTGGCTTCTTTCTTGTCTCGTCTTCTACTTTTTTATAATGCCCAGTCAACAGCAGATTGCCTGGATTATCTACCTTATCATCTTCATCCCAATATTTATTTCGTTGGTCTGGAGATGTAAATTCAGTGTAATGACTACCCCCATTATCTTTTTCACCCTTCTCTGCATCGTTGGCTTGTGTGTCCTCCTGTTTGGCCAGTCTTCCGAATATGGAAGCTTTTCTTTTATGGCTGGACACAGCCAGATCCTTGGACAGTTCCCACTGATATCAATCCTACTTTTTGCCGCTGTACTTAACCCACAAGTAGCATACATTCAGCACGCATTCAAAATTGGACCTTCTATATCATCATCAGAAGCATTTATTATCCCGCCTGGATCTACCACTCGAACGAGAAGCTCAGGAAGCTTTGATATGGAAAAACCTCCACCTCTGTTTTCCAAAGAACCATCATACCAAAAAGAGCTTATGCCTCCCAAGCTTCCAATCCCTTCTAGGGTACCTAATACTCTCGGGAATGCAGTCTTTAAAAAATATTATGTATCCGTCATAGGAATATTCACACTATACACCATAACAGCCATCGCTTTCATCTGTATCCGCTTAATCGAAGACAACTATCAGGTTTATACCCATATCGCAATCTGCACCACAATTTTAGCTGCAATTTCCTGGATCAACATTACCATGTTATTTTATGGCACCAGAAACGATGTTTCTCGTCATATTCCCCTGTTCCGCTTGCGCCAGAATGATACCCAGCGTGTGTGGATTATATCCCTTCTATTCTCCTATTCAATCACAGGAATGGCGATTGTCTCTTGGATTTATTGGTCTCTTCAAATAAACGCAGCGTCAATTGACATCGCATATTGGATAGTAATCGAAGCTTTGCTGGTATACACACCTCTGGTCGCGCTTTTACTGTTCTATATACGCGAGAAGAAGATATCCTTAATTAAAAATCAATACAGCTTGCACATGGAAACCAAGCGTAAGAGCGCAACCATGGGCCCAAAGTCCCATGCTCAAGAGGAGATGAAGTACGTTACTAGAGAAATAAGTCTGCAGACTGCTCGTCACACCCCTGCTCCTGTTGAATCCCACTCGCGTCCTTTGTCTTACCAAAACAGAACAGAACCTCTTCCTCTTTGATTAATCATACATTTTTCTTTTATCATATTATATTATAATCTCATGTACAATAAACCTACTATAATTTATTCATTCTGGAACGATACAAATCCAAGATTTTGGAAAATGATAGCTTTCTCGGTTTAGTAGCTTTAAACCGATTGGATACACCTAATAGCTCGGATCTACAAACAATCAAAAAAAAATATAAGCATATTACAAACCCACAAATATTTCTGAGGTACCATAGAAGAAAGGAAAAAAAAATTGAATACAACCTTACCAAGTAAATGCTCGCTACATTTGAAACAATATGTAACCTATATATCAATTATATCTTGCAAAGCCATAAACCTAATAAAACGTGTAATACCGATAATGCGGAGAGGACAAGAGTAAGTATGCGATAGTGTTTAGTTGTCGATAATCTCTCGCCTTGAGATTTTTTTCTTATAAGTAAACAATCAAACTGTCATATAGACTCGTTCTATTCTACAACAAGGTTGTAAGTGCATTGTTGGGCTCTTCAAGTATAGTTCAAGGTATATCATAATGTTATATTTTTGGATCCTTGGATTATTTTGGATAATTAGGAAACAAATAAACAAAGATACACATTTATCTAGGGTGTGTTTGCTATTATAAATCCCAAGACCAGCTCAAAACAGATGAGGAGCCCATAAGTTTCTTCTCTCTAATCCAACGGTTTATTTCAGTCAAGGATATACTTTGAATCGAGTCTGGTTTAAAGTACTGCATACCCAGTATGTATTACACGATCTACTGAGTTAAATTCGCCAAGCCTTTATTTTTTCTTTACTATTTTGTTATCAATTCTTCTTCGTTTTTGTCTATCCAGCACAAATACCTAATCTTTCTTTCCGTTCTGAAAGCAAGAAAAATAAAGAAAGGTACTCAAAAAAATTCACTAAATACCAAGTCCAATTCAACGTTAGATATTTCAAGCACATTTTTTAAGGATTCTACCCTATGCTTCTTTAGATGGGCTTAGTATATATTCCTCATCAAAGACTGTGGCTTGCATTTTGTCCTACCCGCTAATAAGTACACTCTTTGGTTTTTTTTCTGTTTAAAGCGAAGCTTTAACTGTAAAGATCACAAATAGTAAGAGTCTGATAGAAGTTGGGCTTTATTATTAGCTTCAAACCACAGAATGGTTCATGTACAAGGGGCTGAGCATTCCAATAAACAAGACAATGTCTTACAAGGCTTTGTCGTTATCGATTTGATGAGTAATTTTTCCACCAATATACAATACTTTTAGCTTGGCCTTTACAAAATGATTATATCACAGTTACTTGGATATAGCGCTAAGATCGCAAAAACAGGGGTACGTATGAGTCAATAGGCAGAGTACAAATTCCTCTGTACAAGCAAATGTAATTAAACAATGTGCAAATAATAATCGAGCTGAGAGCATTATATAACTGGTACAGAGAGAAGTTAATTTAATGTAAGTGATCAGCGAGAAAATCAAATAGGCTTGTTTATTAAAGCTCTCTTTTTTTTGTATATTATTTTATAGGCCTGTTTTCAAATCGACCCCACACTGATGTACTCCACCTCTGTGCTTTTAAGATTTACAAGATATTTACTTATTTATATTTGTTTTTTTTTTTAAAAAAAAAACCCTATGATGGTAACATAATCCAAGTATACTTCTCACACAGCTACTCTTGTGTATCTACTACAATCGGAACCTTTATATCTCCCGTAGTTTTTACGCGATCAGTATATTGTATTTATCGATATTAGAATACCATTGGTCAGAAGACTAAATAAATAAAAAGGACCGAGAGTCTACTCAAAGAGCCACAGAACCTTGGGCTGTTTCCAAAGAACAATAACTATTATCACAAAAGCTGACGTATGAAGATGAGACTTGGTTTCCTCTCTTCCTTTAAAAACTACCTGGAATTTATTTTAATTGTCTTTGAAAAAGCTTAAATAGATGTCTAAGATGTGATGGCTAATTCTAAGGACAATGTTCCTACTACTGTTATTGCCTTCTTCCGTCAAAAATCATAGACCACAATATTATACTTTTAATACGTTTAAATATAATTAGTATTAACGCTCTGATTTTGTCAATGCATGTGAGATTAAAGAGCTATTCAATTAATCAAATTTATTAAGAACAATTCCCACATTTTGCATAATCGCAAATACTATATATTGGCTCATATAAAACAATAGTTTTTAACGCCTTCAATTTATTACAATATATATATATATATATATATATATATATATTCGTCTTTACATAGAAGTTTCTGAATTAATTACTGTAAGAACAGAGAAGACTAGCTACAATTAAGTATGCGAGATGTTCATACATGTTAACTCGGGTTTCTTTGTAAGGCAAATACAGAAAGTACTAATAAAAAAGTATGCTATGTATCACCAATTCCAGAAATTGACTCAATAAAGAACAGAACGTAGCGAAAGTGAGTAGCTTGAGCTTTAATCCCAAGCCCAAGCCCAAGTCCAAGCACTGTCTATAACTCTAAATATAAATGTTGGTTGAAGCGCTTATTATTATTATCTCTAATAAGAAATTATGGCCTGAATCTTCTAGTAGAGTGCTTATTTACATTCCTGAGCCTGTATGTATAAGATATTTATTTAAAGTTTACTTATTGTATAATACATACTTTATTCCACTTGTTGAAGTTTTTAGTTTACTTTTTTTTTTAAAAAAAAAATTAGTGCACTAACATGGATAATTAATTCCTGGTACTAAAAGTGTGTTTCAAAATATCTACTATGTATCTATGTGAAAAGTACTGATTTCTGTTACAGAAATGCCGCTTGACAATGGCTTATAAATACATGTCTTGTTCACTTTTCTTTTATTTATTTTACTAAATATTCCTATTATAGAATACATTTAGCTAAAATTATATACTGATTAGGATGCCAAACTACTTCGCTTATGCAGTGCGGTACCGCTTCATGAATTATAATATTCATACTGCAATTTTCTTTATGCAGATACATTTTTATTTACCTCATTATGATTCAGGGCTAGCTTACTTGATTATAGATTTCCACTAAAGATATAAATATGGTGGAATATTTGTGTAGTTCATTGGATACCAATTATGTATTTGTGATTCAAAACAAATTTAATAAATAAATAAGAAATATAAAAGTAATTGAAGCTATTATACAAGACTTTCATTCATTAAATAATAAGACATCAAAAAAGCACGATCGTATTTGAGTAACATTACTATTTCAAACTTGACGTAATCTTAATAGCATATAAGCATTACCCAAGTTATCTTTTGTGGCAAAGTGGTTAAATTATTTGGATAATTTTTCTCGATTTGTCGGGTGTGTATCCTAACCCTGATTTAGGATAAAACTGTAGAATTATGGGTTTTACGATAAACTTTCTAGTACTTTTAACTTAAATATATTTTGAGTACGGGGACCGAGAGCTTAACTCATTGTTTAAAATAGAGAGAAAAACATAGCATAGCATAGCACAACAAAACAAAACAAAACAAAATAAATATAAAATTTATGTTACTTATCACTAATACTATATTTTACCACAAATTACTATCGTTTCTCTTGGTTATATTCAATTGAAACATACGACTATTAGCGGCCTTATTGACCAAAACAAGATAATAGTATTACATCAAGAGATCCAGTGTCATTTGAATTTTCTCTGGATCGATCAAGATAATCGAGCTATTAAGTCATTTTCTGTTTTATTTGAGGTGGGTAGTTTCAATAATGTTAATAAAAGCTATCAAATAAAAATATATAATCGTTTTTTATGTGTACTTGTTGTAGACTGTTATTTCTTTACTCGATGTGCCTTGATTTTGCAATATAATATTTTAGTGCGGACATACTGTAATACGTGGTTTTGCTTTAGCAGACTCAGCTTCCTCCCAATCTGTGGTACCATTTTAGAAGATGAGTTCAAGTAGAATACTTCACCTTTTCTATGCTCAGCAAGTGTACAGGGCTACAAACTGTATCGATTTTTAATATTTTAATCATAGGTTCTTTTGTTAAGAGTGCTCTTAAGAAATGGGCAAGATTTTCTCGTATAAGTAGTGTATATGACCTCATTTATATATAATTGCTATGAAAAAAAAATTATTATACCACTTTATAAATACAGTGCTTAAACTCATGACACATTAGGCAATGAATCAAAAGAACATTCTTTAGTCAAAGGACTGACTGACTAAACATCTAATAACAGTCACGAGCTGCTCCGAACAAAGTCAGTTTTACGGACTCTGATGTCCGCCTGGTCTCTGTGCTCATCTTGTTAGACTCGATAAAGACAGTCCTTGTTTGATTTTATGGATATTTGACATACATTGAGATCAATGTGGCGCCTTTAAGCCTTTTGGACAAGAGTCTTAGCAATAGCCCAGACTTTCCGCTCCATACAAACAAACAGAAAAAAAGAATATCGAAATCAAAAAGTTCTTTGATGTATTTGTCTTGTATGGTTAGCAATACCTTTAACTATCAACAAATTACAGATAATAGATTGCATTGTCTCAAGCATAGCAATAGCCTTCATACAAAAACTTGCATAAAGCAATTTTTTTCTGGTTGAATTTCAGACAAGAATCATCATATAACTTAATTTCAAATAATATATACAGAAAGATAAAAGAATAGACAGATATATATAGAGATGGTAGTAGAATAGAATTTAAACAAACTATAATTAGCTTCAAGAGAGGTATGGTATTATTTTAGAGAAAGTTTTATAAAAGGAAGATAGTGAAATACCAGGAATATTCCTTTGTATTAAGTAAACTTGCTTAGGAAGAATTGTGACAACGGCATGAACATTTTTTTTTGCTTGGTTTTCAGACCTTTTCAAAAAAAAAATCCTGATCTTATCAATGTTCTTTTTAACCAACTCGTATTTATTATCCGACATAGGTATTTAAATCTCAAACGTAGTCACTTTTAATTTAAGACCAAAAAAGAGAGGCAAAACTTGTCTGAAAATAAACTTGAGTTAGTCCAAAAAAAAGAGTAATAAAGTTACGAAGTTTTTGAAAAGGTTTGAAAACCAAATAAAAAAATAATACTTTATTAAATTAAAACACCGTTGTTACACTATTTTTTTTAGATAATTTGCAAACAAGTATTTCTCTGTTTTCCAACACTTCGGCTTTTTACGTTCTTTGATTCTTCTTTCTCTTTCTCTTTCTCTTTCGAACCTATGCGTATTATATCACCTCTATCAATTATTCTAATCTATCACATACTTTGTAAGTATTGAAATACACATGGATATATATATATATATATATATACATATATGAACAAAAGCACTTAACTAATATTACCATTCTTTTTTGTTCTTCTTCCTTTCCTTTCTTCATCTTCACAGCCGTCGCTGGTAAAGGTGGTGGCGGAGGAAAGGCGTCTGGAGGCTCTAGTAGTGGTAGCACAGGAAGTACAGGAAGCACAGGAAGCACTGGAAGCACTGGCAGTACCGGCAGTACCGGCGGTAGCACTGGAAGTTCAGCTGGTGCAAGACCAAATGGTGCGTAATCTTTGATTTCGACCCTCAGTTTATTAAGCAAAGTTTACTTATTAACTTATTAACATTATTTGTTTAGGTGGAGGTGGAGCATTTTCTCAGCCTAGAACAAATATACCTAGTAGAGCACCTGCTGGAAGTGTAGGATACTCTAAAGGAGGTGCGGGTGTTGTTCCCACTCAAAACACCAATTATGGAAACACAAGAGGTAACAATAGTTATTATTATTATTAAGGTGAAGAAAAATTTGTTGGCAATATATTTATATGTGTTTTTTTTTATAAAAAAATAAATAAATAAAGGGAGTTATAACTACTATACTCCTACGACAGCCAGTGGTTACGGAACAGCTGGTCGTAGTGGCTGGGTAGGTGCCTACAACCCTGCGATGCTATATTGGGTTATGGTACCATCGTTCCTATACCTCGGATATCATTCAACCTATCATCGTTATAACCAAGATACCGGGGCTTACTATGCTCCCCAAATCGACACACAAAGCAACGGTCCATCGAATATCCTAATCAATGGTACTGAATATACGAGCGACGAAGATAATTATCACTACACCTTTAATATCAGTACAAACAATGGATATCCCATGGCAGACCATGCTTATTATGCCTCATCCGACCATGGTGCTCATCCTGCAGACTTTGCTTACCGTCTCACTTTCTCACATGTCGTCGAATTTGAGGATGTCAACCAAAATGGCATGTTCGATCCTGATCAAGACCGCGTACTGGCTGCCTCATCTCTCCAGAATGCAGTTTGGAAAGAGCTTGTATTATCTATGAAGCCTGTTCCTACCAATTCGTCGCAGTCTTATTATGCTGTTACCACTAATGCAAGCATCCCCTTCAATGGAACCAACAATCTTTTTAACGTCCAGCTCACATGGCGAATGTCCAACCTTCAGTTAAACTCCACAGCATCTATTCCAATTCAGCCAAACTCATTGCAATATGACTTTGGTGTGTCTGGATATCCTCTCACCTCATCACGCCTAGCCCTTGCTCAGCTTATGAATACTTTGAAAGACAGTGATGTCTTATTTGACGTAAATTCCACTACTCCCGTTGACATTTCTGCTCAAATCAGGTCTAATCAGACATATGGCCTCTCAATCGGCAATTACTCTGAGGGTCGTCTGGAATACCAAAACACACTAAACATCAGTGACGGGTCGAACGCTGGATGGTACACCAGTTTGAAGCCAAACGATATCTCTGCGAACTCTTACATTTCTCCTGACGATTGGATTTGGGGTACTCAGGCACCTTCCACTGGTGTTTCTAAACTACTTTTCATTTCTATGCCTTTTACCACCGACTCATCTGCACCTGTCAATAATGGTACCGCCGCAGTCAATGCAACCACTACAGGTGCTACGATATCCGGTTCGGTCTCGGGAATGGGTTTTTTGGATGTTGATGTCATGAATGCAATTGCATCTGCCTCAAGTTCAGCAGACAGTTCCATAAAATCGTTAGCATCTAAAACTCCCTTGTATATGGTCACTTTTCCATGCATATTGTTTGGCGTATTGATTAGCTTGTAGATTCTTGCTACATATATATATATATATATATATTCCTACTCTTACAATTATATTCTCACTTTATTTTACTCTTTTATATATAAATATACAGTGATACGTATGTATAATAATAATAACACTAACAATAACAATACTAATAATATATAATACAATACAATGCGAATTTATCAATATATAATCCCTTGTTTTGTAAGCCTTTATTAAAGATTTAATCAAGCTTATATATCTCAGAGATTAATAATTACAAATGAAATATGCAAACAGAACAAACACTAGTCCTGACTAATCTTTAGAATTACAATCCAAGTATATAAAATTTCATTTAATTTCTTATTACGATGTTCTTTGGGTGTGGGTTTGTCTTGAACTTCCTTTGGAGTGTTGGTCGAAATTCTCTTTAAAACGGTTTATTTCTTGTACTATGGGGTTTCCAAGTGAATTACACGCAGGCTGAAAAGTAAAGTTCTGTGGCTCGTCAAAGAAATACAGTTTTTGCCAGCCTCTTTAAACAAAGATTTTTTTTAGTGATCATCTGAGTTTACAGGGTTTCTGGGAGTTCTTTAGAAACATTCCGTCATAAGCTTTCTCACTAACCCACGGTTGTGGAAATTTGGGGGAGTTTCTTTGTTATTTGAAATCGGTGAGCAATTAGTGATAATGCGATACTACCCGTTTTTTCATTTAGTTCATATTGAATTATGTGTGGCTAGCCAGTTATTAAAGTTGAAAAAAAAGATATCCTCAGAGCCATTTTAATACAATGATTTTCTCAAAGTAGATTTCATTCTTACATAAAAATGTTACATCATCTTTTGTACCCTTTCACTATGCGGTGTATATTGATAAGATTTCTTATTATTTTTATTTAGGTTTGCAACTATTAAATCCAACTTCCTTGCTTTGAAAGTCGACAATCAATTTATATAGTTTTCCAAATCAAAAGCTTGCTACAACTAATAATAATAATATTCGAAGCACAAACCACTTGGAAATATCCGATATTTATTGATTGATTTATGCCACCAATGTATATGCAAATATCTGCTATATATATACATTTGTTTCAATTCCAGCCTTTGTCTCGTATGTCAGTTCTCCAAAGCTTTCTCTTTTGGTATCACAATAATTTCAACCTAAATAACATGAATAAACCTCACCGAAAGCATAATACCAAGTCGCAATTGGTGAAGTATGTACTAGAAGTTCAAGATAGCAGGAATATCTTAACTCCATAAATAAATATCAAACTTTAACAGATAAATGTCCTAAAAAATTAGATGTTAAAACCTATTCTTCTAACTCCTCTTCTTATTGTAGTACTGAATAATATATATATATATAAGATTAGATGTTAGGAAAATAATCATCAAATGGACAGCCAAAAAATATATAGCTACAGTTACATATTTGTAAAGGATCCTGTCTATATTTTAACCAGAAAAATATATAAAAAATCTTAATTTAAAGAAAATAAACATAGTATAATACTGCAATAAGCATATTGATTTCTAGTAACAAGATCACAATCCTAGATATTAAATTTTCCTTGTATAATATCGTAATGATATTAATGTCAATAGTACAAATATACTCGCTTTTGGTAAGAAACATCTTCTTTTCACAGTTCATGATGGTTTCAGAATATTTTTGCTAATGGAGCTTACAGCACAACTTTCTTGAGAAGAAGAAAGACATTTTTTTGATAGTTTGTTTCGTGACACTATTGTTTTACGACATTATTTTTTATAATTGCGCCATAGTATCCAGATATTGGGATACATCTAAAAAAAATCGCCTAAATGATAATCTCCTATATCTAATGGGCTAGTATTCAAGCAATCAATATAATTGAAAGCACTCGAAATAACCATATTTAATAGACTGTATAAGTATATTCTCATATTAGCATTCAAGTGTATGCTCTTAAGCAAGACAAAGAGAGATAAAGAGTGTTAAGCTAGTAAAGAGTATGTGTCAAAGCATGCCCGTGTAGCCTCAATCATATTGCGACATCAGTGGTTCCTTTGGCGTTTATTGTATTACCGACTCGATTGATTTTCATTGCATATTATACATTTCTATACTAAAGAAAAAGATATAAATAATCATGCTTTAACAGCTAGTTAATATCATCTTACTCCGTTCTATTTTATTATTAAAGAATGAAGTTCACTATTATCGGGGCAGCCTTATTTTTATTACAAAGCTTCCTTCTTACTGAAGCCAAGAGAGAAGCAACCCCCTCAAAACCAAACATATTATTTATATTTACCGACGATCAGGATGCAAAGCTTGACTCAATTGACTACATGCCTAATCTTCAAAAATATCTGGTCCAGCAAGGTACTATATACCGCAATCATTACGCAACTATATCGGTGTGCTGTCCAAGCAGAGTTTCACTTTTGCGAGGTCAATACGCGCATAACACAAAGTAAGGCCTGTTGTGTATTGTATTAATCCACAAGACCTCTAGCTATAACAGCCTTGTATAGTATTACAGATGTGAGCCCTCCATACGGAGGCTATGCAAGATTTAGTAGACTTGGATTGGGAGATAATTATCTGCCCATCTGGATGCAGGAGGTATGTTTTTAGTCGAAAGCTTCTCTATGTTTTCGCATGTATGTTTACTAGTATGCTTCTTGGCGATATATATATATGTATCATCCTTTAGGCTGGATATTCGACTCACTACATTGGAAAGCTTATGAATGAATATACTGTAAACAACTACAATAACCCCAAGCCAAAAGGGTAAGTCGCTAATCATTTTTACAGAACTGACCATACTAAATATCAAACCCTTTTTTTCTCGATAATAGGTTTGATTACCAAGGTAAGCCTTTAAAAGAAGAAGAAACAAGCTTGTAGCTAACCACCAATCTTACTCCCACCTATAGACCAGCTTGTAGATCCATTTACCTACATTTACAATACCGCGGTTTTCTCTAGAAATGGAGAGCCTCCTGTATATTACAACAACACGTACCAGACAGACGTTATTCACGCCAAAGCGCGGGACGCTTTGAAGAGACAGAGAGATACTGATAAGCCTTTCTTTTTGTGGGGTAAGCTAACAAAACTTGATTCTTAAAGTAATGCATCTTAACATATTTATAGTGGCTCCAATGGCACCCCATGGTCAGTTTTTTATTGGAGATAATGGGTCTATCGAAACCATGCCTGCTGTGCCTGCCACGCGACATGCTAATCTATTCAAGGATGTTAAAAGTAAGCTTCTGGATAGAAATATATATATATAGAAATTACCATAGACTAATACTTTATTTTTCAGTCCCTCGCAATCCAAACTTCAATCCTGAAAACCAAACCAAAACAGCTTCTTTCTGGAAAGACATGGAAAGGCTTAACGATACAATTGTTGAAGAGCTCGATGAAGCCTATCGGGACAGACTCCGTGCTCTTCAAGCTGTAGACGAGATGATTGGCTCTTTGTTTGAAGAACTTGAAGAGCAAGGAAAATTAGATAACACTTATGTTATTTATAGTGCTGATAATGGGTAAATACAGAAATTCCAGAACTACGCGAGACAATTAATAGCTGGTTTTTATAAGATATCACCTTGGACAGCATCGATCTTACCCTGGAAAATGCTCCAATATAGAAGAGGACATAAAGTAAGTATATCCCAAGATTAAGTGCAAATTGATTTATTTTTTGTATCTTCTTTGAAAAATAATAATAATAGTGTTCCTTTCATTGTACGTGGTCCTGGAATTGAAAAAGGAAAAATAAGCGATGTAGTTAGCTCTCATCATGATATTGCGCCTACACTCTTGGCACTAGCTAAAGGAGATGAGTATGTTCCTGACTGGGTGGATGGAGGTGTAATTCCACTCACGAAGGACCTTGAACGTCATCCCAAGCCTGTTGCGAAAGAAAGTTTTGCTGTTGAATTCTGGGCTACTTTTAATATGGCAGAGTAAATACAATTTTCTGCAAGCTTTTAGACAGTTTCTTACTCTTTATTTCACGTAGAAACTACCCTAGTATTAAGATCGTAGGACCCAATACCTACAAAACTGTCAGAGTCATCTCAGATAATTACAATTGTAAGTCAAAAAAGTAATTTATAGTGAAATGTTATTAACTTTGTTGCCCGGCCATTTTTATATAGATATGTATTCGGTCTGGTGTACTGGCGAGCATGAGCTGTACAATCTGAAGGATGACCCATATGAGTTGAATAATATATATGGCAATACCCACATCCAGCTTCGCAGTCGATTGGATGCTCTTATTATTGTTTTAAAGGCGTGCCGTGCAGATAATTGTCGTGATCCATGGCGTATTATTCATCCTGAAGATCCTTCTATTAAAACCCTTGAGGATGCTCTTCATGAAAAGGTATCACTAGCTGTGTCTGTACACTGAATTATAGATACTAGATATTAATATTCTGCTTGCTTAGTATGACTATCACTATACTCAGTTCCAAAAGTTTACATTTGGAGAATGTGAAAACCATTACTCTGCCAGTAACGAGCTTCCTCACATTGGATCTCATTTTATAAATAACATTACGTACATCCATACAAACTCGGGCTCACAGGCTGTATTCTCTGCACCAAGAAACCAAAAACGCGATGAAACTAAACCCGATTTAAAGAGTATCCCAGAAGATATTCTAGGACTTTTGTACTTGATACCTAAACCAGAGCAAGCCGGTCAATTCAGTCTTGATGAAGATTATGAAAAACATTCTGTTCCTGTACCCCAAGAGCTCATTGATACTCATATAAATTGGTCAGAGTATGGCTTCTATAATGTTGGATCATAAACATATAATATATATATATATATATATATTGTTTTTTAAGATAATAAAAAGAAATATCCACGAAGCTAGATAAATTGTTTTGCTGTAAATTTCTTCCGATCATAGTATACACTTTATGTGAACAGACTAAAAGTTCAAAAAAGTTCAAAAAAGTTCAAAAAGTTCAAAAAGTTCAAAAAAGGGCAATTTTTTTTAATCGACTCTAATTGGCTAGTCTTCTTCCATTGTCATTTGGGCTGAGAAGAAGAGCATGTTTTTGATGAAAACTATGTTCTATAGGGTGCAAGGTCTAGAATAACCCGCAATAAAACATTCTCACTTAAGGACAGAGACAGCATTATAAGCACAATTTTACCTATGTACTTGCACTAATTCTGAACTTTTTTTTAAAAAAAAGAAAGGTGTGGATAGTCATGAATTAATCTGATTGACTAAGTTCAGGATGAACTTGTTTTACCCTTTTTTTGCCTTTTTTTGAACTTTTAGTCTGACCACACCAACTGTGATTTGTATTAAAATAGAAAAATCGGATATGTATCGCTCTCTGTATGCGTCAAAAAAATATGTTTCAATACTTTTTTAGTATACACATACTCAAAGACAATATACATAGATGATTTCTTTTTCGTTATATAAAAAAAGTCAATAGAATTTAATAAAGTTATTTGTAATATTTTTACAAATTAAGGAAATTCATTCGGCTGTTCATATTTGTTCTAAAGTACATATATAGGCGAATTTCTCTTAATACTGGAAAAACTATTTTTGTCTGTTTTCTAGAACAAGCTATTAACGGGGCTAATACCAAGAAGTAGTATCCAAAGGCTGAGCATATTAAAGCCTTATGCGAGACAAAAATAAGAATTCTGTCTACCTTGCCATGTGAGATAAAGTTACGAACAAATATAGCAAATCTTTTTGGTTATTTATTTGATCTCTGGCAAATAACTTGGTCTCATTTAATTATAAAAAGTATTCTAATTCATAAAGATGATTTTTTTAGTAAGCCTTTTTATATAATCCGGCTGTTATAAATTGATGTTTATATATATATAAAGTACAATGTGCCTTGACCCTGATGAAAAATAGTACAAACCATTACTTAATAGTCATTTATTGCATTACCACTCATCAGATTGGATCTCAAATTGGTTTTAGAAGCTCTTCATATATAAAGTATAAATATATAAATAAAGAAGCTCTTGGGTGTTTTATTGGTGTGAACATTCGCTGTCAAACCTCGATATTAAAAAAAAAGCAGGGACTTACACCAACTTAGCCTATTGACATTTATGGCTAAGTAAACACATAATACTGAAATTTTGAGTACCAGGTATAAGCCCTAAAATAAAGTATACATTAAGCGTGTGGGCCACTGGTTACACATCTTCTTTCTTGCTATATGGCTTATTTTGTTGAGACTGTCATGAAAACAAAAAACAATAGCAATGCTATTGTAACACATTAACTTAGGTAAGTATATAAAACGTACACTTTTTTCATATATCTTCTTTATTAAAAGCATTACTTTGAATTATGCGCGTTCTATCGCTTACCCTGATTGTCCTTTTGTGCCATGTCATTTGTGAGTAGTAATACGTATATATATAAATATATACGTTTTATGTGCCATGTTTAATTTATAGGCACAAAACCCGTCTAATTCTTTTATGTAACCATAATTGGTAAAGATAGTGAAGGAAAAGGATTTACTCGTTTCAAAGCGCGTGTCTTGTCGATCAAAAAGTTTTCAGGCGGTAAGCTGGGGTTTTCTGTAATAAAGCATACTGCAGCCCATATTTTAAGATATACACACCCACTTACTTGTACTTAGATAGTGGAGGTGGAGGTCTATCTCGCCCGAAGGCCGAAATTTCTAGCAATTCTCTCCCAGGGACAAAGGGCTATACAAAAGGTGGTGAAGGCCCACCTATTTCAGGAGGAACTTATCCTAACACAAGAGGTAATTGTACAAACGTAGTAAAAAAATTATACTTGTATTAATTTATAATATAGCTTTAAACAATAATTATAAACAAACAACATCACAACATTTTTCAGAAAATGGTCGCAGTGGTTGGATGGGTGCATATAATCCTGCAATGGTCTATTGGGCTATTACACCTGCAATATTCTATGCTGGTTACTATGAAGCTTTTCGCCGTTTTGATCCAGAAACCGGAGCTTACTATGCTCCTAATATTACTACACAAGCAGATAATCCATCAAATATTTTGATAAACGGCACCGAATACACAAGCGACGAGGACAATTACCATTATACCTTTAATATTAGCACCAACAACGGGTATCCAATGGTAGATCATGCGTATTGGGCCACTTCTGATTTTAGTGCCTCACTTGCAGATTTTGCTTACCGTCTTACTTTTTCACATGTCGTCGAGTTTGATGATGTAAACCAAAATGGCATGTTTGATCCTGATCAAGATCATCTCCTGGCCGTGTCTTCTCTCCAAAATGCAGTTTGGAAAGATCTTTTTTGGGAGGAAGTCCCTATGCCTACTAATTCATCGCTGACCTACTATATGGCTACTTCTAATGCCACTATACCTTTTAATGGAAGTAGTAGCTATTTTGATGTACAATTTACATGGCGCCTATCTAACATTCGGTTAAACACAACTGTTTCGATTCCTGTGCAGCCTAACTCACTCCAATACGATTTTAAGGTGGAGGGATACCCTACCACTTCTGCTCGTCTAGCACTTGTTCAGCTTGTGAATACTTTTGAGGAGAATGAGATTACTTTTGACGTGAACAACACAACCCCTATAGACGTTGCCACTCAAGTAAGAACCAATATTACTTATGGAATCTCGATCGGCAATTACTCTGAAGGGCGTCTCGAATACCACAACAAAGTCAATATTAGTGATGGATCGGCCGCTGGATGGTACACTGACCTAAGCCCAGATAATATTTCTGCAAGTTCTTACATATCTCCGGACGATTGGATCTGGGGAATCTATCCTCCTTCTATTGGTATATCTAAGCTGCTCTTTGTCTCCATGCCTTTTCAAAGTGAAAACTCCGTTCCGGTCAAAAATGGTACTTCCTCCGCCACCAAAACCGCTAAAAATGGCAAAGTATCTGGTATGGTCTCAGGTCTAGGATTTCTGGATGTTGATGTCATGAATGCTATGGCCATTCCTTCTTCAGGGCTCTCAAACATATACATTTCATCTGCGGCATACACTATTCATCTTTTTACTACTACTGTGACATTTATTATCTTAAGTGCACTTTCTTTACCATAAGCTATAAAATACTCCTCTCAATTTTCGAATAGAAACATATCAGTCTTAGTTCTTTTGCATTATAGTGCACACGACAGAGAAATAGATTAAATTTATATATTTTTGCAATAAACAGCCAATACCCTTTTATATTTGGGTGTAGATGATGTACATCATAATTTATTGGCAGTTTATTTTAGAGCCTTAACTATTAACTAGTTTCTTTAAATCCATAGAAAGCCTAGCAAGGGAAAAAATAAGTAAAATAAAAAAAAATCTCTGTTTTGGCAAAGGTCTATACCAAGAAATCCATTCTATATTCCAGAATAAGAAGCTTACATTCTTCACTGGTTAGAGCTGTTACAGTTATTGTCTTTTTATTAGGATTTTTGACTCCTTAAGCTCCGTTATAGGACGACAAAAAAGTAAATTTGCATGGAATTACTGGAATGAGTTGGATCGAAAAAGTGTAGAGGAGGAACGGAATCCACAATGATTTTTGGAATATGATTCTAGTCATCAATAACTAATTTTATAGCCCTAATTCATCATATAAACATATGTGTCCAATTCAAATGCATATTTATGCGTATATTTACGTTTTAGATATTTATTAAAATTATATTTTATGATTTAAAGAAAAATGGTTTTACAAAGCAATAATTGAAAAGTAAAAAGGGGTGTTTAAAGGGTGTATTATTGTCAAATTTTTCTGTGTTTTAGGGAATAGTTTTAGGGTGATTATTTTGGTAAAAAAGCTGCCTTTTCTTTCTAATTACTATTGTAATTCAGGAATGAAAATTATATATATATATATATTTGAAAACAAGAATTCCAATCCTTGGCTAAAACCTCTCCCATTTCTTTTTCATTTTCTTTTAAGAAAAAAAGTGAATAGATTCAATCTACGTAAGATCAATAGCCACCTTGCTTTTTTCTTTATAAATAAACTCAGTAGTAATTTGCACTGTAGCCAAATTTCTTAAGTTCGTCGCAACTCTTTGTCGGCATTTTCAAGGCGTCTTGGTATCTCTTTTCATCTCGGCCGATACCAAATAGTACACCCCGCGCCAGAGTTATTCTGTTTGCTCGTTCCCGGCGCTCTGCCTGGCAAGTCTGGTGGAGATTGTGTACCCAATCCGATTCTACTTCTTTCTCTACTCGAGCCAGTTTGTGTCGTGTCTGCTCAGATGCTTTAAACGCTTTTGGGTTTACATAATACGGAACGTGATGGCTTTTAGTCGCCCGCTTGTGGGTGTATGTAGCTGAAGGAGAGAAACTGTAGAGCGGTGGTGTGTTGTCGGAGGTTAAAAATGCAGATAAGATTGTAAAGGCAAAAAGAAGTAGGAGGGGTAAGACTTGAATCCACCCAGCTACGTTTGTGCCTTCTTGTCTTTGTTGTCGTGCCTGAGCCTGGGCCTGAGCAAAATTGAACGTACGATGGCCTGCACCGCGTCTTGGGAAATTCCCTCCACCAAAAAACATATTAAAAAGTTCTTCAGGAGACACTTCCTCTCTGTATCCAGAGTGGGTTCTATGAGCAGAGAACCCAGGATGTGGTTGACTTGCACGTTGTTCCGGATCCCCTCCACCACTATCATGAATTGCTCTCTTCTGAGGATCAGAAAGGACTGTAAATGCCTTTGAGATTACTGCAGAGGATCACAAGTCAACCAAGTCAATACACTATACAGCAATAGACCCACACACACACACAATAATAAACAAATGACAAACATTACATTTAAATGCTTCGTCTGCTCCTGGTGCGCCATTTTTGTCGGGGTGGAATTGCAAGGCAAGCTTATTAAAGTCAAAAAAGAGTTTAGATACATAACCTCTAGAAACCCCATTTTCGAAACAGAGAATTCGCTATATTTTTGTATATTCTCTTTACCTTTCGATAAGCCTTTTTTATCTGACTATCAGAACTGGTCTTTTCCACAGCCAAAACCTTGTAGTAATTTGTTCCACAGGACAGTACTTCCCGTACAGCTTTTGTTTGTTCAGCTGTGTACTTCTTCTCAGGCACTGGTTCAGAAGCTTGTCTTGTCGGGACAGCTGTCGATTTTCCTGTTGAAGGAGGTTCTGAGGCCATTGACTTCTCGGCCTTCTCCAGAAATGTCTTTGCCTGGTCCGTGGGGAAAAGAGAAATTGACTTTTTAGCAAACTTTACAGCAGCCGTAAAGTTTCTTGAGCTGTAATGGTTATTTGCAATCGAGAGACAACGAAGTGCCTCATCCTTATTGATCTCCATGGAACGCAGATGTAACTAAGAATGACTACAGGACCAACAGATGATCGTCTTTGATAAAGTAGGCAAGCTCGCAAGACACGAAGGCACCCCTCATTGGCTGTCTTTTAAAATCAGTCCAAAACAAATTTTGGGTAAAAGGTTAAGGTGTTGCTCTGCTCCATCTTTCTTTGTTTAATTTAATAATATAGAACCAAGAAAACTGGAAAGACTATCCTCTTTATATTGACATCTGCTTCATATAAATGGATTCAATAAATACTTAAAATGCTGTATATATATGTGTGTATATTATACATCAGTCAAATATACATACATATATACACAAACTTTTTGAGCTGTATATTTTACTAGATACTGGAAAGGCAATATTAATCCATAAACACAAGTCACATAATCCCTTATCTTCTCTCAAGCGTCTGTCTGTGAGAGAAACTGGACGCATAAAAACCGGCCGAGATGCAACCAAATTCTGATTCAAAGCGATCGCCAAGCTTAGATTCTTTTTATCAACTTTTGCGTGGCCGTGTGTTTCATAATACAACGAACTATGCTGGATGGTTATTGGATTGCATGAGTAATGCCACTCTTCCAATACATCCCAAATTTAGTCTCGTTATTAAAGAATTCGTCTCGAGGTACCATTTTGTGTGTTGTTGGTATTATCAGAAAGATTAAGTCTCTATACAACAATAGCATATTTCTTGTCGAGCCTTTACACACCATTCCAGAAGACAAAATCGTGCCTTTTTTTCACGACTGTTCAAATCCTACTCCAACTCAGATCCTATTGCTTCTATATGTGCTACAGTACAATGATTCATTTATTGCATTCAAAACAGATCCTGGGCTTATAGCAGCAGCTTCTTCTTCTAAAGTTAACACAGCTCATAAAGGTAGCCTCTCTACATATAGAGACGTATTGTTCTTACAAAATTTTAAACAGTATATTCATCTTCCCTACTCGAGAAAATACCAATTCGATTTTTCCTTAATCATGTGGAGAGTTATCAAAAAGGAGATGCCTATCGTAGTATATACCCAGAGCTAGTTTCTCTTATGGCCAATTTGTTCCCCGAGATATTCGATGTTGTTGGCTTCCTATTACAAGAAGGAAAAGAATTTGATCTTGCTTATGACACAAAGAAAGCAACAAGGTAAGCTAAACTAATTATTATCAGTTAATTACTTTTAGAAGGTTGTTTGACTCTATTTCTTTCTTCCTTTTAGATGGTGGACTACTGATATGTCACGAGAAAAACTTGGGCATATTTTATCTGAATGGAAAACTCAACCTAAGGCAGTCTTGACAGGTAGCTTAATAACGATAAATTAATGTGTTACTAATGAAAGAGAACAACTATCAGCTTTATCGCATTTAGAAACACTGTCATCCCTGAAAGTCGCAGAATATGCAGATATTGTATTGTCTACATTAATTCCAGCTTGTCTTGACGAAGAGTATATATTGGCTTACAAAAATATGTATATGCATTTATATGTGTACTTAATGCACATTTTGTATTTTTAGAATTGATAAGTATATTGCTGAATCGTTTGCTTCTGTTTGGGAATCATTTAATCGCATCACACCTCATGAATTATGGACCTTGACAGCAAATGTGATGGTATTAAAGAACGAGTCAGAATCCACGTGAGTTGAAAATAGAAATATAGTATTCTTGATATTAACATATTCGTTCTAGTGCATATACTTTTGATATGCTTATTCAAGATCCCCTCTTGATCTTCCAGTGCGATGCTAGAATATTCAGATCCGAACGGCTGCTTCCTATATTTTTACATGTAAATTTCAGTGTATCCACAGAACAAATTTATATTGATAACCATACTGATAGATGCTGGGATCCTTGCGCATATGCTCAAAACATAGGATATGGAAGAGATATCATACTACATATACTAACAGTGATGTAAGTGGTTAATTAAGGGCAATATACACATCGTAACAATACTATTAGAGCGCCCTGAACTCCCGAAATGTAATGGCTCTTATTAATGCCCAAGATACGATGATGCTTCAACTCTTGCTGGAACTGTGCCGATCTCAGCCCATGGACAAAAATGATCCAGGTAATGCTTATGCAATTGTTAATATGTTTATTATTATTATTATTATTATTTAAAAAGAAATTGTCAACCATATTTTTATTTAAGAGGCTTTACAGGTTTCTCGGAAAAACATCTGTCATTTTATACACAGTATATTCATTGATGGTGATCGGGATATGCTACTCGCCAAGATTTTACACTTTCAGACATATGCCATTGAACTGATACCAATGGTAGTAGCCATGATCCCTTCTATATGTAAGTATAATAATATTTATAAGTATACTTTTATAATCCTAATTACATCAACAGATATTGTTTTAAGCTTTGTTCCGGAACTAGTTCGACAACCACAAATGCATAAACAAGTATTTGGCATCCTTATGGCCTGCCATTTGTGCGAGAAGTATCCTTTAGAGAACTAGTAAGGACTAAGCATATATGTCCCGTTTGTAGACACAACTAATACCATTTTATATAGTCTAGATATGGTTGAACATCATGTATTACCTCGCTTATTGCGTGTTGCTTTCCCACCTTCACGAGATGGAACTCAGCCCACAGTATGTGTTCCTTCTGAACCGCTAGTTCAGGCTATCCCAGGATTCATAAATCTTGCAAAAGCATTTCCTCACTTTGCCCCTCGTATTATGGATGCTCTAATTGGTATGGAATACTAAACCATTATTTTTTTTTGAGTGCTTAACAATATTTTATTTAATAGAAATTACAAGAGGTTTACCAGCACCGAGTGAATTTATGGGGCAACAAGGAAAAATTATATTAGTCTTGCAGTTGCATAAGGTATTAGCAGATTCCAAAACTGCTGTTCAACAGCAAATAGACCAAATGGGTCAAGTGAACAAAGTAATTCTGTAAAAATATATATAAAAAAATTATATAAAAGCAAAAAGCAATAATGGTTGTCGTATTTAAACTTCTTGGTATCTTGGTATATGTTTATTCCCAAACCCACACAATGAATATTTGATTGTTTGTTTTTAAACTGATCTGACAAAGTTGACAAGTGAAAAGTTGTTCTCCACGGGAATAAAAGAAGGAGCTTTTGTGCTGCTCAGTGTTGCTGTTCCAACAAGTCTCAAAGAACCTTGAATGACCTGCGTATAGGCATCTTTAAGATGAATAACGTCTTCTGGTTCCCATTCTTTATAATTTAAATTTTTAAAGAATTAGTTGTTGAAGACAGACAGATTTAATTTACTTGCTTTCTGATGTCTGAAAGATCATTGATCCTGTAGCATCACCAACAATATATTCGGATACTTGAATGAGAGTGTTGGCTAATGGTATGTGTGTATAAGCATAGTTTATAAAATAGTCAATCAAAAATTCCTTACATGACTCATGTAATTTCTCGATAGTAACCAGAATATCTATAACCTTTACGATGCATTCAATGCCATGTTGATCGGGTAAGATGGTATGAAGTGGTTGATGGTAAGTAGCTGTCATTAGAGTTGTTCATTCGCCATGCCTGAATGTGAGCTTCTCGAGTGTCTGAGAAAAAAGTAAGCGTCACACTTGAAATAGGCAGTTGTACCCAAAACTCCGTAAAATGTTGCTCTTTTCAGTTCCCAACCTTGAAATTTACAGAATATTGATCAAATACAGCCTTTTCTACCTTTTTAGTCTCATAATGTATAATTCAAAAACCTTTTGATAATGCCAGTTCAAAATTTAAATCATCATATAATTAACCCAAGTCATTTTCTACAAATTTAAGCGGACATCATAGTAAAATGTTTGAGAATAATGCCAAAGTGTTTTGTTCTTTTCTTTTTTTGGGCCGTATTATAGCTGTTTTCCAAAAACCCAAGATATTTACAATACAGTCTAGCAAAGCTAAAAGAAAAGGGAGAAAAATAGAAGATAATGAAAGGGAACGCAATATGAAAGTTGATTTTGTTTTCTAGTAAAATGACGGTTGTCTTTGATTTACTTGTTGCGGACATATTTGCCGACAACAACAGCGTGATCTCTCTCATAGGGTTCCAGAGTAAGCTGCTCTTGGGGCTTAACTCTTTCCTCCTGGAGCTTCTTGACTTCACGTGCGAATACCTATTGAGATATATAAGTTAATTAACCCGAATTTTTTCCACGGGGATTATTAAGACTTACAGTAGCAGCATCGACAGTAGAGTCGATACAGGAAGCCTTGATAGAGATAACGATGTGACCGTCATTCTTCAAGAAGTGATGGGCGTTCAAAGCTGATTGTAGTAAATGAATTAGATAAACACAATAAACAAAGCATATAAAGTTAATATTATGCTTGTACTTACTGATAATACGGGCCTGATCGGGCTGGGCAACATCAGCAAAAATGACATCAACCATGGGGACCAACATGCGGTACTTGTGGGGATGACGGGCATCTTCAATGATAGGAACAACGTTGGTACGCTTCTTAGCCATGTTAATGAGATCACGGCCGGAACGGTGAGAGAACTCGACGGCGTAGACAGCACCCTGAGGGCCGACAACGTCAGCAACGTGAGAAACGGAAGTACCAGATGCAGCACCAAGGTAAAGAACCTTCTTTCCGGGAGCGATGTGAAGATGGTCAATACCACCAAGAACAGCAGCGGCAATCTTAGATCTGAAAGGATTCCACACACGGTACTCGATCTTGGTACCCTCGGCACCTTCAACGGAAATGCGCTTCTCGCCGTAAACAGACTCTCCGGGAACAAGGTTCTTGGTAACCAAAAGATCTTCCTTTCCACGGGCAACAAAGATACCCTCATGTCTGTGGGGTTCGATAATAACCTTGGCTCCACCACGGGCTCCACCGGAAGCTCCACCACGACCTCCGCGAGCTCCACCTTTAAAATAAAAATAAAAACAATGTGTTAGTTCAATTGAATAGAAGATATTAGTCGACATGTTACATACCACGGCCACCACGGGGAGCACCACGGCCACCGCCACGGCCACCGAAACCGCCACGGCCTCCGCGATCGCCACCAAAGCCGCCACGGCCTCCACCACGGCCTCCACCGAAACCGCCACGGGCTCCACCACGGCCTCCACGATCGCCACCGAAACCACCACGGCCTCCGCCACGGCCACCGAAACCTCCACGGCCTCCACGATCGCCGCCGAAACCACCACGTCCACCACCGCGTCCGCCTTCATAACCCATTGTGTGTTGTTGAAAAGAAATGAAAAGAGTTAAAGGGAAATAGGATCACAACAACGATGAGAAACCGAGATTGTGGTTGAAAAAAAAAAGAGGGTTTTTCCTCTGTTCGGCTGTCAAAAGGAAACAAAATAAATAGTTGCCCGAAACAAAAAATTAGGCGGGCACGCACCGAGGTTTTTTTCAAAGTCACAGCAAGCCTCTTTTTTTCCTTGGTTTGGAAGGTCGGTCCTTGGAAAGTCATCTCTTGGCTAACTCTACACAATGGCCCAAAAAGCACTCACTAAAGCAGCATCGCCAGCTAAGAAGAGCAAGAATGCTAAAACAAAGCCCATTAAGCTGCGAAAAGGATGCAAGTATTTTTAATGTGAATTTTTATGAGCTTTTAAAAATTAATCTATGAATCAAATTTAGCCAGAGTGATCGCACCAAAGCAAAGCATTCTCGTTAAGCAGCGCAGCATGGAAAGAGTAAGTATAGATCAGCTTTATAATTTGCACGGTATTAATGTTCCACTTTTTTTATTGCTGAAATAGAAAATGACTGCAAAGATCAACAAGAATATTGAGAAACAAATGTCTGTCAAAGCAAATGCTGTTGGTAAACTCACAATTATGAAGACATTGGCTGAGGCAGCAGCTGAAGAAGACAAGAAAGACAAGAAGAAGAAGTAAATAGCTTGGACTATCGCATCATATATTCATTCCCCACCGTCAAGCTTTATTGCTGTACTATATTTTCTTTTCTCTTTAAATTGTATAAACCCTTTAAAATGATATTTTGCCCTGGAAAAAAGGGGAAAATCAAATTATATTGATATCAATAGACTTTTTGTTTATGAATTGATGTGCAATTTTCAATTTATGTAGCTAATTTAAAGACTTTAATTCTTTAGAAGTTTTGGCTTCTCCAAAGAGCAATCAGATTAATAAGTTCTTTTCAAGATATAAACTACTTGAATCTTACATATATGTCTTGTACAGTCTATATACATACCGCAATTCACTACATACTTTATTTTATGACTTTGAATTACTTGCATTTTGCTGATTTATGCATAAAGCTTTTCATTAAGGATTTACAATTCAAAAGGATGTGACATTTACCCGTGTACAGAAAGTGACGGCTGGTTTTGACACTATTTTTTTATGCACACGCACAACAACGTTTAATGTATTCTAGCTCAAACCCCAATATGCCAAGCACCCTTTGGAGTAAATAAATAAGCAAATATTCATAGCACCCAATAACCAAACGAATTGCTCATCAAATGTAAAGAACAAACAATCTCTCCAGGTCATTGCTACCGCATTACTATCCCTGGCACTCTTTGTTTAACCCAGGCAAAGATGATCTATTGATTTTTTTCTGTACCGGATGTTAATATATCTTATTTTTTCCTTACTCAGGCATCCCTTTCAGAAGATGCATTACCAGGAAGAACAACATTTGTAGTTCAAACAAATGATAGTGAATATGCATTATGCTCTCTCATCACAAACGACGCAAGTTGATTCAATCTCAGTTTATCATTATAAAGCTCATGGCTTATATAGTTAGATTCTCAAATCATGAAATGCTCATTTGGGACGACTGAATCCATTACATTTGTAGCTTATGGACCCAAGTACGTTTCCTTGACATTGCCAGTGGTATTATAGCAAGTATTAATGATGCACTAGTTCTGTATATCTCAATGGCATTTGTACTGCTCCTGTGATGGTGAATTCTGCCCAAGATAAACCCTCGTCTCAACATACAGAAGACCAGCCGAGAGTAGTCAATTATGAGGATGATTACCAGATGATTATGGATGCCCAAGATTCCTTTGAATTTTGTGACACGCAGGATGATCGGTTCCTGGGAGGATTTGAGTTGCAGCATTTTGAACTAGCGCCTAGTTACTTTGGTCACGATGATATTAACCTTAGAGAAGAAGAAAGAAGCGACGATGACAAGAAATTGAAGTAAGTTGATTAATCTTTACAAATTCGCTGGTTATATTGTTTTTCCTTTCTTTCTTATGTTAATGTACTGCCCAGTGATCGTATAGCACTTGGTTTAATCAATGGAATGCTCAACAGTATGGACGGTCGTAAGATTCACAGAGGGCAGGATCTATTAAGTATGTGAATCATAACACATAATTTAATATCGTGCTAACAGTATTACTTAGAGCGTCTGGATAAAGTATCGTCTAATATTTGGGAAGCAAAGCCATTAACTGAAAGATCGATATAAAACAAAAGAGGTGTTAGGAAGCTTCCTTTTAGACTGCTTAGTGCCTACAGAATTTATCCATGTTCAAAACCGAAGTATCGGCAATATATGCACACCTTGTTCAGGCTTACTGTAGATAGTTAAGGATTTTTATATGACTATATAGGAGTCGGATACTACTATAGCATCAAAATACAGCATTCTTGATATATAAAGTACGAGGGCACTTATCACTATTTACAAGATCAAATGTTGAAACTACTCCATATATTATAAACCAATTGAAGTATCATCAGAAAATTAAATCCATTAAAAACAAAGTGTCTATTGCAATACAGGAACTGAGAAGAATGCGCGTGGACCAACGTACCCAACGATGCCAATATACTGAATGTCCATATACCTACATTCTTCTTCTTCGCGAAGAAGCTTTATCAAAAGATATCGACCAGATCTATTATCTACAACGTCAAGTCTCATTCTATGCCATGTTGATGTTTATTTTACCTGTCCTTAATATTAACCACACACTGATTGCTGCCCGAGATTTCAAACCATCCAACTGGACATATATCATCCACTCCGCCAGTTTTCTCCATATCCGCTATGTGCGCTTCGTAATCTTTCTTTGTGAAATGATCATATTTTGTAGTGTTTTCAATTGCTATAGGCTTATGCGTGAAAAAGATCAACCCATATCTGCCTTTTAGAAGCATATTGTTACTATATTACATCTCGTATGCTCCCATGACTTACATGGTCCATCGGTGCTATTATGGATAAAAAAATCTATTGTAGGTTATCAGATATTATAGGTATATGCGAAAGTAGCTAAACTCACTGTTGACGAGGAACTTTGATTATTATTTTGGTAATTACACAGCTTCTTTCTGCTAGAGCTGTGTCTCGCATCCAAATGCAGTACATTAGCTTGATATTCATAGATCCAGTACGGTTGGAGCTACTGTTGTTTTGTTAAAGAAAAATTAAAACCTGGGCATACAACCTTGGTGAATACTACCTACCAGTAAACAGATTCATCATTTGTTTGGATATTTGACAGAGAATAATATGGGCTAAAAGTTCGTATGAAGGTTAGAGACCAGAATTTGACTTAAATTACTATTTCCAGGCCTTGCCTGTATTCTCCACCATCCGTAAAGATGGCAATGAAATCCAATAACTTTTCATATGACCCATCCTTGACTTCTGCAAGGACTGACTCGACTGTAGTACTTTGAGTAGAAGGGATGTTATAATCTATATTTTGTATTTCCGTACTGGGTACCTGGACTATCGTGTCCCGACCCTCTATCCGTGCTACATTGTGTAATTCTTCAACTCGGACGTCAAATGGATAAGTTGCTGCATACGGACGTCTGAGACGTGGTATACGCGGTACATGCCGTGTACTACGCTCTCTCAAGGCATTTCGATCAAATGCTGTTCTTGAAAATGAAGGTCGAGGAAGGTTATCGTCTATTTCTGATTCAGTATTAGAAGCCATGTTTTCTTGGTTGGAAAGAATTTCAGATGTTGAATGATCAGAATGAACTGCCAAAAGAGAGGAAGATCTTGGTATGGCAATAGGCATTTGCAAGAAAAAGAAAAAAGAAAAGAAAAAAGAAAAAAAGAAAGGAAAAATACAAGAAAACAAAAGCTATACAATCTTTATTTGAACTAAGAGTCTTGTTTTTGTTGACCCTCTGCTGCCTTTTGACCACGCTCGATTAAATAATCCACTTCCACTTCTTTAGTAAGAGGTATGACCCACCGCTCATACAACTCAACGACCACATTAACAGGTACACGTAAATGGGAATTCTGGCCCTCTTTTTCCTGGTCGAAGGTTTGTCCGTACACCAGAGCCTTACGGCGCAGGCGCTCAAGCAATTTCTCTTCGACTTGTCTGTTGGTCAATAACTCGTAAATACCATTCCTGTCATTAGCTAGTGCAAGCTTGATGTATTCCTCCGAGCTTGAACGGAATTTCGATTCTGCGATAAATTTTCCTATAATTCAGTGGGGAGTGAGTATTGAGCATTATGTGGTTATTACAATTCATTTGAAAGTATACCATAATGAATACGACGGCTAAGGGCCTGGAGACACTCGATGTCTTTTGTTGCAGAGCTTCCGTAGTTGTTATCATCGCGGTCTTGGCAGATGACAGGTACAATACTTTTGACATAGATATCCATGATACTGCCATTCACATTGATATCATTCGGAGCAAGAAATTCTTTAAACTTCAATACAGGCAAAATAGGTTCGGGAAGAGGAGAAGTAAAAGCATATTCATCAGGACTATATTATATATATATATATACAAGTACGATTAATTTGGATATTTTTTTTAAAAAGAAAAGCAAGCTCAAGAAGTTACTTACCTGGTGTAGCGTCGTACTTTGGCTAAAAGGTTACATTTACACATAATAATTAGGCTCAGAATAAGAGAAAAAGTGGTGTTATCGGCTTACCGTGAACTTTTTCGGTTTCCCACAAAAAGTACTCGAGAAAACTACGGTCTCCAGTTGCACCGTTAAACTCGAGAGCGCCCTTGGTGTAAATGCAATTGTTCAAGGCAAATTGTGCTCTTTCAATGAGGGCTGGTCATGACTTATAAGAATCACAATGTGAAATCAAGAAAATGTCAAAAACAAAAATTACCAAAAATAATGGTATCCTCGAGCCGAATGAGAGTTGATCGAAGCTTATCAAGTGAGAACGGGTTGTTTTCTGTAAAGTTGCTCATTTCTCTTTTCTACACACACGCACAAAAAGAAGAAGAAAAGGAAGTGAAGCTTCTTGACTTTAAAAACAACGTGCATTTTCGGTATTTCTGTGACCTGCAAGCTGACTCACCAACACTCATCCTATAAGCCGGTTGTTCTCCGTCCTCTGTCTGGAATAGAAAGAGGAAAATAAACCAAGAACTAACCCCAAACTCCAATCAAGGCCGGCTTATTCTTTATAGAAGATCGGATCAGCCAAACTGTCAAAATCTAAGCTTGATCTTTCAAGCTAATAATATCAAAGAAAATACCAATTCAGGTACACAACAGCTACTGTTTATTTATTTTTCTTAAACAAATAATAAATGCACACTCTTGTGTGCTGAAAATTATATAAACTGTTTGGTTGCTTCAGAAATATTTTCTTGGGAAGTCCTACTAAAAAAAGGGCAGGTAAATTGGTCTCGAGTGGTAGGCGGAGTGTTCTCTTGCCCTGAAGAGTGACCATCTTTCCTTACTTGCTCAATGGAGCCCATAGCTAAAGAAGTTCTTTATTTATCGATTCCCCTTCAGGTCAAGTCAGGGTATATGCCTTGCCTGGACGCCTTACGCCTGATAGAGCCATCATTAGCTTTATTAACCTCTTTCATGGTATACGTAACGAGTGACGTATCCCCACAGTTTGCCAATCTGCACTCGCGGTGCACGTAGCAATTTCCCGGGAATTTGTGTCTCCACAGAGAAGCGCCAAAAAAAGACACGGTCGACTGAGATGTATAAAATACGATAAGCCAAAGGAGCTGTGGAGAGAATGCCCTACACACCTTATACGCTACAGCCTATTCTTCTCTCTGCGAGTCTAGAGGAACCTTTCGGGCCTCAGCCCAACATTCCCAGCACCTCTCCACCCTCTTCTTTTTTCGGACGACGGACGACATCCCCGCCTCTGGATGGCTCACCAGCTCAACCTTCACGCATCAACACACTCCTGACAGGGCACAATATACCATCGCCTGCTTGGAATAGTTCATTGTCTATTGATGCGGTCGAGGCTTGGGGTAGGTGATAAAAGAGTCTCAGGCTTGTACTCATTTGTCTTGTAGATACCGACCTCTATCTTGGCACATCCGATGGTCATGTTCTCCATTACACACTTGAGGCAAAGGGAAGACTTGATCAGGTAATAATTGAAGAAGAAAAAAACGATCTCAATCCCATCACTTATCATCGTAATAGGCGGATGTCCCTTACGCGTCGAGACTAGAACGTAAAATTAACCTTGGCTTTGGTAAAAAATCGGTTGAGCGTATTCTTGTTCTTCCCCAAGTCTCCAAGGCCGTTGTTTTGTGCGGTAAGTGACATCTTATATTTTATATATGATACTAAGCCATTTTTTATAGATTCTATTCTATCTTTTTATACCCTACCTTTCTTTGACCCTATTCCCGTCTCACTTATACCACACATAAAGGGTGTGTCCTGCTTCTCACACGATGCAGCTGAGGAGGGTCGTATTGGAGAAGATGGCACTATAGAACTGTGTGTGGTTAAGAGACGAGTTGTACAAGTACTAAAAATTGGTGAACATGCCCATCTAAGAAAGGTATATATAAAATAATGATAATATTTAACATTTCTATACTCATGAAGATTCATGTGGTAGGAACTTCCTCTACCTGATGGTGCAATAATGATTACCCGCTACAACAGAAATCTCTGTCTAGCTGATGCACAAAACTACAAGATGATCAATCTTGAGCAATCCTCAGCCATTACATTGTGTAATACACCCAAAATTGCCGTCTCGCCTTCAGGCTCTACATACCTTGGATCACACAATCCCGTGTCGAGACCTGTAGCGACGGTTGTGAAAGAAGACGAATTCCTGGTAGTGAGCGATATTGTTCATAATCATATCCTTTACTCTTTGTGCTATTGATATTAGATAGAATTTATTGTTTGATGCATTATTATATTTCACCTTAACCCAGGATACTTGATACATGCTACTATCGGTTTAATTGTAAATGGAGCTGGAGACCCTATACGAGGCACAATTCAATGGAGTAGCTACCCCAAAGCAATTTGTGTCGAGCCACCATATATTGCAGCTCTTTTACGCAATCACACTATTGAGATCCACAATTTCTTGGACCAACAACGCCTCCAGGTTATCACACTTGACCCTTCATTTGAACCACGTGGAATTTCCCTTGGCCATGGTATCAGTGTATGGATGGAAGATCTAGCAGTAAGATTAAGAAAATGTGCTTGGCCGAAGGAAAATGATACTGGTAACTCGGAAACAGATACAGATTCAGAGCTGGAAAATAAGCTCGGTAGAGAAGTAGCGCGCTATTCAACAGTTCCGGCACGAATCTTGGTGTATGGACGAGATTCAGTAATGGCTCAGCTAGCTACACCTTTGGTGATTCAGGTTGATCAACTGTTGGACACAAATCGTATAGAAGAAGCCATGGAAATGGCAGATCAGGCACGAAATGCTATGTCTGTTGATAATAGTGTGTATGGAGAAAGACTGGTAAGCTGTTGGTCCGTGATAACCGGATGAGATATTGACCAGGGACGCTTTTTTAGCAAAGCGAATTAGATTATATTTTCCAGAAATCAGGACTGCTTCTGTTAAAAGAAACTGTATTTGAAGATGCATTTCAACTTTTGTCAAAGGGAAACCTTGATCCACGTGTTCTCCTTAGTCGATTTCAAGAATTTTTCCAGCCTCAATGGCTTCACGTGTCACCTCGGATTGTACTTTTTGAGGGAGTTTTGGAAATATTAAACAGGCTTGGATCAATTGAAGATATTGGTTTGTTAAGATAGTAAACTGATAAGTGCAAAATACTTATTTTGATTAATTAATATATATAGTGGCCTCTAACATTGAAAAAAACTATGGTAAACAGGAAGAAGAGAGCCAAAAACGAAGTCCGATTATGGACTTAAGTTGTGTCTTGCTTAATAATGCGAGAGATGCACTCCAAAAGTATTTGGAAATGGAACGCAGAAAGCTACAGGGAAACACGAGAAAAGAGGATTCAATTCTGGAGGTAGAAAAACATAATATTATAACAGCTGAATATATATATATATATATATTATCTGATCAAATTGAATCTGTATAGGTTATCGATACTGCACTTTTAAAAGTCTATGTCATAAAAGAGGATGAAAAGTCGATTCACGGGCTTCTGAAGCAACCTAATATGTGTAATCCAAAGCTTTGTGCAGAAACCCTTCTTAAATCCAAGGTATTATTTCGAGATAATTTCTATATGCACAGAAACTGTGCTTATGTTTCATTAGAGATATTATGCACTTTCTATTTTGTATGAATCCAAACGTATGTACGAAAGAGTACTAGATACATGGTCGAAGTAAGTCATAATATTTATTTACTGATTAAAATGACTCACATTGCATATGCCTTAGAATACACACAGGAGAATTTCCTGCCCCTTCTGTCGCAGACAGCTTAGGACGGATCAAAAAGATGCTGCTTCAAGATATCAACATAGACGAACTGCCACTTTCTGTTGTCATGGAGTATACCTGGTGGCTCACAGAACAAAGTCCTGTGGATGGTGTAGAAGTGTTTATACGCTCTCCGCGTACAGCTGACATGGATCCCGATGAGATTCTTAGGCGCTTGGAGAAGTATGGAAATGAGGTTGTACGAACTTATTTAGAGTACATAGTCCTAGAACGAAAAAGCGACTGTGCAGAATACCACACTAGACTTGCTTGTAGCTATGTGCATGATGTCCAAAAAGAAATTCGAGCAGACCATATGCACCAATTAGAAGAACTAGGTACATTTACCAAATATCTCGCTATTTATCTATAAACTTACATTATTCCACAGTGAAGCTATACCAGCAATCTATAAAAACCAAAGAGATAAAAAAAGCTAGTGATACTGAGGATCTTTCAAAACCGCCTATCCAGTCTACTTTTGTGGGGTTCCTTTCCCACCAAAAACAAACAAATTTGGTAAAAGCACGGCTGTCATTGATCAAACTATTGCAGTGTTCCCCACTCTATTCTGCTGAAACACTACTGGAAGCACTCTCAAAAGATGGTCCTTTGGATATTGAAAAGGTGATCGTTTATGGGCGTGTAAGTATGATTTTCTTTATGTTAATTTGGTTATAAAACATTAGCCCTTACGCTGTTTTGATTTTCTTTAAAGATGAGAATGCACACAGAGTCATTGCATATATTGATTCATGACCTTGGTGATTTTATGGGTGCAGAAACCTATTGTGTGACTAATGGACATAGTGCTGGAGCAATCTCAGATAATTTAAATACTCCTTCAAAACATTCTATTCCTGTACGAACGTCCTCTCTAGCTGCACCGGTAGCCCAGAAAGACAAAAAACCATTACCAAAAGAACGAGACGAGAAAAACGTTGGTAGAAAAGGCATTGAGCAGAAAAAGCTTTCTGGCAGTGAGTTGGAGGAACGTAAAAATCTTTTTTCGATGCTTTTAAAAACATACCTGACCATTCAAAATAAGTAAGTAAAGATGAATATCATAATGACTATTGGCTGACAGTGTGGGTCTTAGAGATACGATGCTGGCTCGTACAATGCATCTATTAAACACTCAGGGTTTTTATTTGGATACACTTGAGGTAATAATTCACTGCGTTAATTAATGAGCATATGCCCATTACTTAAGCTTGATATTATAGGTACTGTCATCTCTTCCGGAAGATTTGCCAATCCAGATCCTCCAGGGTTATCTGACAAGATCGTTGCGTCGATCCCTACATGCATATAGACAGAGCAATATTGTTCTGGGATTAAGTCGAGGCGAAAACGTGATGGTATGTGATATGAATAGTTGGACAATAGAATTGATACTGAACAATCGGGCGGGCTTAGGTTGGAAGTGAGTTGATCGAAACATACAAAGATATTGGTCCTGTCTATGTGGATAGGCAATCTGTGTGTAAAAAGTGTGAGATATATTTAGGAAACGGAACTATTGTACGCAGCAGTGGAGGTGGATTCCCGTTGCATTTGCATTGTGCCCAAATGATGGGAATTATTAATTACGAAGACGATGAAGAAATATATGAAGTCGAATAATAAGCGCAAAAAAGGTCGATATTAGCAGTATAATATATATTTATGTGTCTATGTATGTACACAAATATTATCTATAAAGTACTTCAAAGTTTCAAATGGTCTTTGGATATTACATCGTTATTTGGACGTTTTTGTCCATGTACTTAATCGTTGATCAAATATGCAATTTTTTTAGATGTTTAATGCACAATCTAATGATATAAAATACAGGCAATAAAAAAAATCATGCTGTGACCCTACTTCCTGGATGTATTTTCTCCTGGGAGCATGTATAATGTATAATATATTATGCTACAGAGCTACAAGTCAAAAAAACTATATGTCTAGGACATATCCTCTAGCGAGGGATATATAGCGTTCCATAAACAAATTACTTATAAGCGATGTGACGAGTGGTATTGTTGGGCTCGATAAATTAGTGCTCAGCTTTTAGAGATTGTGTGCCTTATCTAGAACCTGGCTCTCAAGTTGTATATTAAACATAGTAAATACTGTAATATATATTACGCTTTTTAAACTACCGTACTAAATCCATTATTAATTTTTAATACCACGCCTGAGTGCTCTCTTTTTGACACCCCCATTCGAGCAGTCTGTGCCATGTATATAACCTCTCAATAAAATTCGCAGTTCAAAGTAAACAACCTGGGTGTAAGTTATCGAGTTTTAGATGTTAACAAAACAAAAATGACGACAATAACGATCACATTTTGAGTGTTAACAAACTGGTTTGTGGAATAAAAGAGGGAGAAGTAGAAGTAATGTGTGGTCATAGCAGCTGGTTTTGAGTACCATAAAACACCAATATTGCCATTATACTATAAACACGACTGAATCTGGGGGAAGAAGTCTGGAGTTCTATTCCAAGCAAAAAGTCTAGAAGAAATACATTTACAAATTTACTGGGTGAAAAGAGCATCGCTCTGGAAAGCATCATAAGCAGGACGCTTCAACGAATGCTTTGCAACTTCAACATCTGTCTTAATATCCCGAATCAGCGCATCTAAAAACACATACATTCATAGTGTCAAAATAAAGCTCAAAAAAAATATTGGTCCCAAAGTATTTTGCTTACCAAGCGATGGATAGTTCTGCTCGGGACGGATATAACCCAGAACAATGACTCGAATAGACACACCATAAAAATCTTCGGGAAATTCGTGAATTATATGTACCTCCTGTAGTTGCAATGTTTAGTTTAATCCTCAATATTATGTAGTGCACAATCGATGAACTTACAGCTGAGCGCTTTTCGTTGTTGTAATAAGGGTTCCAGCCGAGACTCATTACCATGGGGTAGACTTTTGAGTCACTCTTTCCAATCTGAACCCATCCGTAATAGACACCAGCCTCGAACTCGGAGCACATTGTAGCAAGAGCATCTTCTGACAGATTGGCTAGTAGAGAGGACATGAGATATTGTTCAAGATGACTAATCTCAAGTATGCTAAAAAATGTATACCTGTTGGGATTCCGAGCTCCTTTGACCCACGCCCGTAGCCCTTGATGACAGTGCCCGAAAATGCACAGGGATACGGTTTGGCTGGTACTTCGGGGCCGACAATAAGTGGACGATCAGGGTTAATTTGGCTCATACTTGAAAGTTATAGGTAGAAAGAGAGTTGATCTTTACAAATTGAAAGACAGTTCAAGAAATGAATTCAATCATCTATCATCACGTGCATACCTATCGCGAACGGATTAACCGCGTCTAATGCCATCTTGTTTATTTGGTATCGCGCCTCTTTCTTGTTTAAATACCTAATGGACGCGATTGGAAAATTGATTGATCATGGCAATCTCGCCTACTCTATGATGGATTATGAAAAGAGCGCTACAAGCTTTGGCATGGCTTGCCAGCTTCTGTAAGAAATCGAAGCAACAATACGTGCGTCCTCTGGTTTTTTTTATATACTGAGTTTGACATATTTTAGGGATGCACTCAACGGTGATCTTGCGGTAGAGAATGGTGATGCATACTTTTTATACGGCCGATCATTACTGCGTTATGCAGTACAGCAAAGTACTGTCCTAGGACAGTCTTCTCAGGAACCGCCGACTACTGTTGAAAAGCCTGTTGAGCAATCTCAGGGTTCGTACAATATATAATCTTTAAAGTATGAGAGCTTATCTAAATCTTAGTAGAAAATACCAATCCTCGCTTCCAGTTCGAAGAGGATGGACAAGAGGAGGAGGAGGAGGAGGAAGAAGAAGAAGAAGAAGAAGAAGAGAATGGATCTGATACTGAAGAGAACGAGCAGGAAACAACTGAAGACAACTTTGAGGCTGCTTGGAACATACTGGATGTGGCAAGAGTTATCTTTGAAAAAGATGATGAACCTGAATACCAATTGAAGCTAGCTGACGTTCTCCTTCTTCTTGGTGATATATGCTTAGAGACAGGTAAGTTATCAAATAATAAACGGAAAGAATTTGGAAGGAAGCCAACATAAACTATTGTAGAGAGATTTGACGATGCTTTGCCTGATTATCGACAGGCTATTGAACTTAAAAAGGCCCACTTGAATAGCGACAACCGGCAACTGGCGGAAGCTCACTACAAATACGCACTTGCATTAGAGTTTTCTAGTGACCCAACACTAGCTTTGGCTGAGATTCAAAAGGCAGTTGATGTATTGAAGAAACGCCTGGAGATTTTAGAAGGCACAGTGGGGATTGATGATAAGGGAAAGGGAAAGAAAAAAGCATCTTCGATCGAAATTTCGGATGAGGATATCCAAAAAGAGATTGAAGATGTCAAAGAACTTTTGCCTGAGATGGAGGCCAAGGTAAGATTAATTACTAGTATACAATAACATGTACCTTACAAATGTACATTTTAGGTTGAGGAGCTTATTAGCCGCCAGGAAGCTGGAAACGAGGCAGAAAAGTTATTAAAGTCCATAATTGATGCCAGTACAATCAACAATCAGCCAATTCCAGAAAATGCTACTGTAAATGACCTTTCATCGCTCATTAAGCGTAAGTCAAAGTCTGTGGATAGCAAGACGTCATCCGATCAAGCTGAAAAAAGAAAGGCAACCTCAGAGGCAAATGAAACTCCCGAAAAGAAGTCAAGAACAGATTAGAATCTATTCATTTGATTCAATTTGACATTTGCTATGCCCTTTTTCTTTTTTTTAAAAAAAAAAAAGACTGGGCTGCATCAGAATAGCATATACGAATAATTAAGTTGGCTTGGATCGACTGTATCTTTCGTTTCTTGTAAGACGGGATCTTGCACATTAAGTATTAAAGTGGCTGACAAAGGAAAAGAAAGAATCTCTACAACTTCTAAGATAATACATACCTATCAATTGGGGGCTGTTCAAGTCGAAAATGACTATGATACTTACAAAATGAGTGAGAAGTGAAAATAAAGAATATTGACTTCCGGTCTATAGATACTGGAGGTTATCAATACTTGCTCTCATGAGTAAATAATATATACTTTAACTATTGGTATATTAATTTGACTCGTAATATAAAATGAGAAAGAAATATCTTCAATGTTATTAAAACGGATGATATGCATGTATGGCTACGATCTCACATTTAATAGTCCACTTAGAGCCATGTATACTTTCCTTTCTCTCTTACCTCTTCATTGAAAATAGAATAGCGTACAGAATCTAAAGTAATTTGAACTCTTGAAAAAAAACTAGTCTTCATAAGAGAGTTTTTATATGTATTATCGATGCAATTAAAATTTTTCTGAGTTTCACAAACTCTTACCTATTAGCCCTACGTCTCAAATAAAAATGAGGACAATTTTGATGGAATTAAAATGTATTATAGAACGGATCTGTGTTCAGTTTTTTTATCTTCCCCCACAGCAGTGAGCCCACACGCACGCACGTACATGCATACGTACACGCGCATGCACACGCACAAAAATGCTGTGATACAATTACTGAATATTCCGATATATATATATTAAATAGCTTTATTTATTAAAAATGCTTTTCTATGTATACTTGTATACCTGTCAATTTATTAAACATAAATACCAGGTATCTACACCCATTTTATATAAAGCTACTCAAGTTTTCTTGGATTTTTTCTTCTTATTCTACTTTTAAAGCATCTTTATGTACCAGTAGACAAACAAGCAAACAAGCATCAAACAAACAAAGCAGCCCAACAAAAGCTTAATTTAATACTACAGTTTTTTCTTTGGTCTATCTGGCCTCACAATATCGGATTATTCCAATGAAACATATTTGTGCTTACCTCGGGGACAAATAGCACATGTATATAGTAGATATTCTACTTATTCTGCATTGAGACTAGCATACATTACAAAAGGCATTAAAAGCTTATTGCAGAAGAACTACTTACTTAAGCTTGATCTCAAACATGTGTGAATATAACCAGGTTGGAATTCAGGCTATAAGCTATGTTAAACATTATTATTTCTACCATTGAAGTAGTGTGAGATGTTCTCTATTTATTTTCCTTGATATATAAATATATATACATATAATAAAAAGTAGATGTGGCATTAATAGTTTATAAGCTAAAAAAAGTTAAATATTAAAGAGACTGATAACAAGCTTTTATTTTGTTATTGTTGCTGTTCTTTTATCAGTAAGATCGTTTGAAAATGGTAACACTTTTGATGAGAAACGCTTACAATCAAAAGGTAAGGGAATGGGCTAGAATGTATCAATTGAGAATAACGTGCAAATCAGTTTATGTATATATGAAAATGGTCTTTTTGGTTTGTGGAGTTGGTAATCAGGTTGTACAAAATAGACCGTCAATGGCGCCCTTTTTTCTGAGTATGCTTGACATCGTCAATGGATCGAGAAGCCTACCAATGGGTACGTGAATCTAAAAAACGTAGCTTAAAATAATGCGCTTAATTCAAAGAGAACGCTTAAAGAGTTTGTATAAGCCAGAATTTGTTTCTTCGTGTTCTTACTATTCCATTGATTTGAGATTTCTAGTAAGATATGCGAGTAGGACAAGGAGGTGTGGGACCCGAGGACCTAGTACAGCGATTCAAAGAATACATAATAGATATACCATAACGGAACTGAGCCGTCGTTATTCATCGGCCTTTGATCGAAAAAAGAAGTTGCTGATTTTATTTTTATTTATTTATTTTTAAAAATATACATGTGCATCTCCTGCTGTAGAATTATTGGAGAACCTATTTTTATTGGTATTTTCGTAGTTTTACTTTTTTCTTGCCTTTCTTTACACTTTATACTTACTGGTCGCTTGGGATTTACACACCTAATGCTACCATTTTCCTCTCTTCTTATCCTCTTGTTTCTTGCCTCGGCACTTGCTCTCAACCTTGGTGACCAATGCGATCCCAGTGTCTACTACTCGTAATAACCTTATTATGTATACTATTATCAAGTCTAACAGCAATAATATAATATATATAGAGCATCTTGGTTGTATGAGGATTCTTGCGATGATGTCTATCTTTACTGTGATGCTGCTTCCAGTGTTTGCAAATTCAAAGGGTGTTCAAATACAGACTATATTAAAAAGTAAGCAAGTCATCGCTTTATCGTTTTCTTATATATTTCGTTATTGACTTGTTGTTTGCAAAATAGTTGGGATACTACTTTGTACGATTTACCACAAAGATGTGGTGCTGATACATATTGTCCTGACGACAGTTCTTTCTGCACACCCCTGCTTCCTATTGGTGGTAAATGTGAACCTGTAAGAAGATCAAGAATTAGATTATTATTATTTTAACTAGTTTTGGATAATGTTGTTTACCTGGATTATCTATTTTTGTAGCAACGAGATGATGAGTGCTCAGGAAACGGAACCGTCTGTTTGAACTTTACATGCCTTATCAAGGGTGCTCCCATCGGTGGCCAGTGTGGCTCTGACAGGTAAGGATTTTTGTATTTGCTCGTAATATACACAAATATGAGGACCTTGCATTGTTTTGCACATAAATGATTGTTATTGTCATTTAAAAAAAAAACTCAATAGGACAAACTATGTGTCATATGATGCCGAAGGATATTCAGTACAACAGACGATCATTCGCGACAACTGCACAGTCGGAAGTTACTGTGATGATCTGACCTCACCCGTCTGTGTTATCTCTCGTGTGAATGGAGCACAATGCCAACAAGATCGCGAGTGCATCTCTGCATCCTGTAACAACGATGGAATTTGCGTAAATGGCCCAGAAGTATTCAAAAAGATTGCAGTCTGGCTGTGGGCTGTTGTAGGCGTAGCGGTTTTCCTGTTTGTTATTTTGACATTGGCTGCACTTTGGGTGTTGCATAGATATCAGGCACGCAAAGAACACGCAAAGATTCTCAAGTTTTTTGGCGATAACGAAGAATTTGCAAGATACGCTTTGGCCGACGGCGACTTTACTGGAATGTACAGTGTTCAGCCTGATCGTACATCTCCTAGCACAAGCGAAATACCGGCCGGTACTTCTGCTACACGTACCAATCCTAGCAAATCTAGTGTGGTGTACTTGGGTACACCTGACTACAATGAATCCCAAGCTCTGGGTCTGACACGTCCGTTACAGTGGAGAAACAGCTCAACCACCAAGCTACGCGAATCACCTTCAATACCCTCTTTCCACACAAACCGAACTTCCCAGAGATACAGCGACTCTATAGGCCCTGAGATGACAGAGCGTACTCCAGAGCCTCCTCTTCCGAGACCATAACTTTTAAAAAAAAATGGTTGAAAATATTTCTTTCTTCCAGCAGTAATTCTTCATTATACATCATGTCTTTTATATGTATTATTTCTTTCATCTTTAAGACCACAATCATCAAGAACAACAAAAATACATTTCTAAATCATTAATCTTTATAAAGAAAATTTCTGAAAAAAAAGAAGTATTGATCTTTTAAGAATATATATATAATATATTTCACTTCGCAAAGTCAGATTTGGATCTGATGTTCCTGGGGTACTGTAAAAAAAAATAAAAAAATAAAAAAGTAAAGTCGGGTATCAAATCCAAGTCTACGTCACTTTGCACAAAGGTCTATGATGCACATATACCACTATATGGAATGAACCAGTTGTTCTCTGACTTGTTTGTGTGCTCTTTTGCAATTGTCTGAAATCCATCATGAACGCCGAAGAAGCTGAATCTTATCAATATCAATTAGATCAAGTCGATCTCGCACTTTCTAAAGATCCAGATAATGAAGAACTAAAGAAACTTCATCATGATCTCAAAGAACTAATCGCCCTCACGACTCAATTTGAGTCTGCACAGCAGCAACAACAACAACAACAGGCACAGCAACAGCAAACACAGCAGACTTCAACAAAACGAAGCAATGCATCGTCAACAAATCCTATCCTTTCAACACCAATCTCCACAGCTTTAAAATCCAATCAATTTACGGTTGGACAAGAAGTAATGGCGAAATACGCTGGTGATGGGGAATTCTACCGGGCTACCATTACAGCCATCGGTGGTGCGGACCAAGTGTTCTCGGTTGTCTTTCGTGGATACCAGGACAATGAGCTTGTGAAGGCGGAGGATATCAAGGCACTTGATAATAAAAAGCGACAGGGAATCTTTGAGGAAGCACCTAAACAACCACTTGCTGCACCCCCAAAGAAAAAGAAGAAAGAGAAAACACCAGGAGTAAAAAAAGTCAACGAGACTGAAGTAAAGAAGAACGCTTGGTTAAACTTTGCATCAGGATCTGATAAAAAGAAGAAGAAGGTAGCAGCACCCATTAACAAAAAGAGTATTTTCAAGACACCGGATAATCCCGAAGGAAGAGGTGGGTAAAAAAAAAAGCAAAGAAAAGTATAAATCCAAAAAAGAAATAGAAGGTTTTGATTTATTTACTTTTTTATAGTGAAAGCTAAGAAACTTTTTAATTTTTTTAATTTTTTATTTTATTTATTATTTCATTTGCTTACTTGCTTGCTCGTCTGATTGTCTGTTTGCTTGCTTATTTATTTGCTTATTTATTTGCTTATTTGCTTATTTTCTTTATTAGTTGGTGTTGTTGGCAGTGGTCGTGGTATGACTACTTTCCAACAGAGAGGCAAACATGTGTATGCAGACGGCCAGAATAACGTGGGCGCAGGTGAAGAAGAAAATTAGAATGATATGTCAATAAAGAGGTGGTGGTAGTGGGTAGTGTGTGACTTGTTGCCATTGCAAATAGCCAAACTGCCAGATTTGGCCCTTTGGAGAGTTTTAAGCCTTTGCAACCCCCGATTTTCTGAGATTCTTCTCTTTGAAGTTCCATTGTTTGACTTTGGGTTACCGTGGAAACCCACACCTTGAAAAAAAAAGAAAAAAAAAAGAAAAAAAAAAGATAGAGAAAGAAAAGAAAAAGAAAATATTGTTTTTTTTTGTCTGTCTGTCTGTCTGTCTGTCTGTCGATGCTTCCACAGATTGGTTATGTTGTGGCCCAAGCGGGGGCCGATGCCAGCTCACCTCAAACCTCTATACCTAAGCAACCTTTGGCTCATCTCACGTCGTCCTTCATCCATTACTCGCAATCATCCAATGATGCTCCCCCTCACTATTATGGGCAACCATCAAGTAATTCACCTCCCCATTTACTACCACCTCTTTACTTTCAAAAAGAATCGAGACCACTAGCGCCACAGGCACCGCAAGCACCGCAATCTCTACCTTTACCACCACCTCCACCTCCACCTCCAGAACCAACTGCCTTCCGACAATTCCAACCACCATGGCAGCCATGGCAAGATTCCAAAAACACAAAACATGGTTATCGCGAGTCACCTCCAATTTGGTATACTCCGCAACCTTATTTAGACCCTTCCTCCCCTTTGATTACACAAGTACCCGCCTCATCCTCTTCTGCGTTTACAGTACCATCTAACGGGCAAAGAACCCTTTGGCAAGGCGTGTGCTTCAATTCTTTAAAAAAATATCATCATCATTAAGTTATATTAACATTTTTTGGGTAGATAAAAACGAGGATAAAGTAAAAATAAAAGTAGAAGAAGTAGACGAAGAAGAAGACGAAGAAGAAGAAATACCAGCCATATTAGAAGAGACTGAAATACTTCATCGACTACGGGAATACAATGAGCTAATAACATGGATGGACAGCGAATTCCAGAATCAAAGTCAAGAGTGAGGCCAGCTTTTCCCCTCCCAACTTGCCTCGTATCCCCGACCCCTCTCGTTTTATTCACTTGCTTCTTAATTTGCAGCCTTTTCCACAAGAAACTCGAACGCATGCAGCATGAAATGCTCGATATTCAACAAGGTAGAGCTTCTTTTTCTTTTTCTTAATTAATGTCACTACTAAAATTATAGATTATTATTATTGTTACTATTAAAATTGTTAGGTTCTCATCCTGCCTACTTGGACGAGGTATCCGATCTTAAGCTTAAACGAGAAAAGACTATTTTCAGTGCAGAGTGCTTTATGGCGTATCAGCTAGAATTTGCAGAGGGACAGCACGCCCAGAGTATGAATACAATTCAGGACGAATTCGAAGTATGAAAGTTTATTTTTCGATGCAGCCAATGGAACTAACCCTGTTGGTTGTAGATGGAACGCCGTCACTTGCACACCACTCTAATGACAATTATTGATGATCGACGAAAACAAATCAAGGAGGATAAATTGGAAGACAAGTCATTCAATATAGAAGGTGCCTTGATATTTTATTTAAATTTGTTTTAATTTTAATTTTTATAAAAAAAATACTTTACTTACCTCGAGTTCCTGTAGATGTCTTCCAGGATGCCCATTCGCGCATCTCCCACCGTCGTAACCTTCGTAACAATAAAAAGCCACAAGGTGACAAACTTCATGGATTATCATCACGACATGAACCCACTAGGCGACGACAAGGTAATTAATCCAACGAATTACAATCGTTGTACAACTTGCCATATTCATTACTTGTGCTCTATACTTTCTTCTTTCTTTATTTCTCTTTATTTCTCTTTCTCTCTCTTTCTCTCTCTCTTAGCACGAGTCGTAACTCTTCACAATATTCACGCACAGCCATTTTCAAAAGAAGAAGAAGAACTAAAGGCTGATTTTATCAGTATGAAAATTCGATAAACATTGATAAACAAAACAAAAAAGTATAAACGCAAAAAGGCAAAAATGCAAAAACTCTTTAAACTGTATTTCAAATAAATCAATTTACAATATTTTGAAATAGCTTTATTTTACTTCTTAATTAGTGTTAATAAATACATGGGAGTTAAGACTTAATACAAGGCTAGGTAAAGATACGTGTGTGTGTGTGTGCCAAGTTTTCAAGATGATATCAAAATAAACCTAACAGGCGAGTCAATTTGCTTTAATAAGTCAAACTAAAATTAAAGGTAGAATCTCTCTATATAACCTAGAGTAATTATTATTTAACAGAAACATACACACGCATCGCACGCCGATACGCACATACAGCCTAGATATGTTTTCTTTATTTAAAGTTGCCGGCTCAGCCTTTTACGATATGTGGCACGTTTTATACTGTGTATGGAATTTCGCATCCAAAAATGAGATAGTCAAAACTTTTCTGAGATAATCTCGGGTTAAAGGTCTTTGCCAGCGTACTCCGTGTATTACGTGAAAACGCTACACCACGGGAGATTTTTGATATCAAATAAGGAAATCCAAATTTCAAAAATGTTTTGATTGGCTAGTTAAATATATCTCTTATATAATTTCCTTTTAATCTCTTTTTTTAAAATTAGCAATCTCTATAAGGTAAAATCGGATGTACAGACATCTAGAAATAGATTTTTGGTGTAATATCACAAAACTAAAAAACGACTTAGAAAAATTTAATTATTTTATTGATAGAATTTTAAAAAATGAATAACATGGCTCTTTCCACTAACACTCCGGAACCACCAGGGGTCAAAAACCCCTCCACCACTGGCTCATCTCCACCATTGGCAACCTCATTCACACCAATCTCACCTACTCTGACACCACTATACTCACAAGTAGCTACACAGAATGCACCTCCACTCACCGAAAAGCAACCACATGTTATCTTTAGCTCTACAAATAACACAACCCCACGTACCTGGCGTGTAGGGTCCTCTAAGTTCTCTGTATTCTTTACCGCCCCACCAAAAACGTCACCCAACTTCGACCCTTTCTGGAGAGCCCTTCTCGCAGCTTACCCTCGCGAAGTTAACATGGGAATCACTCTTGGATCTCGCTCTTCCCCTGATACATGCGAGCTCCACCTGGCTACTAGTGCTGACTGTGAGAGAGCGTGCTCTCATCCTTTGGTAGTCGGCGTTTCATCTTTTCCCGCTCAACCGGCTGTTCCCATTGGCACAATTGTTCGCCGTGTTTTCCTGACCAAGCTTCCTCGTGTCCCCTATCCGGAACTTGCTACACAGCTCACGAAATGTATGTCTCCTTTTGGTAAAGTGCGTGAGATCGCCGTTCACGAAACGTATGGGTTTTTTGACGGCTCTGGATATGTTGTCCTTGCCAACACCCCCACTGACGAGGTGCCATCCGATTCCCTGACGTACCAAATAGCATACGACGCTACGCAAAAGATACTCGGTAAGTGGCCTTCGATGGGCTCCCACTGCACTTATTGCAAGGAAATGGGACACGAAGTCACCCAGTGCACTAAGCGCCCAGCCGAAACCCGAACGTGCTTTGGATGCAACAAGATCGGCCACCTGCAAGCCAATTGCCCGCACTCCTCCGATCCATCCAAGACTTCTAAGACCTCAAACAAGCGATCCCGTCACCCCCACCGCAACGTTAAGCTCGATCGACCTATCCGCGAGCCTAAGCCTCTGATTCCGACTGCACTCTCGCTCACCTACGGAGGATCCGAGGCTTCCAAGCACAATCCGCACAAACCTGCTTTGCTTGAGTCTGCAAAACTAACCCTACCGGCAACCCTCCCTGCCATCACGACAATATCTGCGACAACCACGTCCTCCGGCCCTCGTCCCCGAAGTCGTTCTGTTGACACTCCTGTGAAGGGCTGGGACGATGAGATAGACGACGACATGATCACTGACTTCACGGATAGAGTCGAGGCTCGGACTCTCCGTCTTCAGAATGCCTCTCGCCTCTCTCATCTCCGGTTTTCTCGGACAGTACGTCCAATAGGCCGCAACACATCCCTCTCACCTCCTCGCTTCACTCCCCCACATAGCAAGAAAGCCCTCGACGCAGAGGCCAAGATTAACCAATGATAAAAATAGGCACAATGAACTGTAGGGGTCTACCCAAAGTTGGACACCCTGAATCACGCTCCTTTTTTATACGCCACCTACGCTCTCAGGGAATTGATATACTAGCCCTGCAAGAAACCCATGCCTCCTCTTCTATGCTTCAAGACACTTTTGACCAACAATTTCGGTCATCTTCATCTTTATGGTCGCCACACTGTGGTGTTGTATGCCTCTCCCCCCATATTATTCTCACAGACCCTTTATTTAGTCCTTGCGGCAGGTGCATCATTACAACTGTCACTCATACTGACAATAAATTTTCTCCATTCAAGATGGGTGTCATCTATGCTCCCGCCTCTCGAACTCCCCGCTATGATTTTCTTTCTTCCTTACTGTCGACACCTGACCTCATTCCATCCAATCCTTCCAACTTCATTTTATTAGGTGATTTTAACCATGCCATTCACTCTAACTACGCTCTCGGACGTCGTGCCCCACTAGCGTGGCTCCAGTTTCTGGACAACCATATGATTGACTGTGTCACTCCTCCTGGCCAGAACCCACAACCCACCTTTCATCGCGCCTTGTCTTCCACTACAATCGACTATATTCTTGCCTCTCCTGATCTTCACCCTCGCACTACTGACTCCCAGGTGAGATATATTCACCAAAACTGGTCCGATCATTGCCTGTTGACCGTCCGCTTGGCTCTCCCTTCCACCCAATCCTCTGGTAAGGGACTTTGGCGTGCTAACCCCCGACTTGCCAGGTTGACATCTTTCTGCACCGACCTCAACACTCTTCTATCCACCCTCATCCCTGCCCTTCCCGCAAACCTCTCTCCTCAAGCACGATGGGACTCGATAAAGAGCGAAGTCATACGCTTTATCAAGTGTTTCTCTCGCCACCTCCGACCCTCTCTCACCGACCTGGAAGCAAGCCTGCAACAACGGAGAGACAGACTAATACACCGTTTTCGACACCAGCCTGCACAGAATTTTCAGCTGCCTATTGTTGAGCGGCTTCTGCAGCAAGTCCAACTTGAACGAGTGGAGATCATGTCCCTTAGGGCTGGGAAACACTGGCGGGAACAAGGTGAGACCTCTGCTGGATATCTCAAGCGCACCATCGCCACTCGTCAGTCACGCAAGTCAATTGCCAGCCTTTGCCACCCTGCAACAAACGAAATATGTTCCACCCCCGAAAAGATGACCGAAGCAGCTGCCGCCTTTTATGAAGGCTTGTATACCCCGGACCCTATCGACCAATCTGCTCTGGACGACCTGCTCTCTCACCTGCCTTCTGACCTTGGTCTGTCAGAAAGTCGGCAGACTGCCCTCACTCGTCCTCTGTCATTGTCTACTATTCGCTCTGGTGCGTCGCGCACTCCAACCTCTAGCAGTCCCGGTCCCGATGGCTTACCCTACGAGATCCTTCGCTTGATACTAGACCACCCAGTATGTGGTGATCTGGTTTCGGAAGTCTACAACGACGCCCTATCAAAAGGCATTTTTCCGGAATCCTGGCAATCCACCTGCGTTTGCCTGCTCCCAAAAAAGGGCGATCTCACCTCTTTGAAGAACTGGCGCCCAATTGCCTTGATCAACACCGATGCCAAGGTATTTACCCGATTGCTGAATGCTCGCATGATTCCCACGGTCACTTCACTTGTCTCTCCTTACCAGACAGGGTTCGTTCAGGGTCGCTTCATCGCCGATAATGGAATGCTGACCAGGCTGGTCATGGCACAAGCCGCCAAGGACGGATCAGCTGGTGTTGGACTTCTCCTCGATCAGGAGAAAGCATATGATAGAGTACATCCGGAATATTTTCGCCAAGTACTGACACACTTTCGATTTCCCTCCTCTCTTGTCACCTCGATCTCTAACCTCTTCTTTTCTACTAAATTGCAAATAAATGTGAATGGCTTCCTCTCGCGCCCTTTGCCTCAATCTCGGGGACTACGCCAAGGGGACCCTCTCTCCCCTATACTGTTCAATCTAGTTTTTGAGCCTCTACTACGACGAGTGATCCATGACCAGTCCTTCTCGGGCTTTCAACCATCTGTTCCTGCTGGTCTTTCTCCTCTGTCACCGATCAAACTCCTTGCGTACGCTGATGATTTACTTGTTTTTCTTTCTGACACAGGGCAGTTGTCTCGCCTCCACACCCACCTCAACACCTATGCTGCGGCTTCCAACGCCCGCGTAAATCTTCACAAGACGCAGGCATTTTCACTTTCGGGCTCACCCCTGCCAGACTGGCCCTCACATCTACGGACCCACAATATTACGGATTGGCATGACCGGACCTCCTCCTCTTCTCTTCGCTATCTGGGATATCCAATTTTCTCCTCCATTGCCCAACGAGACTCATTTGGCCAGGCCCTTCTTTCTAAGATTGAGAATAGCTGTATTCTACACGGCTCACGCACCCTGTCCTTCCGCGGCCGTGCCACTGTCATGAACTCTCTCATTCTCGCCCAACTTTGGCATGTCTTGCGCGTAGTATCCTTCCCCGTCTCTTTTCTCGAAAAAATACGCACTCTGATGCGCCGTTTCTTCCGCTTCCGTTCGTTCCCCCCCATTGCTTTGGACACCCTCTGCCTTCCTCGCTTTCAAGGTGGTCTTGGCATCCTCGACCCGATTACACAGCAATGCGCTCTTCAGCTTCGTTGGCTCAAGCCAATAATCCAGAACCCATTGGGTCCCCGTGGTTTGGTCCCCAAATGGATGGCTTCTCTCCTTCGCACTGAGAATACGGATTGTGATCCCCTTCTACTTTGGATCTTCCCAGACTCTAGACCTCGCACCCATCGCTCACTGGATTCGCCTCTTCATCTTGTCCTGAAGGCCATGGACCACCTCCCGCACAAGTTTGACGACGTCCTCACGAATCTATCCACGTGCCTTATGTTGCCCTTGTCCTCCATGGTTAATAGCCCTCCCTCTCATCCGCCCTACCGACAATCTTGGCGAGACCTGAAGGTTAACCACCTATACCAAATTGATCATAATTTGGACGTCCTGATGCCCATTGCCCCTGCTAGACCTCTTCCTCGATTTATCACTCTTAATCGTATCCTGCAAAGACTTCTCGACCGTTCACTTGTGGCTCACCCTATCCTTTTCAGAGCTTGTATTCCTACATTCATCCTAGAATCGCGACATTTGGATATGCCTCCTCGAGATGGGTCCCCCTTTGACTTTGATCCCTTCATCTCTGCTCTGGTCCTCGGCAAACCTTGGTCACGCTTGTCCACGCGCTCTTACCGGCTGACCTGTTCTCATCATCATGCTAATGCTCAACCACTTAGCCCCCATCTTAGCCCTCGCCAACTGCACTCTTTCTGGTCTTTCGCACTTCCTCACCGGGCCCGTAATGTTTGGTTTCGCGGCTTACACAACAAACTATCGTGCCGAGCTCTTCTGCACCACATTATGCCCTTCACTGTTCCTTCACCTCTCTGCAATATCTGCCAAATGTCAATCGAGACGCAAGAGCATTTTCTTCTTTCTTGTCCTTTGAAATCTGCGGTGTGGTTAGGCATTTGGTTAGAATTTTTCGGCACCGTCCCACCACCTTCTGCACTTTCCTCGGCATTCACATCCTTTCTCTTCCCTCCCACGCTGAACCCCAGTATTCCAGCCGCCTCGGTTTTCGGACTGACCATCCTTGCTATCTGGGACCACCATTGGGCACTCCACTTTAACTCTGCTCCCTTTTTACCTTCCTTGGTTCTTGCCACTGCTAGGAAATCAATCTCCCGCATCTGCTCAGAGCTCGAGCTTGACTCCGCTGACTCTTCCCTCGCATAACACCACATTAACATTTTAACAAAAAAAAAAAAAAAAAAAAGTTTAAATCACACAAAAACAAGTCAAAAACCAAAAAGCCAAAAACATCAAATAACCCCCATAAACCCTCAAAACAAATGTTGTAATTTTCTCTTTTGCCCTACTCATTCAGAGAACTTTAATAAATCTGAGCCTGTCACAGCTCCATACAAACAAAATTAAAAAATGAATAAAGAAAATGGTTTTTTTTTTTGCCTGGGCAAACCAATGAAGAGAAATCTCACCCCCCTCCTTCAAGACAGAGGACAAGACACCAGAAAGGCTCTGGTAGTGCTATACATCGACTAAAACTCTCCACTCGCATATCTTAACTACGGGAAGATATATGAGCCATACCTACCATTAGGTTCTGGCTCGTCAAAAACGATGATTAAGTACTTGTTGAGAAGTAAGGGTAGAAATGCCAATAAGAGCCGAACTTGCTCAAATTGATCACATATGCATCACCAACCTTTGTGTACATGTCAAGAATGCGAATCATCTTTAGTTCTTCCAACAGTGTAGACATACCAGAATATTCTCGCGCAAGTAGATAGTTATTCTTTTGAGCAATGTCAGTAGGAAGATCTATGTGAAGATGAATCACTTGGGAAGAAGAAACCTTTTCAATAATTGGATGAACGGTTTGGCTTCCACCGTGCATAGGCATGAACAAGGCAAAGGTATCGTCACAAAGTTCACTGTTTACAATGCTACCGTCATCATTGTTATCTGCAAACTCTCTGGAACCGCCAAACAAAACATTCCAAAACTTGTGAACACTAGCAGTGTAATCAATATATGTCTTAATACCTTTTCCACGAGACAATCTTAGTCCATTTTCAACGGGCCATGAACCGCCATCAAGGATATGTCTCATCATAGTTTGCTTCGCAAACTTTAGACCAATATCCTTAGAGGTATTAAGCTTGTTGGTGTGGAATAGGTGTTCACGTATATGCTTATTAAACTGCTCACCTTTTTCCGTTTCAAAATGCAAAGGGGTGCCAAATCTTCTGATGTTGTCTGGAAGGTGTGTCAATAAATGTGCCTTAAGTTTTGATGTGTATGGGTTATGTCTATTGAGCTCGCAGTTTTTATCATAAACCAGAAGCTGTTTGATAAGACCTTTAACAGCGGTGTCAACTTCATGAATATATGTTTCTAGACCAGATTCTATGGCTCTAACAAACACAAGTGAGCAAAGTTGACCAAGTTGGATAAAACATGGAGTAATGTTTTTTAATACAGGATTACCAGTAAATTTTATCACTAAAATGACTGGAAGAATCTGTATAAGACATTTGTAGTCTCTGGCAAGGTACGAAGCGCATCCACTAAGCAATCTTGTGAACTTTCGAGACATGCCTTTGGATTGCTTATAATCCTTCAAATATCCCATAAGTTGTCTTAATTCATCTTTCTTTACCAGCACTGAATTTACCAAATCATTTACCAGGTATTCTGCAATACCAAGAAGAATAACATGCAAGATCTCTATGGGCGTGTCTTGCAATGGATCAAATGATTGTAAATCCAGTAGGATCTGTGTACCCACTGCAAAAGTCCGCAGATATTGATTTCTAAAATCCCTCCAAATGTCTTACTAAAATATTCAATTTTTTTTAATTTTAATTTTTATTGTTTTTTGTATGTTGTAATTTCAGATCGCTCTTTTTTGGCTATAAAATTACACCACCATCACTTTCTCTGGCTATGAAATTACAACATTGCTTTTATTTTCTTTATGTTTTACACTTCTTTAATATAATTGTAAATTACACTAAAAAAATATTAATATGAAAATTAATATAATATTGAATAAGATATAGATATTCTTAAAGTTTTTTTTCTTTAAAATGAATAATTTATATATTAACAGTATTTTTTATATGATGTAAGTATAAATGGAAGAGCAAATATTTACTCAATGTATTCAAAGTGAAAATATATTAAGAGGAAAAAGCAGAAGTTGTTATTTCATTTTTACTGCAGCAATATTTTCGCGTGATTTCTCCCTTTCATATAAAGGGCTATTTTATTTAAAAAAAATCACATACTGTGAGAGGTGAGAATTCCTTTCACAGAATTTTGGGTGTAATATACAAGTCGTCATAAATCCAAATATAGGGTTTGCATAAAAAATACTACGGAAAGAAAAGATGTTATTTTAATAATTCGCGCAGCATACATCTTGGAAATTGACTAAGCAATATATGAATGGTGTTGTGATAAAATGCGCAGTAGATGTCTTGAAGAAAAACTTGGCAAAGTGGAAGCATGACATGGAGCAGTATTCTATCTATTTATAATTTATTTTTCACTATATAAAGGCCATGATTAAAAAATCTCAAAAACCATATCTTTTTATTAATTTATAACATCACTATGTCTAACAATCGAACAAGAAAAGATTATATTATCTGCATGTGCACTCGGTGCACAGTGTCTAATCCATCTGGAAAGCGTCAAAGAAAGCAAAACGCAAAACGACATTACAAACAATATGGTGCACCAGTTTTGGCAGCCAGTGCAATGGGTAAATAATATAACTAAAAAATGTTATTCTTGTGAATTTAATATAAATTATTCAATTAAATAGATATGCGAAATGAAAATGTTGATCGTATGGAAATAGACTATAATTCTGATGTTGATGTTGATTTTAATGTCAATGAAGAAGGTAAGAGAAAAAAAAACAAAGCGGAAAAAAAAAGTTGACGTCTAATAGTTTTTTATTATTATAGATTATGCTATTACTCTCAATCCATTAATCGACAATGAATATACTCAGCCAATTCACGTACCTTTACTCCAAGAGGTTGCGATTTTTTTTTTCAGAAGACGCAGGCCCGCAGTCATTTGTTATTGATGGTGATGATATTAAGGAGGGCGGAACAAGCTTTGGTTTTGAGAAAGACGAGGCCTTTGAGGATCCTGCATTGAGCTCGATGAAAATGCAAGGTATGAATTTTTACAAACCCTAAAATTCTTTCATTATAGCACTTGATTTGATCTCTAACCGAAATGTTTGTATTTGTAGCTCATCAGTATCCTTTGAACAATATGCCTGTCTATATCCGTTTTATGGCTATCTTCATTGTTATCTTTCATTTGGTGTTTCTGGTGGATAATGGTGAATCGATCCTCATCGAATTTTGCAATATCCTTCTTTCTCTTTTTGATCTTACTGGTGCTCTTCCCTTGACAATTGACAGCTTGAAACACATCACAGGTTTCAACACAGCAACAGGCGGAATTACCGTGTATGTGACATGCTCAAAATGTCATACAATTAATCCTCCAAACACAAGCACAAAAAAATTGTACATTCAAATTATTCACTCATTCAAATAACTGCAACAACGCCCTCTTTAAATCTACAAGTGGCAATCGTTCTTCTCCAGTGATGGTGTATCCGTACAGTTCTCTCAAACACGCTTTACAACAACATTTCTTAACACCGAATTTCGAATACCGAATCAACCTTTGGCGAAATCGTCAAACACTTGCAGAAACAAAAATGGACATATACAATGGCGCAATGTGGAACGAAATCAAAGACAATAATGGCAAACGATTTGTTGATGACGCCTGATCTCTAATGTTGACTCTAAACATTGATTGGTTCCAACCTTTTGATGGACGAACTCATTCCAGTGGTGCCATTTATCTGTCAATTAACAATCTCCCTCGAAGTGAACGTCTAAAGTCAAAAAACATTATTCTTGTTGGTATGATGCCAGGACCAAAAGAAGCGAGCACTGACAGTATGAACAATTACTTGAAGCCACTTGTTGACAAATTGCTTGAACTGTACAATGGTGTGAAGATGTCCGATAATAGCAATGAAAATATAACTGTCCGTGCCGCATTAATGTGTGTTGCATGTGATATTCCTGCTGCAAGAAAGACATCTGGATTCACAGGACATGCAAGCATATGTGCATGCCACAAGTGCCAACGTCAGTTTACCATGATACCCGAGACCACCCAGGTAGACTTCTCTGGATTTGAATATTCCACATGGATCAAACGTACAAAGGCCAGAAATCTGGATTATGCCAATAAGTGGAAGGAAGCCAAAAATGCAGCTGAGCGTACCCGACTTAAAAGAAGCAATGGCACTCGATGGTCTCAACTTCATTTGCTTACATACTTTGATCCTGTTTGGTGTACAATCATTGACCCTATGCACAATCTCTTTCTTGGAACTGCCAAGCGCATGGTGCAGATTTGGAAAGAGCTAGAGTACTTTGACAACCAAGCTCTGTTGGCCATGCAAGATCTGGCAAATGGTGTTGTTGTTCCACCTGACTATACACGTATCAACAAAAAGATAGCTGATGGATTTTCTTTCATGAAAGCTGACGAGTGGAAATCGTGGTGCCTTATTTACTCTCCTTTTGTTCTGAAACGCATTCTTCCAGTGAAGCATCTTTCCAACTGGATGTTTTTTGTGAATGCTTGCCGTTTATCACAAAACCCTCTGTTACTCCTGACGACATATCCAGTGCCTATGCCCATCTCCAATAGTTCTGTAAAGGGTTGGAAAAGCTGTATAAAGAATTCCCTGTCACTCCAAACATGCATTTACATCTCTATCTGGGCGAGTGTATTAACAATTTTGGTCTGATTTATGCTTTCTGGTTGTTCAGCTTTGAAAGATATAATGGGTTGCTTAAGAATCTCGACACAAATCAAAAGGGTGGATTCGAAGTAACTATGATGAAGCGTTTCTTGGAAAAGGCGTACGTTGGCAACTACATCCAATCTTTTGAAAAGAAATTCCCTGCAAGCACAGTTAATTTTCTACATAGCATCACTCGCAGTCAAGTTATTTTAGAGCAACCTTCTTCAATGAGCAGCTCATTTATATTGTCCACATTTGTTGAATACTCTATGAATCCTCGAAAATCAGTTATGGGATGTGAACCTTTGCCATCAGATGTGCTGTCATTCAAGGTCGAGCCAAAAATTGTCATGTGCAAAGAGCATTACGAGTGTTTATATCAATATTATAAGGACGCATACAACAGTCACAATATTTTTGGTCACTACACACCTACTGACATTTCTTTCATTTATAGTAATTTCTAACGGTACAGCTGTTTCTATTGGTTTAGAGTTCCAATTTTAAGTTGAACCTGTTAAGGCTCAGATTTGGGTGTACGAATTTGATATAAATGAGCCAAAAGTGGATTAGTGTAATGTTTTAAGTGTCATGATAAAATTTTAGATGGTACAAAAATCTGAAATGGGGGGGAGAAGCGAAGAGAGCTGGAAAAGAAGAGATTTTATTGGACAAACCCCATTGGGAAAAATACTTTTTTTTTGATAAGTCATTTTTTTTAATAGATTTTTGCAATGTTCATCAACATCCACCAGAACATGCCGAATTTTGCAATGTTGAGAATCTTTTGGTTATTGGAAGACCCGACGGACAAGTGAATATCAACAGCCTGAACGATGTTGATGTCATCTTTGTTGACTTCAACCAGGCCTCCAAGGGGCAGAACCACAATGTTGTTGTAATTGTCCATTACCATGGCTGGGGTATAGATGCAATTTATATTGCTGTTCAGAACAATTTGGTACTTTTGCATAAAGAATGCCTTCCTCATTCTGTCTGCAGAGTCTCTTGCTTGAACGATCTTTACCTGACCAAGGAATAATTGACCATTTGATTGAAAAACACCTGCAAGTGTATCGCACAAAGTGGGAGTCGACAACCCGGAATTGTCACTGTTGACACGAGAGCCAAAGAAATGGAGATTAAAGCATGGGAAATTGACAGGGGCCAGCTTGACAAAATCACCAATTGAACTTCTCACAGATCTTGTTCCATTACCAGCTGGTTTCTCTACGACATACAATCCTCCATTACAAAGATGCCGACAGATGAATTGCTTGCCAAATCTTGTAGCGACGTCTCAAGAGGTGGAATGGCGGTTGATCTTGAATAAATGTTTGCGGATGAACTTATTGAACTGTTCACCATTTTCAGTTTTGTATTGCAGCACGGAACCGAAACAAACAATGTTGTCAGTGATATGATGCAGAAGGTGGACCTTTGGCTTGAACGTGAAGTCTTGCTTAGAAAATCCTTTTTGGAGAATCTGGACATCCAGTTGAAAAAGCAGATCTGTTACATCAGTGACAGCGTGTTTTATCTGGGCAATATAGTAGTCGAAGCACCGGTTGACTCCATGCATGTACACCAAAGACGACAGGCAGCCTAATGCATGCAAGGCTTTAATGAACAAACTTGCCAATGGTTTGTCACTAAAGAGCTTGCTCATAATTCCAGGCAGGACTTGAATCAATTCCTTGAAATCGCATCCAACAAACGAACCAGTGTGGCGAAGCTTGTTCCTGAATGTTCAACTGTAACTCTTACAAGACTTGTAAGAGTTTAGAGCTTCCTGGAGTCTTCCCTTTTCACTTGTAGTCAGCATCTTCTGTTTCCAGAGAAAAGTCATCAAGTATTTCGTTAGGCCAAGAGGAATAATGTGGAGAATTTCGACATGCATGTCTTTGGTAGGGTCAAAGGCTTCGAGTCTAAGAAATTCCTCACTTCCATTCTTGATATAACTCAATTCTCACCTGTTGTGATGGTTGAAGTTGAAGAAGTTTTTAAGAGGAAGAATTGAAGATTTGAAATTAGGAATGAAGATTCGTGAGAACTTGTGTAGGTTTTGTTTATTGAGAAAAATTTTGTATCAAAGTTTGACCAGGTTCCTACACTGAACTACTACTGCTATTTATATTGTTTTGGATTAGGAAAATTATATGACTGGGGTCAGGTAATCGATCCTATCTGAGCCTTAATCAGAGCAACGTGATCTTGGGATAATTAATGTATGATTAATTATATAAATGTGTGTAGTCCCAATGAAGTATTAACATCGAAAGTAAATGTGTTTATGAGTTATAATTATGCTTATAATAATCCACTGATGTATCCCATATTATGGTGATATCATCATATGAAATATCATCACTATCATGCATGCTAAACCTGTGTGTTAAATAATAAAGTAATCGGTAGACACCTTTGACTGGAATAGCTGAGGCCTTATATTATTTCCTTCAGACTTATTCTCAATTACAGCAGTAGTCAATACTCATTTACAACAGCACCCATTGAGATATAGCTCTGACTGGGAATTGACATTGGCAAAGGCGTACAAGAAATCCCTCGTTCTTTCTTCTGACCCACAGTGGTCAAATGGAGAATACGGCGGAGCGTCAGGGATGGAACCCTGTTCAATATGAGGCGAAGGTATGAGGCATTTTTGGCAAAACTTCTTGGCAGATGTTCCCTTATGCATGGCAAGCTGAGATTGACGAGGGTTGTCACCCATAAAGAGCAACAGGGGCGCAACAATAAGAACTACTTCACCATGATCCTCAGGATATATCTCAATACCTTTCTCCAGCCTAACGAGGTCATCGATGATAGGGGGCAACATCTCAACGGCATTCAGTGTATGATTCGAGGTACAAATGAAAAGAGCATTTTCTCATTTGTTTCTCGTCTCAAGTGGCAACGCAGCAAAGTACATTAAGTAACTGTCATACTTGTTGTACTGCTTTGTTGAATTACCGGAGGTATTGTCGGAATAGAGATTAAGTGGGCAGACAACCACTTTCATCAAACCAGAGCCTGGAAGTCTTCTCTTGAATTCTTCAACATGGGATTTGTTGAGCCACAAGTCAGATTTAACACCAGTAAGAGCATAGGTGACAATTTCGGCAGGGGAATAAGAAACAGAGAAACCACGTCCAAGGAAAAGATCACTGTCTTTTTGAACAGTAGACATAATCCTATCAACTTCAATGGTATACTTCAGGGTAGAGACAGCAAAGTTCGTAGAGTTTCCAAACTGCAGGAAGTGTGTATCATCAGGATGGTTCAGCCGAGGATCGTGGCCACCATAAACCTGGAACGCATTGGCAAGTATGGATCCGTCCTTGGTGAAAAACTTCTCAAGAAGATACTGGTTCGGGGAGCCTTGGACTTCGACAACATCACCCACCCAGTAGTCCATTCCGTTTGAAGTGATCATCGGGTGCTGGAGCAATGGGTTCTCCTTCCACTTTTCGTCTTGGTTGAGATTCAACTGCTGGTTTTCCGTGAAGTCAGGAAGGGCCGAGATTTGAGATGATTTTCCGGGGCATGTCATGGTAAACTTGATGTAATCAGATGGTTTGTTCATCCAAAGTACATGTCGTTCATTGTCTTGGTTCACAACATCGAAACTGGCAGTAGGAAAAACAGGGATCTGGTTCTTTTTCTGCTTGTGATAGTTAATCACAGCATTTGGTATTGGAAAATCCAGTGCTACTCCAGATTCTTCACGGACATCCAAGACCATCTTCATGGCAAACATGATCTTCTTGATAGATCTTTCTGAGGCAAGATCTTCATTGCCGTAGAAGAGAGCATGTAAGATAAACTCTACTTTCGATTTAAACGGACGGGTGGGTCCAGTAAAAATGTCAGCAAAGTCATCGGGCCAGTACAATATCTGTCTGCTGCTGTCTTCGTTCGAGTAGGCATTCATGGCATGAGAAAGAGATTGGAAGGTTCTCATTTCTGCTGCCATTCTAGCGATATGATCCTGGCTATCATATTCTACTCTGGTGCATGTCTTCGTCGTCAGTGGTCTCATAATAGTCATCTGATGAATCACTGTTCAGCAAAAAAAACAGGTTATTATCTATTTCAATATTGCATTACTAATTTTTACTTATGATAGAATGTGATCATCACTATATTCGTCTTCGTCAGAGATTTCATGGCCATATGTGTCCTGAGGGTTTTCAATAATAAATTCCATTGGGGCAGGTCCATTATTACTGTTCAGGTTGGTAGTGGCAGTGGTAGTGGCAGTGACAGTGCTTGCAGAAGAAGAAGGGCCATCAAACATAGCAGATCTAATGTTAAGGTATACTCAATTTCAGCTTTACATTACATAGTATTTTTCATCCTACTTTTAGGATTAACTTACCTTCTTTTTAGAAGTTTCTCATACTCCCCCATTTCGTTTGGATGTTTTTTTGTATAATGTCTTCTGAGGCCTTGCAAGGACCCTAACACTCTTTTGGTTTCGCAGATGGTGCACACAAATTTTCGGTTGTCTGTAGCCATTGGTGTGAGGAATGTGTTCCTCTTTGTTGTGAAGTGATTTTCTATATTTAAAAATCTTTGGAACGAAAGATGTAGAAAAACGTAAACTAATTCGAGGTATCATATCTTTAATCATGCAAAAAATGACTGCTAAAAAAATCATGTGAAATAATGTGAGCTAATTTTTTTTTGTTTACTTGTTTCCTTCTTTTTCTTTTTTTTTCTCATGACTGAAAGGTAAGTTTCAAGCGTAATCTAACAAGATGATAGCGTCCATCATACCGAACACCCTCAGTAAGTAATATATTTATTATGCCCTACTTCATATTGATACTAATATATATTTTTTATTAGATTCTATGGAGATTCCAACATGAGATTGTATTAGGAAGTTACTTCAAACTATGCCAAGCTGTCTGTTGTGGTATTATAAGGTGTCTACTCCTAACATAACTAAACAAGCAGTTTTTTCCTTTACTTTTGTTAATAACTTTACCCTCATCTCTTTAGGTAAGTCTCATATATCACTGTCTGTCTAGTATAAAAAGGTAATTTACCATATTATTTACTTCAAAGGTCATAACACTAATACTTTGTTTCTGTTTAATAGTTGCTCTTCTTTACTTTTACCATGTCTATCTCCCAATCTATTGCATAAGAGAGGCTGCTACACTAGACTAGCTACTAGTATATAGAGCGCGTAATCCTAGTACTATTTTTTATTGAAACCAAAATAAAAACATTTTTTTGAAACATTTTTTTTGAAACACATTTTTTGAAACCCTATAATTGCAATTATTAGACCCCCCATTTTTCAGATTTTTTGTATCCATCCTTTTTTCCATTCACGGTAAATTCGAGCGGACACTTCATATTCCGCTTTAGGAAATTTTAGTCAGGCCAACTTTAAATCTAGCTTGGACATTGAGTTTAAAAAAATCTCAGTGGGTGTGTACTCAGATTGCCGTGCTGGCCAGATTTTTGTTAATAATCGTTACTGTAGAAAAAAATCTGCAAGTACTTGCAAAAAAAATTGCACATTTGCAAAAATTGTGTAACTTTGTAAAAATTATATTGACTATATCTAATTTAGGACTTGCTAAACCTATTTAGACATATTGAGACGGATGTTAAAATGAAAGCTTGATCACCGAATATTCAAGATAATATATTAGAAAATGAAAAACATATCAGTTATATTATTGGCTTGCTAAAATCATTGAGCGCGGAATATCATCTCTGTCCTTTTCAAAAATAAAATATCTTTATAAGGCACAATCTGAAGTACAAGCACCCTTAAACCAAATCACAGCAGGATTCTCAAAGGCGAAAAATGACTTAGCAAAAATTCATGATTACAATCACAAAATTCAACTATTGTATTGGAGCTTAGATTTTTTTTACAAAAATAAACATTGTGCTTTTTAACTCTACACTAACTTTTTGTTTATTTTTTTAATCATCATAAAAGTAATGATACTTTCTGACTTTGCTGCATACTAAATACCATTGTTACAGGCCAGTACTGCTACATAGATGTAAACATCAGTGAAAAGGTATTATTAATATTAAAAGATTTTAATTATTAATTACTAATGAAGCTTCATTTCGATTATAAGTAGGCTCACATCATCTAGACTATCAAAGGTATGCATACTCAAAATAAAAGAATTATTAGTATAAAAAACATAAAATACAAGGCTTTGCATTTCTTCATGTTTATTCAATATCAAAGGTATGTCATTTAAAGTAAATTAAATTAAATCACAAATACTAAAGTTCTTTTTTCTCTTTTCCTTTTTCTTTCTTCTTTTTCTTTATGTATAAATTAAAATTATATCAGTTACTGCTACCATTTCTCTGCCTATTCTATATAATGCCTTTCAATTAGCTAGCAATGTTTCTATAAGTCATTTAAGTACTTAGACGCGTATTAGGCTCTTTATTCCCAATATTTTCAACTTGGAAAAATAAAAATAAATAAAAATTTTCAGCTATAATTTCAGCAGAATTCTATTTTTTAATTGTTTTTTTTTATGAATTTGAGTATCTGTAACTTCCTAATAAGGGCATTGATCCCCAAAAGTATAAAAAACCATTGTAATACAAAAAGGATATTCTCTAAAGCTATTGGTTAAAATAGGGTTTAAATCATAAGAATATATGCTTCTTATTTGCTGAGATAGGTAACACTATTAGCTAAATACTAAATTCCTATTGGTTTAGAGCAAATCTGCAAGTATGCATTTTTTACATAGTAATCTGCATTGGCAGAATTAAAAATGCTGCCATTTCTTACAGTGCGTATTATAAAAGTCAAGCAGATATCCCTTCTTGGCCAACAGTATTTTTCTGGTTCTTACTTTCAAGCCCTTTTTGTTGAAAAGAAAAGTGAAGACATTTCCGCATTTCCTGGCCGCATTTTATATCTATTTCAACACACATTGAACTTTGATAACATTGATGTCATTTATACTTTTGCCTTTGTTGAATAGTATGCAAGTTACTCGTCAGGAAATGTCCAACCACTGAAAAATAAAAAAATTGAATTGTGGCAAGAACTATCCAGTTTGCTAACTTATGAGAACATCATTCTTGTCTACCAATTGTACTCACCAGTTGCTGTAGCAAAATATATGCCTACAATAACAAGTGACTTTAAACGTCTAGTAATACCTTTACCTAAAAAATTTGAATATTAGCATATAATAATAAAGATCACTATAAATCCAGTATTTTATTCTTTCAAATAATTTTTTTATTGCAAAAGGGCTTTTTTATTAGTCTTAATTCTTTGCCTAAGAAGGCAGTTTTTTCATCTTTGCATTGGTAAGCTTCTTTTCTCTTCTTCCAAAGATCTTTCTGTCAAAAGAGCGTGTCTGGCTACCTTTTGGAATATTCTGATAAATAGCATCAAGTTCTTCTATGAAATTGTCACCCTATGCATTCATATAAGTAACATTAATTATTACTAAAAAAATTGTACCTTTTCACTTCTCCAACTTGAACGAAATCGCCCAAAGACTTGATCAGCAGAAGATGAGTTGTCTGCAACTTCGCAATCAGTCTCCAGGTCAGACATGTAGTCAGCATGAAGAAAGTCATCAAGACCCTCTCCATACGTTTTGACAAAGTATTCCCTATCTGTTTCTAAGGCTAAAGCTCTTTTGTTTTGTATCTGTACATTTTTATCTTTTATTATTATTATATTTGTAATAAGGAATATGCACTTATTACCTGAACACGTCTTTGGGAAAGACATTCAACTTGGTTTGTTTCTGCAGTTTGATCGCCAGTCTTCTTTCTTTTCAACTTTTGGCTTGAAATATAACGCAAAACCTTTATTTTGATTTTGCCTGGTGTAATGAGTTTGCCCTCAGCCTGATTACGAAGGTAATCTACAACAGACTTGATAATATGTCTGTTTGCCTCAAAATATGTACTTTGCGTTTTATCATATTTCTCATACAACTGTTCTTCTTGTATGTACAATTGCAATAATTGCTAAAAGAATTCAACGATGAGTAATTCATTTAACTACAAAACTAGCTTGACTACTTACATCCAAGACTGGATAGCATTCAGGTGAGAGAGCTTGTTCAACAGCCTTGCTTGCTTCTGCTTCTATATCTTCAGAAGTAATAGTTGTTTTGCCACTACGCAAAAACGTATTGACTTCTGAGATTTTTTCGTAAATCTCGTCAATGGTATGGTCATCACCTAATGAAACCTGAACTGTGTTCAAGCAAGAACTTTTTGATGATAAATCTGCATCAGAATTATCAATCCCCTGAGATCTTTTTTGCATCAAAGCAAAAATCTTGCCAGCATTTCTTGATAAGTGATCATAATGGTTATGATAAGTAAAAATATATTATTTTAGAAAAAGAAACAGCATATTATTACGTTTGCTCAGCAGAATCAATGTTGCTGCTATTATCATTAGCAGTAGTAGTGGTGGTAGTTGTGGTAGCTCTGGCAGCCTTGTTAGCTTTTTAGAAGTGTATTTTCTTGGCATGGTAAACAATAAAGTATAGTAGCTTTTAAAACATATTTTTTTTATTTATACCAAGTTTGATTTGGGCTTGACGTTTGACTTTTCTTTTCTTAGGGAACACAAGGAGAGCTTTATGTTTTTATTTAACTGAATAAAAATAAATATGTTTTATATCATAATAGTAATATATTTATGCTTTGCTATAGAGTAGTTATTGATTTTAATATTCTTATATGTCTGCTAATATTACTGATACTTTTAATATGTCAATTTTTGTTAAATAGATTGAACACGATAAGCTGTTATTTATCACCATAAAAGCCAAAGCTTATTTTTACTTTGTTTTAATAAATACACCCACATCAAAAAATATTAATTTTTTTTTAAAAATTTATATTTAATGGAACAACTGCGTCCCTTCTTTTCTTTTACTTCACTTTCTTCTCTTTTGGTTTTATCTTTTTGGTCACTTTAAATACTCTGTTAAGTTTACTTTAAAAAACTGAACGTTTACTAACCCATTCGTATTTATATAATTTTTTTTTATTACATATCCTACATGTCTTTCATAAAAAAAATACACTGTTAGCAAGTATCTGAGAGGTTCAGGTAATTTTTTTTTCAAACACAATATGAGTAGCTTGTTGACTTGTTATCTTTTTAAATTTTATAATGCTAGTTTTGATAAAGTAAGCACACTTCTTTATTCTTTGTATAATACATTTAATTATATGTTCACAGTTCAGTCAAAGATAATAGCAATTATTTTGCAATATTCAATTATCTCGTTAATCATTTTTTTATTAAAGTACCATATAATTTTATCCCAAATTATATCTGACTACCTATTGTATAAACTCGTGTCTATAATATGTAAGTATAATACTTATTTTAATGATTTGACATATGCTAACAACCGTATTTTTATTCTATACTTTTTTTATTGATTTATTTAACACTACGCCAAAAAAATAGGAGTTTTAGAGGTGGTTTCACAGGTGGTTCTGGAGGGGAAGCCAGGGCATGTTTTGTGTCCTCTCCCCTTTTTTCCAGCCCTGAGTTCATGTGCATTTTAATACATCTCCACTTACCAGTAGTTTTAAGATTCTATTAATATATTGATAACCTTTTCTTTTGCTAATATTTGTCTTTCAATTGGACAAAACTTCTTTAAGTATAGTTGAAATATTATATGTCATTGGTTACTACTAATTCATTATTCTTTTAATTTAGATTCTTTTAAATATTTCTTGCTTAATCATTGTTTTTATTGGATAAGACATAATTGTACTGTAGTGTATTTTATAAAAATACATTTTTATTGGTTTCTTAAATGGATATATTTTTTATTTATTGTTTTTATTGGTTATTACACTACACAATTACATTTTATATATCACTTTTATTGGCTGTTATGATAGACATTACATTTTATACATCATTTTTATTGGTTATAAACAGTCAAATACATCATATACTTCCAATATTAAATATACTACTTTACACTGTAGTGGATAGTTACTTACAATTGCCTCCTTTGACGGTCTTTCCAGAGATGACTGATTCTTGCAATGGATGCCCAATTTTGATGGCATCTGGTGAAATCTACACTAATTCTCTTAAGCATGTTTGCATGTTTATTGCAAATCATTGTTCAATCACATGAAGATATGGACCCCAACTAGAACGAGGGCCAAGAGCTTGTACAGAAGGAAGAGTGGCTAACTCATTACATATAAGTTTTGTATAGGTCCTGAGTATTGTTTTTTTTATGCTGTAACCTTGATTCCAAGATGTTGACTCATTATTTGGTAAACATGTTCTAAAGTGACATTACAAATGTTGATCACAGGTTTGAAAACAAACCCACTTGAAATCTATTGAAGTTAAAGTTAGTTTTCAGCAATACTGTTTTGAGTTGAACTTACATTAATAAACAAAGAGAGATTTTGCTTTGGAGATCCTTTGATCATTATTTCATTTCCAAGGCTGTTAATATCCATCTTAATTTGTTCTTGATTGGCACGTAAGACGGATAACTGGAGCTGAATAGCTAGGAGTAAAGATTCGATAATGTTATCTGTGTCATTCATATTGCAAATATTGTTTACCTGAGAAAAAAGATGTTGTTGTGAAAATAAGATATAAAGAAAAAAAATTCAATTATCTATTATTAGTTTCATAGCAATATAGCTTGAATTTATTGGGTTGGTTTCAGTGAATATCAGTTTTGCTTACTGTGCTTACATAACGACATGATATATATATGTTTTACTTTTTTCTTCTGAGCTTATATTCAAGTTACTGCGCCATTATTGTCTTCAAGTTAATCATTATAAAAGAGTTCAGACTTGAAAGCGAATATCTCTATTCTTACTCATACTTCAAAAGAATAAATTCAAATTAACAAAATGTCTACAATCACTGTTGTAAATGAGTATTGACTACTGCTGTAATTGAGAATAAGTCTGAAGGAAATAATATAAGGCCTCAGCTATTCCAGTCAAAGGTGTCTACCGATTACTTTATTATTTAACACACAGGTTTAGCATGCATGATAGTGATGATATTTCATATGATGATATCACCATAATATGGGATACATCAGTGGATTATTATAAGCATAATTATAACTCATAAACACATTTACTTTCGATGTTAATACTTCATTGGGACTACACACATTTATATAATTAATCATACATTAATTATCCCAAGATCACGTTGCTCTGATTAAGGCTCAGATAGGATTGATTACCTGACCCCAGTCATATAATTTTCCTAATCCAAAACAATATAAATAGCAGTAGTAGTTCAGTGTAGGAACCTGGTCAAACTTTGATACAAAATTTTTCTCAATAAACAAAACCTACACAAGTTCTCACGAATCTTCATTCCTAATTTCAAATCTTCAATTCTTCCTCTTAAAAACTTCTTCAACTTCAACCACCACAACAATCACAAAGCTTTCCCACCACGAGTGCAGTATCTTCCACAAACACTACACAAACAAGAAACTTGTAGCCAAGTGTGAAGTTCAGTGCCTGGAAAAAAGTTTATAAAGAGATGAATAACACCCAAGGTTCACAAGTTGCTTCTGTTTCTGAGCAGAGTAATCTTATCTTGAATTTTGCATCTAGCTCAACCTTGGAGTAAGTCTACAAATTATAATGATGCAACTAAATAAAATATATTAATTCTTTAATAATTAAACAGAGAAAACACCAACATGAGCATCAACGAGGATATTACTCCTTCCGTTATCAACGAAATTGATGAGCTCATGGTAAGAAAGATAAATATACAAATGTATTCAATGTACTAATTATTGTTTGCCTTATTAAAGTATGATATTGAACATGAGGATTCTATGGAAAATGATTTGGCAATTATGGATGTTACTGAAAATGCCATTGACGATACTCCTCCTCAGTTGGTCTATGACTTTAGTGCTTCTGTTCCTGTTCCTGGCTATGACGATACAAAGAATCTCGAGCTTATGAAGATCATAAAGGAGTTTGGCATTTCCCAGAAGGCCCACATTAGTCTGGCAAAACACTTCAATGAAATTCTCAGCAGATCAAGTGAGATATTATACAGAGCTTACACTCCCTACCTTGGTACCAAGCTTCTTTCTCGATTTCTTGGTGTCGATGAGGAGACATATCACGTTTGCTGCAATGGGTGTATGCTGTACAACAATGATCAGCAAACGGAGTGCCCACATTGTGATGAAGCCTGTTACAAGACCAGCAAGAGAAGCCAAGATGCTGGTGAGAATTCAATTCCTGCCAGCACAATGATACAGCTTCCTCTGGGTAGACAGCTTGCAGTTGCTTTGGCCAACAACTGCACCAGAAAAGAGATGTTGTATTGCCACCATCATATGCAAAAGGCTGATGGCAGCATTTCCGATGTCTTTGACGGACAGGCATACCAGTCAAAGAAGCATCTTTTCTCAGGTGAAAACGACATCGCCATTTCACTGTCTGTTGATGGGTTTGCTCCCCATAGTGTTCCAGGTTTGGTAACCATTGTCCATGTTATCAACCTCAACCTTCCCTCAATGATCTGCTACAAGTGCAGCCATATGATCCAAGTCGCAATCATCCCTGGTCCCAAAGCACCTGCCAACTTCTGGTCATTCCTAGAGCCTGTTCTGAAAGAACTTTGGGTTCTCTAAGCCGGTAGAATGGTTGTGAAGACACCATCTGAAGATATTAGTGCAAAAGTCTATGTACTAATGACAACTGGCGACATTCCAGCTCTGGAAAAGATGGCTTGTCATGTGGGCCATATGAGTAAGGATGGCTGCTGCATCTGCCACGTTGTGGGTCAATCTCCTGGCCATGGCCAATATTTCCAAATACCATCTGCTATCACTATATGCACACCAGAAAGTTTCAAGCACTTTGATAAGGTAGCCTCATCCAGCAAAAAAGGGTTAACTGGCCAATCTCCCTTCTCCTTACTGGATTCCTTCTCTGATCCATTCTTCTTTGCATTAGATGAAATGCACGGCATTTGTCACAGCATTGGCAAACAGGTCTGGGGGCTCGTGTGTGGCAAGTATGGAAAAGATCATCCTCTCTCTCTCTCCCTTGCTGCTCAGAAAGAAATTGGTACTGCCATGGTGTCAACCAGAAGAAGTATTCTGACATCTTTCCATGATGCATGAATTAACATCACAACAAGATCAGGGTACTTCCGGGCTGTGGACTGGGCTGACTTCATCTTGTTTGTTATCCCCATGCTTGTGGCAGAGCATGTCTGTGACCAAGCTGCCTGTAAGGCATTGCTTGACCTGGTGCAGACATGCAACCTACTCATGAGCTGGGAGCTATCAGCAGAGGAGAAAACCTTGATCAAAACGTAAGCTTTAATTATAATTAATATTACTATTTTATAACTTGTGTTAACTTATTTTTTTTAGAAATCTTGTCGCATGGAATGTGTATCTGGAAGCCTTGCTAGCTAAAGGAGAGGTCCAGCTCAAGGTCTTTACAATCAACCAGCACCTCCTGCAGCATTATCCCACAATGATAGAAGTGTATGGTCCCCCCAGAGCATATAGTGCGTGATCTGTCAAGAGGGTGATTGGGGAATACTTGCGAGCAATAAAGAGTAATTTGGCAATTGGAATCAATGCTGGCAACATCATGCTTGGCTTGACACAGATTCGATAGATGAGAGTTGAAAATTCAATAACTACAACAGCAACAGTAACAGCAACAACTCTTTTTCAGTATGACAATCCCTCTGCTGGTTGGCCAGTTGACCGAGAAGGTAGTAATGTTGGTACTGATTCTGACATTGAGTTCTGGGGGCCTTTGAGGAACAGAACAATTGTTGATAGTTGTGGAGGCATTTCTTGTCTTCCAGAGCTTCTTCAAAAGTTCTATGAACCAAAGGGGGAAGAGTGTAGTATAATTGAAGCAGCCATTAAAACAAGCCGTAAGGCATTTGTAAATGGTTGTGTTATTGACTCTGCACTCGACTATAATTGTGTAAGAGAGGCACATAACGTCAGACTTCAGGTTCAGGTTGATGAGAACCGCAACATTGGGCAAAGCTACTCTCCAGTCTACAAGGATTTCTTTGGGAAAGTCGTCGTTTTCTTTGAGCACAAGCTCAACAACAAGAGGTGGCCACTTGTTCTTGTCAATGTTTATGCAGTTCGTTTGGTAAATAGTATACCAGCAATAGACAATGGGCAAATGAAGCTAATGGTAGTTCACCTGGCAGATATCAAAGAATTAGTTGGTTTGGTGAAGTCGGACATGACTATAAACACAATAACAACATATGTAGTGTGGCTAGAGCTTAACCGTGGCCCAAAACTGTCACTTGGTTCTCTTGCAGACTTATAATTTTTTTTTCTTGTAATACATTATTTTTTTTCAAATTGTCTTAACATATTTTATCCTCCCAGCAAAAAGTTTAGATATTTTTCTCTCTTTTACCTCTGACTTTTAATAGTTATCAATTGCAATCTACATTTACTAAAAATGTAAAATCTGTAGTTAAAATGTACTTTTGTCTATCAGAAGATTTAATTTTAGGTAGTCAATCTGCTTTTTGTCAACCTTTTCAAAAAACAGAGATTTTCTAGTTTCAAATTGGATTTTTGGTGATTTTTTAATTATTATAGGTCAAAAACAAAGTCACAAATACAAAAAACCACCCCTATTTGTTGTAGTGTAATAATTAGTAATCAAAACATTATTATTACTTTTTGACAATTCTATTGCAGATATTTCAAAATGTCTTAACATGTAAGTATCCATGCATATATCTATAAATCAATAGAAAATATTAATAAATTCATTTTTTATTTTAAATGCTTAAAATATAGCAGCCGCAAAAAAAAGTCTAAGGAAGTCTAAAGGAAATGTCAATAATATCATCTTCAGTCAAAAAAGTATAAAATCAAAGATAGTTACAATGAATACATGAAACTGATAAGGTGGGAAAGTGTAGTATAAACTGCGTTATCAAGATCTCTCAAGCTATCCAATGAATGGAGGTGTAACAGGTATACAAATACTACTATCCAAATATGTATATTTAAAGAAGTATTAGTAGTAAACATTAAATAGTTAAATTGTTTTTCCAATTATTCAAAAATCAATAAGAATCAATTCTTCTATGATATTCTATTTCTAAAGCATCATCTTTTGATGATGTCAACAAGCTTTCTAAAGCTTTTAATGTTTCATATCAATAAAATAAAACGTATTGACATATATTAGACATATATTAGACATATTCTGGACATCTTTTGAACAAATTTTAGACATATTTTGGTAGAATTAGCTGAAGTTAAATAAATATTTCAAGCATAAGAACACTTTTTAGAGGTGGTAGTATTAAATAATAATCTATATTTAGCAGGATTTAAACACAATTCTTCATAATAGATAAATTTATAGCCAAAATACTAAAGAATTACAGTATTTTAAAAGCATACAGTTGTTATTCTGTTCATTAATATTGGTCATATATTAGAATCTAAATGCTTATCATTTAGTATATCAGCAGTAATATATTGGAATCTAATATTATATATATATTATATTTTAATCCTATTTTTTGGATATATTTTAGTTAAATTTAAGAGTCTAAAATCCAAAGTCTCTTGCAGTAATAGTAAAAATAAAATGATGAATAATCAATACGGCAAGGATAAAATATATGAATAAAAATATGGTAAAAATATAATAATAAAGATACTGATATTGTGCAGAGATGTCAGCAAGATGAATTATGTGCATTGTAGAAGAGGAATGTTACTAGCATGGGGTACCATAATTTCAAATGAGTACAATGTAGACAAATATATTAACAAGGGAAAAGAAAAAAGTATTGTGTGTAGAAAGAACAAGGAATAGAAATGAGTTTTTTCCTGTGCACGGTGTTATGTATGAGGTAAAAATAAGATATAAAATAAAACAAGTGCAGACAAGAGTACGGTGAGACTTTGTTTTATTAGAAGAAGTGAAAGAATCAGAAAAGAGATGCTGTTCTATTGCTATTAGTATTGTGCGTTTATATAGACATTGTATTTAGCTTGGTGATGATATGATGATATCATGTAATGTCTGTTTCTCTACCATTATCTTCTATGATTTAGTTCTTATGTTTTTAGTGTTATTGACTAGAGTCTTAGTATTTGTCTTAGTATGTTCTTTACGTAATTTCCTTGTATAAGGGAAGATATATCTTTTAGTATCATTACTAGTTGTCGGTAACTCAATGTACGTATTTATTGAGTGTCTGTACTTTTAATTTAAATCTACGATTATGTTGGATACAACACATGGAAAAATTCTCTTCTTACCACCGAGGGCACAGCACCACATCAACAAACCGTTGATGTCAGCCTCTCATAACCAGGACAACATATCACAACAAACCGCTGGACAAACCTACTGAGCAGACTGACCTTCCAGTACTGGACACCACAACATAGCCAAATGCTAGACTTGTTTACAACGCATGTAATAAAACTGACGCGTGATGTGTTTGTTTGTTGTGGATTGTAACAGTATCACTTGGCAAATAAATGTAATGTGAATTATGAAATACAAGAAGAAGAATACAATAAGAATGGAAAAGAATAGGTAATTTGACAGGTAAGAATTGGTGACAGACAGGTAGAAAAAATAGGGAGAAGATTAAAATGGAAATTGTGACAATGACAAAGTCTAAGAAAGACAGAAAATAGAAAACAGAGAAATGAAATATATCAAAATCGACAGACAACACTCTAAAGAACAAGAACACTGTATATAAATGAAGAATAATGATAATAACGGACAAAAATAAATAAGATCAAGGATAGAATGATGATTTTATTGATTGAAAAGATTGTTCCTTTTATAAACAAAAATGTTTGTTTAAAATAATTTTTGAGGAAAAGAAAAGAAAGTCAAGTGAAAATTTTTACTACATGTAACTGGTGTTAATAGTAGAAGTAGAATAGAGAATTATAGAGAGAGTAAATTAAAAGTATAGTAAAAATATAATAATTGAATAAAGATAAAGTAAAAATATAGTGAGGTAGAATAGAAGTAAAGTAATAATATAATAACGATATAGTAAAGTAAAGTAAAAAAAATATAATAATAGTATAATAATAGAATCTAATAAAATGTAATAAAAAATAGTGTAAAATAAATGTCGGCGATAAAGAAGTATATAAAATTAGGGGAAAGAGGTATAATGTTTTTAGTGGGTGACAGGTGTTTCTGAGGTGACGATGTAGATGGGCATTTTAATTTTAAGGAATGAGATTATATTGGGGGGTTTAGGTATAGGGGTATCGGGAGCAAGATTTCCCAAGAAACCTGGGAGACCACTCTTGTCCCTCGAGACACGTCACTCGGTCGATTCACCGTCGACGTCAACGCCCACGAGTCCGGTACCACCTGTCATGGCTCACCGCCAGACCAAACCACCGAAGGAATCCACCATCCAGTATCCCTCACCAGAAATTAGCCAAAGCCAAATGTGTTTACAGCACACGTGACAAACTATATCTTCCTCAATGGTCTAGTGGCTAGGATCCGACGCTCTCACCGTCGTGGCCGGGGTTCAATTCCCCGTTGGGGAAAACATTTTGTCAAAATGTTAGCCAGTTTGCTATCTAAGAGTGTCAGACATTATTTTGATGAATCTGTAAAATCTGAAGATAGTTAACCACAGTATAATGACTATTTCTTTAATTAAATATAAATAATAACTACTGCGGATAATGCGCAGTATTAGTTTAGAAAACTATATAAGACAATTCAATTCATATCAATAAAAAGTATATTTTATCCTCTCTTTGATTTTACATATACTCCTTGATCCCCAGTGGGTTTGACCTTTTGACTTTGTTATAGTAAAAGGAAGATTAACCCAGATTGGGAATGACAAGAGTGTCATACCCAAATTCTTGTCAGCCAATCTGGATGACAATTATACAGAATTCTCTTTTGAGAACAACGACCAAAGTGATTTCCTTTTGCTCACAAAAGAATTAGAAAGCACATAGCTTAACAAAAGTAGAATAGAAACCAAAACAGACATTTATAATAACTGGGTAGGTTTAGAAAAGATATAAAAGAGGACATTATTTCATTCAATAAAAGTTATCTATCTTTCTATCCTGTTTTTATTCTTTTATTTTTGTTTACAATTCCCAGTAGATTTTATCAATTTTGGCTGTGCTATAGCAGTGGAAGAACAATCTAGATTGAAAAGGACAAGAGTATCTTCAGCAGTAGCTTTTATACCGCATTTAGACTTTTAGATAAAAGTTATTTTCTCAGCAATTCCTTTTATTTTATTTTATGAATAATTTATAGTTCTAAATTTTATATAGCTGCTATATTTGACAGAGATTTAAAATTTTTAGCTGAAAACACTGTCAAAAGTTATTTAAAAGTTAAAAGAATTAAATTGCTGAGTAGAGTGGCTTTTTTTATATAAAAGTGACAATTTTTGATCCCAGATAAAATAAAAGTTAGCCAACTGCTGAAGATGCTCTAAGCCATTAAACTATTGATATACACACTCACTGATTTTTTTTATTTATAGTAATTTCAAGGGTGCCAAATGATTTTATTGGCTTAGAGAGTAAATCTTTAGTTTAACATATTTAAATTCAGAAGTAGCTGCACAAAATGACTAGAATTGTAACAAAAAAAAGAATGGCTGTATTTTTCAGAATATTATTTTAATTTCAGATAATACAGGATTTTAAAATGAGGGGAGAAATGAAAAGGTATGAAAGAAAAATTTTATTGGTCAAACCCCATTGGGAAATAGTTCATTTTTTTTTGTTAAGTCATTTTGTTTAGTATACAATTTTGGCAATGTTCATTAGCATCTATCAAAACACACCAAACTTCTCAACGTTGAGCAGTTTTTCTCTGCTATTGTTGCCATGCTGCAAGTGAATGTCTATAGTTTGGACAACTTTAAGTTCTACTTCACAAATCTCTAGGAGATGGCCAAAAAGAACAACAAAAATGTTATGCACATTAGCAGTTATTACAGGAGGAGTGTATATTCATTCAATACTATTGCTAGATATCATTTGATAGTTTTGCATATAGTATTTTTTAACAAAATTATTCATAGTGTCTCGCATAGAAATTGTTTTGACCTGACCAAGGAAGACTTGACTATTTGCTTGAAAAACATCTGCAAGTGTATTGCACAAAGTGGGAGTCAGCAAGCCGAAATTGTCACTATTAGGCTGTGACCCAAAGAAGTGCCTTCTGAATTCAGAAGATACAGATAGTTTCTATACATATTTTACAGCAGTTCATCTCACTTGCTGACTTATTCTATTCATGTTCCGCATTGCATTGTAATTGTTGTACATGAGTATTGACTACTGTTGTAATTAAGAATAAGTCTGAAGAAAATAATATAAGACCTCAGCTATTCCAGTCAAAGGTGTCTACCAATTACTTTATTATTTAACACACAGGTTTAGCATGCATGATAGTGATTATATTTCATATGATGATATTACCATAATATGGGATACATCAGTGGATTATTATAAATATAATTATAACTTGTAAACACATTTACTTTCGATGTTAATACTTCATTGGGACTACACACATTTATATAATTAATCATACATTAATTATCCCAAGATCATGTTGCTCTGATTAAGGCTCAGATAGGATCGATTACCTGACCCCAGTCATATAATTTTCCCAATCCAAAATAATATAAATAGCAGTAGTAGTTTAGTGTAGGAACCTCGTCAAACTTTGATACAAAATCTTTTCTCAATAAACAAAACCTACACAAGTTCTCACAAATGTTCATTTCTAATCTCAAATCTTCAATTCTTCCTCTTAAAAACTTCTTCAACTTCAACCACCACAACAGTAATATCAGCCATTATACAAATAACAGCAAATGAATTGCTTTTTAAATCTGAAAGCAACATCTCAAGAAGTTGATTGTCTGTTTGTTTGGAAAAGATGCTCGTGAATGAACTTATTAAATTGTTTGCCATTCTCTGTCTCGTATTGGAGAACTGATCCAAAACAAACAATGTCTTCAGCTATGTGATAGAGGAGGAGAACTTTGGGCTTGAAGATGAGATCCTGCTTGGTGTGCTTACTCTTTTTAATATGTATGTCCAATGCAAGGAGCAGATCAGCCACTTCATTTACAACATGTTTTATCAGAACAATGCAATAATCAAAGCCTTTGCTTATTTTACGCATATACAACAAAGATGACAATTTAGCAACTACATAGAGAGTCTTGTGAGAAGTTCGAATTTGCTATTTTCAGGAAAAAGTACTGTTGTAACATTTGGGAGCACTTGCATCAGCTGTTTGTAGCCGTGCCCAACAAACAAACCATTATGACAAAGCTAGTTTCTGAATCTTCTGTTATAGCTCTTGCAGACTCTGTAAGAACTCAGAGCTGGCTCAAGCCTTGCAATTTCTGCTGTTGACATTCTTGAGAACTTAAAAAGATAAGTGACTAGATACTGTGATAAGCCAAGTGGGATGGTGTGAAGAATTTCAATGGGCATGTTTTTTATTGCATCAAATGCCTCAAGTCTGAGAAACTCTTTGCTGCCGTTCTTGCTATAGTTTAGACCACACCTATGCTTATACAATTCTGAATCTGTATTGACAGTGACAAAAGCATATAAGAATTCCTTTGTTATTTTTTCAGCTCCATTATGATTGCCTGGAAGATAAGATATCTCTGCTGTGTTGTCTTTTTGAGTGCTTTGGGGTGCTTCTAAATGACATTTCCTACAGAAATGCTTTCTCAATGTTTTACTGTGCATAGCAAGTTGCGATTGCCAAGGATTATCACCCATGAACACCAGCAGAGGAGCTACAACCAGAACATCTTCATCATGATCTTTGGAGTACATCACAATTCCTTTCTCCAATTCCACAAAATCATCAACAATCAGGGGCAGCATCTCAATAGCATTCAACACATGATTTGAGGTGAAAATGAATATCACATTCTCTCAATTATTTCTCACCTCAAGAGATATCACAGCAAAATAGATGAGATAGCTATTGTATTTGTTGTATTGCTTTGAAAAGTTTCTGGAAGTGTCATCAGAATACAAATTCAGTGAGCAAATAACTACTTTCATTAACCTGTCTCTGGGAAGTCTTATCTTAAATCTTTCAACAAAGGACGTGTTGAGTCACAATTGAGACTGAATACCAACAAGAGTGTCATAAACAATCTCAGAAGAGCAGAAAGAAACAGATGAACCACATCTGAGAAAAAGATTGCTGTCTTTCTGAACAATAGACAGGATCTTATCAACTTCAATAGTATACTTAAGGAGGGAGACAGCAAAATTTGTGGATCTATGACACAACCAGAAGTAAGCATCATCTCAATGACTTAGCATAGTACCATGATCACCATACACTTGGAAGACATTGGCATATGTAGATCTGTTTTTTGTATAAAACTTCTCTAAGAAGAACCGATTTGACTACCCTTGTACTTCAACAACACTACCTACCCAATAATCCGAACCTTCAGATATAATCATTGGGTTTTGAAACATGGGATTTTCCTTGTACTTGGTGCCTTGGTTGAGGTTCAACCATTGATTTTCAGTGAAATCAGAAAGTGATGACATCTGCGCCGTTTTTCCTGGACATGCCAGAATATGCCTGATATACTCAGATGGTTTGTTGATTGAAAATTCATGGCATTGGCCTTTTCGATTTACGGCAGTGCATGTTGTTGTCGGAAATACTGGGATCTCATTCTTCTTTCACAAGTGATAGTTTATCACTGCGTCAGGCTTTGTAAAATCCAATTTCTCTATTGCAAACATGATTTTCTTGATCGATCTTTCAGAAGAAAGATCTTTATTGCTATGGAACAAGACATGTAAGATAAATGCTGCCTTGGATTTGAAAGGACTGATATATTCAGAAAAACACTCAGTATTGTTCTCTTGATGGTAGAATGTTTGTGTGCTGCTATCTCCATCCAAATAGACATTCATGGTTGCAGCTATAGGGTTAGCACCTATAAAAACTGCTTCCATTTCAGCATCAAGATTCAGAACATCACTTTCAACATTAAAGTCTGCACTTTCCCCATTGCTTGACATGACTTCATCATCACAAAAGTACTAGTCAAGTAAGTCATCACAAGATTGGTCACTATAAGTAATTAAATAAGTGGTAAGCATTTGTATTTTACAGTATTAACTAAGAAAGCTCACTTTGATATATCATCCTCACTATCATCAGAAGTACACATGCTATAGAAATTCTGAGGTGACTCTAAGATGAACTCCATTTGCATAGACATGTTGTCAGTTTCTGGGGTGATGACTGCAGATGAAGACGGTTCTCTCAAGTTTACACTGCTAATATTGGAGTAAGTTCAAAACTGGCTGTATTTTTTTAGAATTTCTATAATATAAAAGATTACTAACTTTCTTCTCAAAAGAATTCTTTCATATTACTCAGTTTCCTTTGATTGACATTTATTAAAATGTCTTCTAAAGGCATTTAACGTCTCGTATATCTTTGGCTTTGAGCAAACAGTGCATACAAGTTCTCTGTTTGCAGTAGAATTGATGCTGAGAAATTTATTTCTCTTTGTGGAAAAAGTGTTCTGCATGTTCAAAATATTGAAGTGCAAGAGGTAGAAAATGCTAATTAATTCCATGCCCACAATATCCTTAATTATGCTAAAAGAAGACTGCTAAAAACAGTCCTACTTGAGAAGATACCAGATAATTTTCTTTGTTTACTTGCATTCTTTTCTTTTCTTTTATGTTTTCATTACTGTAAAGTAAGTCCAAAGTGTAATCTAATCAAAAGTTATTCTTTACTACATTTAAAGCACTCAAGTAAGTACACTACATAATATGTAGCTTTTTAATTAATATTAATTCAAGATTTTTAATAGATTAATAATTAGATTGCAATATAGAAATGTAATAAAAAATTACTTGAAGATTTTTTAAAATATTTGTTAAGACTTATAAGGTATGTACTCAAAATATAACTGAACCAACTATGATCTTCACTCTAATTGTTGTGGTGGTTGAAGTTGAAGAAGTTTTTAAGAGGAAGAATTGAAGATTTGAAATTAGGAACGAAGATTCGTGAGAACTTGTGTAGGTTTTGTTTATTGAGAAAGATTTTGTATCAAAGTTTGACGAGGTTCCTACACTGAACTACTACTGCTATTTATATTGTTTTGGATTGGGAAAATTATATGACTGGGGTCAGGTAATCGATCCTATCTGAGCCTTAATCAGAGCAACGTGATCTTGGGATAATTAATGTATGATTAATTATATAAATGTGTGTAGTCCCAATGAAGTATTAACATCGAAAGTAAATGTGTTTATGAGTTATAATTATGCTTATAATAATCCACTGATGTATCCCATATTATGGTGATATCATCATATGAAATATAATCACTATCATGCATGCTAAACCTGTGTGTTAAATAATAAAGTAATCAGTAGACACCTTTGACTGGAATAGCTGAGGCCTTATATTATTTCCTTCAGACTTATTCTCAATTACAGCAGTAGTCAATACTCATTTACAACACTAATGATCATGCCAATATTTAGGTAAACTGATCATAATATGTTTGTATCTATCCAATATCAAGATAATTTCAATGCTTTTTATTAGCAAATAACATTTTAATAATTTATTTTTTTTCTTTCATAGTTAGTTTTCCTATATCTAGTGTTGTGTTGGTTGAAGTTGAAGAAGTTTTAAGAAGCAGAATTAAAGATTTGAGATGAGGAACAAAGATTCATGAGAACTTGTGTAGGGTTTGTTTATTGAGAAAGATTTGGTATCAAAATTTGACGAGGTTCCTACACTGAACTACTACTGCTATTTATATTATTTTGGATTGGGAAAATTATATGACTGGGGTCAGGTAATCGATCCTATCTGAGCCTTAATCAGAGCAACATGATCTTGGGATAATTAATGTATGATTAATTATATAAATGTGTGTAGTCCCAATGAAGTATTAACATCGAAAGTAAATGTGTTTACAAGTTATAATTATATTTATAATAATCCACTGATGTATCCCATATTATGGTAATATCATCATATGAAATATAATCACTATCATGCATGCTAAACCTGTATGTTAAATAATAAAGTAATTGATAGACACCTTTGACTGGAATAGCTGAGGCCTTATATTAGGGTGTTTCAGCAGTTTTAGATGTTTAGATTTTACTTTTGCAGTGATTTAATACAATGACCAATGACAGCTAATATCTAAAAAATCAATTGAGTGCCCTTAACAATTACTTATAATATAGAACTTACTATATTAGGATATTTTAGATAAAGATATCTATAGATGAAGATATCTATAGATGAAGGCATCTACAGATATAGAAATTGAGCTTTAACATTACTTTCAGATGCTATATTATTAAATAGATGTATTCTATATAAAATCCTAATTTAAATAAATTAATAAACATAACTGTAAAATACACCTTTCTTACCCTTACATTTCTAATTTAAAATATAAGCACCAAGAACTATATGTCTATATATATATAAAGTATACGTCTTTACAAATATATCATGTACTCATATAAGATTATGTAGCCATCACCAGAAGAAGAACATTCAAACGCTGGGATAACAATAATGGTGATAAGCCATCATCCATCCAGATTCTCATTAATTGGCTTACTGATGTAAGCAACTACTCTTGCTGGAAAGATGGTGATTCTAGTGGTAAAACAAAAGAGGTTCTTTGCTCGGAAATCAGAGAAATCATGGTCGAAAATGGTATTACCAACCGGAGTAATGGTGACATTCGCAGCAAGATTCAGTACTTGCATGATAAGTTTAAGGATGCCACCAACTTTCTAAATGGAACTGGGCAAGGCATTCTGAATGATATTGATGAAAGTGGCAAAACTCTAGAGGAAGCTGCAAAGACACTTGAAGGTATACTTGTATGCTCAATTTATATATCAATAAAAGAGGGGCTTCTAATAAATAATAAATTTTCATTATGGCTGTTAGAGAAAGTAAAGCAAAAATGCACTTACTACTATGACCTTAAGTGTGTAATGCTTCATAAACCATCAGTTAACCTGCCATTTCCAATGACAAGTGGTGACCCAATTGATGTCTCTGGGGTGTACAAAGAGGCTTGTAGTCATGAAGAAGTTGATGCTGAAGATGAAGTAGAATTTGACGCAGAAGTTCAAGATAATGAATAATTGGACAAGACACTTCCAGTCTACCATCTGTCTGCCATGTCTTCCGGTTCCCAAAAACCTTCCAAGTGGGCCAGACAAACGATTGATGCAAGCATCTCAGAGATTGTAGAAGAGTCTGTCAAGCTGAATTGTATTCACGTTGAGCTGATGCAGAAGAAGTTTGAAGCTGAAGCCGAGGTTAATGAAAGACAGCTTTGCCACCAGGAGATTGTGCATGAAGACAGAATGATAATGGAGGAGAGGCAGCTGAACATTAAAGCAAAGTGGGTAGAGAATGAAGCAAAGCAGTTAGAAAATGATTGTATTCAAAGCAAGCTTCAATACATTGCTAAGTTGGAGAGTTTAGAACTTTCCAAAGAGTATATATTGAAAAAGTTGGATATAAAACTTTAATAAAACATATTATATACTAGACAATCAAGTTATGTAAGAGTAAAAATGCGTTTGAGGTTTATTGTTCCAAGATAATGTGCTTTATTCTTTCCCTCTTATCTTTACCCAATTCTACTTTATATAAGTTTTCTCTATGCTCATTATCATTCTTATCCTCACTATCATTCTCATCAGTATCATCATAAGAAAGTCCCCGGAGGTTGGTATCACCACGTTTCAATAAAAGGTTGTGTAGGATACAGCAATATCTAATCTATATCCCAATCTTAGCCACATCGTATTTGTTTTTCACCAAGATCCATAAGCTTTTCAAGGATTGGAACCTCCCTTTTAGAATACCAATGCAATGTTCAATCTTGACCTGTGCATTGACATGCTTGTAGTTAAATTGCTTGTTTTCTGCTGATATCAATCCATTTTGCGGCTTCTTATAGGTAGATATAATGATATGACTCGGTGCATATGCTAAATCCCCCAACAGGTATTGATCCCCAGAAAAATATTGGCCAGGATTTCTTGCCATATGTGTATTTGCAAATACATGAGCATCATGGGAGCACCCTGGCCATCCAGTATGACAATATCTTATAACCTTTTCGTCATCACATATAATGGTTGCTGAAATACAGTAATGAGACTTTCAACTGTAAAAGTCTTCTCCTTTCCAGGTTGGCTTATATTCTAGGCCAATCAAGATTCCGTCTACAAAGCCCAGGCAAGAAAGAAAGCATGTTGTCTCTTCAATTCTTCTACTGATATTGCTACGGTCTAACTGATCAGGCCAAACCACAGTGCTAGTCTCTAATGACATTATGACAGTGAGAAATCTTTCTGTATAGCAGCAAACTGATCCTTCTATGCAATGAGATATATATAAGTATCAAGGTATGTACACTGCATATAATAGTTGAGAAACAGTAAAAGTTATCACTGATACACATTGATTGTGCAGTGCAACCCACAGAAGCACCATTTCCATGTGTACCTAGCCGCTCTAAGACCACCATCATCTGAATCATTGGTTCTGGCTGCTTCTTGCGGGGATCACTTTTGAAAACCCAATGGCTCTTTATCATTCTAAGTATTGCATGGAAAGAGTATTTATTCATGCGGAATTCCTGTCTGAATCGGTCATCATATAATTGATATAAAAGCCAGTCTATTCTGCTTGGAGCTCGTTGAATACGGAGTCTTGGGGAAAGGTATCTGTTTTCAAGCACAATCTGATACATTAAAAGTTCAGAGATGTCCTTAACGATATTTAATATGGATGTATTCAGAGAAAGCTGTCTTTCGATAAGCTTTTTGAGAATCTTCTCTTTCAGATCTCTGAGAATAATCTGTCTATCATTTAATGTAGGCATTCTGAATAAGAGGTCAAGTTGTTAAAAGAAAACGTAGGGAAGAAACAGAGAAAACATAGAGAACATAATCAATTATGCTTAAATTTGTTTGTTAAAAAATTAAATTCTGCAATCTCTAAACCTCAATCTATAAACAACTAATGATAGTGCCTAGTTGTTTATAGATTGAAAATATCTCAAATTTAGATTACTGATATCCAATCATTTAATAAATTAAATCACTGTAAAAGTAAAATCTAAACATCTAAAACTGCTAAAACACCCTATTATTTTATTTAGACTTATTCTCAATTACAGCAGTAGTCAATACTCATTTACAACATCTGGCTTTTAGAATATTCAAAGTATTGTTCTATTCTATGTATGCTATTGTTATATAATAGCTACTATTGCAGAGATTCAATTATTGTAGAATAGCTACTATTTTATAGGATGCATAATTTTAAGATTATTATTTTTTGAAATCAATAAAATATTTTTTAAAACAATTTCTTTTCCATAATTTCACCCTCATCATCCAACCTCCCATATTTTCTGCTTTTGATAAATCACTTTTTGAAAAAGTTCTGTGTTTCCTTGTTCTGTATAAGAAAATTTAGCGCGGTCAACTTTATTTCAAAAAACAGCAGCTGGTCTTTAAAAAAACCAGTAGATGTTTAGGTGTAGATTAAGTAAATTTCCAAATTTGTGAAAATATTGTAACTCCGATGTTTTTCTTCCTTTTAAAGCTATCTGCTGAAGATTTATTGACTATCTAAGCTTTTAAAGCTAAATCTTAGCCTCTGAATTCTTAAAGACATATTTACTTCACATTTTTTAAGTTCTATAGCATAAAATATAGAAGGAGGCCCTTGGCTAACATGTAATATAATGTCAATCAGAAATGTAAATTAGTTCTTTGTAAAACTTATTATATTTGACATGATATCAATTATTAGTGTGGTATTTCAGATACCAAACAATAGAAAAAATAATAAATTTGATAATAGAGACGTATAGAAATACTTTGAAACTGTATATAAGTTGTCCTTTATTCATAAATAAAAAGTGTTTCTTTTTATAAGAAAACACAATCTGCTCTTGTCATTATGTCTTAGTTTCTTAAGACTTTCTTTCTTTAATATATTTGATTATTAGAGTGTATTTACTGCTTAACTAGTGTCAGTGTTACAATTGTGACATCAAGTCATAAATCATACTTCTTTAGCTCTTAGCTATTCTTTTCTCTTTTACCCTAAAGCTTTAGGACTTTTTACTAAATTAACTCCATATCAATCTGACACAGTTTACCTGGCAGTATGATATAATTATCTTAACAATCTTTAAGATATTATCTACAGTACTAACTGTAATAATTATTGGGCTAATTACTTAATCATTTATATATATTTTATACTGACAAGATGATAGCTACTACGCTATCCCAATATGAGTATGTTCTTATATGTGATAAATCCAACATCCAAGTGTCTGGATCACCACAAGTACTATGATATTGATGAATACATATATATATATTAATTGATTCTTTTAATCAAAGAGTATTAACCTGCTTTGTATTAATATTGTTATGTCTGATTTCTACTTTTGAAAAAACAGAAGACAGATTATCTGCAATTCTCAAAATCTATCAAGATCTCTAATGAGCATGTGGGCAATCTTGACAACTAAATTGTACTTGACGCATATATTTTTCTGTCCATTCTTCTCAAGTTACTTACTTTTGTCAACTTTGCTGATTCGTATTTTATTAATACAAGCCTTGATAGTTATTAAGTATGTTTTTTTAAAGACGTTTGATAATTTAGATCTTGTAAAAAAATGAAATTAAAAAAGACTTACAAAATAAAAAAACAACAATGTATTAAAAAGTAGACACCGTCATTACTTTTTGGTGGCAAAAACTTCTTTAATTTCAGATTAAAAATATAAGTAATCTGTAGATCATGTTTGTCTCTTTCCCAGTTTTGTAGTCTGATAAGCAGTTTCATATACTATATTTATCTAAAATAACCTTCTGGCTTAAAAGTAGAACAGTTATATTTGAATATCAGCTTCTGAGCACTAAAATAGATTTAACACATACTAAACTTAGTAAGTCTGTGTCAGACTTTTCTAAGTTACAAGTTTTGGGCAGAAAGTTATGAGTATCAAAAAATACCCGAATTTTTTTCCACAGTGTAAGTCACAGAATCAATACCACTGGAGATTGTCAAGTTTATAACTAGTTTTTAAATAGAAAATAAAGATGTTTTTTATTAATTATATTTTTTGACTATTTGTATAAAATGATATTTTATTTTTAGCTAAAAGAATAGCTATAATAATATGTCTTAGATACTTATTGACTAGTAATATTTCCTACAAGTATATTCACTATATTAAACATCTAAAACATATATGAAAGACCAATTGGCAAAATCAAAATCTTTTATCCTAAAAAGTCAATTATTACTGATTGCCTGTAACTTCCAATTTTGGTTACCAATATCAACTCTGACATAAAAAGGTTTCACTACAGCAAGATGAATGGCAGTTGGGCCGAAAGTAGGCACATAACTGCTATTTTTTTTTAGTTGAAACCTACTAAAATCTCTGCTATTTGTTGTAGAATAATAATATCATTGGTAGAAATTTAAAAAAGTAACATGAAAACACTTTTTTTGTTGCTGTACAATATTTTCAATAATGTAAAAAATGTTTGTAAGCTGTAATGACCACTTTGAATACTAAAATATATGTTTTATTGAATATCAAGGATGTCAATAATTATTAAGATTGTTGTGGTGGTTGAAGTTGAAGAAGTTTTTAAGAGGAAGAATTGAAGATTTGAGATTAGGAACGAAGATTTGTGAGAACTTGTGTAGGTTTTGTTTATTGAGAAAAGATTTTGTATCAAAGTTTGACGAGGTTCCTACACTAAACTACTACTGCTATTTATATTATTTTGGATTGGGAAAATTATATGACTGGGGTCAGGTAATCGATCCTATCTGAGCCTTAATCAGAGCAACATGATCTTGGGATAATTAATGTATGATTAATTATATAAATGTGTGTAGTCCCAATGAAGTATTAACATCGAAAGTAAATGTGTTTACAAGTTATAATTATGCTTATAATAATCCACTGATATATCCCATATTATGGTGATATCATCATATGAAATATAATCACTATCATGCATGCTAAACCTGTGTGTTAAATAATAAAATAATCGGTAGACACCTTTGACTGGAATAGCTGAGGCCTTATATTATTTCCTTCAGACTTATTCTCAATTACAGCAGTAGTCAATACTCATTTACAACAAAGATTAATAATTTTTAGAATGTGTGAACAAAATAGTAACATAACTACCATTTTTTATTTTTTAAACTATGTTCTTTTTTTTTTAGATATTCTTTTCATCTTGATGAATTGGCAACTTGATTTTATTTAAATTGCATAATGGCATATAAAGCATGTAGAAAATGAAGAGAAAAGCATAAGGTGTATAGAGAATAGAAAAAAACGAAGTATATAAAGAAGAAAAGAAAGACAGGGCATATAGAGATTAAAAAAAACATAAGATATAAAGAGAATTAAAAAAAGAATATAAGATATAAGAAGGATATAAAAAATATAAAAGATATAAAGATATAGAGCATATAGAAAAATAAGATCAAAATAAAAAGAATTACAGAATGAAAAGATTGCCTTTAATAATGTATATGTTGTTGTTAAAGATATAATAGGGCGCAATTACATAAAACTGGTTTCCATTTGGTGGGTATTAGATCAGACCAACTTGATGACAAATGTCATTTATGTGGTGATCCAGACACTCGGATGTTGGATTTATCACATATAAGAACATATTCATATTGGGATAGCGTAGTAGCTATCATCTTGTCAGTATAAAATATATATAAACGATTAAGTAATCAGCCCAATAATTATTACAGTTAGTACTGTAGATAATATCTTAAAGATTGTTAAGATAATTATATCATACTGCCGGGTAAACTGTGTCAGATCGATATGGAGCTAATTTAGTAGGAAGTCCTAAAGCTCTAGTATAAAAGAGAAAAGAATAGCTAAGAGCTAAAGAAGTACGATTTATGACTTGATGTCATAATTGTAACACCGACACTAGTTAAGCAGTAAATACACTCTAATAACCAAATATAGTAAAGGAAGAAAGCCTTAAGAAACTAAGACGTAATGACAAGAGCAGATTGTGTTTTCTTATAAAAAGGGACACTTTTTATTTATGAATAAAGACAACTTATATACAGTCTCAAAGTATTTCTATACGTCTCGATTATCAAATATTTTATTTTTCTATTGTTTCGTACCTGAAATACCACAATTTACACTTATAACGGCATAAGTTGGTTGCATTTGGTGATCTAGTGTGTGAGTGCTTTGTGACCGTTGTTTGACAATAGATACTGATCAGGCATGGCAAGTTATATCATATTTCTTTATGACCTCTACAAAAGCAAGAAAGTGTGGGAAGCCATGGAAATCTACATGTTGAAAGTAGAACTGTACTGTACTGACGAGCCAGCTGTGAACAATTATATTATGTCTGCTAAAATAAATAAATAAATAGAATATAAGCAACTTTTGACCGTATATCAAAAAATATTATATTCACTTTCTATAGGGGCAAGTAAACATCACGTAATGGTTGCCACGGCTGGTCTCGTTTTTCTTTCTTTGGTACATGCATAAGGAATATACAGTCGAGTCTATCCACAGACATGCAGCTACAACAACAACAGAGTCACCAAACTTGTGGCCAGTCAAGCCTGTTGTTCTCCGGTAGTATTTTAATAAAGCTTCCTTCACACTAGGGCCGCCTACACCTTCCACCAAATCATTGTTCAAATTAACAAACTGATGAAATGGCTCCCACAACTGCGCACCACTAGGATCATTAGGAAGGTCCATGTAGCTCTCTCTTCCATACAGCTTTAGCCGAATGAGGTTGATTTTATCACAGATGCTGATTGCCATGCTGGTATAATTGTGAATTGCAAATTGCTTGACAAGAAAACTGGCGTTTTGGCCACCCTTTGATTTGGATTTTATTAATTTTGAGAAGATGCCAATTACTCTCTCTATTGAGTGAGTGGAGTAGCATTGCAAGGAGCCTTGCTGCTTGATGTTATAGGGTATACGGACCAGGTAATGTTGCACTGGTCAGAAAACACTACGAGACAGAGTATTATTCTGGACTTGTTGGTATAAAAACGAGTGCCAGTTCTTGAAGTATCTATTATTAATATTTAAAAAATAGTAATAATCAGCTATTTGTAATGATAATATATGGGACGTATAATAACTTACGACTGTTGTATCCAACATAATCATAGATTCAAATAGAGCGCACAGACAATAAGACAAAGACATATTGAATAAGCGACCAGTATCAATTATACATTATTTCTCACACTATCATTAAATAAAGAATATACCAATAACAAGGTCACACACCTTAGTCAACATCACTAATCACTCAAACAAGAGCGTGGGTAATAACTTAACAATATATTATCTATGATATAAGAAAACAGACATCACATGATATACTCATATCATTATCCTAAATACACACGCAATGTCTATATAAACTCACATAGCAAATAGCAATAGAAGATCATCTCTCTTTTCATCAATAAACAAAGTCTCACCGTACTTCTCATCTGCACTTTGTTTTTCTTTCTTTTCTAAAAATATAACACTGGCATCCTAATAATAATAACAAATAGTTCATAAACAATACATTGATATTTATAGTAGTTTTACTGCTCTTCAGGCCATTGACCAAAGGTCACACTTAGCATGCCAGTGTGTGGCAAAATATGCCACAAATTTGACGTGGCCAGCAAATCTGGAAACAAATTCCTCGTATTGCTAGTTAAATGCCTCCTTACTTCTGGCATGCATCAGCAAGTTGAGAGCCACCCGATCTGCATCCTGTTCACGCTTGCTTTTGTGGGTGGCTCCAGTAATTTTTACCTACAGTATTAGTTAAATATAAATAATTATTAGTAATATTTAAGAATAAGTATATTAACATAATTTACATCTTTTTTGATGTGCATCTCCCGTGCTCTCTTAATGTGCCAGTGGCACAAAAGGACCTGGACAGATTGGCCAAAGACTTCCTCCAAGGCACCAATCTCAACTGGGCTGCAGTCAATCATCCCGCACTTGACACGCAGGCTACAGTTGGATTTAACCCAATTGAGCCATTGCAACAAGGTTGTGATAAACTCTGCGTTTGTTACAAAGAAGCAAACAGGAACACCCTTGTTGGTAACGTTGCTTCTCACAACTATCATATACAGATACGAGTGCTTGCTAGAATCTACCAAAGATTTACAGGTCTTGTGAGTTGAGTCAATGCACTACTCATCCGCTGACTCGAGAATCTGTTGAACAGTTAGTAATATTTTATTTTAAATGATTATTAAATTAAATAATATACCTTCTTCTGTCAAGGAGAGATCCACGAAACAAGGTATGGCTCATTACCTTCATGGAAGACAATGTGAACCAGGTAGTTCTTTTCTTTTCCAAGAACTCAATCCATTGCTCAACGCTTGTCTTGTCAATGGCATTTTGTCTTAAAAGGTTGTTCAGACGTGCATTGATGACGTTTTGAACATCATAATAGTTAATGCGAAGAGACATTGGGAAGCTGACAATATCAATACCTCCTTCGAGCTATAACACAATTAAGTTAGTAATTAAGATAAAAGAAAACAAATTTATTAACTCATCCAAGTGCTGAGGGTTGATTTGAAGCAAAGTTTTGATTGCCTTCCAATTCATGTTGTTGTCTACATGGGAGACAATCCACTGCTTGACCTCAGATGGGAGTCTTGACCACACCATCTCTTGAACCTTTTCAGACTGGTGGGTTACATGCTGCTACAGGTAATCTACCTGGACACTCCCATCATGCAAGGTTTTCTTGGTAATCTTGGCTTTGCAGCCATCCTTGATGGATTCAGTTCGAACCCTCTTTGCTTTTGGCTTTCCAGCCATTTCTTGAACCTTGGTCTTCTTGAGGAAGCCTTGGTGGTCACAGACAAAGTATACAGCTGATACAACGTCTCTAGGACTAGCTGTACCAGTAGCCTGGGAAAAGTGAGTGTTGGTTACATTCCAGTTGGAATTTCTCTTGGCCGAGTTTTCAAACCAAACAGTAAATTTCTTTTCATCAGCAAAAGTCTTGGTGACTTTGGGATTGGCCATCTTGTAATCTGGGGCGATTTGGATCATATGATCATCATTAATGTCATTGATGGATAATCGGGTGTGGTTGGAGTTGCTCATTATGAGTACAAAGGTTTTGAATACAGGGGAAAGTGTAAGTGAAGGAAAAGATGTACCTGAAATAATAAAAACAATAATAATAACAAAAAATGCCAAACCAAAAAAAATCTGGTGAGTCCAAGAAATGTAAGACTGCTTCCAGTTTTGAGATTTTAAACTTATTGGGATTTTCAGTCGTCGGCTTTCATATAAGAAAAGCCTTTTCCAATCTTCAATGTCAGCTTTGTATAATCCCTCAGAAGGACCATTGTCTCTGCGATTTTTTCCATGGCAGCAAACTCTTTGGCTCCAATTGTTTTCTTATTAACCCACTGGTCCATCATTCTCTTTGGCATCCCCAGGAATAAATTATGCATGGGATCAATGATCGTTCCACGTACTAGATCAAAGTATACAAGGCGTTGCAACTGCGACCATTGAACACCATATTCAACCTCCAGCTGGTGCCTTTCTGAGGGTGTACTCGCACTCTTCCACTCCTTAGCATGCAACCTGTTCTCTACACCATTACGAATATTCCAAAGAGATTAATCAAATCCACTGAAGTCCACCTGATTTGTGTTGGGCAATCTGGGGAACTGGGTTGTACACTTGTAGCACACACATGTACTATTGTGGGCTGTAAATCCACTTGTTTTCTTGGCAGCAGAGATGTCACACGCAACCATCAGCAAGGCAGCACAGACATTAGCACCAGAAGGGCACTCGTAGGTTGGGACTTGCATTCCAACATACAACTGTTTCATCTCGTCTACCATGGGCTTGAGATAGTTATTTATCTCCTCGCATCTTGGCTCCTTGGGACCAGGCATCAAACCAACCAGAATTGTGTTCTCAGGCTTGAACCATACCTCTCGAGACAGATTATTTACAGCTAAGTAAATTGCACCAGAAGAGTAACTAACTCCATCAAACGGCTGGAACCAGTCTATGTTGAGTGTCAACATCAATGAGCGAGGACAAGCAACAAATGAGACATCACTTGCATCCTTCAGCTCTTTCCATATTGCTCCATTGTATATGTCGCACATAGTATTGACAATCTTAAGCTCTGTGTTCCAGTGACAGATTTGCTCTTCAAAACCAGAACAAAGGAAAAGAACAGACAAAGCTTGCTTAAGGGACTGGTACAAGTATGCTCACTTTGATACCAGTGCACCTGAAGTTGACTCTTTCATCAACTTACAACCACAAGGAGAGCGTGCACCAACATTTGTGAAAGCACAATGGGGAGATATGGACATGTTTTCTTCATAGATGCAATGGCAGTTTGGACATGACACAAATCGCTTGATGCCTTTGGTGATAGACGAAAAGCCAGTCATTTTATGTAGCCCAGCCAGACTTTCAGGAAGTTGGAAATATTGTCCATAAATCTTCAAGAGCTTGTTGATGAACTCAATCAAGATAACAGAACCCTTATTGACCACGTAACAAGATGCAAACAGTACTGTAAAAGTAGCAATAAATCTGTGCACTGGATTCTTGGGCATACCAGAAACAGCAAAAGGGTCTTTTTTTTAGTTTTTTTTTTTATGTATTTAAAACTGACTCTCATTGTTAAACTCTTCGACATAAATCTTGGCAGTGTCTTCTTCACCATTGTCATCACTGTCATTGTCATCGGTTGTGTTAGACTCATCACCATTGTAGTCATTACCAACAAAGATGTCATTGTCAAACATTGAGATGGCATCCGAAATAGGTGAGTTGGCCTGACCATCCATTGCTTCCACAGAATTTGATTGATATGTCAGGATTACTACAAATATGGAATATAATAGTTTATTATTCGTTTTTCTTCTGCTTTTCAAATAAAAAATGTCTTACTTTCAGTATCTACTTCCATGCTTCTCTTTTCAGCTATGTTTTTTAAAATAATAAAAAATAAAAATAAAAGTGACTATTACTCGGTGGACAGATAACAGCACTGAATAAATTATACAACTCTTGAATATCTTAGTACCTTCAAATCTAGCTCTTTTATTATGATGCTGAGCAGTACATCTCAATACTCGGGAAACTTCTTGATTATTATTATTGCATCTGGTGCAGTGACAATCAGTGTTGTGCATTTGAATAGAAGGAAACATAGTGTATGTATTTTGAATTATAAAATAAAAAAGGAAACAAGAGTGCTACAAATATTTCATTTGATACAGTTTTATAGTAAACCAAAACGTATTTTTTTTATTTTTTTTATTTAAGCCAATAGAATACATCAAAACTACACCCCCAACTTGATGAAAAAAAACTGCTGAGATGAAAAAAAGTCCTGACATATCCACTATGATCCAACAACCTGGACAATATGTTAATTGTCCTTATTTTTTCAGTGTACTAGCTCATTTAATCTAGCAGAATATATCATTTGACAAAGTAGAATAGCAAGTGCAGTCGTGGTTGGCAAAGAGAAATGAGATTGGATCTTGTTGCAGAAATGTACTCTCTCCCCTAAATTAATTACTACAGCAATCAATTGGATCTGAGTATGCTTCTCATAGATAAATATATATATATATACTATTGACATCTCTTAGCTTGAAATATGCTGTTGATTATATCTGGAAGTATATAAACTGAAAGAGAAATTGAAATTTACTATTCTTCACCAGCCTAATATCAAGTGATCCTACTTCACATAATCTGAAGAGTCTACAGTCACCTTCTTCTTGAAGCTAGTTGTTTTTATTCTCAATTTATTTATTAACCTACATTGCTGATGCATACGGAATAGCTACATTTATTAAATTATTTATATGAATTTTTCGTAATATTTTTGAAAATTAAAACGGTGTATTATTCATGCAAAGAAAAAAGTTGTTTTTATAAGCCATATAATATTGAATGGAGACTTTCTTGTGATTTTATAGTGCATTTTTTTATAATTGACAAAAAAATTATACTCTAATCATTTTTTTTCAAGACCTAAAAAGTGTTGTTGGAAATAACAAAACTGAATATTTTCTGTTTACTTTGTTAAGAGACAGTTTCTCTACAAAGTAAATAGAAAACATGCTTACTGTATTTCCACTAATTATTTGCCAACTTTGAATAAATTATTCATACATTGGTGAATAAATTTTCATACATTTCTTCCAATTAAATTCATGCATTACTTCCACTGAAATTCACACATTTGGATTTTATTTTCACATAAAATTATTTTTAGAATATTGAAAAAAATAGTTTTTTAACATTAGAGGGAGAGAAAAAAGTCATAGAAGAATGGATCAGCCTTAACTATCAAACATCTTGATCTTTTTTTCATAAATTTTTTTGAATATTAGGTGATATTATTCTTATAATTTTGTGTGAAAATAAAATTCAAATGTGTGAATTATTATTAAGTAAAGTGTGTGACTTTCATTGGAGGAAATGTGTTTTTTTTGTAGGGAGCCAAAGGCTCTAGTTTATTAGTGAGCCTCTATGCTGCAAGGCAAAAGAGGAAAATCACGACTTGTTTTTGGCTTTTATATTTTTACAATGTTTTTCTATTTATATGTTTGTGATTATATATATTGTGGAGGTATGGAAGGAAGCTAAAGGGGGGGAAAGTCGAGAGCAAGTTCGCTCTTGAGGTGGTCGAGAAGAGAGGAAGCAGTGGAAAAGGCAGCGGAGGAGACAAAAGGAACGTGATCAAATATGAACAGCCAATGATGGCGCCATATAGCTAGCAGCGTGCAGCCAAAAATTGAGGCAGCAGAAAGAGAAGAATCGGTGCAAGAAGGGAATGTGAAGGATTGCAAACCAGAAAGCAAGACAGTGGGTGTTGCGGTCTGGGCAAAGTACAACGTCCAGATTGACGACCATACGGACAGTTTGACCAGACACTGGAACAAAAAATGAGTTTGATTGTCCAGAGGGTGAGAGCAGAGGGCACAGGATGGGTCTGGGAAAGCGGTAGGGATCCTAGAATTGAGGCGAGAACAGCAAGGAATGTTCTTGTGCAGGGCACGAAACCAAACGTTGCGGGCCCCATGTGGCAGGGGGAAGGACCAAAACCGACGAAGCTGGCGAGGGACGAGTGTGGGGCTTATGGGGCGTGCGGATTTGGAGTGGAAATTGCAGAGTAGGCGGAAAGACTGGGTGGACAAACAATGCCAAGGGATGCCGGGGACAAGAGCTGTCAAGAAAGGACGCACATCGACAGCTGTACCGGAAGGCATATCTAGCAAAGGAAACTGTATGGCACAGATCGCGGGGGGAATGGTGGCACGATACAAGACAGGGTGCAAGACAAGAGAGCGAGTGTAGAGACGTTCGAAGAACTGGTGAAGGACAATAGGACGATGGAGTATGCGGTGGAGGGGGCATTGGGCAAGCACGCTGAAACTAGGATCTACTTCATAGGCGTCGGAAACCTGGAGATCGCACCATGCAGATGGAAAGGGAGGGTGGTCTGGTTGTGCGGTAGTGAGATAGGAGAGAGGCAGAGAGAGACAGGTGGGGAGGTTGACTACCACGTCAGAGAAGTTGTGAGGGAGAAGATCAATGGCAGCAAGTAGGGTGGCCAGAGGAGAGTCAAAATCACGCTGATGAGAGGATCGGAGAGATGGAAATATCAAAGGAACAAGTGGATCAGCAGATGAGGAGTCGAGGCAGAGGACATAAGAGAACCAAGGCGGGACCAGGCCAGAGGGGGACAGCGGAGAGCGGACAAGAGGCCAGAGCCAGCGCAACTGAAGAGCAGCCTGTTGAACCTGAGGATCAAGGACCCCTAGACCGCCGAGCCAAATAGGCTGGCAGAAAGTGCCGAGAGAAATGGGAGGAAAGGAGCGGTATTGTATAAACTTACTCATGATCGAGTGAAGTCAACAGAAAAAGGATAGAGGTACAGTGACAACTCTGAGGACGTGCCAGAGCTTAGAGAGGATGAGAGAGTTGAGCACTGTGGCACGGCCACAAATAGAGAGAGAGCGAGAGTGGTGGATATTACAGGTAGATTCAATCTTGGAAAGAATGTTGTCACAGAAAGAATTGTGCTGAGGTAAGGATTGAATAAGAGGAAAGCCAAGATATCACAGGGGAGTGGAGGAAGATCTGTCAGACCAGGCGGTGATGTCGAATTGTTGTAGGATGGGGCGCCATTCTGGCAGTGGGAGACCAGACAGGGAGAAAGCTTCAGTTTTATGGAGATTGATGCGAGCATTGGAGGCATGAGAGTATGTGAGAAGATGATGGTGAAGATGGGACAAGTGGGCGGCATCAGGCAGAAAGACTAGCAGATCGTCGGCATAGGCCAAGAGCTTGATGGGCGGAGGTGGTGGAATAGCAGTGCGTGGTGATGGAGAAAATCTGGTGAAGGAAGGATCATGAATCACACGACGCAACAAAGGTTTGAATGCAAGGTTAAAGAGTACAGGAGAAAGAGGATCACCCTGCCGGAGTCCACGAGCCTGAAGGAATGATCGGGATAGGTGTCCATTGACATTGATTCGAATCTGTGTAGAGAAGAAAAGTTGAGATATACAGGTAACGAGGGAAGGGGGAAAGTTGAAATGCTGCAAGACCTGGCAAAGGTAGTCGGGATGGACTCTGTCGTAAGCTTTCTCCTGATCCAAAAGAAGGCCTATACCAGATGAACCGTCCTGTCTAGCCTGTGCCATAACCAACTTGGTCAGCATGCCATTGTCAGCAATGAAGCGTCCTTGGACAAACCCGGTCTGGAAGGGCGTAACAAGGGAGGAAGCAGCAGGCACCATGCGACGATTGATGAGGCGAGTGAACACTTTGGCATCGGTATTGATGAGAGCGATCGGGCACCAGTTGCGGAGGGAGGTGAGGTCACCTTTCTTGGGAAGAAGAGAGACGCAGGTTGATTGCCAGGACGAAGGGAACACACCAAGGGCAAGCCCATCATTAAATATTCGAACAAGTAAGACAGCACACATCGGATGATCCATAATTAATTGCAGAATCTCATAAGGCAGGCCATCCAGCCCAGGGCTACTGGCATTAGGAGTGCGAGTGGCGCCGTCTCGGATGTCATCCAAGGTGAAGGGTTTAAGGAGGGTCGTGGAGGTAGTTTCGGAAAGAGAGAGGTCTGGTGGCAAGTGAAGGAGGAGGTCGTCGATAGCTGTCTGAGCAGGAGGGTCGGATGTGTAAAGATCTTCATAAAATGCAGCAGCAGCTTCCATAAGATCATCGGGATCAGTGCATAAGGTGTCGGCGAAGGGGTGGCGGAGGCTGGTTATTGTGGTTCGAGCTTGGCGAAAAGCAACTGTGCGTTTCAAAAACCCAGCGGAAGTTTCGCCTTGTTCTCTCCAGTGTTTTCCGGCGCGGAGTGCTAGTATCTTGGTGCGTTCCTGTTGAACTTGCTGAAGTTGACGCTCGACGATGGGCAGCTGGAAGTTCTGAGCAGGCTGATGTCGAAATCTATGTATCAAATGGTCACGTTTACTCTGAAGCTTTACCTCCAAAGTGGCAAGTGATGGGCGGGTTGTGCATGAATATGAACATGTGAAACGAGCCACTTCGACTTTGATCAGATCCCATTGTGATTGGGGGGAAATTGAAGGCGAGAGTAGTGGTATGAAGGATGAAAGACAGTCGGACAGGGAGGAGCGGAAGGAAGGGATGTTTGCCAAACGAGGGTTCGCACACCACAAACCTCGACCAATGTGAGACAGCATAGGAAAACTAAGACAGGTACATACAAGGCAATGATCGGTCCACAGGGGCTGAACAAATGTGACGGTGGACGAAGAGTGACAAGACGCTATATCCTTGGAGGCATATATGTAGTCAATAGTCGAAGAGGAAAGGTCGCGATGAAAGGTAGGCATAGGTTGAGCGTCAGACAAAGTGACACAGTCTACAAAGTGGTTAGCGACAAAATGCAGCCATAGACGTGGCGCGAGGCCAGCACGAGAGGCATTTGCATATGAGGAATAATTAAAATCTCCTAGCATAAGAAAGCGAGAAGGAAGGGAAGGGAGAAGATGTGGGGAGGATAGGAGAGAGGTGAGAAAATCATATCGAGGACAATATGAAGCAGGGACATATAAAACGCAAATACGAAATGGGGCAAACAAATTGGAAGAGTGAACAACGGTGGCAGTAATGCAACGACCACAGAGAGAAAAAAGAGGATCAGTAAAAGAAATGAGGGGAGAGAGGGAAACCAAACCACAGTGAGGAGACCATAGTGAGTCAGATGCTTGAAATTGAAGATGAAACGTCTGTTGAAGAGCGTCTGTGTTGGCGTGAGTTTCTTGAAGGGCAAGTATGTCTAGAGAGAGGGAGCAAAGATATCTAATAAAGAGAGAGCGATTATTGGTGTTTTCGGACTTGACAAGTCCGCGGTAGTTCATGGAGGCTATATTAATCATAAATTTAAGAATGATTGCCATCTGCCATCTCGTCATCAGTTAGGATATTCTGGGAGTCTTGGTCATCGTTGCCGTCAAAAGCGCTGGGGTGAAATTCTTCTTCGTCTTTAGTGGAGCTGGAAGTGTAGTTGGAGGGAAGAAAAGTGTTGTGGAGGGGGTGAAAGACGGGATCATACTGGGTGTTGTGTGTCTGAGGAAGAGGCAGAGTGGGGTCGAAGAGTGCGCCTGTGCAGCTGTTGTCAGTTAGTCCGTCAAGTGCAGCAAACCTGTTGGCAGACTGGCGGGGGGAAGTAGGAACAGTGGGGACAGAGGGTCGTCGCGGTGTCGAGGAATTCGTGCTGGAGGTGGTGGTAGTAGCCTGGGATCCCTCAGCCATCATAGGTGTACCGTGAGGGGGAATCGATTTCTTGGCCGGAGGTCTGTGAGACGCACCGGGAGTAGTCTTGCGTGAGTGATCAGGGGAGTCATGTGTCGTGGGAACCTTGCGGGGTCTCTTGGAAGAGCTGGCGTCCGTGGGGGGTGCTCTGGGGCAGGCATGTTGCAAGTGACCAGTCTGGTCACAAGTGAAGCAGCGTCGGGAATCTTTGGGGCAGTCTGGACAGTTTTCAATAGCATGGCCCATAACTTTACAATAATTACAGTGAATACCCATCTGTTTCCAGGTACCTAAGAAGTACAAGTCGCCATCATACGGGATCTTGTATGAGAGTTTGGCAAGGGTGGCATCGGGGTTGGGTGGTCATTCAAGGTAAGCAAAACCAGTGCCATCAAAAAAATTGGCACGAAGATGCAAACCGACTTTGCGGATGGTGCCATATGCGGCCAAGGCTGTTTTGATAGCCTCTTCAAGCAGAGGGGAAGGAAGGTATGGAAGCTGGGAGAGGGAGATACGCAAGATTTTTGTGCCTGGGGCAATACCCATAGAGGGGAAGTACGTTTGGCCTCCAACCAGGAAGCCTTTGGAACAGAGTTCGGTGCAGATGGTAGAATTGGTCAGGTGCAATTCGTGGATGAGCGGTTGATGATGAGCGAATGATATTCCCAAGGTGCATGCCATAGGAACGCTTGCTCTGAGAGCAGTCCAGAATTCAGAGGTAAGGGTGGAATCAGTTGGTGGGGTGAAGAATACCGAATGACAAGATGTACTTTCGCGCCAGACGCGATCCGTAGATGTCGGCAAGTTAGAGAAAAGAACGACTGGTACTTGACCGGGGGCGGGAGTGGCTGTGGCGACATCGAGATATGACCTAGTGTTGGTTGTGGTAGAGGTAGTAGTAGAGGGTTGTGGAGTGGTTATATTGGCTTGACCTAGTGTTGTGGTGGACCCAATAGGTGGGTCTGGTACTTTAGTGGGAATAGCCATGTTGGAGGAAATGTGTGAAAATTTATTTACCAATGTGTGAATAATTTATTCAAAGTTGGCAAATAATTAGTGGAAATACAGTAGTTTTGTCATTTGTGACAGCACTTTTTGGGTCTTGAAAAAATGCAGTATTTGAATTTAATAGTAGAAAAAGAGAAATATTGATACTAGATTTTCTATTTATAATGGCAGACAATGAGAATTGATCCCCAAAAATAGTAATACTATGTATTACTCAGTGTTTAAAAGATCTTTTGTTATGAATATATGAAGTTATAATTGCATAAAGTTCAATATTTAGGATTTTTAAAAAAACTGACAGACATTTACTGTCATTTTCATATACTCGCATTTGAAATAAAAAAAATTGACACAAATCTTGAAATTTATAATTATTAAAAAAATACATTATAGTCCCAATATATTTTTTGATTGTGATGTGCACCTCAATATAGAAATGAAACTTCAGGACATTAGTAAGACATTTCTGTTAGTATTAGTGCATTGTAAAAGAGTGTCAGAGTTGACATTGACAATCAAAATTGAAATTTACAAGCAGCCAATAATGATTGACTTCTAGGGTAAAAGATTGTATTATTGTCAATTGGTCTTTTATATATGTTTTAGATATTTAAGATAGTGAATATACTTGTAGAAGATATTTCTAGATAACTAACATCTAATACATATTAATATAGCTATTCTTTTAGCCAGAAATCAAGTATCAATTTGTACAAATAGTCAAGAAATATATTTAATAAAAGGCATCTTTATTTCCTATCTAAAAGCTATTCATAAACTTGACAATTCCCAATAGTATTGATTCTGCGACTTATTTGCAAGTGCCAGAAAATAAATACCAGATTGAGACTTGACAAGAGATTGGTAAAATAAAATTGCACAAACCTTTCTAAAAATATTGTACTCAATTTCTTGTTAACCAATCAGAATGACGATTACACAGAATTCTCTTTTGAGAATGACAACCAAAGTGATTTTCTTTTGCTCACAAAAGAATTAAAAAGCATATAGCTTAACAAAAGTAGAATAGAAATCAAAATAGACATTTATAATGACTGAGTAGGTTTAGAAAAGATATAAAAGAGGGCAATTGTTATGTTTTTAGAAAAGAAAGAAAAACAAAGTGCAGATGAGAAGTACGGTGAGACTTTGTTTATTGATGAAAAGAGAGATGATCTTCTATTGCTATTTGCTATGTGAGTTTATATAGACATTGCGTGTGTATTTAGGATAATGATATGAGTATATCATGTGATGTCTGTTTTCTTATATCATAGATAATATATTGTTAAGTTATTACCCACGCTCTTGTTTGAGTGATTAGTGATGTTGACTAAGGTGTGTGACCTTGTTATTGGTATATTCTTTATTTAATGATAGTGTGAGAAATAATGTATAATTGATACTAGTCGCTTATTCAATATGTCTTTGTCTTATTGTCTGTGCGCTCTATTTGAATCTACGATTATGTTGGATACAACAGCAATATTTGATTCAATAAAAGTTATTTATTTTTCTATTCTCTTTTTATTATTTTATCTTCGTTTACAATTCCCAGTAGGTTTGACCAATTTTGGCTGTGTCAAGTCTCAACTGGGTGTATCTTTCTATTATTTTAACTTGTATAAGTTTTGATAGTAGATCACCACCAACTAGAACGTTGTGAATAAATAGGAACAAATAGGAATACAAAGAATTAAATACTTTTTATTGGTATAGATCTTGGAGTATTTATAAAGCTTTCTTACAAGTGAAACTATCTAATCTAATTATTTTACTCAAGACATATTGGTTTTACATTTATAGAAGGCAATATAATATGTCTTGATTAACAAAAAGGGGGACCAATTGGTATAACATTGAAAGCATATGTTAAAAGGAATAACTGATTAGATATATGACTTAAGGATTTCTATCTACGATGTCAACTCTGACAGCCATGTTATAAGAAAGTCTATATTTTCTGATATATCATAAATATTTAACCAAAATAGTGACTGCCAATACTTTTCTTGTTTTTGAATTGTTTGTTTGAAACAAAGATTCTATATCCCCTGAAAGCGCGTTTTTTATTTACACATATTGTTATTAAATATGTCTACTGTCAATATTATACCAACAAATGAAACCATTTACACTCTTGCAACAATTTCAGAAGCATTGGAGTGCTCATCTATTCCTGGAGTAATGACACTTAGACTCAACAGTACTATTAGAGTTAGAACATCTGAGTGGAAAGAATGTCTTGTAGAACTTTCTGGATTCTATGCGGTCAAATGGACTATTCATAACTCCAACAAACAGCATACTGATATCACTGCTGAAGAAGCTAAAAAAGTGGCATTAAGATATGCTTCTCACAGGAGTACTTGTGTCATCGTTCAGGAATTTATGAATCTAAGGCAGAGATGCGAGTAGTTCAAAAGAGAACTAAGAAAAATAAGTGACCTGCTCTTCTTTGCATTAGACAATTCTTTAAGATACCTGAGTGGTATGAGATAACTCTGACCAAAGATCACGCTGATAATACTCCTGGTGATATCCATAAGGATATTTATACTCTTTCTCTTGCCAAAAATTATCTGCATGAACTGTTCCAGCAATTAGAGCAAGCATCTAAATCTGCCAGCCAGATACGTATCGACATGTTGAGAGCTATTGATAGATATGGAAGAAGTTCTGATTGTAAGTCAACTATTATGACATTTGGAACTTGATGAACAAGGTAAATAAACCTCATTTATTTCAAATAATATTTTATTTAACTAATTGTTTATAAATAAACAAGAGATTGTATCATTTTGACAAAGATCAAATGGTTTCTTTCTTGATATGGATAAATGAGAAGCTTCTTGCAATTAATTTTTCAATTTTTAAGGGCAATATGAGTTACTCTCCCAACACAAATGCATTTGCTTACAGTTTTATGTCACCAACACAGCAGATTAAAATGAGGAATGCCGTTTCCTTTTGTTTGGATGCTACACATGCTATCTCTGGCAAAACTGATGAGATTTTGTATACCCTTCTTGTTTGTGATGAAGAAATTGGTAGAGGATGGCCTGTTACTTTCATGGTAACAAACGACCGGGGTGTTGGCCCTATTGTACAGTGGCTACTGTTTTTGAAGTCTTTTCTTTTGCTGATCAATCCTCAGCAATTTACTATTGATTGCTGCTCTGCAGAAGTACATGCAATCCAGACCACTTTCCCTTCCACACAGATTCAATTCTGCATTTTTCATGGCACTCAAGCATGAAACAGAAAGCTGTCTGACTCTGTTAAGATTCCAGGTGCTTTGCCTTCTGAGGCTCATCTTCTTTGTGGTAAAATGAAGAGATATTTTCAAAATATTGTGTATGAAGATGATCTGGACCAGTTCCATTAAAAACTTGTGAAATTCAAAAGTGAATTTAGTGACCAAGAATTATTCTTAGACTACTTTGAAAAAAATGGTGCACTGAAGAAAAGTTTAAGATCTGGAGCCATGCTTATCATGAACAGCAATTCTCTCATATACTCACAAACAGCTATATTGAATTGTGATATAATCAGCTTAAAACCGTGTTCATGAAGAGGTTAAGAAATAAGAGATTAGACAAACTTGTCTTTATTTTGGTACATGATGTTGAGTACTATCTAACACAAGAGTACAAAAGATTTATGTCAAACAATGGAGCAATGAGTTCTTTTACTAGACAGCAAAGAATTAGAGAGATGGAAGCAGAAGAAGTTGATGATTGTTGCTTCAGTATCAGCAGAAGACAGTAGCTGGCAAGTGCAGTCATTTGTTGATGAGAACACAGCATATGTAGTTGAGGTTACAGATAGACTGATTATGAAATGTATCTGTTTCGATTTTGAAAGAAGACAAAAACCATGCGAGCATATGTATTTGTTAAAAATGCATACTGCCTTTTCTTTGCACTTCTCAACCACTCCTTTAAACTTTACCTATGAACACAATGTCATTTCAATCCCTCAACCCATCATCACAAACAATTGCTCCTCCCTTTTCTTCAATCAGTACATTCAAACAAATCAAACACTGTATCAATAGTATCAAGACCTTGCCACATTAGCACAGTATACAACAGACGACAAAGCAAAGCATATATATGACATACAGCAGCAATTACTTTGTTCCATTCAATCCTTAAAAGATAAATATGAAGTACATTTTTGTTGATCAAATAATCAATAAAAATATAATTATTTCTCTTTTTTTTAAAAAAAAAAACCTTCTGTAAATTGAAACAATTTTCAAAGTGACTTAGTAAATTATGAAAGTTCTTATTTTCTGGTATGTAAGCCTCATTTTTGGTTAAATATTTATGACATACCAGTAAATATAGACACTCTGTTATAGCATTGAAAGAACAACCCAGATCGAAAATGACAAAAATGTTGGACATTATTTTGATGAATCTGTAAAATCTAAAGATGGTTAACTGCAGTATCTCTTTATGCGCAGTAACATCTTTCTGAGCATTAACCGCAGTATAATGACTCTTCTTTTATTTAAATATAATATAATAGCTACTGCAGGTAATACACAGTATTAGTCTAGAAAACTATATAATACAATTCAATTCATATCAATAAAAAGTATCTTTTATCCTCTCTTTGATTTTACGTATACTCCTTGATCCCCTGTCAAGTCACGATCTGGTATTTCTTTTCTGACATTTGTAACTAAGTCGCAGAATCAATACCACTGGGGATCGTTAAGTTTTTAAGAAGAGTTTTTAGATAAGAATAAAGATGCTTTTTATTAAATATATTTCTTGACTATTTATACAAAATAATAATTGATTTCTGACTAAAAGAATAGCTACAATAATATGTCTTAGATGCTTGTTGTTCAGTAATATTTTCTACAAGTATATTCATCATCTTAAACATCTAAAACATATATGAAAGATCAATTGGCAAAGTCAAGATCTTTTATCCTAAAAAGTCAACTCTTACTGGTCGCTTATAACTACCAATTTTGTTCACCGATGTCAACTCTGACACTGGTGAGTTTGACCTTTTGACTTTGTTATAATAAAAGTGTCGTTCCTGATCTGGGTTGGTCTTCCATTTACTATAACAAAGTCAAAAGGTCAAACCCACTGGGGATCAAGAAGTATACGTAAAATCAAAGAGAGGATAAAAGATACTTTTTATTGATACGAATTGAATTGTCTTATATAGTTTTCTAAACTAATACTGTGTATTATCTGCAGTAGCTATTATATTATATTTCAATAAAAGAAGAGTCATTATACTGCGGTTAACCATCTTCAGATTTTACGGATTCATCAAAATAATGTCTGACAAAAGGAAGACCAACCCAGATCAGAAATGACAAAAAAAATATCTTGTCGTTCCCGATCTGGGTTGGTCTTCCTTTTACTATAACAAAGTCAAAAGGTCAAACCCACTGGGGATCAAGGAGTATACGTAAAATCAAAGAGAGGATCAAAGATACTTTTTATTGATAGGAATTGAATTGTCTTATATAGTTTTCTAAACTAATACTGCGCATTATCCGCAGTAGTTATTATTTATATTTAATTAAAGAAATAGTCATTATACTGTGGTTAATGCTCAGGAAGATATTACTGCGCATAAAGAAGTACTGCGGTTAACTATCTTCAGATTTTACGGATTCATCAAAATAATGTCCGACGTCACCCCCTCCCGAAACTGTTGATAGTCCTCGATCAACCCCAGAAGAATCCACAAGGGAAAACGGTAGGGCAGAAGAAGAGTCCAAGGCTAAATCGCGGCGCATTTGGGCACGGGCAGGGGTTGGGTGATACCGGGTACGGTCAAAATCATCAGATTTTGCAATTTTTAAACAATCGGCATGAACCCAGGAAGTGTAAGGGACACCTTCCATAGTTGTGAGCTTGTATATATTTTTATCTGCATTCTTGTCTATAACTATGTATGGTCCCATCCAGTTATATTCTAAGCCAAATTTGTTTTCATGTCGGAGCAATAAATGTTCACCGATTGCAAATTGGTGCAGTTTCATAATAGAATCCCATTGTTCCTTGTCTTGTTGGCTATTGGTGGCTACTCGAGCATCAGCATTAATGCGGGCTTGTTGCAGATTGCGGAGAAAAGGGATAGCACCATCAGAGACAAGAGAAGGATCATCAGGAATAGCGGTATCCATGAATGGGCGTAGAGGATCACCCGGAATATGAGGTTCACGGCCATAGGTCAGGAAGAACGGACTGAAACCAGTTGTTCGGTGTTTCCTAATTCGGCAGGCCCAGAGTGCAGTTTCCAAATATTCGTCCCAGCGATGAATAGCGCCATGTACATATTTTCGAAGCATCTGTTTTAAAATACCATTTAAACGTTCACATTTTCTGTTGGTTTGAGGGTGAAATGCTGATGTTAACTTGTGGTGTAATTTAATCTTTTTAATGTAAAAGCTGAGGATGTGTGACATGAAATTGGCGCCGCGGTCAGTGAGGATCTCATTGGGACAACCAAAACGCATTACAATTTCTTCATACAGGAAATTGGCTATTGCTTCACCAGTAGCAGCAGGTACAGCACGTGCTATTGGCCAATTGGTGGCGTAATCTACTGCAATGAGAATCCATCGGTTACCATTTACAGTTGTTGGGAGCTCTCCAATGAAATCTAGATGCCAGCGGGAAAATGGAGGGGGAATATCTAGGGGTTCCATGGGTGCATGGTGGATATTTCGCTCGGCATTGGACGCTAATTGACACTGGGGGCATTTTGCAAGCCATTCTTGGATCTGTGTTCGCATTCCTGGCCACCACCAACGTTTCTTCATCAAGTCATAAACTGTTGTCTCACCAGCATGTTCAAACCCATTGTGGAAATTGTTTACCAGATCAGCACACTTGGTAAACAGAGCAAAACAGATTTCTTGAAATGTGTCACCAATCTTAACCAAGCGGAAAACCTTCTGATCATGAACCACGAATTTCTTGCGTTGTCTGTGTAGCAACTCTTTTATGTCGTCTGGCCACTCATCTTCTGTGCGAGCATAATATTTGGGCCAATCTGAAGTCTGTGATTTGGGCATGGTGTACAGATACTCTGGCTCCATAGACTCAATTGTAGATGCATCAAATTCGGGACCGTCCATTCGAGAAAGTACATCCGGGACACCATTGTCTTTGCCAGGTTTGTATTGAATAATGGGGTCGTACAACTCGAATTCGGAAATCCATCTTATTAATCGAGGGGTTGGTTTAACTTGGCTACGAAAGTACTTGAGAGGCAGGTGGTCAGTAAAAACAGTAAATGGTTTCCCTTCAATCATACAGCACCAGGTATGTAGTGCGTGCAGTATTCCTAAAAGTTCACGTTCTTGGGCTGGGTAGGAACGTTCAGCACTGGAAAGTTTCTTGGATTCAAATGCCAGTGGTTTCCAGACTCCTTCTTCATCTTCTTGCATCAATACAGCACCGACACCAAAATCAGAAGCATCTGTCTCAATTCGGAAAGGTTTGTCCATATCTGGTGCAAGTAGTACAGGTGCAGTGCTGAGTTTTTCCTTAAGGATGTCGAAGCTGTCTTGGCAAGTGTCAGTCCATACAATTGGTCGTCGTTTAGGTCCTGTTCCTTTGGTAAGATCAGTTAATGGAGCAGCAATTCCAGTGAAACCTGGGATAAAACAGCAATAATGCTGTGCCAAACCAATAAATTGGCGCACTTCTTGAACATTAGAGGGTGGAACCCATTCTTGTATGGTCTTGACTTTATCTGGAGACGGGAGGATACCTTGAGCAGACACATTGAAACCAAGAAATGTCAGTTCCTTTTTGTTAAATTCACATTTTTTAAAGTTGGCAATCAGCTTGGCTTCGCAGAGACGGTTCAAGACATGTCGTACATGTTCTTCGTGTTCTGCTGAGGTTTTACTGAATATGAGAATATTGTCCAAGTAGACCAAAGCGAAGTTGTCTAAACATTCTCCCAGAACTTTGTTCATCAAATGTTGGAAAGTTGGCGGGGCATTGGTAAGACCAAAAGGAAGGACCAGGAACTCGTATTGACCATAGCGGGTGTTAAACGCTGTTTTTGGCACATCTGAATCTTGAATGCGTACTTGATGGTAGCCACTCTTGAGATCTAGGCTGGTGAAATGGTTGGCTCCACGCAATCGTTCTAGGCATTCGTCAATTCTTGGTAAAGGATGGTTATTGCGGATTGTGACTTTGTTGAGAGCACGATAGTCTACACACATGCGCATTTCGCCATTCTTTTTCTTTACAAATAATATAGGAGCACCCCATGGAGATGAGCTAGGGCGAATGAGACCAAGGTCAAGGAGTTCTTTGAGTTGCTTTTTGAGTTCGTCAAGTTCTCGGGGGCTCATCTTAAAAGGCGGTTTGTTTACAGGGTGTGCATCTTCAGTGTTTATTACATGTTGTACATCTCGACTCGGTGGTAACCCTGGCAAACCGTCTTGGAACACATCGTCAAACTCTTTCACTAGTTTCATCCATTGTTCATTGTTGGTTACTTCTTTCTCGGTCTTGATGTGCAGCAAAAAACACTCTGCCTCCTCCCTCCGAGAGAGTTTCTGGACTTGCTTTGCAGAAATGAGGTAATTAAGTTGAGGTTTCATGGGGCGGTTGCCATGGGGACACAGGACAAACTCTTGGCCATCACGATATAAAGACCAGTTATCTCGATGCCAATCAGGAACAGGTTTAGCAGTCTGTAACCATGTGCGACCGAGAATCAAATCGAATTTAGTGGGGAAGATAAAAGCATCAACACTATCAGTATAACCATTAAGAGAAAGTGTAAGTGTGGCTTTCTGGTTAATTTTGATGCTATGCCCTCCAGTGGTTTCAACTGATCGCCCAGGAATATTCGAGACTTTTGTGGCAAGGTGTTTGATCCGGGGTGACACATAGTTTGCACTGGCTCCACTGTCGATGAGAATTAAGATTTGTTGTCCGTGAAGTGTTGCCGCATATAATGATAAATCTGTGTCCACAGCAGAGTGAAGGTCTTCCAAAAAACGTTGATCGGTGGTGAGACAAGGGTCACAATTTTCTTCGGAAATGGCTTTTTTCTCTTCATCGGTAACAATTTTGTACTGGTCAAAAGTTTCTTTATTACTTAAATGTTCTGTAGACTCATTACTAATACTGGCTTGTGGGGAGGATTTTTCTTCCATTGTACACAACCGACCTCCCATTACGGTTGTGCTTCGCGAAAACCCTGCTTCTTAAGACGCTCCTCGTCCAACTTCTTGATTGCGGCCAGACAGTCTCTACAATTTCTCTTGAAATGACCGGAGTCACCACACCAATGGCAAGTAGCATTAGTGCGTCTTGGAGGCGGGCGAGACTGGTAGTTGCTGCGACGGTTGTTGATTGCGTCCAGGTCCATGGGCTCGGGTCCACTGTACTGATATTGCTGTTGTTGGTACTGTGGCTGGTACTGCTGCTGGTATTGTTGTGGAGGTGGTACAGACGCATAATTGTTCTGGTATCCGAGTTGGAGACCACTGGCATATGCCAAGGCGATGTTACAAGCATCGTCAACATCAACAGGGCGGGCAGCAAGGACATTTCCACGGATGGACGGGTGTAGTCCACGGACAAATTTATCGAGTGCCTCTTCATTGTTCATTCCAGGCAATTCCAATTGAATGTCTTGGAAGGCATCGATATATTCAGCAACAGTCCCAGTCTGGTGTAATCATGCTAGTCGATCTCTAGAGGTCTGGAGGGAATAAACTGGGCGGAATTCTCTGGTGAGGGCTGCTTTAAATTCGACCCAAGTAGTGGGATGGTCTGTTTTGAGTTCCGTGCGTCTCCACCATGTGTCAGCTCTATCACGCAAAAGATTTACTGCAAAGTCGCAGGCTTTGGTCGGGGCGAAATTGTAGTACTTGGTGTAACGCTCGACTGCGCGCAGCCAGCCATCTACTACTGCGGCGGAGCGTTCACCTTGGAAACAATCAGGCTGCTTGATTCGTTCGGCACGGGACTCCTGTTGTGCTGTGATTGCTTTCATTGCTTCTGCAACAGCGGCTGCGATTGCTTCAGCGGTTACGGTGGCAGTTTGTGGGGCCATCTCTTCTAGTTCTTTATTTTTTCCTGTTAATGTTGCGGCAAGTTTTTTTGCAAGTTCGGACCACTTTTGTTCTCGTGCAGGAGTGTTCTTGAGTCTCTGTTCTTCAGGTATATGTGGTACACACCGGTTCTTCTTGTAGTCGTTTACTAGTTCTTTGGGTAACAAGTCCTGGACTCGTTCTTCAATCTCGAACTGGCTAAGTGTCTTTTTGTCAAAATTTTCTTGGCGTCTTTCACCAGGATTCATCAAAGGTCTTTAGGAGGAAAAATAGCTTCAGCTACCAATTGTCGTTCCCGATCTGGGTTGGTCTTCCTTTTACTATAACAAAGTCAAAAGGTCAAACCCACTGGGGATCAAGGAGTATATGTAAAATCAAAGAGAGGATCAAAGATACTTTTTATTGATAGGAATTGAATTGTCTTATATAGTTTTCTAAACTAATACTGCACATTATCCGCAGTAGTTATTATTTATATTTAATTAAAGAAATAGTCATTATACTGCGGTTAATGCTCAGGAAGATATTACTGCGCATAAAGAAGTACTGCGGTTAACTATCTTCAGATTTTACGGATTCATCAAAATGTCGTTCCTGATCTGGGATGGTCTTCCTTTTACTATAGCAAAGTCAAAAGGTCAAACCCACTGGGGATCGGAGAGTATATGTAAAATCGAAGAGAGGATAAAAGGTCCTTTTTATTGATAGGAATTGAATTGTCTTATATAGTTTTCTAAACTAATACTGCGCATTATCCGCAGTAAACTATTATACTCTATTTAATTACAAGAGAAGTCCTTTTACTGCGGTTGATGCTCAGAAGATGTTACTGTGGTTAATCTTTACAAGACATTACTGCGGTTCATTATCTATGAGGTATCTTTGACATACAGAACTGCTGTGGTCAATTATCCCGATTTCTCGGATTCATCAAAATAATGTCCGACATCACCCCCTCTCGAAACTGTTGATCGTCCTCGGTCAACTCTGGTAGACTCTATCATCGAGAACGGCAAGGTGGAAGAGGAATCTATGGCCAGATCACGTCGCATATTGTTACGAGCAGCGGTCGGGTGATACCAGGTGCGGTTGAAATCGTCGGATTTGGCTATTTTGAGGCGGTCAGCATGAACCCAAGAAGTATAAGGGACACCTTCCATTGTTGTGAGCTTGTATATATTCTTATCGAAATTTTTATCTACTACAATATATGGGCCCATCCAGTTATATTCTAGTCCAAATTTGTTTTCATGCCGCAACAACAAATGTTCACCGATTGCGAACTGATGAGGTTTCATGATCGAATCCCATTGTTCCTTGTCTTGTTGGCTGTTGGCGGTTACTCGAGCATCAGCATTTTTGCGAGCCTGTTGGAGATTACGAAGAAAAGGGATAGCGCCATCGGATACGAGGGTCGGGTCGTCAGGGATAGATGTATCCATAAATGGACATAGGGGATCGCCAGGAATACGAGGTTCGCGGCCATAAGTCAAGAAAAATGGACTGAACCCAGTTGTACGATGCTTTCTGATTCGGCAAGCCCAAAGTGCTGTTTCCAGATATTCGTCCCACTGGTGAATGGCACCATGTACATATTTACGTAACATCTGTTTAAGAACACCATTTAACCTTTCACATTTTCCATTAGTACGTGGGTGAAATGCTGAGGTTAATTTATGATGGAGCTTAATTTTCTTAATGTAAAAGCTCAAAATATGTGACATAAAGTTTGCACCACGATCTGTCAGAATTTCGTCTGGGCAACCAAAACGCATGACTATTTCTTCGTACAAAAAGTTGGCGATGGCTTCGCCCGTAGCAGCAGGAACAGCACGTGCAATTGGCCAATTCGTAGCGTAGTCGACGGCAACCAAAATCCATCGATTTCCGTTGATTGTAGTGGGAAGTTCTCCAATGAAGTCGAGATGCCAACGAGAGAAAGCAGGGGGGATATCCAATGGTTCCAAAGGGGCATGGTGTATGTTGCGTTCTGCGTTTGAGGCCAATTGACATTGATGACATTTCGATAACCATTCTTGAATTTGACTTCTCATGGCTGGCCACCACCAACGCTTCTTCATTAAATCATACACCGTTGTTTCTCCAGCATGTCCGAAACCATTGTGGAAATTATTTACTAAGTCTGCACACTTGGCAAACAGTGCAAAACGAATTTCTTGTACCGTGTCACCTATTTTAACGAGACGGAAAACCTTTTGGTCGTGGACCACAAACTTATTGCGTTGCCGATGGAGTAATTCTTTTATGTCTTCTGGCCATTCATCTTCTTTTCGTGCATAAAATTTTGGCCAGTCGGACGTTTGTGAGTCTGGTATGGTGTACAGGTATTCTGGTTCCATTGATTTAATTAATGTTGCATCGTATTCTGGGCCATCAAGACGAGAGAGCACATCAGGGACACCATTGTCTTTGCCCAGTTTGTATTGAATTATCGGGTCGTACAGCTCGAATTCAGAAATCCACCTTATCAGGCGAGGCGTGGGCTTAACCTGACTGCGAAAATACTTGAGTGGTAAGTGATCGGTGAATACAGTGAACGGTTTTCCTTCGATCATGCAGCACCAAGTACGCAAGGCATGTAGAATACCGAGTAACTCGCGCTCTTGAGCAGGATACGATCTTTCGGCAGGGGAGAGTTTTTTTGATTCGAACGCTAATGGTTTCCAACTTCCGTTTTCGTCTTCTTGCATTAATACGGCACCAACACCAAAATCTGAAGCATCTGTTTCAATGCGGAATGGTTTATCCATGTCTGGGGCAAGTAATACAGGTGCAGTACTCATTTTCTCTTTTAGTAAATCGAAACTTTCCTGGCATGTCTCCGTCCAAACGATAGGCCGTCGTTTTGGTCCTGTCCCTTTAGTTAAGTCTGTTAAGGGCGCAGCGATTCCAGCAAACCCAGGGATGAAGTGGCGGTAGTGCTATGCAAGGCCAATAAATTGTCTAACTTCTTGTACATTTGTTGGTGGTGTCCATTCTTTTATAGTCTTTACTTTGTCTGGCGATGGTAAGATGCCTTGCGCAGATACGTTGAATCCAAGGAAAGTTAGTTCGTTTTTGTTAAATTCGCATTTTTTAAGGTTGGCAATTAATTTCGCTTCACGTAGTCGGTTTAACACATGTCGTACATGTTCTTCGTGTTCTTCTGGTGTCGTGCTAAAGATTAGGATATCATCCAAATAGACTAAGGCAAACTTATCCAAACAATCTCCAAGAACTTTGTTCATAAGATGCTGAAACGTCGGTGGGGCATTGGTGAGACCAAAGGGAAGAACCAGAAACTCGTATTGGCCATATCGGGTGTTAAAGGCGGTTTTTGGCACATCTGAGTCTTGAATTCTCACTTGATGGTAACCGCTTTTGAGGTCCAAACTGGTGAAATGGTTTGCTCCATGAAGGCGTTCCAAACACTCATCCATGCGTGGCAATGGATGGTTATTGCGGATAGTAACTTTGTTCAGGGCTCTGTAATCAACACACATGCGCATCTCACCATTTTTCTTTTTAACAAATAAAATTGGAGCACCCCATGGCGAAGAACTCGGACGAATTAAGCCGAGGTCTAGAAGTTCCTTTAGTTGTTGCTGTAATTCGTCGAGTTCTCGAGGGCTCATTTTGAATGGTGGTTTATTGACAGGGTAGGCATCTCCAGTGTTTATAACGTGTTGGACGTCACGGTTCGGCGGTAATCCAGGTAAACCGTCTTGGAAAACGTCCTCAAATTCTTTTACTAATTTCATCCAGTGTTCATCATTATGTATTTCTTTTTCTGTCTTAATGTGCAACAAAAAGCATTCGGCCTCCTCTCTCCTAGAGAGTTTCTCAATTTGTTTTGCAGATATCAGATAGTTTAGGTGAGGTTTAGTAGGACGGGGCCCATGAGGACGCAAAATAAATTCTTGTTCATCACGATGTAAAGACCAGCTATCGACATGCCAATCTGGGACGGGTTTAGCCATTTGCAACCAAGTGCGGCCAAGAATCAAGTCGAATTTAGTGGGAAATACAAAAGCATCGATGGTGTCAGTGTATCCATTTAAAGAGAGGTTTAATGTTGCCTTCTGATGGATCTTAATGCTGTGTCCTCCTGCAGTTTCGACTGATCGTCCGGGTATATCCAAAATGTGTGTGGCCAAATGGGCGATCTGGGGTGATACATAGTTTGCACTAGCACCACTATCAATTAACACCAGGATTTGTTGTCCGTCAAGTATAGCGGCGTATAAGGGCAAGTCTGTGTCCACGGCAGCATGGAGATCTTCTAAGAAATGTTGGTCAGCAGTGAGACAAGGGTCACAATTTTCTTCAGACATAGTCTCAGGCTCTTCATTGGTAACATTTGTATACTGTTCAGACACGTCTTTATTAATTTCTGGTTCGCTAGTTTCGCTAATATTATTAGCCTGTGGGGAGGATTTTTCTTCCATTGAACACAACCGACCTCCCGTTACGGTTGTGTTTCGCGAAAACCCTGCTTCTTGCTACGTGTCTCATCTAACTGTCTAATCACTGCTAATCGATCCCTACAGTTCCTCTTGAAGTGACCAACTTCGCCGCACCAATGGCAAGTAGCCACATTACGTTTCTGAGGGGGGCGAGATCGATAGTTATTACGGCGACCTTGAATCGCATCCAGGTCCATGGGCTCGGGACCACTGTACTGCTGTTGGTACGGCTGTTGGTACGTCTGTTGGTACGGTTGGGGAACGGGTGCGTAGTTGTTCTGTTGCCCCAAGTGGAGGCCACTGGCATATGCCAAAGCAATGTTGCAGGCATTGTCAACGTCGACAGGTCGGGCGGCAAGAACATTTCCTCGTATGGTGGGGTGAAGTCCGCGGACAAACTTGTCGAGGGCTTCTTCATCGTTCATTCCAGGCAACTCCAACTGGATGTTGTGGAACGCGTCGATGTACTCTGCAACCGTTCCTGTTTGGTATAGTCGAGCAAGGCGGTCCCTGGACGTCTGTAGTGAGTAGACTGGACGAAATTCTCCCGACAGAGCCATCTTGAACTCATCCCAGGTTGTTGGATGTTTGTCCTTTACTTCCATGCGTCTCCACCATGTGTCTGCTCTGTCACGCAACAGATTCACTGCAAATTCACAGGCTTTTGTTGCGGAAAAATTGTAGTATCTGGTGTAACGTTCGACTGCGCGCAGCTAACCATCCACTACTGTGGCAGAACGTTCTCCATGGAAGCAATCAGGTTGCTTGATTCGTTCAGCACGGGCCTCCTGCTGCACCATGATTGCTTTCATTGCTTCGGCGACAGCAGCAGCAATTGCTTCGGCTGTTAGAGTGGCGGTTTGGGGGGCCATTGTTTCTTCTTGTTCTTGTTTGTTCTTTCCTGTTAAGGTTGCGGCTAGTTTTGTGGCTAGTTCGGTCCACTTCTGTTCTCGGGCAGGGGTCTTCTTAATACGCTGTTCTTCAGGGATATGAGAAACACGCCGATTCTTCTTGTAGTCGTTTACTAATTCGCTGGGTAACAAGTCCTGGACTCGTTCTTCAATCTCGAATTGGCTAAGGGTCTTCTTATCAAATATGTCTTGGTGTCTTTCAACCGGATTCATCAAAGGTCTTGTTAGAGGAAAAATAGCTTCAGCTACCAATTGTCGTTCCTGATCTGGGATGGTCTTCCTTTTACTATAGCAAAGTCAAAAGGTCAAACCCACTGGGGATCGGAGAGTATATGTAAAATCGAAGAGAGGATAAAAGGTCCTTTTTATTGATAGGAATTGAATTGTCTTATATAGTTTTCTAAACTAATACTGCGCATTATCCGCAGTAAACTATTATACTCTATTTAATTACAAGAGAAGTCCTTTTACTGCGGTTGATGCTCAGAAGATGTTACTGTGGTTAATCTTTACAAGACATTACTGTGGTTCGTTATCTATGAGGTATCTTTGACATACAGAACTGCTGCGGTCAATTATCCCGATTTCTCGGATTCATCAAAATAATGTCCGACAAAAATAATGTCCGACAATCTGACAAATATCAAAAAATATGATTTCTGCCAGACTTGAACTGGCGACCGTCTGTGTGTTAGACAGACGTGATAACCAACTACACCAAGAAACCCAAACCGACTCTCTTCCACAACCAAATTATTTTTTGAATTCAAACCCAGCACAGTTTTACTTTTACCTCTTTTTCTCTATAACTACTATATCAAACCTATCTGTTTTTGCAGCAGGATTGATTGTCATAGTTGTTTTTATATATCTACCAATTTTCATTTTTTTTAATTGACTTTTTTTCAAATTGTTGGAATCATCATTGCAATCATCTTCACATCTGCGCCGAAATCACTCAAGATTGTCAGCATCTCCAACTACATCTCAATTGCCTGTACCTCTGTTATCGTCTCCAGCTCTTTTCTCCTTCTCTGAAGGTGGTTCTGGTGTTTTACCATCAACTTCGCACTTTTTTGTCCCAGTTTCAGACCTTTCTTTTTCTGCTTTGCCTGCTCCTGGTTCCCACGAAATTTTTTTTCAAGCTCCTCCAACAATGATTGGTTCCCAAAAACAGGTGATTAATTCCACTGGCCGCCCTACTCCCACTGCTCTCATTTTGTCTGGCCTCAAGGCAGACTTTAAAAAATTGCACAATGTTTTGTCCTGTTCACGTTGCCAGACTACAGGCAAAATTGTTTCCAATGGGTCTACTTCTCGTACTGGTAGCCCACAGTTTAAATGCAAATGTGGTGCAACATTTACTGCTTCATCCATGCAATCTTTGATCAATGCAGTCCAACACAAAATTCCTGAAGTTCGTTCTGCAAGTGAGCCTGTTGTGTCCCCTTCTGTTTCCATCTTGGGTCATAGTATTTCCATGGCAGATATCCATGAAATTGAATCTGACGTTGCACCTGTTTTTCCAACTGTAATGCCCACTCTTCAGGATATTTGGGACCGTTTCCAGGTTTATGATGAACGTCTTTCTGCATTGGAGGCTGTTCAAAAAGAGAACATTGAGTTGCGTAAGGCTCTTGCTACTGCAAACACCACTATTGCACGTTTGACAAAGGAGAATATTGATTTTTCTGTTGGTGCTGCAGCATCCAAATATGCTACTATTGCTGCCTCTGTTCCAGTTGTTTCTCAGGCTGATTTTCCATCACTTCCTGCATCCCAGACCCATCATTCCACTGAACCCACCAAGACTTTCGTTTCTAAAACACCACGTAAAAGGGCTCCAACTGCTAGGGCCATTGCTGCTGTTGTTCGTGGCATGACAATTAAAGAAAATGCTGATCAGGGGTTTCAAATTGTTTATGTACCTAATGCTATCCGTCTCCCCATTAGTACTCAACGTCAACGTCTTAGGAAATTAAAGATAGACAATGCACGTGTGCTGGATCTCCACTATCCTGATCGTAAGGTGATGGGAATGCTTGTACATAATGAGTATGCTCCTGAGCTCAAGACTATCTTGGCAAGTTATGGTGTTACTACTTTGGATAACTTTGATCCTCTGGACCCTGTTCACCTCCGTGACCCAGCTCTGGCCTCTCTTTCACTTGATGATAGGGCAACAAAAGCTATACATGTTCACAATGATCGTATGCTACGTGCCATTGAATTCATTAGGGCTCCTGTCAAGTTTGCTGTTGCACGTTCCTTTTGCTCTCAGGGATGGATTAGTGATGACCAACTAGCTGAGATGGTTCCCCCACGACCCACCAAAAAAGACTTGGACATCTCTATACATACTGCCAGCATCACCATCCCTTCATTCTCTGATCTATGAATCCAGTAACAATTACATTATGGAATGCAAATGGTCTTGCAAAACAGACCATACCTACGATCCTTTCATATGCTCCACTTACTTCCCTTCTTTTTATCACTGAAACGTGGCTTTTGTCCCCCCATCGTTATCCTACTTCTTGGCAGCAGTACCATACCTATGGTCAGTCTGTCCCCAATGCTAGCCGTGGCTGCATGGGTATTTCTCTTCTTGTAAATCCTTCTTTCCCTTACCCCATTTCTATTGTTCCTTCTTCTTCTCCTTATGTTCTTTCTTGTATTGTATTTGATTTTCTTATTCATTGCATTTATCTTCCCCCTTCTCTTTCTGATGACGATGCAATTTCTATTCTTTATGACCTCCCCCTCTCTTCTTCTTCTATTCCTTCTTCTAACACTATTTTTTGTGGTGATTTTAATTCACGTATGGGATCCTTTCTTGGTGACCATGCTATCACTTCGCGAGGAACTTCTTTTCTTCAGTGGATCCAGGCAACTGGTCTCACTTGTTGGAATGAATTACTTGCATTTGGTATTCCTACCTTTCTTTCTGGTGGCTCTGGTACCTCACGTTCCAGTGTCATTGATTTATTTCTTTCTACATCCCCCCTTCTCAATCCTTCTATGCAAATTCGTTCTGATCTTTCTTTAGGCTCTGATCACAAAATGGTCAACCTCACTTTCACTCCCTATGTTTCACCTCCCCCTCCCCCTACTAATCATCCGCGCCTACTTTGGAATCTTTCCAAGCTTGCTCAGCCTGACACTCTCAAGATCTACATTGATACAGCTTCTGGGTCATTGGACAATCTGACAGAGCAGTTCAGTGCTTTCCTTTCTTCTTCTTCTCCTCCTCCTGTAGATTCTCTGTGCTCTGCTTTTGCTCAAGCTATCTATGATGCTCTGGACACTGCTGTTGGTCGTCGTACACCACGTACCATGCAAAAGTACTGGTTCTGGTCAGTGGACCTTCAAGAAGCAATGGATCTGAGAGAACGCAGCTACCAACGCTGGCGTCATTCTAGTGGTTTGCAGAAGGCTATATGCTGGATGCGCCATCAGGATGCATGTCATGCTGTTAGGTTATCAGTCCAGCGTCGTCGACGTGAAACATGGAAAGAATTCTGCAACAAATTGGCAACACAAGACTTTGCAAAGACCACAGCAACAATGAAACGTATTAAAAGCCATCGTCAAACCAGTCCTGTCTTTGTGGATCCGGGTGGACCTCAAGTAGCTGCTAACAAAATGGCTGATCATCTTCAACAGATTTTCTCAGGTCAATTTCTTCCTGCACGCCGCCCTCCAGACCAGACAGTGATGATTTCATCACCAATTGCAATTGATGAATCGTGTCCTTTTACTCATCTTTCTGTAGAGAGTGCAATTCTCAAGCTTCCTACACGCAAGGCTCCTGGTGTTGACCATCTTCGTGCTGAAATGCTTCACCCAATTGTTAAGCAAGTCTCTCCTGTTCTTTGTCTTTTGTTCCAGCTTTGTTGGCAATGGGGTTCTGCACCTCTTGCATGGCGTACTGCACAAATTGTCCCCATCTTTAAAAAGGGTGATACTCATGACCCTGCTAACTATCGTCCCATTAGCTTAACGTCTATCCTGAGAAAAGCCATGGAATATTGTCTACAGTTTCCTCTTGAAGATGTGTCTCCAACAATTGACATTGCACAGGGTGGATTCCAACGTCAACGTAGCTCCCTTGATCAAGTTCTTTGTCTCCATGAGATGGTCCGTCGTCACACAGCTCTATTCAAAGCACCACCAGTCTTGGCTTTTCTTGATATCAAGTCTGCATATGACACTGTTGATCGTTCTGTAGTATGGACATCGTTACGTCCTCTTGCCTCTGATGCTATGTTAGCTTTGTTACAAAGTCTTTTTGACAACGTTCAAGTTGAGGTGTTGCTTTCTGGTGCAACATCCAGATCATTCCAACCATTGACTGGCGTTATGCAAGGATCTGTGCTTTCTCCCCACCTTTATTCCGTGTACATAAATTCTCTACCAGTTGCTCTTCGTGCTGCAGGGGAACTTTGTAACACAGTATTTAATCAGACTGCTGCCACAAGACTCAATGATCAATTAGTCAATTCACTACTTTTTGCTGACGATGTTGCCATCATTGCTACACCAGAAGCTATGCCTGTCATTCTGAATTCTGCTGAACAACATTCTCAAGAGCTAGGATATCGTTGGAGTCCCACCAAGTGCATGATCCTTCACCATTCTTGTTCTCTTTCTCCTTTGTCATTCTCTCTCTACAATGTGCCTATTCCTCATGCTCATTCGTTTCCTTACCTTGGTGTTCCCTTCTCAGCAAAGGGGACTATTGATCCATCTCTTCTCATCTCTCGTAATTGTGTCTCTGCTATCAACAGCATGCGTGCTCTTCAATCACTTGGTGTCAATCACACTGGGTTGTCACGTCTACTCTCAATTCGTTTGTACCGCCAGTTTATTCGTCCACAATTTGAGTATGGCCTGGCAATATCCTGCTTCAACATCAAACAAGTTGCTGTGCTTGAAAAGGCCCAGAACACATGCTTACGCATGATTTTTGGAGGTCACTCCACATCTTCTACATCTGTTTTCCGTCACCTTGGGAATCTTCCTAGCATGAGGGAGAGGATCTTGACTCTTGGTTTCAAGTTTGTATATCGTGCTTTCTGGTTGCCTGATGAGGCTCTGTTTACTCTTCTTCGACCTGTTCTTACAAACCCAGCACACCAATGGTTTAAGCTTTTAGCTAATCCCATTTGGTTGTCTCTCTCCAATCGTCAGAATGCTGATTCTAAAGCTTGCAAGCATGCCATTCGTTCATTTTTGAACCAGGGCCTCTCCTTGCAACGCTCTCAACAAATACTTCTCTCTGCTTGCCGTCCTTCTCTTGGTGTTGACCCTATTCTCTGGCTTCCCATGACTAACTATGAACGTAGTAGATTCATACGTTGGCGTATGGGGTGGCTTCCTGGACGTCCTCAACCTTGTTCCTGTGGATTGCATACCACCAGCCGTCATCATGTCATTGAGTGCACTGGAGCTGCAATTCGTCTCCATCTCTATTCTACAGTACAACCCAATCCAATTGATTATGTACTCAATATGCTGCCTCTGAAGACACCTAAAAACAACAAGAACAATGCCTTCTGGATCTTTACTTGGCCAATTCTTTGTAGAATAATGTTGGACATAGAACAGATCTGTCTCCCTGGGGTTGATCTTGCTGATCATGCTGCAACAGACAGAGGACAACTCTTCTTGAACTGGCTACCCAAATGAGACTGGCCATCTCCTTTTATTTTTAGTCTAGATCTGTATTAGTCTTAGTTTCCATTTATTGCATGAATTTCATGCATGCTTCATATTTTATCCTTATCTCCCTTTTTTTGTATCCCCTAGCTTAGTTTCCCTTTCTAGTTTTTCCCATTTTCCCCCTTGGGTTTTTTTCCTTTCTATTATTCTTTTTTGTACTCTTAAAGGCGGGCAATAGCTCTATAGTGCGTGTGCCCACTAGCCTTTCAATAAAAATCTTTTACCTACACCAAGAAACCACACACTCTCTTCCACAACCAAATTATTTTTTGAATTCAAACCCAGCACAGTTTTACTTTTACCTCTTTTTCTCTATAACTACTATATCAAACCTATCTGTTTTTTGCAGCAGGATTGATTGTCATAGTTGTTTTTATATATCTACCAATTTTCATTTTTTTAATTGACTTTTTTTTCAAATTGTTGGAATCATCATTGCAATCATCTTCACATCTGCGCCGAAATCACTCAAGATTGTCAGCATCTCCAACTACATCTCAATTGCCTGTACCTCTGTTATCGTCTCCAGTTCTTTTCTCCTTCTCTGAAGGTGGTTCTGGTGTTTTACCATCAACTTCGCACTTTTTTGTCCCAGTTTCAGACCTTTCTTTTTCTGCTTTGCCTGCTCCTGGTTCCCACGAATTTTTTTTTCAAGCTCCTCCAACAATGATTGGTTCCCAAAAACAGGTGATTAATTCCACTGGCCGCCCTACTCCCACTGCTCTCATTTTGTCTGGCCTCAAGGCAGACTTTAAAAAATTGCACAATGTTTTGTCCTGTTCACATTGCCAGACTACAGGCAAAATTGTTTCTAATGGGTCTACTTCTCGTACTGGTAGCCCACAGTTTAAATGCAAATGTGGTGCAACATTTACTGCTTCATCCATGCAATCTTTGATCAATGCAGTCCAACACAAAATTCCTGAAGTTCATTCTGCAAGTGAGCCTGTTGTGTCCCCTTCTGTTTCCATCTTGGGTCATAGTATTTCCATGGCAGATATCCATGAAATTGAATCTGACATTGCACCTGTTCTTCCAACTGTAATGCCCACTCTTCAGGATATTTGGGACCGTTTCCAGGCTTATGATGAACGTCTTTCTGCATTGGAGGCTGTTCAAAAAGAGAACATTGAGTTGCGTAAGGCTCTTGCTACTGCAAACGCCACTATTGCACGTTTGACAAAGGAGAATGTTGATTTTTCTGTTGGTGCTGCAGCATCCAAATATGCTACTATTGCTGCCTCTGTTCCAGTTGTTTCTCAGGCTGATTTTCCATCACTTCCTGCATCCCAGACCCATCATTCCACTGAACCCACCAAGACTTTCATTTCTAAAACACCACGTAAAAGGGCTCCAACTGCTAGGGCCATTGCTGCTGTTGTTCGTGGCATGACAATTAAAGAAAATGCTGATCAGGGGTTTCAAATTGTTTATGTACCTAATGCTATCCGTCTCCCCATTAGTACTCAACGTCAACGTCTTAGGAAATTAAAGATAGACAATGCACGTGTGCTGGATCTCCACTATCCTGATCGTAAGGTGATGGGAATGCTTGTACATAATGAGTATACTCCTGAGCTCAAGACTATCTTGGCGAGTTATGGTGTTACTACTTTGGATAACTTTGATCCTCTGGACCCTGTTCACCTCCGTGACCCAGCTCTGGCCTCTCTTTCACTTGATGATAGGGCAACAAAAGCTATACATGTTCACAATGATTGTATGCTATGTGCCATTGAATTCATTAGGGCTCCTGTCAAGTTTGCTGTTGCACGTTCCTTTTGCTCTCAGGGATGGATTAGTGATGACCAACTAGCTGAGATTGTTCCCCCACGACCCACCAAAAAAGACTTGGACATCTCTATACATACTGCCAGCATCACCATCCCTTCATTCTCTGATCTATGAATCCAGTAACAATTACATTATGGAATGCAAATGGTCTTGCAAAACAGACCATACCTACGATCCTTTCATATGCTCCACTTACTTCCCTTCTTTTTATCACTGAAACGTGGCTTTTGTCCCCCCATCGTTATCCTACTTCTTGGCAGCAGTACCATACCTATGGTCAGTCTGTCCCCAATGCTAGCCGTGGCTGCATGGGTATTTCTCTTCTTGTAAATCCTTCTTTCCCTTACCCCATTTCTATTGTTCCTTCTTCTTCTCCTTATGTTCTTTCTTGTATTGTATTTGATTGTCTTATTCATTGCATTTATCTTCCCCCTTCTCTTTCTAATGACGATGCAATTTCTATTCTTTATGACCTCCCCCTCTCTTCTCCTTCTATTCCTTCTTCTAACACTATTTTTTGTGGTGATTTTAATTCACATATGGGATCCTTTCTTGGTGACCATGCTATCACTTCGCGAGGAACTTCTTTTCTTCAGTGGATCCAGGCAACTGGTCTCACTTGTTGGAATGAATTACTTGCATTTGGTATTCCTACCTTTCTTTCTGGTGGCTCTGGTACCTCACGTTCCAGTATCATTGATTTATTTCTTTCTACGTCCCCCCTTCTCAATCCTTCTATGCAAATTCGTTCTGATCTTTCTTTAGGCTCTGATCACAAAATGGTCAACCTCACTTTCACTCCCTATGTTTCACCTCCCCCTCCCCCTACTAATCATCCGCGCCTACTTTGGAATCTTTCCAAGCTTGCTCAGCCTGACACTCTCAAGATCTACATTGATACAGCTTCTGGGTCATTGGACAATCTGACAGAGCAGTTCAGTGCTTTCCTTTCTTCTTCTTCTCCTCCTCCTGTAGATTCTCTGTGCTCTGCTTTTGCTCAAGCTATCTATGATGCTCTGGACACTGCTGTTGGTCGTCGTACACCACGTACCATGCAAAAGTACTGGTTCTGGTCAGTGGACCTTCAAGAAGCAATGGATCTGAGAGAACGCAGCTACCAACGCTGGCGTCATTCTAGTGGTTTGCAGAAGGCTATATGCTGGATGCGCCATCAGGATGCATGTCATGCTGTTAGGTTATCAGTCCAGCGTCGTCGACGTGAAACATGGAAAGAATTCTGCAACAAATTGGCAACACAAGACTTTGCAAAGACCACAGCAACAATGAAACGTATTAAAAGCCATCGTCAAACCAGTCCTGTCTTTGTGGATCCGGGTGGACCTCAAGTAGCTGCTAACAAAATGGCTGATCATCTTCAACAGATTTTCTCAGGTCAATTTCTTCCTGCACGCCGCCCTCCAGACCAGACAGTGATGATTTCATCACCAATTGCAATTGATGAATCATGTCCTTTTACTCATCTTTCTGTAGAGAGTGCAATTCTCAAGCTTCCTACACGCAAGGCTCCTGGTGTTGACCATCTTCGTGCTGAAATGCTTCACCCAATTGTTAAGCAAGTCTCTCCTGTTCTTTGTCTTTTGTTCCAGCTTTGTTGGCAATGGGGTTCTGCACCTCTTGCATGGCGTACTGCACAAGTTGTCCCCATCTTTAAAAAGGGTGATACTCATGACCCTGCTAACTATCGTCCCATTAGCTTAACGTCTATCCTGAGAAAAGCCATGGAATATTGTCTACAGTTTCCTCTTGAAGATGTGTCTCCAACAATTGACATTGCACAGGGTGGATTCCAACGTCAACGTAGCTCCCTTGATCAAGTTCTTTGTCTCCATGAGATGGTCCGTCGTCACACAGCTCTATTCAAAGCACCACCAGTCTTGGCTTTTCTTGATATCAAGTCTGCATATGACACTGTTGATCGTTCTGTAGTATGGACATCGTTACGTCCTCTTGCCTCTGATGCTATGTTAGCTTTGTTACAAAGTCTTTTTGACAACGTTCAAGTTGAGGTGTTGCTTTCTGGTGCAACATCCAGATCATTCCAACCATTGACTGGCGTTATGCAAGGATCTGTGCTTTCTCCCCACCTTTATTCCGTGTACATAAATTCTCTACCAGTTGCTCTTCGTGCTGCAGGGGAACTTTGTAACACAGTATTTAATCAGACTGCTGCCACAAGACTCAATGATCAATTAGTCAATTCACTACTTTTTGCTGACGATGTTGCCATCATTGCTACACCAGAAGCTATGCCTGTCATTCTGAATTCTGCTGAACAACATTCTCAAGAGCTAGGATATCGTTGGAGTCCCACCAAGTGCATGATCCTTCACCATTCTTGTTCTCTTTCTCCTTTGTCATTCTCTCTCTACAATGTGCCTATTCCTCATGCTCATTCGTTTCCTTACCTTGGTGTTCCCTTCTCAGCAAAGGGGACTATTGATCCATCTCTTCTCATCTCTCGTAATTGTGTCTCTGCTATCAACAGCATGCGTGCTCTTCAATCACTTGGTGTCAATCACACTGGGTTGTCACGTCTACTCTCAATTCGTTTGTATCGCCAGTTTATTCGTCCACAATTTGAGTATGGCCTGGCAATATCCTGCTTCAACATCAAACAAGTTGCTGTGCTTGAAAAGGCCCAGAACACATGCTTACGCATGATTTTTGGAGGTCACTCCACATCTTCTACATCTGTTTTCCGTCACCTTGGGAATCTTCCTAGCATGAGGGAGAGGATCTTGACTCTTGGTTTCAAGTTTGTATATCGTGCTTTCTGGTTGCCTGATGAGGCTCTGTTTACTCTTCTTCGACCTGTTCTTACAAACCCAGCACACCAATGGTTTAAGCTTTTAGCTAATCCCATTTGGTTGTCTCTCTCCAATCGTCAGAATGCTGATTCTAAAGCTTGCAAGCATGCCATTCGTTCATTTTTGAACCAGGGCCTCTTCTTGCAACGCTCTCAACAAATACTTCTCTCTGCTTGCCGTCCTTCTCTTGGTGTTGACCCTATTCTCTGGCTTCCCATGACTAACTATGAACGTAGTAGATTCATACGTTGGCGTATGGGGTGGCTTCCTGGACGTCCTCAACCTTGTTCCTGTGGATTGCATACCACCAGCCGTCATCATGTCATTGAGTGCACTGGAGCTGCAATTCGTCTCCATCTCTATTCTACAGTACAACCCAATCCAATTGATTATGTACTCAATATGCTGCCTCTGAAGAAACTTAAAAACAACAAGAACAATGCCTTCTGGATCTTTACTTGGCCAATTCTTTGTAGAATCATGTTGGACATAGAACAGATCTGTCTCCCTGGGGTTGATCTTGCTGATCATGCTGCAACAGACAGAGGACAACTCTTCTTGAACTGACTACCCAAATGAGACTAGCCATCTCCTTTTATTTTTAGTTTAGATCTGTATTAGTCTTAGTTTCCATTTATTGCATGCATTTCATGCATGCTTCATATTTTATCCTTATCTCCCTTTTTTTTGTATCCCCTAGCTTAGTTTCCCTTTCTAGCTTTTCCCATTTTCCCCCTTGGGTTTTTTTCCTTTCTATTATTCTTTTTTGTACTCTTAAAGGCGGGCAATAGCTCTATAGTGTGTGTGCCCACTAGCCTTTCAATAAAAATCTTTTACCTACACCAAGAAACCAGCATATTGGTTTCACGTGTGTTGTAGACAAGTTTGGCTTTGGCCAGTTTCTGGTGAGGGATACCAGACGGTGGATTCCTTTGGTGGTTTGCTTCACCAGTGAGCCATGACGGGTGGTACCGGACTTGTGGGCGTTGACGTCGACGGTGAGTTGACCGAGTGACGTGTCTTGAGGGGCAGGAGTAGTCCCCCAGGTTTCTTGGGAAATCTTGCTTCCGATACCCCTATACCCAAACCCCCAATATAATCCCGTTTGTTGTATCCAACATAATCGTAGATTCAAATAGAGTGCACAGACAATAAGACAAAGACATATTGAATAAGCGACCAGTATCAATTATACATTATTTCTCACACTATCATTAAATAAAGAATATACCGATAACAAGGTCACACACCTTAGTCAACATCACTAATCACTCAAACAAGAGCGTGGGTAATAACTTAACAATATATTATCTATGATATAAGAAAACAGACATCACATGATATACTCATATCATTATCCTAAATACACATGCAATGTCTATATAAACTCACATAGCAAATAGCAATAGAAGATCATCTCTCTTTTCATCAATAAACAAAGTCTCACTGTACTTCTCATCTGCACTTTGTTTTTCTTTCTTTTCTAAAAATATAATACCGTTCCTTAAAATTAAACATTGTCACCTTAGAAACACCTGTCACCCACTAAAAAAATTATACCTCTTTCCCCTAATTTTATATACTTCTTTATTGCCAATGTTTATTTATATTATTTTTTATTACATTTTTATTAGACTTTATTATTATACTATTATTATATTTTTTTACTTTACTTTACTATATTGTTATTATATTATTATCTTATTTCTATTCTACCTCACTATATTTTTACTTTATCTTTATTCATATACTATATTTTTATTTTACCTTTATTCAATTACTATATTTTTACTATACTTTTATTTTATCATCTTTATATTTTTCTATTTAACTTCTACTATCAACACCAGTTACATGTGTTGTAAATGAGTATTGACTACTGCTGTAATTGAGAATAAGTCTGAAGGAAATAATATAAGGCCTCAGCTATTCCAGTCAAAGGTGTCTACCAATTACTTTATTATTTAACACACAGGTTTAGCATGCATGATAGTGATTATATTTCATATGATGATATCACCATAATATGGGATACATCAGTGGATTATTATAAGTATAATTATAACTCATAAACACATTTACTTTCGATGTTAATACTTCATTGGGACTACACACATTTATATAATTAATCATACATTAATTATCCCAAGATCACGTTGCTCTGATTAAGGCTCAGATAGGATCGATTACCTGACCCCAGTCATATAATTTTCCCAATCCAAAACAATATAAATAGCAGTAGTAGTTCAGTGTAGGAACCTGGTCAAACTTTGATACAAAATCTTTCTCAATAAACAAAACCTACACAAGTTCTCACGAATCTTCATTCCTAATTTCAAATCTTCAATTCTTCCTCTTAAAAACTTCTTCAACTTCAACCACCACAACAATGCCATTTCAGTAGCTGGTTTGTATATGCAGCTGAAGTAACTTCTTCTGACATTCTCTGGAGCTCTCTGTTGTCCAAAACAATATCATCTTCATGGTCAAACTCCAAGTCCACATAATCTTCATTTTCCAATTGTATTTTTTTAATAAAAGCTCTACTACTAGCCAATCTGTTTATTTTCTTTGCCATTGTTGATCTCTTTTTTGGACGAGGCATTTTAGAGTATTTTAAATATAAGTGTGTTAAGCTTGAGTAGTAACACTTGAGGAAGACCAAAATAATAAAAGATACGCAATAAAAGTCAAAGTCACACACACGTGATTTGCCTTTTAAAATAAGTGTGATATGTCGGGATTGGAAGTTGCCTTTGAAGCAGCTGGAAGATATCACAAGAGTAGTTTTTCAGAAGAATAAAGATAATGTTTTATTTCGATGAAGCAATTTGTATTTATACTATCTTAAAGGGATTTTGCTAGAAGTTACCAGATATTGGAAACTTCCAGCAAAGTGTAGTATTTCTGAGAAGGATGGAATTGGATTGGCCAGATTAGGATTCAGATTCTAGGAACGACATGCTCATGACACTTTTTAAAAAATTATATTTAATGTCCGTCAGTGACAGCCATTTAACTTGTTTCAATATCGTAAAAACTGGGTAAACTCCATTGTAAATAGGCCAATACATCCCAACTTTGAAAGTCTAAGACTTTTTATTCAGAGTAGTTAGAGCAATTGTAAACTCTTAATTCTATAGATAATGATCATATCTATCAAATTAAGAGTTCAGAATTATATTAACTTAAGTTTTGCAAAAGTTATAAACTTTTAAAAAATACCTAAAAACTTAGATAGTTATCTCCGATCGCACCATAAAAGTTCAAAAAAGGGCAAAAAAAGGGTAAAACAACTTCATCCAGAACTTAGTCAATCAGACTAATTTATGACTGTCCACACTTTTTTTAAAAAAAAGTTCAAAATTAGTCCAAAATACATATTAGATAAAATTGTGTATATAATCCCGTCTATGTCATTAAGTGAGAACCTTTTATTGCGAGTTTTTCTAGACTTCTTATCATATGGAACATCTTCTCTATAAAAAAATGCTTCTCTTCTCAATCTTAGTGGCAATGGAAGAAAACTAGCTAATTAGAGTGGATTAAAAATTTTGCCCTTATTTTGGCCTTTTTTTTGGAGGTTCAAAAAAAGGGCAAAAAAAAGGGCAAAATTAGTTAAAACTCTTGCTCAATGATATGACTTAAATGTTTGCTCTTTTTTTGCCCTTGTTTTGAACTTTTAGTTTGTCCACACCAAGTATATATATATTTGTTTATAAGAAAATGAAGTTTTATCTTCTGCAGCATGGATGTTTTTTTTTCTTGAAGCTATAATGTAAAGTAGATATATAGCCTATTCAGCATTAGAAATTAAGAGAACTAATACTCATTTCTCTGGCAAAAGTGTACATTTCTTCAAAATGATGTGCACATATATAATTTTAGTATTATATAACTAACAGTTTTTATCTAGTAATCTTCTTATCAGTAAATTATTATAATGAAAGCTCGTATATTTTATAGCTAGCATAATATTTAGCGTATAAGAGAAAGTCTTCACTGTAAAGATATATTTGAGTATATTCAAGGTATACATGCCTTGAAATAACGAGTAAAAACATAATGATATCTCTATGAAAGACCACTAGATCCTTTGTTTTAGAAACTGTATTTATTTGACTTAGACATTATATAAGTGATATTTGCAAACGGTATACATATACATATACATTTTTTGTTTGTAAAAAGCATTTTATTAGGCTTGGGAGGTCTTGTGACTATACATATACATATATTATAACTTCTTTATAAATATAATTGGGTGTGCATTTAATCTCTTGATCTGGGGGTTATCAGTGCGCCTCGAGCTGATTAATCTTAGAAATATTGGCTTCTATTCTGCTCATGGCATCGTATGCTTGCCCTACATGGAACATGGCATGTTGTACAGTGGGTCTGACTGACTTATCTGATCTGGGTTGAGACACTCTTACCTTTTCTCTCGGCTCTTTCCTTTTCTTCCAAGTAGAATGATCTATCTCTCTCAATAGCCGTCTTTTGAATGGATATAAGAGTACCTACATATCGATTCACATTATTACTATTATTAAAATTATATAAAATCAGCAGCTAACATACCAGAAGAATGAAGAATGTTAAAGCTGGCCTGCATGGAATGAATTTGTTTTACAAAGAATAATGATCCCATCACAAGATCAACATATTCTCTACCCACCCGCATAATTCCAGTTCGTGTTGTGCTATTAAACCATTTTACTATAATTAAGTCAGTAATAATAATAATAATAATGCCAATACTTTTATTAGAATCTTCATTTAAAATTTTCATTAAGATCAAGTACCACTAGTATTCCATGCCATTCCTGAACCGAAATCACCATGATGAATCGTAATTGTCTCACGTATGATTCTTGTCAAATGTTCTTCCGTTATATTAAATGGTGTGTGTGGAAAGACAACCTTTGAGTCTTGGATAAATGGATCTTCGACAATCTCAAATAGCAGCCAACGACTCTTAACACGGACCATTGTTGATTAACAAATAATTAAGTATACAAAACATATTAAATAAAGCCTCCGCCCCCTCCTATTCTCACTTCTTGTGGCTGGTGTGACAGCCAGTAAGATCAAGAATGAAAATAGACTATGAGAAAAGTTTAATAAAAGTTGACCAGAGAATATTTTTAATGTAATTAAAGTACATTTTTTAAAGGAAATATCCTCCTTTCATTCTCTTTTACTATTATTATTATATTATTATTGGTATTAAAAATCACCCTCTTTAATTAGTTCTAGTTAAACCCTATCTGTGTCAAGTTCCAACAAAAAATTACTAGTTTATTTATACACGGGAGTGCGTTTGAATGTAGCCAAGTTTCTTTCTATTCAAAGAGTGGTCTAGTCAAACTTTACTTGTTCTACTGGTAAATCATTAATTGCTAAAGTCACACTGCATTTTGCTTAATTAAATTGGTTGTATATCACTTATACTTTAATAAAATACCATGTAGTCCTTAAAAGCTACAGATATGGCCCCATTATTACAGAATTATTGTGTATTTAGCTGTAGCTCTAGGATCTTTACCAGATTTGCATTATTTGCTTCAGGGTCGTCTTGAACCTATTGAAAGACACAAAATTTTATGTGACTCGCCTCCCCGAGTGAAGGTCCTCTTTTTTAATGTCGTCTCGTTTTTTTTTCAGGCCTCAAAGTCGAAGCGACCTCTTAATTGAATCAAATGGTGTTTGAAAAGACCAAGCATCATCGTGTATGCGAATTTCAGGCTATTGTACTTGCCGGATATGGCAGTAGTAACAGGTACAAAGTGAATGGGCTTTTGTCTATAAAGATGCATACTAAATCTATCTTTGCAAAGATTGTATCCAATTGCAGAAGACGATAATATGCCAAAGGCTCTCTTACCAGTTGGAAATAAACCAATTATCTCCTACACTCTTGAATGGCTCGAAAAAGCAGGAATTCATGGTACAAATAAGAAACATAATAGACTTGCCAACGTCCAGACATCTCATTATTCGAATAAGATGCTCTTGTGGTTGTTCAGGCTTCAGGCAATGTCCATCAAAAAGTGGCTGGCTACTTGGCTCGTGGCTACCAGGGGAATGTTCACTGCAATGTTATTAGCGTGGATGAAGATTGTGGATCTGCCGATGCATTACGATTCCTTAAAGACAAGATTGACGTGAGTTCTGGGTTTATACAAAAAAATCTGAATGATTTGGAAACGACGACGGATCAACGCATATCTATATATGCATATATACTTAACTTTGCATTTGAATATGTGGGATCTTTTGGGAAAACAGCGTGATTTCATTGTAGTTCCTTGTGATTTTGTTACCGAGATGAACCCTAGAGAGTTATTGGATGTTCATCGTGTTAACGATCCCACTATGACCGCTTTGTTTTACGAACCAAACAACACAGAGGCTGGAAAAGATGATGGAAAGTAAATGCGGATTATTATTTATTTTAACCCAAGAATAGTCCATATTAACATGTAATATTTCATATAGATTTGTTACCATTTGTTGGCATTGATTCTTCTCGCGGTGCACTTGTCTACAAGACCAGTCGATCAGAAGACGAAGATTTCTCTATTCGCATGTCACTCCTTAACAAGTACGACAAAAAATAATTTTACGAATATATTACTAATATATTACATTAAGATTCCCGCGGGTTCGTGTTCACACAGATTTACAGGATGCTCACGTTTATATTTTCAAGCGATGGGTGCTTGACATGGTGGCTGACAAGGAAAACATCTCGAGTATTTCCGAGGATCTTATACCAATGTTGGTTAAGTGCCAATATCAAAAGAAAATGGTCGAACAAGAGGCAGTGGAGAAATGTAGGGATTGTATTGTATTGTATTAGATTGCATTATAAGTATTGTACATATACTTATGATAGTGGGTATATATTAGATGCTGCTGCCAACAAGAACCTCTTGAGCACAGCCCTGTCACTATCAACGACATTATCTGAAGAAACATATGAATCGGATCCCATAAATTCCGATTTTAATAGTCCCGTAAAAACCAATGTTTTTGTTTACCGTGGTGGACTTTGTGGGCGTGGTAATACTATTACAAGCTACAGCGAACTCAACCGTCATGTAAGTAGATATAGAATATAATATTTCAAAAATAGATATATTGTCTATATTTGTTAATACATCTCTCTTTCTCTCTTTTTAAAGGTAACCAAACAGGGCGCCCAGATCCAGAGAATTGGTGCTCACACAGAAGTATCTGCCAGAACCCAGGTTGGAAATGACTCGACCATTGGTGAATATACCAAGATCGATGAACGTTCCTCAGTTAAAAAATCATGCGTGGGTGCCCACTGTATTATTGGCAAAAATGTAAAGATTGCCAATTCTGTGATTATGGATCATGTAGTAATTGCAGACAAGTAAGTTTGAAGGGTTTGGTTTATTTTATTTGTTGGATAATGATAATAATCCCTTCGGTCTTTCTTTGTGATTATCTAGTGCCAAGGTCGATGGATGTGTTATTTGCAATAACGCAAAGGTTTTCGAGAAATCATCTCTCAAGGATTGTGAAGTTGCTGCTGCTTATGTGGTCGAAAAGGATTGTAAGTTTTTCACTAAAAAATTATAATTTTTACGTTGTTTACTGATCTTATTAATTATTTGTTTCTAGCGCAAGTCAAGGGTGAAAAATTAGTAGCCTTTAGAGAGGCCTATTCAAATAATTAAAGATATTTCTTCTGTAAAATTTGTAATGAAGTCTAAATATCTAAAATACATTATATAATTAAATTTTAATGAAGAAATAGGACAAATTGCATATAAGAATTTTGTAGCTCTGAGTAAAATTTATAGATTAAGTGCACCAGTGGAAAAGTCGGATACAAGCTTTGTCTACAGTGGTCCCTCGATAATTTCAAGGTACTTAGTTCCCGCCTTGGCCTTGAAATTATCGAGGGACCACTGTAGCTTACATACTGTCATGTTTGTATTTCTTGCTTTAGCTTTATAGCGAATAAAATACTTTTACTTGGTTCTATAAATTATATTAATTCTCAATATACTGAGACAAAGGATTAATATTTTGGTTTGATCGCAGAGGATATAAATACATGCTGGGATCAACGCTAAAAAAAGATAAACAAAGGAAATCGTAGATAAAAATATGGCATAAATAGATATAATATTGTAAGTAATTGTAGACAAGCTATATGATCTATCTTTCAAATATGAATGATATCAGAGAGGTCCATTTATAAAAGAAAACGCATAGGTAAAGTGGGCTCGAGAATGTTGTCCGTGAAAAGGTAATGGGTCTTCAGAAAGCCATTGATGGCTAAGATGAGGTACCATTTTTCCTCGGTAGGACTTATCGGCTTGTATAAACGCATCAGACTCGACCATATCATAAGCAAAAGACTGGGAGTCGAATTCACTTGAAGGAATTAGGTTCAAGCCAAGTGAGATGTTTGAGTGATCATCAGTCCATGTTTGTGAGTTTTCGCTAGGAGCATGTATGGTAAGAAAGTCCTCAAGTAAAGGATACAATGTATCTATCAAGCCATACTGAGATGCCAACTGCTTGGCTCTTTTAAATGTTATCCTATTCACAATACCCTTATGAATATAATTTTAATTAGTTACACACATTTTATTACTTACCAGACACCTCTGAAATCTATTATTCCAGCCTTGATAACCATTCTATCTTTTTCAACCTTCAAGATTCCATCTCGCTTTCCACGTGATATTTTAGTCATGTTCAATAGTTTTGTTCCATTGATCATGTTGTTATCTAGATGTTTAATGAATCAGAAACACAGAACATACTTGATAAAATTACCTTGACGACGAGTGACACAAGTTCCATTGACATTAACTTGATAGCACATTGTGTGCTCAGCAACCCATTCAACCGTAGTAAACCGAGGACGTTCAGACCACTGAGAAAGATGATTAGAGAATGGAATGACTGGAGGTTTAGATGCCAGTTTTATTGGTAATGGAGGTGCTGGTAAGATTGGAATGAAATTCATTGGAAATAGTTAAACAATTATGAATAAGATTCTCGACGTTGCAAAAGTACCACGACACTATTATCATTATTAACATTATTATTATTTTATGAAGAAAATCATGTTTTTTTTCTATTGATTAGTGCGAATGATTTTGCGTATCATAAAACAAAAATTACGCCAAAAAACTTAGTTTTGCTAAAATGTTAGTTTTCAGGACGCAAAAAACGATAGTGCTCTTCACACGCAAAATGAAGGCTAATGCTTATACAAGCCTTTTTTTGTATTTATTGGTTGGCTACAGTGTAAAGTACCGAGTGATTGGCTTAACACGTATGAAGTTTTGTATTACAAGATTTATATGAAAGGGAAAAGGTAAAAAATAGACTAAGAAAAATCTACTCCAAGAAACGCCTTATCACTACAAGTGCCTTGGCTATGCTTATACAAGCCGCCAGGTAAAGTTATACAGCTTCTACTTGAAATTGAGGAAAATTAGAAAACGCTTTAAACGAATCAAAATGTACCTGTAGACACTATGCTTACCTTTCGTGGACAGAACGAGAATGAAATTTAGACAAAGAGAAATTAGTTTTCAGGCAAAGTAGACATTTATTCAGACATTTTACCTGTAATTGCCTAAATGTCTCAAAGAAGCAACCTATTTACGTTACAGTGATTTGATTGCTGTTATTGTCATTGTTGCTGTTGCTGCTGACTGCTGCTTGCTTTTATCAGATCTTTGGAAAGCGGTTAGACTTTTGAATTTTGAATTTTTATTTCTGCCTAAGTACTTAGATTAATTAAGAGCATGTACAGCGGTTAGATTCTAGAAAACTATACATATAGTGTATATTAGCCACACCGAGGATTGAATACTGGTCAAAACGAAATGATCAAGTTATGCTTATTCTATAAAAGGAAATCTTAACTTTTTAACTATCTAAAGTTGTCATTTCTTTACTGCTCTGTAAAGCCTGTAATACGCTGTGACAGCGAGGTGTTAATGCTACAAAAAAAAATTACAGGTAAACATCTGAACATCAATGTTGGTTTAAAAACGAATTTCTCTTTGCGTAATTTTTATTCTCGCTTTGTCCACAAAAGGTAAGCATATTGTCTAAAATTACATCTTGATTCGTCTAAAACATCTCTTAATTTGTCTCAATCTCAAGTAGAAACATTGTATTGTAAAGGATATAACGCTACCCCGCACATGGCACACAGACAGCAAGAATAAAGCACACGCAAATATGTCTTTAACATTGATGTTCCTGAGTGACCTTTGAAAGTCCAGATCTAATCACAGTCGAATATATCAGGAATTTCTTAGATAATCCTTTCCACTTGAGGTCTTACCAACCTGAAATCCAGAATTGGTTAGAGGAGGCTTTGGAATAGAGGTAGCCAACGATAAGTTTAGATATTTGTACAAAATATCTTCTCAGCATGCATATTTTATTAATAGACGTAAAAGTAAAAATAAAATTGTTAAATCATTTCAAATTAAATAAAGTTTACTTCCTCCTGTCTGATAAAGTACTTAATGTAATATTATTATGACTGTGATCCGAAGCTACTAGCTTTAAATACAAATGATAAAAGAAATATAAAGGCAACAAGGTTGCTTTACATTCATCTCTGGGATTTAAAAAAAAACTATTGATGAGTTTGTACCTTGAACCTAAATTAAGTTTACAAAATCGAGACTTTGTTACACATAAAATTATCTGCATCTATTGATAGTAAACACAACAGCCACAAGACAAGTTGCGATTAGCTTAATTAAAGACAAGTACTGTTTAAAGAGATATCTGGCTTTATTATTGATGAAAAAAATTGAAGTTAGACATGGGGGACTGGGGATTGGTAAGGTTAAAGACACGTCTTATTCACAAGAAATAAAGCAAAAATTTCATGGGTTTCCCATTGACTTTGTAACAATAGCGTGTCTATGCCTTATTTTTTTTTACTTTGGGAGTTTACTAACAATCTCAGTGCATTTATAGTCATCACATGTTGATTAATCCCTCATTTAACAAATACTAGAGGGAAGAGTTGGGTTTATATTGACTAATGTTTTTTGAAGAATTATTTGCGTTACTTAAAGTCTGTTCTGCGTCAGTTGAAAAACGTGTTTGTGACATATCAATCCAATTACAAAAACCCCGACAATACTAAATTGCGCTTTGTTTTTGCGTTAATCGAGTCATCAAATTTTTAGTATGTCTTCGGGTAACAATACAGAAAAAAAGTATGTCTTCGGGTATATAATACCTTCAATAAATAATAGAAAAAAAAAAAAGAAAATACTGTCTTCATGATCCACGGAAAACATACTAGAAATAAAATAAGAGTAAAGAAAAAAATCGGGAGTATAATACAGCAAAGATTTTTTACAGATCAGAAGAAAATATTTACTCAAGTTCTTAGGAAGCTGCAAGTGGTGAATAACAGGATGAGCATGAGATAAAGGGTTAAAGCTAGAAAAGAGACTTACCCGTCACAATAATACTAACAGAGGTAATTTTAGTGAGTTTGATAATATAGGTTTGCATTTTTATTGCATGACATAAGAAATCCTTAAATCCTTTGTCTTATTCAGTCTGTTGAAAGCTCACACTCTGAGCAATGTTTACAGATTCGGCTCTATCAGAAGGCAATATAGTTTCAAGAATCACGATTATGAATAGGTACACTCCCTCTATTTTACGTACATATTTACTTTCCAATTTCCAGCAGTCAGTGCAAAAAAAAAGACAATCTCTGTACCTAAACGATTTTTGTCTGTTTAAATTTTATGCTTTGTATCTGTTTATTATAAAACCAGTATAAAATATGTTTTTAGGAACGGAGGATTTTGGTATTGTTTGTTAAATGTGGAATTTATATGACCCAAAAGCTATGCACAAATCAATAAAATATTAGCCAGAGCTTTATTTGCTTCTCATAAAAGAATGTACTACATGATGTGTGTTTCTTTTGTGTCGAATGCGAAAACATATTTTTTCGTATCGTTTATTGAGGAAATTATATTGAGGAAATTATATGCCCAAAGGCTAATGCGAAAAATAGATTCGAGATATGCCACGATTAGCGTAAAAACGAAACGCATTTTATTGTTTTCGGAGTATTTGTGATCGATTTAGAGTATTACTATCACGTTTTTAGATTGGCGCAGAGCGCACTTTAAGTAACGCAAACGGTTCTTCGGAAACCAGTCAAAGGTAGGAAATTAAGAAGATTTATGATTTATCTTTGGTTTGTATACAGAAAATCAAGGCCTTTGCACGTGTCAGAATGGCCTTTGTACCAAAAGTAATCCCAATTGCATTATACATTCTTCAACGTAGCAAGAATAAAGGAGACCTTAACTCATAAGCGTCTCTTGTCTATCAAACTATTTGGTCAAGAATGTCCTCTCCTATCATGTATACATGATCCCCTTACTAGCTTGCATCTATACACTATAATAGCCATCTCTGTGTGTGTGCAACGATAGCCAAATCAAATATACAGACAAATGGAGTAAACTAAGTCGTTGGTTTCACAGCCAATAAGCGATTTGCACACTTTGGTATTAACCATTCCATTACAAGCCACGCTTTATACACACACCTTTGCTTTATTTTCTATATTCATACCACTCTTTCCTTACATTTATTTTTCACCCAATTATTCAACTTCCAACAATTGAGCAACAACATATAGTGCAAATTGCTATTGACTTGAAGTCAAATCATCATCCATAATGTATGACCCATTCCTTCACATCCCTGCCAGTCGCCCCTCAAGTCTCAGCACACCCCGCCCAACCACAAAACGCCCTGTCATTACATCCACAAAATCCACAAAAACTGCCAAGAATTCAAAAAATCTCGAACAAGCTATCGAGAAAGCAAACACTGCTGTTCAGTTTGATACCAAGGGCCAACGTAAAGACGCAAGGAAGACTTATAAAGAAGCAATTGTTTTACTCGAAAGTGTTCTTCAAACAGTCAGTAACGAAGACAAGAAGCGACTTCAAAAGATTGTAATATATATCTTTTTTTTTCAATCAGACCAGTGTTTTAATATCCTACCGACACTAATACCCAAAATATCTAGCATGATTCTTACACTGAACGCATACACTTCTTAAGTACAGCCGTCACAACAATTCGACCACCATCCAAGGTGGTAGTTGTTCCTGAGGTTGTAACTCCGTCTCACTCGGTTTTTACGTCGGTTTTTGCTAGACATGCCCCAGCTCGACCTAAAGGACCACCTGCAATTTTACCAGCCCCACAGAAACCTTCAGCTAGCACACCACTTGTATCAGAACGTCCATCAAAGCCATGGCGAAATGGAGGTACGGTTTAAATACAATATCTGGGAATGAAATAACTCATCTATATCCATATGCCAATAAACAGCTGCTAGTAAGAATCGATATTCCTCTGATGTAGAGCAGGCCCTAGAGAAAGCGAAAAAAGAATCGTTAGTTATATCTGCTCTTCCACCTTTACCAACATCTTCTCCTGGCCAGGATGTAATGCCATCTATTGAAGCCAATCGCCCAAATATCATACGCCACAAAACATCAACACTCTTAAGATCTAAGCCTGCACCAACCCCTTCTCGCAGCAAAAGTGTCTCAACTCATACACCCCCAAATCCCAAGAACATTGGGCCAGTACCAACTGCAAGCATATCTATTGCTCGTGCTACTTCGACTAATCTTGCATTAGTCGGATCATTTATCAAATCACATACCACTCGCACCAAGAAAATAACGCACCCACCAAATCCAACCATTACAACCACAACTAAAAATACAACTACAGCGCCTGCATCAACTACAGAAAATACAGCACCACCTCATTCCACCTTAACCAACACAGAAACATCTCCACGACCTAGAAGCAATAGTAATGCTTCAACTCTCTCCTCATTTCCTATCCGTACCCTTAGCCGCACTACTTCCACATCCACATTTGTCATTAATCCGAAGATAGTTCTTGAGGACAAACCCAACCCAGCTGTATTTTTAGACAGCGTTAATAACACACCCTTTAATAATGATGTACCTCTTATGAAGCGACTACACAAGAGTATCGAATACGGAGGTTACATTACAGCCACTATTCATGCTCCTAAGCAACTCTGGTATTTATTTATTAATATTATTATTATAATAATAATAATGCTAATGTAGTACTCATTTATTCCTATTTTTCTTTTAAAAAACAAACTTAAAGGCATCAATCGAACGTACGGCTACCAGAAGTCAGTGCCAAAGTAACAGCCTGTAAACTTTTAGTACCAGTACTGAAAAGTATGGAAGTCAGAAGGCATGTTTCGCCAGTTGACGCCTATACCGAACTAAGTGGGTTTGAGCATACGTTGAAACATATCAAGTATACTTTTGCAAAAAAACTTGGTATCCTTGACCATATTCCACCTGAAGTAACCTCAGACGATGCAAGTATACCCGGTCTAAATTCAAGTCGGCGTTCACAGGCATGTAAATCATATAAAATAAAGATATATGCAGATCACTTTATTAACTACTTAATTCTTTAAATTTTTAAAACACACAGACCATTGTATCCTGGGGAAATAAGATTTCTAAATCCGTTGAGCGGATGAAAATCGAAAGCTCCAAATCTTCGTAAGTTTTCTTTTCTTTTTAATTTTTTTTTAAATAATGATAATAATAATGATAATGATAACACAAGTAAAGGTCTTTTGTCTGTGCGTATAACTTGTATGGCTTATAGAATTTTCCTTTTCTTCTTCTTTAATATTATAGAGAGGAACAATATATGGCTTATATTGATATACTTGCCCAACTTTTTTCTGCGGCCCAAGTCTTAGGTAAGAAGCTTGCCACTTTTTCTGCACCTAAGACCATTACTAAATATCTTTAAAGATGACTGGAAAGAATTTTATACTCTCGAACAAATGGCACCCGATAAAGCAGGCCTTTATGACCATGTCCTCGAGAAGCTGCAACTATGTACAGACTCATTCCACCGGATTATTTGTGCTTTTGTCATGCGTGATTTCTCTATTCTTCTAAACCAGTGGCTGAAAAAGAGTCTAGAATGGGTAGAATCATAAAAACAAGCATGAAACAGAGAAGAGAGAGAGAGAGAATATAAAAAGACACCCCTTTTTATTTATTTATTTATTTATTTATTTATACACACACCATAATACATATTCATATCATCCATAATTCACACCCATAACACGTTTAGTCTTATCAATACGAATATTTAGACGATCTGGGCGATAATCCATGGTCATAATAGAATTGGGAGGCAATACGCGATTAGGCTGAGGAAGATCGCTATGGCGAACATACTTTATATCTGTGAGTATGATGATAAGGTTGTTGGACTCAACTTACTTCATCACTCGACAGACTGGTCGCTTCGTCATTTTCCAAGATAAACTTTCCGACGAGTTTATCGCGCCATCCGTCGCAGTCATCTTGGACATTTCCGTTATTACGATTGCAGGGAAGCATTGTGATTGAGATGAAAATAAAAGAAAGAAAGAAAGAAAGCAAGAACTGCTATAGTCCAAATTATGCAGACCCCGACGATGTAAAGATGGATTGCGTCGCTGTTGGTTGCACATATTACATCATCATAACCACATAAGAATGTACACTATAAAGCACAACTGTCAATTCCCACAAACCCACTTTTCTCTTTCTTTATATTCTCTCCTTTTAATTACAGATGTTAAACGCTACTCGGATATGCTCTAGGCGGCTGGTTACTCCTCGTATTGCCAGCCCGCGATTTGCTAGTGGAAGATCCATATGTACGTCAAAGGCAGTTTAAAAGATATAAACTAAAGCAGATATATTCACACTTGTATTTTTTGCTTTCAGGTGTACAACCTACACGTATTATTGGGACCCTTCCTAGAGAATCGCCATGGCTTAAACTCAATATAGGAGCTGTGCTTACTGCTGGTGTAGCGTCTAGTTCCATGGCTTTTAAAAAGCCAATTCTATGTGAAGGTATAGCTCATTAAATATTTATATGTGCATGTGAATGTATACTTATTGACACTTTTAACTAAAACAATGAACCTTATTATTGTGTGTAGCTATTCAGGAACCTACCATACTCCCACAGCGCAAAAGCCCATTAGTTAATCAGACTGAATTGACCTTTGGGACTGTCCTAGGATTGTGTGCAGGATTTTTAACAAAAAAGCTTGGAAAATTGGCAGCAGGCTTGATTGGAACCGGATTTTTGTTCTTACAGGTAAAGCTTTACAATTATGGGAGTGATGTTCTCTGTCTTTATTAATTTTGATAAATATAGTATATGGCAAGTAAAGGCTATGTGAATGTCAACTGGAAGAAATTGGATAGACATTATCGTCAAAGCCTTGATACGGATCGGGATGGAAAAGTGACAGGCCGGGATATTTCGTCTCACTGGGACAATTTCTCAAAGTTATTAACTCACAACTTCCAATTCAAATCCACTTTTCTCGTTGGGTTTGCAATCGGGTTTCGCTATGGCTAAGAAGAAAATAAATACAAAATAAATACTGCAATTATTTTTCTTACGATTCAACCTACCTCCTTTACTTCTTCCATTATTGGTTGATTTAAGCAAACAGGATTTTAGAGTATACTATAAATGTAATATCAATAAACTACTTATTGCGAATTCTTGTAAAGGTATGACTGACAGATAATAAATTATAAATCTTTGTTGCTTTATTCATTTGATATATATGCTACTAATATGCTTATATTTATATACATATATCTAAACTAACTCCAATTAATCAGACTCTGATATGATGTTTTATTGAATAGACTACTGATCTATTTTACATTATTTCATATTCAAAGAATTTCAAGGTGCCTATGGACAGTTAACATGTTTCAAACCAATAAGTACCATGATTTTTTTAACAGCGCTTATACTCCTTATGAAAAGTGCAGTAAAGCACAATGAGCCCAGTCTATGAAGTCATCATTCTTAATTTAAATCCCCGGTTTATTATTTTTTGTAAACACACCAAGTCCATCAAAAACTCAGTGTTAGAAGAAAGGCCTCCTTGTCCTGATAAAATCATCGACCCCTACGCACTCGTTATTTACTATCTTAAAAGCAGTATATCATGATGCCAAGGTACCTGAATTTCTCTCATTCGGTAATCGTTGAGGTCCTTCGTGCCATCGTCTCTCGACCTATTCTACCAACTACCCAGAACGCATCCTTAAGAGCCACATGGAGACAACATAATCACAATCGCTCAATATTCATGGCAGACCGTCGAATGTATACAGCCCAAGCAGCTCTTTGCAGCGAAGATAAATCACGAGATGTCACTGAACAGCAAATGCTTTCCTTGATCGACACCATCCAACCAAAAGACGAGAATGATAATAGTATAGTCCCAGGAGAAAAATGCGCAGAAAAATGGCGTATGTGTTATAGAGACCGTACTAGTCATGGGTTCTATGTACCTTTACACTTGCACAACAAAAACAAAAAACGAAAACCAGGCACAGTTGAGGAATACAATCGCGCAATCCTCTTCACCACCATGAACAACCAAATCAACAAGGCAATTAAATATTTTCGTGAAATGGAACAACGTTTAATTAAACCGGACAATTATACCTACACTATTATTATTAACGCCTACAGCAAACAATCTGACATGGTCCGCGCGATAAAATGGTTTAAGCGTATGAAAACAAACGGCAGCGAACCGGACGCATACACGTATACAAGTTTGATTGATGGTTACATGCGTATTGCTGATATTGACAAAGCAGAGTCCGTGTTCAGATCTATGATGATGAATAATGTTCATCCTACATTGGTTACCTACAACATCCTCATGCACCATTCAGTCACTCAACTCGACATCAAAACTGCAATGAGCTTTTGGGAAAATCTGCTCCAGGCTGGGCTGAAGCCAGACGTTTATACCTTTGCTATTCTCATGCATGGCTTGGGAGAAGAGGGTCGAGTAGATGAGGCCTGGCGCCTCTATAATACAATGAAAGAAGAAAACGTGGATATCAATACTCACATTGCCACGACCCTTATGGGTATGCATGTAAAACATCGTGACAATGAACACACTATACAACTATATCGCCAGTTCTTTGAAGCCCCTGGAAACAAAGCACTAGTCCCTACAAGTCACACACGTAATATACTGCTAAACGCTGTTATCTCGAATACAGACGAAGATAAAATTGAAAAGTACTATGAACAGTTCAAGGATAGTCTTCTTCCACATGGCAAGGCTATCACTTCCCCTCTTTTTTCTGGCCAATCTAGTGTATACACCTACACACTATTTATGCGAGCATTTTTGCGTCACAATTCGATATCAATGGTCAGTCAGGTCTATCAGGACATGATTGCACGCCAAGTTAAACCGACTGTTGTTACTTATGCCGTTTTGATGCTCGCTCATTCATTTGTTCCTGATCCATATTCGTGTGTACATATCTTGAATGAAATGAAGCACGCTAAGCTCGAAGTTAATGCCGTGCTTTATACCATTGTCATGCGTGCCTGGGCAAAATTGGGTAGGTGGGACCAAGTTCAAGAAACTTACGAGACCATGAAAGGTGACAATATTCAACCCACGAAACTTACCCTTGAAGTCCTTCGATGGGGAAGGAACAGAGGGCACACATACCTTGTGCAATAAAGGAACGTTCTTCCTCGTTGCCCATACCTCATCTGTACATAAAAACCTGTTTTCTGAACACTATATAAAAAAGAATTTGTATATCTCAAACCATAATTACATTACATTTATGCTTATATCTATCCTCACTCCATTTACTCTACTCTGCTCTACTTTACTCCACTCTGATATATTATTTGTAATAAGACATTTTTTCTGTTTATATTTCGTGCCATCCTTCCCTTTCATTATAAAGCATTTATCTGAAATAAAACATGGTGTCATCTCAAGATTATATTTTATTTATTTATTAAATAATATAAATGCGATCATTAATAAGAGTTATAAAAAAGAAAGATCCTTTCTTTCGTAGTAATATTCTGATTATGCGTATGTAAATAAATAACTACAAATTGCCTCGAAAAAATGATAATGATCAGCACTACATTCAAATAAGCATATTCATTAATAATACTTGTATAAATAGTTAACAGCCCTGCTCTTTCAAAAGTACTTGTAGGCCAAATATCGAAGTTTGATTATCTGCGTATTGATTAATTCTTACCTTGAAGACATAAATTTAGCCTTGAAACCAACACCATAAATAGTTGTAGATACTTGGATTTCTGCTAGTAAGCTCATTCTTTTTAAACTTAGTTATTGGTGTAATACAGACAATGTGTGAGAATATGTGCGTGTGGATCCCTTAAGAAGAATTTGTAGGACCATCTTGATTAATTATTTCCTTCTTATCAGGTTTGGTAGAGCAAAACACAACTCTTGAAAATGATCGTTTCTGCGTTTATAATCAATTATTACGTACTTGATTTGATAAATATAAGCTGCGTAATTATTATAAAAGTTCAGAACGAATTATATTACTTTATCCAAAGAAGTTACTTCACTATTTGTACCATTGACTAATGTACAATCCTTATAATAATCTATTTTAACAAGCATAATTGAATTCAAATGACACACAACACGTGGCTTCCAGAGTAGGATAAGATTCAATGTGGGACAGGCGTGTGTTTTAAGTCTATCAAGAATCTATGGTGATAGAGTAATAAGAGGGAAAAAAAAAGAGACGTTTGATATCGTTGATTAGGGATTTAAAACATAATATATATACATAACAGTTTAAAAATGGGCGTAATGTACACTTTTAAAAGCTACATATCAATATCAGCTACGGTTTATTTGACAGCTATTTTTTAGTTTCCTTAAGTTAGTGCATAAATTTTCTTTCTATTTTAACATTGCCCGCCAACATCTTCGAAATCTAGACAGGTAATTTTTAACGAGCCTAAAGCATATTTATTACTAAAAGTACTCTAACTGCTTTCAAGCATCGGGGTGCCCTAGGCACTTTGGAACGTTCAAATGGTTTATATAAATGTAGATACAAGAGTATATCATATATTCTTTTGACAGCATAATATCCTTTTCATTCAGTTTCAGCCGAATTGATTTTCTACAACATACGCGTAATAATAATACAAGATGGTAGTTTTGCTACCGTAAAATATGTAGAGAGTAAACAGAGTCTTGAGAGAAGAAGAAGGAAGAAATATATAGAATTTACTTGAAAGCATGTTATTGGTTTAAATAGGAAGTATATTATCAATTGTTAAAGTTACTGTAAAATCGTTTCTTTTTATTTTTTTTTTGTAAAAAAAATTGTAAAAATTTTATTCCAAATACAGTCATCGTCATTACAATGGCAGGATTCCCACATGGATGGTTCTTCATCACCAGTACTAATGGTCATGTTCTTACCATTACACCTATTTCCTTCCAAGTAAACTCCCTTCAAAACGATCTGTTGTAATAGAGGCTTACAACGAATAAGGTGTCGCAGGCATCTCGGATCGAACTGCGTCCAAATGTAGAGGGAGATCATCAGCTGTGGAGTCACGACGATGGGTATCTGGTGAACAAGCTCTCCGGCTGTGGTAAAGGCAACCATATAGTATTATTATTATTATTCTTTTTTACGATAAGGATTATCATCTGACACTGTTAGTATTGCTTTATGCTATTGTTTGGATATTACTCAGTGTTGGCTATCAAGAATCAACCAAGCAAGGGACAATGTCTTACGAGTGTGATGAGAGAACCCCTTGAAAATGCAGAGCACCAGCGATGGGAATTCAATACAAACTGCCTGACATTGATAAGCAACCATGATTGGTCTCTTGTGAGTAGAATTGACATAAGATACATGTATAACTTACAATGATACTATACAAAACACAGTCAGACCAACCAGTACCTCGATGCGTAGCCTCAGAAGATGGTGTAGACTGGGTGTGCTGTCCAAAGAGCTGTTCTGATTAAAGCCATGATTGCTCTCTTTCTACTCTATAAATATATATATTTGAAGGATAATAGTGAATGGTTAAAATTAAACAATAAAATAAAAATAAAAATAAAATTAAAACCAGCGTGACAGTGGTATGATTTCCACTCTTCCAACTTGGAAAGCGTCATTCTTCTTGTCTTCTCACACACAGCAATGATCTACAGCCGACTGTTTATATTGGCAATTTTATCATGTACAGCTTGCGCATCAATTCTCTTGGTGGTAAGTGGCATCATTAGAGATTACTACCAGTGACTAACCAAACGTAATGTAAAAAAAAAGGATTCAAACATCACTTACAATGACCGTATAGCGGCATTCGGTCCTCGATTACTAGGGGGAGTGGAAGATGGACCTGGTTTGCAGGGAAATCTATTACCACCCATTCTAGAGAAAGATCGTTATGGCTGCGAGGTTATCGAGCCACCGACAACCGAATGGATTGCCTTTGTCGAGCGTGGCGAGTGCTCGTTCATTGACAAGGTCCGAGCTATGCAAGCTAGCGGAGCGTTGGCGGTCGTAGTCGGAGATCGACACTTTAACGGTTGGATTACTATGTATGCACCAGGTAAGCAGACAAGCACAGTATAATTATTGTATCTTGATTATTATTTTTTGGCTTATCAAATGGCTTAATTTCTTATATGAAAGGTGATACTTCTGATGTGCGTGTCCCCAGTGTATTTGTGGCACAGCACCAATATCAAATTCTGTTAATGCTGACCGACAAGCAACATCCACTAAGGATTGAACTATTAAAGGATGATATGTTAACCTGGTAACTAACAGAAAAGAAAATGTCGGCTTTAATATGCATATTAAGTGTGAATTTCACGCAAAAAAAATCTATTTGTTAGGCCATTACTAGATATGCTTCTTGTGGTTGTTCTTTCACCAGCAGTCATGATGCTTTCCATCTACATCACATGGCGATTGAGACAACGACAATTCCGTAAACAAGAACTAGCACCTTCTGATATAGTTACCAAACTTCCGTTACGTACATTCAGACGGGAAAAGTCCATAGATGTCGATCACGAAGAGTGTGCGATTTGCTTGGAAGATTATATAGATGAAGATACTCTACGAACTCTTCCGTGTCGCCATGAATTCCATGCTGGATGTGTTGATGCATGGCTTACCTCTCATAAGAAATTTGTAAGTTATAATCTAATCTGCTCGTACTCAAAGTAACATAATTAATTTTTTGTCAATACAAGTGTCCCATATGTAAATATGATATCTGTAAGCGGGCACCTGGGGGAAGTAATGAACAAACACCTCTCCTCGGAGCATAACAAATGTATGGTCTTTAAATGTCTTCATACACTCAAACGTTGAAGGTGATCCGGTCGGATATTGAATCGTTGAGTTTTTTTTTTTTTTTCTTCAAGCATATTGATACTACAGAATTCTTATTTTTAAATTCAGACGATGTTATTTTTTTGGGCGAATCAAAATCAATTTTTAAATGCTCAGCTTACCTTTTTTGGATGAAGACAAAAAGAAAAGATTCAAACTTTTTGAGTAACACCTTTGAACTGATCGTTTAAAGGTTTTCTGCGGAGGTTAAGAAGGACCCCACTTATATAATTATAGTAATAAAGTCAGTATACAGGTAGATTGATGATTTTTTAAAAGCTATCCTTGTTGACAATAGTAGTATAAGGTCATTAGTTATTTGTAAAACTAGAAGAATGGACAAAGCATAAGTAGAGATGAAGGTTACTTACTTTAGAACGCACATTATCTTTCAAGACTTGCAATATGACCAGTTGTACAAATATATCTATGAATTTAGGGGCACAGAAGCATATCTTCGACACATTTTAGGTGACTGATAAGCAGCTGTTTATATATATATATAAGCACAGACGTTTTATGAAATAAAGGAGTTTAGTGTATTATTAAACTCTTTACATAGAAAGTCCCTTTTTTTATTTTTATTTTTTGACAGGTTTGACTTGAAGTTTAATATGCTTGCTTTTATAATTTATGTATATAGAATGTACAGTTTGTTTTATACAAAAAATATCGTGTTTAGCTATAGTCATATACAAGGATTATAGTAAGCCTGGCAATTGCATAAAGAGAGGTAGCCAATGTGACCATTTTGAATCAACATTAACTTTTAATAAGTAAAGTAGTCTCTAACAACAGACAACAGCTCAAATGGGATATATGTGTGTAGTTGGCACAAACCACAAAAGAAGTACTAGGTATAAAAATAGTAAAGAAGAAAGGCAGAAAAAAACTATGGCAAAGAGGTAAACTGAGCCAAAAGAAAGTAGTTCTGTATGTTCGAGCTGCCATAAAAGAAAGGCCACAAGAGCTCAAGATTAAAAGACTATTATAATCACAAGATGATTAAACAAGCGCAAGCGTAAGTTCAAGTACAAAGTTTTTTTTTTGAAAAATAATGCTACAACTGAGACTAGAAAAAAAAATTATATTAGACACAATCCTTAGTCCTAAAGCTTACAACGATAAACTGCTAGCGATTGAAGAGGTATGCATGTAATTGTCAGTAATAGATATGTCCAAAATAGTTACGCGTATAAGTTTGGTTTCGTTATGTCATGTACCCTCTTTAAAGTGGAAGTTTATAACAATCAACACAAACACTCTCATCTCCCCACCAAAGAAATCTCTACGTACTTCTCTTAAATAATAGTAATAAAGACACTTTAAAATTGATTTTTGGTCAACCAACCCCCATTTTGTCATGTACATATTCAAATACCCTAATAGCTCTACTATGTTTAGTAATAGCTGTCACCAACATATATATATTTAATTTTCCAGTATAGATTGTTAATATAGGTTATATCCTGAAATTGTATTTGTAGGTAGGTTGTATATCTTTATATCTTGACAAAACGAAAAGTCAAAATGCCCATTCTCTCCCTATTTCGCTCTCTCTCTCTCTCTCTTCTTTGATAATCGGTATACTTATGTGCGCTCATGCCGTGCCTGTTATCCCATATTCTCTTCAAAATTTGATTTTTTTTTTTGAAATTCGACATTGATATATTTTCGGATAATGAAGATCAAGAGTCAAAAACAAAACGAGACAAAAGTTTCATTTTTACAATATATAAAGGCTGGCGTGAAGATCTAATTTAACCGGCCTTGTGGCTATAATAATAATGGTAATAAAGAGTGAGTAAGTAAGTGCCAAGTTGTTTATGCATAGCTTTTATAAAGATATCAAGACTTACAATTGCCAGGCAGCAGCTATATATATATTTGAAAATTTACATATTTTGTGTTAATAATGTCTGTTTTTTTTACAGAATGCACAGATGAACACTATTTACATACCGATAAAGGGAGCACCGAAACCAACACCAAGGTACAAGGTCATCTTAAGAGCAAGAGCAGCCTTGTTTGTGGTATCAAAAGGAAGGTTCTACAATAGAATTGAATAGAATAGTATATTTATTAACATCTTGCCTAAAATTATTGTGATTATGTTTTTCGTGTTTGTACCTGGCCATTGCTGTTGGAGAAATGGTACAAGTCAGAGCGCATGACCTGACGAGAGGCGACGCGGGATCTGAGGGCAGAACGAGCAAGGACGTTGGCGTACATTTGATTTTCTTGGTGTATAAGAGAGAGGGGAGGAGAGAAATATATAAATGTATATAAAAAGAATATAAAATAAAAGAGTAAATTAACAGGGCTTTAATCGTATGTTTTTTTTTCTCTCTCTCTCTCTCGTTTCTTATTCTGGTTGTGAATGGCCCATAACCAACAACCCAGAACACAAGAACTACTGACGTAAGCATATACCACACACTTAATTATTATTATTTTGTGTGAATCAAGCAATCATAGAGTGAAAACTTTATAGGGTACACTGGTTTAGTTACACGGGAAAGGCAAAATTTGTAATTATATTTATTTTAATTGATAAAAAAAAAAGACAAAAAATAATACTAATTCATCTTGATTTCTCAACGATGTCTAATTAAGATTTAGTAAAGAATCTAATTGATTTAAAATCGTGTTTAATAGACGGAATTCTCGAGGTGATTCTGTAGAATGAAGCTACCAATACTTTTACAGTCTTAATAGATTTGGAGAGATTGATCCTCTAGATTGGTAATGATTTACTTCATTTTTATTTTTATTTATTTTGAATTGAAGTTAATTATTAGCTTGGTATAACTTCTTTATTTTCACTGGTTATTTGAGCGAGACCTAGAGATAAGATGGTTGAATGAGCAATAGAGAGCTCAGGAAAGAAAAAAACAAAACAAACTCCTACCTGCATAAATGAATTGGTTATGTGCCTGTTTTATATATATATATATATATATTTTAATTGTTATTAGGATATGGATCTAAAAAACCACCAAGAGACACACGAGTATAAATTACAAGTGGACCAATGTATATATATATATATATGAATGTCTTTATTATATGATGAATCAATAAATAAAATAAAGAGATTAAAAAAGGAAAAGAAGTAGAGCAAGAAGTATAAGGGGAGCAAAATGAATTATCTAAAATATAAAGTATAACAATAACGACAAGGCATATTAAAGAAATACCCCACACAACAAATCCAAGTAATAAATAAATACATATATACATATATACATCTTTATAATTATAATTATATATGTACGTGCTTAGCCATTTTCATGATGTTATTAGAAGAAAGAACGAAAACAAGTACCGGGAACTCATCCTTTTACAGATAGAAAACTTGATCTTATCGTAAAGACCAGCCAAAAAAGAATACAAGAAAAAAAAGGGCTGGGAAGATGAAGTAAACTGGATCAGGGACTTAGTGTGGAGAGATCCGGGTATTGATATCATATCCCCTACGCACTTGTTCTACACACTTCATCTTTCCGCCTTTTCCCAACCCAACAATAGATCTGGCCAGTCTTCAAAAGGTAAACGACAAAGACAAAGGACAAAGGGACACACAAACGCAGGGTTCCCCACCCGAAATGCACAAATGATTTTCTCGACCAAAGGTAAATCCCACACAGCCATTTCTTTCTTTCGGAATATCCCGTATCACGCTATTATTGGTCCCACACACAATAGCAATTCCCGGGGAATATATAGTAACATAGCCAACCAATACAATAACATAATATATGCCAGAATCTAAAGCAAAATCCAAAGCAAAAGCACAATTTACCAATAAATCAATTATATTGTAACCAAGGCAGCATCTTCAATACTAGACCTTTATTGATCATTTTATATTAAATCACATTGTAACAATACCATAAGGATCAGTATCATTCCTAATCTTGCAAATATCTATCCTTCATTTGATTCTTATTGTTTTCTTTTTCTTTTCTAGTAAAAGATATTTATGGCTGTGTATTCATGGTGCCCAGAACATTGGCGTCAAACAAATGACCTATTTCTTTTTCTCAATCCAATGCCTTATTCAAATGGCAAAAGATATCGATTAGACTTAACCAAAAATAATAACCCCTTCTCCCCACACATCTTTAATTTGAAATATTTTATTCTTCTATTCCACAGTCATTAAATATATATACATGTATATATGTGTATTGTCTAGAATGTTCACATACGATTTATTAATTGTCTTTCTTTTATCAAAAAGTCGTGTCTTTGTTAGGAGACTATTATGCATCGTTAATTGTTAATTATCCATGGTATATTTTTTTTAATTGCCTCTCCCCAGTTGTCACAATATTGAACACACATCAAACTTGGCAAATGCGGGCAACATGGGTCTTTTTCTTTTTCTACTCAGTTCCCTTACCCCCACGGATAAACCTTTCATTTCACGGAGCGGTAATTCAAACCAATACTTGTGGTTCATCCAAGCATTTATTATAGGGAAGATCTTTTTCTAATATCTTTATATGTGTCACAATATACTCTTACTGTCCGGGCAATATTGAATGGCTGTCAATAGTTTAACAATCCAGAAACCCTACCCAAAGATCATTTTTATTTTGCAGTCATAATCGGACACTGCTTCTATGGGTGCTCATGGAATCCTTTATTGATATAAAGGATTCAGTGAGCACCTTATATCACTGGCAGAGATGAAGACGGATTTGGGGGAGATTGAGTATGGACCGAACTTTATAATCAAAGGTCACAAAAAATACCGGACAAAAAGTGTAACCAACTGACGCTTTTATTTTTATTTATTTTATTTTTTTTTTAAAAAAAAAAATGCTTTATAGCCCACTAGGTCGGCTGTCTTTTAAAAAAAAAAAAGCATAATGGCAAAAATAAAAAGGGGTTTTTAGATCCAGCTCAATCTTCTTCCTTCTGTCAATAAACAATAGCTTCTCTTACTTTTTTATCTTCTGCTTTAGCCTGCACCCCCATTACTTGTACACCTTATTCTACTCAGCCAATTCAGTTACCACAAGCCACGATGATCTGCAGCTGCGAAGACGAAAAGATCGTAAAGGTTATATTCTATTTTATTTGGATTCTGCATATAAATGATATACATATTGTTATTTTATTTGAGCTGATTAAAGACAGGATAAATAAATAAATAGAACAAGTATGCCATTTATGATTACTATCATTATAATCTTACAAGACACATAAATTGAAGATTACTTATCATTTAATACATTCTATTTTAATAGCCAGGATGTGTCTGTAAGCCTTCTACCGAAGATGCCACTCTTACCAGAACATTCTGCGCAAAGAAGCAAGAGAATGTAAGCTTTTTATATATAAATTATTAATTCTTGTAGTTGTTGCAATTACTAACTTAATTATTTATAATGCTAGGGGAAATACCTGGTAACTCTTATCCCGGGAGATGGAATTGGCCCTGAGATTTCTCTGTCGGTCAAGAAAATCTTTGAGGCAGCCAAGGTTCCCATTGAGTGGGAAGAGGTTGATGTGACACCTGTCAAGAAGGACGGCCGAATTGCTATTCCCGACAAGGCTATCTACAGCATCCTCCGCAGTACTGTTGCCCTCAAGGGCCCTCTTGCCACCCCAATCGGAAAGGGCCATGTGTCTCTAAACCTGACCCTTCGCCGCACATTCAACCTCTATGCCAACGTTCGTCCTTGTCGCTCTATTGTTGGCTACAAGACTCCTTATGATGATGTCAATACTATCATTATCCGTGAAAACACCGAGGGAGAGTATTCTGGTATTGAGCACGAGGTAAAAATAAGAAGAAGAAGAAGAAAAGAAAAGAAAAAGATATATAGATCTATAAGGATATTTATCATCTGTACGCACAACGGCCCTACGCTATAGACTTCAACTTATCAAAAACATTAATCTTATTTTATTTTAGATTATCGATGGCGTTGTTCAATCTATCAAATTGATCACAAAGGAGGCCTCAGAGCGTGTGGCTCTCTATGCCTTCAAATATGCTAGATCAATTGGCCGTAAGAAGGTTACTGCAGTACACAAGGCAAACATTATGTAAGTATAAAAATAGCTGGAAAACGGGAGTAGGGGGAGAAAGAGGAGGGCGGGGGGACCCTTGAGCTCAAAATGAATAAATTTAATTTGTTCGGTCAAGTCCACTTACAATATTTTTCTTTTAATCTTGCTTAAAACAAAAACAAAACCACACATACACTATAGGAAATTGGCCGATGGTCTCTTTTTAGAATCATGCAAGCGGGTATCTAAGGACTTTCCCGATATCGAGTTTGATGATATGCTTTTGAATCAAGCTTGTTTAGAGGTAATGAATAAATAATACCGTTTTATATATATATATATATATAGCGCGCGCGTGTGTGTGTGGGTGGGTTGGTGCGTTGACTTTAACCCGAAATATTTTCAATGAAATGTGTGGGCATGAACATGTGTTTGCGTGCGCGTGCGTGTGTGAAAAAGAGATCTTGGACTAGTGATATTAACCCGTAGATTGATTAGATTACCATGGATCCTGCTCCGTTTGCCTCCACAGTTCTGGTTATGCCCAACCTCTACGGTGATATCTTGTCAGATTTGTGTGCTGGTTTGATTGGTGGTCTTGGTCTGACACCATCTGGAAACATTGGTCGTGATGCGTCCGTGTTCGAAGCTGTACATGGAACTGCTCCTGATATTGCTGTTAGTAGATTTATATGTTATGACATATGTTGTGACTGAGGTTTATGCTAATCTAAACTCCAAATTTCTTATTGTAGGGTCAAGATAAGGCCAACCCCACTGCATTACTTTTGTCTAGTATTATGATGTTGAGACACATGAACTTGGAAAAGGAAGCTTCAGACATCGAGCAGGCTATTTTCAAGACAATCGCCGAAGGAAAGCACTTGACAGGCGATCTTGGCGGTCGCTCAACAAACACTGAATACACCCAAGCAGTCATCGAAGTAAGTTGTTTGTTTATTTAATAGAATATATGTATATATGTATTTAGCTGATAATGAAGAGGACGAAGAAACATATGCTTACAAAAGAATATTTTATTTAGAACTTGAAAGCCACTATGGTCTAAACCTCAAAAAATGCCATTTATTACATAAACCAAATCAATCAATCAATCAACAAGATAAATAAATAATCTTTACATGATTATAATATATAATTGGTGTGTTTAGACTATGTGAAAATCCGATATTAAAAACCTTCGTTTTAGAGATAGAGAGATAGGAAGGATAGATCCTCAAAAGCTTATACTTGACCCTGTGAAAAATAAATATATAGAAGAAAATGTTGGTCAAGCCTATTGAAAAGGCTCATACACCACAAATTGAAACAGATCTCAATTAAATATTTAATACATAATAATAATAATACATTTTGACTGTCTTTCTGCCTGTCTGTATGGATAAGATTGACGAAGATTCCCATGCGCTCATCAAGTCTGTATGTAGGAATTTGCTTAACTCAATACTATTAGCATTAAAAATAAAAGTGACCCAGTTGAAAAGGTGTCTTTCTTTTTTCATGATGTGTGCGGTACAGAAGTTACCAGACCTAAAGCAAATAGTCGTACCATTTGTTTCCTTCCTTCCTGCTTTCGTTTGGGTTACTTATCATATTGATTGATTCATTTATCCTGTATACCGCCTTAAGGATTGATATAAATAACTCTGTCAATTTGGTGTGAAATATGTGCCAGTCGTCTCTATTGCTCTAGTAATTCTTATCCAAATATCTCAAATATCTACACTCTCGATAAAAAACGTCTCAACCACTGCAAAAATTTAAAAAGCAAAAAACAACTAAAGTAAAAGCATTGTTTTCTAATTTTATTAATCTAATTCAACATGTAAAGCACATCTTTATCACAAAATACCCGAGATTCTTGTGAGGAAAGCAATTCCTACAGGTACATATGGATCATGTATTGCAGCTCATAAATTGGGTATAGTATAAAGCCGTAAGAAAAGATAGTTGCATTGGGCTCATGAGCATATAAATTAGACCGATGGCTAATATAAAAGTGTTATATCGTCCTTTGAATCAAGATTTATAGTCAAGGGTTATTATGGAGAGGCAAAAGCTATTAGAAGAGTTGCGGAAAGGTTCAAGGAAGAAAGTATCATTACGGGAACCAAGTAAGGGCGTGTTTGCGAGCGAGACTGAATAAAGAATAGAAAAATAACCAAGTTTAACGTTAAGCTTGTCCCTATAAATATATAAAGCACACGTAATTAAATCCACACTACAAAATATTAACCAAACCAAATGGAATCTTTATTTTTTTTAATGTTTCATTTTAAATACCCCTTTTCTTTACAAAAGCGTCTTGTTCTTAAAAATTGACACGTCGTAACCAAATGTTGGTCAATTATTGTTATTTTATTTTTTGAAAAAAAAGGCACAAATATGCGTTTTTGTCAGTTATAAAGCACCAATTCTCTTAAACCCAACAATCGTAGCTTACTCATTGAATAGGATGTACTTAATACCAATGCAAAAGAAGAAGAGGTATTGGTTTGTAAACAATTCTTGTGAGGATTGGAGATTTACGATTTAACAAAAAAAATATTCAAAAATAATGTTTGAGATTTTCAGTTCTTAAAAAAGCCAAAAACGGCCAAAACGGCCGTGCACACCTCTTGTAGTGTAACTCCTTTAAATGGATTTTAAGTAGGAGCCGTTTAAAAATACATAAATACTTGGATTTATATTCTCTTTTTAAAAAAAAGGATTCACTTAAAGAAGTTCTTTTACTTTGGGCAGCAAACGGCCCGGTACGCTTTAGATACTACACAATCACCAAAATACTCACACACTAAATGTTTTCTCTCTCATAGAACCTTATAGAACAATATACGTCACCTAGAAATAATAAGTCACGTATCCAATATCCTTCCTAACACTATGAGCCATTTTTGCGGTGACTTTTCTTTTTAGCCGCCTCGGTTTTCTTGTCTGATGTGACTTTTTTTATTTTAATCTCAAGGACTCTTTTTTTCATATGGCGTCACAATGTTAAAAGCCAATCAAAATAATTTAAAAGTCATTGACTCATTTTTCAAACACCAATCATTTTAATTTTCACGTTCCGTGACTTTCTTTCAATTGCAAAAGGTCGTACAAGAGTTGAACCATTTTGTCTATAAAAAGGGGCCAAAAGTTTGCAAATTTTTCAGATCTTTATTGTGGCGGTTATCTACGTAGTCTGCTCATAGATGTGGCCTTAGTAAACCGGTCGAAAGACTTTCACAGTTGAAGACCTATAAACCAAACTATATAAACCACGCGATGTCTATGCAGGTGTAGAATGCTGATAACCTATCTGTTGCCCACTGCGAGTTTTTTGAAAATTTTCTCGTCCAACAGGGAGATCCCACTTTCATCATTGGCTGGCCACCAATGGTAAATAAATTCAATAAAATAAATGAAAATGAACCAATCAAAATCTATATAAATTGATTTTCTTAAATCATTTTATATAGATTTTGATTTTTTTTATATTTTTTCAATTTTTTTTTATAAATTAAAAATAAAAAATTAAAATTAAAATTAAAATTAAAAAATAAAAAATAAAATAAAAAATAAAATAAAATAAAATACACTCACGCTGAAAAAAATATCAGCCTGCACGCAAAAACAGTCAAAAGAAATCGATAAAATAAAAAATAAAAACGTCTTTTTCTTTCATTCTATTACTTAAATCCAACATGCAAGGCACAATCTCATTAATTTCCACTTGTTTCATATACGAAAGCCAATTCTCACAAATAAAGATGCATCATGTGTATGAATTTGTGTAAATCAAGGTACAAACATTTACGCCGCTGTTGACACGAGTCTGCCCATAGTCAAATACCGCGATAAGAAAGCTTAAAAAAAAACAGGATTATATGAGCCGAAATTATTGCCCAAACGACCTAGAAAGAATGACAAGAGGAATGAAAAGAATAGTATTCCACTTCTTCACACGTTTACGCTTTGGTTTATACATCACAGCCCATGTTAAGCCTTGACAAAAGACCACAAGAATAAAAGGTGGACAGGACTGGGTTCGTGCTAAAGTCAATTGGTCTAATGAATCAAGATCTATAGTCGATGGTAATGACAGAGGAGCTAGAACTATTAGAAGAGTTGAGGAAAGGTATAAAGTATATATATACACATCATCGATGGAACCAAGTGAGGGAAGGGTAGTGTGATGGCTTGGAGATGTTTCGGGTCCGGTGGGTTTTGGGACCTTTTGTTTTCCTAAATGGCAACGTACACCAAGACCAATACGTGAACACTTTGGCTCAAAGCTTCCTCCTTTGGCTTCAAAATCTTTCATGGAAACAGAACAGGTATTTTGTGTTCCAAGAAGGCAACACCATCTTTCATACTGGCTCTTATTCGAGGTGGTAAAAAGACAGTCATGATCACCTTTGGTGGGCTCAAGAAGCATATTAGTGATTAAAGGGACAGCATCGACAACGTTAGTGAACAAAAGGTTGTGATACAACAAGAGTGGAAAAAGGTAGGAGTCAAACTTGCATCAGTTTTGGCCTGCAGCGTGCAATATTGATGTCAGATTGTAATTGAGAGCAAAGGAGGCCATACCAAATACTGATCTTTTTTTTTTTCTAAAAAATATATTTCGATAATAAGCATGTATATTGTCTTTTATTTAAAGTTTGAAGGCTTTAGCTATTATTATTTATGATCAGTTTCATGTTGAATTTATTCTATAATTTTTCTCATAAATATTTTGGGATCAGTAGTCGAAATGTTTTTGCCTATGGCCGTATAACTCTCCACCCTCTTGGCGGATCATCAGTTCATATCGCACCACATATAAAAGAACCTCAAGCCCGCACAACATTACAAATATATTATTCATGACAAGGCAGATAACCATGAGACATCATGCCGTTTTTTCCCTCTGCCATTTACTTTAACCCCAACTCTTAGCTTCTAGCCACTGACTTGGTAATATCAAAACGGATGAGGTATATATTGCCAATCTATCTGGACTTTACAGTCGATATCTTAAGGGCGTTAGACATTATTTTAAGAGCTTCACTTGTTCATCTTTTCTTGACCGTCTCAGCTTACCTTGGGGAATATGATTTTAAAACATTTTATTTAATATATATAGTACCTACGATAAACCAAACACTTGAACCCCTACACTTGGATTTAATAACACCTAAAAATCATAGTTGCCGTTTCCCTTTAGAAATGACGCCTTATTTAAGAGATCTAAAAATTCGATTTTTAGAAGGAACAATCGCTCTTGACAAAGTTTTATCGAACAGTCCTGTACTAAAGAGAGTATATTTTGAAGTAAGGGAGGCCATTTTTAGAGACATGTCCTTTGGACAGCATGAATTGGAAAGCATTGGTTTGATTGGGGGATCTATTTCATTAATTTCACTCGGCAATATCTTTACCTGTTTCCCTGAAATAATAATAATAAAAAAACAATAAATGTATTTCCCAACACAAAGATTTACTAGAAGTAAGATAAAGTCTTAGCTTGTGTGCTTTTATTATCACCAAGAGTCAATTTAATGGTTAGAGCGAAAATATGTCATTGTATCATTGTATACATGCAAATAAAAGTAAAATTAAAGGAATAATAAATATACCGTTAATATGGTAAACCATAGCAAAGAATATTAAAGTCGTCATAAAAGCCTTTATAATCTATTTCACCTGTTCATTTTTCTTTGTATAATTTACTCAGGCTCAAAGTAAGAACAAATGCGTAGGATTAAGAATGTAAAAATAATGTAAAAAGACTGATTTTAAAAGCTATTCAATGTATTAGTTTCAGTAAAGATATATAGATAAGAAGTATAAAGAATGCCCACAAAAATAGGAAATAATCTCTTATAGATATATAGATATTTTCACTCACAATCGAACAAAAAATAAACACAATTAAAAAGATGACAAAGCTTAATTGATATAATCCGAATAATATAACACTATTTAATACTTAATATTCACTTATTAACATTTAATAATTAATCATTAATTGGTTATTTAATGGACCAAGACTCGCCTCCTTGCTTTTAGCCTAATATTGCACACTGGCTGAGGAATTAATAGCAACAATCTCAGTTACCCAAATCAAAGGCTAAAAGAATTAGACTCACAAAGAAAGAAAAAAAAATGGACAATAGTCAAGTGTTATATATAATAGGTTTCAGTATTCATGTCAATTTCAATATCTACCTATTAGTGTTGCTATAGTGATTCAGAAAAACGAAGACATTTGTTGAATATTTCACTTTTGTCTCAAACTTTTTTCTTTGTAATAGACACAGACCCCTCCCTTTCTCCCCCTCCCCCTCCTCTTCATGCAACACAAAAATAAGATAAAAAACAATTCATTAAAAATATTCAAAGAACGTAATAACTTACTAAAATGGTATTTTTGGAAATACCTGGCGATAGCCAAGTTCCCTTTTTTTTAAAAAAAAATTCTTTATGGTCAGTGATACGCTTCTGGAACCTTTTCATTTTTTTATCTTTATATTTATATACTTCTGTACCTCACATGGCAATTTCCCGGAACATATCTTCTCTTGGATCTCACAGTATTTCCAACTTGAGAAGCACGGGGTGGAGAGAGAGAGAGAGAAGGGATGATGAACATCTCCGGAATCGGGCCATAATGTTAACATTGGTAAAAGATGCACCTTAAATTCAATATAGCAGAACAGCAAAGATATCAAATTCCACAAACGATATTTATTGTATTTATTTATTTAAGCTGTAACAAAGCCATTAATTCCAAGCCAATTATGGATTGGTTCATTTAAAGTGGATTTCATAAGACTAATACTGATAATGGTACCATTAGAAGAATAATTAAATAAATAAATAAACACTGATTGACTGACTTGATATATATATATTCTATCTTGAAAAATACCATGGTAGGCTTAGTATTTTGGTGTTTGAGAGCGCCACTATGTGAGCAAGGGTTAGGAGGGGGTGTTTGCTTAAATATTTTATTTTCAAGAGATTAACTGGGAAACACAGTGAAAGTTTACCTTTGAGAATACTCTTCAAATTGTTCCTCCTACTCCTATCCCTCAAAAAAAAAGTAGTCTTGATTCTTTGTTATTTGTTCTTTGTTGGTATTCCCCCTCTTTTTTTTTGCAGTGTTAATTAAATAAGTGTCATAATAAGCTGTACAGAGAGAATGAATCGATTCTGTAGTTTATTTCTGTACTCTATTTGAGCCACAAACCCGTCTTATTCTTGGCTCTTCAAGGCAATTTTCTTTTTCTTTTATGTGACACCAATTATTTATATTTGTACACATATTCTAGTGATAATGGACCTTCGGTTCTGTCAATTTTAATCCAGAATAATAATAGGTCTTATAAAAAGAATACATAAAATGCATACATACTTGTATATATTTTACTCTATTTATCCATTACAGGCCAAGCCAAGCCAAGTTAAGCTTGTAAATCATTTGGGTTGTGTACAAACTATATCATGTCCTATTAAAAGAACCTGATAAAGAAAAAAAAAGAATAATACAAGAAAAAACGTTTATTGTTAATAAGAATAATATCAATATCAATATCATTTTTGTTACTATTATTGTTTTAGACCCAATGAATTCTGTAGCAGTATAAATTGGTGATTTTGCCATCTGTACTATTGGCATATAATAGGCAAGTCAGAGTTCTGTTCTCTTCTCAAAAAGTCAATACTACCAGTAATAACTCTCCAAAATACTTTTAATACTTTCATAGCCAAAATTAATGAATGAATAAATGAATAAAAAGATATATTTATACACATACATAATCTGTACTTTTGTGTATAAGACGTGGTTATTGTTCTTATTTCTCCTTCCTTCACAAGGACCTTTGATGATCCCTTTACTGATCAATACTGAGGACCAAGTCTAGGTTACACTGGGACTATGTAAGACAATTTATAGATATCTGTCTGTCTTGGAACTTTTTCTTTATTTTATTTTCAGTTTAAGCTATACAAGTAATAGGCTTGTAAGAGATACGTTTAATAGTACTTACTATGTTCAGTAACAAGCATATAGTAAAAAAATAAAATAAAGCATATTAATTCAATATAAATATAAATATATTTTACAAGATAATAAGCAACAATAAAGTCTAGAAAGAAAAGCCTAGACACGAAAGAACGAAATGTAATATACATATTTATATTATCCATGTTACCCACCACTCTGGTTCGACTATATTTCATCCCAGAGGAAGGGGAGAGAGAGAGAAAACAAAAGAACGAAATAAAGAAAGCAATAAAGAAAAGGAGGGCGGATAATGAAACAGATAATTCATAAATAAATAAATATATATAAATATGTATATGTGTTTCCTGTAACCAAGCTTATAAAAACACGAGGAGAAACATTGGAATCCCAGGACCTCTTCCTTGTCATCCATTAACAATAGGCGCCTCTCTCTCTCTCTCTCTTTCTATTTAGTATTAGTATTATTATTGTTACTATTATTACCATTATTTGCCTCTCTTATTCTCCAATCTTCCTGTCTTTCTAAATGAAAGCAAGCTGGCCAAGATTCTCCTATTGTTGGCTTCTTGCTTTCGCCCTTTATCTTTGGATTTTCGCAGTTTCGACCCAGGCTTTCCCAGTTCCGCTCTCTTCCAGTACAACAGACAATTCACTCTATGCGGATAACCAACAACCACCATCACAGCAGCAAAAATTTAGCCTCCAAAACACAGAAGATTCAAACAAAAGGGTTCAACATGAAAGCAGTACAGAGCCAGGAGAATACAGAGTCAACGTGTCCCATTTTTCACAGCTGTTGACATCCCATCTATTATTCGAACACCTCGAGAATACCTATCTACTAGTCTCAAAAAAGATTTCACTTTTCTTTCAAGACACCATTCAACTCACGGCAAAATTACCCGAACAACTGGTCATCAACTCTAGTTCATCAGTAGATGTTCAAATTCTAAAGCATCAACTTAGAGGTGCCGTAGCAGGTAAATAACCAATTAATATATATATATATATATATATTTTAAAAAAAGTATACATCCACTCATTCACTCACTTACTAATTCTAAATGATCTACTCTTATTATTTTTTATACTTTTATTTTCGAGCAGCTTACATTGAAGATAGGGTTCCTGCAATGTGGAACATGCATGCATCTGCTCTCGACAAGACTTCTCTTCAATCATTTATCGAATATACCGTAATTAGATTATGCCAAACCAAAGACAAATACGATCAAGATGAAGTAATCACAAGTTCAATAATTGATGACGATAACGATGATCAGGATGATGATTTTACCCAATACAACAAATATCTCGAGCAACAAAAACAACAGGAAGGCCACCAAACTACCGACAGTGAAATAGTCCTGACTGTGTCAAATGTCTGTCTAAATGCCAATTCTGGCCTGTTGTTCTCCGCTCTGGAGGGTTACATTGGAAAACATATCAGACAGGCCATGTCGGACATGGTTTCGAGCAACAACTTACCTCACCTTTACAGCGCAACTCGTGCTCAAGTGAAAGGAGTACTTGCTCACTTTAACAGCTACATCCTAGTGTCTTCTGGGGTACAGCTTGAGTTGACCCTTTCGCCACAAGACGCTTTATCAATTTCAAATGATTATTCTTGGCTTTTTAAGACGTCAACTGTAGATGAAATTCTTACGACTGTTGCACACTGGGCAAATGAAGACACAGCAGGGGGTGAAGAAGAAGGAGAAGAAGGAGAAGAAGGAGTAGAAGGAGACCCGGTCAAGAATTCAAGTTCTCAAAATATGCTTCTTGTCCATTCGATTCAAACTTTTGCTAACATTGCTCAATATTCTTAAGACTTATGTATATAGATATATATATATATTGTCATTATACATGTATTCTTTTTCTTTTCTTCTTCCTTTTTTTTTACCGCATCATACTTCATCTTAAGCATCTTAAATACCATATGATTCATCTTTAGCAAAGCAACAATAACATCAACAACAAACAGAATCAAATACATATACATACACATATGTATATTCAACTCATATCATGTACATATATATATTAAAAATTAAACATAAAATGTTAATAAGAAAATGGTTAAACTCTATTTCTTGTATCAATATTTTTCCTCTCGCTGACTTTCTCTACAATAAGATGTCCTGCCTGTAATCGTGTGTAGTAAATACAGAATTATATTAAGCATAGTACTGGAAGCATACATATACATATGTTTTCAAAAATAAAAATGAGGAAGATTTATTACAACTTTGCTTTTGTGTCAAAGTCAAGATTTCTCACAATCTTAAAGCTAGCCATGGGCCCCTCAATATAAATTCGATGTAAATTTCCAGTTTTTACTTTGGGACCATCAGAATTTGTATCTGTATCTGTAGCTTTGTATTCATGATCACCAGGTAAAGACAAGAATACTTTGGAGCCCTTTGGAGCCAAGATATCGTTTGGGTCGGTTTGGTTTCCTTGAGGGAGTAATTCAATAGGTTGGCCAGACTTTGTTCTGAATACATTGATGCCTGCATTCTCGAGTAGATCTTTGTGATGAAGGACCTTTGCCAATTCAACCATGGTGTAGTATTGGGGAGGGAACAGCTTGACTGTTTCGTTTTTCCAGTTTTCGATGACTACGATAAAAAACGGAATGTAATAGGAATTAGTCAATAAATGATTTATGTATAGACTAGTGATGGTAATAGTAACATTATTATCATTATTAACCTTGTTGAGGTTTGAACCAGTCAAGCTGAACGGTTTCTTGCCCATCTGCAGATACTTCTACAATTTCCTTGTGTTCTTCTTCAATCGTCTGGCCAAGGACAGTCAGGTAAAATTGGGTATTGTAGCGTCTTTTTTCGATAGTTGGAGTAATCCAGTTGGAAAATGGTGTGAGCTTGTCAACGGCTGGCTCAATTTTGTATTTTTCACACATCACTTTGAATTGCGAAGGATCCTTGTGAACCACATTTCTCCATTCGTCGGTCAAAAACCCAGAAACCGTGTGAGCGGGTGGATTGGTGAGTAGTAATCCTGATTCTTCAAATGTTTCACGAATTGCACAAATTTTGCTGGTCAATGTATTCTGTCTAATATGTATACGTGTATATGTAGTTAAAATAATCAAATCAACAATTCCAACAGCAGCAAAAATACAGAGAAAGAGAAAGAGAGATAGAAGATCCCCTTGGACATTAATATATCATTTCAAACGTACGCTTCTTCAAGTTCTTCTTGAGTTTGGCCAGAAACAGAAAGAATGGACTTCCAATGTGAGAAATGATCAAACGAATCAACAATTCCACCAGGAAACACATGAGCATGTACAAAGTTACTCTTCCCATTACTTATAAATTGTCATTGTTATTATCAGTATTATTAGTAAGAATATACAATATTTGACACCATTTTTTTTTCTTCTTCTTCTTCTTATATATACATAATGCTTTAATACCGTTTCAACATCAGAACTCGGAAATCGTAATCGTCCTTGTCGAGTACATTCTTCGTGGGAATTGGAGCAGCAACGATGAGTCTTTTTGTTGTTGTTGTTGTTGTGATAAAGGTATATGAATTAGTATAGCATTATTATTATATTCGTTATATTCATTATAAAATAAAAGTAAAAGTAAAATGTTCTATATTGTTTCAATTCTTTGATTTTTTTTTTGATTTTTTTTTGAGAACTAAAGCTTACGATGCTGAAGGTCTGATGGCGAGAGTACTTTGAGACATTTTACCAAAGTGAGGTTTGGAAAGAGAGGCTATTTTATATGGTTGCACATTATTATCATTATAAGTAACAATAATTGTTTGTTGTTGTTAATGAATGTATATCATTGGTTTACATGCATCTTTTGCTTTCTTTCTTGCTTAATTGGTTGTTTAACTGTTTAGCTGTGATTCTATTTGTACATACAGGTGGATTTTGAGTGAAAGACTCTGGATAACATTTACTTTCTTTTTTTTGATATCAAGCACCAAAGCTAAATATATATATATATATTAGAAAAAAGTCTAAAGGTACTAAAGAGAACAGAAAAAAGTTACAGGCTTTTTAAAACCATGACCTTTATTATTATTATCTTTTAACAAGCATATCGGCATGTGAAAGCAAAGAGGTACACAGACAGTGTGCAACATCTTTCCCCAGGTTTTGTTTTGTTTTGTTTTGTTTTGTATATAGAGCATATTCTTTATGAACATAACCACTGGCTCTGAGACTTTAACTTTTGAAGAAGATTTTGTTATATAGTAAGGTAAAACCACGGGTACTTTAACGCTGATATATGAAAATAATATAGGTGAATGTATGTTTAATGTATTAATCTTTCATCCATAGTTAGACAGATTTTCTCACGCGCATTCTGATCTGTTGGTCATTCATTCAGTTCTATATATATATATAGCCTTGACTTCAAAATGATTCAGGGTTGCTGTAGTTACAGGCAAATATTATGCTTTGAATTTGTGGTATTATCCAACAAAGATCCAGATTATGTTATTGGCCAGGCTTAAATCTAAATTTTCTTTGTAGGAAGACCTCTCCCATGCTTCTCCAATACTTCCACCCCCTTCTCCTCCTTCTTTACTTCCCTTCCCAGCCCAATTCAACCTGCCCACTAATCTTGAAAATATTGATCCCAATAACACTTCAATCTTTGTAACCTTATCCCATTTATCATTTACCCTCTTTTTGGGAAGAAAATTGATCACAACCTTGTCCTTAAACCCAGAAATGCAATTATTGTAGTATGAACCAAAATTTTACCTTTCTTTTTTCTTCTTCAACCTTCAAGAAAACTAGAAAAATAAATGAATCTTTATCATATTAACATATGTTTGAATTGGAATCATACTCAAGTGTAACAAGGAAATCAAAAACAAAACAAAAAGTGAATGTTAAAAACACACAGACATATATTTTTCAGTCAGAGTAAATTATCCCCTACAATCACACAATCACTAACGCAATCAGTAATGCATCTTATACGTTTCTTTCTTTTCTGGCTTATATACCTTGAATATATTTAAGAGAATGATCCTTATTACTCTGGATCATCATAATTCTTCAATTCACATCAATCTCTCATTCAACATTCCTTTCTCCATTTAGGGGACATTTATTTTCTTTGACAAAAGGATTAGTAAAATAAACCACATTAGCTTACATTCGGGCCGTGTAAAAGAAAGAAAGAAAAAACTTCCTAAATGAAGGAAAGGTTTATTAGAGATATTGCTTTTAGAAAGTGGCCCTTGTAAAGACTAGTTTATTTTTTAAAGTAGGATATGAATACATTAGGATCATCTATGATCTATCTATTTTGTACAGATATATACAGTAGTGTGTGCGTGTGTATTGAACAAGATAAAAGAGTATTTTGACAAGGTAAGCAGTATATTTTATCATTTGTATTCCAAATTAAGAAAAAAAAGAGAGAGAGAAAAAGGAGTTCCACTGTCATTTTAAGCGTGAGAATATTATTGGAAGCCTCAATTCAATTTTATCTATTCAGTTAATCCATCATCCACAGCATGAAAGATATGGTAGCAATAGTGATAATTGCAAAAGATACAAATTTATATGTATCCAGTACATCATATACATTCATGAATAATAATAAAAGTAATAATATTCTGTGCATTTGTGTATATACTTTTGCTTTTTTGGCTGATATTGGAAAAAATACCACTTTTCTTCGGCTTCTTCTTGTGAATTTTACATGTAATTTATTAAAGTTTGCAAGCTCTGGGATCCATTGCGTTTACTTTAAGATTTTACTCTTTTTTCTTTTATTTTTTTTTTAAAAAAAATATTTATTTATTCATTTATTTAAATTATACATACATGTGCTATGTATAGATTTTGGGTATAGTGCATAGACCATAAAGAAAGAAGAAATACATGAAAACAAGGTGTCTAATGTCTTATACATTATCTTGAATCCTATCAAGGTTACAAGAATCATTCAATAGTAAGAAGGATAAGTAGTGCAATTGACAATAATATCAAGAATATGAATATGAATATGAATATGAAAAAAAAGTATTTAATCAAGTGCAAGTGCAAGTGCAATTACAATTACAAGTGGATATATATTTAATACAGCCCTTTTCGTTTTGTTTTTGAAACATAACAGTACAATTATCATTATAATTATAATTATTATTGCCATTATTGCATTTACCATTGACATTGCCATTGACATTGCCACTTATCATTCTAATAATTATACTACTATTATTATAATGGTTATTTTTTTCCCACGCACAATTTCTGAAAAAAGAATAATTTTCGCACGATTAAAAGAGAGCCATCATTTTATTCTTTATTCTTTATATTTTCTTCTACTTTTTTTTTCTTCTTTTTTCTTTCTTTCTTTCTTTCTTATCAACCCCTTTTCTGCCTCTGCCTCTGCCTCTGCCTTTGCCTCTGCTTCCTCTTTCTATCATACCTCCTCTTCTTCCCTCTTTTTATTCATTTTTAAATCATAATAATGTTGCGTGCACGTACATTGATCAAGAGATCTCTTTTACCAAAATCCTTGATCCATGTTCCTATCTTACAGCAGGTAAATCCATCGCAAAAATACAAACAAACAAACAGAAAAGAAGTTATGTCAACAAAAGAGTAGTAATAAAACAAGAAAACAAGCACAAATACAAGTATTTTGCTTTTGGTTTTGGTTTTAAATTTTATAAGCCTATAACCTATAATTGTCTTGTTACTAAAAAAAAACATAAAAATAAAATTAGGGATCACAAAGATTATACAGTGCGGCTGCTGCCAAGGCAGTCAACACCAACAAACCGGCAGAAAAGAGCCTGTTAAGCCCAGAAAAGTTTATCGGAGAAATGTCTTTTATCAAAGGCACACAACCTCTCAAAGCATACCGCGTAATGGATCATTCCGGAAACCTCTTGAACGAAACCGAACACCCAGGACTTGATAAAGACCAGGTGCTCAATCTCTACCAGAAAATGATTCAGCTCAACGTAATGGACGGAATCATGTATGATGCCCAGCGCCAAGGCCGTATCAGTTTTTACATGACACATTATGGAGAAGAAGCCTTGATCGGTATCGCGGCTGCTTTAGATTCAGAAGATGTCGTTTTTGGACAGGTGAGCGAAGCGAGGGTGAAGCGGGGGTGATACAAACAATACATTATATACACATACATTGTAATTCCTATGTATTAAATACTAAATATTAAATATGTATTTGCAGTATCGTGAGGCATATATGTTTCTTTACAGAGGACTCACGGTCGATGAGTGTGTCAGTCAGTGCTTTGGAAACGAACTGGACATGAACAAGGGACGTCAAATGCCGGTCCACTATGGTTCAAAGAAATACAATTTCCAAACAATCTCATCGCCACTTGCTACACAGATTCCACAGGCAGCCGGCTCTGCTTATGCGCTCAAGATGGCCGGAAATAGAAACATATCTGTGTGCTTCTTTGGTGAAGGAGCAGCGTCTGAAGGTGATTTCCATGCAGGACTTAATATGGCTGCCACATTAAGCTGTCCAGTTATCTTTATATGGTAAGTATGACAGAAGAATATATATATATATAAATATCAACCCCACAATATATATCTTATTATATATAATACGTATAAATAATTTCTAAAAAATAATAATAATAATAAATGAATTCTTTCTTTATCTCTTTTATGTATATATCTATAGTCGTAACAATGGCTATGCAATCTCTACTCCTTCTTCCGAGCAGTACAAGGGAGACGGTATTGCCTCTCGTGGCCTAGGTTACGGAATTGACACAATCCGTATCGATGGCAATGACATCTGGGCCTGTTACAACGCCACCAAGAAAGCCAGAGAGATTGCCGTGACTTCTAACAAACCGGTTCTTATCGAGGCCATGACATACCGTGCAGGCCACCACAGTACCTCTGATGACTCGACAAAGTACCGCAACAAAAAAGAAGTTGCGGACATCATCCAGAACGACAATCCAATCACAAGACTGAGACACTATATCGAAAACCACGGCTGGTGGTCTCAGGAGGACGAGGATGCCTGTCGCAAGCAGGCCCGGAAGACCGTCCTGGATAGTTTTGCATCGGCCGAAAAGAAGAAGAAGCCGGCGCTTGAGAACCTGTTTACGGATGTCTATGATGAATTGACCCCGAATCTCGAAGCACAAAAGAAAGAGTTGCGAGAATTGATTGCCAAATACCCAGAGTATTATCCAACTGATGAATTCAAGTCTTCCATTTAAAAAAAAAACGCCTCACAAATCCTCCCTTTATTCTTTCCCTATCTCATAACATATTATATATATATATACAAATTTAGTAAAGAAAGATTTTGGTTTAGACAATTGGATATATAGAGATAATCTCAACTATATATATATATATATTAATACGCCAATCAATAAAGATAATAATTACACTAATATTTCTTATAAAATTAGAATTTTATTATATATTTTATATATATAATATATATATATATATATTTTGGGTATTTTTTTTTGTTAGAAATAATAAGTATAAAGAAAACATATATAGATTGATGAACAATGAAAATAATAAATAGTAAAAGGTATATTATAGTATAGTATATTATAGTAAGAGTATTAATGTATGTATATAGATAAATGTATCTTAGGAGAAGTTTAATCTGGCTATTTCCAGTTCATGTCTTAGTTGATTAATAGTGTCGTCTTGTTGCTTTACTTGGTATTCCAATTGATGTTTCTTATTAGTTAGGCGCTGATACTTTTTTTCCATATTGACTTCATCAGTCTGCATGGCATCGATCTCTTCAAGCAAGATGTGGATCTTTCGTTCTATGGGCATGGGGTTGGTATGAAGGTTCGGAAGAGGATCTGTAGGATAGATATACTCCTCATTGTCGAATTGTGTATGGTGATGTACAGGCGAATCATACGACAAATGAGCAACAGAGTGTCTTCTTTTATACAGTTTCTTCTGCTGTAGAATAGGATGATGCTCATATTCATACTCATAATCATAGTTATTCTGGTCTTTGTTTGTCAGTAATTGTTGGTGTCGGCCAAAGGTGCCTGTGAATCCAATGAATTTCCCAATCGATATCTTGCGTTTCAGACATTTGATTTCTTGCTCGGCCATCCTCAGACAGTCAAGGGTGTCCTGCTTGTCTTGGAGACACATGAAATACTGGTCTCGCTCTTTGTTGACACACTGTCGAAGTCTCTGGGTCTCGCGCTCCATTAGTTCGAGCATGTCGCTTATCTTTGCAGAGTTTGCGGTCGTGGATGGCTCACAGCAGGTCCATTCGTCATCATCATCTTCATTGTTGTTACTGTTACCGCCGTCAATGTTATCGTCCATATTGTCGGGTTCTTCTTCAATAAAGTCAGGGGCAACCAAGAGAGTTGTCTCGAACACTGTTGTCTTTCTGCGTTGTTTCTGAGCCGGAGTTAGTTTAGGACGTTCCTTCTGGGAGGTCAACAAGGCTGAGGGAACAAAGGAGTCGTGTGCGACGGATAAACAACGAATGTTTGACTCGTTCTGCTGTTGTGCTTTGTGCTGTGCTTGGTGCTGTTGATGGTGCCTAGTCTTCCCGTCTGGCGAATAACAGCCGAACAAAGCTGTCGGTGGCTCACAGGATCCTATCTGTAAAGTTGTATGAGAGGAGTCAGACTGGACGACGATGTTGTCAGGGGTGCTGTTTTGGTATCTAGACTGTGGTTTCTGTTGGTAGTTTGGCCACGTAGTACTATTGTCGTTGTGTGTTTTTGAGATCCAAGAGGCTACGGATCTTTTTGACTTTGACAAAAAGCGAGTGTTTAATGTTGATTTAGGATATATCTGGGCACTGTTTGCTCTTGATGCCTCAGAAGGAAAAGAAATATGATTTTCTATAAGCTGCTCCTGTTGTGATTGCTGTTGTGATTGCTGTTGTGATTGCTGGTGGTTGTAATATTCAGATGGACTATTGAAACTCTGGTTGAGACTATGGTCGAGACTGTAGTCGATATTCTGGGGTGTGCTTGTAGAGGGCGATGTTTCTTGGAATATATCCATCAGATTATCAAGTGTATTTGATCTGGATCTTCTGGTATGGCAAGGTTCTGTTGAGGATCTTTGCCGTCGCTGCCTAGAGGCTGTAGGGACGGCGTCTGTTGGGCATCCATTGGTTGGTTCTACTACTACCTGGTTAACTGATAGGTCAGACTTTGAGCGAAAGAAATTTAAACGCATTAGAATAAGTATAGCAGACAAACAGGCATCAAAAAAAATCTAAAAATCTAAAAATCTAAAATCTAAATAAAAAAAATTAAAGAAAGTTTTCTTAATATTAATAATAATGTTTTTTTTTTATGTAAAGTGTTTAAGACGACTTTAGCCTTGGTACATCACTATGGTTACACATACTGTTAAACAAGAATATATATATATTTTTATTTTATATATAATATTTTGGATTTAATTGATAACATTAATAATGGACTATTAATGATTAATGTTTAATACTGAACACTAAATGCCAATCCTTCTTATTACTCTTCTTTTTCTTCTTCTTCCTCTTCAGATAAGCAATAGTGACTATATAGCCATATAGACAGAGATGGCTTCAATTTCAAAAATAATATCATGCCTTTTCCTATTTCCTTTTCAATCTACACTGAGAACTATTATCTTTGAAGAAATTAGTTATTAATACTGATACTGATACTGATACTGATACTGATACTGATATTTTTCTTTTGGGATATTGATAATCGTAGTGTTCTGTAATGTGCTGTAATGTGTTGTGCTGTGCAGCAATGCAAATATGCTCATCAGAACAGTAGAAACAAGAAAGCATGTATTTGGATTTTAGGTTGAGAATCCTCAGGTTTTCTCCTTGATCAAATAAATAAATAAATGAAAATTGCAACCCCCAAGAATTTTTTTCTTTAAAAAATAAATATAAAATAACCGCCATTTTGTAATGATGCCATAAAAGATATACAAGAAGAATAAACCTCCCTAAATCCTTTTTATCTATGGTTTTTTCTATATAGTTTATAGTATAAAAAAAAGTACTTTGATGTGCATAGCGATCACTGTGATTTGCGCCTGAGCACAAACCACTTTGATGTATATATATATATATATATATCTTTTGGTCAGGGAGTAAAATCCACGAGTATGATATCTATACCTGAACGCGTGGTGAATCTTAACATACCAAAAAATAAATAAATCATTCACTCTTATGTATACTTATAGTGTATACTTACAGTGTGGGTATGTGTTTAAGAGGTGCATACATTAGAGTTTAACTTCTACTTTTATCTCTATATCGCTGTCTATCTTTCTCTTTCTCTTTTCCTTTTACCCCTACTTTTACTTTTGCTCTATTATATCCAAATATTTATATACACATATTCTGTAGCTCCTTTCACATATTTTGCCCGCTTTTTTTTTTGGTTTAAATTTTTATTCCTACTTCTTCTTTTTTCTTATATATACAAAAGAGACATGAAACCTAAAGGCACTTGACATAGATACATAGATAGACACATATTAGAAATCTTGTAGACCAAACTATATATAGAATCTTTTAATTACAAAATAGAAACCAATAAATAATAAACAGAGAGAACCAAAATATCAAGGGACCTTGTCTCTCATCACACACACACACACATATATATATATAGAGAGAGAGAGATATTGCATCTAATGACTCTATTTATCGTACCCATAAAAGACATATGATTTCATTTGAAGCAATCAATCTGACGCTGTGCAAATAATAATAATAATAATATAGATAGATAGATGGGAACAAGAAGAGGTTATGCACCAGATAATCTTGTTTTTAAAATGTTAAAAATTATAACAGAAAGAGTTCCAAACAAACTAAAACATGGAAAAGTTAGACAAAGAGCTTTTATTCAAAAGTCATTTGAAATCATCTTATTTACAATATCCTATCTACTCTTACAAAGATAACAAAATACAAAAATAATACATTAAATTATAGAGCAGAGCAGAACAATGCAGAACAATGCAGTGAAATGTTATATTATCTAATGTGACTGGAGTGGACAGACTAAAAGTTCAAAAAAAATTGATTTCAAAATGACTCTGACTGGCTAGTTCTTCTTCGATTTCCTCTTGTATTAAGAAGAAGAGTATGTTTTCTTATAAAAGAGGTATACAATAGTATTTAAAGTCTAGAAACCCCTTCGAATAATAGATTCTTTACATTATGGAAAAGACAGTACTATGAACATTTGATTTTATCTAACATTCATTTGAATTAATTTTGAACTTTTTTTTTTTAGTCTGTCCATACCAACTACTATGTGGACTGGATATTCTCTCTATCTCTCCACTTACATTCATTACTTCTTGGTAGTAAAGGTCTACTGCAAAGCAAGTGCATATGGTCGCATAAGATTTCTTCTATTTTCTTCTTATTATGTCTGTATCTTGGCTTGCGCCTCTTTTGTATAAAGAGCTGGTTTATTATCTCCAACAAAAGATCACTTTAAGCTCAATTCTTCTTTTTCAGGTCTATTCAAGTCCGGTAGCCTAAACGAGTACTACCACCTTTTGGAAAACACTTTAAGAAAATTCTGCCATCCAGGGCACTTGTAGAATGCAATCTGGCTAGTTGCCATACTGTTTTAAGGAAGAACGTTCAAGTTGTATAGGGTCTAATTCCGGGCTACTAGTAACCTCAAGAATAGGAAGATTATTTTGGCACAATTGAAGATAAACAATCTACATACCCGAGTAGAACATTTAGACCAAGCTCAAGCTTACTACACCACAGCTATACAGGCAAAATCACGGGAATTATTGGGAAAATAGTTGTCATGATACCAGAATAGAAGAGAATTTCTCTATTAGCATCATCTTTACTTATAGAAACATCTGGCCCGAAACTTTGGGCATAAAAACCAATGTCAGTGGGTGGGACAGTCCATGTCTCATATCATTATTAATACCAAAGTTTGGTACAATTAAGCAAATTTACCTGCAATTTTCTCACCATCCAAGGATTTAAATACCCAGAAAAATCACCCAAGACATGAATCCCATTGCTAGTAAGAATAAATAAATTTGACTTGCAGAAAATGATGTATTTCTTTTTATTTTTTCTAGTAGTATAAGAGAAAATCAGACGAATAATTACGAAGCTGTCTTCAAGATATATAATATAATACAAATAGGGAATTATTTTGTTAGTCATTGATACATTATGAATATCTATATCAAATATTGGAAACTTTTAATTCCAGGATGTCCATTTCATTGCCAATGAGATGAAACCGTCAAGCCCCTCCCTGGGGGAAAAGTATCTTTAGTAGCACATCAACCCCAAATATTATGGATACGAATACGAAAATGTCGAAACTCGGGACCGTTGCTAACTCATAAGGATGGCATGGTATGGCCTGTCATGATGTTTCCACCACCTTATAAAGGTTCCATCAGAGAGCAAAAGAGATGATACGCAAGGGAAATATTGTCTAAAATCTTATCGCATTTTCCTGGTAAATTCCCTTTGAGAAGAAGGAGAAGAAAAAAGCAATCTTTTGTCAACGGGTTAGCTCAATTAGTATATCAAGCTGAATAATAAAGAAATACAAAAAAAAAGACGGTTAATGATGCAGATGTTGATACTAGAACTTTTTCATGTCTAGTCTATAAGAGCATCAGTAAGTACCAAAGCAGTGATTTAAAACTTCCTCTGTACATGCAGTGAAACCATGCATGAAAACCGGGAGTTTAACTAATGCTGCCTTCAAGACATACTATCTAAAGCCTATGTATTAAACATGCTCGAGACATAAAATATGACAGAAACAAATTATTTACAATAAAGAAAAAAAAGAATAAGCAAATGCAAAATATGGAGCGGTTACCATTCCAAATTCAACATTGAAGAAGTAATTCCAAAGTCTTTTTATATATATTTTTTTGGTTTCATAGTTTATTCCTTCTTGTTATTCCCACCATTTACTCGCAAAAAGCTTAGTGCTTACAAAAAGAGTATAAAGAAGACGGACTTAATACATCTATAAAATACGCACACATTACATACATCACATACATTAAACACAAATATTAATGCATCTTAGTTTGTGGGGCGGTAAAATATAAGGATGACTATGCCTGATTGGAGCCTAAAGTGATAGTCTGTCCGACCTTGTGGCAGAATAATTTATTCTGTAATCTTGTTTGTAAGGCCTGTAGTGTTTAAATGATACTGGGGCCGCCAAAAAAGTTAGTCTCCTGTTGGGCTGCAGGCGTTTTTTTTTCTTCTTTTTTTTTCAAATTTGTGCAGGTTACTTCTCGTGACATAACAGTGGACTTTATTATTATATACTATATTATGCCTAGTATCGTCATGAATGGTAACATCAAAGACATTTATGTATGTAGTTAGGTAGGTAAGTAGATAAATAAGAAAGAAAGAAAAAAAAAGTAATATATACATATATGATACATGTCTTTATATATTATTGGCTATACTTTTTGTGTTATTGATTTGCAGTGCCTTTTGTATATAAAAGACCTCTTCTTGTATACATTTATTAGGAATCAATTATACAACATAGGACTGAGATATTAATCAAACTAAAAGATCTTGAGATGGCACAATTATATTTAGATTAATATTTTTTGTATGTGTTTATTGAGGTTATTCGGGATTTAATAGAGTATGGTCTTGGTATCTCTAACTATATCATCTTCTTTAAAGTATAAACATATTGGTATTAAGGCTTAAAGGTGTTTCTTGTTGTTGTCTTTTAGTGCAAGAGAAAGAGCATCGAGTCACAAGTACAGACTGTTGGTGATATTTTCCTCAAATATGTATACATTTAGGTATCCATAGATACATACATATATATATATATATATTATCCCGCCCTTCTACCTCAACAAAGTTTGGTACACAATATGTTTGTTGTGGAAAATCCCCAAATCTTGTGCTTTCGATCACTTGCTTCTATCAAGACAAATTGGTGATGTGTAAATGTCTGGCATTTTGGAATACAGACATCCCTTGATTTGGCAGCTCAGTACAGCCAAAACAAGACACAATGGTCATATGTATTATATATATATATATAATACATATGACCTGTAATAATTATCGAGAATTCAACACTGAAGAATGGGATTGAATCTTTTACCTTTTTCTTTATTTATTTATTTATTTTCTTTGTATCTAGATTTTCACTAACCCGTCAACTGAAGCAGCAACAATTGGATAGAAAGTCTTTGTTTGTGGGAGGTTATTTTTATTTTATTTTTTTGGGCCAGCGAAGCAAGAGGATGTACCAAAAGTTATGGGGATTTTAGGACAAGCATCCCAGTCATTGTTGATGTTGGTCGTAGGGTAGGGTAGGGTAGGATTATGAAATTCTAATAATTTCTATAGGTATTCAAGGATCACTTTCTACCTACCTGCCTACCTACATACCTACATACATACATACATAATAGGCTGTACATGATACTAATATTTACACATATATCTTCCTACTGTGTAGACAACAGGACGATCTTCTTTAGAAAGAGAGCGAAAGATAAATACCAGATAATAATAATAACATCTATGCAGGTTTGTTGAACCTTCAATGTGGCGCTCTTCCCCTCCTTCCCTTCCCCCCTTACCCTTCCCCTTACCCTTACCCCCCCTCCTCTCATCATCCTCTTCTTTGTATTCTTCGGCGTGGTCGTCTTTTTCTATTGCTATTGTCACCAATACTACCGTTATTCTATATCCCAATTTATTTATTTTCTTTACTCTCACTATCTTTCTTCCTCTCCACACTATATCATAACATATCATATCATCCCTCTCTCAACTACTTTGTCACTCTCGACTACCCCTCTTCTTCTTCTTCTTCTTCTTTTTTCCTTGCACGCCAATTGCCACATTCCCCGCACTCGGCACAGAATATGGTCAGAGATTTGATATATTCCAAATTTGTGTGCCTGAATAAAATATATTTAGCTCAGTTAAAATTAATTAACAGATTGATAATCCAAATGCAAAGTTTATCTAAAAAATTTGAAAAGAGCAATAAATATATCTTTATCTTTGTCTTGATTAATTTGACACCATTGCCTTTAAATGGGTCATAAATGTGTGCCTAATTGCCTTGTTTGTTCTCTACAGAACACAAGAAGAAGAAACTCACTTTGGATACCTTGAAATAAGCAATTAAGGAAACATTTCTTTGTTCGTCTAACCAACCACACGTTACATTCTATTGAGTGATCAGTATGTTTTCATTTTAAAAATACACTTGATTTTAATATCAAGTAATGTACCTGAATATTTGTATTTCTTAAGAAATTATATATATTAAAATTAAAATAAAACGAGTATTTGGATAACACGCCTAGATAGATTGCTTGTGTACTATTTCAAACCTGTGGTACACAAATGGTAATATATATATTTCTCTCCCTTGACTTCAACTCTATAGTCTGATCTTCACTTTATTTTCAATCGTTCCCCCCCTCCCCCTCATCCTTTCATATATAAATATGCATACATTGACGTGAAACAGGTTATTTAACTTTTTTTTTTTTTTACTTTTTTCGGTATTTTGAAATTACTTTATAAATTGAAACATTTCAGATGTTGTGTGCATTATTATTATTATTATTATTATTATTATTATTAGTATTAGTATTATATATTTATATATATTGAAAGCAGATTTGAATTATAATAAAAGAAAAATTGAGTTAATAAGAGTATTGCGATTAGGGGCTATTGAAAGGAGTGCAAGGTAAATGTATATATATATATACATCTAAAAGAGAGAATAGAATAGAAGAAGAAGAAGAAGAAGAAGAGAAGGAGGAGGAGAATAAATGACTAGGAAAGACAAGGAGGTGAATATGATGTGAATATAAGAATAGAGGTGTATGTAAAACAAGAATTATGTGGATGTTAAAGATAGAAAGGGAGGGAGAAAGCTTATTGTAAATTATGGTCCAAGGACAATGTGCTGTTTCTATGTTTCCGAGCAGGTAATCCTAGGAGACGGATTGGTTGATCCGAGTAATCTGGCGCCAGGTTGAAGCACTTTTTACTTGACTACAGAGCCGAATAAATTTATATAAATAAATATTACACTAGGAACAAATATTAATGCATCTTACTTTGTGGGGCGGTAAAGTATAAGGATGACTATGACTGATTGGGACCTGAATTGATAATCTGCCCGACCTTGTGGCAGAATGGCTTATTCTGTAATCTTGTTTGTACGGCCTGTCGTGGTCAAAGGTTGTCGGGTCCGCCAAAAATTTGGTCTCCTGTTGGGCTGCAGGCGCCTTTCTTTTCTCAAATTGGTGGAGGTCATTTCTCGTGATATGACAATGGGCTTTATTCTGTGCCATAAGCTGTCTGGTCTTGTCATCAATTGCAACATTCATTGCATCGAGTCGCTCCTTTTCTTCCATCAATGCTCGATTAGCAATTCTCAACCGAGAAGCCTTTTCTTCAAGTTCAGCCAGCGAATGTGGCGATGTTCGTGTCAAATAAGAGTTGTCTCTTGGAATATCTCCACTGCAATTATATATATATATATATATATGTGTGTGTGTGTGTGTTTAGATGGGTAAACAAAATAAGTAAATATAATATATATATATATATATATATTATTATTATTGTTGTTGTTGTTTTGAGAGAAAGATATATAATTAATTAATAGCCAAACATCATAACAACAAACAAACAAGCAAACAAATAATAAGAGCAAGAAAGAGGGCATATTATATCATATAATATTATAAAGAAAAAAAAAGAATCTTGAAACATACATCCAACGGACATGGTTCTTTGAATTCTTCTCGATTAGACGAATGCCTTCGAGTACATTTGTTATGTCGTATATGCGTCTTTTCTGGACCTTGAGTTTGTCTGCTGCTTTGTTGAGGTCGAGATCACCATTTGTGCAAGAGTGAATGAGGTCAATAAAATGTTTTGTTATATTGCCAAGTGAGAAATCTTGGCGACGGGTTGACGAAGCGGAAGAGGAGGAAGAAGAAGAGGAAGAGGAGGCTGGTTCATCGGTTATGAACTGTGAATGGGTCGGGTCTTGAAAATGGCCGTCTGATTCGGGATTGGACAGAGAGTTATTCATAGTGAAAATAATATAAAAATAAAAATAAAATGCAGTAGTTGAACCAGACAGATAGTAAAAATAATAATAATAATAATAGTAATAATGGTGGTATTGGTGGTAGTAATAATAGCAGTAGCAGCAGTAGTAGTAGTAGTAGTAGTAGTAGTAGTAGTAGTAGTAGTAGTAGTAGTAGCAATAGCAATAGCAATAGCAATAGCAATAGCAATGGTTTAATAATAGTAGTAATATTTAAAGGATAATAATAGTAATATGGGTAGTAAATATGGATAGCAATAGTGAAATTGAAAGCAGACGAAACAAAAAAGAGGAAGGAAAGAGAGTAGGGGCAATGGTTTAAGTAGAAGGTCAAGGGAAGAATACCATGAAATCTATGCTATAATACCATTGGGTCTACAACGATGTGAGATCTGCATACACTACACACACACACACGCACACGCACACTACACACATACACACACTACACACATACACACACACGCGCACTAAACTACACTACACTACACTACACTACACTATACCCAAATACATACATACATACATACATACATATATATATATATATATATATATAATAGTAATATTGATATGTTTAACCCTCTCCTCTATCCCGCCCCACCCCGCTCTTATTCCCACCCCTTCTCTCTCTCTCTCTTTCTTTACCTACCTCTCACCCCCTCCCTTTCAATCTCTTTCCTTTTCTCCTTTTCTCCTTTCATTATATATATATATATATATTGATCTCATTTATGAATTATTTATCTTGTAATTGATAATTGATTATCTCGAGTATATATATATAAATATAAAAGAAGTATAACGATAATGAAGGGTATCTTGTATATTATACTTTTATATAAAATAAATAAATAATAAGAATCGAAAAAGAGGGCAAGTGTTAATAGAGGATGATCATAAAACTCTTTATGTTTTTCACCTTTCATTTTAATTCAAATGGTTACAAAGTGTCAATCTTACATGAGTGTGACAATCTATTTTGTATTGCATTGTATTGTATTGTTTTCCCCACCTTTTTATTGATTGATTGATTTATTTATTTATTTTCTTGTTCTTCTTTTATAAAATAGTGCATATTATATATGTATATTACTCCTGAAATAAGAAAGAAAGGTTATCAAGGGAATATACATTTGGGCGGCTACTTTATTATGGTTTATTTTATTTATTTTTAAGGTACAGATTTATATACCAAATAGGCGTTCTCCTTTCCTATGTATATAAAAAATAAAGAGTAAAATCAGAAGCATAATTATTGTGATTGTGATTGTGATTGTGATTGTGATTATTATCAGCATTAGAATCATCATAATCATCGGCACAAGTACAGACACAATCATAAATAAATAAATAATAAAAAGCATAATTACCAAACACCATAAGAATCTGACTCAATTTAGCTTAGTCTCGGATTTTTCAGGTAATCATATGGAGGAGGAGGAAGAGGAGGATGGGAAACCTAAATATTGGTTCAACACACATACACACCCAAGCACTTTTTATCTGGTATATAAATTGCTTCACTTCTACCTAGCCTACAAATCACACCAATTAATTGTATGACTCGACATGCAAATATTAAAGTCGATTCAATTCAATTCAATGGTTTTAACAATATAACTATCATTATTCATATTATTTCTTAATTATTATGCCTAAAACTTATTTAATTTAATTGAAAATTTATAATAATTATATAGGGTTTTGATTGATACATAGATACATAGATAGATATTAGACCCCTCTCTCTATATATTTCTCCAAGATTCAAAGATATGCGATAAAAGTATGTTTTATTTTTGTAATATAAATATTTTCTTAATTTTGGATCAATTATTATTATTTTTAAAAAAAAATTGCGATTCAAGAATTGAAAGTAAGGAGATAATATATATATATATATGCTCTGTATTTATTTCTGGCGCCCACAATAAGGTGTGGATCGCAAAATCCTAAATTATCCAGCACAGTGAACATGCTTTTCTTCTTCTATACATACATATACATATATATAATCATGCTAGCCTAAATTATCTATCATTGTATCTATAAAACCAAAGCTATACAATAAGCGGGCATACATCCAAGTACCTTTTCGATATATACATACACGCATACATACATACATAAATTTATACTTGTAAAACAAAAAGGGGCAGAGGGCAGAGCAGGGCAGGGGGGGTGGGGGTTAGATTCAAAGAAATATTTTTCTAGACATTTTATTTTATTTTTGCGGCGTTACTCTGTTATATATATATATAATCTCAGAGGCAGAGATGCACTCCACAATTACTCAAGTCACCTGCCTAGTTACCTAGTTACCTAGTTACCTAGTTACCTACTAACTTGTTACCTATTTGACTTCTTTATCCCCTTTATCATCATAATTATTATTCTTCTTCTTGTTCTTCTTCTTTGGTCATACAAAATATAGGATATCATTTCCCTGGAGCTAAAGGTCAAATGTGTATGATACTTAATTGTTATTATTCTATATTATTCTATACCATAGCCCAATCGTCCTTTGTTTTCTACCCCTCTTCAAATTTTATTTTTGTTCTAATTATCAGTGTCAATAAGAGACGAATGAGCTTTGTATATTCTATCTCTATATAAAAAAATCTAGAATTCGTCAAAGTTTTCTTTTCTTTTCTTTTCATTTGATTCATTTATCTATTCTTCTCAAAGTTCCTATAGAATTATACACCCTGCATTAGAGAATAATATTGATATACAATATACAATACAGAAAGAAGAAGAAAATATAATATATATATATATATATATATATATTTTTGATTAAATGTAATACTTCCAGCTCTTTTTCAATTTATCAGTAATTTTGTACAAATGTAGGTTTTTTTTTATTCATTTTTTTTTTAAAAAAAAAGGATATAATTACATTCATTGGATGTAATTGTGACTAAAATTAGGACTGTAATTCTGAGTGTAATTGTGATTGTAATTAAAATACAAAATAAAAGAAAAAGTATATTAGAATGACAAGATGTAGTAAGCCGATTTGTACATTTGTACATTTGTAGTATATGTAGTATGTGCGGAAAAATAACTACATTATAAATACTTGACAATTGTATAGCCTTTTTCTTTGTTGTTGCTGTTGCTGTTGCTGTAAGAGAATTTCAGAAACTACTGGTCAGAAGACGATGATAAAATAAAATAAAATAATAAAGAGAACAGATACTTTATAATATTTATTATTATAATAAATTTGGTTTGATATGTAAAAATTAAACAATACATATTACTATTGCTACTAAATATACATATGTGTGTAAGTAATAAGTGTAGGTGTAGGTGTAGGTACAGGTACATATATACAAGAGAATATTCCGAGGTTTTTTTTTTTAAAAAAAAAAATACTTTTGGTATCAACCAAGCATTCCTTTTTTTTCTTTGCTTTAGAGTCAAAGAGTGAGAGAGAGAGAGACATAGAGCTCAAGTTCCCATACGAAATTTCTCCAAGGAAAGAGCAGCTTCATAATCATCCGTCGTTACTCTTGCCTTTTTACTTTTGAGCTCCAGCGCTGTCCCGACAGAAGTTCTGTTGCCATCTGGCACCAATTCTGGCTCACACAAGTCTTTAATACTAAGACGACGCCGTGGCTCTTGAACAAAATCAGACTCTTCTGGACTACTGTCAGCTCTAGAGTAATGTGGTTCATACATAGCAGTTAAAGGAAAGGTAGGTAGGTTTTCCAGGCTGGTGATCTGTAAACCGTGGTGCTGATAGTTCTGAAAGTGATCCTTGCATTCAGCTATCATCTCTTGACTTTGACTTTGATTTTGATCAAAGGTGTATTCCCGAATATTTGATGTAATGGGAACCAGGCGACAGATCGTACTGTCTAGTTTTGCAGCTTGATCAGCCTGAGAGTGTAGAACGCTCTTCATTTCTTTGCTTGTCTTACAATAATCAAGCGTATGATCAATGCATGGTAGCTGGATAGAATGTCTTGGTCGAAGTGGAGGGAGTGTGGGTCTATTATAATTGAGCTGTGCGTTGGGCATCGAATTGCTGCGTTCAGACAGCTGTCGTGTTCGAGGTACATTATCAAAATTCTTCATCTCTACATCATCATCGTCATCATAAATGTCATCATCATCATCATCATCGTTGACATTCTCATCGTCAGTGTTATCTTTGTCGTCGCTGTCATTATCTTCGTCCTCGTCCTCCTCGTCATCATCATTATCTTGATTATCAATATTGCTGTTGTCGTTTCTGTAATTTATTTTAAGACTGTGAGAATCAGGACCAGCGTTCCTGGATCTTGTATAACTTGACGAAGGTGACAAGGACTGACTGACACTGTTTTCTCTGCACGAGTGATCAGTGGAAGATGAAATATTGGAATAGTTTCTGTTGTGGTAGTGGAGATTTTCATTTTCATTTTCATTTCCATTTCCATTTCCATTTTTGTTGGTCAAGTTGGGTACTAGTACTTTCTTTTGGTTCGTTTTGACATTGTTGTTGTTGTTGCTGTTAAGTGTACAGAATCGTCGTCCACGACTCTTGTTGTCCTTATGAGTATTCAAGTGTTGTTTCATGTTGTCATACCGACTAAAGCTTCGTAGACATCCTCTGTATGTACATGCGTAGGGTTTCTATTAATTGATTGATTGATTGATTAATCAATTAATTATCTTGTTTGTGCAATGAATAATATTGGTTTGATTTTAATACCTCGCCAGTGTGTTTACGACGGTGCCTGTTTAGGTGTTCAGACCGGGAAAATCCCATGTTACAAGGACTAAATCCTTTACAGACGAATATCTTTTCGCTTTCTTTCTTTGCTGGTCTGGTGGTCGATGTCATTTCACATTCGGATTTGGTCATTAGATTTAAAGTAATATGGTATGTGTATTACATGCACAGAATATTGGATAAGTGGGAATACTGCTTATATTATGTACTGTTTAGAATATCATACAACTATTACAGATCCAAAAGCTAACTATAGTTAATGTGTAATTCTTCTAGATAATCTAGTGTATTGGATTGTTAATATTTGAAAAAGACGAAAAGATAAATCTATTGTGACTGAGTTGAAACACAGTAAGAGGCAAATCCAAGAGAGAGGGTAGAAGAAATTAGTCAAATCAAAGAATTTTTTTTTTTGTTTTTGGTTTTGGTTTTGGTTTTGTTCCTCTTCTTCTTGTGTTGGATGTTTATATATCGAACATCAAAGGAATGGAATAGTTTCCGAAAGTGGAATCTAAGATCTTTTTATATATGTATACATAAATGAATGTATGTGTGTATGTATGTATGTGATCCCCCTTTATTTTATTTTATTTTGAAATCCCAAGCCAGCCAGGCGATCAAAAGGGCAGTTAAAATGTTCCGAATGTGCGCAAGAGTCTGAATAAAATATCCTAGGATGAATTCAACCAAATGTAAGCCAAGATTCCAAATATTGGGACGAGGCCTGAAAGACAAGATTAATCAAATAATAGGAGATAAATCATAGCAACAACAACAAAACCATCGACATTTACGGTCATTGTCATTGATATCGACAACAAGGAACTTTCTTCTTTCTATTAAATATTCATCTTCATCTTCTTTCTTTCTTTTTCTTTATTCGACCTCTTGCTCTTATATATCTTATTTCAAAGAGGTCCGTATTCAAGCTAGAGATCAAAGTAGAAATACTATATTATATATATATATATATATATATATTCTACATAGAGAACAAGCAGGAGTGAATGAGTGAGTCAGCCAAAGAAAAGGCTAAAAGAAAAAGGTAAGAAAATGATAAAGGACTATGAACAAAAAAAAATAAGAGGGAAATTACAAGGATTAAGTAATTAGACAAGTAAATGGGTAAAGTGGTATATAATAATAATAATTTTAATAATTTTAATTTTAATCAATCAATTGGGCGCAGGAACATTATCTATCCGTCGGTAGTGGACTACAGAATGGAAAAAGTTCCTTAACCGGCTTGAAAACTTGATTTCACCAGCCTTTTGCTTCTTTCCTTTGGTCAAGTCCTTGTCTTTTATATGCCAGAATGGCTTGATGGTTGCCTTTTTGGTCATTCCACAAAAGAATGTTCTTGGACTCTCTAGACCAACTTTTAGTTCCTTCAGACAAGCTTCTGGTATTTCAACCTGCTCCGGCTCCGGCTCCGGCTTTGACTTTGACTTTGACTTTTGTTTTGGCTTTTGTTTTGGCTTTGGTTTTTGATTAAGCTTTAGCTTTAGCTTTAGCATTGTAATTGGATTTAGCTTTAGCTTTAGCTTTAGATTTAGCTTTGGTATCGGCATCGGCATCGGGATTTGCTTTGGGTTTGGCTTTAACTCTAGGTCAAGGAGTTCTAACTGTGGTTTGGGCTCTGGTTCCGGTTCGGTGCAGGAAGACGCCAGAGATACTGTGGACGATTCGCCAAAACAACTGTAGGACATTGAGCTGACCGAATCGTCACAGACCCGAGAGAACCAAGGGTGGCCAAGACACTCGTTGGCCGTCATTCGGGCGTCGGGATCTTTGACCAGCAGCATGGCGATCAACTGGGATGCCTCGGCAGACACGTAGCGCGGAAGAGAGTATGGGCCGGTTCTGATCTTGCGGAACAGTTCGGACGGATTGCTGCTGTGGAATGGCAGGTGTCCGGTCAACATGGCAAAGAGCATCACACCACAGCTCCACATGTCTGCCGGAGGACCTCTGTAAGGTGTCGAGGAGACCATCTCGGGGGCGGCATAGTATGGACTTCCGCAATAGATTTCCAGCAATTCGAGCTCCTTGCATTTTTTCCCAAACCCAAAATCACAGACCCGGATGTTGTTGAACTCGTCCAATAAGACTATAGACGATATTTGTGTTAGAATTATCACACCAATTGATAATTTTATTTATATATGTAAAAGAGAGGGGTTATGGTAAAGAAGATATATATATATATATATATATATATATAAAGAGAGCTTACCATTTTCAGGCTTTAAATCTCTGTGAACAATGCCATTCTAACGACCAAAGGTATATAATGTGTATATAAAAGGGGGGGTTAGAAATTTCTTTTTTGTATTTTAGTCATACCAGTCTAACGTTCTCAATAGATTTATACATTACCTTGTGAATATACTCCATTGCTTCGATTAGCTGCCTGAACCATTTCTGGACATCGATTTCCTTGATGCGACCATATTTCTTGATTTTGTCAAAGAGTTCGCCTCCCTTGACACACTCCATGACAATATAGATATAGTCGCTGTCAGAATCAACCTCGTATACCTTGACGATGTTCTTATGGCCCAAGCTCTTTACAAATCCTTTGCAGATTTCCATCTCATTCTGGGCATGTTTGATCTGGTCTTCGGTCTTGAAGTTCTTTTTCTTCAGCACCTTTACAGCCACCTGACCAACTTGACAATAAGCAGTCCATAAAAGTCATATTTGTATTTCGATGTCTGTTACCTGTTTCTTTGTCGACTTTTCTACTGCTAGCCATACTTCACCAAAGTTGCCTTTACCCAACATATGCTTCTGCTCATAGCGGCCTTCGAATATCTTGCATGAGCGAGGCTTGACCTTGATGATCGCAAAGAGAATTAATATGGTATTTTTCAAGTAAGGAGGTGGATAATGATGAAGAAATGGAGTAGGGATCAAATCAGATTATTTCAAGTTATTTCAATAATTAAAAATAAAGTAAATTTGATTCAACTATATATAATAAAAATCAAAGCCCTTTACCTCATAAGAACGTTGGGTTTCAGTAATAAAGGACATGTATTCTTTTTACTTGATTTTGTTATAAACAAACCAAAAAACCAGAACAGCAAAAAGAGTGAGTAGAGAAAAGAAACACAAGAGTAATAAGATTAAATTAAATAAAAAAAAGGGCTTCTGTCAAGACACCGGAAAATATTTAAAATAAAATAAAATAAAAAGAAGTGAGACATCTGTTCCGTTTAATTCATGCATATCTTTAACTATTCTATGCATTTTATTTGCCAGAAGGAAAGTCGGGATCTTTGACTTAATTATATACCAACGTTTATCTCTTTAGTTGTCTGGGGCTGGAGTCCTATAGACCCATGTGGGGCAAGGGTCGCTGTCAAGAAATTTAACAAACCAAGAAGCTACAGCGGAAGAAGAAAGGCAAGTGGGTAATCTCTTTAAAATAATAATAATAATAATAATAACAATAATAATAAAAATTAAAAAGAAGTTGAGCTTTAGACTGCATCATTCGAAGAATTTTATTTTTTTATTTTATTTTATATATTCTCTTTGGATTATCATTCGCTATAGTCCTCTTCATCGTCGTCATCATTATCAATATCATTCTCAGTATCAGTATCATCATCATCATCATCGGCCTTTCCCTTTCCCTTTCCCTTTGCCTTTGATTTAGCTCTAGTATTAACCTTGGGCTTAGGCTTAGATTTAGCCTTTGCATTAGACTTGGACTTGGATTTTTCATCATCATCATCATCATCATCATCATCCTCCTCCTCCTCTTCTTCTTCTTTTGCATCGTCCTCATTCTCATCAATATCCTCAATATCATCAATATTGTCGTCGTCTTCGTCGTCAACTAGATCCATCAGGTCGTCGTCGTCCTCATCATCTTCATCTTCATCATCATCTTCATCATCATCGTCTGTGCCCAAATCCAATTCCTCTTCAGATTCATCACTGTCATCGAAACGTCTCTTGACTGAACTTCTTTGTCTTTGGCCACCTTTTTCCTTTTCCGCTTTGACAGGTCGTACTAATTATCATTGTTATTTATATTTTTTATATATAGAAATAATATTAAGAGAAAAGAAAAAAAAATCATACCAGATTTAGGTTTTGCTGCCTTTTTGATAAACTCTTCTTTAGTGGTTCCACTGATCTTTTCAATCCTTTGTTCCAGTTCATCAACCGCAACCTTCAACTCCGGTTTCTGGACTTTCTGGGATCGTCCCTGTTATTTTTTAAAATTAAATAATCAAGAAAAAATCAAATTTTAAAATTTATTTCGCATGAATCCTTTAAATCTCTGTGTCTCATTTGTTTGTTTGTTATGCAGAATTGGAATTGGAATAATAATGCTGATGATGATCTAAATGGGTCGTCTTTGATTTACCTTTGCAACAATCTCTAGGAAACTTCTGTGGACTGCTTCTTCTTGAAGCTTATCTTGGTAAGCAGGTATGCCTTCAAGTAGCTTTCGGAAGCTTCGGTCTGATTTAAATGGCATGAGGGATAGACAAAAGGCAATGTCACGCCACACTCGCTTGTCATTGGTATTTAAAAATCGTTGGCAGAGTTTGTCAATGACATTCTCTGCTTGTTTTTCCTTTCAATGATAACAGAAAATTAAAAAGAAAAAAGTATCCTCGGTCAATTAATGACTGGGAATCATTTGGATCAAATCCAACAAACAAATCATTCATAGACTTACCTTTTCTGTAAACTCAAATGAGAAAATAAACTTCATAATCTTGTGGAATGTTTCTTCTTCCACTTTGGGCTCGCTATTGGTCAGATTGCTGATAATGTCAGGAAGGTTATTGTAAATCGCATTGTCCTTTGTGGCCAGCTCGGTAAAGAATAGTTTGGCAAGGTCGGCAATCCGTTGATCCGAGTCTTCCAGACATTTGGCCATCTCGCTAATCTGACCTCTTACTTTGACCATTCCATTTAGAATCAAGTGCGTCAGGACCATCACTGCATTTTTCTTAACCAGCCCATCTTCATCGCCAAGCCGGTTGTAGAGAAATGAGATGTTTTCGTCAATGAGCGTATTAAAACACACGGCCATGTCACCAAGCGCGATAGCAATGTTGCTACGGATCGTAGGGTCTTTGGACTTCTCAAGAATCGTAAACAGAAGCTGGAGGTTCTTTTCGCAAAAGTCTGAGCTCACACACATAAACTTGGCAAGCGCAAGAGTTGCAGTGATTTGAAGTGTACGATCCTTTGGGGGAGTTTTTTTTGTTATCGATCAATCGCTCAATCACTATATTTTTCTTTTGAATACTTACCGTGTATATCTTATTACGTGCGCAAACCTCGGTAATCATTGGCCCAAATCTTGCCAAAAGAGAATTGGATCCAAACAGGATTTCTCTCTCTCGTATGTGCGTAATTGCATCACCAATATCATCCTCAGCAGTTCCATTCACTTGTTCAAGCTCTTCTTCAGTGGAAGTGTGTTTCTTTCCTTCCTCGACTACAAAAAAGAAAAAAATACATATTAAATTATATAAATATAAATATAAATATAAATATTAAAAAGAAAAAGGTACATACCATCCTTTAATGTCTTTTTTCTTTTCCAGGCTGCCTCTACAATTTCCAGATGAACAATTTGTTTCAATGCCACGTGACCGACAATAAAAAACAACTGGCTAAGTTCAAATGCACTCTTTTGATCTGGATTGTGCACAGACTGAGTCGTGCCTGTGCCTGTAGTCGAGGTTGCGGTCGGCTGGGTTGAGCTCATGTCATAGTCAGTATCCATCAAATCACCTAGGATTTCCTCCTCAAAAGGTTTTTGAGTGTCCGATGTGCCCTGATTATCATCAAACACACTGATGGTTTTGGTTCTAATCATCTCCGCACAAAGAATGTCCGGATGTTCACCTAGCAGATATATTGTGTTGATAGCCTGCTCAGTAACGCTGAACCTAATAGTATGACATGTTATTTTTATGTATAAAAGACAAAATCCTGATTATTTATTGTCGATTTTACCATTCCATGGAGTGGTTAGAGCTTTCTACCACATCTCTTAATCTTGCAAATATCGCATGGTTCATTGGGAAGCGTACACCTTCATGCACTCCACGACCTTGTAGATGATATATAAGTATACGATGGTTTTGAATTGTAGTCATTATTATCTTACCTTTTTCAGTTCGAGTTCCAGCTAATCTTTGAAGTGCAATACAAGTGTATTTTGATAAAGCCAAGTCATCCTAATACAATAATAATAATAATAACAGCCAAGTTAATTTAATTTAATTTAATTCAATTTAATTTAATTTAATATATATATATATATATATAATATATGACTGTGAATAGATCCAACTTACTTTTCCTAAAGGACCCAATCCAATTCGTAGCAGCAAGTCGACCTTTTCTGTAACAATTTCCGTCTTGGCCTTGGCCAGCATACCAAGGATGATGATTGCTCCTCGTCTTTGAGCCTTTGGAATATGTCCTTTAACAAAGCCTATAACAAATCAATACATATATAATTAAATTAAATTAAATTAAATTAAATTAAATTAATTAAAATCAATTCTTTACGGTATTACTTAATTCATTGCAATACATTACCATAAACACTCCAGAGTCTCTCAATCACATCGTCTGGAACAGCATCTTCTGCCATAAGATTAGTCAAAAGTTGTTCTAATGAAGTCAGCTCAGCCAGGGTGGTATTGAATGTCAATCTGATCAAGTTCCGTGCAATAACATTGATGTTTTCGCGTCTTGTGAGATTTGCGTCCATTTCAAGGTAGATGTTTCTGTAACTCTTCAGAAGTTTCATCTTTACACCCTTGCCCTCATCACTGGTATCTTTTGTCCAGATCAAATGAAGCATTCGTTTAATTCCATCCTACAAAAATAATCATAATTACATATTTTATGCATATATAAATCTTGTTTATCCGAAATAAACTTACAGCTGCTGGTTTAACCTTGTAATTGTAGCACACTACCAAAAAATCCATGGCTTCCAATACTTCAGCCTTTGTTTTGGATGACAGCAGCTGTAGAATTGTTGGCATGGCAGTGTGGATTTGCTGAATGAAGCGGATAGCATCCGTGTGGAAGGTCTTCATCAAGATCAACTGTTGCATCTTTTCTTCAGAAACAAAGACCTTTGGTGCCTGTGCCGGTGTTTCTGCCTGGGTTTGTTCCACTGCAACATCAACATTAACTTGGACCTCAGTTGCGTTTTCTGCGTTGTCGTTAGTCTCCCCAGCTTGCGGCATTTCAGTGTCCTCGGCATCTGTCGAGATTGGCTGACTCTCCTCTGTTTGCACCGTCGATACTGCTACCTCCATTAACGCCATATCAGGTGATTCTACATTCTATTGAAATTTAGATGATAATCGATATATATATATATGTATATATAGATACATACTGCAATTTCAGCCTTCAATTTCTTCAGTTTTTGTTTCCAATCTTCCAAATCCAGTTCTCCTCCATAAATACTGTATGGATGAGTTGCGATCAACTTTGTCAATACACGAATGGCATATTTTCTCACAGAGCTACTCTTGTCTTCCAAATGGCGAAGAGCAAGGATACCCAGTGTGTGTCGTCTTTTGGGAAATTTTGTGCGCAAACTATGTTTTTTTTTTAAATAAATAAATAAATTGATCATGGTTATGATGATGATAATAATAGTATTAGTTTCTTGGGTTAGAGAAAAGGAATAAAGGGAATGAATTACATGTATATATACAAAACTTACTCTAATAGTTTTAGGTACGTCTGGAGGACCTTTGTTCTACAGAACACAATAGGATCCAACATACGTTCCTCAAGGATATCAAAGAAACCATTGACTTGATCCACATTTGCTGTATTCTCCTCTGACTGTTGTGATAGATTTACGATAAGATCTCCGAGAATGTCAATGATAGCAGTTCGGATAGTGTACGACTAAAATAAATAAAGTATTAGGATTTAGTAGCGAATAAATCTGGTCGTTGTTTTTTTTTATATACCTCACTATCCAATTGATGGATCAATACACCAATGTTCTTCAAAATCGTTTTTGGCAATAACTCGGCCAATTTCTGAAGGAACATGGCAAATGTCTTTGCGTTGGGAGAATCTTTGAGTTCTTTCGCGGCTGTTTCCTTGAATTCTTTGTTACTTATTTCTCGAATGATTTCATCCACCAGCTGCGTGTAGCCTTGTTGCTCCACAAGATAATGAAGGAACTCAGCCATGGGTTCTGCCGAATGCTCCCAATACTGCAAATTCTGCATAATGCTCGTTTGAGCGGCTTAAAGAGTTTATCGTGATTATGATTATTAGGATTCATAGAATAGCTATATTTACATCTATATCTATATCTCTATCTCTATTTACCGAATGCATGATTGTAATTCTTGATACACATCCCCAGAACTTTGAATACACGCTTCTTTATCTCATTTGACTTTGCATTGGAAGGGTTTTCAAATATCTGATAAGCAGGTTTGGTAAATAAACTACAGATGATTATTTATATTCGTATTATTATTGATATAATTATTTATATAATTATCATTTTTTGTTAGTAATATAGATATATAGATGTATAGATGTATAGATATATGTATGTATGTACCTAATAAATGTGTTTCTGTCCGGAGTCATGGTCCAAATCTTGGTTAATTTCAATTCAAGCATCCAACCAACAATATCAAAGGCTTTTTGTTTTTGAGTACTCCAATCAAATCGACCTGAATCGTCAGTGCGTGCCTTTCCTTTCTATAGATCAATTTAACCAAAAGAAGAAGAAGAAAAGAAGTATATATATATATATATATAAAACACAAATAAGATAAAACAACAAGGTCATAATAATAATAATAATAATAATATTGTTATCATTATCATTTTTTGTTTTGTTTTTGTTTTATATAAGTCTGATAGTACTTTTAGATAGATGGTCTATCATACTTTTTCTCTTTCTCTTTACTTCTTTAATATACACATACACAAACACACCTTTGATTTTGTTGAAACATTGGTAGTTTTTTCTTCAGCAGCTAGAAGAAACCAGTGAACAAGGAATCCATACAATTCAAGGTATCGTCGATGTTCTTGAAATGTTTCTTTTTCATTGTTTTCCAAGCCATCTGAAGTAGCCTTGACTTCCGCTCTAAAGGCTATTGAAGAAGAAGAAATACCACACACACACACACACATATATATATATACATATATATAATAAAGAAAAGGTACCGACTAATTAAGCGTTGTTTCAATGATGTTTTTTTTTGGGCTATATAAATTATCCCTACCAGACAAAAGAATGTCTAGCAACCTTGCTAGGATCCGTTCGTTTACAGTTCCAAAGTTTCTGAATTGTTTATAAAGTGTAAAGAAGATGCACAAAATTCTCTTGTTCTCGTTCTCGTTCTCTCTCTAATCAAGTACAGAATTGACAAGCTGTCTTTCTACTCAACGTACTTTAAAAAACTTCGAATTTTGTCGTAAACGAGTGGATCAACAATTGCATCAGGTGCTACTTCTATCCTGTCTGTAATGTCTAAAATTGATTCAAGTAATACTTCAGTCTATAAATTTTTTGATGACCTTTGTGTAATAAGGCGTATTTTTTTTGTCTAAAAAAAAAGCAGAGAGAAAGAGAGAGAGAGAGAGAAAGAGAGAGAAAAAGAAAGAAAAGGGGATTACCATTGAGGTATCGTGCCAGTTCTTGGTCACTGCGGCCATGTATGACCACCTCGTTGGCAATGTAATAGTTTGTTACAGCATCTTGTTGAAGTCGAAGAAGCTCTTCATGAAGCACAAATTGGCCATTCATTTCTGCTCTTTGTTTTTACTTCTTTATTTTGGAAAGCGGAAAGCTCATAAAATAACCTGAATCTTGAAGCTCGTGTAAACCCCGCTAGCTTACCTGCGCGTGAGAGGACGTGTTTCGTGATTGAGCGGTCACAGATTGATACGAAGTAGTAGTAAGGACCTGGGAAAAATTTAAAAGGTGAAGCATTTCCTGATGGGACACGACATTTTTTCATTTATTTTTTAAGCTTGTTATAATTAATATTTGATCCCTAACAATCAACAATATCGTGTATGTATGCACAGCAGTAATTTAGTACCATATACCTAATGATATTCAAAGTAAAAAAAAAAAAAAAAAAAAACTAGGACACGGATGTCTATCTTACCGTAAATATTGTAGTTAAAGCTATCTTTTTTCTTCTTCTTAAAGTAGAGTAATGTAATACCAAGATTAAAAAGAAGAAAAGGATAAAGAATGTGAAAAATGATCCTTAAAAATCTGAAGCTTTTGGTTCAAATAGAGCAGTGATAGAAATATAGGCATATTAACCAAATAATCTCTTTTTCTTTATTCGATACCTTGTATATTCACTTGAATATACATAGTAATATATCCTGTTGCTAATTCTGATAGGCGCTTTATACTGTCATCAATTCATGCTTTCACTGGGATACCATGTGTACTATTGGTAGAATAGATCGATTTATATAACTTTATTTACTTCTCTATTACTTTTGAGGTTGTATTTATGCACAACCATGCTCTCTTTCAGTGAGTACTGAATTGAACCATTGTTTCTACAATTAGATATTTACTCGTTAGAGTCATCGTTAGCCTCATTAGAGCTTAATTGGTATAAGCCTGGGCGTTATTCTATAGTCTCTTTATATAATATCAATGGTTTTATAAATACATACCAAATAACTTTTTGTATACGTTCTGTTTAAGTACGATAGGAGATATTACTTTTGTGTTCAATTCGTTACACTTTTTCTGTATTTCATTCAAACACACACACACACATATATATGTATATATATTATCTTTCTTCTTTCTCTCTTTCTGTCTCTATTTCCATTTTATATGTATATATAGTATTTCTGGAGAGACGCCTTATTTTTTATTTTAAAAAATAATACTTCTTTACGTATAAGAAAACCATTAATCTATTTTACCATTATAGACACTCGCTCTTTCTCTCTCATTCCAATGCGTGTCATTCGCAAGGTCTGTCTTGATTAGCCAAATTCAGTAATATATACTTCGCATCATTGACATTCTCAAAAATCGTTTCGATTGTATCAACAAAAAACACGTTATACAATCAAACACGGGGATTGACACGTTTATAATAAAAGAAATATTATATTATATTAATCTTCAGATTTATTTAACTAGATTAATTTTTCTTATAAGTGTGTCTGTCCTAATTACAACATTAACCTCTTCAATCAAGTAAAAAAAAAAGTTTAAACGCGTATTTTTTCATTAGAGTCAACAACAGTTTAAAAATCATTTTATTTATTTATTTATTAAATATATACATAAAGAAGCTAGTTTATTTTATATGATTTCACTTAATGTTTTTTTTACTAATGTAAAAAAATAAAAAGCATGACACCAAGTTCTTTGTCCCCGCATTACGCGGCTCAATCTCCCTCAGGACGTAAACCTGACTTGGTAGCGAAGGAGGTGTGGGAATGGTGTTAATCCGTGGCGTAAGACAACAACCGGGTTCATCCCAACTGCCCTATCTCATCACTGAGAAGGGCCTGCGAACGTACCAGAGAAACCTACCACAAAGTAGCAGGGTCCAGCGTGTTCGACTACCAAGCAACACCGTCAGTTCCAAAGAGCTTCGAACAAGGATTTCATGAAGAGTCGGCAGTAAACTCCACTTCCTCCCCGTCCTCCACTCAATAAACTTTCATGATGCTAACTCGGCGGCAGCTTTTTTTAAACATTGCTCGTCGCCATTGTTTCAGAAATTATACAATTAAATTCACAATTCAGAACAATGTTGATCTGCGCCTCTAAGAATTAACTAAGAAGCTAGAGACGACGCACTTCCACTTTTTCCTGCACAGAATGGAAAAAGAATGTCTCCCAATCGACCCATAGGTAGCGCGTCAAACTCAACTACAGGCAATCAGGGGGTACCCGTCTCCAGAGTATAAAAAAAGCTAAAGAGAAGAAAACCGTGTCGGTTGAATGGGCTTTATTTTGATATACCCGCAGTCTGCGACTAAAGTTTGGGACTGCGCTTTTTTTTGCCAGGGGTGTTTTTTGCCTCCCACGTCAGAGCAGTGACATAGTTCTATACTCTTTTTTAGTAGGATTGTGTAACTGTTCTATGACAGTAGTAATGACAAGTAAAATTTGATCAAACAAATATTGCAAAGTGAAGTAAATCAAAGCAAATAAGCAAAGAAGTAAAAAGAGTAAGGAAGAGTTTAGTTTTTATCGGTGTAGTAATAACTCTTAAAGTGGAGTACAAGTTTCTATAACGGCGATTCGTAGGTTACTCTAAACTGGTCTGTGCACTTCTTGTTAAAAAGGGTAAAAGAAAGTTTTCTTCTTCTTTTGCTTTTACAAGTAGACACAAAAGCAATCCAAAAGCTACTAAAAAATAAACCAATATACATATTTTAAAGCAATATTTAAGCAAAAGTAAAATACAGAAAAGAAAGCAAAAAGTAAACATGTATATTAACGAAATCTCGTCACAATACCATAGGAGGCGGAATGCCGAATCCCTAGTTGAGTTTTATTGATATGAGGTTATACTGTTAAGTGAAGTGTCAAGATGATTTCTCAAGGAAAGGAGTGATTCCCGTAAGATTATTAAGGAATAGTAGTGCAAAGCATAACAGACGTTCCCAAAATTTACTTTTTAAGATATTTAGATACTAATAGTGTTTTTATATATAAATGAGTGAAAAAGAAAAGCAATTAGTAAATAGACACTACTGAAGTGATCGAGCTTTATCCTTTTGTTAGGGAATGTGACTGGAACCAGCAGTACAGCTATCCTAGACTATGTAATATGAATAAAATATTCCGGATAAAAATATGTTTTAAATAAAAAGGTATCAAAAATAGTAATGATTTTTTTTTATATTTTTCTCTATTAAATAATAAAGTTTCTTCTTTTTCTAATTAGTCCATACTTTTAGTGCTAAATAAAATCCCAGAGTCTTCAATTTTGAACATTAAAAAGATCTTTGAAAATTCATACATACCTATCATTATTTGCACTATATAAAGAATGACAAAGCTTGATCATATCAGGCTCTTGATGTTTTAGATAAGTCTCTAATAATTATTGAATTCTTTAAACGAAATTTCCGATACAAGAAATATATTTTTTAAGGCATGTCAGAAATGATATCCTTACAGGAAATAGGAAACACAGAACCTATATGAACTCGACTTTACTTAGACTAATCACTACAAAAAGAGCTGAGAGAAGGGGTGAAAATAACACCTTTTATATTTGTAAATAAAGAGTTGACAGTATAGAAATATATATATGAAGCTTAGCTTTTATTTGTAAAAATCAATTGTTTGATCTATCACTGTGGTAATATACATGTATATGTAATGTCGGATTTGTCCTAGCCCAGAATTATTATAATAAAACGATACGCAGTTTTAGAAACGACCTTATACTTTCTTTAATTTTATTATTCTTCTTTACATGTGCTTGTTTCTTTTTGTGTTTTTTTGTGCATTTTTATTTCTTTTGTCTTTTTCTTTTCTTTTTCTTTTTCTTTTTTCTTTAAAAAAAAGTATTCCTATTTGTCTTGTTTATGCGGATGCTGTTTAGTTAACTATCAATACTAGGTGAAGAGAATGCTCCAGATACTAGGCAAAGATTACGGTTGGTAAACTGGACATCATAGATGGGAGTGTTCTTTGTGGGAAACACGCCAAGATGATCACTACTATAAAATCCAAAAGTCATTCTGCTTCAATACACTCGTTTGACACACTTTTTATTTATTTTATTTAAAAAAAAAAAGAAAAAAGAAAACGTACCTCTCAGCTACACCCTTTCTTCGTTTCTCGTCTTCCTTTGATTTGTCCTTAGAACTGTCCTTCTTATCTTTTGACTTGCCATTTCTTTCATCGTTTCTAGCGGATTCATCTACTCGTATCCGCTTACTATCTGTCCTCTCGGCTCCTGCTACCAGGGATGATGAAATTGTGTGTGTATCCTTGTTGACATCCCACACGCGGACAGTTCCGTCAGATCCACCAGACACAAGTACATTACTATCAGCACTGAAATCAAGTGAATATATAAATCCGGTGTGTCCAGTCATCTTCTTGAGTTGTCTTCCGGATCCTAAATCCCATAGCATGATAGATTTATCTTCACCTATAATATTCTGTCAGTTACCAACTTAGTCCTATTTCATTATCGAAACATATATTTTTACCAGCAGATGCCATAAGACGACCGTTGGGAGAAACAGCCACAGTTTTGATTGCTCCAGTGTGTCCAGTAAATACACGGACACACGTTCCTCTCTGAACATCCCACAAACGAGCAGTACGATCACTCGAGCCTGTCACTAAATATTTAGAGTTCGGATGGAATTTGACGGTCTAAGTATAGTATAAATAAAGGTTAATATAAATTAAAAGAAAACATATTAAATGGTATATGATTATTATTACTATTATTATTATTGAACAATATACTTACGTCTACGTCTGAAAGATGCCCAGCAAAAATTCTAAGAGGGTGTATCTGGTCACAGCTCCATAACCTTGCCGTCCTATCGTGAGAAGCAGTAGCAAAATAGAAACCAAAGGGTCCAAAATCAACATCCCAAATAGGGTAGTTGTGTCCCTTGTAGCAAACCAGATTTGTAAATGTCTGGGTACTCCACAGACGAGCTATATTAAATAGTATTTTAGATATATACTATTTAAGCAAACTCTCGACTATCTTACCAGTCTTATCCTCAGAACAAGAAATCAGGTACTTGTTGTCATGACTAAAACTCAGGCCATACACTGGACCTGAGTGACCCACCAAGCGTTTGTAATCTGATCCGTGGCGCTCCTTCTGTCGATTGAGGTCCGCATCTAGAGAGTAAATCATTTAGATCTCTTCCGTGGTAATGTCTACACCATCATTACAGTCATTGACATGGGCCGGGTTTAATGTGTTTCGAAGACTTCGGAGCTTCTCGCCTTTGAGACTCCAGATCTTGATGTACGATTCTGAGAATCCACCGGCAAGGAGACTGGCATCCTTTGTTGCTGTAACACAGTTCAGACTAGAAGTTCACCATCACATCAGAACTCACAACATCAAAACATATCGTATATTCATGCTACTCTTATGCTACCTGTCGTGTGTATTGTGGAATGTATAGCAGCATATGCTAGGTAGTGATGTACTCCCAAGAGTGATACGCTTGCCGAGATCCTTTAATGAGTCGATCTCTGCCTGAATATCAGTTCCTCGACTATACCGTAAATACATACACAAATAAGCACAAAACAAACCAAAAAAAAAATCAAGACTAAAACAAAAAAAAATACACAGAATATTTCGTTCTCGGACTTACTATGGTGGAACAGGAATGTCTCCAAAAGCAGGTCCGTCTGTCATAGATTCTTGTTTTACCCGTTTGAATGTTTCTAACAACGAAGGTACAGGATCTCCATTGGTAATCTACAATGTCAATAGGCCACATAAGCTTATTATTGCTTAACTAACATGAATAATTACATTCTCTCCATTTTCGTCCTTTCTCGCACTGTCCCTCTCTTTTAACGCTTGTTCGATTTCTTCCTTAAATGATGGGTCCATCTGCGGTTGTCCAAGTTGAATGCTTTGGTGATTGAATGCCTCAATCTGTTGCGAGTCGTGCCCAGTAATGCCAATAACATCGTCCATTTCCAATCCGCCCGCGGATTTCAAGAGTTTGCCATGAACCACTAGAGTTTGGTGAGTACGCTAAGTTTTTTTTCTTAATATATATATATATATATATATATGCTAGCTAAGATTACCTTGAATATTCAAATATTGGTTCACAATGCGAAGCAACAGCATAAACTTGTTGTCCTGAAGATAATTCAAGAATAGCTCGAATGGAACACTAGACATACGCAGATTATACTTGTTGTTTCTGTACATCTGTGCTAATTCATTCTCTCGAACATGTTGTGGATCTGTAATGGTCGCAAGTCTATTCAAATCGGGAGTGTGTAGCTCTACATGATCGTCTTTATAGGTTTCCATAAAATATTTGGCTATTGAACGGTTATAATAGTAACGAATAAAAAAATTAATATATATATATATATTAATCAACATTCACATATTTCTTACCTTGCTCAGGAAGATTCTTACTGACCAGATCAAGATGAGCATGAACAAAAATAGGGAAGAGAACGGATCGTAATTCAGGCTAGTAGTCAAAATTGTATAAGAAATCTACTCAATCGCGCACTCGAGATCACTGCACCTTGTACCAATCCAGGGAATTTTCAATCCATTCTCGTAAGCTCTTGTAGCTCACATTGTAAGCATCTGGATCGCCCTGTTCAGCATCCTTATACTTCAGTACATGGCTCGGTACAGACTTTGTGTCAGCTGGAGGAGTGAATTCTTGGGACATTTCCTCAAGACTTTGGGTGTTTCCGCCCGATTCGCGCAAAAAAATAGCTTCTGTTGCTTTGTATCCTTTCTTTTGGAGGTAAGAAGCGACGATCTTATCGAGGTCAGCCTGCGATGGCAGATTAGCAAGTGAAGCGGCAGCTGCTTGCTGTTGTACATTGCTACTCTGCTGTTGCTGCTGTTGTTGCTGCTGCTGTTGCTGTTGCTGTTGCTGCTGGTGATGGTGCTGTTGCTGTTGCTGGTGTTGTTGTTGCTGTTGCTGTTGGTGATGCTGTTGTTGCTGGTGCTGCTGCTGCTGAATGAGCTCAGGGACGGTTCCAGAAGGACCCACTGCAGGCGTAATCTGTTGTTGCGCAGGTGAGTTAGACATGTCAAGCTGGGCGCATACACCAGAAGAGCCGCCTTTCCACGAGTAATGTCGCGTGTTGATCAATACTATTTGCACCTCTTCCCGGCGGACGTCATTCGGAGAGTGACGTATAGTTCCGGTGCATTGGGAATACTTTTTTCACTAATTATTCGCAAATTGTAAAAAAAAAAAAAAAGTATTTTTTTATTGTATTTTTTCAAATCAATACATATTCTCGTTAAGATGATCCAATCATATTACCTCAAATAAATTGTAACTTTCGCATAAAATAGTACAACCAGTGATATAAACCTTTTTTTATAAATACTTATAGTTCCTGCTATGTGTTTACATAAAGAGTAAATATGGAGGATGTGTTGAGAACGTAGGGTGATATGGAATAATATGTATCTGAGTGCTTTGATATCCGGTCTAGCTGAGTTTTATGGAAGTCGAGATTAAATATTATTTCAGTCAATGCTTCCTCACGCTTTTTGGATTCCTGGTCAGATATAAATTAGTACAACAATACTTCAAAAAGAAAGAAAGAAAGACAATACAATCCAACTCGAGTCTTTCGTCAAGTACATTGTAATTTGAATAAGAGAATATTATTAAAAATCTATAAAATTCAGAGAAAGTATAGACGCAATTTCTATCAGTTATCTGTTCTCAAGCAAACCTTTCAGCATAATTTTATTGAAAAACTTTTCTTCAGTAACTGTAAAAACTATATATATATAACTGCACAGATAAAATATACTTTGAAAAGAAAAGAAAAACATCGTTGCTTCCCCAGAAGCACATCTTTCTTTTGAGCACATCTTATTCTCTTTCCTTTTGTAAAACTCTTTTCTTTCTTACGACTAAATAGCTAATGTCATAAAGAAATTAAATAGCTTGATGTTTGTCTTCTGGAAGAGACATGAGTTACCAGGGTGTGAGGGCATATGCATTATTCAGCTCTATAAAGCCTGTAACACCCAAGCTGCTATTACAAGCCTCATGGGCGTCTTTCTGCTATTAATAAACATAGCCATCAAACGTCGAGAAGAGATTTGTACTGTAAAGCCAAAGACCAAACCTTGGAGGCCAGAGAAGCTTAGTGTTATAGATTTGAAAAGTCTTTGTTTGAGCGTGAGACGTAATTCTTTCGAAAGTTATGCATATATGCCATCAAAGGAATTTACCGACGGCGGCTGGTGTCATCATCTGTAGACCAAGGCACACATATTAGCTGTTAGCTCAAGAGAGAAAAAGATATATAAATAATCCCCAAGATCTCAAAGATTGTATTCTTCAAAAATTGGAGAGTCTTGACCCGGAAGTTCTCCATACTCTTGTAGCAAGTATACTTAATAGAGTCCAAGTGGTAATCAAGGCTCGTGATGGTCACGCCATATATCAGTCTTTATTTTTTCCTTTCTTTTATAATATATATATATATCTTTATTCATAAGAAACGGAGTTCCATCTTATTCAGTTAAGATTTTTGGAAAATATAACATCAAGAAGTTGGCCTGTAGTTTATTGGGAATAGGAAATCAAAAAATCTGACGCTCACTTCTCTGGCGGGAATGTAGAAAGAACGAAGCTTTCAATCAGCTTTTAAGCAGAGGTACGAAACATACTGTCTTTCTCTACTGCCTTTGATGTTAATCATCCAATTTCCTGAACTAAATTAATAAAACGGACAACATGGCCCTCTCAATATTCCTCGTATGTCCGAGGTGTTATGGTGGAAACTTCATTCAACTTTAAAAATACTGCTTACTACTTCTTACATTGTTACTGGTCGTATCTCATCCTCAACAGCAGTATTGAAGTTTCCAAGCATTCCAACATTATCACAATAGTCCCAGTATAAGAAAGACTCTTCAGTAGGGTTGTAGTGAATAAAACCAACTTGATTTTAGGATATAAAAAAGAAATTGTAATAAATCGCTCGCTTGTCTAAAAATAAATACGTTGGTCCAGAAATAATTTTGGTTGGTTTAAAAAAAAATGCAAATTCGTTTCAATTTCAAGTTAAAAAAACTTGAACGTCAAAAAAGAAGAAGAAAAAAAAAGAAGTCCGAACCGAAATTTGTCGCACTAGTCGGTCTTGTAAATGATGAATGAACCATTACAGACGATGGCAGACATTGAATAGAACCCTCCTTTTTCTGCACCTTGCAAGTTCAAGATGGTGAGTGAAAGAGAGCATATGCTTTGATAGAACGATTTGGAAGATGGATGCTATTAGCAGAAACGTCGAGAGAATAGATGGATTCGACATTTGATCAACCACCATGACGACATTTGCGATGATCGATGAGCATCATTGGCTAATCAGCATTACCCCTCATTCGTAGCCTACCAGACTCCACCACAACAGAAAGAAGCGCGGACACGTCTCGGCCGGTCACGGTCGCGTTGGCAAGCACAGAAAGCATCCTGGTGGTCGTGGTCTTGCTGGTGGTCAGCACCATCATCGTATCAACATGGATAAGTACCATCCTGGTTACTTCGGTAAGGTCGGTATGCGTCACTTCCACTTGAAGCAGAACCAGTACTGGCGTCCTATTGTCAACCTCGACTCTCTCTGGTCTTTGGCTGGTGAAGGTGTCCGTGAGAAGTACAAGAACACCGAGAAGGTTCCCGTTATTGATGCTCTCCAGCACGGTTACGGCAAGGTCCTTGCCAAGGGTGATATTTCCCAGGCTGCCATTGTCCGCACTCGCTTTGTATCCCGTCGCGCTGAGGAGAAGATTAAGGCTGCTGGTGGTGTTGTTGAACTCATTGCATAAATTTTGTTTTTTTTTTGAACGAATGAAAATATCAATAATAAATGGCATTGTTGTGTAAATGACAGCCTAATGTACAGAGAGATTGATCTAGTTTAAGAATTTACAGATGGGAAGCTTATAGGTATCAAGTACCCAATATCTATGTAAAGAAAAAGTCAATTAGTAAATAAGTATATATATATATATATCTTCTTGATTAACTTGCCTTTGACGCACACCATCCCAAACACCCTTTTCATCGGCAGTTGCGATTGACATCTCCACATACTCGGTGCTCAAGCCAAATTCACGAAGATCAATTTCAGACACACGGCAGTAAACATCGTGGAAAAACTGGTTGGTTGCTCCAAGTCCATTAAACCAAGTGTACACACCATCTGTGTTCAGAATATTTGGCACTGCATCATGGAATGCTCGCAAATCGTCGTAGAACTCTATTTTTAAAAAAGTTAATATTTACACTCTCTTGCCGGATATAACAATTACCTCCATAAGTGTCAAAAAAGATACCATCAAACGAATGAGTGAGTGTAGGTACCATATCCTGCCAACGTCCAAAGAGAATAGTAACACCTTCCTTCTTATCCCAACCAAGTTCCTTCATGTGAGCATACACATCTGGGTGAGCTTCGATAATGTAATGATGAGCAGGCTTGTACTTCTGGAGCTCAGTATCAATAAGGCCAAGACCGAATCCAACATTGAGAACAGATAAACCTTCACGAGGGCACATGACCTTAGCATGCTCCACCATAAGAGGTCCTTCCCAACCCATCATAACTGCATCGTCATTCTCGTCCAGCAACTTGTTATCGTCATAGTGCAATTTTTGGTGAAGGTACTCATCGTTGGGTGCTTCATCATCGTCTGTCTGGAAAGCGGCCTTAAGAGCACGGATAACAAGTTCCGCACGGGTACCTTCATCTACTAGACGTTCATACACTTCAAGGTGTTTGTTCTTCAAGGCTAGTTCACCGGCAGTTACTTCAGCATTATCGACAAGGTTGTAAGGATGTCTTTCACTCAATAGCCAGTTTACAACTGCGAGGTGACCATTCTCGGCAGCAAAGTGAAGAGGAGTACGGCCTTGTTCATCGCGGAAGCACAAGTCTGCGCCATCTTCTACCAAAGCCTTCGCTTTATCCTAATAGACATAAAGTATTTATTATTTTGTATTTTTGATGATAGTAATAGTAATAGTAATAAAAGAGGTAGAGCTAAAGATAGAAAGAGGTCATTTGTTGTAGACTTACCAGGTCACCAGCAATGACAGCCTTAATGAGGGCATGGCCTTTTTCTAAATCCTCAGCCGAATAACTGTCTTCTTCATCTGAAACAACTTGGGTCTCATCTACATTTTCTACGGCAACATCCTCTTCTGCGCGAAGCTTCTTCTGAGCAGGTTCCTCATGAATGTTTTCCATGGTGTTGGTGTTTGACAGGTGAGTAGATGCTTTTTTTTTTGACAGAAAAAATACAATTAAAATGTGACTTGCTTTGCTGGAGACCTGTTCACAAAATGCATTTGGGTGTTTTACGACCCTCAGGTCAGATGGAGATTAAAATATTATTTTAACTTTACCATGGTCATCTTTGATGTCACTCCAATTATCCAAGGTAAATCACAAACTTAATAAGTCTTGTATTCTGAATGCACAATGTAGATGCGAATCAGTTAAATGAAGCTATCTTGGGAAAGTCCCATAGAGAATTACAGCAAACACTGGATTCTTTTGTAGTACATTTTGATGTAAGTAATTCAATTGTCATTACATAATTTTGACTAACATAAGAAATAAATAAAACAAAAGACATTCGATAAAATTGACGATTCATCAGAAAAAACTGCCTCGAATACATTTGTTGGACCAGACACATTAGCATCTAATTATGTTCAATTGACAGGATGTCATCAAAGATTAGAAAAATCTCTGCAAAATACAACTTCCTGGGATGCTACAGTTGATGCAGGTGTGTATAACATGTACAAAGAAACTTTTCAAGCCTTGGGCATACATGAGCATGTACAAATATACATATCTTAATAGCAACAAGAACAAATGCTGCTATGGATGAATTGCAGTCAGCAGTTATGAAGATGGAAAAATCAGGAACTGAACGGGTACAACTGTTGGAACGTGAAAAGGCGCTGTTTATGGCGGAAGTAGAGGAGCGGCGGGCGCAAGTTGCCCAGGAATTCAGACGCAAACAAGACCAGTTAGAAGAGTTATACGCAAACAAAACGCGAGAAGTGATATATCACAACTTGGTTGGAAACAATCACCAATGGGCACAATAAAAATAAATAAATGAGAGAATAATGCTCTCACAAGATATATCAAGCCACACCCACACCCCCCTTTTTTTTGGGCCTATATAGAAGTATTGGATATTTGTGTGACGCATGAAGGGGGATGCAGGATGACTGAGAAACGTAGAAAATAAGCGTCACCACCCTTCTGCTTGTCATGTCCAAGGCCTATACATGGGATCAGATTCGCGGCCAGGTCAGATCATTCAGAGCAGCGACCCAGGCCAATCTTTCTCCACAAGCACTCGCGACTGTCAAAGACTTTTACCTCGATGACTCCCGTCAAAGTCTCACATTCCTTGCGAATCAACGCTCATCCGAATCATGTCTCTCTCGGAACATGATGTTGTATCAATTAACTCTTCGGCATCATGTCACAACGCACAGCAAAGGTATATACGCACCGAGTATGATGCCTGACTAAAGTTACCCTGTAGACTGTAGAACTGCATCCACTTCCAAAGAGCACGCCTATCTACATCGTTTATCTCGGCTACCTCACATACCGTGGAATCCTATAATAACAGAGTATATTGATCCTTGCGATCACAGCCCTACACCCAATCGTCATCCTATACAAGGAATTACTTCGTTTGAATATATCCATGACAAGGCAATGTTTGTATTTACAGGGGCAATTTACGTGAGCCAAAGAGGAGAGGTAAAAATATAACCCGTGGATCAAAGGGATAAGATTTTTGGTTTTTTTTAGTGACCCAAAATCTCTTTATTAGACACCCGAATCTTTGCCATTTAAGCCCAGTAACTCTGTAAATACTTCAAGACCATGCTGTAATTCACCAGAATCGCCACAGAACAGCCCAACAGATGATATCCTTAATTTAACATCGCCCAAACAAGTAGGCCACAAATCTGCCAATCAACCTATACGCGCTGATCCAAAGCTTGGAGGATTTGATGGAAATTTTATTGCTTTTATTCGAGACAATGACATCTGGGTTACTGATTTGGAAGGAAAGGAGACACAACTCACATTCTGCTCTCTGAATGCTAAACATGCCTCTATGAGCTGTGGTGTGGCAGAATATGTGATGCAAGTAAGTAAAAAATTGTGTATTGAGTATATTAGAAGTTAAAATATTCAATACATGCATTATTAGGAAGAATTTCGTCGTTTCACAGGATATTATTGGGGACCTTGCGACGAAAATATTAACCAGATACTCTACCTTGAGACATCTGAAGATAATGTTGACATTATCATGATAACTACCCCTTGTACACCAATGAATATGTACCCCACAGATTCAGGACCGTTTCATTATCCTCGCGCAGGAAGACCAAATGCTTCGAGTGTTATGCATATAGTGACCTTTGATTCTCAGGCTAAGAAAGTTGTGAGAAAGCGACTTTGGGACACATCAATAGAAACTCTTTTTCCGTGGACCGAGTATATTGTACGTTTTGGCTGGTTACCAGACATGAAGAGGTATGTAATTTCTTTTATTAAATTGTTTATTAATACTAATATGATAATCAGTGTTTGGGCACAGCTCCTCTCTAGAGACCAGAAGAAAACTGAGGTTGTCCGTATTCCAATATCCCTTTTTCTCAGCCCACAAGAGTACGAGCTTCAAAAAATTTCTTCAACCCAATCTCGTGCGCAAATTGAGGTTCTTTGGGAAGAGACGACGGATGTGTGGATCAATATTTCGGACGCCTACTATTTCTTAGATTCTTCTGATCCAAATTCTACTCAATTTATCTGGAGCTCGGAAAAATCAGGCTATCGACATCTTTACCTTGTTACCAAGAATATTGACGAGCCCAAACCCTCTGTTACACAGCTGACAGACGGCGAATGGTGTGTAATAGATAAACCACTGTTTGTGGATGAGTCCAGGAGACTTGTTTACTTTATGGCAAAGAAAGATGGCCCACTAGAGAGTCATCTTTATGTGACTTGCTATGCACACGACTTACCTGTTCCAGCAACCCGACTTACTGAACTTGGCTTCAGTCACAACGTCACCGTATTCCCCTCAAGTGGAATATTTGTTGACTGTTTCTCGAGCTTAGAGTGCCATCAAGTCATAATATTATGTTATCTGAGCTTTGAAACCTTTAACGGGCTTCCTGTTGTTTCAAATGATAACACGGTTCGATTAACATCACTTCCTACCATGAAAAAAAACCCAGAGCACACTTTCACCTGTCACTTCAGTAAATCACATATTCCCGCATTTAGCCTTGAGCCGTTTCCGGCTATGGAGATGCCAAAAGGCATAATGTTTGACTTTCTATCGCACGATGGTAATACTATTCAAAGATATATTAATATTATAAATACTAGAAGCTATATTATGCATAAAAATATATCTTAATATATTTATAAACTTACATTATATGCTGTAGGAATCAAGCTTTATGGCTGCTTGTATAAGCCCTTCCACTACACTGCTGGCACTAGCTTCCGCACAGTTCTTCATGTATACGGTGGTCCCAAGAGTCAGATGGTTACAAATGACTTTCGCTTCCCTCGTCTTCTTCGGTACCTGATGTCGGTTTACTTTGGATTTGCAGTCGTAATAATAGATGGCCGAGGATCTTGTGACCGAGGTCTGGCTTTTGAGGCTGGTATCAAGAACCATTTGGGATCGGTAGAATTAAGAGATCAGATTGATGGATTAAACCACCTCGTTAATACTAAGTTTGGCGCAGAACCAACGGCTGATGGTAGTACAATTAGTGTGATTGATATTTCGAGGATTGCTATTACAGGATGGTCTTATGGTGGTTACTTGAGTCTCATGGGTCTTGCAAAATATTCGGATATATTCAAGCTAGCAATCGCAGGTGCGCCTGTAACTCAATGGGAGCTGTATGATTCAGCGTATACAGAACGATATATTGGGCTACCTTCCGAAAATCCTTCGGCCTATGATCTGGGTAGCATTCTTAACAAAGTAGAAAGGTTTCCAGATTGGTAAGTTAACTAGGCCCACAAGCATATACAAGAGAATATTGTTAACAATTTAGCTTTGCATGGAATTTTTAGCGAGAATAGATTATTAATAGCCCATGGATTGATTGATGAGAATGTTCATTTCCGACACACCGAATCTTTGGTTTCTTTGCTTGTAAAGTTTAATAAGCCGCACTATCTACAAGTATATCCTACGGAGAAACACGGGCTACGACATGCTAGTGTTAATGAGCATTTTGAAACTCTTATGTTCTACTGGCTAATGAATTACTTGTAGAATGCACATAATTTAGTTAGAATGATTTCATGTAAGACACAAATACTGGGAGCGTATATTATCATTATTTTACTTAAAGCCCCAAAATATTGGTGTTCCAAACAGTAAACATTGGGTAACGTAGTTCCTATCTTAGCGTGAAAATAAAACAAAGTATAGCATGATATATTATTAAAAAAAAGAAATATATATCAAGGTTTAAAGTTAGATCTTTAGTAGTACTTGCTGCTAAGCTCTAAGGGTTAATCTAACAGCAGAGGCGACAGTCATAAAACCGATAAAATATATATAGCCAAAGAGTTCAGAAGACAAGAAATAATCAATATAATCGGGTGTATAGCAAAGTAATGCTATAACACTTGGATCTAGTCAACAGATACAAATGGACCAAAAGAAGTGATGTAAATAAGAGAAACATTACAAGTATTATGTCTATAGCTATCGCATATACTATTTGACAAATTAGCTGGGATTAAGTCCAAGTACAATTATTGAAACAGTAGCATAAAGATTGAATAATATATATATCAAACAATACAGTTTATTATTATTGTTTTCTACAATATATGTTTGAATTTTTGTATAAGATAATGTGTTAGTACTATAGTGAGTTAGATGAGTAAATAAAACAATATACTGAAATAAGTGAGGGTGTATCCTACGCAAGTAGCAAAAAAAAACTTCTGAAAAGAGTAGCATACTTCTTTACGATACATTGTCATTAAATGGAGCCAAAAAAAAACGCTCATAATTTTATTACTGATAGCTTGGTAAGCAATAGTTACTTCCTTTTGTTCTTCTATTAGCATGTTTTTGAGCTGAAAGATATAATTTTCAGGTTTTCGTATTTTTTTATGTATTAAGAGTACCGAAACTGTAATATAGCTCTAAAATATACATAATAAGTAGAAATGTATATACTTCAATTATGTCGAATGCTTTTATATTTATCTCAAATAAAGAACATTTAAAAAAAAGCTATTACTAATAAAATAAAAGAAGTAAGACCATTTACAGTGATAAGTTTTAAATTCGACTTTACACTCACTGTAAAGCTGTCAATGCTGGATTTCTTATTGCTCTTTTGGTATTTAATATAGAAAACAAATGTTTAGTAGAGTGGCAATAAAAATAAATATAAAAAATACCGTTGAAAAAAGACCACATCAGGAAACTTAGATTTATGAACACTTTCTTATTATGTAACCAAAATTTCATGATTTATTTATTTATTTCTGGCTTTATTACATCTATTCGATGTAAACATCAAATTTAGATACTATAGATGCTATTAGACACCCAAATAAAGGTTGGTCACTTTTGGCTTTGCCTCTATTATATTCGTACCTGCACACCTCTTCGATTTATTGGATTTTTGGTATACACACCATAATTGATTGAAGAACAGATTCCGCAACCAGGCACTGGTTCTTTATTGCTAATGAACCTGGCAAGCTAACAATACCCAAAACTGTTATATACCGTGCACACGTACATTGTACAATCATATATTATAAACCAGTCATTACACAACAGGGATTTGAAATTTTAATAGTTACATATATAAACAATATTATTCTTGTATCTGTAATAAATAAAACTCTCACATTATCTACTTTCTCAATATTGATATACTGGCCCAATAACAATCCCGAATACCTCAATAATAATGTACATAAGATTTCAAAAATAAGCGAAATATTATCAAATACAAATTCTAAAGTATATTATAAAAAGAAGTACCTCTAAGAAGACGTACAAATGCATGCCCTATGTCACTTTACTCTGATCTGTCATTTTTTACGCTTAAATATCTTTGAAAGTTTCTAGATAACTTAGTACATGAATTATATATTAAAATGAGATATAAAATATAAGCCTACTTAATTCTTTGGATAAAATTAAAATCATACAACCATTTAAAATATACCGCCAATCTTTTCTTTTTATCCTTCAAGCTAGTACTCGAACTCTTAATTTTCTTATTATTATATCACTATGCCATGCTATCTTTTAGAGACATTTCGCCTTTTAAAAACAATACAATGTATATTATAGATATACAATGCAGAGAAGGAAGTTAAGTCCGTATTAGGAAAATAAACAAACGGAAAATTATATCTGTATATATACGTGTGTGTATACATACATTTTACCAACTTAATAAATCTAGTCTTTTTGTCTTTATTTATTTCTTTAACTTTTAAGGGATTGTTAAATCACTTTTGGTTTTTAGGAATAAGAAACATTAAGACAAAAATTGTACAAGGTAGAGAGAAAGAAAAAAAACGGATAAATTAGTTTGGGCTTTCGACTATCAAACGAAATTTTGCTAATATTTTCATAGAGCATTGGTCTGTCGATTAAAAAAAAACCTAGATATATGTTTTATGAACGCACCGTTTTCTTAAAAAAAAGTTGATAAAATTCTTTATCAAAAATCTTACTTTGAACTTAAGGATCCTTTTCTTGCCTAGGATTTTTTTATTTGCTTTATGTTCACGAGTTCAAGGCACTATATGTACCAGAAACAACTATAGATCTTCTATCAAATAATGGTATTTTGTTTTGTAACAACCCGCAAATCATCTTAATATTCAGATTTTTGGGAGATTGTTTAATATCCCATAATTTATTTGACCAGCTTTTTCTTTTATTGCTACTGGTCGCTTTTAAAAAGAAAAACGAAATGTGTCGAGTGTATATAAATCTTTTTCTGTGATCTAATCGCAAAAAACTATAATATCAGTTATTGTCTCATAGTTCACGTCTTATATTTCACTTATTTCATTTCCAATCATTATCTATTCAAAATAAGATATTGCTTTATGAATGTAGAAACTATATATAGAATCCAGCTGAATACCCCTATCGTTAGGATGGCAATCAAAGCGCTGCTAAGTTTGATTGTAAAGCATTGAAGAATGGTCAAACTCCTTAACATTAATAATATTTTGAATGTGTTTCAATGTGAATGCAAAGAGGAAGGTATTATCATTGTATATTTTTTTTTAGATATCGAAAACCAAAAGAAAAGAAGACTATGTCGACGTAAGCTTTAATATCCTAATACTCGGTTAAGATATCTACAAGATTTCTCTTTGAGAGATATTGCACTGGCACGCTGCCAACGATATGGTTTGTCTCCGTAATTGATCCGAGACTTTGCCGCACCATGCTCATAAGGCATGAAAGGTCTAAATCCACTATTCCTATCGAGGTGTACGACAACTAGATAATATATCAGTAACATTCACGCATTTATCGATTATTAAAATAATAGATTATTTACGAGTTGATTCTCCATTAACGATAATTCCAACGCGCTCCGTCTCTTCGATGTAAAACATTCCAATTACATCACCGTCTTGAATGTTTAAAGTAAAAGGCATTGTGCGTGCGAAGCGACCTTGGCATACAATAGCTTGTTGAGTTGCTGAATGATACTTGAGGCGGACTTGAATAGGTGATAAACTTCTGAATCCGATTGTGACAACACTATGACCTGCCCATGCTTCCATAATCTCTTCATCCGAGTTACTCTGTCCCTCCAGGGAACAATCCATAAAGTCTTCCTCACTCTGACAGAAAACAAGCGCGATCTCAAAATATAGACTGGGAAGAGTTCTTAAGTCTTCTTCGCACGGCTGTTGAGAGAACAGTCGAAAACTCGGTTTAGGCAAAATAAATACTCTTCGAGTGAAACGCTCGTTTGTATAATTTTCTGATGTAGAAGTATTCCAAAAGTCTAGCCCGTCAATAGGTCTAAGGTTGGGCTCGACATTTCCTTCATCAGTGAGCTCTGTAAAGGTATTTATATCAGATCTAGACATCCCTATATCCGACAAGTAATTAGCGCATGAATCGGTATAAATGCGAGCGTTTATCTGAGGTGGTGGGAGCTCCATGTAAGTCGAACCGGAAGCTTGAGCCAACACAGAGATTGTTTTGTATCCCTCAGGTATATATCTATTTTTATGGTTAGAAAAGCTTATAAAAAAGAATGGCTGTTTACTTTATCCGATCCAAAGGGCCACCAAACTTAAAACTAAGAGATTGTCCGGTAGATAAAGATGCAGCCTAATGGAGAAACATGTTGCAAAAGACGGAAGGATAAGACAACGGATAAGATGTGTGTGTATAGAATTTTAAGTAGAGAGACATACTGGATACCAAGATTGATTTGTATCTAATTCAGTAAAGGCAACACCCATATCAACCCCGTTTCGGTAATACCGTAATTCTCCAAGATGTAAATCAATAGCACATGTAATAACGTCTTTAGCTGCCCATGTCTGTCCATAAGCAGTGCGCTGAGAGAATACAAATAATTAGTCTAAAGCTTCATTCCGTATCAAATAGTATATCTTCTCTTACATATGCCGAGCTTCTTCCGTGCCATTTCTTAGCGCGGCAGCCGTCGTATCCATATGAAAAATCATCATCACCCACACCAGTTCCCCCTTCAGGATCCATTTCAAACGCATCAGAAACCCACCCAACTTGCATAAGTCCATCTGTATCCAAAACAACTTCGAAACAATAACGTTCCGCTAAGCTGTTCGGTACATCAGATATAATTGGTGTGCATTCTGTACAACGAATGGTTTCAAAGGTCCATGCTTCATTACGTACACTCAGTTTACAGCTTGGGTTTACTAAGCAGAACGGTGTGCGTGTGTTCATGTCAATTTCGGCAAACCCAATGGTATGTGTGCTTCTGTCATGCGACCGAGTAGCGTGTGCTCCGTAGGCCATGACCAGATGAGCATAAGAAATAAACGATCGTTTGTGATTCAACGAGAACAACATATGCTTCCAAAACACAACCATCAAGGTTTGTAATGAGATTGTTGATATTGATAATGTGTAGTAATCTAAATGAGCCAACGGCATTCAACAAATTGAAACTTGTTACACTACAAGAAATTGATCTTCTCACCAAAATAGTAATAATGACACTTACCAGAGTTCACTAAAACACCAATACATGCTAGTATATGATCAGAAAGGGAGCGGGAACTTTCAAACAGATACAGTAAGACTTCAACAATATTCATCTCTTGCACCAAGTAAATCCGAGCAGAATCTAAACACAGAGTATATTATTGTGTTAGAATTTCAATTTTATTGATATAATACGTTACCGAAACGAAGGAGAGATTTGATAGTCATAAGTGAACGTGTAGTGAGGCCTGTATAAATCTTGGTAGCCTGAGACTCGCCAAAAGAAGGAGAGTGGTGTCGATAGTTCCCTTTCTTGCGTTTATATTTTTGCCCCGGCATCATATCCATATTATCTTCACTATCTTCAGATGAGCTATCCAAAGAATGTTTGTGAAATGAAGCACTTGTGGTAGCAGGAGTAATAGCAGTGAGTTTCTGATCTATTCGCATTGAATCTCGTATCCACACCAGCAATTCACGGTAGGATTCTTTTGCTATGGCTTCGTCAATCTTATCTGCATCCAAGCTAGGTCCATGTCGAAGAGCCCATATTTCAAGAACTGGGTAAAGAGCCATAAAGACTAAAACTTTTACAAACTCGCACATGGAATCTGATAACAGGCCTTCAATACGTGTCTCGTGTTCACGAGGATGTTTTCGTACTGTATTTCGTACATTATCTATGTGTTTTTCGCCAATCTGACGTACAAGTTGATCATTCTCCAGCATGATTTTTAATGCACTCAATGCGCCACTAATTCTTCGGCGGGCACCAAGAGATAGCTCGGCAGACTTTAAGTAATCTCTTCCCTGAGAAGAGGTACCTTCATACAAAAATTCATCGTTTATCATAGAGCTCTCCGAGTGTCCATTATTAGAGCGATCTACAGGTGTATTACTGGAGTCTTCGAGTACACCCTCTAAGCGATCCTCAAAGTTATTCGTGTTCTGGAGCATTTCTTCGAGACGTGAGGCATTGGTTATGGTTCCAGATGAATTGACATTGATATAGTCCGGCTCAAAAATCCCATAGGATTCTGCTGGTAGCTGATCTTGGTTTGTATGATAGTCAAGAGCCGTTAAAATAAATACACCTTTTTTAGCTTCTTGGATAAGCGCTTGCATCATAACTGTTGGAAGTATTGACTGGGCAATACTAGTTGTGGTTTTTATGAGTGATTCAAGGACCTTTAGTCCGACTCGTGTACTGATTTCTGGATCATCCGAATCTAATAAAAGAAAACGTTGGTAAAGGTAATAGACATTTAAAAATAATATTGTTTACATTTGATGGCAAGCATTACAATTGCTTTCGCACATGTTAGTTGAACACGCTCAAAGTTTGAAGTTACACAAACAGACATGATGTTATCAAAGCAGACTTCCAGTACCTTATCAGCAAAGCTCTCTACAATATTGGATAAGTATATGCATCACAGAACTTCAATATTACCTACTTTTAAGAGAAGCAATGTTGAATATGGCTCCCACCGCATTTTGTTGCACTTCACGCTCTTCCCACATCAATAGAGAGTTTAATGTGGTGACAATAGAGTCTATATGAGGAGCCATACCGTCCGTATTAGTGGCTAAAATCAATTTTTTTGACAAGCACTTATATTAGTATATATATCTGTATTAGCATAAAGTTGTTTGCAGTAATTACTTACGCATACAGCATATTAAAGATAATATGTCTGAGACAAATATGGCAACATGAACCTTTCGTGAAACACCCAATTGTAGTAATATTTCGATTTCTGGTGCACCAAGAATCCCACTATGCGATTCCACTGAATATGTGTTTAAATTAAAAGTTAACATATAATGGAAGTTTATAATATATAAATATAAACCTGCCTTGACCAGAAACTGTGTGGATACATAGTATAGCCCAATACCGAACATCATCATCGTTCAATGTCAGGCAATGCATTATCTTCTTGACCATACCAGTGTGTATCATTTCTTGTTTGAACTTGTCTAGAAAAATAAAGTTTAGAACTTATTATTCATTAATTGTATTCGCTTTCTATTACCTTGACCGTATGCCATGAATTTAACTGTACGTAAAACAATACGAGATATATACATCTCTTCAGCAGACAATAAACTGGCCAAGATATTATGAACGCCTTTAATGTTGCGAAATTCGTCGGCTGCTATATCTGATCTCCTCAGAATATTTACATTGGTAGTAAGCATCTGTGCATATTTGGACATTTTGCTTAATATGGTAGTTTTTTACCCTTTAATACAAATTCGTGCATGAGGCCCGATGCCCAGTAGATCAACTCAACATCTTCTACCAAATGGAAATATCGTGCAACCAAAAATGTTAATAAAAAAACCACGAAGAGGAGTCTACAACTCAGATTACTTTTTTTTTTAGAAAAATATGGTCTTACCACCACGAAGACAAATGGAAATAAGGTCCACAATATGGTAATCGAGTAACTCAATCAAAATGCTCTTGGATTCTATAGATTTTAATAAATTGCCATATTAAGCATTAATTTATTCTTATTTTGGACTTGGTTATATTACCTGTTGAATTTACATTGGCTAAAATTCGTACCAGACTCTGCATACAGAACTTTGGCATATTGGTGTTGCCATAGGTCATACGTGCCATTTTGGCTATAAGACCGATGAATCCACTACGAATAAGAACTTTTGGAAAAGGATCTAAAATCATTGTTTGGTAAACAAGCACACTGGATATCGAGTATGAAGAACCGCTTTACCACTCAAAGAAATCTGATAGAGAATCATCAAGGTCCAATACTTCAGCTCGTTGTTACGGATATCGGTAGATGTCAATATTGTTTTGACCGGGTCAAGAACACCCAAGTCAATAATAGCATATTTGTTGGCATCTATACATTATCGGTTAAAGTCTTAGATTATTCAAACTTATTAGGAATCCTACCGTTGCCCTGGATGAGATCACATATGGCTACTGCTACGTATCGCTTTGTGGTTTCTTTCATGTCTGGCTCAGTACATCTAAGAGCTTCGACAAGTACATCAAGAGCACCTGCTGCCAAGAGCCCTGGCTTGTTTCTCTCTAATACAATGGTTTTTATTACACATGCGTGGACAGATATTCAGGATTGGAGCTGTAGTATTAAGCAATAGCTTTTGTTCTCTGTCTTACCGCGGCGTGTAAGTAGTTGAAGTGTAGTAAGTGCATTTGATCGGTCCTCTACAGGCTGATCATTACGACAAGCACTGATAATAATAGGAAGATAGGCATCTAATAGCCATGTTTTTCTTCTTTGTTATTTTATAATACTCTCTAGCATGTTCGTTTCTGCTTGTTTTGCTCGATTTACTGGCAACTTAATATCTACCTGACATGGCACGTTCAAGGATAATTTTTACTGCACTAAGTGTGGCAGTGTGAGCTTATATGTATACACACATATAGGATATGTATATATGTATATATGTATATATATATATATATAAAGGAAGTACTATAGAGTGATTTGTCTAATAAACCGAGATTTCCAACCTGCTTTTCACATTTACATCTCCGGACTGAGTCATGTAAGCGAGTGCCTTTAGCTGAATGGCTAACATACATTATATATGCATATACAAATATACAAAACGCAGACACACACATATACATATATATATATATATGTATGTATATATATAAATATGGGATAGAGACCGAAATAAATGGGATGAAGCATGTCGATTGCATCTTATTCTATCCTAATTTAACTCATTCTCTCTACATTTCTTTCTTTCTCTATTTTTTTACCATCCTCGAGTTTTTTTTTAGATTCCTGTTTTAATATATCCCGCTTTTTGCGTGGAAGGGTTGCATGCGATTCGGAATGGGATTTAAGGTGGGAGTAAACAGAGTATACCATGACAACTGCACTGAGACCTGTAACAAAATATAGCACAGGAATCAATGGCCGATCACCATGGAGAGGACGGTTTGAAGACATGAGGAATTGAAGGCTAAAATTTTGCAAATAAATAAAGAAATATTTATAGAAGAAATAATAAGAGAGAGAAAAGGTGAAATGAGGTGAAATAAAGGAACATCCTTTTTTTTAGAATTTTATTCTATTTTATTTTATTACTTTTTTTGGTCTCTACCATGCACGCTTTTGACGGACCATGAATGGCAAGTCACTAATACGTATATGAATGTATATACGTTTATACGTATATATGTATATGTATATACATTTGTGTGTATTTATGTGAATTTGTGCGTATATAAAATTACATGTTAAAATGATACTTATTTATTACAAAGGTGGGTTATTTGTACATTAATTTAACAAGAATAGAACAGGGATTATTGGATTTAAAGAAGTAAAGAAAGAGATAAAAAAGAAATAGGTCGAGAATGTAAAACGGAGAATAGCCATGTCAACTAGACCATTAGTAGTGGCGTCACTTCGTTTGTAGAAAAGGTGATGTCTCTTTTACAGATAGGGCACTATATTTAAACAAACAAATCATAATAAGACAAGGCTAGAAAATATAATCAACTTACAAATTTCTTTTGGGTTGTAAGCCAAGCATCGACACAAGATGCATGGAAGTGATGTCTACAAGGAAGGATCCGAAGTACTTCATCTGGGAGATAATCTTCAAGACAAATTGCACAGTCCTCGGCCTCATTTTCACATATCTTTTCTCGATTAAACAACTTGATCGGTAATCGAGCTACAACTTCAATTGGGGCCATATCTATGTAATGAGCCTTTCTTTGGCGTAGTCTATAGGATATATAAATAAATATCATAATAATGCTAGGAGAAACAAATAAGATCATAAGCATATCAAGTAGTGGCCTGTATTTAGAATAATAGAATAATTATAAGTTAGTTATTATTGTTATATCCATAGTAGTAGTAGTAGTAGTAGTAGTAGTAGTAATAGTTCTAAAAAGACTAATATATTAGATATTACCAAGTAATAATCTCGTCTAGTTGAAGAAGGACCATCATAGGTGTATCGACCATCCTGGATAAATACAAAAGAGCCCTGTATTCTTTTTGAGCAAGAAAGACACTTGGAATGACAACGTCGGATGTAATGCCTGGTGCGTACATGGTAATCCAGCCTGTTTGGTGGTTTGGGTCTCCAACGGCTACCGCAATTGCTCCACTCTTTTGCATATTCCGGACCTTTGTGATAAATGAACAACCTCCTCGTTGTAACAAAGCAACCCAGTCTGTGCACGGAGGTTCTACAACGATGCAGCCAGTCGGATCTTGACTTGGCTCGACCAAGAAGCCTAATTTTCCACTCTCCGACAAGCGGGGACCAAACGCAGCCATTCGGTCGGCATAGGTTGTATTGGTTGCCTACATATTGAATGAAATATTATTTTTTCTTGTCATAAAGGTCACCTAAAATTTAGCCTTAAATTACCACCACTCGAATAGCTTGAATTACTACAACATAAGATAAAGAGCCCAGACCAAACCACAATATACGCATTTGTGTACAAAGAGCTCAAGGATAGAAAACAAGTTAAAGAGAAAGAAAGAGCAACAATGGATACTAGAAAACCAAAATCGTAATGCATTTTGTCAAATAAAATGAATTTATTCAAGATACAACTGGTTTGTTGGGTAACTCTCCACCTTTTTATTTCTTAGTGGAGAAGTTTCTCCGATCTCTGATACCTTTGATTGGCGGTCCGATTTTAGGTGCGCTTTCCTTTCTTCTTCTTCATGGCCTCACCCGACAGTCCTTTTTATTGTGCGCTACGTCGTTCCAGCGAACCGCTCCAAATGCCCAATGGCCAACCCCTCAAGGCACACAGCCTAAGCATGTGGAAAAGTGCTGACAATCTATCAGCTATCCACGAACCTAGACGCGTCTCCCAATCAACAAAACCAATGCGTCGTCCATCCACCGCCATATCCCATCAATCTCTCCATATCCCCGAAGTCATCACTACTCACACGATTCACAAAGACTACGATCCCACAACTGGAAATAAGATGCTCAATCAATACATGATACTTAGAGAGATTGGTCGAGGTGTCCATGGCAAGGTCAAACTTGCCCAAGACATGGACACTCAAGATCTTGTTGTAAGCTTACACCATTGAAATGTTTTTTTTTCTTTCACTTTCTTTTTTTTTTTTTTAAAAAAAAAGGGGAAACTAAAACTGATGAAACCATCATCTTTACTACATTAGGCCATCAAGATTGTCGACAAACGCAGTCGACGACGACAACTAGGCTATAGCATGTTGAGAGGCAACAATGGCAATAACCAACAACCAATGTGGAACGATAAAAAATCAGATCTACCACAGTACAGAGAAAATGAGCAAAAGATCCGACGAGAGATTAGCATCCTTAAGAAATGTGCTCATCCTAATGTTGTTCAATTAAAGGAAGTAATTGACGATCCTCAGAGTAGGAAGATCTATATGGGTAAACTAAACTTTTGGCATTACTATTTTTATATTACAAAGCTGTTATAAATCTGTTTGCTTACAAACAAGAAATATCAATCTACGCTTGTATTATTAATAGCTCTTGAGTATACCGAAAAAGGAGAGATTGAATGGAGAGATGATCAAGACAGACCCATTCTACGTCTACCAGAAATCCGCAAGATATTTCGTGATGTAGTTAGTGGTCTTGATTATTGTGAGTATTTATATATATATATATACAAAAACAACCAAAAAAACACATCATATATATATATATTTACTTATTATTGACGGTGTTAATATAGTACATTATCAGGGGATTATTCATCGAGATATCAAACCAGCTAATCTTCTGCTTACAAGTGACCATGTTGCTAAGATAAGCGACTTTGGTGTATCATATTTCAACGAAGTCTTGGCGGGAGATGCTCCGGCATGTTCTGCAGAATGTCTTGCAAGAATTGATCGTGAATTAGCCGAAACTGCAGGCACACCTGCCTTCTTTGCACCTGAACTATGCTGTGCTGGTGAATCTGTGGTTGAACAACAGTTACAACAACAATCGCAACCATCACAGTCATTACAAAGTGAGACAAAGACGAGTCGACCGAGAATCACAAAGGCTATTGATGTGTGGGCCTTGGGGGTTACGCTTTATTGCTTTGTGTTTGGACAATGTCCGTTTATAGCATCGACTGAATTTGAGCTCTTCGACACAATCCCTACCGAGCCACTAACATTTCCCGACCCAAATAATATTGGATTTGAGATTCCTGATACTCTTAAGGACCTAATTCAGAGATTATTAGAGAAATCCCCCGAAGACCGTATCACACTTGAGCAAGTCAAGGTAAACAAGATAAAGAAAATTAAACTCGTTAAAATTCACGCATCGGGACAATTCAACTTATATTAGCGTAAATTTATGATAGCATCACCCATGGGTTATAGCTGATCTCAGAGACCCAAGTATATGGTGGGAAGAGGCTGACCCGAGACGATACAAACAGATACCGGCCCAGGAAGATGTCACACAGACAGTAACGATCATGGTGAGACACCTTTTATGGTGAAGTTGAAGAATACTAAACACGCTCTATAGGACCGAATTCGCAAATCACTCCACAAGCTCTCTTGCTCATTCACAAACCTTACTCACGGCCTCTCCCGTCGCTCTAAACCTACAACCACAACTACCCATATAAATAACAGCAGTCATCATCAAATTAACAATAGTAGCCATATAACCGAGCCATCGAAATCAAACATTCAGCCAGGAGAGCCAATTATCGTTCACACAGGAAACATGTCGTCCACATTCGTTGTTCCTCCGATGCTACGGCCAATATCTTGTCTTTCGGAAGACACTACTTTTTCCGGTAACGAAGAACCAACAGAAAGACCTTCCCTTCAGCGACTTCAATCAACTTCGTCATCATCTTCAGGCATCAACCTCACATTTGGAAGACACCGAACTGGCTTCACTCCCTTAACACCTTCCAAATAACTATATTTCTAATGTACATGAACCTATACTACCTTTTACCTCATCTAATACAGCCTCATTTTTTATTGCATTTATTGCATTTTATTTATTTAAATGTTCTGCATATTTATTTATTTATTTATTTATTTGTCATTGCTATTATTATTATTACTATTATTATTATTATTATTATTATTATTTTACATTTAAAACGCACCTGCCTTATTGTCTCTTCTTCAACAAGCAGTACGATCCCCACTTCAATCCTTGCGAATCGGGAATCCAAAAGGCTCTTGCTAGCTGATGCGAGTTTTGAGCATCTAAGAATGGATAACAATCCATTGTCTCCCAGGTTGCGGTATCCTGTACATATGGAGGCTCATTTACAGAAAGAGGACGCAGAGGGAAATCGGAATCGACCAAGTAATCACACTCTGAGAGTGGGACATATACACTTGGATCAGCCTTATTCAGATCATTGAATGGCTGGATAGCAGATGCTCCCTCAAACTTATAAAAGCGAGGGCGATACTCAACACGTTGGCCATCAACTTCGAGATATGAAGAAGCACCAATATCTTCTACAAATGTCTTTGGAAGTGCACCATCAAAGTCGCTCTTGATGAAGCGCACACGGACATCGCTGGGCATAAAGAAATTGCTAGGGAATCTGTGCCATTCCTTTCCGACACACAAGTTCATCGTCTTTTTAGAAAGGTCGGTTGGGTAGTCTTCTTGGAGATAGTCAAGGTTGAACAGCTGATCTGGAGCACGTTCATCCCAGATTGAGCCAAAGATCTTCAAAGGAGCACTGTAACGAGTGATTACAGCCAAGATGCGAGATACGGACAAGAGAGCAAAAACGATTAAAACAGCCAATGAAGTATAACGGAGTACGGCAGCGCGTGTTTCAACCTTTTATACATATACGAAATAAATTAAAAATAAATATAATTAGTTGAAACGCTTTTAAACACACACACACACATATAATATTCATCTATTTACCTTTGCACCAAAATACCCAGCAACACGACTAGCCCAGCTACGGATCAAGTAAAGAGAGATTGCACCATTGAGAGCGATAAGAGGATAAGCAACAAATAAGAAACGTTCTTCCTTGTGAGGCTGAAGCGAGAAGATGGCGAACCAGATGTAAAAGGGAATAAGTTTCAATCCGAGCAAAACATAGGGCCAAATGACATCAATCTTGCGAGTTCCGGGAATTCGGTTACGGTCAATATATGCTGTAACAAACTATATGAAACATTCATTAATTGGGAATTGATGATCAAGAAACTAATAAATCGCAAAGAGCACTGAAACACACCCACCCACCCACACACACACACACACATATATATATATATATATATATATATAATTTCCTCTGCTGACTTACCACGCAGAGAGCAGAACCAAGAGCAAGGATAAAGACAATGTTGAAATTCAAGAAACCATTTACGATGTAATAGTACCAGGGTTCGGTACCATAAAGTTCGGGACCACGGCCTTCACCGCCAAATACATTATATAGGACAATGTTGAAAGGAACGAATGTCCAGCGTTGATAGAATAAACGATCAATCAATATAACAGGGATCTGATAAATTTATAATAATGACATTTTTGATTTAGTTGTGTATCTCTTATGTCTAGTAGCGTACATAGGATTTTTTGTTTGGGTATTTAGTCTTACCGAGATAGCAGCACCACAAAGAATAATGGCTTCAACCAAGCGTACAAGGCGGTGGATACGCCAGTTGGGAGATCTAAGTACCTGAATAATAGTACCATCCTTCTTGGTTGTGGTATCACGACCAAAGACCAAGATTTCTTCAATAGCAAAAGGAATACCAACTACAGCACTAAATGGCCATCCAACAAGAGCACCCATGCCGAGCCAGAAAACAGCTTTGTATGTGCGTTCACGCTCAATGTGGTTCGGGGGACGGAGAATGTAAGAGTATGCAAGGAAGGTAGTGTACATAGCAAAAGTAGAAGGCAACAGAGCTATGGTGGTGTTTTTTTTTTGTTTATGTATAATAATAATGTGTTAATTGTATATACGGTGGATCCGTGTGGTTGTTATATTACCTGTAGAAGCATTGAACATGCCAGCACTAAAGAACAGAATTGCCAAGATGTAACGACCAACGTGGGGATTGACTTCCTCTGTAACAGTTCTATAAAATTTGGCCTCTGCGAACGAACTGAAAGCTCCCAATGCCATGCGCAAAAGGTAGAACGATTGCAACTAAAGTTTACATGCACAATTTTGATATAACACCATTTAGACAGCCAGCCTTTACACCTTTTGTTTCGTGTAATTGATTGATAAAATACTAATATGTCTCTCTATTTCTCTCTCTTATTTTTTGGGGGTATTTTACCTTGCTAGAGACAAAGATCTTTCCAAATAAACCCACAATTGCATGAAGAGCAACATATGCCCAAGAACGAATACTAAACTCGGGAGAATATTCCCAGGTCTCAAATCCATATCCGTTCTGAAGATAATGGAGTGGTTCCCAGTAGTTAAAGACCTCATCACAGTCTGCGATTGTTCTATAAAGAGCAGATGCGCATCTTATGATCAACAATACACGGAAAGCTGACTTGAGGGATAATGTAAAAGTTCCGGATTCACTCAGAAGATCGCGTGCGGCTCTATAAGTGTTGTTAGAATGACAAGAAATACCTAATTGTCTTTGTTTGTATATACGCGCTCGATATTTTATATTATGCACATATAGTTAAATAAAGAAAATCTTACTTTGCCTCAGCGGCAGATTTGGCATTTGGGTCACACTCAACTACAAGAGGTGCCCTCTTTGTATTGCGCTGGCGCACAGCTTGGTAAGAGTCTTTTACCATTACGAAATAGTAAGAGAAAGAACAAAGAACCTATATTAGAAATATAGGGAAAAAATTATATATTTTTTTTTACTTTTTTTTTCTATCCATCATTACTACACTTAAAATCTGAAGAAATTTGGAGCCACGTGATCTCTCTGAAATTTAAAAATATTTATATACAGCATCTGGTAATTATGATGCTTGCTTTTTTTTATTTATTTTTTAGAACGGAGCCGATCCCCCGTAAAAAGCAGAAAAAAATCGACCTGTCCTTGCGTGTAATTTCTAAATTGACTTGATCCTCTTGGTGATCAAGGTTATAGCTAGATTTAACCGGGTGATATTATATCCATAAAGAAGTTACAAATTGTATATATCTTTAAGAAAAGAAAAAATTAATAGTGCTTTATTTCCAAGTAGTTTACGATAAATATAATAATAATTGTAATACCAACCAATAAAAGTAGTAATAAAAATAAAAGTTTGCGTCATTCATGTAATTGACATGAAGAAGCTTTGGTCATCGTTTTAGACGAATTAGAGCATACGCTGACATTTCGGTTATTAAATGTTTAATTCAAAATCGGATCTTGCTCGTGGCATTTGGTTTGCCCTTCATTTTGTTGGCGCTGCTGTCTAGACTGTAGAATTGTAGTTTTTTTTTTTTTGAAGAATCATTTTCGGTGATTTAACTTTTATTACAGTGTTTCTGCTTGAGATTGAGACGATGATAGTTTTTTTGGACAAACAAGAAAAGAGAATCGAGACACAAAATAATAAAATTTAGGATAGAAAGGGGATTTAGTTGAGACGAGGTAAAAATGACTAGAATGTTCTTTATCTGCAAGCATCTTAAAGCTCGTCCACCGGAGTGAGGAACAACCGCACTCATTGTAGTGCTTTGTATTGTTGTTCTTGGCCGACGATTGAACATTTCTGGCCTACCATTGTCACTCCAAATTTCCTGCACAATATAGAGCATGATTTTTGCTGCCATGGCATCCCTATTCCAAAAAAAATATTACAGTTGTTGCAAACTAATATTGAATGGATAGGTCTGTCATTGGAATTTCGGAAATAGCTTAGGTCTTTGGTCTTACAGGAGTTGCAAACCTACACAAGCAATATTGAATATAAAGAACAAAACTTCAAAGGAAAAGTGCACAAGTCCCTTTGACGTGTTAAAGTCATTGATATCTAAAAGGCACAATTCTCCAATATTTTGCTTTACAAGAAGATGCTTGTAAATTTTCTAGGATACCCCATGCCGTAAACTGCGAAAGCTGACACTTGGGTTGTTTGTAAGTCCATCTCCAAAGACAATTAAAGGCATCTTAGAAACGTCTCTGGTTCTAAAGATACGTTGGTGAGAGTTTTTGTAATATTTTAAATTATTAATAGTGAAATGGAATACAAGCAATAAGTAGTAGTATTTTTTGTATAATTACCAAAAGATAAAGGCAAGTTTAATTAGCTGTGATTTTATAATCGATTATCCACTCTGTGAGTACCTTTTTTTGTTTGTATGGAGCTATTGATAGGCTCAGATTTATTGATAAAGTCTCGATTTTGATTATTACAATGAGAAATTAAGCTATTTGTTTGGAGGGTTATGTGGGGTTTTATGATGTTTTTGGGTTTTCTATTTTGTTTTTTACCCCCGGTGAACATGTAGCTAGGATATATACAATATTTCTAACAAAGAGTGAGACGAGATAGCATTGGAAAATCTCAAGTAGAAACACTTTTTTTTGTATTTATTGGTCGGCTACAGTGTAAAGCACTGAGCGATTGGTTTAATATGCCTGAATTTTTGTATTACAGTACTTATATGAGAGGGAAAAGGTAAAAAAGAGACTAAGAGAAAAGCTACTACAAGAAGCGCCTTATCACCACAAGTGCTTTGGCTGCTATCACACCAGGAAGGAAGGGTTCGTTCGTCCATGACAGAGCTCAAGTAGAAACACTGTAGTAGGCAATTCAATTTAAACCAATATACTCCGAAATCATATAATGCGTTTATTTTTGCGTTTAGACTTATGTTTGAAACCTTATAAAGCGTGTTTTTTTTCAAGCCAAAAAGAAAAGGGAGGTTTGTGCAATTTTCATAGCTCTTTCCATTAACACTCCGGAACCACCAGGGGTCAAAAACCCCTCCACCACTGGCTCATCTCCACCATTGGCAACCTCATTCACACCAATCTCACCTACTCTGACACCACTATACTCACAAGTAGCTACACAGAATGCACCTCCACTCACCGAAAAGCAACCACATGTTATCTTTAGCTCTACAAATAACACAACCCCACGTACCTGGCGTGTAGGGTCCTCTAAGTTCTCTGTATTCTTTACCGCCCCACCAAAAACGTCACCCAACTTCGACCCTTTCTGGAGAGCCCTTCTCGCAGCTTACCCTCGCGAAGTTAACATGGGAATCACTCTTGGATCTCGCTCTTCCCCTGATACATGCGAGCTCCACCTGGCTACTAGTGCTGACTGTGAGAGAGCGTGCTCTCATCCTTTGGTAGTCGGCGTTTCATCTTTTCCCGCTCAACCGGCTGTTCCCATTGGCACAATTGTTCGCCGTGTTTTCCTGACCAAGCTTCCTCGTGTCCCCTATCCGGAACTTGCTACACAGCTCACGAAATGTATGTCTCCTTTTGGTAAAGTGCGTGAGATCGCCATTCACGAAACGTATGGGTTTTTTGACGGCTCTGGATATGTTGTCCTTGCCAACACCCCCACTGACGAGGTGCCATCCGATTCCCTGACGTACCAAATAGCATACGACGCTACGCAAAAGATACTCGGTAAGTGGCCTTCGATGGGCTCCCACTGCACTTATTGCAAGGAAATGGGACACGAAGTCACCCAGTGCACTAAGCGCCCAGCCGAAACCCGAACGTGCTTTGGATGCAACAAGATCGGCCACCTGCAAGCCAATTGCCCGCACTCCTCCGATCCATCCAAGACTTCTAAGACCTCAAACAAGCGCTCCCGTCACCCCCACCGCAACGTTAAGCTCGATCGACCTATCCGCGAGCCTAAGCCTCTGATTCCGACTGCACTCTCGCTCACCTACGGAGGATCCGAGGCTTCCAAGCACAATCCGCACAAACCTGCTTTGCTTGAGTCTGCAGAACTAACCCTACCGGCAACCCTCCCTGCCATCACGACAACATCTGCGACAACCACGTCCTCCGGCCCTCGTCCCCGAAGTCGTTCTGTTGACACTCCTGTGAAGGGCTGGGACGATGAGATAGACGACGACATGATCACTGACTTCACGGATAGAGTCGAGGCTCGGACTCTCCGTCTTCAGAATGCCTCTCACCTCCCTCATCTCCGGTTTTCTCGGACAGTACGTCCAATAGGCCGCAACACATCCCTCTCACCTCCTCGCTTCACTCCCCCACATAGCAAGAAAGCCCTCGACGCAGAGGCCAAGATTAACCAATGATAAAAATAGGCACAATGAACTGTAGGGGTCTACCCAAAGTTGGACACCCTGAATCACGCTCCTTTTTTATACGCCACCTACGCTCTCAGGGAATTGATATACTAGCCCTGCAAGAAACCCATGCCTCCTCTTCTATGCTTCAAGACACTTTTGACCAACAATTTCGGTCATCTTCATCTTTATGGTCGCCACACTGTGGTGTTGTATGCCTCTCCCCCCATATTATTCTCACAGACCCTTTATTTAGTCCTTGCGGCAGGTGCATCATTACAACTGTCACTCATACTGACAATAAATTTTCTCCATTCAAGATGGGTGTCATCTATGCTCCCGCCTCTCGAACTCCCCGCTATGATTTTCTTTCTTCCTTACTGTCGACACCTGACCTCATTCCATCCAATCCTTCCAACTTCATTTTATTAGGTGATTTTAACCATGCCATTCACTCTAACTACGCTCTCGGACGTCGTGCCCCACTAGCGTGGCTTTAGTTTCTGGACAACCATATGGTTGACTGTGTCACTCCTCCTGGCCAGAACCCACAACCCACCTTCCATCGCGCCTTGTCTTCCACTACAATCGACTATATTCTTGCCTCTCCTGATCTTCACCCTCGCACTACTGACTCCCAGGTGAGATATATTCACCAAAACTGGTCCGATCATTGCCTGTTGACCGTCCGCTTGGCTCTCCCTTCCACCCAATCCTCTGGTAAGGGACTTTGGCGTGCTAACCCCCGACTTGCCGGGTTGACATCTTTCTGCACCGACCTCAACACTCTTCTATCCACCCTCATCCCTGCCCTTCCCGCAAACCTCTCTCCTCAAGCACGATGGGACTCGATAAAGAGCGAAGTCATACGCTTTATCAAGTGTTTCTCTCGCCACCTCCGACCCTCTCTCACCGACCTGGAAGCAAGCCTGCAACAACGGAGAGACAGACTAATACACCGTTTTCGACACCAGCCTGCACAGAATTTTCAGCTGCCTATTGTTGAGCGGCTTCTGCAGCAAGTCCAACTTGAACGAGTGGAGATCATGTCCCTTAGGGCTGGGAAACACTGGCGGGAACAAGGTGAGACCTCTGCTGGATATCTCAAGCGCACCATCGCCACTCGTCAGTCACGCAAGTCAATTGCCAGCCTTTGCCACCCTGCAACAAACGAAATATGTTCCACCCCCGAAAAGATGACCGAAGCAGCTGCCGCCTTTTATGAAGGCTTGTATACCCCGGACCCTATCGACCAATCTGCTCTGGACGACCTGCTCTCTCACCTGCCTTCTGACCTTGGTCTGTCAGAAAGTCGGCAGACTGCCCTCACTCGTCCTCTGTCATTGTCTACTATTCGCTCTGGTGCGTCGCGCACTCCAACCTCTAGCAGTTCCGGTCCCGATGGCTTACCCTACGAGATCCTTCGCTTGATACTAGACCACCCAGTCTGTGGTGATCTGGTTTCGGAAGTCTACAACGACGCCCTATCAAAAGGCATTTTTCCGGAATCCTGGCAATCCACCTGCGTTTGCCTGCTCCCAAAAAAGGGCGATCTCACCTCTTTGAAGAACTGGCGCCCAATTGCCTTGATCAACACCGATGCCAAGGTATTTACCCGATTGCTGAATGCTCACATGATTCCCACGGTCACTTCACTTGTCTCTCCTTACCAGACAGGGTTCGTTCAGGGTCGCTTCATCGCCGATAATGGAATGCTGACCAGGCTGGTCATGGCACAAGCCGCCAAGGACGGATCAGCTGGTGTTGGACTTCTCCTCGATCAGGAGAAAGCATATGATAGAGTACATCCGGAATACTTTCGCCAAGTACTGACACACTTTCGATTTCCCTCCTCTCTTGTCACCTCGATCTCTAACCTCTTCTTTTCTACTAAATTGCAAATAAATGTGAATGGCTTCCTCTCGCGCCCTTTGCCTCAATCTCGGGGACTACGCCAAGGGGACCCTCTCTCCCCTATACTGTTCAATCTAGTTTTTGAGCCTCTACTACGACGAGTGATCCATGACCAGTCCTTCTCGGGCTTTCAACCATCTGTTCCTGCTGGTCTTTCTCCTCTGTCACCGATCAAACTCCTTGCGTACGCTGATGATTTACTTGTTTTTCTTTCTGACACAGGGCAGTTGTCTCGCCTCCACACCCACCTCAACACCTATGCTGCGGCTTCCAACGCCCGCGTAAATCTTCACAAGACGCAGGCATTTTCACTTTCGGGCTCACCCCTGCCAGACTGGTCCTCACATCTACGGACCCACAATATTACGGATTGGCATGACCGGACCTCCTCCTCTTCTCTTCGCTATCTGGGATATCCAATTTTCTCCTCCATTGCCCAACGAGACTCATTTGGCCAGGCCCTTCTTTCTAAGATTGAGAATAGCTGTATTCTACACGGCTCACGCACCCTGTCCTTCCGCGGCCGTGCCACTGTCATGAACTCTCTCATTCTCGCCCAACTTTGGCATGTCTTGCGCGTAGTATCCTTCCCCGTCTCTTTTCTCGAAAAAATACGCACTCTGATGCGCCGTTTCTTCCGCTTCCGTTCGTTCCCCCCCCCCCCCCCCCCCCATTGCTTTGGACACCCTCTGCCTTCCTCGCTTTCAAGGTGGTCTTGGCATCCTCGACCCGATTACACAGCAATGCGCTCTTCAGCTTCGTTGGCTCAAGCCAATAATCCAGAACCCATTGGGTCCCCGTGGTTTGGTCCCCAAATGGATGGCTTCTCTCCTTCGCACTGAGAATACGGATTGTGATCCCCTTCTACTTTGGATCTTCCCAGACTCTAGACCTCGCACCCATCGCTCACTGGATTCGCCTCTTCATCTTGTCCTGAAGGCCATGGACCACCTCCCGCACAAGTTTGACGACGTCCTCACGAATCTATCCACGTGCCTTATGTTGCCCTTGTCCTCCATGGTTAATAGCCCTCCCTCTCATCCGCCCTACCGACAATCTTGGCGAGACCTGAAGGTTAACCACCTATACCAAATTGATCATAATTTGGACGTCCTGATGCCCATTGCCCCTGCTAGACCTCTTCCTCGATTTATCACTCTTAATCGTATCCTACAAAGACTTCTCGACCGTTCACTTGTGGCTCACCCTATCCTTTTCAGAGCTTGTATTCCTACATTCATCCTAGAATCGCGACATTTGGATATACCTCCTCGAGATGGGTCCCCCTTTGACTTTGATCCCTTCATCTCTGCTCTGGTCCTCGGCAAACCTTGGTCACGCTTGTCCACGCGCTCTTACCGGCTGACCTGTTCTCATCATCATGCTAATGCTCAACCACTTAGCCCCCATCTTAGCCCTCGCCAACTGCACTCTTTCTGGTCTTTCGCACTTCCTCACCGGGCCCGTAATGTTTGGTTTCGCGGCTTACACAACAAACTATCTTGCCGAGCTCTTCTGCACCACATTATGCCCTTCACTGTTTCTTCACCTCTCTGCAATATCTGCCAGATGTCAATCGAGACGCAAGAGCATTTTCTTCTTTCTTGTCCTTTGAAATCCGCGGTGTGGTTAGGCATTTGGTTAGAATTTTTCGGCACCGTCCCACCACCTTCTGCACTTTCCTCGGCATTCACATCCTTTCTCTTCCCTCCCACGCTGAACCCCAGTATTCCAGCCGCCTCGGTTTTCGGACTGACCATCCTTGCTATCTGGGACCACCATTGGGCACTCCACTTTAACTCTGCTCCTTTTTTACCTTCCTTGGTTCTTGCCACTGCTAGGAAATCAATCTCCCGCATCTGCTCAGAGCTCGAGCTTGACTCCGCTGACTCTTCCCTCGCATAACACCACATTAACATTTTAACAAAAAAAAAAAGTTTAAATCACACAAAAACAAGTCAAAAACCAAAAAGCCAAAAACATCAAATAACCCCCATAAACCCTCAAAACAAATGTTGTAATTTTCTCTTTTGCCCTACTCATTCAGAGAACTTTAATAAATCTGAGCCTGTCACAGCTCCATACAAAAATTTGTGCAATTTTGTTTTACCAATCTCTTTTCCAATGTACTAATACGGACAGAAATGTCTTACCAATTTTCTGAAGTTTCATTTCCATATTGAGGTCCACGTCACGGTCGGGAAATAGAATACAGCTAAACTAACGAACATTAACTTGTATTAATGGTTAAGTTGATAGTCTGGTAATGCTTGGTCAATCAATTGACATAAACTATATTGTTAATTGAAGAATCGGTAATAGAGTGCGTAATATATATAATCCAAATATATAGTTTTTAAAGAATGACATAAAAGAAGTCATGTTAATATAATATCTACATTGTTTAAAGTATATTTTTTTTTACATATTTTACTTCTACATCTTCCTTTGAATATATCGTTAGTTTAGCAGTTAAAAATAACCTTCAATTATTGGCTGAAGACACTTTGTAAAGCCCAAATTGGGCTTACAAAATTTTTGGAAAAGGTGCCCTTTTGACAAAATCTTTTTTGGAAGTATGAAACAAACTACTCCTTTTTAGGCGGGCAATTTCCTTTTTAATTTTGTTAAGAAAATTGCACAAACCTCCCTAAAATCTAGAATACAAAAATTAATGCAATAAAAGTGTATTTTTGCTTACAACAGGCTTTGGCTGTCTAATCCATAATAATCTTCTACGAGTTAAGCATATTGAGGCTACCCTTTGTTTAAATCCTAAAAGGCTTTGCCACAAAATCTTTAATAGAAAGAATATCAACTGATTACCCCTTCATTGTAATCGTCTGGGTGGGCTATCTCCTAAAAAAAAAAGTGGACAACAACTGTTTAATATCGTTTCATTATTTTAGCTTTAGTATTTCCGTTACATATAGCTTGAGATAAATACCAAGCATTTTCTTCATTATGATAAAAGAAAATATTAATTTTCATTTAATTGTTTGTAAAAACGTTTTGAAATTTATTGAAATGTGGAAAGGTACAGTTTCCTATTCCAAAACTTACAATTTAGTGGGGGCCATAATTATTAGCTCCCTTTACTTCTTTGTGATACATTTTTGATAGTATGCGGAAATGAAACCAAAAAAAAAACATTAGATAGAAGAACAAGAAAGTATCTTTAATGAACAGTAAGTTTGGAGAGACGCTTGTGTTCCTATCGTTTGACTGCACTGGCACAGCTAGAAATGAGTATCTATTACTCTCAGGATACTTTGCTGGCCTTACTGTATAATTCAACATACCTGTGGGAAACTTCAGTTATTAAATTCTTACTATAAATTCACAAAAAAATGTACTCACAGTTAGTTTTAACATGTAATATAATCTCCTATACAATTGAATTGCATATGTCGAGAGTCCGCTAAGCATGCTCCACCAATTCATAGCCTAAAAGTTCTTTTGTATCCAAACTCAAAAGATGCCTCTTTTAAATTTCTAAAAGATATAGACTATCTAACCTTTAAGTAAAAGTTGGTCTACTTTTAGTCGAACATATAATATTTTACCTTGATTAGCTTTTTGGTTAGATTTCGTTTGTTAATTATCATTTAATTTTTTCATGAAAAGATATTTTTTGTGCTAGGTTAAGGATATAATATATATGTATATATATATATTGATTTTGATATTTCAAATATTAATTTAGGCAATTGATTTGGTTGATTATTGCGTGACAAGACTGGATCAAAACTAGTAAATAAATACAAATATTAAGTATAATGAGAAAGCTTTCCCTTCTTTCTTATTCAACAGCAGTAAAAGGAACTGTTGGTGTCTTATTTTGAAGATTTAAATTATTCAACTTTATCTCAAATAATTTTCAAATCTACACATTTAAGACTTTTTGAACAAGAACAGAATACAGAATTATGATATTCTGTTAATCTCATAGTAAAATTAATTTTTGCGGTAGTAATTACCTCTTTTGAGATATGCATGTATATATTTATATACATATAAGCATAAATGTATCAGCGTGTATTTATTCGTAAGCCTTGATCTTTGATGATCGCTTTGTTTAATCGGTACAATATGGCATAAAACCACTGAATAGTCTGGGAAGCAAGTTTCAATCCAAATTATATACTAATAGCAACAAAAAGGAACAAGTTTTGGTGTGAGTTTGCTTTTTTTAAATTAATCATTTGAAATGCAAGTATCCGTAATGGCTATTATACGCTAATGCCTCATGTTATATAACCATGCTTTACAACGAAATGGACAATTTGTGTCTGAATAAGCAAAAAAGTATCACAAAGACATTCATGAATGGTAACACAGGATGCACTCAAACCCAACAAGTTTAACCGCGTTCAATTCCATGGTTTTATTTTTTGTTTTGTTCTCCCTTTGTTCCTTCCTTCCTTCCTTATTTTTTTTTGGGCTCTTCGAATACGGCGAAACAGTCCAAAGTTCTCGAGCGCCTTTCATTACTTTATTCTATTACCTTCCTTAACCATGCAATCTATCAAATGCGTTGTTGTCGGCGATGGGTAAGAGCAAGCACACTAAACAAAGCATCAACAAAAAATTATGTTCTAGATGAAAGATCATCTTAAATCCCCCTTTTTTATTTTAATTTTATTTTATTCCTCGAAATGAAAACAAAATAACATTATCGATCGTAGTGCTGTCGGCAAGACATGTCTCTTGATTTCATACACGACCAATGCTTTTCCTGGTGAATATATCCCCACCGTGTAAGTTGAATTCAACGACATTATATAAACATATACACAGAAAAGAGAAAGAAATAAAGGAAGAAAGAGAGTATAAGAAACAGGAGGGGCTTTGCAGTATTTATTTTATTATCATTATTATTGTCTATTGTATTTTCTCATCCCCTGAATATTAGATTCGACAATTACTCTGCTAATGTCATGGTGGATGGCAAGCCCATCAGTCTTGGTCTGTGGGATACTGCAGGCCAAGAAGATTATGACCGCCTTCGTCCATTATCCTACCCACAAACCAATGTATTCTTAAGCTGTTTCTCACTCGTGAGCCCGGCCTCGTTTGAGAATATCCGAACAAAGGCAAGTTAACATAATATTATTTAAGCAATTTATTCCATGTATTAATTCAGTGGATGTTGCATCTTAAAAAGTGGTATCCTGAGATTAGCCATCACGCACCCAATATTCCCATCATCCTAGTTGGTACCAAGCTTGATTTACGCGAGGATAGCGATACAATCGAGCGTCTTAAAGAGAAGAGAATGGCACCTATTACTTATTCTCAGGCACTTCAGATGTCTAAAGATATTGGTGCTTGCAAATATTTAGAATGTTCTGCCCTCACTCAAAAAGGCCTCAAGAATGTATTCGATGAAGCCATCCGAGCTGTTCTCTCTCCACCTGAACAGGCTACCAAGAAGAAGGGTTGTTTAATTCTCTAATGGATTAGATGAGATACCTCTTTTTTCTTCATTTATATTTACTTTCTCTTTTTAGTTATAAGCTTTTTATTTCCTTTTATTCATTCATTTATTTATTTTATTTATTTATATATATATATATTTATATATTTATATATATATTGATTGTTTGGTTATTGTGATTCCATGGATCAAACCTAACCAAGACAGACCCACCCACCCACACACACACACAGAGAGAGAGAGAGAGAGATTAGAGAGGAATAGAAATAGAAAGGGAGAGGGAGTGAAAATAGACGTATTAGTGGGTTTAATTCCCTGTCTTTTTCATTGTCTATGATGCCAGACTACCCCAGGCAATATCATCTAGATGGTTAAGATCATTAAAGTCCAGGAGGTGCGAAGAAACGAGTAAACGGGGTTTCTTAGTAACAGGATCCTTGGACTATATAAAACGAATATTATTGATTATGTGACAATAACGACAACGAAATCAAATCCTTACATTTAGACGAATCTTGCGTAGCATCTGTTTAGAACTCCATGCGGCTTCATACACTTTTGAATATTCTTCAAACAGAACAGGAAATTTTCCGGTTTCCATGTTCATCAAAGAGGCCAGCCCTTTGCGTTCCATACGAGATAGAACATTAACCTTTTTATATATATTAGTACTTTAATACAGTTTAACCGGGTCATGTATCACTTACCACTGTTGTATGGAGAATTGCCAGACTTTTATCTACATTTGTGTTGTTGATCTTCGGGATCTATACGCATATTGGGTTTAAGAATATTTCTTTTTTTTAAAAAAAAAGGCATTTTTCTGAATTGTATAATTTTTACCATCCAACGATCAGCGTGCTGGCAGAGATGTTGTTGTATGAGACGAATGTTTCCAAAATAATTGATGTACTTGTTTGATTGAGGTGCCATTGTCATGTATTTTGCTCTAATTGCAAACCTCTCAGCATGCTTTTGCTTTTTTTAAAAAAATAAAAAAATAAATAAACAATAAAGAATAAAGATGAATTGGAACAAAAGGAAATATAAAGAAAGTGGTTTATCGAGAAACATAAAAATGTTTAAGAATTATAAGATAATATTAGTCAAGTTTACCTCATTACTGATATATATAAGTACAGGAATGCAATTTGGGTGTTTCTTGGCCAATACTCGCATACTTTCGACAGACAGTCCTACACCCTATATATATACCTCTTTTAAGTTTCTCTTTATTCCATTGTTTATTTATTAAATAGCTTATCGATATTCTCTCGTCATATTCTAATTGCTCAATAGGGGTCTGGGGGAAGGAGTATTGTATATATCATACCTCAATTACTAGGCACTCGTTGCGTTTATTGTAACCTGCAATTGTTTTATCTAATGTATCAAGCAAGAGTAAATTCTGGGCCTCATATCCGTCTACGATAGATTTCTTGTGGTTTTCATCAATCTCTTTCATTGCAGGTTCTCCAGCATGATAAGACGATGCCCACAATAACCGGGTATTTTTTTGTGGATCAAAGCTGCGTAAAAGAGATCGAACATGGTCTGTGGATAATACGGTCGTAATTCCTATTCTGTGGGCCAATAAGCTAGCAAGTGTAGACTTTCCGCACCCTGAAGTTCCGCCCAATAAAATACAAACAGATGCCTGTTTGTTCATAATATGCCAGGCTACTTGAAGATCTGTGCGTGGATTACTGTAGTTCATTCTAACCAGTAATCCTTGAATTCGGCTCAGAAAGCTAGTCAGGCTGAATGGCTCGGTGTCCGAGAAGAGATTGTCCTTTGCAATTAGATCTACCATGGCAATGAGTGCAAGGCATGCGTCAAAAAATTGTTGTTCAAGGTATTTTTACCCATGGTCTGCTGGCAATGAGAGTGTTTAACACCAATGAATGTCAGGATGCTTTGGACATGATATGAGGTGCAACGTTTAATCTTTCTTCCGGAATTTTCCTCCGTGTATACTGTAAATGAGACCATGAAATCTAATAGATAAAGAAAATGTATATAATTTAAAGAGAAAAAGAAAGTAAAGAAGAGAGAGAGAAACATTAATTCACATCAAATGATTTTTCTCTATCTAAAAAAAAATACAAATTTGTTTCAATTTCAAGTTAAAATCTTGTATTTTACTGGATACAGTGCTGCATTGTATTGGAAAGGTGACCTTTAAATGAGTTCATTATAAGTACACACTCGACAGTCATCCAAAAAAAAAAAGAAAGAAAAAAGCATTGACCACTAGAAATTACTATTATTTTGCTTCTCTTGTTCAAATCTGGTATTAATTCTATCTATCTATCTACCTATTTAGCTTTAATCAGTATCGAATAATATATATTTTGAGAGCAAGGGTATTTGGAACAAGTGAGTTATTCTGATGGCGATTTTGGAAAAAATACCCATAGTGCTTAAAAGATTGTTCTGCAAATTTGAGAAAGAAAAATGTTCTCCATTGTCTTATCCCAAACTTGGAAAGAGTTTTTCTTTTTTTTTTTCTTTTTTTGTTGCGTAGCAGCTAAAGTGATTGGTTTTTCAATCTACTGTATTACTTTACACTAAAACCTAACAGAGTGTCTCGGTTTTGAATTCATTTAAATTCTACCAAAGTCAAGAGTTAAAAGCTAGCAATTAAAGGTAGTGAAAAGATCAGTGATATTTTGTGCTCTAACCATTCCTATATAAACGAAAGTTTGAATACAAAAATTCAAAAAATAAATAAAAATAAATAAGAATAATTATATTGAGGAATTGTTGGTTGAAGAAATATGAACTCTTGGTGTGGACAGACCAAAAGTTCAAAAAAAAGAGCAAAAATATAAGCTATATTATTGGTCAGGAGCTTTACTTAATCGACTCTAATTGGCTAGTATTCTTCCTTTGCCATTAGGATTGAGAAGAGAAGCATTTTTTTTATGGAGACAATGTGTGATAGAATGAGAGGTCTAGAAAAACTCGCAATAAAAGGTTTTTATTTAGTGACGGAGATGGCATTATAAGCACAATTCTATCTAATATGTACTTACACTAATTTTGAACTTTTTTTTTGAACTTTTTTAAAATAAATGGCCGTTTACGTCCTAAGTTTAGACTTGACAATAAAGAAATAATAGTTAATCACAAATAAACTATACCAATAGGAAGTTATGCAGAAGGTCATAAAGAGCTTCTGTTATTAGAGTGTGACACAATCTTGTTGAGTATTTTACTATTTAGTGGCCTACTTACGCGTATCATGTCTTTCTCTTTCTTTTACCTACTTATATTCCCAGAATCTGACAGCGCCAACTAGTAAGTAATTCCCATTCACTCTTTTTTGTAAAGCAAATGAGAAAAGCTTTATGAATATTTTGTATCCTGGCTTGTATTAGTTATTATAATAAGAATGGATCCTTACGGACCAGATAGAGTTATTCCATGCCGCCAAAAAGGCCACAATTTGTGGTCCGGTAGAATCAAAATGTCATCTCCCACCAGTAAATGTCGTCTCCCTAAAACTAGAGGATCAGAAAATGAAGCCCCCCCTAATATTAGCTGTAGTTTTGCTAATATTAAAGGGACAGCATTTTCTGTTGGGGAACCATCTTTTCTAATGGGAAACGATTTTTGACTTTACCGGACCACAAATTGCGACTTGCTGTTCAGTATCAAATAATTATATCTGGTCCGTAAGGATTCATACGTATCACAATAAAGACACTTTAATATAAGACGGGATAATAGCTTTGGATGAGTGTAAAAGCATCCTCTTAAATATATAATGATATACTTAAAGCCTTATGCTACCTGCAATGTATTAACGGATATATAGAGAATAATAAAATAGTTACTTAACATGCTACTTCAAGACGTAATATCATAACAAGGAATGTCGTTCCCTTTCCTTATGACATATTCCAAGTAAACTTGAGTTGGTATACTCTCTCTAGTTATAGGCGCAAACTCCTGGAACTTTGCAATTACCATTGTCATGCCACTGTAACCTTTAACTGGTAAGACAGGAAGAGGTTCTTTGACAAAAAAAATACTTCTCTCAATTGAAAAAACGGGTATTTTTATTGATAAGATTCGTATTGAAGCGATTTCTAGAAAGTACTTATTAACCTCATGATTTTTAATTGCCAATATTCAATGAGCAAAGTAGTCTCATTGCTATCTCCGAGAAAAATAATATTTTATAGTACAATTGATTAATAGCTCTTATGAGATGAGTATATAATAGAAAAGAAGGTTTTATATTTAAATGAATTAAGAATTTCAGGACACATCTTTTTCAAAGGATTGAAGAAAAGACATCAGACCTAGGAAAAGTAGTAACAATAAATTAGTCCAACAAAAAAAAGGTAGTGGCCCCATCCTGAAAATGTCATCCGCGTAAGATTGGTGATAATGATATGAGTATATGATGTGACGTCTGTATTTCTTCTATCATAGATAATATGCTGTTAAGTTATTACCCACGCTCTTATTTGAATGATAAGTGATGTTGACTAAGATGTGTGACCTTCTTATCGGTATATTCTTTATTTAATGATAGTGTAAGAAATGGCGTGTACTTGATACTTGTCGCTTATTAAATATGTCTTTATATTTATTGTCTGTGCGCTCTATTTGAATCTACGATTATGTTGGATCAACCTCTTTTACGTGCTAGAGCACATATTCTTCCCCATACTATTCCTTTATCTATCCGCTTTTTCCCTTCTACTGCTCTCACTTTATCTCTTCATGCCATCTGGACCTCCGTTCCTCCCTTTTGCCATACCTCGCTGGAATCTGAAGGGTGTTTATGTTCATCACGCCTTTATGATTGATTCTCGTGGTAGAAGATCCTTTGCAAAATGGCACCCACCGCGGATTTTGTTTTTCACCGTACATACTCTTTCCTCACTAGTCTCAACTGTCGTCTCTGTCACTCTGCAGTAGATAGTCTTCAACACTTTGTATTCTTCTGCCCTGGCAAGCTTCGGGTGTGGAACACGGTAATCGGGCAATTGTGCCCGTCCAGGTCTGTTTCTGAGGCCGTTGGTCTCCTCATTCACACCAATCTCTTCAGATTATGGCCGCCTCCACCACAGCTCATGCCATTTGTTGTGCTCATTAGGCTACTGCCTTTGACAGTATCCTTTTCTTTCCTGACAATGTTGCGACCAATGCCGTACAAACCACTCGATTAGCTAGTTGGGCTTTCTTCTCTTCTTTTTTGTACTCTTCTTTAACTTTATCTCTTTTTGCATCTTATATTTCAAGCGCCGTGAATTGTAAGCGCTGGCGGTACTAATAAAATACGAAAAAGAAGAAGGAAAAAAAAAGCCTAACTGTATCATCTGTGTATCTATATGTTGATTTCCCACGAGCGTAAATAAGAAGGAAAAAAAATCAATCACGCATTCATTCATCGACTATTTAAAGGATTTTTTTTTAGGATAAATCCAGTACCAGCTTGCTTTTGTCCTTCCCAATGTTGCGTCTCACACGTCGATCTGTTCTTAATACAGCTAAATCCTTCCACCCTAATGCACGTCGTGGCATGGCCTCGTCCTTCTTTCCAGATGAGCCAAAGGGTCCATCTATGAAGACAAGTGTACCTGGTCCGGCATCAAAAGCTATTATGGACCGTATGAACAAATTCCAGGACACGCGATCCGTGTTCTTTATCGCTGGTAAGTCAATACTAGATAGACGGAGTTGTTTCTTCTTTTTATATACCTCTGTTATCTAACTTTGATGAACCGTTTCAAAACAAAAAACAAAAAAGATTTCGCAAAATCCAAGGGAAACTACATTGTCGATGCGGATGGCAATACTTTGCTGGATGTATTTGCTCAGATTGCTTCTATTCCTTTGGGCTACAACAGCCCTGCTTTTCTCGAACTCACCAACAAACCCGCCTTCCAGACCGCTCTGGCCAACCGTGCCGCACTTGGGGTCAACCCTACCGAAGACTGGGTTGATTCGGTCCAGAACGCATTCATGAAGGTGGCTCCCAAGGGAATGTCAAATGTTTTTACCGTGATGTGTGGCTCATGCGCAAACGAGAACGCCTTCAAGACTGCATTCATGTACCAAGCAGCCAAAAGACGTGGTGATAAGGATTTTTCTCTGGACGAGCTTCATTCATGCATGAAGAATCAGGCTCCAGGATCTCCAGATATGTCGATTCTCAGCTTTGGACAGGGATTCCACGGTCGTTTGTTTGGTTCTCTGGCTGCCACCTCGAGCAAGGCGCTCCACAAGATCGATATTCCAGCCTTTGACTGGCCACGCGCTCCTTTCCCAGCACTCAAATACCCTCTCGATCAGAACAAAGAACACAACCGGGCAATCGAAAAAGCCTCTATTGAAGCCGTCGATCTTTTGCTCCAAAACAAGACTCGACCTGTTGCGGCTGTGATTGTTGAGCCTATCCAGAGTGAGGGAGGTGACAATCATGCATCGCCCGAGTATTTCCGCAATTTACAGGCCGTTTGCAAGGCTCATGATGTATTGTTTATTGTGGATGAGGTGCAGACAGGTGTTGGTGCTTCAGGAACTTTCTGGGCGCATGAAGCCTGGAATTTACCTACAGCCCCTGACATGGTGACCTTTTCCAAGAAATTTCAGGCAGCTGGATTCTATCTTCACCCCCGTCTTCGCCCTAGCCAACCTTACCGTCTATACAACACATGGATGGGTGACCCTGTCAGAGCTATGCAAGCAGTTGCTATTGTGAATGAAATTGAAAACAAGGACCTTCTCTCTAATGTGAAACAAGTTGGCGACTATCTTCAAAAGAAGCTCAAGTCGATGGCCGATCGTAAATTACTTTCTGACGTTCGTGGGCAGGGTGCGTTGATCGCATTCGATCTCGAGACACCTGCTAAGCGCGACAAATTCTTGATTGATATGCGTCAACGCGGTGTGAACATTGGTGGATGTGGTGAACGAACCGTTAGATTGAGACCTATGTTGACTTTCCAGCCTCATCACGCTGATATTCTTCTTGATACTATGGAGGCCACCTTGACATCGTAACACACGCACACGCACACGCACACACATATATATATACTTATATAGAATAAGTATTTCTATTTCTATTTCTATTTTTATTTGTTGATTATTATTTCTTTTAGCCATATGTATACACAAGCTTGTTTCTCTTCTTTTACCTAGACAAAATATATATATATATAAGAATTTTAACTATTAATGGGGTGGTCAATTGAAAAAAAAAGATCGAACAAACCTCGGAAATTCAAGAATATTATTGGATAAAAGCCTTAATTTAAAATTATAATAAGCTATTAGGGGGCTTCAACAGTCCTTTAAGCTTTTAAGCTTAAGCTTTGATTTTTAAAGTAGTAACCAATAATACGGAAGAGTTACTAAGTGTTTTTGAGTACCCTAAATGCTTCTTTCAGTTCTATTAGGTATTGTGATAATAGGATATAATTTTAAAGTAGTGTTTTGAGGCAAAAATGGTTGCATCATGTATTTATTAAATTTCCAAAAATAATAATAATCAAATTTAAGCAAGGATGTATTAAAAGTTTAAAACTCTTGAGCGATTTTGTTCGAGAGTTTTAATCTTTTTTTTTTTTTAATGGTTATAGATCCATTCCAACCAATCATATATCACATTTAAACTCCGAAGCTTACGTTTAAAAGCTTAAATGGCTGTTGAAATCCCCTATTGTTCGGAAAATTATGAGCTTCCCAAACAAAACAAAAAAAGTTCAACGAAAAAGGATTGATCATATTTCATACATTGATCATTGTACCTGAATACAATAAAGATTTAGGCAAATGTACTTTTGGATAAGTGTGACAAAAAGATGAACTTGAAAAAGAATCAGCTCTTTTACAATTTAAAAGAAGCTTATCCAAACCGTTCATAGAGTAATATTCGTAATGTTATATAAGATGTAGCTATATTAGCATGCTGCAAGATGGTTTGCTTTATTGTTTTCTTTGTTTACAAAAAAGAAGCAAACAAACCAGCAATTGGTTTTATCGACAAACTATACGACATCGCGAAAGATAAGCCCCTTTGTACAAGCTACAATCAAAGAAGATACAGACTGATGTTCGGATCCAAACTGTCATGGATTTCATATCCATACTAATACTAATAAAAGCCAATGAAATATTACACAAGACTTTGGTTTATGTTGATACCTTATAACATAGTAAATTAACTACGTCTAAAGATAATATTAAGGTTACATTTAAATGCTTAATTTAATGCATGCATTTACCTTCTTTTTTCTCTTTATTGACCTTTCCTTTAATATATTTAACAAAGAACTGAGAGTTCTGATCAACCAAATGGTCTATGTATTCTTCATATTCAAACAGCAATAAGACTTCTTTTTCTTGGTATCCCACCTCTTTTGAATCTTTATGACTTTGTCACTATTATTATTTTAGCAGTACGTGGATCAATGCCAAGTTTCTCCCCTTAAAAGAAAATCGAGCAATACTTTATCGGGGTTCAAATACTTTGATCCATTCATTCGATCTTTAAAACATTACCCTTTCTCTATTGATGTCGTTTATCGCTATACCTGACATATTTTAAAGTTAGTTTTACAGCTGGGTGTTTAACGAGCCTTTCTCTGCCTACAATATTTTCTTGCAAAGTTTAAAAGCCAAGCAGATCTGTTAATTTAGTTATGGTGTGTAAAACAATGTTGGAGTGTTTTCTGCGTTTCTTGTTAAAGTTGCTTACATTGGAATCAAGAACTTTATTTTATTTTGTTCACTATAAAGAAAGAAAAGAAACCAATTGAAACATTTTGATAAAAATTCATGAGCTTTCAATTCCAACATTTTCCCCTCTTGGATAGCCTTAACCTACCATTTAACCTTTAAGCCCTTTAAAGATGTATTATTTTATTAAATAAATAAAACAAAACCTTTTTGGTGCACAACAAATCTCCGTTCAAACCACCCCCCGATTCCTTCTTTCTTTTTTCTTCCCCTTTGCACGCACAGTTTTTATATATAAATAAATATATATAAATATAAATTTTCTGCGTTTTGCTGCGTTTGTATTTTATAATTTTATAATTTTATATTTTTTGGGTAGAAAAGAGGTTTTCTATTCTTTGTATACAAACAAGTTTTTTTAAAAAAAAAAACAAAACAAACTTCATAAGAACAATAACCATTATCATCATTTAACAATGTTGCGGCGAAGATGGGAATCATCCCAACCTAAAGAACCAGCTGTCAATAATGTCACACCAGAAGACCCACCAAAGGTCTTGGCAAAGAAACTTTCCCCAGTCACTTTAGATGCAGCAATCGCTACTCTTTTGACTCTTGTGGCAATTCCAGTTCGATTCCATACCATTAGTCATCCAAACCAAGTTGTGTATGTTTTTCTTTAAAAGAGAGAGAGCGAGTATTAATATATTTGTGTATTAGTTTTGATGAGGTACATTTTGGCGCATTTGCAGGAAAGTACATTCAGGGCACATTCTTTTTTGATGTTCATCCACCTGTAAGTACAACATTGAATTTAAGAACTATTTATCTATTTATTTGTATGCATGTGTACTTGTGTACTTGAATTTCTCTAATTGTTGTGTACCATTTATACTTGTACATTCTACTATAATAAAAGCTTGCCAAAATGTTGATAGCATTAGTTGGCTGGCTGGCTGGATACAAGGGAAACTTTGATTTTACTACCATTGGAAAGTAAGTTTGATATACAGGACACTAATATATATATATATATATAAAGAAGTTTATCCAAGAAATTTAACCATATATTTGTTTCTGTATAGTGTATATGATGATACAGTGCCTTATGTAGCTATGAGATCAGCAAGTGCTTTACTGGGGTTATTGATGGTTCCAATGGCTTACTTGACAATCCGTGATGGAGGACATTCAATGTTGGCTGCTGTACTGGCCGCGCTGATAGTTTGCTTTGGTAACAAAAAGAATATATATATATATATAAAGCTTTGTTTATTTATTAATGGCTTGGGCTGTGCAATTGATAGAAAACAGTTTGGTGACCAACAATAGGTTGATATTACTGGATTCATACTTGCTGTTCTTTACCGCATTTACAATCATGGCATTCAACAAGTTTTACAAGCAGATCAATAAGTGAGTTGAAAAAAAAATTCAATTAATTAATTAATTTCTAATTGAATGGTCGCTGAAATTGAAATAATAAAGCCCTTTTGGTGCTCGTTGGTGGACATGGCTTGCGTTGACAGGTATTGGACTTGGACTTACTGTGAGCTGTAAATGGGTTGGACTGTTCGTGATTGCGACAGTCGGATTCTCTACAATCAAAGATCTCTGGAGAATATTAGGAGATGTGCGAATCTCAAAGGTAATTTTTTTTTTTACATGTACATTACAAAATATCACACCTAATCCAATTTACTTTATATACGTATATCTTTAGGGAAAATGTGTACATCACTTTCTTGCTCGTACTCTGTGTCTTATCATAGTACCTTTTATGATATATACTGCTACATTTTACATTCACTTTAAGCTGCTTCCTTTGTCTGGTGATGGTGATTTCCACATGTCAAACACTTTTAGACAAACTCTTGTTGGAAATGCAGTAGATGAGACCCCAATTGGTACGTTTTATCAAAGGCATAGTCATTTGCATAATACTGAACCTATATATATATATATATATATAATTAATTAATCAATTAATTAATTAATTAACCCAAAAACACACACTCACACACACAATAATTAGATATTTCCTATGGTTCTCATATAACTATCCGCCACTTGGCTACCAATGGAGGTTTTCTTCACTCTCACAATTCAACATACCCTGAAGGAAGCAAACGTATGTAGATTCTCACCCTTCAACATCACACACACACATACAAAAAAATCCAAGTATTGATTTATGCCTGTATACCAATTGTTTAGAGCAGCAAGTAACATTATATCCACATCGTGATGTAAACAACTGGTGGAGACTTCGGAAAGCAAACAGTACACTTGAGACTGAAGAAGTGGAAGGAGATGTGATTGGGTCTGATGGAGAAACCCCCCTTGAATGGATCTATGATGGCGATATCGTTCGTCTTGAACATATCTCTACAAGTCCTCGCAAACTACACAGCCATGATATAAGTGCTCCTTTGACAGACAATGACTACACCAAAGAAGTCAGGTAAAAACTAAATATAAACTATCTGCCAATATATATATATATAATTCTAAAATTGGTAAATTTGGTAATAGTGCATATGGATTTCCAAATTATGAAGGTGATTCCAACGATCATTGGATAGTAGAGATTGAAGACGGGCCCACCGAAGAATCAAGAGAAAGACTTCAATCTCGTCAGACACAGTTCCGTCTTGTCCACGCAACGCAAAATTGTGCATTGTTCTCCCACGATGTCAAACTACCAGATTGGGCATTTGGACAACAAGAGGTTGCGTGCATGTTGAGTGCAAAGAAACCAAAAACCCTTTGGATGATAGAATCAACCACAAATGAATTGTGTAAGTAAAAAGGAAAAAAAAAATATTAGCAATTTAAGGTCAAGAATAAATTGATTAACTAGATGAAGGATATATATATATATATTTGTACTTGCAGTACCTGAGCCTGTTGATATGATTGGCTATGATATTCCTGGCTTCTGGGGAAAGTTTTTTGAGCTGCATCGAGTTATGTGGACCACAAATGCTGGACTTACTGGCGCACACCCTTATGAATCTCGGCCCTCGACATGGCCTATGCTCAAGTCTGGGGTGTCTTTTTGGGCAAGGCCAGGAACACAAATATTCTACATCGGAAACCCTGTGATTTACTGGCTCTCAACTGTGGCGGTATTTACATACATGATCTTGTGGGGATTCTTCCGATTCTTGGCCAAGACCAACCGCCCGGACCGGTTTCCTCATCGCCGCCCGTTCTTTGAAAACGCAGCCGGGTTTTATGTGGCCGGTTGGGCATTCCATTACATTACTTTTTACCTCATGCATCGACAGTTGTTCCTGCACCATTATCTGCCTGCGTTGTACTTTGGTATCTTGGTATTCGGTGTTGGTCTTGATCTTGTGTTTTTGCGCCTTCGACCCTTTCAACGCGTGTTGGTGGGTGTGTTGGTCTGTTCCTTGGTTATCTATAGTTTTGTGGAGTTTTCGCCTCTTACTTATGGTACTGAATGGACTCGTGAAGCGTGTGAAGCATCACGGTGGTTACCCTCGTGGAAATATAGATGTGACGGGTAAGAATATATATATAAATTTATTTTTATTTATTAACTTTTTCTTTTCTTCTTCTTCTCTAGGTATGAAAGCCAATTGACAAACCATTCAGCATCACTCATTAACACCGATGACGCAATAAGTACTGTTATCGAAAACACCTTGGTTACATCTATAGATCCCTAAGTTTTGCATACAACCTATATATACAATTCAGGCGCTTGTATTATATGAAAAATGACATAAGAAACAAACAAAAAAAAAGGGGGGGGGACAAAAAGAGAGGAGGATTTTATGTGTATAAATATCCAAAACTCAAAATATCTAAATATATAAAATATACCATCATATATCCTTCTAAAACCAATCTTTCTTATTTATATTTACTATTATAAGAAATTGTAGAACTCAAGGTGTTGGAGTAGCAAGAGAGTCATGACTCCTAAGCATTTCTTAAGCTAATAGAATGTCAACTCTTGGCCTATCAGTTGTAATTCTTCTTTTTTAACTAGCAAATACGATTTATGGGATTCTAGTAGATTATTGGGCGGTTTTTTTTGTAGATAATGCAAAAAGAATACAACTGATCCAATCAAATGTTCAAAATATGGCAGATCTAGACTTATCTATTGCCTATGCTAAAGAAACTACTCTATGTCTAATGTCATTCTCACTGATGTAGCTTTAAGAACTTATGTTTTATCACAAATCATTTCTTTAGGTAAATTGCAATATGGTGTATAACCTATACTTCTTCTATCACTACTACAGTTCACGCCTAGTAAACACGATATCCAACAAGTGATTTGAAGTAATTAGTAGTACTTTTTTTTTTTTTGGAATTACAAACATTTTGCAATTCTTGTGCGCTGGGATAAAAAGAAAACTACTACATCTTGTTACTACCATATTAAGTAAACCTTAAACCATATATTTGAAATATGCAACAACTCCCGTTTTTTTTCTCAACTATCTCTTTATATATACACAAAGACTGGGGTTTGCTTTTTTGATGTTAATGTATTGTATTGCCTGTTATAAGTAATTATCCAGATACATGTACTTTGTTTAATCTTTGATATCTTGACTTTTGTTTCTTTGACTAATTTCTTGGTATTTTTGGGTCTGGACAAACTTTGGAACTGTATCTTGAGCCATAGTTCGGCATACATGTTCGTTCACGCATCTGAGCATTTCTATCAGTTCCTGCAAACATTCCTCAGGGAGTCCTTTAGTCAAATGATCAGAATCGTTGAAAAGGTGTGTGGCGGCACCCTGACTCGATTCACTGTTGTTCGTATTGTTCGTGTTTGTCAAGAAACTGATGGGATGTAAGGCCGTGCTAAATGGTGCGTGTGTGCCTGCCATTCCAGCCTGATTGATAAAATAGGCTGTTGCGTACCGAATGATATCCTGTCGCAGCATATGGTCTATATTGACTTCCGACGGTGCGCATGGGCTTAGATAGGTCATGTACATCTGAAAACAGTCGTTTGCCCACACCTGACGCCGAACCACTATTGAATCTGCGGCAGAAATCCATTTCTTTTCGACTCGGTTATAATCCACCCAGAAGCAAAGATTCTCTTCGCAGAAATTGGACTTCATAAACTCACGAAAATACATCCGCAGCAGGGCATCGTCTAATATGTTTTGAAGACGAGAATAATATGACGCCTTGAGTTTTAAATCATTGTCGGTAGGGTTACCGTATGAGATACTCAGGGGTCGGGCTAAAGGGATTATGTCGAACGATTGCGGTGATCCAGGTGTGATTGTAGTAGTGTATCCACTGTCAGTAAAAGAATTTGACACGCTTCGTTCACGTTTTGATGAATATGGGTCAGAATTAGGATCAGGGTCAGGATTTGATTTTGATTTTGATTTTGAAATTGTCAGTGATAGTGATAGTGGAATCGAGTGGTCTGATGACTTCCAACCAAGGCATTGGCACCCTCTGTCAGTGATGTGGTAGATTGCATTTCGAGAGGATCTAAATATTATATCATTGCCACCCGGAGGTTTGTCTGTCAAGCATTTGATCCACCCACACAGAATGAATTCTGAGCCGATCATCTCTGCCTCTTCCCTATTGACTACGGTGGTGTATTCACACAGCCAATCGATACACTGTGATCCATAAAAAGTATATTGGGTATTTTTTGCAATTCTGGTATCAACTCCTATCAAAAGGATAAGAAAAATAGAAGTGTAAATACATACATATAGTAACAACAACAAAAAGGGACATACACTATTTTATATCTTATATTTTATATCTTATATTTTACCATTCACTTCATCTGTGAGTAATACATCACAGGGAACGTATTGAGTCATCAACTGAAAGGCCAAAGAAACACTTGGACGCGAAAAAGCCAAGGTGTTATCACGGTTATTCTGACGATCGAGTGTAACGACAGATATGGTTTTTAGTTTGTCGAGACAGGCAGTTAGATGATCAATGGAAATCTGGGCACGAATACTAAAGTCTTGGATCATGCATTTTCCTTTTGGGGTTGGGCACCAGATCGCTTTGTCTCGGATGAGTCGATTGGAAGGGTCGGATGCGTTTTCGATCAGTCTTGCCTGAAGAAACTGTTGGCACAACGTCTTGGCCATCCCACTTGTCATGCTAAATGTTGTGGTTGTGCGGGTAGAGACATGTCTGGTCGGATCAAGCGGATCTGGGCCACGGTGGACATGAGTGAACTGAAGGTGGCCCAGGATCTCGACTGCCTCTTCGGTCGTAAAGCTGAAAGGGTAGGTACGAAAGAGAGTTCGATGATCAGAAAGTGGCATCTGTATTATAAAGGCAGCAAGAATATCATGAAGGTCCTATATATATTTTTTATATATACACATACACTTGTTTCGTCAATTGATGGTCCTGATTGTAGAGCTGTTTTTATTTACTTTGCAGTGCGGTCTGCCAGCAGAAGTAACACGCATCATGGTGGTGTATGTCGAAAGACTTCTGAGAGTGTTTGGCATAATTATAAGATAGTAGTAGCCAAATGTTATCTATCTATCTATAGACTGTCTTGCTCTTATCCGTATTATTTAATACGAAAAAAGTGGTAATAGTGGTAAGTAATGAAGAGAAAGAGAAAGAGAGATAAGAATAAAAAGAGGGGGCTGTAATGATTCTTGACAGGTTTGGCTATTGAAAAAAAAATATATATATAAAATCTCATTCCACATGTTTAATGTTCATTTCCTTTCTTTTTCTTCTAATTCCCGGCCTATTTCAGGAGACATTGATTGTTGGGTCGTACGGGATCAAATAGTAAGGCTCAAGCCTACCATTTCACGGTGGTAGCACCGTCAGTTATTTTATTTTATTTTACTTTACTTTTATAAATATTTAAAAGCAATTGAATTTCAATTGCACTTTATTTTTGTAGGTGACATATATAAAGCTTTTTTGTGAATAAAAAGGCAGCCTATAGAGAGGAAGAGGAGAAATACATGATCATATTTGGGAATGTATTGGAGTGCAATAGAGTAAATTATGGAAGTATTTGCGGTACCATGCATTGTTCTGGAGCTCTCGATTAGACGTAATCGGGCATAAAAGAAAGAACAATACTACGCATTACGAGAACAAAAGAGATCATAAGAGATAATTCTTTTTTTGGTTTGTTAATATGTGTAGTACGATGATAATTAAGACTGAGGACCTCCTAAAGTAGTACAGTCTATAATTGGGTATTCTCCACCTAAGGAGGGGGAGAAGATACAGACAGACACAGACACAGACCACATCACAAACACACCATATACGTTAATAAAGATGTTTCCGGTGTATACCAACCATACCAACCATACCTTTCCATAATTCTGTTTTTTCTTTCGTACGTTCTAGCCATTTATATATCATACCAGGTTTCTACTATAAGCAGTTTGGCTTGGAGTTACGGTCAAATCTAGAAAACAAAGAATAAATTCGAATTTTCTAAGCTAATGCATAATATTCTGGTGAAGGCGAATAGAATACAAGTATTAAAGAATGGCTTGTCTTTATTGTAAGAACATTGGATGATTCTTAGGTAATTTAGGAATTATTGAATGGAAAGGTAAAAGGGGGTTTGGTCTGGTTTTGTGACCTTGATTATAAAAATACTTGTAACATTATGATAATGATTGAACCACTGTGTAATATGTGCACATTCCAAGATTGGTAACTTGTGTTCCTACTTAAACACATTCATACACCCACACACACAAAGAAGGTAGAAAAGCAGAACAGTAAAGATAGAGATACACGCACACACAATTTGGTTTTTGTTTTTGTTTTTTAATAAGAAAAATATATATATATATAATGTTAAAGAGGTTGTTTGAGAGAAATGTACTTCTTTGTTTGTTTTTTTTTTTTTTTGCTTTAACCCTAAAATTTACAGACGAGAGATTCATTTGGTAGAAAGGGCAGCAACACCAGGCAACTCCTTGCCTTCCAACAACTCGAGAGAGGCACCGCCACCAGTGGAGATGTGGCTGATCTTGTCACCAGCACCCCAGTTCAATGCAGCAGTGGCGGTGTCACCACCACCAACGACGGTTACAGCACCGTTCTTGGTTGCCTCGATGACGGCGTCAAGAGCGGACTTTGTACCAGTAGCGAACTTCTCAAACTCAAACACACCACTGGGACCGTTCCACAGGATGGTCTTGGCCTTCAGGATTTCCTCACGGAAGATGGCGTTGGACTCCTTGCCGCAATCAAGACCCATCCAGCCCTCGGGGATACCATCGGCATCAGTAGAGTAGCCAGTCTCGGCATCAGGAGAGAACTTGTCAGCGGTGATGTAGTCGACGGGGAACACAAGCTTGACGTTCTTGGCCTTGGCCTTCTCAACCAAATCATGGACGAGTCCAGCACCAGACTCGTCGAACAAAGAGTTGCCAATCTTGACATCATCGAGGGTCTTCTTGAAAGTGAAGCTCATACCACCGCAGATGATCAGAGAGTCAACCTTGTCAAGAATGTTCTCGATCAACTTGATCTTGTCAGAAACCTTTGCACTAATTTTTTTTTTTAAAAAAAATAAAAAAAAATAGGAAATTGATTTAATTTTAGTTTGAGTACTTGACTTATCCCACTAACCCAACCAACCGACCAACTTACCCGCCGAGGATTGCAAGGAAAGGACGCTCGGGGTGTTCGAGAATCTTGGCAAAGTACTCCAACTCCTTCTGCATCAAGAAACCAGCGGCGCGCTCGGGGAGCTCGACACCGACCATGGAAGAGTGGGCACGGTGAGCAGTACCGAAAGCATCGTTGACGTAGACATCAGCAAGACGGCTGAGGGAGTCACGGAACTCCTTGACCTTCTGGGCATCAGCCTTGACCTTCTTGCCCTCGGCATCCTTGGCAGAGCCTTCCTCCTCAATGTGGAAACGCAAGTTCTCCAACAACAAGACCTGGCCGCCGGTGGCTTCCTTGCAGGCCTTCTCGGTTTCGGGACCAACACAATCCTCAAGGAACTCGACGGGCTTGCCGAGAAGCTTGGAGACTTCCTCGGCCACAGGCTTAAGCGAGTACTTGGCGACAACCTCACCATTGGGACGGCCGAGGTGGGACATCAGGATGACGGCGCTGGCACCTTGTTCAAGAGCATACTTGACGGTGGGAAGAGCCTGGATGATACGGTTGCTGTTGGTGATCTTTCCATCCTTGATAGGAACGTTGAAGTCAACGCTATTGTTACCAAATAACGATTAATATAGATATTTATGCAAATAATGAATTTATTGTATTGACGCGTCTCATAAGATGTCTGTAGATGGTGTGTCTGTAGTCTTACCGGATGAGGACGCGCTTTCCCTTGAGATCGATGTCGCGGATAGAGAGCTTGTTGGAGAGAGACATTATGTTTTAAGAGAGAAAGATGAACAAGAAACGAATATGGACGGACTGGGGATCTTATTAAATCTTTGTATGGGGTATTTTAACATGCGATTTCAACTGACGTAGAAAGACACACACACACAGAGAGAGAGAGAGAGAGACACTAGGACGGTTGAAAATCTTGGTAATATAAAATAAAGTAAAGTAAAAAAATTAATATAGAAAAAGTGCATGGGACTCGCCAGGGTTTCTTGTCTTGTACCTTGATTCATATTCAATCTTTCTAATAGCAATTAGTACTATATATTTTTATTTTATTTTTCTCTCCCTCGGGTTCTCCCGTTTAAATACCCATTGTTTTCATGTGCTTTTCATACTTGATTTAACTATAAGGCAAAAGTCAGACGCGTTAAATTGACAGAAAATATGGTTGTTTCATTGGCTGATAAATCAAATAATTCAGTTAAGCAGCTAGACAGGTAGTTAGGCAAGCAGATAAGTCAATCACTCAATCAATCAATCAATCAATCAAAAATACAACCATCGGTTATATTTTTCCCAACAAAATATTAAATATAAAATATACATATATAAATTATATTTGCAACACACAAACACGCTTTATGTACACATGTATATAATATAAAATAAATTATAATATATATATATTTTTTGGCTTCCAATTCTAATTATATCTTTGTTGAGAAGCACGATTTTTATATACAGAAAAAAAAAAGGATAATACTTTGGTATTCTAATCGCCGTTTGTATATTATAACCATCGCAATACGGAATGTGAATTCTTAATTTTTTTATATAAAAAAAAAAGTAAGGAATTATTTTGGATCTTTCTTTCGTCCTCCAACCTAGGTTATTTTATTTAGAATAAATAAATAAATAAAAAAAGATATTGCTTGTTAATATAATATGGGTAGACAGATGAAGATGAAATGATTTTTATATCATTCGAGTTGATTTACCTGAACAACCTTTGAGAATATTCTGTCTACGACACTCTTGTCTAGATCACCCCAAGTGACTTGCCAGCCTTCTCCATCCTGGAAACTTTCCATGTCGGACCAGCTGCCAAACACTGGCCGATTATCCAAAGGCACTTGTCGCCCAGATGCACTTGTGATAGTTAAGATCTTACGAGTACGGAATGTAGCAATCTGATGGATCTTTTCTGCTAGCGAAAGTCCAGTTTCTGTAGGTTCAACTACGATCCACACTCGATGTTCTTTATTGATTGACTGGACTGTAATCTGGCGTACCTTTCCTATGATCAAATAATAATAAGCAAAAAAAAAAAGTTCAATTTATTTTTATTTTTTGCTTACGTTCTGGGCTGGTATCCTTTTTGTTTTTCTTGTTGTCTTTTGGTGAAATGGAACCAGCCTTGTGTGGCATGTGATGGAAATCTTGGTCTACCAATGATTCACTATAGAATGCTTGATTGGGGGGTACATCGGCATTGTTATGAGGTTCTACAAATCCGGCTGGTGGATATTCTTGTTGATGAGTTGGCGGATAGTTGTTATATGTCTCTTGAAGCTGTGCAGGTGGATAACTAGTATATGGATCTTGCTGGATTGGAAGATTGTGGTTGTATAGATCCTGGTGGTTTGGGATTGTATTTGTAGTGGGTGGGTAAGGATAGATTTCCTGGTTTGACATTACGGTTGTGGGTGGGTAAGGATAGACTTCCTGGTTTGACATTGTGGCTGTGGGTGGGTAAGGGTAGATTTCTTGATGTGACATGCTAGTGGAATATGAATGATCATGAGGTTGATGTTGATGCTGAGGATGAGGATGAGGATGAGTCTGTACAGGATATAACGGATCTGGTTGCATTGGGAGTGAATAGGGGTACTGGTCTTGTGCTACCCTGTAGGCTGTTTGCTCTTGTCCCATTGAAGAGTAACTGTAAGGCTCTTGTGTGACGGGGTAACTAAAGTGATCGCTTGTCCCACTATAGACAGGCAAGGAACGTCGAGCGGGTGGAGCCGGAGGTTGTGGAGGCAATGGTTTTGCAGGAGATCCATAACACGTCACATTTCCATCCAAACGTTGCCAAGAAGGAGGAGGAGGAATAGAAGAAAGAGGAGGATAATATTGCTCAGCGCCCATGACCTGCTGCTGCTGCTGCTGCTGTTGTTGTTGTTGTTGTGGTGACTGTATTTGCTGTGGTTGGAGTTGCTCCTGGAACTGGAATTGATCATTTGGGCGTAATACAACGCTAGAACGTACTGCTTTATTGGACATTTTCCAACCATCTTCTTCTGACCCACGGCTGTTGGTTGTTTTCCATGACTCTCTTATAGACATTCGACGGGATTTATCAAAAGGCATCGATCGTCTATGGTTGAGGGATGCCTAAATAAACAGATGTGCAATACCATCGATCGATTGATTGATGGTATTTATAAGTAAAATAAAATAAAATAAAACAAGAAAAGAAAAGAAAAGCTTCGCCTCCACTTTATAATCATATATATTTTATTTAATAGATCTATATCTATATTCTCAAGTGCTGCTTTGGCTTACTTGTTCATACCCGTACATTGTCTGCCGCTCATAGTCTTGTCCTTTGTTGTTGTTGTTATTGTTATGGTCGTTTTTGTTAATCGAGATTCATTTTCAAACACGCAATGAATGCTTTTTTCCTGTTTTTTTTTTCTTTAAAGGTACAATAAAATTATTGTCTTACCTGAAAAGTGATTAGATGACATCAAGGATGACTGAGCATTCATTTCGAATCAATACAAAATAACCAAAATAAAGAAGTAGAGAAACCAAAAAAAAAAAGAAGTAAAGTGAATGATACCAAGAAAACAAAAAAGAAGAAGAAGAAGTAGAAGTAGAAGAAAGAGATGATCAATAAGTTGCCGAAACAGTACGTAGATATAATTCCAAAAACAGCAATAGTAATAATAATAATAATAATAATAATAATAATAATAATTATAGTAATAAAACTATATAAAAGCCTTTAAATATCTATATCCTTATTTCTATGAACATAGGCTAATAGAAGTGCTACTTCTCTACCATACCAAACAAAAAGACCACAATTGTAAGCATAAATATATATAAAGAAACAGAACGAACGACACATGCTTTAGGTTACAGTGGCAAGATCAGATGTCAAACCGCTATAGCATATTTGACATTGACTTTTGTTAATGGTCAAAATAATATATATTCTCAAAATATTCAATCTCTAAAGTTGGGCAAAGGTTTGCTATTATTGCCATTATCATTATTAATCCTAAAGGGCAATGTGTAAAATAAAATATAGATTTAATATATCCACACAATTTTCTTCTTCTTTTATATATATATATATATATCTTTGGCTCACTCACATAAACGGTGTAGACACACTAAAAAGTTCAAAAGAAAAATCAGGATAATATTAGCCAATAAAATTAATTTACGACTGTCCACCCCAAAAGAATTTCAAAGGTGGGAAACAGCGATTTCTTTTTAAAAGTGTAATGCCCAGAAAAAAAGAGTGGGTGGTCAAAGGTTCGTAAATCAAGTTTTTTTTTAAAAAAAAAATTGTAAGAACATTAAACACAATGTTAATTGCTAGAGGTACATAATTAATTTTTCATGGTTTTCATTTACTATTATATACATCTTTCTATGTACTTTATTTTATTTTTCTCTTCTTCTTTTTTCATATCAATAAAGCCAGTAGTCCAAATCTCCTAGCTGAAAGAACTTGAGTTAAAATATAATAATGAAAATGAAATTACAGTATTGAAAGTAAGGAGGGAGTTGTATCTTTCTTTTAATGATAAAGAGAAAAAGGGAATGGTTGATTCAGCTTACTTTATACCGCTCTAAAACAATTGTGTGCGTCCCCAGAATTCTCATGATAGGTTTCCAAGGTGATTTTCAGAAAATGAAAGAAGTAATAATTACCTGAGAAACTAGTTATTTTTTTTATTTTATTTTATTTTATTTTATTTTATTTTATGCTGATCAAAGTAAATTTTGGTTGCACAATTGTTACATTATAGTCGACCACCAAATTACCTTATTTAATACGTCTTTTCTATATAAATATATATATAACTTTATTTTAATTTAAAGAGAACATTAAATATTCAATAGTAAGAATAGTAATACAGCAAGTGAAATATAAGAAGAAGGAGGGATCTGTTAAAGGCCTTGAGGTTATATGGAACTTCTTTATAAATTGTCGGAATGTAAATAGATAAATAAATTACACCTCCACTATTTGACAAATATGGGAGTTAGAATACTCCCAAAAACACCTTTTTTTAATTAATAAAATTAATAAAAAAAATAAAAAATAAAGAAAAAGATATATATATATATTTCTTCTTCTCCTTATTTTCTTCTTCTAATTCTTTCTTCTTCTTCTTTGAATATTCAATCATGACCGAACCAGCAAAACGTAGTGGACGCCTTACTCTAGGAAGGAATGCAATGTCAATGAACAACATCAAAACCCCACCATCTCTGCGCTCCATTGCACGTCTTGGTTCATCATTTGCCCAAATCTCACTTTCTCCAAGTTCATCAACCACAACGATCCAAGACGATGACACGATGTTACAAGACATTCTCAACGTCAGAAAAGCACTCGATCTCTTCTTAGACTCCCGGATCCCCGAGGCAGAAGCTATCCTTGCGCCACACCGCAAAAAATCGATGTATTATTCACTAGGTCATGCTTTCATTCTCTTCCTAAAGAGCATGATGACCTTCCAGCAAACAGACATCCAGACTGCTCTCGATGCTCTCAAGGACACGGTCCAGATTGCCAATGGACTGCGAAGAAAGGACGGTAGCTGGCTTGCCTGGGTCAAAGGCAATTCGGTCAATGATATCAAAGACATGTCCCGTGTACATCGTCATGCTGTAAGCCAAATCAATTGGATTACCCTTTGCTTTTGATTGACTCAATTGAAAAAAATAATATATATATATTAGGAGCTGGTGTTTGCAGAATCTTATCTACTCAAGGCACTGCTCAGTATTCTCAATGACGAAAGTTTGGTTTCATTCTTGAGAGAAGGTCTCCATGTGAGAAACAGCTACAACACCTACAAAATCCTCGAAAAATATGTCAGTTTTGTTGACCAAGAGGCTGCAGAGGGAAAAGATGTCTCGGCCTATGGTCTCGATGATCATTTTACATCAGGTGTAGCCTTGGGAGTTGGCTGCTTCAATATCATGCTGTCCATGTTACCAACATCTGTGTTGAGAGTAGTAGAATTCATTGGGTTCTCAAGTGACCGTGCTCATGGGCTTTCCATGCTAGAATCAATTGGAGGCTGGGAAGATTACCGTGGTACAGAGGGGTTACCTACCCCGCAAACACAGGACGAAGGATTACGTCGCCAGTTCTGTGATATGGTCTTGATGGCCTACCACATCATGCTGTCCAAGGTGGTCCCATTGTCAGACGCCGATCCCGAAATTGCCTCCAAGGTCTTGGCCTATAACTTGGGACTCTATCCTTCAGGTGTCTTCTTTTTGTTTTTTTCAGGGCGCCAACTCTCATCCCTTGGCCAATTCGAGGATGCTAAAGATCAGTACAGACGGGCAATTGATACTCAAAAGGACTGGAAACAGCTGCAACACATGTGCTTTTGGGAACTAGGATTGCTACATCTAATGCAACACCAGTGGCAGGAAGGTGCCAAAGTGTATGCGATGCTGACCATTGAGAGCAACTGGTCCAAAGCCGTCTACACATACCTCGAGGCCACTGCTCTTCACCTCTATACCCAAAGCCAGTCTCGTTCAGATCCCGTTATTGTCAAGAAGGTTGCAACCATGATGCGTTCTGTCGACGGAGCCAAGCAAAAGATTGCCGGAAAATCTATTCCACTTGAGGTTAGTCCATTTATAAATATAAATATAAATATAAATATAAATATAAATATACTTCTAGCAAATTAATCTGTATGTATATACATATAATTGAAATGGGAATTAACATTAACATTACATCAGAAATTTGTTGCTAGGAAATCTCGCAAGTTCATTAGCCAGGACAACTATTTGGTATTGCCCGACTTAGAGCTACTGTCTGCTCTCGGAACTCTAGAGTTCATGCCAAGTGAAGTACTGCGGTCAAACATCAACCGAATCAACAGACTTCTCGAGACTCTTCAGTCCACGCGAGATGATGATATTTGCCTGGCACACTACTTGCGTGCCCAATTGACACGACTTTTGATCGACCGTAGTCCCCAAGCTTCCCGTAAAGTGCTCGAACAGAACCACAAGGTGTCGATTGATACAGTGATGGCACATGCTCCACGAGTAACACTCGACCACTACATTTATTATTTTACACACTATGAGAATGCGCGCATGATGATTTCCAAACAACTTTACACAGAAGCAGAGACAGAGATCCAGAGTATCCTGCGGACGAGCGAAAAGCGTAGTTATAATATGGGAGCCACATCCCGCGCAAAGAGCAAGTATAGTCTTGAAAGCGTATTACTGTTCAAATGTCACAATTGTCTAGCTGAGATTAAGGCACTCAATAATGATAATGATAACAACTCAGGATCCTCTTCATCCGATTTTGAAGACGCCGTCCAAGAATTTTAACCAAAAAACAAACAAACAAAGAATATACAAGCAAACAATCAATTAATCAATCAAATCCATACACACCACACACCACATATTACACATTATACACACTATACAAGCACGTATATATCTTTTTATATATATGTATATATTATTTGGCATTCAACCCCCCCTTTCTTTCTTTCTTTTTTCATTATAGTCATCACATTTTAAAATTTTCAAAAATTTGGCGTTTTCCATCAGAATTAGCAATAAACGTATCGCCTTCGAATAAACAGCCTTCCTTGATAAGTTTGGAGCGCTTATTGCATACCAATTGTGAATCTCCCGAACCACCAGCAAAACCACCAATTGATAGATTAGAGGTAATTACTCTATGACATGGTACTGGCAAAGGCATAAATGGATTCACTCGCAATGCTTGCCCAACAGCTCTAGGCCCAGATTTGAGAGAATCGCTGAGAGACTTGTAACTAGTAACTTGACCTTTTGGGACCTTTTTTTTTATGTATGTATATATATATAACAATAAAAGAAAAAGTAGTTGCAAAGTAAGTATTAACAACTACTTTAAATATATATATGTGTGTGTGTGCTTACCTGTGCACATAAATCATATACTGAATACTGAAAGTCTGTTATGGGTTTGTTTGTCTTTGGGTTTATAAAAGTCTTTCGATCTTTAGGTGTTTTGGGAAAGTACTTGACAGCTTGAAAAAGAAACAAAAAAAAAATACAACTGTTTGTTAGGCTTTGAACACTTTGCTTTTATTTTATTTATTTATTTTTTTTTAAAAAAAAAGCAAAAATAAAATAAAAATATTATCTTGACATTCGACTGCGCAAATGACCATTTCAAAGTTTGAGATTCTTACTCTCAATGTCGTCTTCCACTTCAATAATTATTTTAGACTTCTTGCTCAATTTACTGACAGAAACTGTTTTTGAAATAGCATTTGCATTAGAAGAAGTAGAAGTACGGGTTGTACGTTTGGTTTGTGTGGTAGACGGCATAATGTTAATTTTTAAAGGCTCTAATAAAAATTAAAAATTTAAAAAAGGGGTAAGAAATATAAAAAAAAAAAATTAAAGACCGAAGTGAAATAAAAAGCATTTTGGCCGTCTTTCTGTCTTCAATATCTGGGATTTAATCCATTATTTTTAATCTCAGTTAATATCACTTTAGTGTTTGTTTAAAGTCTGTTTCAATTACTCTAGCACCTCTTGCTCACTCTATTTATCTCCTTTTTTCATATATATATATATATATATATATATACAGTAAATAACACATTATGAACAAGCAACTTCCGTTGCACAACAAGGAGCATAAGAATGAATATGCCTGGACACGAAATTATCGTACATTCCGCAATCAGATCGACCAATTCCCTCGCATTGCCATCTTAATCTTTGCTGCAGTGATTCTACTTTTATTGGGTTGGTCACGATTGCCCATCGATTCACCGTATGTGCCATTTGAAAACGTCTCACTATCGGGAGAAAGTGGATACAACATCGATCCTGAATTGTGGTCACCTCGGTCGGTCAGAATAGCCAACGTTAATAACAATAATGATGACCAGACTGCCTTCCCAGCCAGTCTTTTTACCACCACCGCACTCTCGAAAAACAAAATGAAGCCTGTTACTGCTGTCCTTCTGCGGGTCTCGGAAGACGAACAGGATATGCATACACTTGTACATCATTTACTTGGCTATCCATTTATTACCGAAATCTATATCCACAACCTCGTCAAATCCAAACCGTTGGAGCTGCACGCCCTTGCGCTCAATATCACTCTTTCGAGTGCAGTAAATATCGAGATCTTCGAGAGTGACGAGGATCTGGATGACATGGCCCGGTTTACTACATGCTCAGTCGCATCAAACGCACACTGTTATTTCCAAGACGATCTGTGGTTGCACCCGTTTATGGACAGTGCTTACACCAATTTCTTGCAAGCACCAAATCTTGTGCATTCTATGGCACAACCTCGTAACTATGCAGACCACCTAAGATGGCGTTTTAAAAATGAAGGTAGACAATAGTAATAACAGTGGAGATATCTTTGGATACGACAAGCTAAACTTAAAGTGCTTATTTGTTCTTTGTGCGTGTGTGTGCTTTTGGGTATTAAATATAGGGTTGAATATGCATGCCGGCTATGCTGAATTAGACACTGGTGCGTTTGTGCCTCGTTGGAAGGTCCAGAGTTTTCTTACACAGCTGGGCAAATCTGGTATGGGAAAGAGTCGTTTGCGTCGTGCAGATCGATACTTTTCAGTGTGGACAAATCAGTACCCCTGGATTCTTGAAAATCCATTAGTGTCTCTTCAGCCTGTCGTGACCAATGCTATGATGGCAAATCGAGCAAACATTCAGCAAGGATTGGTAAATACATACATACATACATACATACATATATAAATAAATATAAGCAGAGAAATAGATAGACATAGAAATGCAGTAACGAAATACAAAATACAATTAGAGAGATCGTGCATTATTTTGATACTACCTGCAAAAAAAAAAGAAAAAAGTAGTTTAACGTTCAAAGTAGTATGATGCCATGAGACGAATGCAGCGTGTATTAGAAGACGATAAATCATTAGCACCCAAGGATTACTTTGAGAGATTTGAAGATGTTCCTGTTCCATCGCAGAGAGATGTAAGGTAAGTTATTGTAAACTATTAATATTATTTATTTGATTTGATTTATTAATTTATTTAATAGATCAGCATGTGCTAATGATAAGTGTCTATTTACGACCAACATGAGTCCTTTCCCAAGACCAGAGGACATTGAATTCACAAAGGAATTCATACCAAATCTGCACCACCTTGATGCCCTTTATGAAGATGGTGGATTTGATCTTCCACAGAAACATTACTGGAACACCCATTCTTTTCACATGGCAGTCGATATGGACCCCCAAACATGTTGGAACACTCACAAAAGTAAGAACATGAAGAATAATATACGAATACATATGAAATTTAATTGAAATTTGAAATTTGAAATATATATATTGTATTGTAATGTAATGTAATGCAATGGTGTGTTATGTAATGCGTGTGCTTATTTGTTTGTATTTATGTTATAGGTCCTCGCGCTGGAGATTATTTTGGATTGGCTATAGTGGGAGATATTACTGTTCGTCAATTGACTGTTTTTAGTAGCCAAGAACTCAAGCGCCCAGACAAGATGTTCAATGTGTTTGTTAAAGAAAATGGTGTTAAATGGGCAAGTTTCTTTTTCTCTTTTGTATACCAAAACAATAGATGAATATAGAAATCAGTAATGGATAGTATTAAACTCTTACTAATAAACTTTCTTTTGTATGTATAGGTGGAATGCAATGTCTCAAGCTCTAGAAAAGCCCCTGTGTCACGTAATGCTGTACTAAATCTTAGTTGTCCTGGTGTAACGAGCATAAAAGCCATCAAGGTATCCTTCCAAGAGGATCAAAAAGAGCCATTTGAACTTTGTGGGCTTGCTCTTGATCGTTTCTTTGTTTAACATCGTTTTAGATTCATTAATTAATAAATTATTCGATTTTTTTTGCCTTTCCAATTCAAAAGTTTATTTGAGTAATTTTGGTGTTATTTGTGGGATAAAATGGGAGGGATGATTGAGAAGGTTAATTATGTATGTATCTGTGGTTTATGTTATACGTTAAAATAAAGAAAGAGAAAGAAAAATAGGCTATAGGCTTTATAGGCTTATAGACTAGATGATCCAAAAAGATAAGAGATTGGGATGAAGAAGTAGAAATAATAATAATAATAAAAAAAAAAAGGTCAAAAAATAAGTGGATATCTTTTTTGTTTGTTTTTTTTTTTTTTGGTCATCACTAACTAATTTGTTCGTTTGTTCGTTTGTTCATTTGTTCATTCAATTGTTCGTGTTGCGTTGCGTTGATTTTTAGGCACCCACATTTGTGATGTGATGGCGGGACAGTGCCTCTGCCAATTGTTGTGCCTGGGCATTTCTTCGGGAAGCAAAATTCTTGTCTGGCTCGGGGCCTCTCGGCTGGCGAATTGGGTGAATTATTCCGCTGGAAGAAGGAGTGGAGGCTCCACTACCAGAACCGTTAGAGGCTGAATCAGACATAGGATAAGAAGAATGCCTACAAGTTTGTTTGTTTTTTACATTTAACCACAGTTCATTTAGTTTCATTACGCCTTTAAAGAAAATATCACAGAGTTTTTCACAACTTTTTTCTTTTGTTTTAAAATAATAAAACAGTAGTGTGCTGTTTATACTTACAATGTTGTCTTTCTATAATAGCTGCTATCTCTCTTGCCTCCTTCTGACAATTGACTAAGCCGATCGCGGCTGGTGCTCGGACGCAGATTCACACGCGATGTTTTCTAATCGGTAACACATTAGTTCCAAATAGAGCATGACAATCATCATAGTTGGTGCGTGTGTGCGTTGTGTACGTTGTGTGCGTTGTGTGCGTGTGTACGTTGTGTGCGGGTGTATTGTATTTATATACCCACTGATAAATAAAAATGTATGTATTACTTACACGCAAGTGCTGTGAACCATTATTGCTAGTCTTCTTGGCAATGAAGATTTGGCGATCAGGGCCAAATCCTTCAGAGTAGTGCGAAAGACCGAGTTTCTCAGCAATGATGTGAGCGTCTCGTCGTTCCTTCAGGCCCATGGATTTCGACAGACCCATCTCATGGCGGTTCTGGTCACATCGGAAAACGAGCATAAGGTCATACAGCTGAAGTACAGCCGGGTCGTTTAAATCAAGGGAGTCTAAATAATATATATAAGTCAAAGATTGTGATAATGATGATTATTATTAGATTTATCCAATATAATATAATCTAAAAAATACTATTATTATTATTACCATCGTAAGTAGGTTGAGAGGAAGAAGAGGAGGACTGTGCGTTGGACATCTGGCGCAAAGAATGGCTAGATGATTTGCGCTCGATTAGCGACTGGGACAATGAGGAGACCAATGGAGGAATTATCATCTCTGCTGAGTCTCGCTTTCTGTCTTCCTTTTCTTTTTCAAGCGCAGTTGGAAGCACCTTCTTGTACTCGACACGGATCTTGCGGCCCCCAACCTCGAGTCCGTTCAATGCCTTGACTACGATCTCGGTCTCTTGAGCGGTGCGGTAGTTTGCGAATGCCAGACCACGGAATACACCGTTATCAAAGTGGTAGTTGAATGCATAAGGTGGAGGAGTATCCAGAGCACTCTATTAAACAATAAAAAAAAGATCGGTTAATTAAAATATTACACATATTTGTGTTTTATCTTACCAGCATAGCCAACAGGGCATCTTTCTTGACTGAGAAAGGAATATTTTTGATAACCAACGCTGTTGCAATCACTTCCGAATCATTTCCAACGGGTCCAATAAGAGGAGAAGAAGGTGCGGGTGGCGAGGGTGGTCGAGAAGAAGGCCGAGACGAAGGCCGAGACGAAGGGCGGGAGGAAGAGCCATTAGGATCCTTTATAGGATACTTCATTAGACCTTTTGTTTCTTTTGATTATAGATCCTTTATTCTTTCTTTTACCTTTCTTCGCACCTGGCGAAGAGACGCAGGTCGTGAGCGAGGAGAGGAAATGATATCAGCCATGATTTTATTGAGTTTCGTTTATATGATATTTAGATAGAAAGATAGGTTGAAAGTGTGGTAGTGATGATGATGATGATTATGATAATGAAGAATAAGAAAGGCAAAAAAAAATGAATAAAAAAAAATCAAAAAAAAAGAAAAAGGAGAGGGGGATGGGGTAAAAGGAGAGGCAGAAAAGCAACCAACACCTAAAAGATTCACAGCTCAAAAAGAAGAAGAAAAGAAGAAGGCCAATAAAAAAAAATTAAAATATATATATAAAAAAGAAAGTCTATATTCTGAGTTTTAAATATATAAAGAAGAAGAAGAGGGGGGAGAGAAGGGGAATTTACAAGGCAAAGCAAGCATATTTTCGTCATCCTCGCACAAAGTATCATAATTTAACTAGGGACAGTCCATACTAATGGAAAATATATTAGTTTTCCGTAATACTAATTATAAACAATTTATATATTCCAAAGGCCCTAATAAATAAATAAATAAATAAATAAATGAATAATAATAGGGATATTTATTTATTTGTGCATTTGCTTTTGACATCGGCCAATGTTTCCGCAATTTAACCACTAATATTGTTGGATATATTACTTAAACTCCTATAACTTTTTTTTTGATTTATATAAAAAAAAAGAGACCATAATGAATAATTATTAATTATATTGAATTTATTAGCAGATACTAGACTGTCCGTAGTGGCTCAAAAACAACACTAATAACTGTAATCAAATATCTCTATTATATTTTATATGTATAGAGAATAAAATAGAAACTATATTTAGTAGGTAGGTAGGTAGGTAAGTTTGTTGTTGTGATGGTTACATTTGAGTAGTAGAAAGGACCAAAAAAAAAGGGGGGGCAAAGGATTAGAATTAGAAATAGATAGGCTTGTGTATATATATGACACCTGATGTGTAGACTTTACCCATGGGAATTAGCATTAGAACACAGCAGATACCTCTTTAATTTATCTTATTATTTTCTGTGCTAATATCATAGGCTTTTCCTTCCAAAAGCTTTACAGTCTAACGGACAAATAACCTCTTCAAAAATTCATATATGAAATTCAATGCAGCAAAAATAAAAAATAAATTTTTTTCTTTCTTATAGCTCTTTAAAAGATTGCATGTGTGTGTGTGTGTGTGTGTGCGTGTGCGTGTGTTTGACAAGTATAGTCAAGGCAGTTTTAGTCAGAGAGTTGGTGGAGTTAATGCAACAACCTCCACGTGAGAGGACTGTTTTCTTCCAAAGCCTATATTTCATCAAGCGCGAAGCCCCGACACAACCAAAGGGAAGTCTTGCTGCTTGAACGATATTCGGATGGCATACGATTCGGCTGCGGGTGTACCGCGCAATGTAAGCCATGTCCAAACTCAATCACATTCTCATCATTCTATAGGTATTCACTCTACCAACACCAACCGACATTACTCTCACTCCTTTTTGGTCAACCATACGCCAAGAAGAATGTTTCTTGCTCCAAAAGTACTCAGCTCCGGGCACACCTCTCTTTAAGAGTCTAATAAGCACCATAGCTAGTGTGTGAGTTACATAAGGCTGCTGTGTTCAACTTATATAGCACAATGAAAAACGAAAAAAGAAACAAACTCTAATATTTTGTTATTAAAAATAAAATGAAATAAAATGCAATATATATATATATATATATAGGTTTGATACAAAACAATCATCATATCGAATTCTATTTCAAAGAGAAGTCAATTGTACTTGTCTGCAGATAGGTGTTGCCGAAACAGAACAAGCAATTGAAGCAGCCTGGCTATGGATCCAAAAGAATATGATGCCAGAGTTAGATACAATCGATGACTCGTTTCAAAAAGAGGGATGGGTTGTAGAAAAGATGAGCATGGTTGTAACAACCATAGGCAAGTAAATCCTATTGATATTTTTATTTAATCCACTTGGAGGTATATTTTATAGAACCCTTTTTTTTTACCTTTATCTATTAGATACTGGAACTGATGAACTATCAAGCGATGAAGGTGTCCGGAATGCTTCCCGAACATTTCGACAGATCTTTGATGTGCCTTCCTCGGAACGTCTTGTTACTTGTAAATAAAGTGGTCTAAACAAGAAAGAAAAACAACAACAGGCTCTAAAAATGTTTCTCTTGTCAAACATCAGATTACTCCTGCGCCTACAATGGCAGACAAGGGTGGCTTTATATAAGTGAGAATTATCTTGGATTCTATTCATTTTTGCTCGGTATCGAAGCAAAGACCCTCATCGAACTAAAGGAAATCCAAGACATCGCCAAAGAAAAGACCAAACGAAGCATGTTTGGTGACAGTCTAAAGATCATAACAAAAGACAAGGTCGAGGTAAACACAAGCACACACAAAAAAAACAAATAAACAAACAAACATGATTGTTGTTCTTGCTTTATATAAATACAAAATAAATAAAGAGATAAAGGAATAAAGAAAACATTCGGCCTATTTCTTACATTGAACAACCATAGTAGCATATCTTCACAACATTGTTTAAACGAGATGAGGTAAGTTAAAGCAATGGTGTTTTATTATCAGACCTCAAGTATCAAAGTCAAATATCTTCAACTTTTTTTTTAAAATTTTTATTTTTCTTTGCAAGGTCTACGATCTTTTGGTACAGCTGACCGGGCAAGCCATGCTGAGGTTGTTGAAAAACACAGGTACAGATGCACCAGGTGCTTCAAATACTGTATTACGTGGTCTACCGGTACCTTCGACCAGCAGTACCATGTCTCCTCCAAAACCACTTACCCCTAGAAACGAGTCTGGGCAGTTGATCAGCCCACTCAAGCACGACCTCGCGGCCCAGAAGAGAAACACAAGCTTCTGTCTTCACTTCAGGTTACCGTTAGAAGAGCAGCTGGTAGATGCTCTGGAGGCCGACTACACCCAGAAGCCGCCGTCGCATACCCAACAAAGTCACCCTAGAATCACATCTACCAACAGAGCCGAAAGGCGATTAGAAAACAAATGCCGTGGTCGAATTTATCTCTCCGAGACATTTCTGGCCTATGAATCTCAGGAGCGGTTGCCCCACCCACAGCAGCACCAACCATTCTGCTGGTTTGTATTGCCGCTTTACACTATAAAACGTGTCGATCGTGTGAGTACGGGATCGTACACAACCTTGTCGGTGATAACATGGCACAAAATGGAACATATTTTCGAATTGGACGTAAGTTAAAGAAAAAAAAACACATACACAACAACCAAAAAAAAGGGGGGGACTTGGTCCATGCATCTATAATACCATACTGCATTACACTTGTACATAAATTTATGTTTAATTTTTTTTTCATAGGCACTCAAGACAGCTTGTGAGATCTTCTGTAATGCACTACGAAATCACCTAAAAAGTCAGACTGGAGTGATAAAGAAATTAAAGCAATTCTTGACTACCTGCGAATCCGAGCAGCTGGTGTCCACAAAATCTAACCAGCTTGTAGATGTGGATGATCCAGTCGGCGGGCTAGGAATGAAATTTGGCTATCCAGGAGATGCTAGGAAGTCAAAAGACCGGAGTAAACTCAACCTGTGGCGTCAATACTTTGAAGGTAATAAATGGAATATAATATAAAGAATTAAATTGACCTAAATTGGGGGTGGACACACACATACACACACAGCTTATCTTTTGATATTCTTTTTTTCTTCTTCTTACACGTGTTAAACTTCCTTGCTGAGCAGAAAACGGAAGAAACCTGACTATGATGAAACTACCGACATTTGGTAAACTTGTTCGGGTCGGTTTACCCAACAGACTCCGGGGTGAGATCTGGGAAGCCTGTTCTGGGGCAATGTACTCGAGGTTTGCCAATCAGGGACTATACGAAGAACTCTTAGAAACCTACAAAGGACAGACCTCGGTATCAACCGACGAAATCGAAAAAGACTTGAATCGGTCATTACCTGAATATGCGGGATATCAAACTCAGGAAGGAATCGACCGTCTCAGAAGAGTCTTGACAGCATACTCATGGAGAAACCCTGAACTAGGATACTGTCAAGCAATGGTAATTATTACTGTTATTATGGGCATATTAGTAGCTATAGTAGTAATAGTAACGGTATTAAAATAGACTTTTTTTTGGTAGAACATTGTAACCTCGGCTTTGTTAATGTAAGTTTGTTGTACCGAAAACAAAATTACAAACAGGTCATGTAATTTACGAGTCATTTGTAGCTACACAACAGAAGAACAAGCCTTTTGGATCCTTAACATTCTCGTGGATAGCATGTGCCCTGGATATTACAGGCAAGAAAGAAGTGGATATGCTTAAAGAACTTTGTTGCTTCCAAATACCCTTGATGGGTTGCTTACACATCATCTCCACTTTAGTACTTCCATGTACGGGGCCATGCTCGATCAGATTGTCTTTGAACAGCTGGTAGAGCAGACCATGCCAATATTGTGGGATCATTTCAAAAAGACCGATGTGCAACTTTCGGTTGCCTGCCTTCCATGGTTTCTGAGTTTGTATGTCAATTCGATGCCACTCCTTTTCGCATTCCGTGTACTCGATTGTCTCTTCGTTGACGGTCCAAAGATACTATTTCAAATTGGGTAAGGAAATGTGCACAAAATACTTTACAAGAAAGAAAAGGAGTCCCCCCTCCCTAAAAAAAAAAAACACACACACACACACACAAAACCTTTTTTTGCTATCTTGGCTTTCTTCTTCTTTTGGTATTTCTTTAAAGAAACACTAAATTAAGCTTCGTTTTTTTTATATAACAATCATAATTGACTATTGTTTGTTTGTTTGTTTGTTTGGCTGTTTGTTTTTATTTATCAGTTTAGGTAAGCCAAACTCTACTTACACTAAAAAAAACAACAAAACAATTATTAATCTATTCATATAATGTAGCTGTTCTAAAACTCAACGGAGAAGAGCTGTTACAGACCAAGGATGATAGTGCCTTTTTAGATATCCTCAAGAGGTTCTTTACCTCTCTTGACACCCCACTTGATCCCAATTCAAAGCACACTAAAGCAAAAAATCTGACTGTAAGTTCCTTTTCTTTTTTTTAAAAAAAATGTACGCTCATCATAAGCTAGCTCTAACAACAATTATAGAAATTCAATCAAGTCATGCTTGTCGCTGTAAGTTTATATATATATATATATATATATATGTGTGTGTGTGTGTGTGTGTGTTTTATATACCTTTTATTTTCTCACTAATTATTCTGTGTACGTGTGTGTAAACCATCAGTACAGAGAATTCTCCCTAGTTACCGATGAGCTAGTGACTGAGAAACGAAAACAGAATCAATTCAAGGTTATTGCTGGAATTGAGTCTTATACCAAACGTTCGGCTATCCGACATCTCAGAGATATCGGGGGCTTTAACAAGGAAGACATTCCAACTATATACGACAAGTTCTTTGGTGCTCTTTACTATGCAAAGCCAAAAGGAGGAAAAGCAGAGACACATATGGATGTTGAGACCTTCCAAAACTTCTTGGCTAGTCTGACAGATTGGGCAAAGATGAAGGTGTCGGATGGTTCTATAGATTCTAATCTGGATCGTATGTTGGGAGCAAGCTTTATTGGTCGTGTCTTCAACCATTTCAACCACAACAATAATTCGGGCATTAGTTTCCAAGACACTGTACTTGGACTTAGTGAAATCCTTCACAGTGTAAGCTTTTTTTATATATATAATTAGGCTTTACTATATATCTTTTTCAACACTAGTTATTAATATTCATTTCTCTCTCTCTCTTCTATAGGATTTAATGAGTCAGATAGGTTTGTTCTTCACTCTTTATGATGAAGACAAAGATGGGCTTTTGAAGAACAAAGATATTGTAACCATGGCAAAAGAACTCTTTTGGCTCATTTGCCACACAAAGGAAGAAACAATTGCTTGGGACGCTGTCTGTAGTCTAATAGTCCATAGCTACGAACAGTCCGAGATTGCTCAAGGTCATCAACAGAATACTGCTATGCTGGCCCATCGACTGGCCGAACTGTCCATGACCGATCAATCGGCCAGTCTTCAAGAGCGAGTCGGTCAATTGAACGGTGTTCTTTCGGATACTGAGGCTCCAGATATCGAGCTAACCTTGCCATGTTTCCGCATGGTCGTACTTACAAACGAAGCGCTCGAGATGTTCTTTGACCATGGGTTTATAAACAGCTTTCAGTTGGTCAAATCAGCCACTGATCGGCAAAAGAGTCTTGGACGTGAACTATTCGAGAGTCTATTTGCCGGAGGACGACAACTTGCAAAAGAAACACCGGCAGCTTATCGCCCCAGACTCTCACCTAACCCTTCGCCGTCTAGCTCACAAGTCACACTCTCCTCCCATTCACCCAGTGCCTCGGTCACAAACCTCCGTCTATCTACAGATGAAAAGCCAGATGAAAAGGATATGTCGGATGAAATTGATCACCTATTGACAGAGCTTGGTCACCTCGATGTATAGAACTTTTTGTAATCATGCTTGATGTTCTGTCTTGCTATTATTTTTATTATTTTTATTATTGTTGTTGTTGTTACTATCATTTTATCATTTTATCATTTTTTTATTACAAGGAAACAAGGTCTTCTTTCTTATATTCTTCTTTAGTTGTTAACAATGATAAATACACTATGTATGTATGCATTTTCTAGTATTCAGTATGAACAATCAAAAGGTCTCTGGATATAAACATACATTAGAAAGGCGTGCTCATTTGTAATGAATAATACAAATGGTTATTTTTTATTTTGCAAATATACCATGGACCAAATATTGTCTTTCTCAAATTGAAATAATAATTAAGCTTTATTTTATTTTTATTTATTTTTTAAAATTCTTCTGTTGTATATTTATCATACAGACTTACGCACACATACACGTACATTTATACATATAGATATACACATACACATAGATAATTATATCCCTTTTTTTATGATACTGGCCTTTTTACTACTTTACACAATTAAAATCACCTTTTTCTCGGTGTCTCTGTTGCATTTATGTTTATTCCACTTGTGTCATACCCTCTTTTCCCAGTAAAAGATTCGTCCAGAAAACAAAAGTGCTGTGTGATACTATCCGAAATCCCGTCTCCTAAAAATCACAAATTTGAGATCATCAGTCGAGAAGTTATTGATGGACAATCACTGGTATTGGGCCGATTTGATAATAAAAATGTTAAAAGGCATGCTTTTATTGGGTTCCAGAGTCCATCAGTAAGCCAGTTTCATGCCAAGATTTTAGCAAAAAAAGGAAAGGTACCAGCAATGGAATATATACATACTTGCGTATTCATAAGATATTACCTTATAATAAACATATTTTTATTTTTACTATTATTAACTAACCCTGTTGTTGACAGCTTTACATCAAGGATATAAAGTCATCTTTGGGAACCTTTCTTAACGGGTATAGATTAAGCCAGAGTTTTCAAGAATCTAGTAGATATCCATTAAGAGATAATGACATACTTCAGCTAGGACAAGTCTCTGAAAACGATGGTATAGGTATGTTAGGTGAAATTTAGGTCATAAAACCGTCGGTTCTTTTCATAAATTTACGCATATATAAATATGTATATTAATTAATTTTGGGTTGGCAGATACAAATAAGCCTGTTCTCATGAAACTAAGGATCAGACAAAGAACTAATGTAAGGTTGATGTCTAGATTTCTATACTTTATAGTTTTTTTTTGCATTATTAATTTATAAACATAATAATAATAATAATAACAGGCATGGAATTATCATGGTGACTTGTAGATATGAAATTTTAACAAGGATATCAATGGCTTAAAGCCCTCATATTATGCACAATTCAATTAGAGTATATATATACATACATCTTTGGCTTCAGCATCAAGCATTATCAGTTCTAAACTGCTTTTTTGTACCTGACAAAAAAAAAGAGAGAGAATTTTGATAAAATTCATAAAATTCAACCTTTCTGCAATATATAGAATCAAATAAAAAAATGAAGAAATGAAAACACGTTTTGCTACAAAATCCTATAGATGAATTTCTTTAAAGTATAATATAATTACTAGAGTTTCTTTGTATGCATTTCTTTCCAGTTAATTGGGTCTTTGATATGCAAAGTAAAAGTATAGTATTAGAAATGTAAACGGGTGTAAGAATCAATGTACTTTATCTTGGATTATATGCGAATTCATTTTACCAGTCTAATAAACAGACTATATAGCATATTATATCATTCATTATGTTTCAAAAAGTACAATGCAACTTTTGAGCATCCTTAAAACATTGAAAGGTGTGTTGTAAACTCTTTGTATTAATAATGCGCCTTTTTGTTTTACCTTCTTTATTCAACATGCACCTTTATTGTATTTATTGCTTTAAAAAACACACTCACACATACTTACACTCATACTCGTAAACATCTTCCTACTCACACAAATAATATCCTTTATTATCATCTTTTATTGTTCCTTCTGATTTTGCTTCTGCTTCTGCTTCTTCTGCTGTTGCTGTTGCCGTTATTATTGATATTGATAACTCTAATGTATGACATTGGTTTACCTCCTCCACTTCCACCACGCCCTTTGCACATACCTAGAGAATTGTTAGCAAAACACACACGCACTATTCGTATTATTCCTGAAAATCACTCCTCTGGAAGTATAGATTTTGAAGTTATTGAAAGATGCTTAGTTCCGGGAGATACATTGACACTAGGAAGCATCACGTCGTGCGATTCAGGATACAGAGACATTGTATTTGACAGTGGAAAGGTTGATACGAGTCATGCTATGATATGGGAAGATAAAGGAGAGGTATTTACTTGTTAATCTTTGTATATATATATATATATAGTTACTTATATTATCTATCATAGCTATATATTCGAGATCTGCATTCTGCAAACGGAACCTACCTTAATGGCGTACGTTTGATGCCAAGCTACACAGTCCCTGGTGGATACATAATAAAGTCAAATGATGTTATACGGTTAGGGAGAAGTGTAAAAGATTCTAGAGATGGTAATCATAGTATAGGTCTTTACCTAAAGGAAAACAATATAGAAGCTAACACAGGTTCCCAGATTCTGAAAAGTGCGTTTTTATGAGAATCGAGGTAGGAGCTAAGTTAGGTCCACATATACCAAGGTAAAGTTTACATATATTTTCTTTTTTTACTGTAAAAAGAAATAAAAAGCTTACATTCAAAGTGACTTTATAAACTTTATACACAGACCAAAACAAACGATATACAAAAATCCAGTATCATGTATAATTTCTACAGATTCAAGTACACCATCACTGGGTAGTTGTCGTGTATGTCACCAGCTTAATGAGCCTTTACAAGCGTTGTTTGTTCCATCTTGTGTCCATATACTTCATTTCAGATGCGCAGAGCTACTACTAGACAATTATCCTACCTTTGAGTGTCCAACCTGTGAGAAAAAATACCGTATTAGCAGTACCCACCCTAATGGGCCGAAGCTTCAAATTTCTCAGGTCGCTAAAGATCCATAGCATATTATTCTCTCTTTTGTGTAATCTATATAATCTTTAAAGTTTGTGAAAGAGAGAGAGAATATAATTTAACAGTACTTTAAATCAAACTATTACATCTTTGACGAAATATTCCTACAAAAAATAATAAAAGATGTATTCTGTATTTTGTAATGTATCAATACCTGTCTACTCTCTTTATTTGAATTCAAATAATCTTTTGAACTATAAATATAATTGTGTGTGTATACATTAACGAATAGAGGGCACCGAGCTTTCACTGACATTTAAAGCACAAAAATGGTAGTATATAATGATTATTGTTTCATAAATACACCCATATTAAACTTTTTTGTGCACAGTATGTGTAAATACAACGAGGACATTATTTGTGTATTCAATTCACCACATCTTTCATGTCTCTCTTTCAAACAGGCATTTCTTTATTCCTTCTTATCTTTCATCTCTCTTCATTTTTTTTTCAGGTATCGCCTTTTGCTCCTATCTTATTATTTTATTTTTCATTCATTCATTCATTCATTACAATTCATGCCATTCACAATGTCCATTCGGATTAGCCAAATTCAGTTATAAATTTCAAGCCCTTGGCATTCTCAAGAATTATTCTGGGTTTTCCTAATGGACTTTATAGATAAAAACAACCTATACAATCAAACACGGTAATGAACACAATTATAATAAAAGACATAATATATTATATTAATCTTCAGATTTGTTTAACTAGATTAATTTTTCTTATAAGTGTGTCTGTCCTAATTACAACAATAACCTTTTCAATCAAGTAAAAAAAAAAGTTTAAACGCGTATTTTTTCATTAGAGTCAACAACAGCTTAAAAATTATTTTATTTATTTATTAAAGATATACATAAAGAAGCTATTCTATTTTATATGATTTCACTTAATGTTTTTTTACTAATGTAAAAAAATAAAAAGCATGACACCAAGTTCTTTGTCCCCGCATTACGCGGCTCAATCTCCCTCAGGACGTAAACCTGACTTGGTAGCGAAGGAGGTGTGGGAATGGTGTTAATCCGTGGCGTAAGACAACAACCGGGTTCATCCCAACTACCCTATCTCATCACTGAGAAGGGCCTGCGAACGTACCAGAGAAACCTACCACAAAGTAGCAGGGTCCAGCGTGTTCGACTACCAAGCAACACCGTCAGTTCCAAAGAGCTTCGAACAAGGATTTCATGAAGAGTCGGCAGTAAACTCCACTTCCTCCCCGTCCTCCACTCAATAAACTTTCATGATGCTAACTCGGCGGCAGCTTTTTTTAAACATTGCTCGTCGCCATTGTTTCAGAAATTATACAATTAAATTCACAATTCAGAACAATGTTGATCTGCGCCTCTAAGAATTAACTAAGAAGCTAGAGACGACGCACTTCCACTTTTTCCTGCACAGAATGGAAAAAGAATGTCTCCCAATCGACCCATAGGTAGCGCGTCAAACTCAACTACAGGCAATCAGGGGGTACCCGTCTCCAGAGTATAAAAAAAGCTAAAGAGAAGAAAACCGTGTCGGTTGAATGGGCTTTATTTTGATATACCCGCAATCTGCGATTAAAGTTTGGGACTGCGCTTTTTTTTTTGCCAGGGGTGTTTTTTGCATCCCACGTCAGAGCAGTGACATAGCTGTATACTCTTTTTAGTAGGATTGTGTAACTATTCTATGACAGTAGTAGCAGCTTATAAAATTTAACTAAAACATCTGTGCAAAACATCTTTGCAAAGTAAAGTGAAGCAAAGAAGTAAAGAAGTAAAAAGAGTAACGAATGGTTTAGTTTTAATCGGTATAGCAATAACTCTTAAAGTGGAGTACAAGTTTCTATAACAGTGATTCGTAGGTTACTCTAAACTGGTCTGTGCACTTCTTGTTAAAAGACATAAAAGAAAGTTTTCTTCTTCTTTTGCTTTTACTAGTAGACACAAAAGCAACCCAAAGGCTACTAAAAAATAAACACATATACACATTTTAAAGCAATATTTAAGCAAAAGTAAACATGTATATTAACGAAATTTCATCACAATACGATAGGTGGCGGAATGCCGAATTCCTGGTTGAGTTTTATTGATATGAGGTTATACTGATAGTTGAAAGTTTCATGATTTCCTATGGGTACTATGGAAAATAAGTAGTGTTTTTTTTTAAAGAAAATGCTGCAAGTCCACACCCTTTCTAAAATATTGAAGTTTGACTGTAATAAGCTGGACTACTAATAGGTTTTCAATATTTTATTGAACTTGATTCACACCAAAATTCATTATCATAGGGGTACTCAACAGTATTTTGTGCATAGTTTTAAATTTCTAAAACAAAATTATCGGGGGAATAAACTTTTACCAATGTAGAAAAATATCTCCAAGAAAAGTATGGTAAGTTGCTACAAGTCCACAAACTATCTATTAAAGTAACTGTATTATTTTTGACTTTTAGGGACCAGATATAATGATTAGACTTTTCATAACAAGTCACATTTAGGTGGTTTGGTAAAATCGAAAGGTAGGCTCCCATCAGAAAACATCGAACCCGTAAGATTAGCGTATGTGAATAGCCCTTTATTATCTTTATTATTATTTACTCATATGTACATAGTCAAACACTCATTCACCATAATATATCTCTTCCTACAATAAAGTACAGCATGGCTCGAGTGAATTAATGAGTATATATATTGTATGTGTTTGAACTGGAAATTACATAACTTGAATGGGATGGTGGTGAATGTTGTAGTATGGCTAAGTTTTTCGATGGGAAACATGCTGTTGTCGTTTATACAATACTGTTGAATTATATATAGGGTGACGTGAGCTTTACTGAGATAGGAGATCAGAACATCAAAGCCAAAAAAAAGGAAAGAAAATTGATGTAGGCATATCCTAAATATAAGCTGTGGTTTTGTGGATCTTGATTTTGATGTGTATTTTTCGATATCAAGCAACGATGGGATCGGATCGCCCCTTGGATGAGGCCGAAAATGGTAAAAGGATCTCAAAGAAGAAGGTCATGTACAGCCAAGGCCCAAAGAACAAGGATTTCTTTGGCGAGTATATAAAGACTGGACATTTTCTCTATTTCCTTTTTTTTTATGTATATCTAGAAAACCTCAGCAAATACCATCACTACTACCACCTTACCACCTTTCCAAGCAAACACATCCTTTACCATGCAATTATTCACAATCCAACAACACCTGAATTCAAAGCACCAGATTCATCAAACTCAAGCACCAGTCTCAAAGCGTAGCACAAAGACACCCACCAAGCGATCCACAAATCGCGTCATAACATTAACTTCATCCATGAGCCACTGTATTCGCAACCTATCATCAGTGAAGAAAGTATTTGGCTGCAAAGGAAGCAAAAAGACAGTCGCATCCTCAATTGCCCCCTCGCCTTACTCTTTCTCTGGAAACTCCTGCATTCCTGGTGTGCCTTGTGAAAGCGAATACTCCCCATCATCTCGTCGTTTATCAGACCGGTCAATGGCCTTGGACTCACTTATATTTGATCACCCTTCGGTTACTATTTGCCTTCGCCCAGCAGCCTATCGCTCAACCTAGACTTTCGTTCTTATACACTCACCAGAGCCAACTAAAGACAAAATGTACATACTGTAAAACAATCAAGCCAAACAAAAACAAAAATTATATCTATCTATCTATTTATCTCCCCCTTTTTTTTGGTCTGTAATAATTTAAAAATAAGCACACAAGGTTGTCCTTCTCCTTTAATCATTTTATATATATAATTCTGTTTTATTTTATTTAAAAGTAAAAAGTAAATAAAAGTACCTTATCAATGTACCTTCTTTCTGTTTCCAACAAAATTCAAAAAATAAACAAGTATATTTGATATACAATAATAACATTTTTAACTTTTCGATACAAATGGTGTCCTTTTTTTTTTCAAATATTATCAGCCATGTACAAAATTTGATAATACCAGCTTCTTTGTCTAGAGTACAAGTAGAGCCATCAAACATATTGTCTAATAGATATTTATGCTTTATCTGATATTTCGATAATTAGCTGGTAATCGAAAGAAGAAACAGACGCTCTACAAAACATTGTACAAGAAAATACTAGGTCTGATAGAAATAAAAACAAGTGATGTGTAGTCTAGTGTTCCGATTAAAGACATTTAAAAATTTCCCTGAAATATTTGTCTACTATAGTAATTATTCAATGTTTTGTTCTTTATTTCCAATACTAGGTGAATCAAAGGGTGGTCAATACTGATGATAGACTCAAAGTATCTGTAAGAAATTGATGATTCTTTAGTATATTAAAAATAAAAGAATTATACATGTGTATGTGTATGGACAGGGTGAACCCTCCCAGACCAGCTACCAGTTTATCAGGTTATACTGCAAAATAATAATTAAACAGCGACTAAAAAGGGCTTCATTTTAAGTAAGAGATGATTTTTTGACCTGTCGGAAAATTCAATTGACAACTGAACCTGAATATACTTTTCGGTTGATTACAAATGGAGAAATAATCTGATACTGTGAAGTGTTGCTCGTACACTGTTTCTGTGAGTGATAATAATATGGAATATTATAAATTTATTATTAATAAGCACAGTGTATATATATATATATATATATGTGTGTGTGTGTGTCATTAAAATAACTGCCGTTTTCTTATGTAGGCTTAATAAATAGGTTTGTTGGGATGTCAAACGGGATACAAGGTTTGGTGTATCATTTTGGCTGTTTTAGTCCGTCATTACTGTCACCAAAAAAAAAAGGGAAAAGAAAATTATGGCACATATAATATTTAATTACCCAAAGCGTGTGAAAATTACGATTGATGTGCTAAATCTTAATAGCTTTGATGTCTGCAATGTAAAGAGGATCACAATATTATGCTTTGCTAAATATTGACCATTTTATTGATATAATATTTGCTTGATTTGAAGTATATATTTTTATTTTATAAATATATATATATATATATATATTATGATTGTTTATGGAGGTTGGAGGGGTATGTAGGTTTATGAAAAGAATTTGATGATATAAAAGAAAAAAAAAGAGAGACTCGGATATCTCTAATTTAGATTCTACTAGATTTCTGAAGAGCAATCAGGCTGTCACTGCCGTAGTTATCCTGGGAAGGGGACCACATACGCTCGGAGACATATTGGACAAGTTCATCATGCGATGTAATGGCCTTGATTTCCTCCGACTGTGCAGACTCTTCATTTACAGACTCTTGGCATACAGCGGCAGCAACAATAGCAGACACAGCTCTGATGCGGGTCAAGGAGGGATAGAGCCACCCACGAGCCTGCTCTTCAGGTGTAAGTGAATCTGCAAGAGCCTTTGAAGCTGCGTAGATCATATTGTCGGAGATTACAGTAGAGCGAGCCAAGATTGCACCGAGACCAAGTCCAGGGAAGACATACATGTTGTTGCCCTGTCCTGGAGTACGGACCTCACCAGTGCTGGCGATAGTGTAAGCAGGGAATGCGGTACCAGAAGCAAAGATGACCCGGTTATCAGTAGACTCCATGGCCTGTTCAAATGTACACTCAGCAAGAGTAGCTGGGTTTGAGAGAGGGAAGACAATGGGCTGTTCGTTTATTTCGGCCAGACGACCAAGTACATCGGGTGTGAATGCGCCTGGAGTAGATGACAGACCGATAAGGGCAGTAGGTCTGACGTAGTTGACAATATCCATGAGGTCCTTGTACTGCTGCTCCTCGTTGTCCTGGCGGGCATAATATATCTTGTGTTGCGCAAGGTTATCTCCACGATCAAGTGTGACCAAACCCTTGCTGTCCACAATCCAGAACATCTTCTTTGCGTCTTCTTCGGGAATGTCAAATTCCTTTTCAAAGTAGGTCTGGATCTGTTTGGCTACACCAATTGCGGCAGAGCCAGCGCCATAGAATACGATGCGATGGTTGGTTGGCTCTACATTGGACTCAGAATGAACCTTGCGGATAGCATTGATTGCACCAGACAAGATAACGGCACCGGTTCCCTCAATATCATCGTTAAAACAGGTGATTTCTGACTTGTACTTCTCGAGGAGTCCAAAGGCATGCTCAGACGACCAGTCCTCGAATTGAATGATCATATTAGGGTATACTGTCTTGAGTGCATTGAGTACTGTGTCGACGGTCTCGTAAAATTCTTCATCTGCAGGACGGGTCTCTCTCAATCCAAGGTAGAATTCGTCCTCAAGGAACTTCTTGTTGTTGGTTCCCAGATCAAGCATAATGGGCAATGTTCTGCGAGGATCAATACCCGCACCAGCAACATAGAGCTGGAGCTTTCCAATCGGGATACCCATACCATTCACGCCAAGATCACCCAGACCAAGAATACGAGAACCATCTGAGATTACTGCAATCTGAGGGTCAAAGGCAGACTCTGAAGGGAAAGGACGATACTGACGGATGGTTTTGCAGAGTGTGGCATGATCAGCCTTTGTAAGATAGAGACCATCGGGAACACCTGGACCAGCCAAGAATGGATAGATATTTGAGTACTCAAGGCAAGCTGTTCCTACCGTAGGAGTGTAGATTACAGGAGCAAGTTCCTAGATATTCGAATTAGTTTGTTGTTTTATTGTTTTGGCTTTCTTTGTGCTGTTCACCCTTTATTTATTTACCTCAAGATGATCGACAATAATTTTATAAAATAGACGGACATTGGTAGTTCGCAATTGAGCCATGAAAATGTACTTTTCAATAGGGGCCTGTTTGGACCGAAGTTGCTTCAGGGCACGTTTCTTTTGGATCTCAAAGCTCTCGACACGGACTGGCATAAGACCAGAGATGCCTAATACTTGACGTTTTGAGGTCTCCATAGCCGTACCTAAAGTATGCATATACATATGTATAGGACATGTCAGAGTTATATTGACTTGGAATTTGATGTCCAAGAGTATCCACAAATGAATGAGGAGGGAAAGGGCTAACCTTCGTTAGAGTAGCTAGAATGAACGCCAAGTTCATTGCTAGAGTGTGTGGGAATAGATTCGACAGATGGAGGCATTTTCAGAAGAGGGATGAGATGAAAAGTAAAGCTGAACTGAAAGTCTTTTATAGTCATCAATCAACGGAAGGCGACGTTTGCGCTATCACGAGCATCAGCATGATTAAGGCTGATAAATAGTGGATTCTGATTGGACGATTCAGTTTGGCCGTTATTGAATCACTTATGCGCACCCGCATCCCCTCTTTCGATTCGCTCGCTGGGTGAATTTCCCCCTTTTTCTTTTTTAAAAAAAACGCATCTATTTCTCTATTCCATTGAGCACATGTCAATTTCTCGGGTGGTCTTTGCCTGGCGCACGTATTCACATGTTGCCATGCCAACTTGACTAGATAAACCTTTTATATTATATAAAATATGTGGGGCTTAAAGTTAAGCTTTTGTGCTTGGTTTTTATTATTATTATTATTATTATTATTATTATTGTTGTTGTTGTTGTTATGTGTGTGTGTGTTTGTATAGGTATAGGTATATAAGTGTATATATTTATATGTGTATGATTCAAATATAAACAAGCAAATCTGAATATATGAGAAAATCAGTTTGTTTTGTTTGGTTTATTGATATTTATAATGCAAATATGTATTAAATGTATATCACTACAAAACTTGATCCACAAATAAGAGTCTACATGATACATTAGTGACTTTGGATTGATAAACAACTTCCTGGAACACATTTGGACAAAATACAGTTATGTTTTTGTGGATCGAATTCTAAGCACCTTCATTGAGAATTAAATTCAGAAAATATCCAGTAATGAAAGAAAAATAGAATTGGTCATCATTGTTACCACGGTCATCATGGTTACTGAGCTTATCGTGTTTTATGAGAATCTAGAAAAACAAAGTAAAATAAAATAAAATAAAATAAAAATCTTGTATCATAATTATCATTATTATCGTTATAACTATCGTCATCATTATCACTGAAAAATTCATACCGATAAAGATGTACACCCATTCACAAATCAAATCCTCCAGAGAGTATTTTGAAATGAATTTTTTTTCAGCATACACTCACACACACATACATATGTAGATTTATATACACCTGTACACCTACTTAAAACACATCAAAAACTTAATAGTTTCTCAAATACCCATATATTCTATTACTCATTATGTAACACACGCAATAGACTTCCGGATCTCTGCAAATTTGCCGGAATCTGATTCCAATTTCCACTCTATTTTGGTCAATGTGGAGAAATCAAGGACCAAGACAAATAAGTCTTGGTTCAAAATAAAAATAAAAAAGATCAAATCAAATCAAATCAAATATATATATATATATAATATACATCTTGTGTGTGCGTGTTTGAATACTATTGAAACATACTGCTAAGAAAAAAAAATATAGGTTTAAAATAATAAAAGTGAATTCATTCATTTATTGACTCACAAATTCATTCACCCACAGTTTTAGTCAGAGTTCTTTACATCAACTTGTTTCGTCATACTTATCACGTGTAAAGAAGTCCTTCCCAGAACATTTTGCTTAGTTTTTTCTCTTTTATTATTTTTAATTATTTTATTTAATTGGCTCTTTTAGCTTTTAACACACAAATACATACATACATACATACATACATACATACATAAATACAAAGAATGTCCGAGAAAGCATCTATGATTCTCGAAGCAGAAACTCCATTAAGCCCAGCAGAATTACAAGTGAGTTCAGTAATCAACTTGACATTGTATTCATTAGTTTTGTAGGTTCTCAAAAAGCAGTTTGAAAGAGAAGGAGAGTATGTAACCACACAAACCAAATTCAACTATGCATGGGGTTTGGTCAAGTCAAGGCAATCTGATCAGATCGCACTTGCACTCACTCTATTGACAGGTAAAATATTGTATATTCTTATATATATATACTGATTTTTTTTTAAAAAAATAATATCGAGCAGAAATCTACACCGAGTGTCCAAATAGACGACGAGAGTGCCTTTATTATCTTGCTTTGGGACATTATAAGATATCCAACTTTAACGAGGCTCGTCAGTTCAATAGTCAGTTGTTGAAACTAGAGCCTAGAAATGAACAAGCATTGGAGCTACAGAGATTGATTGATGAGAAACTATCAAGAGGTAATATTTGATATATCAGGCAACAATGTATTAACTAAAATCTTGTGTATGTGTGTAGAGGGTGTGATAGGATTGGCTATTATCAGTAGTGTTGTTGCTGTGGGAGCTGCATTGGTTGCAACAATTATTAAGAGAAAGTAATGTACATACATATGTATATACACACACACACACTAGTATATATAAAATAAATATAAATATAAAATAGCAGCTGTAGTGATTGGACCATCGGAGCAAGTTCAGTTATTGTGAAAATAAAATAAAATAAAATATATATATAATATATTTATATTTATATCTAAACATAACATATTCATGTCTTTTGGGGTGTTCATCCACTTTAGCCAATCATGACACCTAATGCAAATTCCCTACCTCTTGCGATCGACACCCCAACTTCCCCTACAACTCTAGACACCAACCAACCATCTCTCAAAAGAAAACTGTCAATAGATCACTCTCAACGACCAAATCCAACCCAAACCAATCGCGTTGTTCTAGCAACAGATCACGAATGCCGCCCTGTTCGTCTAGAACCCCCAGAACGACAAACAGTTCAATCAACACAGCCAAGATGGCACAGCCAATCATACATGGTCTTTCTTGCCCTTCGTCAACACCCTGAACGTTCATTACCACGCACAGATCTAATCAGGGCAGCGCTTGCCTTGGACAAAAAAATTAGTGAAGAGCGTCAATTACCACGGGTTTTTCGGGGCAAGGTAAACAACACGCTTCCCAATCAGTACACAAATTATTATTACTATTTTTTTTTTACTTAATTTGACATAAACGCTTGTTCATTATCAAATAACCAATTTCAATTGTAGACACCTATGAATTCGGCATCTGCAATCTTGACATACAACAGTGATCGTTACTTCGTTCCATTCAAACCAGAAGGCAGTCGATCTACCCATTTCAGGCTCGCTTACGAACCTGGCAATTTTTCAAAAGCAGTACAGGAGTATCGCAAATGGGAAAAGAAATTAGCAGAGCATGACTGGCCTTATTGCTTTGGTGAAGTTAAACCATCTGTTCTGGCTGCCAAAAGAGAACAACAACAACAACAACAACAACAACAAGACCAAAAAGAAACCACCCCTCCATTATTACCCTCCAACTCTTCTATTTCGTCCTCCTCATCTCTATCCTCATCTTCATTAAATCCAACTGAATTTGATACTTTTATAGCCGATCGTACAGCCCTGTCTCTTTCTCCACCCCAAAGTCCTGATCTGATCAAACCAGACCTCAAACCAGACCTCAAACCAGACCTCAAACCAGACCTCAAACCAGACCTCAAACCAGAACCTAAACCAGACCTCAAACCAGAACCTAAACCAGAACCTAAACCAGAACATAAACCAGACCTCAAATCAGAACATAAACCAGATCAAGCATCTAACCCTAGTTCTGATATTAATATTCCTGCCACCCAAGTGTCTGACAGCTGGAGCCTCGACGAGCTGGATCTCACAAATGTACCAGCCTCTTGGCACGATATTCTGAAGGTGGATGACTCCAAAATCCCTGGTGCAGGCAAAGGTCTCTTTGCCACACGTCGATTACCAAACAACACACCGATTGGATTCTATTTTGGAGTCCCAATGACAGAAGATGAATTTGATTCACTCAAGGACAACGTAGGCCGTGCTTCAGAATACTCGATCATGTATCGCAAGACAGTTTTGGATGCAACTGATGAAAATGGACTTCCTTATAATGATCCAGAGGGTCCAATGTATTGCCCATTTCATTACATGAATGAAACCAATGAAGCACAAGCCAACATAAGCTTCCTTGAAGGTGCAGTGGTTAACCAGGTTATCTGTTGGACAAAACGAGTTATTGAACAAGGCGAAGAATTGTTTGTCTGGTACGGACGAGATGTTAATAGACACTGGACTGAAACTAAAGGGTTTAGAGTCGAATGAATCCTAAGATGAGTCTGCTTTTTTTTATGTGTTGTATTTATTTATTTATTTATTTTATTATTTTTCAATAAATACAAAAAAAAACAATGGATGAGAGAAAGAGTGAGAGATATAGTGAGAGTGAGAGTGAAAGTGAAAAAGAAAAAGAAAATATATGCAAGAGTTGGATGGATACTGGGACAGAAAGGGAGAAGGTTTATAAGACATCAGATAATCGTTGTCAAACCTGGTATATAATTCGAATTGCCAGGCTCAATTGGTGGAGGCACAAGAGGTTTTGCAGGCCTTGGTCGTGGCCGGGGACGAAATGTGGAGACGATCTTTTGAAAAAGTGTACCAGGAAGAGTATGTGGTCTGAAAGTCGTGTTTGGTGAGTGAAGTCCTAGTGATACTAAAAGATGGCTAGGAAGCTTCTGTGGACCTGGCTCGCCTTTTAACGATATTTCGTCTTCTGATTCTGAGCTTTTGATATTTGAATCAAGCATAAACGAAGATCGAAGAGAGGGAGTACTACAGTAGTGGCGTAGTGAATGACAGGTCTTTCCGATGTCCACGAGTCGCTTAGGGTCAGTGACAAACGGAAGAAATGCGCCAACTCGCATCAACTCAAGCACCTGACTTGCTGCTGGGCACAGTATGGCTGGGTGATAATTTAAGGCTGTGTAGTAGGTATTTAATAAACCTTGGCGAATGTCGGATGGAATGTTGATCTCCTGGGATGAGTTGACCATAATAAAGCGTGTGATAATATCTTCAAATCGCATCTTGAGTTTTTCGAATCGTAACAATTCTTCTGGACTCAGTTTGTAGTTTTCAATGGTTGAGAAATAAAACGGTTGAGAGTTTTTGAGTATGACATTGTCGGTGGTGAGATCAAGTGTTGAGTCTCCAAAATAAAGTCGGGCAGCTTCATGATAGCTTGATACAGCCTTGTAAAATGCCAGATTTTCTGCACAGTATGTGTGTTCAAGGTATAGACTAAAGTCGTCGTAGCTAAATGGGCTCTGGGTTCGGTTCTGAAGAACCATCTCCAGAGTGACTCCCTCTAGAGCTGATGAAGGATGAAGTGTGGATGAGATCATGACGAATAGTAGATGAACATTGAGTAAACAACCCTTTCCTCTTGTAAGATCAACATTGTTGTTTATCAAGAACGTGAATTGCAGGGACACGACACTCTCTTACGGGATACGAGGCATTTGTGAAACCCAATAGATTTTTTTTTTATTTATTAGTAATATTATTATTGCCCCACGCCAGGCAGATATGTGTACATGTTGTATTTTTTTTTATCTTGAGTCAAGGTCCGAGCACTTGTACTATGTATTGTCCATCATAAGATAAAGCCCATGTACACCAGTAAGCAATATAGATAAATATACATATATTGTAATATATATTGTGCGTGTGTATATGTGTGAGCATACATGTACACAATTTATATATACATATATTAGTTATGTATTTAAACAATTATTGATAATGAAGAACAAGAACAAGAAGGTCCGAGGTCCCACAAACAGAAGAATATTAAGTGGAACGATACAATGCTTCCAAGAAGTAATGTCGCAGCCAATTAAAATCGATATTACTGGCCAATCAAAATTGATTTCATAGTCTCAGAAATGGAAGTTGTATTTTTAGTAACCATTTTGCTTGATCATAAAATCGTGTCGCGATTCATGGCACTCCAAAGATATAAATGCAAAGTAATTTGCTTCTTCATGTGTTTTTTTTCAGGCTTTACAATAACGCAAGTATAATATACTTATATACATATGAGCATGGAAATGATGTTAATGAGAGCAGTGATCTTGTTTATATAGACTGGATCGTTGATCGAAATGAGTTTATTGTTGAGACAGTTGCTGTACTCTGCAGAGTACTTTGAAAATTCCGGCATTCATTGAGCCTTATTTGACCTGCCCAGTATTGAAAGCAGTTTTAAGAGCTGTTAAAAAGAATGTTTGTAAGTTTATCTTGCCCAAAGAGCATAAGCTGACGAGTATTAACTTCATTGGCAATAATCCCTCTGCAACTTATGTTGAAGTTACCGAGCAGGTAGAGAAGCCATTTCATTACTTTAAAGTTTCACCCAGAGTTGTTCATAGCTTTATAATAGACGAGTGTAACATTTCATATATATATATATATTTAAAAAAAGGCAGAGATCCACTTATGAAAGACCCTCATATAATTATGAATAACGCACCCATTTACACACAGGAAACTATAAAATATATTGGGTATCGACTATATCAATGTGCGCATATTCCTGATTTACTCTTTGATGCTTAACCTAATAAAACAACTGTTAACATTGTAAGAGAGTAAAGCTTAAAACCATAATGTTCTATAAAAGACATTATAAGAAGAAAAAATAAGTATAAAAGCCTGTAAGAGGATAAGAAAAAACCCACTACAAAGTTTTCCTTTCGCATTGATTCTGTTACCAGCATAAATGACGAGAAAAAAAAGTATATTTAATAACAACTAAAGGCTTCTTCAAATATTACAGTTTAGAGCTTAAGAATTTGGTAAGCAGGGACCAAATAGTAACTTTTTTTTTACTATAAATCATGAAATATTTGCTTTTTTGTTATTATTTGCTACATTAAGCGCCATGGTCCTTCATTTAATATTGGACACTGTCTGCGTATATTAAAGAACTACACTGACACTCGTAGGATGTGAACGCCATTCAAAATTTTTATTTTTCTGCGTAATATAATTCTTACCTGTAGAATGAAGAACTTCATGTTTAGTAATTGTGGGTAAGCAAAATAAAACCAAAATAAATAAAAAGTAATGCTGATTCACCTTTGGCAACTGTATACAAGAAAAAAAAAACAAAATTCTATTAAGTCCATGAGAATTGGATGCATTTATGTAGAGAGAACTCCTTTAAACCATCTTCAGTATCCACCAGCATCATCTTCTAGTTCTACCACATCATGTTTTAATGAGGAAAACAAAAAAGATATGTTCATCAGTGAAATTCAAGGCTGTAAGTAATTTCAATAGTGTGTGTATATATCTTTGTTGATAACTTTTAATAATTATATGCATTAGTGCCACTAAAGATTTTATATCACATGTATTTTCTGAAAAGTATATTGAGCTCAGAGAGTATAGGAACACAGGCAATTGATCTGTCAAAGAGAGTAATATAAATGAGTATTTAATATGAAGTCTTTATCTGAAACAAGAAGTCTAATATTTGAACCAACATTGAGCCATATTCCATAAGTATTTAAGCCATTATCATCATAGCCTACTTCGATTACTACAACCTATAATCAAACGTTTATAGTTGATATTTTTAATTAAAAAAAGGGTATCCAAGCTCTTGATTATGTGAGTTTCTTCACCAAACCTAATGGTGTGCAGTTGTTAATTGTATAAGTAATACCAGAAGACAGCGTGCTCTGTATTGATTTGCTTATACGTATTGCCATCAAAAACAATAAACGTTTGAAGGAATTGGCTGTAGATAATGAGCACATTCTGAAGATTATTAGATACCTTCAAGGGCATATTGATCAATGTACTTAAAATGGTACTTTCCAGCAAAAATATTGAGAAACAAGTAATAGTAGCACAAACAAATAGAATAAGTTATCTCAGGTTGCTCAATATTTGATCCATCTCAAAAGAGTCTTGTCAATTTTGTTTGCTAAACAGTTTAAAGTATTAGCTATATGAAAGAAGGAACATATCGGATATATCTAAATTTTTTTATATGGGGGTTTATACTGTAAAGATCGAGTAGACTCGAATCCCTCCTTTGTTTTAGTGTAGTACATGACAAATTGAAAAAAAAAAGACTACAGATCCTGAAGGCTTCTAATAGCTATAATATTCTTGGCAATCGAATTAAATAATATATGTATTTTCTTGACAGCTGGTAGTATCACATCAATTGTATATCCCAAGCGACACATTGACAGATATGTTCTCAATAGTAGCTAGTGATTAAGACCCCAAAGCTGCAAAGAATGAACCTTGTGCTTACAAATCATTTCTAGTAAGCAATACGTTTTATTGTTGTTGGATTAAAATATAATAATAATATAAAAAAAGTGAAAAATTATAGCCGTGTATTTGTGAGTGTACAATCAAATGTGCTACAAAATTAGCACGCGTGCAAGGCATTGGGCTCAATCAGTGACACTTACCTCGGCACAATACAAATTAGACTTTTCGACTATAAGAGCTACATTTGATAAAAATAGACTCTTGAGACTAAATGTGAAGAATATTGCGTCAAATTAGCACACAAGGTTGCGTTTTCTTATTATTCTTCTTTTAAATCACTCACTATCTTTTTGCTAGAAGTCAAATCCACTGAAGTCTTGTTTAATTAACTACCTTATTCATTCATTTGTCTTGTCAAAATATCTGCTCTACTGAATCACTATGAATAAAAGCATATAAATGTCTTACATAAACAATGGTGTGTATCGCTTGTTTTATTCATCAAAGAGAAACACGAGAAGCCTGAGCTTAAGAAAATCCCAGAAAAGCAGGGTATCTTTGCGTAGCCAATTTTTATATAGGTATGTACTTTATGCATAATATCCTTTTATTATTACTGTTATTATTACTATTACTATTACTGTTATTATTACTGTTATTATTACTATTGCTATTGCTATTATTATTATTATTATCAAGAAAATTAAAATGTCATCCTAGTTCTTAAATCAGAATATTTTTAACAGATCCACACTCCAAAGATACATAACCAGCCAGAATAATACGCTTTTCGTTCTTTATGTCCGAAAACTCCTTACAGTTAGAGTCGCCCTCAGCTTCTAGACTCCAAATATATGCATATTTATTACTATTAGTGGTATTACTATTATACTTATTTTTGAATTTTTTTTTACCTGCAATTGATTCCCATTCACTAGTAACTATCTTGGTCCCGGGACTAAAATACTTTCGGTACCAAGCTACAGCATTCTTTTGTCTACCTGGTACTAATGGATTATGCTGAAGCACCCTAAAAAGGACCGCCGCCTCACAATCGTCATAAATCTGGCAGTTTGCCCGAAAAGAAAATCGCATATTTTCCATCTGAAATGTATCGAGACAACTGTATTTCATTTTGATAGGAATTATATTATTCACCTCTCCAGACTTGCTAGGTATCATAACCCCATGAAGGTGCAAAAACTTCAATCGCCTGCAGCGACGTGATATATACGAAAACAAACGGTACACTGTGTGGGTGTTGCACATCTTAAAAGTTCGCAAGCCATGGCACCCAGTTACAAAAGGCCTACTCGGTTCAATATCAACGCTTCTCACAAAAAGATTCAAACTTTTTAGGGACGGAAAATTGTCCAAAAGATGATTGATACTAAATGTCATATAAGGGGCAGTGATCTTTAAATCAACAAGGAAGGGACAATGACAGAGTGCTTGAGAAATGGCTAGCTTATCCTGAGATCTTCCTTGTATTTCCAGATTCAGTTTTTTAAGGGTTTTGGAGAACATCATGATCTTATCAGTCGTTTCTGCTCCATCTGTCAGGTCGCATATACGTATCTTGATTGAGCATGAAATATTCTTTATTGGTGAATTGAGCTCGTGTAGCTTGTCAAGAAGCACGTGGGTCATTCTGCCATGCCCATCCCGGTAGTTTAAGTTAATTGTATCTAGATATCTGAATGAGCTCATCAGACGGCCTGTGTCTGTTTGCTCATTATGGGGGAGGTTTAAGGATGTATCGATTCCTCTCTTGTTTATCCATGTTATTGCCCGCAGATTGGGGTATTTGTTCTCCCAATAATAGAGCCATCCAAGGTCAACCTCTTTACTAGTAAACTCTAAAGTCAGCAATTTGGGAGCCCGGTCAATCCTTGAGATCATTGTGTTATCTTGTGGTGATATTCTGTCAAGTTTTACCCCAAGCTTTAGGGTCTCGAGTTTTTGTAGACACTGGTGGAGTACATCAATATCTTTCCACGTAAATCTCATCGTATTGATTCGATTTCCGCTCGCAATATCCAAGTGCACTAGGTGAGGTAAATGACATAGAATAAAGAGTGCCTGGTCTGTGGTGAGTGGCTTTATGGATCTGGACGGCCCAAATATCTGAAACGTTTCCCAGGCTAACTTTAATGAGCTTTTCAGAGCTCCAATAATTCCAATATTTTTGTGAGAACGAGTCTGGTCTTTTAATAAGTGAAAGATATTTGCCTTGGAAGCCTTAGGGATTGCATCTGTTGCATTTGGATGCAGAGTGAGTCGACTGGTATCCTTTCTGTAACTTCTCAGTCCGGCTGTGTGACAAGTAAGGGTGCTGTAAAAGCCATGTGCATCAGTCGTTGAACAAATCCGAACATCATCCCACAAAACTTCCATGAATGCTGTGTTCCATTCTCGACAGACCAATCCGGCCTGACTCAAATCATGTAATTCCAAAAAACCGGAAATATAGTAAAGAAGTTCAAAAGGGATTCTGGGAATAGACATTTTAGGTAAACATAAAGGAATAATTCATAGCTATTAAATAAAATTCTATTTTATTTATGGATATTAGATAAGAAATTAAGTCATTGATATACTCATCATTTATATTTTAAGATACAATGAATAAAAATATTATTTTTTATATATCTTTGTTTTAGAACTATGATTTTATCTTTGTTGTTGAAAGTAAAGAAGACCAAAATTCATAATTACTTTACGTATACTTATATATATATATATATATATATATATCCCACTTTTTACTCCACCCTGTTTTTGCAGTCTGCAGAGCACATTCTCCCAACTTCTTCAACTCAGTACAAGAATTAAAGACGATAAAATTATTCAAATCTAATAGCTTACCAACGGTATCGTGGGTGTATCCTAGGCGGTAACCAGGAGTGAATATTTTTATCTTATTTAAATTCTTGTCAGTCTTTGTCTCAAACGACGACCCTCCTGAAGATCTCCTTCTGCTTGTCTTCTAATACGTCCAATCTGAATAACACGGGTGAGCCTTTCAGGTATAGTGCCATTATATCTCGGATCGTTAAGGATATGTTGGAAGCTTAGGAAAGAAGCAAGGTCTCGATTCCACGAACGATGCATACCCTCTGACTGATCCGTGTTCTCCAAACAATTTAGATTGTTACATCTAAAAGGACTTGTCAGAATAAATGGTAATAAAAATGGAGTGGTTGTAGAATTTACCTTAAAAGACCATGGTATGTCACAGTTGATATTCTGGTGCGGCGATATGGGCGAGGGTTTAGGACTTGCTTGAATTTCCCAAAAGATAGGCGAGAGAGCGAAAGACAGTCTATGGACGTACTGCACTAATTAATTAAACAAACATTGGGTCCGTGTTTGCAAAGTAGCCTTCTCACTTTCATGTTTTTGCTTAGCTCATGGTACTCGATGTAAGACACATTATGGGCCAAAGTCGACGTGAATATTGCGCGTTAGAAGTTTATTAGATTGAGATTGGGTGATATAGGAGGAGAGGCAAAGCTTGCGGAATAAGATTTAATGACTGGTTTGACTTTTATTATTAGCGCAAAAGGAACTGAGGGTAAAGGAACGTGTAGTAATATAGGCATTGCCATGGTGGTTAATGAGATGTCGGTTCAGTCTTCTTTTCTTCTGTTATTTAGCAGGATTCAGGGCTACGATCGATCAATGGAAGAAACATCTGGTCAAAAAGTCTTGTTTGATCCACTCATTAAGGTCAAAGGATATGCCGGGTGCTAGCTCGCCAAGGAAGACGTACTTACTAAATATGTAGGTTTGTGTGTTTGTGATGGTTATGCGCATTTTATAAACCAGGTCTTGTTGCGGGACAAGGACTTCTGGTATCTACCAGGTCGTTTTTAATGTCGAATTGACAATAAGGTCTCGGAATGGGGTAGTTTTACTCATTGTCTTCCAATTCACAAAGGATTGGAGCATTATCTCAGCTTTGATAATACCTTATCTAAAATATTTACTTTAATAATAACATAACGCACAAACACACGAACATAAAGGAACCTTTTTCGCTTGTAAATCTTGAGCTCTTTCTGATTTTTATTGTTTTTGCAAGTTATTTACCTTTCAAACGTAACCGTAAATATACACTCATTATTTACAGCTAATCAAAGTGATTTCAGAAATACTGGCTAGAGATAGACTCAAGGGTTTGATTTATGGGTTTAACTATACGCTTTGTCCCTTTATTATTGATATTATACAAAATGGTAGATTGGTTTACACAGACAAGATAATTTTGTTTACTATCTTACTTATAATACATGGTTTTCAATATGAGCAATTAATTAAATATAGACAGCAATATATTTAAAGGTGAATATGATACCCTTGCTAAGAAATAAAATACGTGGTATTGTGAGTAAAGACCTTTTAAATATAAAGCGAATTAAAACTAGCGTATTTTACAAAAAAATAAATAAAAATAATCGATGACTCTATCTACAAAACTACACACCACAGCTTGTCTTTAGATCTCCATTTTATCATCAAATCAACCCCGAACACCTCCCCACCTCCTCCTCCTCTCCACACCGATCAAAAAAATAAATTCCTCCGCCCATACACAGAAGCATTTTTTTTTACAGTACAGAAATTTGGCAGCTAAACCAGTAAAAAAAAAATAGTGACATTACACCTTAATTACAATGTTACTTTCAGGTTCTCGATTTTACTCTCGTAGATTACTTATTCGAAACCACTTTCAACGAGCAACCTTTGCTACTGCTACTTCTCAAAACCATCGCTACATTAAAGATAATTGGGAGGCCATTATTGGCATTGAAGTACATGCTCAAATAAACTCAAATACCAAACTGTTTTCAGGTACATTCAAAATAGTAACTTGTAATTAGGATAAAATAAATAAAACTTGTATATATAAAACTTCATGAAAATTAAATGGTGGTGATCAGATACACCAACTTCATTCAATGATCTTGTTAATACAAACATCTCGACGATTGATGCTGCGTTTCCTGGAGTTCAACCTGTAAGATACACAATATTTTACTCTTGGTACTGAAGAAATAATTCCTGCGATAAGAATTGTAATAATTTTAGTAAAGATAATAAGAGATAAATAGAAAAGAAAGAAAATTTATTTCAAGCAGACTAAATCAAAGTGATAATATATTTATTTTTGTATGCTTTTTTTTCTTCTTATACATTTGTCTAAAATTGTCTCTATTATATTATGATGGTAGACATTGAATGGCAGATGCGTAGAGCTTGCAGTAAAGACTGCTTTGGCATTGGATAGTAAGGTCCAATCACTATCTACCTTTGACAGAAAACATTACTTCTATCCTGATCTTCCCCAAGGCTATCAAATCACACAGCAAAGAGGTGAGGACATAGGAGTTGGCAGTGATTTGTATATAACTTTAGGCTGAAATAATCTCTGATACCTTACAAACTTTTATTTGATTTTCCTAGAACCTATTGCTAGAGGAGGCTCTATTTCTTTGACTCAACTAGATGGTCTGGATGAGCCAATCAAGGTTGGGATCGAACAGTTACAATTGGAACAGGTAACATTTAAACGGAAGAAAATAAAAGACAAGACAAAGCAATCATGATTTCTAAACAATTCGTTTCTGTAGGATACTGGAAAAAGTATGCACGATATGCGTCCGGGCTTTACACTTCTTGACCTAAACAGAGCTGGTACAGGGTTAATGGAAATTGTCACTAAGCCTGATATGAGGTACTTTCTTATTTTCTATACAACCAGCTTAGAAAATCAGATTGACAAGATATGAATAAGTTGAATCCTGAAGTTTCTATCTAGGTCTTCACACGAAGCAGGTCTTTTAGTAAAAAAGCTACAGGCTATTCTGAGAAGTGTCGGATCCTCTAAAGCAAATATGGAAGAAGTAGGTCTTGTGTTTTGCGTGCACACGCATGTATATATCTATATACATATGAGTGTGTGTACTTATATTATGTACTTACAATTTTGTGACTAGGGATCCATGAGATGTGATGTTAATGTATCTGTCCACAAAATTGGAGAACCATTTGGAACCCGATGTGAACTCAAAAACTTAAACAGTGTCCGTTTTTTGTCTATGGCCATTGGTAATATATTAGAATTTATTAAATACAATAGCTTGTATTTATCTATTTTTCAATATGTAGATGCTGAGATCAAACGTCAAATAATAGCCATTGAACAAGGAGAAATTATTGAATCAGAAACAAGAGGATATGATGTGTCATCTGACAAAACATTCAAGTTGAGAGGCAAGGAGTCAGCACTTGACTATAGGTTTATGCCAGAGCCTGATCTTCCTCCACTCATTCTTTCTTCTGTAAGTAGCATACAAGACCCACAGAACGCTATAACTATTAATCTGCTTTTATCCGCTCGTTTTCTTTTAAAAAAAAAGGATTATATTGAAAGTGTTGGATCTACACTTCCCGAACTTCCTGACCAGTGTAGAACACGCATTATGGAGCAATATGAACTGTCACTTACAGATGCAAATGTGTTATTGAATGAATCTGGTAGCCTTGTATTTTATGAAAAGGTGAACTAAATATATATGATTATGCAGAAGATGTAACAAATTACTAATTAATACATGTGTAGGTGTGTATAGGTCGAAACCCTCGATTTGTAGTCAACTGGTAAGTTATTTATTTATTTATATTTTATTTTATTTTAATAAAGTACAAAGCTTTAATATCTTAAAATTATTTGAAGGACACTACATGAACTTTTTGGCCAACTGGCCAGCCGCAGTATTCCTTTTCAAGAGAACCCAATATCTGAACAGCAGATGGGATCTCTTCTTGATCTAATCCAAAATGGAACAATCACTGGTACTGTTTCTTTAATACTCATTTCTTTGTTGATTTATAAGATTTTTTTTCTCTAACCCCAAAAATTAGGCCCTACAGGAAAAAGTGTTCTCAAAGTAATGCTAGAAGAGCGTTCAAATGAGATGCCTATGAAAATTGTAGAAAGTAAAGGATGGGCGCGCATGGGTGATAGTGAAAAATTGAAAACTTTGTGCGAAAATCTTATTAGCCAACACGTTGAAAAGGCAAGTAAAGACGGTGCATAAGTAAATGTTTGTGTATTTTAGCTAACAAGGCGAGTGAATATCATCAACAAATACAGGCAGAGACCATCAGAAACGGCGAGCCAAAAATGTACAATTGGTTTATTGGCCAATTGATGCGTGAGACTAAAGGTCTGGCTGACCCCACAGAGCTCAACAATGCCTTGTGTAATGCCCTGGGCTGTAAACTTGAAGACATGACCAGTGCTCCAGCAGGAGGTTCTGCAATAAAGAAGACAAAAAAGTCAAAAGGGAAAAAGGGGATGTAAAATTGCAAGAAAAATATAGATGATTATTGAATTAACCAAAGACAAACCTTACACACAGAGAAAAATGAAATTTCAATAATAAAGTATTGAACTATGCTGGTCAGGTTTTTTTTTATAATTGGCACACGTATTGCGAGGGTATTATACAAAATACAGTTTCAGAAACACAGAAAATGAAATAAGAGTAAAGCTCAATATCAGTACAGCTAAAAATTGTTCTGTGTATTATTTACGTCAAAAGCAATTTCCACAAAAAAATATTAGCACTAGAACAAGAAAATTTTGGTAAACGCTATAAAATACAGTTCTTTTTTGCTCAGTTAAAATAACTGACGACTACCATTTACCTATTTTTTTCTGAAGTGTCAGATCCTACCGCTGAAAACATCGTTCTGAATGAGATTGTTTTTAGCTTTGATAAATGTTAACTAGGAATAACGTGTTAAAGGGTTTCTACTGGAGAAACAAATAAATGTGCTCTATTCGTCCTTGGCAGTTATTGTAAGCAATCTTGTGAGAGAATTTGGATATGTACTCAAAGAATGTATTGCTGACTTAGGTGGGCTTTTTTTTTACTAGAATAACGAGTCTCAAAAAGTGCTTCTCAATTGGATTGTGAAAATACGAGTAAGGGTGGAGAAAATATAAGCTGTGAATCGGATTATTGGACAATTCACTGACTAGACAAGATCTGCGAATGGGTACATTATCCATGACAGAGTTATGAGGGGCAGCTTTATCTCGGCCAAAGGCATTTATGATGTTTTATTTTTACAAGCTCAACGAAGATAATATCTGCTTGAACACTTTCAAAGACTTGGTAAGAAATATCAGCAAGAATGATGGTATTCAAAACTATTTTGGTTTTGCTTATAAAAAAACTTGTCTTATCCTTCTTAGACCACCCCTCCTATCTGATTAAGTATCTATTAAATACTGCTTCCTCCACAAAAGTACAATTTATTTTGTATAAAACACCATTTACTTGCATGATTTAAACAAATGTTTTCCTTTCTTCAATTGTCTTTAAATCGATTCTCTTATATTCCACAGGTCTGACATGCATTTTTTAGAGTAAATCTAACATTCTGGACAACGTACTCATGAAAGTCCCTAACAATCAAGTTTTAGATTTGGATTCCGGGCAATATTTTGAATAAATCTTCTTTTATCTGACCAAGAGTTAAAATAAAGAATTTACTTGGAGTGTCTTGAATAAATTCAAAATACTCGCCATGGTTCCTCTGGTTTTTTATTCGTTATTTAGCTTGCGGGTTAGGCTTAACTGTAGAATCTCTAACACATTACTAATAATATTGTTAGTAGTTTCCTATACCACATCAAACATTTTGGCGACTGTGACTCAAATGATAAACTCTGTTCGAAAAATTCTGTTCATAATTAAGTTACTGATATGGTTCGCCAACCGTTTCCGTAATGCGTTTATCTCTCTATCTTTTTTTTAAAAAAAACAAAAATGAATTGGACATATAGCATAATATGCTCTTCTTAATAAGATTGTATATATATAATGTAAAAGTTTTAGTTTAATTTTACCCTATACATAGCTCAAAAACGAAAACAAAATCTTTGCAATAGAAACCGTATATTAATGTATAGGTCACAGTACTGGATTTCAAGGGTTTAATGAGATTTTTTGCTGATTCTACGGTTTTATGCAAAGGGATACTGGTTCTTAGACTTTCTAGTAGTTTTTATGTATTGTAAAGTGCTGTCATGTCTGTGTCGATATATTGATAATGGATACCTTCAATATCAAGATGTTTTCTGTTTGGCAAATATTTAAAATAATTATCTATACATCAACAGCTAACTAAGCACCAGCATGGATTGTATTTGATTATGTAATTCGAAATAATATTGCAAATAACCTTTACGGCTCTTCAATGAATTCATATGTATGTTTATCTAGAAAAAAAACTTTAAAATTATATAACAATTTCTTGCAAGTAAGAGTATAATAATGACTGTCGTTTACCCATCAAATATCAGTGATGTGCAGATTAATTTCGGGGAGTGGCTGTTATACTTTTTTAATAGTGAGTAATACAAAGAGAGAGAAATAGAGTTGTTGAGACACTACACAAAAGCTTGCTTGCTTTTATTATATTAGTTACGATAGATAGGACTACCTGCATAATATAAAATAAATAATAATAAATAAAACACTCATACAGTTATACAAAAAAAATTCCAAAATTCCAAAATTATATACATTATCTTCTTTAATTAACCAGTGTTAGATTGTCCTATGTAAATATTTAGAACCTCATATGCAAAGAAAGTATTTTATGATTGATATATGATATATGATATTAAGGATTAAAAAAAATTAAAAACAGGATTCGAGATTTGGTGTTCCCAACACAGAAAATCACAACCTTAATTCTAAAACACTTACTTGAGACACACTTTGCATTAAATTCCAGGCCCACTTGCTTTTACTCTATGTCGATGCAAGCCTTGGTAACTTCAGCATTACTTATCCAATATTTTCTACTTCTTACTCTGTAACCTGTCATTTTATGGTATTTAATACATATTCTGTTGGATTTAGATCAGGTCTTTAAGACTACCAGTGAGCAAATATCTTTATTTGTTACAATTCTTCTTAAATAGGACATACGAGATGTCAGTGCAGTAGGTACTGTATTTCTTTAAGGGTGAACATGGTATAATGCTCCTAATATAATTCTTAATACCAAAATATCGAGGTGTTTTTTGACAAACAGCCGCCATAAAAAGCTTGATAACGATAACATTTAATACCTACGAGTCGTTCAAATTATACAGCCCATAAACAACTACAAATCATCACTCTTATTTTTCATTATTTGACAAACTCTAGAGCTAAGTATTTTTTGTAGATTTCTCTTTAACTTTTCTAACGCGTCCTGTGTATCAATCTTTACCCTTAAATGTGAGCCTCGACTCATCTGACCAAACATTATTCTTCTCCATTAATCCTCTGCCAAATTGACATGGTTTCTGGTCCATCTTCTAGCTGCTTTTATTAATAGCGATGATGGTGACTGTCTTTATTTTTTTATATATATATTCTTGGCTTTTTTGTAATAAATTTACAGTCTGGTAAGTGACAGAAAGTATTTTCAGTATTAAACAATAAAGGTAGATAGGTGAAAATATTTTTATTGCATGTTCTCTAGGTCTTATGCACCGTGGAACTTACGCGACCAGATGAGAGCTGTAAAATAACCGAAATAAAGTGAAAGTAATCCCCTGAATATGAAGAAAAGAAAAGAAAATATTTAATAAAGGGAAAAGTACCTGACGAGATATGACGAGGATAGTCAGTAAAAAAGTAAGAGATCACAGAAAAAACCCTTAGTGAGGGAAACAGACTGTGCAAAAAAAACCAAGCCAGAATAACCAATACAACAGGTAAAATTACAGTCAAAATAAATACGCAATAAACAATAAAGAAAATGAAAGGACCAAGAATAAGTGACTAGGTATTGACAGTGTCAGAATTGGAAAGAGCACGGTTATTACAGCTGGCACAGAAGTTCATTGAAAATAATAAGAAGTATAACAATGAACCTCAAAAGTGTTCATATATTTACATTTCTCTTTTATATCCATGCTTAATTATCTAAAACAGCACAGTTTATCTTAGCAACTACTTTTTTTTATAGAAAAAAGAAGAGTATATATTTTATAAAAATATGCGAATCTGATTTGAAGGGTGTGCTAGCTTGCAAATAAGAATCGTGTTTTTGTTTTTAGAGAGTGAGAAAATACTTTTTGAAAAGAGTATATTTTGAGTGATAAACGATTGCTTTTCAAGCAAGATGCGTAGTTTATTTGATTTAGAATATACCAGCCTCGTCACCTTGCAAAAACCATTCGATCTAATATTGGGCTGTCTCAGAAGATGAAGTGTCATCGGAGAGTCGATTCCATATTCCTTTACCCTATTAGTAAAAGAAACTCACAAACTATCAAGGTCCCTTGCATATTATAAATAAAGTATATCAAATACAGTTCTGTTTAAACCAATTTCACTGATATATATATATATATATATGGTTCTTCGAGACGCTAAGAATGAAAAAGTGAGCAAAGCTTTGACATGTAGGGGTAAAAAGAGTATCTGACCAAGATGACAAGTTTTTACTTAAATATTTTGCTGAAAAGGAATATAACAAGATCAAACTAATTCTGGACTTCTGTAGAATAAATCGAATATACTTAGTAAGAACATTTCTTACTTCCCCTAAATTTTTAGTTATTCTGTCCAATTATGTTTACAGACTCGTTTTTGTATAAACGTGAAAATAAGAATCGGTTATGTGAATTTTATTGGAGAATATATGTCAAGAATATATTAAGAGCTTTAAATTATTAGTGAAAACATAGTATATTATTTATGTATATATGATTCCTCGTGTTGGGAGTATGGGTGTTACAAGTGTGGCGGATAGTTCATCGGGTCTCTTTTGTAAAAAAAAATTCTTTTGATATATTTTGCCTATCAAATTCATTTAAACTCGTTATGCCAAGGTCAATCAACTATATTTTTACTAATCTTATTCACTGAATAATAAATTATTGGGATACTCAAATTATTCTTATTATGGAGAAAATAATAAAAAAGAATCGTCATTTTCAAAGTAAGAAAAGCTTGGTAGAACAGAGTATCTTGTTCTATAAATTATACGCTACATTTAGGTTATATCTGTAAGTCTTGGCACCCAAATCCATTTATGTTTTACAAAAAAAAAATAGACTTTAGTTGTAATTGAAGCTAATTTCAAAAAAAATCGATCTTCTTTAGTTGTTGCTCTATTCACACCTGGACAGGGAGAGATCAAGTCCCAGTATTTCGGATCGTAGAATATATTCATGCTATAATTTTACATTACAATAATCAGCTTCAACTCCAAGGATTGAAACTAAAGTCTCTATCTTGTAACACCATTTCCTTCCTTTCACTGTAATTCATTAATGACTTAAATATGCTGAGCCACACTCACTAACTCAAGCAATTGGCAATGCTGTATTTGCAGTGTGGCCATCTGAAGAAGCTGAGCCCTAGGCCAATACCTACAGTTACACTGGTTATATCGAATGGTATTTGCTTGTTTCTAAAAGCTTGCAAATGTGTTTAATATAGTCAAATTAACGAAGAGAGCAGAACATCTATTTCAAAAAATGCTTGTTTCACCAGATATAATCAGTTTTCTATTTATGAATTCTGTACACATATTGTGCACTCTCTTATGTCACTTGGCAACCAACTCAAGAAAAAAAGGTCATCTCGCATTCTGCTAAAAATAAATTGCACACCCACATACTTTCATTTTTATCAATATCGTGACTTTGAAAATCTATCACGAAATAAAGAACCTGTTTTATCAATTCTCCTTCTTCTTAATCACTAATCACAATGAGCAATCCTTTTATGACATCAAAATTAGAAACGCTTAAAGAAGCGTTTCCTAGCTTCGAAGCTTCAATTATCAGCAGTGTCCTTGACTCAGTCAAGGGTAACATGGAGGCAGCTGTCGAGGCTCTATTGAACATGTCGAACACAACCCATCCAGAAAACAACTCTTTTTATAGTCCCCCATTACCAAGTAGACAGCATATAAATATACCAGAGCGTAATGTATGTAATGCATTTAGAGTATTTGCCTTCAAAATACATCAAGTACTAAAATGTACTCTATACTTGAAACGTTTATTTTAACTAGCCATTTATTCCCTCGTCGAATATTAACCTCCGTCCACCAAGTATCAACATTCGTTCACCAAATCTTAACATTCAACCACCAAATCTTAACATTCAATCACCAAATATCAACTTTCAACACCAAAATTTAACTCCAGTAAGCAGATTGACTTTATTTATAGTTAAATTAAATATTCATCATTATACTTCTTATCTCAGAGAATAAACCCGCCAGGTCTAAATGTACGACAAGACCTTGCTGTGTGGCGAGACCAGCTGGCGCAGGAAAGTCGAGAGCGAAGATTCAATCGAAGAGATCGCTTTGGTCATGATGAAAGATCTCGTAAATATTGTTCGAATGCATTCGGTGCAAAAGTTAATTGCATTAAATCTAGAAGGCTGATTATATTCTTTTTATTAAATACAGGAAGCTGTGGATCAAGCCGATCACAGGAATTTAAGCCAATTAGGGCAATAGCTATGGAAGGGAAGCAAGGTAGGTCTTGAGAAAAGAAGCGTTATTACTATATATCTGTTAAATCTAAACTTTTCAATAATTAGCCGCGTTGGAATCAGCCTCAGCTCTATACTCAAAAATGGTGAACAAGTACAATATAGAGAGCAACAATTCACTAAATATTTTGCAAACCAAGTTAGAAAGGTAAATTTAAGAAATGAAACCCCAATCAAAGCTCGGGGATTTTCTCCCTCTTTAGTGTCAGTGTTATCGATGCTTGACTAGCACATTCTTACAGAGTACGCTCAAGTATTCCTTCACAACCAATCTCGACGCTTCGGGACAATGCTCAACGATCTATTAGTGATACTCTTATAAGCTTACAAAGTGAGTTTCTTATAAATATTTAACGTATTTTTTCTTGATAAGTATCATTTCTCACGTTGTTTATTTTAGACCAAATCAATCCAACTTTGAATTCATCACCAATTATGAACCCTTATCAGAGTAATACTGGTATGCCTTACACAGAAAATATGCATATCTTTTATAATGTCCTGTATATCTGTTTGCTAACAGCTGTGTATGTGTATGTGTGTATTCTTAACTTTTAGCAAATAATCAACATAACCAATACAACCAATACAACCAATACAATCAGCACAGTCAATACAATCATTCAAATCATTTAAATCATCTTTCTCCAAATATTCCAAGTAAGTATACTTAAAACATATTCTTATAAGTAATTTGCATAAATGCAGCTTTGTTTCCTACTTTTTATTCGTATTCTTATTTTTATTCATCTTTTAGCATCAGGGAATTATACATCAAACCATGGTTCTCCTTCTAGCTCTTCAGCTCCCAGCTCAGTTTCTAGCTCTGCAAACTTGAGTCATCCTCCTGCACCTCTTCCAAACCCATTTGTCCAAAATCAAACTACTTTTGATCCACAATCTGCTCAACTTGTTGAGCCACCACCCATTTATGGCTTACATCATCTTGATAGATCTATCGAACTTGAAGAGGGAGATAAAATCTTACAAAGAAGTAATAGTTATTAACATTACTTTCCCACAATATAAAACAACAGAGAGAGAGAGAGAAATAAAATTATTTTATGCTGCCTTATGCTATGCACTTTTCTTTGAACTTTTGTTTCATAAAGACAAGCTCCATATACTTTTTGTTGTTGTTGTTTTGTTTTGTTTTGTTTTGTTTTGTTTTGTTTTGTTTTACATTTTCGATTAATTATTAAATCTGCTTTGGAAAGCATTCAGGACCAGAATGTCCACCACCATAGACCATCAAAACTCGCGATCCAAACTCGAATGGGTTGCTGTTGTATGCCACAAAATCAGCCTTGTGACCAACTTGGATGGTTCCAATATCCTTAGAACCAAGTCCAAATATATCAGCGATGTTCCAGGTTACTAGTCCAACAGCCTGTGATTCATCAAGCTTTCCGTTGTGTGCAAGATTCCAGCCAGCTTCCCAGATCAAATTGCGAGCATCTCCATTATTAACATCAGTAGAGGCCAAACCTACACGCACCTGGCGATCGATGAGGATATCAAGACCTGTGAAGGGAGTAAGAGGAGGGCCAGAAAGGCACAGGCGTGAGGACCAATCACCGGGGAAACAGCGAGCGGGAGATAGAATGACAGGGATATCGAGACGTTTGAGATGATCGGCAACAAGGTGTGCCTCAGCGCCACCCAGGATAATAAACTTGACACTAAACTGCTGCTTGGACTGATCATAAAGCTGTTTCTTCATTTGAACAATAGATGCAATTTCATCCTTGTCATTTGTTTGAATAACAACAGGTAGCTTTCCTTGGGCAGCACGAGCAAACACGTTGGTGGACGCATCTTTGTTCACATTAGTGGTTAAGAGGTCACGAATAGCAGCAATCTGCTGTGAAACAGTAGTAGATCCTGTGAGAGAAGCCAATGTAAATATCAAACATCGAGCTGTTTTTTTTTCGCTTTTACTAGCCAATTGAATGAGTCATTATCATACCAGAAGTTCCAACAACGAAATGAAGAGCAGTCTCATCATTGATAATTGTATCATTGGTGTCCAATACTAAGCAATGTATTAGCAATATAATATATGTATTATGTCCTCTCTAATTAAACGTGAGCATATTAGTAAGCTAACCTGTGCGTTCTGTACCAGTACGGAAAGACACTGATACACCTGCTAGGCCAGCAGATTCAACCAAAGGTTGGCTGATTGAAGTTGTGACACCAGCCTTGAAGGCCTTTTGAAGATGGAGACCATTCAACTTGATACCATCAGCAGCTCTGACTACAGTTTGGGCGAGTTTCGGATCGGATACATCGTTTTTGGCAATACCATCTTGGGTGCTTGATTCAGCTTGAATCTCTATTAAGCCAAGAGACTCGCCAGCAGAAAAAATACCCTAAATTACAGTTTAATTGGTATAAATGTTCATTAATAAGCACTGTCTCTAGAAACGTGTATATATATATTTCAATTTAGTTACCGGAATAATCACAGCGCCACCCATCTCAAAGACAGGGCTGGATTTTGGCCATTCAACATGCTCTCTGTCACATTCAATACCAGCACAGATAATCACACCATCCTTGACTACCAAACCAATCCGTTCTTTGGCCATAGTAGAATCGTAAGTCTCATCGGGACCCATGTACAAACGGCCAATGTTGCGCATCACAAATGAATTAACATTTGGTCCACAAGCTTCGTCGAATTTGATTGGGTTGTTCAAACCGTGATCTTCGAGCTTCATAGTACTAGTACTAAACGGAGGTAGCCAACCCTTTTTCTCTTCTTTTTTGTCAGCTACATCTACTGTATCAGCCAAGGTATCAACCCAGGTTGAATCCTGATCTTCTTCGACGCTCTTTGCCCATGATGCTTTGAAATTCATTTCAGCGCCATCTATGATAACCTTTTGAGGTCGCGCACCCAAACGAAGAGGATGTCGTTCCCATATGACAATATCAGCATCCATTCCAGGAGCAATACGTCCGATACGATGGTCAAGCTTGAGAGCCTTAGCAGGAACGCTTGTAACGGCAGCCAAAGCCAGATGCTCGTCAAAACCATAATGGAAGGCTTTTTGAGCTTCATGCATTAAATCACGCTGGTTTTTAAGTATGTTTGTGAATACGGTTAGTTTTTGATAATTCCATAATATATATATATCTTTTATTACTTACGGCATTCATTACAGGGTGATCACTCTTGAATGCAACAGGGATACCAGCATCAGCGAGGATAGAAGGTGCATGAACATTCTGCTCCCATGCCTCGGCCTATATATATTTCTCGGTTAGCTATCCACACTATATATCCATTTACAGCATTAAGATGAAGGTATTATGCTGTACCTTGTATCCCCACATGTCTGCAAGCGAACAAATAGAGAGATATGATGAGTTTGATTTACTTTAAGCAAGAAAGATCATCATAATGTGTTATATTTACCAGCAAATGTAGCAATAGTTATGTTGGTCTTTGCGCGCTTGATAACTTCTGGTACTTTCCATGCTGCCAATGCATGATGGAGACCAGCGATTTCAAAATCAAACTCAAGCGAGTGACTAATCATAGCTTCGATATCTTGAGGGAGATAACAGTGGATATTCAACAGAACTTCGTGTCTGAGTAGGGCTACTAGACTCTCAAGATCAATTAACTCTGGGAATCTCTCCGTGAGGCGAGTGATTGTAGTTTCGTCAATAGGTTTATCGGTGGGAAAAGTTGCGTTTACTCTTGTCGCAGCATCACACCAGTCGTCTTGTGCTCTCATGAGTGCCTGCGCTTCTTCGAATCTTTTCCGGAACAGGTAATTTTCTCCCATACCTGGATAGAACCATCAAAGAGGAAGCAAAACATAATCGCCGCTTGGTGATTTAGATCTCCTATTTGTCTATCTATTTCTACACACCAGATAGATTTAATCAAATAGAAAACTATCCTTACGTGTCATGGGTGCTCTGTTGAGATATCCTCCGTAATATGTTTTGGGGTTTTCTCCACAAGCCATCTTCATATAACGCCACACTATTTCTTCATCTTCATCCTCAACACCTGCGCCGATCAACATGTCTTGGTTGGACAATGTCGGAACGGGTCGTAGCTTGATCACGGCGGCCTCTCCACCCATCAGGTTGCCAGAGCCAGGAAGAATAAGCGATGTTGTAACACCACCGCTAGCCACGATTTTCAATCCGGGATCACTTGGACTGATAGCGTCGATAACGCGTACCTACGAGTTAAGATCAATTTTTTACTAAGTGTTATAAGGCTGTGCAAATATTTGATTAAAGTGCGGCTTACATAAGGAGTAGTGGGATGTGTCATTTCATTAATATCATCTGACGCTCTTAAACCAGGGAAACTACTGCCAGCCATATGAGAATGCATGTCCACAATACCGGGTGTGACAATACGCCCTTTGGCATCGATGACGCGTGCATCGGGTACATCGATATCTTTGTCAACAGCAGTAATAAGACCGTCTTCAATAAGAATATCTCCGTGAAGGTAGCGGTCATTGAGCCAAATCTGGCCGTTTTTTATCAATAGTAGCTTCTCCTTTGAAACGGCTCTGGGGTTTCTGTGGCGCACACGAGAGGTGTTGGTTTCCTTGTGTTGACGTTCCAAAATAGACTGACACTTAGATAACCCGTGGTTAAACGATTTCAGCGATATTCCAGGGGCAACAACTTTTGCTGCAGCACTGTCACTCCAGAAGGCCTGGCTATGTATACCCTCGATAGGGGCCGAAGGTAAAGAGTGTGTAAGATAGATACATGTCAAGCCAAACACTGCCAAGGCACTCAAAGACCAGATAAGGCGAGTGCGGCGACGAGGTGATTTTTGGACCGAGTCTACTAGTAAGGGACTTTGAGAGTCCTGACTAGTATTTGAATATCTAGCCATCGATATTTATTTATTTAACTTGTAAAAATATAAAAGTAAAATAAAGATATAAAAAAGAAAGCGAAGAAGAAACAAGGAAAATTATATATTTATTAAGCGTGAATGAAAATTGAAGGAGAATCGCTGTCTGGAGTGTGTGCGAGTGTGCGAGTGTACAAGCGTACAAGCTTATGAGTGCACGAATGCACAAATGCACAAATGCGTGTGTGGGTGCGTGTGCGTGTATATGTGTACAATTGTGCGAGTGTATAATTGTGTGAGTGTGTGAGTGTGTGCGCGTACATACAAAATGGAATTGCATGACCGGTGTGCATCCGGCATGTCGGCACCAGGACCTTCTTTCTTTCTTTTGTGTGTGTGTGTCCAATAGAATCTAAGCCTTTCAATTCAGTAATCTTTGTTGTGGAAAGTAGGCAAATTATTCTACCGTAGCAAAAAAGAAAAGGGACGATAAATACGTGACGTAATAAGTTCCGGGATACGGGAGGTGAATTGGGCCGGGGAAGAGCGGTGGGTAAAGCCTGGAATGAGAGGAGAAGGGAGGGGGGCTGGCCCTACCCCGGCAAGGTTATTTTTTTGCGGGCGTGTAATTTCCATCGAACTCTCCAAACCTTCCCCTCTCCTTTTAAGCTTGCTTCTCTTTCGAGACAAAAGGATACCTCATTATGCAAATCCATCGTTTCCTCACGGCATCTCGTAACGCCGTTCGTGCTACCCGCGCCAACGCTGCCTCCCTTGCTCAGGCTTCTGGTAATAACCTTTATTTCAGTCAACGTGCCATGTGCAAAAAGTCCATTGTTTTGATGATCGTTCAAACTTTTTTTAGCCCGTACCTACGCCACTGCTGCCGTTGCCACCGCCACCCCCGGTCAGATTCGGTATGTACCCTATTTAAATTTGACGTGTCATCCGCATGCAATGCTGACTTCCACATTCTATATAGTTCCGTTATTGGTGCCGTTGTCGATGTCCAGTTCGAACAGGACAACCTCCCCGCCATTTTGAACGCTCTCGAGGTTCAGGACCACACTGGTGGTCGTCTCGTTCTCGAGGTCTCCCAGCACTTGGGTGAGAACACTGTCCGTACCATTGCTATGGACGGTACTGAAGGTAAGACCAAACAAAAAGGAGAAAAGCCACTTTCTCGCGTCTTGTCGCGTTTCTTCGATTACTTACTTTAACTTCTAGGTCTCGTCCGTGGCCAGAAGGTCGTCGATACTGGTGCCCCCATTACCATTCCCGTCGGTAAGGAGGTCCTCGGTCGTATCATCAACGTTATTGGTGAGCCCATCGATGAGCGTGGTCCCATCAACGCCAAGTCTTCCCGTCCCATTCACGCTGAGGCTCCTGAGTTCGTTGACCAGTCCCCCACTCCCGAGATTCTCGAGACTGGTATCAAGGTCGTCGATCTCTTGGCTCCTTATGCCCGTGGTGGTAAGATTGGTCTTTTCGGAGGTGCTGGTGTCGGTAAGACTGTGTTGATTCAGGAATTGATCAACAACATCGCCAAGGCCCACGGTGGTTACTCCATCTTCTGCGGTGTCGGTGAGCGTACTCGTGAGGGTAACGATCTTTACCATGAGATGATGGAGACTGGTGTCATCAAGCTCGAGGGTGAGTCCAAGTGTGCTCTCGTCTTCGGTCAGATGAACGAGCCCCCAGGAGCCCGTGCTCGTGTTGCTCTTACTGGTTTGACCATTGCCGAGTACTTCCGTGATGATGAAGGTCAGGATGTGTTGCTCTTCATTGACAACATTTTCCGTTTCACTCAGGCCGGTTCTGAGGTGTCTGCCCTTTTGGGTCGTATTCCCTCTGCCGTCGGTTACCAGCCCACTCTTTCCACCGATATGGGTGGTATGCAGGAGCGTATTACCACCACCAAGAACGGTTCCATTACCTCTGTCCAGGCCGTTTACGTGCCCGCTGATGATTTGACCGATCCCGCCCCCGCCACCACCTTTGCTCACTTGGATGCCACCACTGTGTTGTCTCGTTCCATTGCTGAGTTGGGTATCTACCCCGCTGTCGATCCCCTTGACTCCAAGTCCCGTATCTTGGATCCCCGTATTGTCGGTGACGAGCACTACAAGGTCGCCACTCAGGTTCAGCAGATCCTCCAGAACTACAAGTCTCTCCAGGATATCATTGCCATTCTTGGTATGGATGAGTTGTCTGAGGAGGATAAGCTTGTTGTCGAGCGTGCCCGTAAGATCCAGCGTTTCTTGTCCCAGCCTTTCGCTGTCGCCCAGGTTTTCACTGGTTACGAGGGTCGTCTTGTCCCTCTCCAGGATACCATCCGCTCCTTCAAGGAAATCTTGGACGGTAAGCACGATGGTCTTCCCGAGACTGCTTTCTACATGCAGGGTGATATCAACGATGTCATCAAGCGTTCCGAGGAGCTCGCCAAGGAGATGGGTGGCCAGTAAATACTCTATAAATTAAAAAAATAAAAACATGGCCAGTAACGCTTAACAAGAAGCCTAGTAATTGATTGTACTTTTGCACTGGACCCTTTGCATTAAAACAAAAAATAAAATAAACCATAAGAAAGAACGTCAGAATATCCTTGTGTATCACAATAGAACCATAAAACTCTTATTGTGTTCCCATATTAAATCTTCTTGGCTTATTTTGGGCCTTATTTGTATCTGGCAACAGAAATAGTCTTGTTGTTGATTTACTTGTTTTGCTTTTTTGTTTACAATCTACAGACTTTTTGTACCCCAACCCTTCTCTTCTCTTCTCTTTCAGTTATGAAACGTTTATTTAAGTCAAAATCAAAGTCTAGTCGAAAAGATCTAGTAGGATATGAACCTCATCAACCATTAGATTCAGCCGCTATTATCCAAGGCGATACGAATCATATCCCCCTAGACCACAATAGACAAGCATCAGGCAATAGATTACAGAAACAGCTTGAACAAGCAGCCAGAGATATGCCATCCAAAAGACAATCCCAACAATTTATTCAACCACCACTTGTTATGCCAAAACCAATATATGCTGTCCCACCTACTCGCGATATTTTGCGTAGTTACGAAGCGGACAAGACCCAAGTTGAACCGGTGCTTCCCATTGTACGTGAAGAACCAAAGTCTTGTACGAATAATAGCAACTTCATTGAAGCTGTGAGTGAAATATCATCTTTCGTTGGATCTGACAAACGCCAGTTAACAACATCAGATTCACCTGATTTGAAAATGGGGAACGTTAGTTCTAGTAAAAGAGGTAAGCAATTTAATCAAAACAACAATGAGAATCACTTGGATTTAATACATTGTGTTTCTTTGTGATATAGCCCCTGATACGAATGAACTATACTTTTTAGATAGTATCCAAGGTCCACCCATTGCTAGTAGTGTTGAATCCAATCCTATTTATGAATCCGCCGTCGAATCACCCGATTCGACTGCCACAAATAGCAGTAAAATAAACTTGTCCAGATCATCAATCCAGAGTCCTTCTCTTCTAATCCCTGAGCCGTCCTTATCCCAGTCAACAAACCACCACATATCCCCAAAACTCTCGAACAGTACTCCGTCTTCTTCTTCCGTTAAATCATCGGATACTCTAAGTGCTAGCAAATATCGCTCTGATAGAGTAAATATGCTAATGGGTGCAAAGAATCGCAAAAGCTTTAGTTTGTCACCCCAAGCACTTTCAATATCAACCGAGAGGTCCTCAGATTCTTTGGGTCATGTTGATACCCAGGATAGTTTGCAGCAGAATAACAATGACGATGATAAACCAATTCTCAGTCAATTACAGATTAATGTCGATCAATTTAATGATATTCCAAGTAGTTCATTTCCTCAAACCAATCCTAGAAGGCTTAAAGGACAGGCTCAGATATTGCAACAAGAGAATATCAAAAGACGACAGCCTGAAGAACCTAAAAAAAGTCCTCTTGAAGGTTTCGAGACTCTCCAACGACAAGTTGAACAGATGCAGCGCCAGAGAGAGCGAGAACAAGAGGAATGGAAGGAGCGTGAGACAGCTCACAGATTACGCGAACAAGCCATGCTTGATCAAATTAGCCGAACACAAGAGCAACTTATGAAGGCACTTGCTCAAAGCGGAATTATCAACAACAATGTACAGCAGACTCCTGTAGCAGAAACAAACGGAAATTCACAGCCAGTTCCTAGCACTTTTTCACGCCAAAGGCCAATTAATGATAATTCAAATTCTCAGCAATCGACGCCTAATAATCGGCATTTAAGACAGCAACCACACCAGAATATCCCTAGATCCAGACCCACTTCTGGGGATCGTGCGGGTCCTGAAGACCCTTCTCTAAGAAGAAGACCTTCTCAGCCATCCTTACGCCCTCACTCGCGTCCCAATTCTGCACAAGACGACTATTTTACATATCAACCTCACAATGACCAAGATGATGATGTACGATATCAGCAACCTATAAGTTCTGGGCGACGACCTCCATCAAGAAGAACAAGTGAGCGTTCTTTGAGAGACCCCCGCCCATCTGAGCGCTCACCGTATTATGATTCACCAAGGGATCGACCTCCTCCGCGACAAGGAAATGGAGGTCGCCAACGCCGAGGCAGTTTATTTGGCGGAGGCTCTAATCAACATCGTTCAAGATCTGTGGAGCCATTTTGGGATGAGACACATTATGTAGATAACCCAACTCCTGTAGAAACAGGGTATAGTCATCACAGACCTCAGGGACCACAAAATAGTAGGCCGAGATCGCGAAGGAGTCATTCTGTAGAGCGGGCTGCTCCTAGTAATAGGCAGATCTACAATAATTATCCGGGTAGAAACCAGGAAATTAGATATCCTACACAAAGTAACTTAGGCTATTATCCATCTTATCCACCTTATGGAGATCATGGTGCAGAGCAATATGGATATGAGACAGCTTATTACTCCCCTACTGGTTTACCCGTTATGCAGCCGCTCTACTCTGAAGAAGAAGCCTGGGGAATGACGCACTGGCCAGGACCAGAGTATCCTATTGTCACTACTCACGAAGGATATGTTCGTCCACCTTCTATGAGACCTCGGTCAAATAGTCGACGAGAGTACCAACCAAGACCCCGTTCAACCCATTATTATAGAGCTGAAGGTCATGATCTGAATGGCTATCATTAGAAGGAGGTTTATCTAACCAGAATTCTTTTTAATGAATGAGTGCACACATTCTTGTATATTTGTCTAACCAAGATAACAAAATAAAAACAACTGCATACATGTTGCTTAATTATAACATGCAATATAACTAGGTTTCAAGCAATCTATTGTTGAGAAACTTACCGTATAGTATTGACTATTAAATACAAAATAAAATAAAATAAAATAAAGTAAGATACCATCGATACTTGTTGCATATCATTGGCTTTCAAGTTAATTATGAGTATGTCTTTACCGATGAATTTTGGGAAACAAAGAGTATACGAGAGAAAGGTAAATATGTAGAAATATAATATATCTGTGCTAACTTTTATTTTTGTGTGTTTGTTTATATATATATATATAAAAACAATGTTATACAACCGAATCATAATCGGTGGGGTGATGATGATGGATAGACATTCCATTATCAAGGAGTTTTGGTGCAGCCCACTTATGTCTATTGATCCAAAAATCAGGGACCATCAAGAAGTACCTGTCCATAGCCGCTTTGAACCTCAACCGATATTGACGCGGTGATATGATTGTTGGTTCTTTGCCACCACCACCCAGAATACCGGACTCTTTTACCCAGTTCTCTAACTTCTTATCCCAAGTAAAAGTACGAATAAAATCTATATAAATGGATCAATGAAATGTTTCATGGAAAGAAATAGCTGGCATATAAACTTTACCAACGATGCCAACCACAAGCTCTTGATTTTCTTCATCTACACCAACAAGCAGCGAATAATCCATGACATCTAACCGTGAAAGGAATAATGTATCATTGTGAAGACAGTCATTGAGCATTTCCTTTGCGTGTACACGTAAAAAGAGAGGAGATTGGTAGACAACTATAAAGCATCTTTTATTAGTATGGATATCAGAAAAGAAATATTTTCTCTTACGCTCGACCATGTTTTCGTCTAAAAGAACTTCGTTTTTCTTTCCAGTCTCTTGGACATGCCTATTCCGCATAGATCCCTTTAAATCAAATATCTATATAAAAATATAAAATCAGACTATCCCTTTCGCTTTAAGATATATATATATATATATATATTTATATAATATTTACCTTTTTTACTACACGTTTATAAAACAGGTTCTCCATAACCAAGATATACATCCTAGTAGATTTTCCAGTTGCAGTATTTTTAAAACCAATGCGATAGAGACCAAATATTTTGCAAAGAACAGTAGGAAGCTGTAGAGAGGATATCATTAGTTACTTATGTTTATACGGATGTATGCTCACTTAATTACCTCGTGAAAAAAAGATTCGGCCATGTATTTGAAATAAGCAGGAGCAATTCTTGAGAAGGTATCCATTTCGTACTTTGGAATTTGCTTAATTATGAAACGATCATCTAAAATATTCTGTTAGTCGATGTCTGTCTCTTTTGAGCAAATTATACTTACCTTTAGTTTTCAAAAACACAGAACCAGATTTACCACCAGAAGAATCCCATTTGCAGCAATTCACAAGTGAAGCGATATAGCTTTCATCACACCCACACTTGTGGCGTAATGCGTCAAATTGCTCGACAAAGAAAATTTTACAGAAAAACTTTGTTGTGCCATCCGCAAAGTCTAATTAAAAGGTATAATATAATTAGTAGTTATTCAGTATCAGCAGTAGGTATGCTTACAATTTTTTATATGACTTCCAGAATTACTCAAAAGAGTACGCTCAGCCAAGAAAGGTGCATTTGGAGCCAAAGGATCGACCATAGTGTCAAGTGTCATCTTTTCACTCTCGCCTGAAAAGCTGATATCATCTGCATGGTCGTCTACATAACTTTCGGGGTATTTCTCAGAATGATTATAACCTTGGCCGTAAATATGACTTTCTCCATGACTTTCTCCATGACTTTCTCCATTATTATCCGCAGAGTTCTCAGCGTGACTAGCTCGGATTTGTTTAAGCTTCTCTCTGTAGTCAGAGCAATCAAGCGAGAACGCAATAATGGTACTTGGCTCATCTTCCCCAACAATTATGTTTGAGCCTGGAAAAATGTGCTCAATAGGCGATCTATACAATTGAAAAAAAAAATGCGAGTTACTCATTTGCATTTCTAATACCAACGTTCTATTATATTTAATAAATAAAAGTACTTACAGAGGGTACTCTAGAGGAACCAGGTTTCCAAGACCCTTTTCAGCCAGCATATTTGTAATAGTCTTGATAAACGAATTGCGTTCAGGGCCACTGCTCGATAATTCAGTGTTTGTGGAATCTTTTTTTTTGTATAACAATATCGTGTTAGTTGAAGAGCATGTCCGGTATGCACTTTAAGTTGCATTGCATATAATATCCCTCTTCGACATATCTTTTACTTTTAGCCATTTACCTATCATGGTCAACGTTCCAGTTTTGGCAGTTTCAATAGTGGATCCACTTTGAGTACGACCAAGTCTAAAGTCGGAAATTGTTTGTTGAAGCGGATCATTCAAAGCTTTGTTTGTCGGTTTGGTATCTTCTAAATCTAGACTAAGGTGTGGTAAGCTTGAGCTGAACATTTGGAATTGCTCGCGATTGAAGCGTCGAAGTTGTTGAATATGAGGAGGATCAGTCTCGCGCCCAAGAGATTCGTCATATTCATCCGTTCGGGTTAATGAGAATCCGTGTGACATTGATGTATATCGCTCATCATCGTCTTCAACGTCAGTCTGATCATCGATATCCGTTGCTTGGAACTCATCATCCGATTCTTCGCGTACAATATCCTTGATTGTTTTGTAGACTTCAATTGACGATTTACTTGGCAAATTCTGTCGTGCATTACGCGCTCTCAAGGTTGATGCCAAGTTCTTTGAGAATCTAATGCTCCGATTTACCTGAAGTGGTACCTGTAGAGTAGCCATGCCACTGTTACTACCATACCTAGGCTTTTCAGTGCTACTTGAGGCTCTTCCGTAGTTAAAAGAGGTATTATGCTTATCAAGTTCCCTTCCTTTATCAAAAGGCTCAACTACTCGTGGTCGTGTTCTGTTGTGGGAAGTACTACCTCGTTCAGTAGATCCCTTGTATCCATAACGGTATCCGCTCAATGGTAACTCCTTCTTGACTGGGACTTCAGAATTCAACGAAGTACGCGAACTTGATTCAGATGGAGAGATAGTAGTATCCCAAGGATGTTGTCGAGGTGACCGAATGTCCTTTGAGCTATTTTCCTCTGAACTTTGTTTACTTTGTATTCTCTTTTGTCTTTCATTCTCCAGTTTCTGTCGTCTTGTGGTAGTACGAGATGCTTCTGGAACAAACTGAGAAGTGCTAATATGATTAGAGACTGGAGGTGGGGAACTCTTGGACTTGGTAATTGCACTTTTAGGCAACAACTCAACTGCGACTCTTTTACATGCATCCGCAGAAATTAAAGTCAATATTCCTGCATGACGGCCCAAGATAGAAGTCTCTTCAAGCTTAGGCAAGACCTTCTTTATTTTAGGCTCGTCGTCTTGGTCTAAAACGCTTTCTTGCCATGATGCGGATCTGATTGGGTTGTCTTTCATCAGTTCAAGAGAGAGACGCCGTGCAACACTAGGATCAAGGACCTGAGAAGAAACGTCGTCGTCGTCGTTCTTGCTTTTGTCAATATTTATGGAATCCTTGTCTCCTGCCTCTCGTCGCTTGACTGCTTCAATTTGGTCATCATGCATCTTTTGCAAGAGAGACTCAAAACGAATCTCCTCTTCAAGCCATGGTGCTGCAGTTGTGGGCGACTCCCCTAACAAAGGTTGTTGCTTAAAAGAAAATACAGCGTCTGGTTCTTGCTCGACTATTGATTGAAGACCTGAGACACCATACGCATTGGTATCGTACTCGTCCAAACCAACATCGAGCAAGGGTAAATCAGCTGCTTCTGTGGCACGTTTTGTACGTAAGTCCAGGCTGGCGACAGGCATTGATATCATAGTTTCGGCAGGCATCATGCGTCTGAAATGGCTAGCGGTCAATCTACGCAATTCTCGTTCAGGTCGAACATACTGTCGAACAAATTCAAGATACTTGAGATCCCATTGATACACACACATCTGGAGGTAGAAACGAACTTCGTTGAAGCATAGTATGTCAGTAGCAACTGTCTTGGCATAGACAGCTTGGAGAGACTGTAACATCTGTTTCTTTTCTTCATTGGCACGGCGTGATAGATCTTGTAGAAACTCTTTGCATGAATCGACCATGTTTGGCTGTACAATATCAAACATAAAGTTGCGATTGCGTTCAACAATGGACTCATAAAATCGTGCAATCTTTCCACGTGCAGACTCAAGTGCGGCGTCTTTTGCAGCGCTCAGGCATTTGGGATTGAGGTATAGATATGTAGGTGGCACAAATACATCAAATGGTTCAATACTTTCGTGGTTGAAACGTACAGCAAGCCCATTGTAGCCAAAGTAATGAACGTGATCGCGATACATAGTATGAGGACATTGATCAATTTTTGATAGTGGCTGCTCAGATTGATAGAAGATTAGCTCAAGGAATTTTCCAAATGAATATTTCCAGGTATTTTCTGACATCGGAGTAAGTGATGTGTATAGGGCACAGTGCTTGCAGTAGCTCCATGTCATGATCGTGTTTGGAGCCAAAGGCTGAGGTGATTCAAAGCGTTGAATTTGGACAATAACCCTGTCACTACCATGAGCATATGCTCGGTAATGTTCGAGCAGTGTTCTATCACACATACTTGAAGGACAGAGACCCGGTGAATCGTAAGCCGTGTCTACAATATACTGGCCCAAGGTCATGTCTGACTCAGAACGATAATATTCAAACAAACGCATCTCTGGGCCCTGGCATGGTACAGTAGTCTCTGTGCAAATACTTGTCGAAAGAACAACAAGCTGCTGGTAAAAAAATGGCGAGAGGGTATCTGTGGTTGTATCTATACATGCTTCAAGTGCCCGCCAGCGATGGTGATGTTCTTCAAGTATTTGATGGTAGTCGAGGTCGCCATTGAGAACTGGCTCGAACGCGTGGATATATGCTGGCATGTCTGTTAATGATGTTGGTAAGGGTATAGCAAGTAATGTCTCTACTGATGGTTGGTTTAGCTTTGGATCTGGGTTATAGTGGGCTATTCCTTTTTCAATGAGGGCAATCATTCTCATCTGCGTCTCCTTGAGTCGCAACAGCAAGTATGGTGGAGGGAATCTGGCCATTGGAGACGCAGACAGCGTAACATTCTTATATTTTGTAACTATATCCATCATTGGCTTTATCCTTTCATCACTCTCCATATCTCTGATTTTCTTGATCATAATTGCTTTGGCTGTGGCTGCTTCTGCTGCCGCTGCTGCTGAAGCCGCGATTTCCGCAGCGACATTTGCGGGCACGGGTAAGGCTGATTGACCTTGCTTTGGGACTAAAGTCTCTCCGTCCATCACCGCTGGCTCTTTCTTTTCATTAAAAGTCAGGGAGATATCAACAATGCGTGGGTCGGGTATAGTCACACCATTGACATCCTTCTCTTCACTTTCTGTTGCTTCCTTATCTTCAGTTGGAAGCGAGGCTCGGACGACGTTCCGCATCTTGGCAAAATCACGCATCAGAAATGATTCGAGCTTGAGGTTATGAACAACAAACACCATAAAGTCAAGAATACGCTTAATTACTCTCAATGTCTCTACACGGCCACCTCGAAGGATGATAGTTGCACCAAGATCAGGCGGACAATCATGAAACATCAAAAAGGTTTTACGTCGATTAGGAATCCATTCGTGAACGTGTGTTCTTGTCTCAAAAGTGCCACAATGCCCGAGGGTGAGCTCCTCTGTATTGAGTTGAATAAACGATGGGATAATGCTGGCTCCTGTACAACGTGCCACCGCATCGAGAACGCTTAGCTTTACATTGTAAACGACCACAATATTGGCCTTTACCAAGAAGTCAAGGGCGAGACGGGAGACATTTGAGCTTACGAGTACAATAGAGGGCTTGAGAGCAATGATTCTGTTGACCAGTTTTTCTAGATAGTCTTTTTCTTGGGCCAATACAGGATCGATCGGCTGTAACTGTTGCTCTCCTTTCGAAGTGTCGCGAGACCATTCAAGCGGAAAAAGAAGAATAAGGATTTGTGGGTTAGTTACAGTGCGGACCATATGTTTGTGAGCTACATTCTTGGTACACACAACACCCTTGACATAAAGACTGTCTTTGGGCTGTCCTCCGGCAATCTTCTTTACTTTAACATAGTGGCGGATATCAATCTCATCACCGCCCCGAATGTCGGGATTCACATTGTCCGACACCTTGAGCAGTAAATTGATTAAGACCTCTTCCCATTGAGTACGGTTTTTAACCACTTTTGGATCAGCCCGATTAAGCATGTGCCGTAACAAGCGTCGAATGTGTTCAAGTGAAGCTGCGTCAAGCTCAATACTCAGTGGTACAGATGCTGCGCGACGATGACGAGGTGAGAAAGAGCTTGCGAGGGCCATTGAACGCATACGCCCAAGATCTTGTGCAGATTGGCTGTTGTGTGGGTTATTCGTTATATGTGGAATTGGAGCATCAGCTAGAGGAGGTGAACTAGGGGTATCGGGACTGCTAAAGTTGTCATCGACAGTAGCTGTGGTTATTGGTGCATTGCGCATAAGGCTCTGAGTGCGTGCTCGAATTGGACGAGCAGATACTCCCGACATGCTCAGTCGACGTCTGATGGCACTGGTTCGTTCGCGAGTCCTCAGATCGTCTGTACGCTTCATTCTTATTCGCTGCTCATGTGCATCTTCATCACTTGCTGTACTCTCTCCTTTACCAGAAAGAGATCCATTTGAGCCCAAAATATTGCTTTCTTCATTTGAAAAATGGTTGTGGCTATTGCCAAGAAATGTAGATGTAGGCCTTTCAGTGTTTCCACCCAAGAAATTTAAGAGATTTCTAGGACTCTTGTCCCACTTGCGAGGATCATCATCTTCATTATCTGAGCCTGCAAAGGCAAAATCTGTGGAGAGCAAAGTACCGCCTCCTCCGTCTACCAAAGGAGAACTCATTGTAAGCGAGTTGCGACGGAAAGGCACAGAAGATCCTGTCTGTTTGGCTTCTAGTAAGGCCTGCTGACTGGTGTCTATTCCTAGCGAATTCATTGTGTTCGTACGAGATCGCTGGCGCAGTAGAGTGTTTGTAACTTTTAAGAGCTTTTTAAGATTTGTTTCAGGCTCAAGCTGACGTGGAATATCAGGGTGCTGATAATAAGGCAATGAAGATGGTGATGCTGATGGCATCATACCGGGTGAGCCAGCGTAGATCCCACTAAAAGAAGAAGCACTGTTGTATGGCGGAAGTTGCTCTCTAGAAGGGATCTCAAGTGCAAATGTCATAGCATCTTCTCCTCCGTAATCATTCTGACGGTGGTTCTTTAGAGTTGTTGGAATTTGCATCATTGGCGCTGAAGACAATGGTTTCTGGTCTGGCATCACTGGAGCCATACCTACAATAGTATCGAGGTCGGCAGAATTGCGGTTTCCGGCATACATGTAGGCTTCCTGCATTGAATCGGCGTCTTCTTGCTCTTGGGCTTCTAATTTTGAAAAGCAGAAGTTGCACACTCGTACTTGTCCATTTTGACTGATACGTTCTCCTTGGATTATGTGGGACGCGCACTTGGCACAAAAAATTTGGCCTTTGAGACAACAACAACAACAACAACAACAACAATAAAATCAGCAATAAGGTTATATCTCAACAACAAACAAAACTTACCACAAATGCGGCAGTGATGTTTGCGTCGAAACAAATTGAACTGGCAGCTGCATTCAAAGCACTCCTTGCACTGTTCGTCTGGCATCCAATAGTCCTTGTTTGGTTTTTCTCCACGCAGTCGTCCGATCATACGACTGAGTGAATTAGCATTTGATACTGAAAAATTTGTCATCACAGACTGTGTATCACTGTCGCAAGAAGATGTTTTGGTGAGCATATTTCCATATGGAAGAGAGTCGATAGATAGGCGAGAGATAGGTAGCGGAGATGAACCCATAGCTATGTCGTTCGTATCCGGCGATCTTGCGGGGCTAGTTTGGGCTGGTCTTGTGAAATGAAGTGAGCCAGGAGGAGTAGGTGAAGTGATAAATAATTTGTGGTTGGTGTTGCTGTTTGTATTGGTACTAGTACTGGTATTGGTATTGGTATTGGCATTGGTATTGGCATTACTGTTGGTATTGTTACTATTACTGTCGCTAGGTTTTTGGTTTTCCACAGGCCCGAGTGAGGCGGACAGGATACTAGTTGGTCGAGAAGAGGATGTTTCGACCCGGCGTCGGTTATCTTGTAGATTGTTGATATCATTTTCATTTGCTTCAAAAGTTTGGTCGGTTGAAGGAAGACGGGAAAGTGGTCTTTGTGAAATTGTTTGAGAGTTTGGGCCAGAAACTGCCGTCTTGAATTTGGAAAGTAACTTTGATAAAACACCTTCTTGATCAACCTCTGGCTTGGTCTCGTAAAAGTTGAATGTTGTTAATGTCGACACATCGTCATACTCAAAACGAGAGATGGTCGTCGTCGGGTTGTCTGCTGCCATGACGTCTTGGTCATGCAGCGAACGAAAGGGGAGAGTCAAAGCAGAAGAAAGGGGTGTTCGCTCTAAGTGTCAACCCAGAAGATAGACTATTCGCTCCTCGTCTTTCTTATGAGAAAATAAGCATGTGGTGTAACCCATATTGAAGGACATCATCTTTGGTTATATAGATACCATGACAATCTTCCTTTTCCGTTCATAGATCTTATCAACACAGGATATTGTATATATTGCCACTGGAATTATTTTTATATTTCTCAATGACACATTCTTCCTTATTACGCTCTTGTCCCTTTACACCCTTCGATCTTTAGCTTTCTATCAGATGATCAACTTCATATTCGGAGTGTGAAATCAATCAAAGTGTTTTTGAGGACGTGGGGCGTGTTCTTGTTCCTTTAACTCCCTACTCAATTCCACCAGAAATCTTACAATGACTACGTACGTGGTGAATTACTGCTAGATAGCTTATATGAATTAAACGAAAAAATACATTTGAATTGACGCGTTTCCTATAGTAATCCTCCCAAGAATACTCCAATCACCGTTTCTGAGCTTGCCAAGTGCAATGGAACTGATCCCTCTAAACCCATCTATGTCGCAATCAAAGGAGATGTTTTCGATGTCTCCAAGAACACCGATGCTTATGGCCCTGAAGGAGGTTACAAAATTTTTACTGGAAAGGATGCCTCAAAGGTAAGGAAGTGATAATAGTATATATACCCTGGACTGTGAAATTGGATACAAACGCTAATCATGGTAAATCAAACGTTTTCAGGCACTCGCTTTGTCTTCATTGAAGCCAGAAGACTGTATTCCCGATATCAGCGAATTAACTGAGAAGGATCTTGTGGTTCTTGAGCAGTGGCACGCTTTCTTTAGCAAGCGCTACGATATTGTTGGCAAAGTTGTCCCAGACAACTAAACCGAGTAAAATAAATAAATACAAAATGTTCATATTTAATATGGTGTTTAAAGTCTTTTTATATATATATATTTTATAAATGCTTAATTGACCAAAAAGAAAAATAACGACACACATATAATATATGTATGACAATGGGTGGATGAATGTTTAAATGCGTATGAATAGGATGATGCATTATTCAGAAGTAGTAGTATAATACAACTAGAAAAATCTATGCCAATACAGCTTCTGATTCCTTCAACTTCTTGGCTTCAGGATTTTCGGTGGATTCTGACGAACGTTTCAGTGTTGCTTCGGCTTCTTTTAATTCCTTTTTCTTTTCACCCTTGGACTTTCCATGGTCAGCAGGAAGTTCAGGTCGGAAATAAGGCTGATAATAATAGAAAAAAAAAGATGCGTTGAATTAGGGTGATAGGTTTGAACCCTTGGGTTATCTCTTAATTACCTGGCATCTCCAGTAACCATATTTTCGGATACCCTTGATGTCTTCTTGGCCAGCCAATTCGGTTTCTCCAACTCTTTCACGCTCTTCTTCTAAGCGCTTTTTCAATTCCATGGTAATATCCCAAAACTCTTCAAACTTGTTAGCCTTTCCGAGACGTGCTCTCAAGTCAGTGTGGTGGGGTAAGCTAGGCTGGAGTATCTTGAACAGATGGGCTTTAATGATACCGGTGCGCGTGGGGCACAAATCGCGGCAGATCTCGAGGTATTCTTGTGCCATCTCCCAGGTACACGGTGGCATGTCCCGCTTGGCAAAGATAGCTGGGTTATACAAACTTCCCTCAGCACTCATGACACCATCTGCTCCAGTATAATCCAAGCACTTTTGAACATCTTCGTAATACAAAATATTTCCGTTGGCAAACACAGGCACCTTGACTGCCTCTTTAACAGCCTTAATTTTGTCCCAATCAGCCAAACCAGTATTGTGACCTTTTTGTTCTCTCAAACGGCCATGGACAGTGATTATCTGTGCTCCGGCAGCCTCGACCATCTTGGCATATTCTACTGTCTTTTCAACGGTAGGAAACACCCGGATTTTGGCAGTGACTGGAATGGCAAGTTCCTTGTGCAAAATTGAAATCATGTCCCGGATCAAGGTCCATTCGTCCTGTAAGAAGGATCCGTAATGACCTCTTTTCGCAATGTGTTGGGGACATCCAAGATTAAGATCCACACCATCACAGTCATTCTCTACAAGCTTAGCTGCCTGCAACAAGATCTGGGGGTCGTTGGCACAAAACTATCATATATGTGCATAAGTAACACATCACTTTACAGCCAAAAGAAAAGAAAGAAAGAAAAAGACATTATGTACCTGAACAATGAGGGGTCTGTCTGCTTTGTCTGTGCTCCATTGCTCTTTACGATACTTGTGTCCCTGTTCGGGATCACTAAATAGTCTAGCATGGAACATTGGTGTAAAGCAGAGGTGTGCATCGTAACGTCTACTCAAGATTCTCCAGGCCTGTTCTGACTGATCTACCATTGGTGCCACAACAAACCGAGGGGACCCGAGGGCTTTATAGAAGTCATAGCCGGTCAGCTTGGGGGTATCGGGTGTGTTTGTCATGGCAGAAAGGGAGACGATCTCAAATTCCACTAACCCACTGAGCTTGTCTTTACAGATACACAGCAGTCACTAAACACCAATCGGCTGGATTCATTTCCTTGTATTGATTTTCTATTACAAAAAAAAAGTTTCTAATTTTATAATTAAAGAAAAATGTGTCAGTTACAATTATAGATTTTATTTAGTAAAATCTAACTCTCTACGTTATATATAAGACAAAGAAATTAAGTTGATATGGTTGGTTTTTTATTTTTTATTTATTTTTTTGAAAAAAAAAAAAAACAACAGATATACTCACACATCAAAGTGCAATATTATATGTGAAATCCAACTATTTAATTTTCATTTGCCGACATCTTTTTGCTACTTTACTTGTAGCACATAAAAAATAGACAGGTTAGTAAGAGTTTTTTCTAAAGTACGCGTCTAATTCCGAAGTGATGGAATTTTGCTTTTTTGATTATACGACATTAGGAGAAACAAAATATTTAAACACCGCCGCATTTTTTTCTGTGTAGAAGAACTGCTAGCCTCACAAAAATGCCACGCTCCCAGGTGTTTTTAAATTACTAAAAACAGCTTAGACAGTTTGAGTTTCAAACATGCCCTGAAATCTACCAAAAAGACTGGGCATTTGAAATTCAAATTAATTATTTTATTTTATTTTCATTTTTATTTTTATTTTTATTTTTGCTTTTTTTTTACGTTTTCACTTAGTCTTTAATTTTTTATTATTTTTTGATAACAAGTAATTGACCCTCTTATTCCAATTATAATTTTACTTAAATATTATACTGCATTGCAATTAAGGTATCTGTGCTTGATTTCGGATTAGTATCTCAATATTAGAAAAAATAGATACTGGGAGAGTTTTATTTATTAAAAAAAAAAAAAAGTTAAAATGATATTCGAGGTGTTTGGAACTGATTTTGGGTTAGTATTTCAATGTTAGGAAAGTTAGATACTGTGAGAGTGTTATTTATTAAAGAAATAGAATAATATACATATATCAATCGATAAAGACTTTCTTTTTCTTACTATTCAATTTGCCTCTCTTAATATTTGTACCTCCGCTGTGCCACGTCTGGTACTCAAAATCCACCCACACACACACATAAATCTACCCAGGCGAACATAGATCTACCCAGGTGCGCAAATCTACCCAGGCACACATAAATTCATTCGGACACACATAAATCCACCCACACACACATCTTTTTTGTGATGAATTCATAGACCTATACAAATAATAAATTAATAAATAATTAGCATACTTTTTGAAAGTAGAGCTTTCCTCCTCCCCTCAAGTTCTATGTAACTCTTCGCTATGAAAAGTTTAGCGACTATATATTACAATTAATGTGTAAAAATAAGTGGAGCAGTTTATTGAATAGATAGTAGACTTTAAGCGATGTGGTTGTAAAACGGTACGAAGATTTGCAGAGAGTTTAAAGGCAGACAAGTCATGTGCTAATATTCCAAGTTTTTAAAGATATAGATAATATTTATAAGCTCTCGTTACTAATCCTGTTTTTTTTATAAGAAAAAATAATGAAATAGCAGAAATTTTCTTATTGTTATTGTTATTATTATGAGGTAAATTTATAGGGCTTTGTCACTTACAAAAGCAAAACTGTTATATTAAATTAGCCTATTGTCAGTTTTATTAAACCGAGTTTTAAGAGTGTATTATTAATGCTTAAAATCCATATTACACTTTTTTATATGTTATTTATATATTTAAAAATGAAAGGCTTGGGCTATGAAACGATTAAGGGCGATTTTGGCAAAATTGACAAATACCGCATATTCTGTCAAGACAATAACGTCTTTAGCTGTAAAGTAAATGATCAATAATAGGTTCATAAACTACTTGGAAAACATGAGGGTTTTTATTGTCCTGTCATTTTGACCCATTTTTTTATAATAATAATAATAATAATAATAAAACCTTTCTTAAATTATTAATGACAGAAGCAATACTATACTTCTGACGCAATATTGATACACGCGTAACGGATTTTATATGTAAAGTCAAGGGCTCAACAAGTTTCAGCACTTAGCAGAAAAAAAAATATATAGAAAATAACAGAGAGATAGAATATATAAATATATATTGGATAAAGCATTCGGTATTCTTACATTCTTTCTTTCTCTTTCTCTTTCTCTTTCTCTTTCTCTTTCTCTTTTTACTTCTATCTCTATCCGTTTCTAGTTTAATCCCCTTTAATGGCCGACCCGTTTAACCCCCCTCAAGGAAGAGGTGACCCAAACTCAAGTGGGTCTCAGGCACAGGCTTCACACGAGACAACCCCTCTGTTGGCTGATAGATCAACTGTATTGGCTTCAAAGCAGACATCGTCTACTGGTCTCGTTTCTACTTTAAAGTCCATTGCGCGTAAATATTGGTTTATTCTCGGTCTGGGTGTAGCCATTATTCTGGCCGCACAGTTCCCAGATGTTGGAAGAAAAGGAGGATATATTCGAGCTGAATGGTCTATCAAGTGGGGTGAGAAATATATATATATATGTGTGTGTGTGTGTGTGTGTATGTGTGCGTGTGTGCTGTGTTTCGTAATGAATATAAAGAAGTCTAATATCCCCAATATATATCAGGAGCGGTAATTTTGATCTTCCTAATCTCTGGGCTGTCTTTGAAAACCCAGACTCTGGCAGAGACAGTACTGAGAGTACGCCTTCATATGCTCATACAAATTATCAGTTTGGCCATCATTCCTTTCTTTGTATTTGGACTTGTACTACTGCTATTCAAAATACAATTGCCCATCAACTCACTGCTCTTGGTTGGTGTGGTCATCTCAGCCTCGACACCAACAACTGTGTCTTCCAACGTTGTTATGACTGAAAATGCCTGTGGAAATGGTGCTTCTGGTAAAAAAAATGCTTTAAAGCACATATAAAAGTATATAATAGATAATATAAGCAAAGACAAATCCAAAAGAAAAAAATATTTACAATATTAAACTTTAGCTCTGATGAATGCTGCTCTTGGCAATGTTTTGGGTAAGATTTTTTTTGAAGTTGTAATAACTGTACTAATTTTTTTTTCTTCAGGTATATTTATTTCTCCTCTGCTTGTATCTGTCTTCCAGGGTCCTCTTTTGAGAGCCACGCCAGGAGGAGACAAGGATCAGGATGGAAGCAAACCAATTGACTTTGCTCAGGTGCTTACTCAGCTGGGTCTGACAGTACTTGTCCCTTTAATCGTTGGTCAGATCATTCAATGGATATTCCCTACTCAAGTTGCTCGAATCAAGGCCAGATGTTACCTATCTGAAGTCAGTAGTGTGGCATTGCTGACCATGGTGTGGTCAGTTTTCTCAGATACGATCTACGCAGGATCCTTTTCCTCCATCCATTCAACCGATATGTTAATTATCGTAATCTTGAATGCAGTACTTTATATCTTATTCTCTGTCCTTTGCTTTGTCCTGGCACGTCTTCCTCTACCAGCTGGTGTTCGTACCCCTTGGTGGATCGAACGTTTCCGATATTCTCGTGAAGATACTGTGGCTGTCATGGTGTGTATACTCTTTTTTTTTATAGTCAAATATAAGATCTAACCTATAATGATCTCACCCCTATTGTGTTTAGTATTGTGGTGCAACAAAGACAGTGGCCATGGGCGTACCGTTGATTAACGTTATTTACCAAGATGGCAACCCTGGCATGATCGGTGTACTCTCGACACCTTTGTTGATGTACCACATTGAACAATTGATTCTTGGAAATATTGAAGTGGAGATCCTTAAGAATTGGGTTATCAAAGGCAAGATTGCCGACGAAACTCTAGTGACAGCTGCTCGCGACGAAGAAGAGCGCGACGCTTAATTTACACTTTTATACAGCTAATAAAGTATATTATATATATATATATATATCAATCCTTATATTTTATATTATGCTCAAAGGACTCTCCAAATGGCCCTGTACAAAGAAATTGGAAGAGAAAGAGATAGATAGATAGGTATACTAAAGGGTCTATAGGAAACCCCCAATCTTTCAGGGTGCCATGCCCATGCATTGGTTCAACGGTCACAGACAGCGGTCACTCAAACGGGTACAATGGACAAGGAACACGCCAGAAGACGACATGTGTTGGGTACCTTTCAATCCACATCATGTCAGCATTACCTGAAAGTTCAAAGCCTCCTACACGTGCAGAACGCAAACATTGCTGGAAATTACGTGACGAATACTTTACTTGTCTCGACAAGATCAGCATCATTGACCCTGCTATTGTCGACAAGGATCCTTCCAGAGCTGAAGGGTGTCTCGACAGCAAAAAGAAATATGAAGACGGGTGCATGGCTAGCTGGGTAACTGTCGGATATTTATATATATATATTACTGCTATTGCATATATTGGTAGTTAACAAAACCATGAAAATCCATTGATGATCCTACAGGTTGAATACTTTAACAAGCGCCGAGTAATTGATGTACGACAGAAGCAGTATTTGGAGTTCTCCGAGAAGATGTCTGGAAAATAGAATTTGTGTACTTTGAAAGGAAACAGCTTAATAAGAGAAAGAAAGAGAATAAGAAAATAATATACTTGCACATAAACAAACACTACACTATACTGTATTACACTACACTACGCATGCAGAGACGGACAGACAGACATACAGACATACAGACATACATATATATATATATATATACATAATTATTGAGAGATTTCTAGTGATTAAAACGATGGGTGTATTCATGTATTTGTAAGAGAGAAAAGAAAACAATCAGTAGACCATAATATTCCTAGGTTTAGTTTCATGAGCTGTAGTTTTGGGGGGGAAAAGGAGCTATTAGTTTCTTCTATATACTGGTCATCAACTCAATGGTTCCTTGAAAAGTAATTCAAACGATTGACTTGATGGTAGTGTGGTTGATCAATTGATCAATAAAAAAAAAGTATTTCAGGCAACTCTTCTCCATTCATTTCACTCGCCGAAGAACCGTCCCACCTCCTCGTCTTCACCTATACTATCAATGAGAGTCACACGAACATGCTCCTGCAAAAGACTGGGTGTGGATGCCAATCTCTTCCTTGGGCATTCCATCAGAATCATCTAATGAGTATACCTGCCAAGCGAGACGTATTACGATCGCTCGATTATCTACTCTACTGTCACTTTGTCTATCTTTATTTTCTCGATGCTAGTCTTTTCCTCTTTTGTATCCGTATGTTCTTACAGCTGGTAAGTTCACAACTGGAGCAAAATTCCAGCCGCCCTTGTATGTTGTCTCTTAACTAGGCTCGCAGCAGCTTCTTTCCCCACGCTCATTCGCACGCTCATTACGCACAGCACTTGGAATTGTAACAGCAGGATACTTAGGATGCCTTCTCATGCATCTCACTTTTGAACCAGGTCAACCTGGAATCCTTATTGATTTTATTGGAAACCGTAAGTATATAATATATATTATTTTTTATTAAATACTTTGTAAGCATATTGTTTTTATTCAGGTCAATATAATCACGCTTACTAACTCGCTTGTTATATATATATATATATCATAATATCGCTCCCACAATAGAACAACTTCCTACTACTATGCGATTAATTACCTTGGACAGTGTCGTTTATATTGGGCAAATTATCCGGATCTTCATTTCATCCAGTTTATCCCAAACCCTTGTCAACTCATCTATCGCAACTACTTTAGCCGTACCACCAGCCCTGGTTCCTGCGCTAGGTTCTGATCGTATCACACTAATGCTACCTTCTGAACGTACTCAAAATGAAGAGAATTGTGATGATTTGTTTTATCATCCCGGACTAGTTGTCGATATTAGTCTAAGATCTTCGGTGCGTAATGTGATGTATGCGGATATGGAAGATCCACACACAGCAAGAGATGGATCAGATAGACTACCAGTATAAAACAAAAACAAAAAACAAAGGAAAATAATGGTGATAGATATTCTTTAAAGATAAGGTATAATATGTCTTTGTGTATGTATGAATATATATATATGTAAAGAAGAACACACACACACAAACATGTATGTACGTACTCCTGCACGCCAATAATGATAATAATAATAATGAAGGAAATGGCTCATTTATACCCTGTGTCTAGGATAAATACATATGTTACATCTTTTCTCTTTTTTTATTATTCTTCTTCTCTATACGTAGAAGCTTAAATAATCTATACAAAAATATACCAAGTACTACATCGAGAAATATCACAAATATATTGTATTTGAGTCTACACACACACACGCACACACATTCATCTTGTTACTTCTTTAGTGTGAGATTATTCATGTGTGTGTGTATGTATTATCTAAGTACAAATCAAATTGGGTGAATGTATATATATTTATTTAATTAATTAATACACATACACACATTCCTAATATACTAAAAGTCAACCTTTGTTTGCTTGTTATGTTTTGCTTCTTGGCATGTTAAAAATGAAACAAGAATAGTACTTTTGTGTAAAATTCTGAGTCAGAGCAGACATGCTATTTGCACTTGTGTGCTGAATAGACGATAGATATCATATACCAAAAGCCACCTTTTTAGGATCGTATTTATTATTTATTATTTTAATTTACCTTAATAAAATAATAAAGAGAACATTCTAGTATAAAAGGATTTGTGCTTATCACATTTGTAAAAGTCATTAAAAAAGATGTCTTTATTTATGCTGCTCACCAGCGTACGAGGGAATCATCGAGGGAATTGAACGAAAAATCAATTTTCATAGTAGACAAGTACATTGTAGCTGTCTTTAGATTTTTCCTCTTTTGTGTACGCACCCGCCACAGCTTTTTATTTATTATGATTAAACTACCCACCAAGTCTATAAAGGCAATAGATAGATAGATAGATAGATAGATAGATAAATAGATATTGACTGTATAAATACCAAAAACTTCAACACATCTTTACTATCGATTATCATTATTATTTTTTTAAAAATCTTTATACAACGTTTGTGTTTTTTTATTAAGTCCATTCAATAGACGAATACTACTTTTTTCTCCAAAAAAAAAAAGAAAAAGAAAATAAAAGCTTGTGTTACTAATTCTTATGAATTCACTATTCTACGTATTTTATCGGTCCATTTAGATGTATCCTTGATCACAGACCAGAACCTTGGATTACAGTGAGCAATCCCTGCAGTCCACATAGAAAAAAAAAAGCGACGGAGTCTTACTCGCTTTTTTTTTTTCACCCTTCGATATGAGAAAAAAAAATTGGGCAACTGAAGATATGCGGGGACCTCAGGTCTGTATACTGAGTGGTTATGCGGTGATCAGGTCGGCAACAACGGCTGTAACCTTTTCAGGGAATTCACGCTTAATCATGCTGTCAAGAACGACCTTTGCTTTGTTGACCAGTTTGTTGTCAAGATAGGCACGGACCATTGCTTCATAGGTGCTTGGCTCGCGCACAACCACAACATTGCTGGCATTCTTCTGGAGGCTGACACAGTAGATCTTGTCATCGGTCATGGCTCTGAACATGGCCTCGGCCTTGGAAAGCAGTCCCTTCTTACCATAGCCACGGATGAAGAGGTTCTCGATGTAAGGAGAGCTACTCTTGCCAATACGCTTCTGCATATCCAAGTAAAGCTTCTCAGCACGCTCAAGCTCGTTGTTGGAGATATATGTATCCAACATAGCCTGGTAAACAACTTCATCGGGAACAACACCGGCCTTGTGCATCTCATCAAAAACCCACTTGGCGCTCTTGACATCATTCTCAAGTGTACCATAGGAGTAGATCAGGGTGGCATAGTGAGTGGCCTGGGGGCGAATGCGGTCACAGTTCTCCATCTCGCTCAGCATACGATGAGAGGATACACGGTCATAGGGAGCAATGGTAGCATAGGCCTCCATCAGCAACTTGTAAGTGTAGGCAGAAGGCTTGACACTGCGGCGGCGAAGTTCTTCAAAGTACTCAAGAGCACGAGCACGGTTGGGCTGCTGGCGGACATAGAACTGAATCATGTTGTTGAAGGGACCAACACGAAGTTCATAAGGAGAAGCAAGCATCTCACCAAACAAACGAGAGGCATGGGACTCGGAACCAGCACGGACACAGGCAGAGATCAAGGCACCATAGGTAATAGAGTTGGGAGACACCTTGAACTGGCGCATCTCATCAAACAAACAGAGAGCGAGGTCCAGCTTGCGAGCCTTTGCGAGCTTGGAGATGACGACATTGTAAAAGAAGGTGGTGGGCTTGACATCGTGGCGCTTTGCTTCATCATAGATAATCAAAGCATCGGTGGCCTCATCAGTAGCACACTTGGCACTGCCAAGTAACAGACTAGCGTAACCATTTCCATCAGGATAACGACCCATCTCCTTGATTGCATCATAGTACTTCTTGGCCTCGGACATCTCGCCTTGCTGAGCATATCCAATGAGAACACTGTTGGTAGCAGAAAAGATAGCCTTCTGAGCACGCTGAGGATCCTCGGTGATGAGCAATGTCTTGTAAGCCTTGAGGGATAGAGTGTACATTTCCTTGGCAACCTCGAGGTGACCCTGCTTGCCAGCCAGGGCAATGGCATCGCGCATGGATTCAGGGGAAGGAACCAAACCAAGTTGGATAATCTTTTGCTTCAGAATTGACTGGGCCTCATCGATGTTTCCATTCATGACGGCTTTCATGATGTCGGCAGTGGCAACCTCAGACTCGGCTGTGATCACAGTCGATGACCCGCACTTGTGAGCAACAATGATCTCTTGAATCTCTTCCTCGTCCTTGTTGATCTTTCTTGCTTCATCAACTTGAGTACGGTTGCTAAAGGCAGAAACCCATTCTGCTTCAGTGGCATGGGCACCCATTCCCTTGAGCTGAGTAGAGACACGGGAGATCAGGCTAGAAGGTGGGGTAGCTGTACCGGGGCGAACCATGTCTTTAGCCAAAGCCAACACAAAGGTGTCAAAGGCAGGAAGCAAAGGATGGACAGCACCATGGCAGTAGGCTATCAAGGCTGATTCACACACAAGCTGGCACTCTGCTCCAGAAATAGGCTCGTGCTCGCAGTCTGCAGGGTAGCTGGCTACCAAGATGCTGGCCAAAGAAGAAGGCAAGCCAACAGAGGGTATAGAAGACACGGCCTTGACAACCTCGATCACTTGAGAGAACTGTTTCTTGGATGCCATGGCAATTTGGAGAGCAGCATTGACAATGTGGCTGGAACCCTTGGAAAGAGTGCGAGAAGTCATGGCACCAATGGCAGCACGGAGAGCAGCGATGGCTCGAGTAATGTCACCAGCGCTCACAAACTGAGTAACAATGCGCTCTGAGAGAAGAGCATCGGGCTCAAGACCGGCTGTCTTCATCTCTTGGATGACCTCCAATACCTTGTCTTGGTTGATCTTGAGGTTGCTGAGACAGAGAAGAGCGTAGTTGGCGAGGTTTCCGTAGGACTTTGAGATGTCGGTCTTTACCAATGCATCATAGACTTCAGTTGCGGCGTCGAATCTGCTGACCTGGCAGTAAGCGGACAAGATTGGACCATAGCTGCTGGCATCAGGGGTTGGGAGCTCTTCGGATGATGTGAGGTTGTTCACCATAACCATGGCCTGGTCCATTGCATTGTGCGTGCAATAGTGACGGATGATTGAATTGTAAGGGATGATACTGAGCTTGACGCCATGGCTGGGCATGTTTTCAGTAATACGGATGGCACCCTCGAGATCGTCACACTTGAGGTGAGAGTCGACTGAGGCGTTGTAAACATAGGAAGCATCGTGAACACCGAGGGTATCTTTGACGGAAAGATACTCTTGGAAGTAGCCATCAGCAGACGCGACATCGCCAGCACGGCCAAACAGGTTGATCAGAGCAGCAAAGGTAGCAGAGGATGGAGCAGTGTGCTTTTTAAGCTCGTTGTAGATAATCAGAGAATCCTTGGTGTTGCCATAGTGGGACAAGACGCGGAGAAGCTGGTTGTATAGATCTACTGGAAAATCCTTGGAGCTGTCTTGAGCAACGGCCTCTTTGAATAGGACCAATGCTTTGGCAAGGTTGCCCTCGGCTTCGAGAGTTCCGATGTTTGAGTTCTTTCCAGACTTTTCTTGCTGCTGACCAGAGCGAGCAGTCTGACGCTTGAGCATAGCAACCACTTTCTGAACCTCGACGTCCCGCTTGCAGAGAGCACGAATGAGGATAGAGTATGTGGTACTGTTGGGTGAGATTGAATCCCAGAGCATGTCTTCGTAAACTATAAACAAATTATCAGATTGAGTCAATAAATTTTCTTTTATTATTTGGTGTTGCACAACTCGTATACGTTTATTCTTTATAAATAAATAAATACAAAGAAAAGAAACTTACCATTGAACATGGGTGTAAGGGGGGTGCCTTCGCGGCGAAGGTTGAGATATATTTCAAAGAAGAGGTTGTATGACTCAAGACCCAAAGCTACGCCTTGTTTCTTGAGACTGGTATATTCGGCCATGAGATTCTTGATATTTTTCGACCGTTTTGCTTCCATGAAGCGGACTTCTGTGTTTAAGGATGATACATTGAGGTCTTCTTTCCTTGGAGATTGTCTTGGAGAAGGAGGAGGAGTAATGAGGTCTGATGGAGCGATGGGCATTTCGAGTGTGGGTGATAAAAGTACAGGGTTTTTGGTAAATAAGTCTTCGTCCCACTTTTGCTGGATGGGCAAGACGATGGTTTTTGTTTGTGTGGCAGATGCAAGTGTGATTGATGAGATGTGTGATTGTTTTGTGTGGCGCTGTTTTTGAGATAATGTGAGGGACTCTTCTCCTGCTGATATACGACGGAGCTTTGTGGCTGATGAAGGGTGACGGGAAGAGATAGAAGAAAGTAGGGCAGGTGAAGTAGTGAGAGCAAGGTTCTTTGAGATGTTGCGGTGTGTAGAAGATTTGTTTGAGGATTTGTTTGAGATTTTGGCGCTCATTGTGAAGATAGATTAATTGGTAGATAAAAGGTGTGTGTGTGTGTGTGTGTGTGTGTGTGTGGAAATGTGTACAGGGCGAGAAAAGATATGAAGAAGAAATGAAGAAGGAAGAAAGAAACGAAAAAGAGGCTCGTCTTTTTATACACAAGGCACACATTTTGAATTAGGTGATTGGTGGCCAATCAGGAGCCCGCAGTATATCTGATCGTGGCATCAACACACTGAAATTTCCACATTTTCTCATAATCGTTATCAGATCCAGAGACTCCGCTTTTTCCGACTGATGCGTCTGTCTGTGTTGCCGTTTGTATGACATTACCCTCTTTTTTTTTGGTTGGTTGGACTGCGCTCTATCAAAGAGCCAAAAAGAGTGTGTGTGTGTGTAAGAGAAAGAGAAAATGAGATGTATATATATATACTCTAGGTATCTAGGATCCTGAGCATCACGGAGATAGATTCCTCTTCACATACTTATATTTGTGCCATGGGAACTATTCACATTATATTACCCGCGGACCTGCACACATGATCACAACAAGAGAACTATTCTTTTGCTTCCACCACCAACAATATAAAAACAATGAATAAAGAATAGAAAGAAAGAATAAAAATAAAAAAGATCAGATAAGTTGCATTGTGCAGGTCCCCTTTCCCCTTGATTCAAAGCTGGATTGATTTTTTTTTTTTATTTTTTTAGTTTTTTTTTTTTTATTTTTTATTGTTATTTTTATTTTTATCAGATCTAAATTCCATCAATCCAGATTTCCTCCCCCCCCCTTGACTTGAACACACCACTCATTCAATTTCCTAGATGAGTCATTTCCAAGCCCAGTCCAGGCAGTTGAGTCCAGTCGAGTCCAGCTGAGTCCAGTCGAGTCCAGCTGAGTCCAGTCGAGTGCGGTTGAGTATATAGTTGATTACAGTTGAGTCCAGTTTAGTCCAACCCAACTCAACCCAACTCAACCCAACCCAACCCAGTCCAATCCAGTCTAGTTGGCCTAGCCCTGCCCAGCCCAGCTCTATCTTTGTTCAAATGGAGCCTGTTGAATGTTGTGGCATGTTTTTATCATTATCATTATTTTTTTTATTGTCCTTTCTCTTACGTATTGACCTTCACTCGCCATCTGTATTTTTATTTATGGACTTTATCTATCTTTTTCTTTTTTCTTTTTTCTTTTTTCTTTTTTGCTTTTGTTACGGAGCCTCAATGGGCTATCTAATGGTTGAGATGGAAAGATCTGATAATTTCGGGTGAACTGAGGCGTAAAAGTAAAAGTATATAGGTTATTTTTATTTTATTTTTTGACTGTCATGGTTTCTTATTTAAAAACATTTCCTAATTAGAATTTGCAGGTGGTACATAATGTATCCATATCTTCCAGATAAAAAAAAAGGATCTGATAATTCGATTAAGAAGATACTATTTTTTTTTATTTATATATTTATTTATATTACTATTATTATTTCCCCATCTGTTTCGTGTGCACGTATAAATATTGTGTTGACTTGGTTTAATTAGTAACCATGGATACTGGGCTGAGAATATGTATAAAAGAATCACTAGAATAGTATTGTAACAATAGAATATAACCAAATTTATCCAACCTTATCATAAATATACACACACACAAATACACACACACACATATATATATATCAAAAAACAAGAAAGAAAAAAAAAAGAAAAAAAAACATGTTATAGTTGACGATCAAATAGCTCATTCTCAGGCTCAACTGATGGAGTTTAAAATTAATTGATTTTGGTGGGGACGAAATTTATCTGATGCAATTCCCCTTTTTTTAGTTTCCCAACTATACGTAATATAAATATATATATATATATATTGTTTATGTATATTATATGTGTCTGCTACAAGTTTAAGTAATAAGATCATTAATGAGATAAAAGATATAAATCATAGCTTTAATTGTACTATAGACCAAGTTAAGCCAAGATGAGCCAAGATGAGCTAATGTAAAAGACTAGGCTTGTAAATAAATAATTAAATAAATACATACATACATATATAAAAAAAATAAGCTAAATAAATAATCTGAGCTAAAGAATCGCATACGTACTATAGATATTGTAATTGTGTCACAGCTTATCTTATACTTTAAAACTAATACTTACGTGAAGTCAATAAAGAATAATAGTATAAAATAAATAAATTGATGTGCATATCTGCATATGGGTGTGATTGTGTGTGCGCAGGATTATTAGTGTTTGTATTCTTTAAAATTCGCTTGTATCTAGACGTATTGTAGTATATTTGCTGTACTGTAATACAAGTAGAAAGATCAGATAAATATCTGTCTATCTTTTGGGTTACTCCTTTCTTGTGTCCATCTTATTTTATTTTATTTTATTTTATTTTACAGCAAAAATAAAATCAAAAATCAAAATAACAGCCATTAGTGATCAATTTTAAGCTGTACGCCAACCTTTATATTTATTGCTGCAATATTCACTAAACACTCGACCAATTTCGCTATACTTTGATCTCTCTCTCTCTATTTCTGCGTTTGTGTTTATGCGGGGTGAGTACTTGTTACAATATTATCTACCATCTATTACTGTCCATCTTCTGTTTCCTATTGCCTATCACCTATTATCTACTACTGCTACTATATACAATACCCTAAAGCCTTTTTACGTTTATTACGTTTATTATTTATTCAAGAGCTATTAAAGCAAAAAGAAGCTATCAGAGTCTGAATTTGATGGTTGAAATAGGAAATAAGAAATTGATCTGGCGGGATGACACATCTACATTCTTTGTGATATGTAACATGTACAGAATCCTTATTTTGGCTCACATGCCTTGTATATTTTTGCAAAGTCAATTAAATTTAATCTTCCTGTATTTTCTTTTTTGTCAATGCGTCAAAACTTATTAGAAACCAGCTCCTTGTTTCTTATATATATAAGCTCATCACAAGAATTGTATAGAATTCCTTTTGTGTCAAATGATAGTAAAAAGCCTATCAATACCCCACACACACACACATATATATGTATATATATAGTTGAATGTGAGAGTATGGGTATATGTGTTTCTACTTACACCAACAAGTATTTATTTGAGCTGCAACTATACTAAATAATTTACAGATTATCATATTGGAGATGATTTTATGATATTACAATAGAAAAAGATCAAGTATATACATATATAACACGCATTTTAACTTGCTGTATGTAAATTATTATAAGTGAAGAGTACAGCAAAAAGTAATGATAATCGCAGTTGCGTTGTAATTTTATCCGAATATATACACAAAAGGCTGATAATCTACAATATACTATTGATCTCCGCGGAAACTTGTGAACATAGATATATAAGTTCAGTCTAAATATCAATATTGGATTATTAAGTATAAATCTGATAAGAAAGAGATGACAAGAAGAAAAAAAAACGATCGCCTTTCAAATTTTGATACCAGAGTTGGCTTGAGATTTATTGAATCTTAGCATATTACTCACGTTTACCTATTGTAATATATTCTAACTATTCCTATTCTTATTCTTTCTAGATTTACCGGGAATTTTAACCGTTTGTATTATTATCATCATCATATTACTTTAAATTACAACTTTAATAAAACATATGACCAAGTTTTGTTTTAATCTGATAAAGAAGTGTCTTGGATTTAATAAATATATAAAGGAGAAAGAAAATAAAAATATTATTAATTTAATAATATACACATGGCTATTTTCACTCTCCTTTGTATATTACTCAACTTTGGTCTGTATACTCTATGAATAATATATAACAAAAGAGAAGCAGAGAATTGGTGAACTAAGCAGTTTAATCGAATAATAAGCACAAGAGATGAATGTATCACCTTTTCACTCACTCACTCGCTCACTCGTAAGAATTCAGATTCATTCGGAAATAATTTTATAATAAATATATAATTTTTTGCTAATGAAAATATAACACAATTCGGTTGAAAATCTTAGGCAGAAAATATTAGTAGGTAGAAAAAGAAAGAAATATTGGCTGATTAATGATCACTGTTGTAAGTTTTAATCAAATGGGTATCATGGTTTATTATGATTTATCAAAAAAAAAAACGTTAAAACTGTCAGTAATTATACTGACACGTGCGATATTCACTTTCCTCTTAAAGTTATATCATAAAAATCACCTTATTATATTAATCATAGATATATATATATATATAAAATGAGACAGAAATATTTTTTAAAGAAAGAAAAAAAAATTGCGATAAAAAAAAACAAAGCAGTTAACGCTTAAGTTTAAGCCTCTCCCCCAACACAAAATGAAGGAATGTTTTTTTTTTAAAAAAAAAAATCTATCAAAATACTTCACATTTATCAACAGAAGTATCTGTAAAATCATTATGATTTATACACACAACCAGGTGCATGCTTCTATCAAAGTTAACTAAAGATTTACCAATACTCATATATATATACACACGTAATACTAGAGGTCCCCATAAACATATGTAGCTATATAAAATAAAACTGTTTTATTGCAAAGCTTTAGTTGTATCTTAATGATTTCTGTTTTTGTCTCTAAATTACAACTCAAAAAATTATTAAAATCGACAATATTTCCAAGCCTCATTTTATTATATATAACACAACTCCTCCAATACCAATGAAAAAAAAAACAATATCTGAAAATTAAGTATATATCTTATTATTAACAATATTAATAATATTAACATAACATGTAGATTTCATATTTTTTGTTTAAAACAGCTAATACCCTATATATAGCTTATACTTATATTCCATACATTGCCAAAAAGTATATATATATATCAATTAATTAAAATAAAACCATGTATGAATATGTTAAAGAATAAATTATAGCCCAATATTTTGCTAATATAAATGCAAATATTTAAAGTTCTATGTATCCTATAACATTGAAACATAGTGGGTTGCTTATGCGGTGTAAATGCCCAGCTCAGTGACAATAAAACGAATACAGGTAAAAAGACATTTTTAATAAAGAACAAATAAAGAGCTATTTAACTACTTTGGGCCATTACTAAAGATACGTTCCTACTTTGCAGTTTCTTGCTATGAGCGATACAAGAAACACCGGTGGGTGAAATCCACCATGTCAATATGTTGTAATGTATATAATTGCTCCTTATATTTATTTAAAACAAAAGCATGTCGTCCGTCTGACATAGAATAGCTAATACGATTTAAATATTTATCATAACAGAAGACGATGAAGATTAGGTAGCATATGCTAAAGTTGTAATTTAAAACAACTAGACAAGAAAAGGTCAAATGTACCAGCCTTATTATTGATTACTATTATGCTATTACCAGGAAAAAAAAATACAGACAAAATTATATGACTAGAAATTAAACAGTTCTTCCCAGATTCCACCGCCGGCGTTAAAATCGCTGCATTCAATTACATTATAATCGCTACACTGTTTTTAAAAAATAAATAATTACTTAATTCGCTGTAATAGTTGAAATACATTTATAAACTTACCAACAAAACTAAAAGATAATATTATTTGTCTAGAGCATAATTGTATATATGCTATTAAATAATAAAAACGACAAAACTTTCAAAAAGAAATAAAATCTAGCAAAATGGATGATATTTGTGTGTCCTCCGACAAACACTTAAACACTTCATTCGACTGAGACTTTATTGATTATATGCTATTCGAAAACAATAATAATAAAAAACACAAAATAAGTAATACAAAACATTAATAGACATAATACTTGGATATCCTTCACTATCACACAAACAGCGATAATAATCTAGACTACAATCGTAAGTATGAGCTTATAAAAATTGAGTAATAAAAAAGGCGTAATGACGATGATAGTTAAATTCTTACCACTAATTCACTCCACATTACAATCGGCTGATATATGCTTGTAATTAAGACCTTCTAAAAAACGAGTAATAAAATTAAGTAATGAAGCTTATATCTTCAACCCACTACTTCCACTGATCACTAAGATGGGCTAGAATACGCTCGTAACTAAGACACTTGAAAAGCACAGAGATAGAGAGTAATAAAATCAAGTAAGAGATATTATATCTGAAGCCAACCACCTACTCACTTATTGATTATTAGAATAGTAACCTTTGTAATACAATATTGCTATATATAAAAATTAGAGTTCCTACTATTGAAACTCATATGATAAGTGTACTAACTATGTTTTACGCATTAATATGTGAGTGTATTTACAAATTTTACAATATTTTGCAAATTCTTTAAACGTATACTATAAACTTGTATTATATATGCAAGGCTGATGTTTTATGCTCTTATATCTTACCAGGTTCAGACACTGTAACGATTATGTCCGTTGAACATTTTTTTTATGCAGCGGTACCTAAAGTGCTTTTATTACAAGTTAACCACAGCCTTTGGCGAATAGTTGGCGTTTTGCTTCCGAAAATCAGATCAAAGAAGTACGTTTTCTCATGCCAAAAATCAATATGATGTTTTAAGAGGTGTTAAATACGTGCAAATGCCAAGAACACTGCTACTTATTCATTTTTAACAAGTGTACAAGTTTTTTGTTTTGCATTAGTCTGAATAAGTTATTTTAATTGCTTTATCTGGTGTGAAATAACTAAAGCCTTTACTCCAGTTATTTAATTTTGTGAGTACTATATGTATATACGACACATAAACACGCAATTCTTCAATGTTACTTAAGTTATTTAGACCTTTTTTCTTATAAAAGAAAGGTTATTTTATCTACTCCATGCATGAAGTGATTGTTAATGTGCGTAATGTTTTTACATTTCGACTATACAATATAATCTCTTTTCTCTGGCTATATATACTTCTCTTCCAATAAACTCACTTATTAGTTGCTAGTCATACTAAAGGCCTTTCTAAACCCCTTTTTCTGCTTAAATTAGTTTGTTAATTAATTTGAAATACCCATTTACAAGTAAATGTCATTACTGGAATGTACAAGGCGGTTTAAAGGCTAATTGGAATCATGTAGATGATTTCATATATATATAGCTGCCTTTTTTTATTGTATCCTTTCTTCACTTATTATTCTTTCAACAAAACCTCTTCCAATTTCTTTATAGTAATTATTTAGTTGAATGAAATGAAAGAGAGAGCAAAACATAAGGTACAAAAACGCGTTTTTTTCTAAATACTTCTCCTGGCTTTGGAGGGCGCGTGAAAATTAAATTCTGAATTATAATTTTAAAGTGGTTTTTTATTCCTTTTTTCTTTTCGTGGTATTTACACCACAATTTACCAAAGAAAAAAACTCCACAACCAAACACTGGCTCCCTTTTTTTTTAATGAACCGGACAAGTTAGCAATCTTCAAGATTATTACACACCAGACACACATACACTCCACACTTATACAATGTAAACCAGCTATTTACAAAACATATATTTGAATTACAATGGGTACGAATAGCAACAGATATAAACGATTTTATTTAATCCTCTTTAGTAAATGTCAATATCACAGTATTTAATTTTCTCGTTATAGATATGCTAACCCAAAATTAATCTACAATGTTTTATTAGGTATACAGTAGAGGCTAAAAAAAGAATGAAGCCTAAATTCTAATCAGTAACCGACGTTTTGGTGGCAGAAAGGCCAACTTTTTCAATTTTACTAAAGCACTCAGATGTGATATGCCTATACTTACTAGACAGTGTCCAATACTTATGTATGATACCTGAAGATCTGTACTAACATTCAAATCTCGATATGGGTTATAAGTAGAGAGAAACAAAATCGTGTTACTATCATTATCACTATATAGAGCGTTATATTTACTACTCTGCGCTTTACTTTTTTTTTGTTAGTAATAATATATACTCTGGTAAATATTACAGGCCTCCTTTTTTTTAACACATAAAAATTATGACTCATAAGCATTATTCTTCAACATAATGAGCAAGTACGCTTTTTCTTTAAACAAATATCCTTCTTCTGCTTTTCTTTCTAGTAACCTCTACTCCTGGGACCCAAAGACCATTTGATCGGTATGGTCTAATCTAGTTGTCTAAACAAGAAGTTGGATGATCCATAGACAATTGGTTTCTGATTTATCTACTGCCACTGTCGGGCTCCCAGAAAATTGTTTCGATACTTCCCCTCCTCTCCAAACTCGTACGTATGGTTCATCGTTGTCTTACGTCAATAACGAATCACATTTTATCCTCCAAAAACAAAGATCGTTTAAAGTCTTCATAATATTACATATATGAAATGTCAGAGAAAGAAGAAAAAGAAGGGAAAGACATATCTTGATATATAATTACCAATTTGTGCTTAATCAAAAAAAAACCATATTCTTTTATCTCTCTCTCTCTCTCTCTCTCTTTGTAATTGTTACTTGCGGTGAGGTGCAAGTCACACGATTACACGCCACTGCATTTTACGATGTGTATAGATTTTCTTTACCTATAGAAAATAATAATAATAATAATAACTCATTTCTACCCCTTGCCCTTCCCCTTCAAATCGCCATTGAAATCACCCTTCAAACAAACAAACAAAAGAAATTAGAAAATAATATAATATAATGCTAACTTTTGATAGTGGTGCTGATTCCTGTAATCGAGTTGTGCCCGATTACCTAGAATCTATAGAATATATCAAACTTTCTTCCGAGGATGAGTTTACAAGATGGGTTGATGAAGTAGCCAAAAAGCATTCAAAGTGGTTGTACAATCAAAAGTATGAACACAAGTCAAACCGATGTTTTATTGGTCAACCTTTACAAGAGCCTTTGAAAGTTACGACCACGGTTTATCTATGCGATCATGCTGGAAAACCCCAAAAGAAAAAGTCTTTGTCTGATACCGACCCATCAATCAAGAGACGTAAGAGAACAACGAAATCGATCAAAATCGGATGTCCTGCCAGCATCTACAAGTTCAACCTGACCGACAACACCATACTTGTGAAATACAATTGGCAGCATCCCGACCACGATCCTTTCGAAATCCAGAACATCAGCACTACACGAGTTCCGGATGAATTGAAGTATCTGGTTGAAGGGCTTGTCAGCCAGAACTCGGACTGGAAGTCCATTAAGAAAATGCTTAAAATGAGTGAAGACAAATATCTTGAAGTAAATAATAGTTCTAATAATGATAATATTAGTAATATTAGTAATAGTGATAATTTTAATAATATCAATAAAAAAAAAGAGAAAGAAGAAGAAGGAGGAGGAGAAGTGTGTAGTATAGTATGCATAGTATCTACTTATGTGTTTGTGTGTGTGTGTGTGTGTATGTATTTAAAGTACGTGTGTGTGTTTGCTTGCTTGTAATGTTCGCTAATATTGAGCTAAACCAGCTTGAACAAGCTGGTGATAGATCCTCCTTCTCTGCCTCTCTTCTTGACTATCAGTATGTGAGGGATGTTGTTAATGCTCATATTATGAAACTCTCAAGAAAGCACATGGATCACAAAAAGAGTGTCGAGCTTTGGGCCAAAGAATTAAATGAAAGTGAAAACACTTCATTGGTTACTATTTCTGAGAATGGTTCTTTTCTACTAGCTTGGGTTCCCGATTGGCAAAAAGAAGTAAATTAATTTATATATATGTGTGTGCGTGTGTGTCTATCTGTCTGTGTATACTACCTTTTCTCTCTCTCTTCTTTACTAATATTATCTAATATCCAATATATATATATATATGTGTGTGTGTGTGTGCATACGTCTTTGTTTATTAGTATCTACAAAATTCTGATGAATGGTCTATTCACTCGACACAAAAAATCTGCAAATCATTCAACAGCAGCGGCAACACTAACATCGGCAACAGCAATAGTACTAGTAGCAGTAATAACACTGAGAAGTTATCTGGTGAGCCCAATAACTGCGCTTTGTATACTATCGTTGTTCAAAGCCCTGTAACAACCAAAGGGACACCCGTTGGGTTTTTTATTACGGACCAAGAAAACGTCGTAACTTTGGAACAATGGTTCTCTTGGATGAAATCAAACTTTACTCTCAAAGTTAAAAAGATCATGATAGACCATAGCCAAGCTGAAGTAGAGGCAATCAACAAGGTCTTTGAGGGGAAAGTTGATGTTCTGTTGTGTCATTGGCACATGAAATATGAATGGGAATCTAACGTCAAGAGATGTGTAAGTAAGAAATGTACATACATATAGTTAAATTAAAAAGATTTTTAAACACTGATATGTGTATAGTTCAATGTTCAGAACTCTACTCAAAAAGTCGAAGTAGTCCACAAGAATGCTTTTGACATCTTCTTTATCATGATGTATGCCGCAACAGCTGAATCTTTCGAGATTTCTTATCAAGTTTTCGTTGCAACATTTAAAAACAACGAAGCGATCATTGATTACTTTAACAAGACGTGGTTGCCTAAGAAGCAATTGTGGGTTAAAGCATGGAGAATAGTACGTTGTAATTCTGATTATAATTCTTCAATAAGTATATATAATATTGATGTTACTAATATATATATATGTGTGTGTGTGTGTGTGTGTTTTTTGTCTTCTTTTCTTTAATAGCCTACCAAGTTTTATACAAGCAATCTTATTGAAGGATACGAAACCCAATTGAAAACTTTTTACCTTGGACACGATCGATCCCTTCGCATCGATCGACTTGTTTACTTGCTATCGAATGTACTGACCCTTGATTACAAAGAGGAAAAAGAAAAAGAAAGCACAAGGACATCGTCTTCTTTACCTTCTACTTCCCCTACTCCTACTACTACTTCTTCTCCTTCTTTGGCATCCTCGCCATCAAATTTTACAAAGTTTCAGTCATTGCGCCGAAACGAAGAAGAAGAAAAGAACATGACCGAAGCTTACGAGTATGATATTGACTTGGCTGATTCGATGGTCGAAAAAAGAAACGATGATCTGTACACCTGCAAGTCCTTTTCGACCAACGATTTATACTACCGGATCAGATTTGTGGATGGGATTCTTCAGGACTGTAGATGTTCAGACCCCAATAGGCTTTGCAAGCACATCTTTTTAGTGGGCCGAGTATTTAACTTGCCGCACTCTTTACCAGTCAATTGTTCTGCTCTTCAATCTTCTGGAAACCTTTCGGTTGGATCTGAATCTGACACAGCAACAAAGGGGACAAACATTACGGATGTATCTGATCATGAAATCCGTTGCAAAGAGGCGCGTGAAAAATGCAAAAAATACATCGATCTGATTAATGCTAGGTTACGTGCCAAGGTTATTGAGTGCCAAGGCGATCCCCATGAATTAACCAGGCTTCTTAATTTTATCAAAACCGCGCACAAAAGGCTGGAAAACTATGGCAGTGTTTCGGAACAATCTGGGACATCTAAACAAACTTAATGCCCTATCTGTCTATCTATTCATTGTCAGATTAAACCAAATAGTAAACGCATTTGTACCTGTAATTGCACTTGTAGTTATATTTATGCTTTATAATTATTAGTATTGCTGTTACTGTTATTGGGAGAAATAAAATATCTCGCCTCAATTTACCTAGGGCTATTTTTATTTCTGTAAGTATAGTGTATATATATATGTGTGTGTGTGTGTGCGTTGCTTGGCCTATTATGTCAATTGTTTAATGGTATTAACACTACAAAAAAAAACGCATACACATCTGATATACTTTATCTATCTATCTGATCTAAATATCACATCTTTATTTATTTATTTATTTATTGGTTGGTTGGGACATTTGTGGCGTTTCTAAAGACGGAGGCTTTGGACATTAGAGTTTATGGGTTACAGCAATTTGTGCGCGCGCGCGTATGTGTGTGTCAGAAAATTAACACCTCAAACTGATTTGCTTTTGGATAATAAGGAGATCGATCGATTAATTACATAATGTTAATAGTAACGATAGAAAATTAAGAAATGAAGGAAGAAAAAAATAAAGAAGACAGGTTAACTTTACATATGTACTAAAAACAACCTTTTTTTTTACACAAGATTAGTATGCTGTTATATATAGATATATGTAATACTACTTGTGAGGCTTAGACCACTATATACATAAAATATTCTTTGACAATTGTATGTAAAAGATAGAAAAGTAATGAGTTGTTGATAAAACGCTATTGAAAGATTGTTACATGGTCTGCTACTAATTTTTTTTTTAAAAAAAAAATAATAATTTTGTTTCTAGAAATCTTGATATTCTACCATCGGTCTCCTTGCACACTCTACACATCTTTAGACTCTATATAGAATATAATGTAATATTCCATTGCTATTGTTATTAGCATGAATTTTGTTATCTCTAGAATATATACTAATTAATAGCAACACATATACAGCTTGTCTTGATGTATATATATATATATAAATACTATAATATAATCAATTATTATTGTTTTACAGTGAGAACGGTAAATATTGTCACTTTGCCAAAATTAAATAGGGACCTTGGACACATCATATAAAACTTATGGGAGTACTCAGCCAGATTGATCGATCAAAATTCTTTTGTGAATCTTAGCCAATGATATTATTTTGTAGTTGAGGACACCAAAAGGCAAAAGTACAAAATTCGTACAAGATTCATAGAATAAACTTTTGCACATTCTGATTTCTTCCTTGAACCTATATGCACCTAGACTCTCGAAGAAGCCAACTGTTCTTTCCTTTAGCTCAAGGTCTGGCAATACATTGTCAACACTGTGTATGTATTTATTGGCTTTAAGGGTTTGCTCAAGCTCCTTCACGGAAGCTATCTGCCCCAAATCTACATTTACTTCCTCTTTAATAACTTCTAAAATATCTTTAATAAACTCATCTGTACTTGCTGATAAATACTCTACCAATATTTTTTCTTTCTTCACGATAAACTCACTGATTTTATGCGATTTCTTCAAGACAGCAATTGCTTGTTGCTTTGTACTTTATTTTGGCATATAAGATGGAGAGAAAGAATTACTATATGACTTTGGTGACAATAAATCCTATGATTTATTAAGAAGGTAAAAACAGTGTCGTATTGCATATAAAAGAAAGTGAGGATTCGGCCAATCAGAGAGCCGTACGTTTTTCGATCAAAATTTGATCGATCAATCTGGCTGAGTACCCCCATTGATGAATGTACCCTTACGGGACCTTTGAATCCCCTCATAACTCTTGGCTTATTTTTTGATGAAAGGTACGGCACCAATCATTGACATTCCGTGGAATGACGACGAAACAATTAAACTCTTGTACAGTATAAGAGTCGAACATTATGAAGGCGTTGCTGGAAATATACCACACCTTATCGATATAATACAACAATGGAAGTACTGACGCAGACCATCAAAAATACTAAGTCTAGGAACCAGATTTTGAAACGGAAATACAGTGATATCAATCCCACGACTTCAACCTCCTCGTCCAATAAGTAGCGCGTAAATATTGTTAAATGCTACTACACGGTTTATACAGAGCATGGAATTTGTTGAAATTTTTTTTTAAAAAAAAGAGAGGAAAGTGAAGGGAAGAAAGGGAAGATGTAACAATGTTCCATATGCTTGAATGCCATCAAAACGTGTTATGGTTGTCATGTTACTGATGAAGTTGACTTTATTTATTTATCTTCAGTGCGTATGTAAGAGAGGTTTTCATAATGTAGTAGGCTTCAATACAATAGGGGACCTTGGATACATCATATAAGATATTTTTGAAACATTTGACCATATATGTAATTTTATACGGTCTCATGTTTAGCGTCCAAGGTCCCTAATATTATCTATAAATAAATTTCTTATTTAAGCATCAAAACTTGTTTATCTTGCACACAGAAATGCCAATCATTATCATTCATTTATAATTTACTAACCGCGTTTTTTTTTATTTTTCTTGCTGTCTGTGTTTCTGTTTATTCTTATAATTATATGTATTTATTTATATATAAAAGTATAGGCATCTATACATAAATACATAAGCTTTATGTCACTTTTGTATAATTATTATATACATAAAAAATAATAGATAATAAAAAATACTAATTAAAACGTGAGAGTGCGTGTGTGCGTGCGCTTTTTTATAGTTTATATATATAAAAAAGTCGTATTCTTTCAACAGTTAGTTTCACAAAATTTGATTACAATTGAACACACTAACACACACTAAAAGAAAGTTTTTTTTTAAAACAAAATAAATAAAATTGATTTTATTTAATTGAAAAAAAATATATCAAATTTAAGGGTTTGTGAATGTGAGAAATAGAAAATAATAATAATACTAATAATAATAATACTAATAATAAGAGTAGTGACAAAAGAAAAAAGCAAAGAGATATGCTCGAGACTAAAGACCTTGTTGCACAAAATATATGTCTTTCAATTTCTTTGTGTAAAACAAAATAAATGTTCATTAGAGACAGAAAAGGTTTGCAAAGTTTCAACTTCTTTTATATATAAATATATGGGAGTGTTTACATAAAAGATAGGTAAAGTGAAATTGAGATTGTGGTAAAAAGAAGTAAAGTAAATTGAAGTGGATTTGTAAAGGGTGAAAAAGGGGGGGATAATGGTAGTGGTGGCGGTGGTGGCGGTGGAATATGAAGAGGGAAAAAAAAGAGATGCCGTTATCGTTATAGTTGGTAAGTTGTGATTGTGATTGTGATTGTGACTGTGGTTGTGGTGTTGGTGAAAAGAGAAGAAAAGAGGGTAGAAGAGATAAAGAAGTATGAACTTTGGGTGGTTTATTTTAGTTTCCTGCCTTGGTTCACGTCTTGCTTCATGTCTTGCTTTCCTTCCTGCCTTCCTTTTGTGTGTGTGTGTGTGTGTTTGTTTGTTTGATTTTTTTTGATATGATTATTATTATTATTTAATTATAAGTATTGATTGATGAAGAAGGGGAGGGGGAATTTTTGTTATTTGGTTTTTTTTTTATGGTTTTACATATCGTTCAAAGGAACATTGTCTGGGCGTGGGTTCAAGTGACGCTGTGAGTTGGAATCGCTGCTCAAGCTAACCACGCTCTGGCGGTTGTTGAACATGTGTGAGAAACCAGGCTTGTTGTATCCACCGCCAGGTCCATCGACCTTTTCGGTTTCTGGGAACATGGCATGATGGTTGTCTTGGCTGATTGCAGTTGGTACACCTCTTGCTCCTGGTCCACCTGGTCCTGATCTAGGGTTGTTAAGGTATCCGTCCTTGCTGGCGTGGTTAGCATTGTCGAGCGAACGGAAGACTTCATCATCAACATAGTAGGCCTTGAACAGCATCTCGAGGGTCTGCATACGCTCCTCAACACGTTCGATACGCTGCTCCTCCGACTCGCCTCCGAGGTCTTGTAAGTTGTTGACACTGAAGCGCTTGTGGACTGGGTGAATAAGAGGAATGCCGGCATCGGTGGTCTTGAACTTGGACTGTAGACCACGCAACAGCGATCGGCGCATGTCTCCCACAGACCATCGGTGCACAACACCCCAGGGTGACCGGGGGCGGAAACCAAACATCCAGGTCTGGGCGGCAACCAGCAGACCAAAGATACCACCGACAAAGCCAAGTGCATTGACGAGTGTGTACATCTTCACTTCACGGTCAGTCAAAGAGGCCCAGGTGTTGGGGATGACGGCAATAAGTCCAATGTCGCTGTGGCCCAGGGCTACGTAGTTGGGGTTGGGTGCCTCTTGGCGGAAGTTACTGTCGACTTCAGAGGTATGGTTGTAGATCGGCAAGAATCCAACGTAGTTCCATCCGACGGGCTGCATGTAGCGGTGGTCGATGATGTCGTAGCTCATGGCGCTGTACGAGAAGGGTTCGATGGTATAGACGTTCGTGGCCTGGAGATCGTTGCGTTCGGCGTTTTGCCAGTTGAGCACATCCTGGTCCGAGATGAGGACAGGAACTTCGTCGTTGATGCCGTAAACCTTGACGTTGGGATCCATAGACTTGGGGAAAATCGAGACGTGGACACGGCCACTGGTGATCGTGTTGTCGCCAAAGAAACTGAAGATCAAGTGGGAGCCGTTGTTGTCGCCCGAGGTTGCGCTCATCTTGAACGAAGGGTCGCTGCGGAAGAGGTAGCACGATACGGCACCAAGCTTGTCTGCAAAGGTGGGTTCGAATACACTCATGTTGAGCGGTTGGATGTAGCTTGAGCAGGAGTATCCGGTGTTGGTCTGGCAGACCACGCCAGGGTTTCTAGTGTCGCTGGCAATGGGGTATGTAGGATAGCCGTCAAAGCAGAATCGGACATCAGGTGTCTCGACTTCGGCCGAGGCAACTTCGATGCGCTGGGTTACATTGGGACTGTCAACGGCCTGCTTAATAACAAAGACGAGGAACATGACGAACAAGAACAAGAAGAAGACCTGGAAGATGATGCGGGTTGTCTCGGCCCAGACAGGTTCACCGCTACGGGGCTTCCAGATATCAGCGTGGATACGTTTGGCGAGCCAGATGACATATGACTTGAAGCGCCAGAGCAAGAAGAGAATAATGGCTACCAGGGCAACGGCTGCAATTGTCACACCGACAATAACACCGGTTGAGATGCCAGACTTGGAGGATTTCTGGACAGCTCCAAAGCTCTGGAGCCATGCGGAGTCGTCGATGCTCATCACATTGATATCGTTGTAGTAGCTGTTGAGAGCCTCGCCGAATGCAACTGTCAAGTGCTTGCCGTCAAGAATGGCACCAATGCAGTTTGTGCGACGGGATGGGGGAATGCCGGCTGGTTCTGGGAATGACCAAGTCCAGGTGTTGGTGTCCAAGGTAGCGACGTTGTTCAAATAAAGCTTTGAGCGAGGGGTTCCACCATTGTCACCTAAAATTTAAATAAATATAAATTATTAATAAAATAAAATAAAACAGTATTGTATACATATATTTATTTATACACAAGGAGAATTAAATAGATACATAGATACATAAAAGACTGATAATGAATTCTCTTTCTCTCTCTTACACACACACATATATATATATAAAGAAATGATAATTAAAGGAACAAGAAATGATTTACTTACCACCAAACAAAATGATCTTTCCATCGCTGGCTAATTTATTTCAAAAATTATTATAGTTAGTAAAATTGGTTAGTAAAGATGAAAATGGAAATAGGTCAGTAAAATGCTCAAGATTTTGCACACAAATAATAGATATAGAAATATAGCATTGATATTGATTTACAAATATATTTAATTATTTAAATTTAAAATTATGTTTATATGAAGAGATTAAATTAACAAAAAAAAACATATATAGATTCTGAACTTACTAACTGATGCTGTGTGACCAGATCGAGTGGTGGGGTAGTTTGCACCATAAGGATTGAGCTGCTGCTTGGTCCATGTTGCGGCCTTGGGATCATAGACATAGGCCATGTTCATAGGAGCCAGTTTGAGAACAGCCTGGCCATTGACAAGAGTTGGGCTAACACCACCAAGTACAACAAGACGACCATCACTAAAATAAAACAAATTTGTATATATATGTATATATTACACAAGGATATTTAGTCGCTGAATTGATTCGGGGAGGACAACGCCAAAAGAAAGAAAGAAGAAAAAAAAAAGACACTGGGAATTGTGCTCAGATACACGTGCGGGTAATTCTTTTCTTCTCTTTTTTTTCCCTTCTTTTATATATATATAAAAAAGAGATAAGAGAAGTAAAGAAGTAAAGAAGTAAAGAAGATGCAGTGTGAAATCTGAACAATCAAATAAACTAATACTAAATACTAAATACTAAATACTAAATGCTGATACTAAATATTAAATGATTCTAATGCTAATGTAATTTTTATAAATAAAAAGAAAAAAGGGGGATCTGTCTTTGATATATAATTCATATATGTGTATGTACCTCAAGATAGATGTGGTGTGACCATAGTGACCAACATCGGTTGGTTGGAGCTGTGTATAGGTTCCGGCATTTGCATCCAAGACCCATAGATCAGACAGGACGGTGCCCTGGATGAGAGCACCACCGTAGATGTAGATCTTGTTAGAAGAGTCGATTGTTGCACTGAAGCGATTGCGGTTGACGGGAGCGCCGGTGATGTTTGGTGAGGACCAGGCACCGGTTGCAAATGAGTACATGTGCAACTGGAGTGGCATTGGTACGGTGGTGTTGAGCGAGAGATATGCGACCGCGGATTGGGTGATGCCGCCCAGCTGGAGCAAACTTGTTCCTGTTGAAGATACGACACTCTGGCCATAGACAGAGCCCTCGGGTGGGTTCTGCTGAGGTAAGGTGTTCCAGGTGAACGAGGTTTCTGTTTGGGTGAGCTGATAGAGGTTGTTGGTGAAGCTGGTGGTGGCATTCTCACCGCCGAACATGACAATCGAACTGTTAACCTGAGCGTATGACATGCCTCCCTTGAAGGGTAAGGATGCCATGAAGTTTGGAACGTAAAAGTATCCATGGACACTTGATAGCCAAGCAAGGGCCAAGAGGAAGGTAAAAGGCTTCATCATGGACCAAACAAAAAGGTTATATTTAATGATTTGTTTGTTCTACTTCTTCTACTTCGTCTTTGATAGAAAAAAAATGAGTTGATTATTACTATTGTTATTAAAGAGAATGAAAATGCAAGATAATAATAACAATAAAGAAAGGAAAGAAGAAGAGAGAAAAAGAGAGAGAGAGAGAGGGAAGAAAGAGTGGAGTAAGAAGGAAAGGGGGAGTGAATGAAAAGGAGTAAGATCTATCTGAATATCTTATAAAAAAAATTAAAGGCTATCTTTCTTTTAAAAAATAAAAATAAAAATATTTATTTATTTATTTATATATACAAGATATATATATAGAAATTAGAATAGAATAGAATAAAGGAGTTGTAGGACCATAGTGAAATCAAAGTGGAGATCGAATAAGCCTAAAATAAAGAAATAAAGAAATAAAAATAAGAATTTTAAAGGGGGAAGGGAAGGTAAAGGTAAAGAAAAGCAATAGAAGGGGAGGTGTAGGGGAGCAAAAAGAAAAGAAAAAGAAAAAATGGCCTTTTGATTTGCGTATATAAAAAATATATGTATATATTGAGATTTATATTTCATTTCATTTCATTTCATTTCGTTTCATTTTGCATTCGTTTATTAAGCTTGAAGATGTATGTATATAAAATAACATACAAAATACTTTTTAATAAAAAATGTATAGTCTATATTCTATAGTCTATAATTTTTAGACTATAATTTATCGTCTGTAGGCTACAAAGTAGTATAATAGGTTTTTGTGTATAGAACACAATATATATATATATCTAAGCAACCCAATACTTCCAAAAGACTTTCAGCTAACCAATTATTTAACTACCTATTGGTGCCTCTCTATCTCTATCTCTATCTCTATCTATATATAAATATATAAATATTCCGTTTCTTTGAAAAAATATTCAATTAATTCAATATATATATATAATGCAAGTTAACAATTATTGAACTTCTTTAACACGCTCTTGATCTTGCTGTTGCTCATAAATTCTAGTATTTTTATCTTTGGATTTTTAACTATGTACATACACACATACAGATGTATACACTATTCACAAGTAATTCTGATGTACTAACACTAAAATATATAAAAAAAAAGTCTCGACTCACTTTTTTTTTTAATTATAATTTTTAATTTTTTTCGGTTTTTGGTAATTCAATTTGATTTCCGAAATGTGGCACTCATTAATAGACTGCCCAATAAGATTCTCACAAATCTGACTCTAGAAGTAAGCTACCATCTGCTACCTTACTACTTTAGTACTTCTTGGCATCCAAAATTAAAAAAAAAAAAAAAATTTGATTCCAACTCTCTGTCTCTGTCTCTCGCTCTGTATGTCTGTGGTCTGACTGGTCTACCTGACTAAACTGGTCTACCTGACTGATCGACTGACTGACTAAACTAATTGGTCTCACTGGTCGACTATCTGTCTATCTCACTTTCCCAAATACACGCACTTCCACTTCCACTTCCACTTCCACCTTCACTTTTACTAGTCACTTATTCACTTCCCCGCCTTTAAGAAAATCCCTCCTAAAAGTACAAACTATTCTTGTTACATGATATACATATATTTGAGTATATACATATCTTACTTTATTTTATATTATTTTATTTAGATTTAGATTTAATATATAATTGAATTTAATTTATTTATACATCTTTTTTTCTTAGTTTTTTACAATTTTTTTATACAATTTTTAAAAGAAAAAAATTATAAATTACATATGGATATAATTCTTGAAAATAAAATAAAGTAAAACTAGAGTATTTCATTTCTTAAAGTCTCTGTTGGTCAACACCTTTATCTTCACCGTCTTGTCTTTCTTGACTGCTTTCAATGATTTCATAGCCTGACAATTGTTCTGGGTATCCGGCCTGCATGTCGTATCCTTGAGATAAGCGGTGGGAGCGAGATGCTGGTCGTCTCAGGGTTCTTCTGGTGTTTGGTTCTGATGGAGACAAGAATCCGTTTTCTTGCTTGTCTTGTGTGTTAGATGTCAGAGAGTTCATTTTTTGTTTGTTTGGTTTGTTTTGTAAGATATACAACAACGATGATAGTAAGAGAGTAGAAAGTGAGGTTTTTTTTGAGGTTTTTGGTTTTTGAAGATGATGATGATAAAAATAAAAAAAAAGGGGGGAGTTCTGCTTTTTCTTCGACTCTTTATATACCCATCGAACAAACCCTGACTTATTACTCTTACTATGATTTTATTTAGCAGCTCTCAGCTGAACTAAGCGTCAGAATGAACACACGACGATTATTCTATACTTTTCTTTTTTAACTTTTTATTTTATTTTATATATCTATTATTTCATTTTACGGCATGAATTAGTTAGTTTCTTCCCGTTTTCTCCGCCTTTCCCCCCCCCCTCTCTCTCTCTTTCGGTCTTGCTTTCTTTTTCCCCTCCTTTGTCCTCCTCGTATTTTTTTATATTATGTTATATGAAAAGAAATAACGAAATAACGAAATAACGAAAAGAATCGGATGACGATCCAATAAAACAAGCATACAAGCATACAAAATAGGGCAATTTTGTAGTAACAGACCACACTATAAACGAACTATAAACGCACAAGCAGTGAGCTGACACGCAAAAAAAAATATGCGAGAAAAAAAAGCATATTTCCTGGGGAAAATAAAATTTATCTTGCAATTGGATAAAAGAAGTATAAAAGAAGAATAAGAAGAATAAAGAATTTTATATATATAAAAAATAAACCTATCCGTCTACTTTAACCCACTTTAACCCACTTTCTACAGATCAAATCACATCACATCACATCACAGCCAGATAAAATCCCGGTAACAATATATTTTATTATATATTTTATTCGCACCCCACATCTTATATACTATATTTATACATAGTACATAATAAATAATACATAGCTTTGGTCGATTCAACACAACACTTGAGTAATTTTCTCATTTTCTCTCTGGTTGCTATTCTGATTAGTTGCTATTCTTATTAGTTGCTATGATACTTAGTTGCTATGTTGGTTGGTTGCTAGGTGATGGTATAAAGAAGCTTGGTTTTATGTTGGTGTGTATAATATATACAGTCCCGAGATTCGGCTATACAATAGAAAATATTAACCTTTTTTTTTAGTCTTTATTTTTCTCACCTTCCTTAAACAACAGCAAAAAACAGCAGCAGGGAACTATAGGGATAATTATTATTATTAAAGTACTTTAATGTCCTGTCTCCCTGTGAAGATTCCCACCAAATAAATAATTGAATAAGAAACTTAATGTATTTTAATTATCGGATGAGAATTATAATCTAACAAGAAAAAGACAAAACATCTAGTACACATCTACATATATATATATATATACTTACTATATACTATATACACTTCATTGCATTACATCATATACACACATTACATACACAAGTTAAGCACTAAGCATAAATAAACAACTAGTTCAAAAATGTAAATGTAAATGTATTTGAATTGATCGATTTTTTTTTGAAACAAGCTTGTACCTTTTTTTTTTTGGATATTTTCTATTCACATGGATTATTCAGACCTTAATTTATTTAACGCAAAGTATATATAAGTATATTTAAATATGTTCAATTTATTAAAAGCTTAAACAAGCTTATAAGGAAAAAACTTATATAGATAACAAACAAAAAGCAAAAATCATATGACAAAACAGAAAGGGGGAGAGAAATGGAGAGAGAGAAAGAGAAAAAGAAAGAGGGAGAGAGAAAGGGAGAAAATAAAATTTAATATTGTATTGTATAAGATAATATAAAATAATTATATACTTGTTGTTATTCCTCATTAACCATAATTGCGACAATTAATCAACCCTGACATTTTTTTATTTTATTTTTTATTATACAAAAAACCTATATGTATTTTATATATTGAAATACTTTGAAGAAATACAAAGAAATAAAGAAACACAAATAGAAGTACAATGTTCAACATTATTGTCAGGAACCCAAAATACGAGTTTGAGACGGCTGATGACTTGAAGGCAATGATTCAAAACAAGGCTCGCGAACAAGGGTTTTCTGTTTCAATTCGTAGCAGCACCCCTGGTGTTCGCTTTTTACTGAAATGCCTAAAAGGCGGAGAGTACAGAAATACTCATAGCATCACTGAAGAGAATCGAAAGAGAAGAAAAAAAATCGTCCAGAGTGGCTGCAAGTGGACCCTGTCAGCTTCTTTAAGCAAGAAAACCAATAAGTGGAGTGTACGTCATGTTCGCAACCATTCTGATGAATCAGAACACAACCATCCCATGGAAGATACGAACCATGAGCAATCTTCATCACAATCGCCAGAAACCACTACAATTACTAGTAGTAATAGTCCTAAGGAAACACCGATTTTAAATATCAATCAGGATCCAATATTAAAAAATTTGAATGAATCAATATCATCCGCCGGATCTTCTATCACCACTGTTTTACCAATAACAAAACCAACAACGGCAACGGCAACGGTAAAGGCAACGGCAGCGACAACGGCAGCGGCAGCGGCAGCAATAACACCAGCAGCATCACCTTTATCCTCATCAATATCCTCTTCTTCTTCCTCATCAGCACCATTATCATTATTCTTGTTGTCGACATCGTCGTCGTCGTCGTCGTCGTCGTTGTTGTTGCTGTCATCACCACCGCAACCACTAGAATCACAGCCACTACAACTACCACAGCCACTATCACCATCCTCGTCATCTTCACCATTCACTACCTCTACACCCTACAATATTCATACAAACTCTGATACTAGTATTGGAATCAAGCGATCAATCAAAAATGATATCATAGATTTCTTGACAGACAGAAACTTCAATGTTCGGTATGAAACCACATCTACCAAGGATCTCAAATCATTATTCTTTATGCACCTCTCGAGTGTTGAAAAAGTAAACCGTTTCCCAGAGGTCGTCTTGATCGACACGACCCACAATTTCAATATGAGTGGCATGCCGTTGATCAATATCGTTGGCGTCAGTAACCTAGGGACCAGCAAACTATGTTCGTTTCTGATCGGCTCTGCTTTAGTCAGCGACGAAGACGAGCAAACATTCGAATGGGTTCTGAGACAGCTCAAGGATTCTATATTGAACTGGTGGCAGTCGTTGAAGTCCGTGCAGGCGCCACAGTCGCTGCAGTTTCCACAATTATTTGTGACAGAAGACGATCAAGATCTACTTAAGGCAATAAAAACAGTTTTTCCAAGCTCAAGGCAGTCGATCTGCGCCTGGCATATGGAAAGACGCTTTATGGCACATGTCTCGGGATGTTTCTCGAACAAACGGGATGGCCCTGAGAGTGATACTACCCCACGAGACAGATTCAAAGAACATGTCAAACGTATGCTGTACACAAGGAACGAGCGTGAGTTTTCGGATGCCATACAAAGCTGCCTTCTGATGGTCCGCAATACTCCAAAGGCTGGAGAATTTGGTGCATATCTTGACGAGTAAGAAATACACACAAGTTTTGATTTTTTATCTCCTCTTTGATAAGTACAGGAACACTTGTATATATATATAAAGGGTATATTCACTACATCGGTTGCTTTTATTGTTGTTGCTTTCTTCTTCTTCTTTGGTTAGGCAACTCTTGAAAAAAGAAGCTTGGGGCGGACCGTGGGTTGAAAAACTAGCTCACTTTGGATGTCGAACTGCACAACGTGTAAGAGGTGCACATTCTGCAATCAAATACGGGATGGAAAAACCAAAAACCCTGGTGAATGCCATTAAAGCCATTGATAATTATGTGTGTCGATCGGTAAGTAAAAATAAAAGGATAAAGAAGAAGCATTTATTTAATTACCATTATGATAATGATCATTATTAAAGCTTCTAACTGTATATATATATATATATATATATATATATATAAATATAAATATAAAAAAGCTGGCAAAAGAAATCAAAGAACATGCGGCAGAGACACTCAAGATTCCAGTGACTATACTGGCATATCCAGTTGAATTTTCAGGGCTAAAGTGCAAAATATCATCTTTTGCACTTTATGCAATCAAAGATGAATTGGCTGCCTTGAAAGCCCTAGAGTCAGAAGGAAATCCAAAAAGTCCCTGTGAATGTTCTTTGAGGGTGAATTATCTCCTTCCTTGTCGGCACACCTTGGTTACAGGTCTGGCCATCTCTCCACAGTCGATCCACAAGAGATGGCATCTTCAAAGCTTTGAAAGTAAGATTTAATTATCTCTTTTGTCTTTCATTTTCAATCTCTCATCATACTGTAATGCATTATTTAATCATCTAATCATTATTCATTAATCATTAAACATTAATTATATCCTAGGTCTTTGCTTCTGGTCATCCAATTCCTAGAACTAACATTAGCTTGGATACTCTATAAATCCCGAGAGCCTGTATGATATAAAAAAAAGTAAGAAAGGAAGATTATAAAGGTGTGTGTACAAGTCTTGCTGTTGCTGTCGGTTGATTTTATTTTCTTTTCCATTTTACCTTCAAAGTACTGTAACAAGCACTGGCACAAACACTGGGATTTGTTCCCTTTTTATTTATTATATATATTTATATATTTTAAAATATAGATGTATAAAATACCTAAGAATTCTTGTTTATATTCACATAAAACTACTATGAATTTAGACTCGTATAATAATAAGAAATAATATATATAGTAGATATACTGCAATGTAAAATATATTTATACTGTTACAGCGTATATTCTTTTTTGTTTTATTTCAAAAGAGGTAAAGCTCCCTACAAATAGAAACAATAAATAGTGGAAAACATTTATCCTTAAGCACAAAATAATATAGACACCTACATCTAACATAAAGAGAATAGGTAAAAAAGTATGTATTTTATTAATACATTATATATATATATACGTATAAATATACTTTGTGAGTGTGTTTGTGTCTAGCACCTTGTGGTATTATAGGCAACCTAGCCTACATTACACATACTATAATATAGTATGTTTTTGTATTATAATCTGGTGGAAAGGTCTTGGTATTGACATCCTTGCTGCTATTTATACTATATAACTCTTTTTATCAATTACTGCATTTACGGGCCTAGTTTCTTGCTTAGACTGATTACTGTAAACTTAAACTCCAAATATATATATATATATATAAGTATATTCAATACTAACATATCATAGAAGAATACCAGAGCAAGTATACTATATATACACATCTAACAGAAATAAAATAAATGAATAAACATAACGTCGTTAATATGCCATTAATTAACTTGAGTGAAAATTCCATTAATTTGAGGGGAAGGGATTTTTTTTTGATTTTGTGGGACTATGGAAAGAGGTCCTTATATATATATATTATTGTGTCTGTATTTATCAAACACAATTACTTCGATTGTCTAATTCACCTACAATGAAGCTTGGTACTAAATATAAAAATAATAATATTACAACCATCAAAACAAACAAAAAAAATATAGCAGCAAAAAAAAGTATAATACTCAGAGTTGGATTTAGCATGCTGTCAGTTTGAACCGAAATGGGGTGCATGTCAAGAAAACATTACCAAAGCTAATCAATTGTTGGTCAAGTATGGAATCCCCTGTCATTTCTATTTTTATATATATTGATTTGGTTAATCAAATCTCATTGTTCTATCTCTTTTTCTGTTTGTATGTGTTATGTGTACATGTAATAAGGTATAAAGCTGGAGACATTGATGTTCTAGTATTGCCTGAGATGGCATTCACTGGGTATGTCTTTAAATCTCTACAAGAAATCACACCCTACCTGGAAGATGCAGAGACTGGCCAGACGACCACATGGGCTAAGCAACAGGGTAAGTTATTGACTGTCAAGACTTTTCTCTTCTTTCTTTTGACACTTGTATTATAACGAGTCATTAAAGGGTAAAGGCAGAAGAGAAAAGTGATGATGTATCTAACCCATTCAATTACTGTATATATATATATGTATGTATTTATTACTTTTTGTCCTTCTTAAAAAAATAGCCATTAGATTGAAATGCTTTGTGCTGGCTGGCTATCCTGAAGTCATCAAAGGTTAGTTTGATCGATCGATTTGTTAGCTGTAAAGGGACAAGATTTATTCAGAATTTATTTATTCTTTTTTTTTTGCTTACAAAAAAAGAAACATGTATATATATATCTATATTAAATAGAGGATGGTCAAACAAAACACTACAATAGTCAGTGCTGTGTAAACCAGGAAGGAAAGCTGGTTTACACTTACAGAAAGCATTTTCTGTATCAGGTGGATGAGAATTGGGCAGCAGAAGGACCTGGATTCACATCGGTAGATATCAAGGGTCTGGGTAAAGTCGGATTTGGCATCTGTATGGATCTCAATCCCTACCGCTTTGAGGCACCATTCGATGCATTTGAGTTTGCCACCTACCACGCCCAGCAAGGCACAAAGCTGATCTTGTGCAGTATGGCATGGCTACAATCCAAGGGAAAAAGTGAGAACATCAGAGTTCGTAGTACAATTTCCTACTGGGCCGAGCGACTTTACCCATTGATAAATCCTCCAAAAACAAAGGATTCATCGCCTGTATACTTTGTAGCCTGCAATCGAACTGGAACAGAGAGAGGCAAGTTAATTTCTTGGTTTTTGAGGTATAACCACGCGCATATGGCAAATCATATTAACATACAAACACACACACACACAAATATATATATACAAATTATGTACATAAAACTACCTTATTTTTCTTTGTTTGGCTTGGTATTTTGTAGGGAGTACCTTTGCAGGAGGTAGCTGCGTACTTGAACTGTTTCCTCAATGCTTGATACACGACAGACTCTTGGAAGATGATCAAGATGTCTTGGTGGTGGATACCTCTAAAGATTAATATCAATCTCCTCAAATATCAATCTCCCTTTTCTTTCCTCTTCTTCTCCTTGGCCTTCTTTTGGAAATTCATTAAACAAAGAAGAAAAAGACGCAGAATTTTAGGCATTAAGCCCTTTTTCTTTCTTTCTTTCTTTTTTAGTATAGGAATGAATCAGTGTATATTATATATAGTAGTTTTTTTTTAAAAAAAAAGAATTATAAAATAAGAGTATCAATAAATGTTCGTAGATTTAAGTAAATGAATATATAGTAGTATAATAAGAAATAAGAAATACAAATAGAGATCTGTTTTCTAGAGTATAACGCAGCAAGAATCTCTTTCGGGATTATCAGACTTTTGCTCTTTTAATTTTCGATCTCTGATTTGTCGCATTAGCATGGTGTAGACCTCATCTACATTGTATCTAGTCTTTGCCGATGTTTCAATATACGAACAATTCCATTCAGCTGCCAATGAAGAAGCTTCGTTTGCAGTTACTTTACGCAAATGTGCCAAATCAACCTTGTTTCCTACTAAAACAAACGGAACCTTACACATATATATTATTTTATTTTAATTATTAGATCAATTTATACAAATAAGAATAATAGAATTAAAAGATAAAAGGGATATTATCTATCTATCTATCTATCTAACTTTCTTTAGTTTGCTTACTGTTTCGTCGCCTAATACACGCAAGATTTGATCACGGAATTCTTGTGTATGATCCAAGGATTCTTGTTCACAAACCGAGAATACACACAGGAAACCTTCTCCAGATCGATAGTAATTGTCCCGAATCTATATCAGAAAATAACGAGATAATAATAATATTAATGGTAATAAAATTAATTTAGGAAATATAATTGAAATCAAAATATAATTCATTCACATCAAGTGTGCGTGTGTGCGTGTGTGTATTTGTTATCTTCTTACTTACAGCTGCATATTCCTCTTGTCCTGCTGTATCTAGAATATCTACTTGGCACTCCTGGCCATCTAATGTAACTTTTTTTCTGTATGCTGAAAAGTGTTAAGTAAGAAATATAATTATAATTATATATATATATATTGACATAAATTATATATTGTAATATATACTTTTTGATAAATAAATAGAGAGATAAACTAAAACTTACAGTCTGCTTTTGTTGGGTCATACTCTTCAACGAAATCACCGTACATGTATTGCAATGTCAAAGCTGATTTACCAACTCCACCAGATCCCACCATAATGATCTTGTGCAATGGGAGAGATTTCTTAGTTTTATTTTTTCCCATGATGATTAACAGAGAAAAATAAAGAAAGGAATAAGAATAAGAAGAATTTGATTGATAGAGGAAACGCAGATATAATATGTATATGGATAAGATGTGTAAAGGCGTATAAATTTATACGCCCGTGTACAAACACGGAGAGTGTTTAATAAGAGAGAAAGAAAAAAAAATGTATATATATGTATATATATGTATATATATGTATATGACCCCTTTTATATATGTATATCTATACACATATATTTGGAAATTGTTAGGAGATTGATGGGCTTGTTCAGGTTCGGTTATGTATGTATGTATTTTCTTATAAAAAAATCAAAATATTATTAAACCAATCAAAGGGGGTGTCAATTGAAGTGTTTAGATATTTGGAAAGAGTGCTTGGATAAAATCTCAAAGGATATATATCTAATTATATATTCAACATCTCTTGTCACCTATTTATCTTTCTGTACGTCAAAAATAAAATTATATTTGTGAATTACAAAGTATGAAATGTAGAAGAATATTGATCAATCATGTATACGCACAAATATACATATATTTATACATATATAGGTATCATTCTCGAAATTTCGTAACTGGATTTTCTATAAAAGGATATAATAGAATAACAGCAACCGAAAGAGAAAGAGACAAAAAAGGAATATATCTATTTGTTTGATCTACCTCTGTCTATATCTTTGATTTTCTTCCTCTTTTGGCTGCTTATATATATATATATACGCGAGCATTAATAAAAGAAGCATATTTGGAAAGACATGGATACATATTCATTCACATTCAAATTCTATTATTATTGTTATTGATGTGTATCAGTGTATGAGTGTATGAGTATGAGTATGTGTATGGGTGTATATGTATGGGTGTTATGTTGTATTGTATTGTATTGTGTTGTATTGTATTGTGTACAAGTGTGTACGTGCGTATATGCGTATGTGTATATGTATATGTATATGTATCATTTTTTTAGGTAATAATACACTGTTCATCTCCGTGAAGGTTCATCTTCTTGCCCACCAATCGTCTCTTGGTTAGCTTGTCACCTTCAATTGGATTTAAGCCTGCTATCTTTTCCATGGCCAGGGTATGGGACAGCAATGCCGGGTTTGCGCTAAGAGCCATTTGTTCTTGAGGAGTCAATCCAAGTGCCTTTGAGTATTTACGAATACTTTCGGCCTGAGGATGGTTTTGAAGAGGCGGGGACGGATTACGCCCTACGCTGCCTCCCTTACCTCTCTCTACACATTTGCTCTGGTGGCGTGAAAGAGTACCGGGTAATGACGGGCGTCTTTCCTGGTTACGATTATACACCTTGGCAGAAAACACCCACTTTAGAATTATATATACATATATATATATTATATTTATGTATATGTGTATGTGTGTATGTATATTGTGTGACGAGCAAGGTGAGCAAAAGAATTTAATAGAAATCTAATTGTACTACTAGATAGCTTACATCGTAGGAAGGCTGATGATCATTTACTGTAGGTGGACAGGAAAAAGCCAGTCGTTTACAGTCCTCGTGACAAATGAGAGCACAAACTATTGATATATGTGATTAGATAGTGTCATTATTCTTATTACTTTTACTTTTTTTGGATTATTGATTTATGCTAAGCTGAATTAAATATAATATATTATATAAAAGATAATATCGATAATTATTGTGGACAGTTATTATTATTTGCTTGCCTTCACAGAATATTGCTCTTTCAGTCATAAGATCCTTGCAAACCTTGCATTCTACCAAGTCTGATTTTATGATGATGATGATGATGATAATGGTGATTTTATGATAGTGATAATGATAATGATAATGATAGTGATGGTGATGATGATGGTGATATTGGTGATTTTATGATGACGGTAGTGGCGGTAGTGGCAATAATGGCAATGGTAATTATGGATGATGATAATAATTATGTATGATTATTTTTTGTTTCTTTTGTTTTGTTTTATGAACGGATTGTTGATAAACCTCAAGGTCAGACAAAATTTCCCACCTTTTCCAAAGGACGTGCGAATAAAACGATGTGTCTCATGTTCGTCTTCTGTATTCAGGGACAGTCTAGATTCATCCCGGTCACTCTCGGAAAAGCTGTAAACAAAAGACGGGACGGAACCATTATTCTCAATGACAGAATCAGACAAAGGACATGCCATATTGTGAATATGATTCCCACTCGTCTTATGCATCTTCTCACTCTCGTTCTCGTTCTCGTTCTCGTTTTGGCTTTGACTTTGGTTTTGGTCTTCGTTCTCACTCTCATTTTCGTTTTCGTTTTCGTTTTCGTTTTTGTTTTTGTTTTCGTTTTCATTTGGGTGAGATTCGGTGAGCTTTTCTTCTTCACTGTTATGATTAGGTTCGTCTATAAAGAAATCAATTAGAAAATTAGAAATGTATACAAATGTTTGCATTCTTTCCTTTTAAAAAGAAAGACAAACAAAACATTGAATTATTGTAATTATTGCTACAATTATTACCTGTAGATTCAGTACTCTTTTCTTTGTGATTGGTTTTTATCCAAACATGTTCTTTAAGCTGGCTAGCAGTAGGTCTGTCTTTAGGATCTTTTTGAAAACAACACACCAGAAAATCTTGCATTTCCTAAGTAAGCACACCCATATAAAAGAAAAGAGAAAAGAGAGAAAATAATAATTATATGATTAGATGTCGGTAGTACGGATATCGTGGGAATTTCTTCTTCCAAGTTACCATGGATACGTTTTCTGGAAGAGGGGGATATTCATCTTCCACAATACGGAACATGGCAGACATGGCTATGAGATCTGAATAGGGTGGTTTTCCAGTCACAAGTTCTACCAGAGTACAGCCAAGCGACCTTGGTTATTTTGATTTATATGTACATATACAAAAACATTAATAAAAATAATCATCAGCAAGTCAATAAACCATTCAAATAGGTATATAAATATATATTTGTTTATAATATCTATTCTATTCTTTGGATTGTCGTAGTACAAAAATTAATCAATTTTTGGTTTCTTTCAACTCACCAGATATCAGCTTTTGTAGAAGCTCCTTTTAACTCAATGACTTCGGGTGCCACTATAAATCATAATTTTAATAATAGTTTAATTATATACACTCATATATACTTTGTGGACTTGAAATATTTATTACTACAGCACCACTACCACCACTCACTCACTCACTCACTCGTATACACACGCACACATATACAATCATTCGTTTTCTTTTAAAGAATAATAATAGAATATAGAATATACTAAAAAGAAATAGGGTTAAACTTACTCCAGTTTGGTGTACCAGAAACCGTGCCAGCATCGGCTCCTTTGATTTTCAAATTTAGCGAAACACCAAAATCAGTCAACTTGACATCGCCTGTCTTTGTAGTCAAAATATTTGCAGCCTTTAGATCACAGTGAACAACCTAAAGTATTACATAAAAGTACAAGCAGAAGTTAACTACTTTGTTAATATCATTTTTTTGCTGTTGTTTTGAGCAGCATTGCCAGTAGAAGTAGACATGATAGTAATAGTAGTAATGTGCACATGTCAGTGATAATACTAAGATAATCACCTCATTAGCATGCAAGTACTCCAAGCCACTGAGTATCTTGACGCAGAAAGAAGCAACCAGCTTTTCTGGGAAAGCACCAAATGCCTTTGAAGTGGACATGAGGGATCCATTTTCTGCAAATCTTAATACAAGTTATTTGTATAAGCCAAATTGTTGTTTTTTCTTTCTTTCTTTCTTTCTTTCTTTCTTTCTTTCTTTCTCTTTTGGTTATAGTTATACCTAATGTAAGAACTTACTCTAATACGATATTCAAATGTTCTTCAGTACGAATGAATCCAAGGTATTGAATCACATTTGTGTGAGATAAAGTTTGTAAAAGGCTCACTTCTTTCTATAATTTGATTTTTTTAGAGAAAAAGAAGAATCATACATTACATAAATAACATTATCAACATGCCAAAGACACGCACACGCACATAAGTGCACATTTACACATATGCACATTTACACAATTATATATATAAAAATATAAATGTATATGTATGTGGATGTGAATGTGGATGTGAACGTGTACATGTACTTATATTAAACATGCAACTCACCATCATCTCCTGATCGTGAACCCCTTCATCATCGAGATTAATGCGTTTAATGGCAACAATCTCTCCTGTGGCTAGATCAAGGGCCCTGTACACCGATCCAAACTGACCCTTGCCAATACAATTTCCCAGTTGCTGTCATGAATATATCAGTATAATAAATGAATAAAAACCTCCTTCATTTTGTCGTACACGTCTGCGCAAAAACAAACAAACAAGCTAACACACAGACACATGTATATATGTATGCATATATTGGTTTATAACTTACATAGGTAGTACTGGTAGATCCATCCTTGCTTTTTAAAGACAATTGCTTGCGCGCAGGATCATCCTCTTGGACCGCATTTACTGTGTTGAGCACCTTGCGATCAAGTTTATGCCCCAAACTTCCCGTTGCAGGCGTTTTGTTTTTTGGATCATTTGGATTCTGAGAATCTTCTTTGGCAGGACAATGTGGTAATGATACACTTTGGCGACGTTTCTGGGCCGGCTCAGCCTTTGTGGATGCCAGTGCTCCATGCACAGATACAGCGCGTTCGTTCTTTGCAGCTGTCTTTATTGCTGCTACTGCAGTATTAGTAGTAGTTGTTACTGTCTTTGCGGATTGCTTTCCAGATTGCCTAGAAGAAGGTTGCTTTACGGCTAGTTTTTGGGACGGCGAAACGCAAAGAGAAAGAGATGCTGACATTGCTGTGTGGTCTAGTGGAGGAAGAGGAGGAGAGTCATGCACAGATGTCGGTCGTCGAGATCGATCGCAGCCATTGTTGCTATCTAGACTCTTTTGATACAGTACTGACGACGACCGCTGTTCATTCGATTGATACCCGGGTCGCAGAGGTGACTTTGGTGGGCGCATGAGCGATTGGATGGATAAAGAAGATGTACCTGCCCGGCTGAGACTAAGTTTTGCTACATCGTAAGTATCCCGGCTATCTGACATTCCCTTGTCGGTGAGCGACAAGAGAGTTGACTGGAGCATGGATATCCGAGTAGACACAGATACATCTGGCTGGATTGTTCGGCGCATGTTCTCGTCTCTGAGCTTGTCCTTGGTTGGATCCATGTCACCGAATATGTCCCGGATATGACGGTGCTTATTACTCTGAAGCGAAGACTTGTCGTCGCCAGAAGTCAGACTCTTGACGGTGTCTTTGCCCGAAGATGTGCTTAGCTGACTGTCAGTCGGAAGGCTCCTTACTGTATCTCTACCAGAAGCAGAATGTAATTGGCTACTGGACGGCAGACTCTTTATGGTGTCTCTCCCACAAGGTGAGTTTAGTTGTGTGTCAGTTGGAAGACTCCTTAGAGTATTTTTTCCACCGTAAGAGCTTAATTTGGTGTGCGTGGGTAGATCGAGGGGAAGACCATGCAATGGATTACTGGATTGTTGGCTGACCGGAGGAGGATCGATTATGTCATGAGATTCATGAATGTCAATATTGTTGAGAGATTCGAGAGGGTCATTGGTGTCATTGTGAGTGACATAAGGTTTGAGAGGTTCAATATAGTCAATTGAGCCAACGGATATAATAGAGTCAGCGGTATTTAGAGTGTCGGTATCATTGTCACATTCAGCATCAAGCTCGGCATCAGACTCAACATCAACGTCAGGCTCGACATCAGCATTATTATCATTGTCATTATGTTTACGTGGTAGAATTATAGGTTTGGTTACGGATTCAGCTGAAATGACTAGAGAATCATCGAGATTCTTAGTAGCAATAGTAGTAGTAGCAGTAGTAATAGTAGTAATAGTAGTAATAGTAGAAGAATCGGTCAAAGTATCGCCAGATAAAGTACTTTCGCACGAGGCATGCTGTTGTTCTACAGGATAGTTGCGGCGTAGAGGTAAATCTGAGGATTTATTATCTCCCTCTGGTTTGGTCTCCTGGAGTGGGACACAACTTGGACTTTGGACTTGGTCTGTAGGAATCTTCCCTGAACTGTTAGTTTTATTGTCTCCCTTCTTGTTGTCTTTTGTTTCCTCCAGCTGCACTTTCTCCCTGTTAGTAATTTCAAGTGACTCCTTGCTCTCTGGCGTCTCCTTTTTGGCTGGGCAGGGTCGTGGTAATGACTGCTGAATAGGCAGTTGGGCAAGGGCAGCCACCGTATGGATAACCTAAGCAAATATAAACATGAAAATATACAAGCGCAAACACAGTTACAAGTGAATGATTAAATATGATACGTTGCATATGAACAAGTAAGTGTGAGTGTGGGTGTAGATATGTGTTGTATGGCTTGTATACAATTCTTTTGATTTTTTTTTGGGTTTTGGGTTTTCGGATATGCAACCCAAAATAATAATAAATGACTTACTGCTGCCATATCCTTGGCTTCATACAAGTCAACGGTCTCGAACAATTGAGACTTCGTGAGGCCAAGCTGATATATATAAAGGAGATCCAAAGGTCATGGAATAGGTAATTAAGTTTGTATATTCACATAGTTGAATCAATTGGAAGTATAGAATGATTATTACCTGCCGTGCACCATCTAAGAACCGAATGATGTTGTCCATCTATGATGAATAAGTAAGAGTTTCAAGGTCTCGAGTCAAATTACCTTTACAAACGTCAAATTCTTTTGTGCCACATTTTTTATCGTCCCTGGACGAAGCTTGTTGACAAGACTATAAATATATAATACTTTAATAACTTATTCATTTTCCTTTACTGTTGTCATTATTGCCATCGTATTAACTTTCTTCTTTTAATATAAGTAGTGGAAATATATAGAATATAGAATATATATATATATATAATATGTTAATTACATTTGAGCAAGAAAATACAGAAAATTTGTATGAATTTCTCACTTTTTTTAATAGATATTATGAACCCATCCCTCCCCTTCCTATCCCTTTATCAATCTTCCCCCCTCACGACCCCTTTTATTCCCTTTCCTTCTTTTCCCCTCTATCTATCTTTGATATCCCCCTTATTAGTATTATTACTATTATTTCGCTCTCTCTCTCTCACTCTCTCTCACTCTTTTGTTTTATCTATGGTTTTGATGACTCTTTTCTAAAGCACATTTTGCCACATGTTGATATAGGTGTTTTTAAAAGAAAAGAAAGATGTCACTGAAGATAAGCTTTTTCCCTCTTCTTTTTTGTCCTTCTTTTCTCTTTTTGCGCCTAATTACGCTAAATTGAGGTGTGGGCTATGTTGGGCTGTGTGTCGTGTTTTGCGTATTATGTAGTGTGTGTGTGTGTGTATTGTATGTTCGAGTAAACTTGTCCTTTTTTTCTCTCTTTCTTTTTTTTTGCTCGTTTGTGCCCGTTTTCATGTTGTTTTGGTTTTTTGTTTTGGTTTTGGTTTAAAAAATAATGATAGTAATGATGATAGTAACAATAATGGCAATAATGACAATAGCAATAGAAGAGAAATAGAAGAGTTGTAGAATGAGATTTGGCAATGGGAAACTTACTTGCATAAAAGTACAACATCTTTTAGCTTTAAATAAAGCTCTTCGATGGTTATAGATATTTCCATGGTTGTATTGACGAATTCAAGTGCAATATTTTCGTCGTGTCGTAGCTGCTCTTGTCTTCTTTTTCCAAAAGAATGGTCGGCGCCAGTTTTTGGTCTACCAACGCGAGGAGATGCGTAAGTGGCTGTCATCACAAAGATAAAAAGAGATAAGACTGCAAGAGACGCCAGGATAGAAAGATGATAGGTTATAGAGATAACAAAAGAGATATATATGTATATATTTGTGAAGGGATATGAAGAGTTTTAGCAATATAATTATATAATTATACGTGCGTGAAAGTTTAGGTTTCAAAATATGTGTAGAGTATTTGATAAAATAGAAAGAAGAAAAAGATAAAGCCAAGAGAACGAGAGCGAGAATTAAAGGAAGGGAGAAAGAAACAAATCTTTAAAGAAGCACGGAAGAGAAGGAGAAAAGGGAACAACGAAGAAGAGTTGTATTCTTATTTATAGGCGCTTTTTTCACTAGATTAACTCTAAGGTGCTTACCTTTTTCTTCAATTCTGCAGCAAGGAGAAGGATGCGCCTACTTTACAAAGGCTTGTCTCCTGAATACATATATTTATATATCTTTCCTTTGATAAACTTTCTCTCTGTGTATACAATTATACACATACACATACATATACATATACATATACATATACATATATTCGAAATAAATAAATAGAATTCATAAAACTTCTCACAGACTCACACACACTCACTCAGTCAGTCATTCACACGCGCACCCACGCACACACCCACGCACGCACCCACGCACTTACACACATCCAGTGTATTTATATATATATTGGTACTCTGAAAAATGCACACTTGTTCATTGTTATTGGCATTTCAGCCATCACCACAACAATCATTTTTTTTTACTCTCCTTAAATATATATATATATATACATACATGCAAATGTTGAATTACAATTGTGCTCATTGACTTGACAACTCATCATTGACCTGTTTACTCATCTAATTCATTGACCATGCCCAACTTTAGGAGATTCTTAATAAATTAGCAGTCTCTTCTTCTTTCCTTTTCTCAAACATCTGCACACACTAACAGAGAAACATGAAGACAGACAGACGATATAAAGTAGCTTGTAGTCAAATATAAGGCGTACACAAAGTATTACTGGTCGTGTAAGTTGCTTCCATGATTGTTTACTACACTTTATGTAGCTTGGCACAGCTCGCGTGGTTCCTAAGATTTGATTTACCCCCTTGTGAAGCCAAAAAAGTAAAAGAAAAGATAATGATAAAGATAATGGTACTAATGTATTTAACAGAAATAAAAATGAATAATTTAAAGGCAAATAAATAAATAAAAAAGTTATTCGATACACACATATACATACATACATATACACAAATATGTATATCTATATATTTATACAAAAACCCCGTGTATTTTCCTGAGGATATTGAGCCTTGATTGGAGCAGACAGTCAAGGGCTAATTGGCACCAATCCTTTTAATGTTATTAATATTGTTTCTTATTCCTTTACCATAATCACAAACACAATATTTCTCTAATATGCCCAATTTTCTATATGTGTATTTACTTGTGCCAATTTTAATCTTTCGTTTCTTATCATAGATAATTTTTTTTTACCTTTCTTCCACAAATGTATAAATGCAGATATATATGTGTGTGTGTGTGTGTGTGTGCGCACGAATCTTCTGTTTCAAATATGCAATACTTCTAATTTAATGTATTGAGACAAGATTAACTCTGGTAGATCGATGTATTCGTTTCAACTTTTCAATAAAAATAAAAGAAAGGTTTATTTAGAAACGAACAATAAGCAAAATAGAAAACAAAATGTTAAAGCTTGTATTGAAATATAAATCCTAATACCATTCATGGCTTTCAATCCATATGCGAATTTTGCTATATGCAACATTAGTCCTGTTCTAAATATTATCAAATAGGGCATGTTATTTTGTCAAGTCTGTACACTAAAGACAGCACACCATATGTAGAAACATCTACAGACCAAAAAAGTAAAAAGACAGAGAGAGAGAGAGAGAGAGAGAGAAAATAATAATGCTGCTTTGACAGAATCCTGCCTTGCATTCAAAGTACTTTATATATAAATTAATTATTTTCTACAAACCTGTATAGACTATTAAATATATATATATTCATGTATTCATGTATTCAACATATTCTAGATTATCTATGGTCTCAGTCTAGTCTAGTCTAATCAATTATATTCTATTATGTTCTATTCTAACAAGTTGGATTATACAAGAAAAGACTACAGAGTTATTATCGTTATTCTTATTATTCTTATTGGTTTTTGTTACAATCTTCAGAGTATATATGTATATCGACATTTATATATTGATATATTTAAATCACACCAAAAATAAATGAAATAAAATAAAATAAAAACTGACTATCTTAAAAGCAACAAACTAGATCTTGTCTTCCCCTCACTAGTTTATTTCTCTTTACATATGGCCAATTAAACGCTAGTCTTGAAACCAAGCAAAACTAAGAAAAATATAAAGAAACTTGACATGGCCCAAGAAGCTCATTCCCCAAAAAAGAGCACAAGACAACGCAGATCAAAAGGTCAAATTTCATATCTTTGTACATTAACGGCTTTTGCGATTTCAATACAGCTGACTGACGGACTGACGGACTGCCTTGACTGACTAACTGACTGACTGACTGACTGACTGAGAATCATGCTTTTTAAATTATTAATATAATATAATAAATTTTGTTATTGTTCATGTTAATGTTGCTGTTATTTTTCGATTTACGCCTTGTATAAAGTATAATAGATAGGTCAGTAATTGAACCGATTCAATTCAGTCCATGCCATTTTGCAAATTTTCTGTTCGATTTTTTTTTCGGCAATTCTGGTGCGCATGAATCCTTAAGATTTTACCAGAAGTACAGAGGTATCTTTTTATTTTATTTTATTTTTCAAAAAAAAAAAGAAAAAAAAGCTTTTTTTTTATGTTCCCTTTTTGTCTTATTTGGAGACCCCCTCATTCTTTCAATCACAGGACTCTTCCTCAAAGCTTGGGTTTGTGTTTCTTTTTTAGACTTTAATGAGTTTACATTAGTGTGTGGCTTGATGGAATGCACATAAACCCACTCGTCTACCCTCTCGCCCACCCACTCACACATATTATACACAAATAACCAATATCTAATAGTGAAATACATGTACATTATCTTCCTGTGTATGTGCACATACACACATTAATCTCATTCTCATGAGTAACGCATTTCATATCTTTCATTCCTCAATCTATGAATGTTTACAAAAAAAGAATACTGAATTCAATGTTGTGCACTTTCTTTTTTACATGCTTTGGAATCTATTGAATTAGAAATAAAAGGTTGTGATATTCTTACAATTATTTTCTAGGAATTAAGTCATCCTTAATGCACCTGTATACTCTATACTTTCTTTTATTTATATGACTATGTATATAGCTGTTGCGCCCAAAAGTAAGATAAATACCCGTCAGGTTGAAAATGATGTCTATTGTTTACAGAGGCTCTCTTTGAGCCATCTTTACGGCCTATCCAAATCATTCTATCTCATCTACCGGTTTCTTACTTTTACTTGCCACCTCCTCAGCCCTCCTTTAATTGTCTTGTAACGATCAAAATTATCAGCATTACCATCGCCATCGCCATTACTATTAAAATCATTATCATAATCATAAACGACTGTTGCTGTTTTTTTTTCTTGGAGCTACTAACTTTTGTTTTGTCTTTTTTTTTGCTAGAATACAAGCTCATTCATTTCAATTGATTAATTAAATGCTTTTGTTCCATGCAGTAATGATATCTTTTGACACATTCAAATATTGAAAACAATAGCAATTTTAGAGCGAATAATAGTTTATATATGTATGTTTATTAAAAGAAAAAGAAAGAAAAAAAGAAGAAGAAAAGATGATAATATATATATAAATATATATAAAAAAAACCAACTTCTTGAAAACAGTTCCACAAGTATACATCTTTAAAGCTTGAGCTTCTTTTCATTTAATTTGAATTGAATTGATTTGATTTGATTTGGTTTGGTTTATTACTCCTGAAAATACAGGATCCTATTTTTTTTTCTTTTTTTTTCTTCTTATTTATTTATGTATATATATATTATTTTACTCTGTGTGATCTTAACCTCCTCACATTCCTTTTTGTTTTAATAATGCACAACTAGCACAAGTCTATATATAACTAGTATTTCCAACAGACGCCGTTCTTGTGCTATTGTACTTCTCTATAATATTATATCTCTTTCCTTCTTTCTTCCTTTATCAATCTTATTCTTATTCTTATTCTTATTTTTTTTATTCTTACACTTTCTTGCTCTTCTTCTTGTTTTTCTTATTATTATTCATAACTCTGTTGATGATAATCAAATAAGTGTCTGGAGCTTCATTATCTATGCGCGTGCAAAAAAGAAGAAGAAGAAAAACAAAGGCACATTTTGTTATACAAAAACACAAAGAATATCTCCATTTACTTTTTCGATAATTCTAAATACTTTCTTTTTTTCTTCTAAAATTTATTTTCTCTCTCTCTCTCTTTATATATATTAATATATATATACACTTATTTTTAATCATCATAAGGAAAAAAAACTGTCATGCTGAGGAGTACAAAATACTCGACTTTTGACTTAACACTTGATCCAAAATATACAATGGATAGCAATTCCTGTAGCCTGCCATTGTCCCTTTCAAATGTTTCCCAAACCGGCTGGACATTTTCATCACTTGTACCAAATACCAGAATTCCCTCCTCTGCAGATATCTCCGACTATACACAATCAAATCTTGTTCATAACCATCCACAAAACCAGGAGCTACAGCATCATCAACAGCATCAGCAACAGCATCATCAACAACATCAACAGTTACAACAGCATCAATTACAACAGCTTCAACAGCAACTAATACTACAGGAACAGGAGCAGGAGCAGGATCAGGAGCAACAACAGCAACATCATCATCAGCAGCAGCAGCAGCAGCAACAGCAACATTTTAATCATCCCAGCCCCACCGAGGGTACGCCTTGGTCTCCAATTCCAAAGAGTCATCCTACCTTTAAGCCATCTTTCTACGACCCATTCCAGGTCAATAGGCGCCGACGAACTTCACGGGAACAACACAAGACTCTTGAAGACACCTTTCAGGCAAATCGCAAACCTAATTCCAAAGTGCGACATGCTCTAGCTGACCAGCTGTGTATGCCTGTCCGGAGTGTCCAGGTGTGGTTTCAGAATAGGCGGGCAAAGGCCAAGCTCCAGGATAAGCAAGTGCCAAACGAACAAGCCACAGTAGACACTCCCACAATGTCCCAAGCTAATAATATTATATCTGCTGGTGGTAGTGGTGGTGGTGTTCCTGCTGCTCCCTGGACGAACGCCTTTCACATGTTTTGTCCCCTCGTCTCGAAACCAAAAATCCTAGAAAACATCAATTCGCCATTGAAAAGCGACACTGGCTCAAGACATGAACTCTCGAGCGATCGTCTTCAGGCACTCGATGACATTAGTGACATGCAGAATTGCGATGGCTCTGGTTGTGATGACGACGAATGTTGTTACCACGACAACAAGAACGAATGGCTTTGGGAGGATCCTGGCTTTCCTTTGACTCCGATAAATCCTGCCTTCCTGAATAACCCAGCCGCACGTGCCTCATTCTCCAGCGATCAGATGACGTTCTCTCCCGGCCCGGAGTGCTATTACCCCATGGTCCGACAACAGTTCTCGGGTGGTGCAGCAGAAGAGACTCACCACAACCACCACCACCACAACCAACAGGAGCATGAGATTGAGCAGGAGCAGGAGCAGCTTAGCGAATACAGCCGGATTTCAGCTGAACAGCAATACACATGGGATCGACCACCACCTCCTCCTCCGCCCCCGCAACCGACTAGCCGAGAATCTTTGTGTCAGCCATTATTATCTGGATTTAAGCAGATCACACATAATAACTGCACCACAAGTCACACAGCCACAGTAGAAGCAACAACAGTAACTAATGTTGCTGTTGCTGATAATAATAACAATAATAACAATAATAATACTGCTACTATTCCTACTACTGCAGACGGATCATGGATAGAAACACCTGCATTAGCACCTAGGACAAATGCCAGAATCCCGGTATCTTTTGGTTATCCGAACCCAGCCATGACTAGACAAGATGACATTTACTGGTGCGGCAGTCAGGTAACAAAGAATAAAATTAATGGTTTTGTACACGGTCAAACATTGTACAAAAGGACAATAATAAAGAATAGCAAAACTAATATATGTGTATATCAAAATGTATTTTCCTACTAGGGTACTCGATGTCTATCAGAAGAATCGACTTATGACATATCTTTTGGCTTTGACAATTCACTACATTTTTAGGAAGCAGAAGAGAAAAAGGGATTGTATTCTTTTTCGTTTCTTTTTTTTTCACTCTAGTTCTTATATACTTCTTCAATCTCCATATATATTCTTCTATCTATCTACCTTACCTACCTTACCTACCTATTTACTTACTTACTTACTTACTTATTTACATACATACATATCTACATATCTACATATCAATCTACCTATTGATTTCTTATATATCTTTCTATTTCATATTCTTACTATTATTATTCTTATTTTTTTCATTCTTTTTTCTTTATTTTGCTCCATTTAACAGTATGCTCAGGTTATTTACTTATTGATTTTATGATTTTTCTTTTTCTTTCTTTTTAAAACTTCTTTCGCTCTCTATTTTTTTTTTATATATTCCCTTATAGATATATTTTTTAGACTATGCAAGATACAAAGGCGCTCACAGGCTACCTATTTTATCTCTTAATTTTTTGTACATTTTATGCTGTGCCTGTCATTACTTTTTTAATAGGACACATTTAAAGAAGATCACTTATATACATACATAGTTATACACACACACACACACATATATATATATATATATATATACAGCATACACATATACATCATACATATATACATAAATTACATACATACATACATACATACATACATACATACATACATATACACATACATACAAGCTACATACAAGCTACATTGTATTTTAATACACCTAAAAGAAAGAAGGAAAGAAAGAGAGAGAGAAAGAAAGATATATTGATTAATAAAGCTATTATATATACATATATGTATACTTTCCTCCATATTTACCTAGAATAAATCCAATTGAACAGTTTCTGGTCAGTTTTCAAAAGTAAAATGAGATTTATGTGTTCTACATATAGATAAAGTAGAAACCAGCAGACATATGATATATGCTTTTATATATAAATATTAGCTTTGACGTTTTAATAACGTACAAGTACATGTTTTTTTTTGTTCTTCACAGAGGAACTTATCAGCGCTAGCTAAGATGAAAGTTAGGAAATAACAGGTCTGCTGTATACTTGAATGTTTTAGGCCTCAGACACATACACGTACTACACTGGCATAGTCAATAAAACTATAAAATTCAATGAAAAGCTTGGGTGAATCTTTTAAATTTTCTCGTACCTTGAGATTTTTTTCTTTTAAAAAAAAGGTTTACGGTAAATGTTGAGCTGATCCTTATAAGTACCCAAAAAAAAAAGAGAATTTTCCATTGGATCACCGTCTTTGACAGAATTTCCTTCGTTCTTTCCTTATTTCCTTCCTGAAGCTGCTATAGCCAAAGCAATGGTAGCCATTAGACAAATACACAGCTACTCCCTTAGCTAACTATGTCTTTTATACCTTTTCTTTTGTACTTTTCTTTTTTTTTTAAAAATTTATTCATTTATTCATACATTTCAAAGGCTATGAATTGTATATGCGTTAGCGATATCAATACAATAAGATAATATATTAAAATATAGATATAGATGTTCTTGTTTGTATTGGGCTGTTGATACACTCAATTTCATTAAAAGTATCTGAATTAGTAGGGAAAAAAAATAAAAGTGCATTATCTGTTTGTTTTGAGCGTTATGTGGTTTATACAGTGTTTTTTGGCCTTTGGACTTTTGTATAAATGTATACTTGCTTTCTTTAGAAAATTATATATCAGCGGTAATTAAATTATCCAAGAGTCACACTCGTACGCGCTAGTGTCTTATAGGCTGCCATTTTCAGGACATCAGAACAGAAGAAGAAAGAAGAAGAAGAAAAAAAAACTAATCTTAAGTTAACTTCATTAATGTCAATTCAAGCATCAGACTCTACTTCTCTTCGAGCCGCTCAGTATGGTATGAATAGCGGCTTTCTGTCGACTACATTTATTTCGTAAATATGCAAAACTAATGAACTCATGTACTCTTCTTTTTTTAAAACCCCCTCCCGAATATTATACATTAAAAGCTGCTGTGGTGTCTATGCTAAAGCTTAATGCAGACACATCTGGCTCTAATTCATTCCTGGATGACTCGAGTAATGCTTTAGTTCTTCAAGACGATATTGTCTGGAAAGCCTTAGTTTTCGACAAGTTTGGTCAGGACATCATCTCTTCTATTATGCGAGTTAACGATTTGCGTGAAAACGGTGTTACTGTGCACATGTAAAGAAAGAATGAAAGAAAAAAAAGAGCAAAGCAAAGATTAGAAGAGAATAATATATACTTATGTTTATATAAGTATATTATGACCTATTGTACAATGACTCTAATGTTATTATTTTAAAAAAAAATATGGTAATAATATATGTATATATACAAAAAAAAAGGCTTTTGAGTCAGGATAGATCTCCTCTTCTAGATGTGCCTGCTGTATACTTTGTTGAACCTACTTCTGAAAACGTTCGAAAGATCAGTGAGGTAAATATTACTTATTTTTTTTTTCTTTGGACAATAAGTTAATTTAATTTAATTATGCTGCAAGCGAAAAAGAAGAACAAATAGGCTCAAAAATCTTATTAACGTTGTTGTTTTATTTTAGGATTTAAACCGTAATCTTTACGAAGCATTTTATGTCAACTTTTGCTCTACTGTGCCTCGTCCTGTCTTGGAGGAGTTCGCCGGTCTGACACTGGCCAACAATACATCTGAAAAAGTGACACAGGTAATTAAATAAATATATAAATATAAACGTATGCATGTAACTTTTGTGTATAACGTGTATAACGTGTGTGTGCGTGTGTGTACATTCGATTCCAACAATAACAACAAAACCAAAAAAAAAAGGTCTATGATCAATACCTCAACTTTGTGTGTACAAATCCTGATGTATTTTCTCTCAACCAACCCAACGCATTTGTTAATCTCAACAATCCAAGTGCACCCGAGAGTTTGATTGATGATACCGTTGATCGTACAGTCAATTCTCTCTTTTCGGTAATTGTGACAATGGGTAAGTATTTAATATATATATGTGGGTGTGAGTGTGGGTGTGGGTGTGTTAAGTGGACGTGATTGTGAGGAGTTTGGGTTTGTGTACATTTGAGATGTTATTTATACAAATGCATTACAAACAAGGTGTTATACCGATCATTCGTTGTCCTCGAGGAAATGCGGCCGAGATGATTGCTAATAAGCTGGACAGTAAATTACGCGATCACATTATGAATTCACGCACAAACCTGTTTTCGTCAAGCGCCAATAACTCTAGTCTTCAGAGACCAGGTATGTTTGTTTGATTGATTAGATTACACAATAATGTATGTATTGAAAGTAATAATAATTATTGCTTTAGTTCTTATCCTGTTGGACAGAAGCATGGATCTGACACCAATGTTGAGTCATTCATGGACATACCAAGCATTAATCCATGATGTACTATCCATGAATCTCAACAGAATCACAATTGAAGTAAGATATACACATACATATTGATATAGATGTATTCTAATGTAAAAAAAATGAATGGAATTAATAGGCAGACCAACACAATGATACACGTAAATGCTATGATATTGAGAGCAAGGATTTCTTTTGGAATAAAAATGCTTCGAGTCCTTTCCCTCAAGTAGCGGGCAAGTTTGTATAAATATCTATTCTTATTATGCTTTAGGCGCAAGCTTAGAGTTTTTTTTTGCTGGTCTCTTAAGAAATATGGATTAAATAATAATCACTGCTATCTAATTAATAGAGGATATTGATATCGAATTAAACAAGTACAAAAAGGACGCTGCCGAGATCACTCGTATTAGTGGTGTCAGCTCTATTGAGGATGTTAACCAACTGTAAGTAATTATTTGTTGTTGCTGGTTTTTACGTATACATATATATATATATATAAATGTATATAAATGTATGTACATATCTATGTATTCGAATGGATAGTATTTAACTTCACATACACACAAAAAGGGATCTTCCTTCAAACACAAAGGTACTAAAGTCTGCAATATCTGCCCTTCCTGAATTGACTGCACGCAAAACAACCTTGGACATGCACATGAATGTAGCCACTTGTCTTCTTAATGCCATTAAGGATCGCCAACTGGATACATTCTTCCAAATTGAAGAAAACATCACTCGTCAGGTAAAAATAAATAAATTATTCTTAAATTTTCTTCAATATATTTTGTTAATATGTGTATATATAACAAACCATTCTCTTCCATATGCACTCACTCACTATGTTTTCTACTACTATAATTATTACTATTAGAACAAGAGCTTGTTGTTGGAAGCTATCAGAGATCCAGAAAAAAAGAACCCTGAAGACAAGATGAGATTATTCTTAATTTATTATCTATCGACAGTTGATGAAGTATCCAAAGAAGACATGGAGCAATATGAAAATGCTTTGGAAGCTGCAGGATGCGAACTTGGACCTTTGAAATATATCAAAAAGTATCTTATATATATATTCTTTTTTTTATAAAAAAAAGGGTTGGATTACAAACAAACTAACGTTTGCGTGTATTTTTCTTTAAAAAAAATGTGTAGAGTACGTGCTTTAATGCGCATGACATCCATGCTGACTTCAGCTCCTCCAACCCAAACTGGATTCTCTCAAAATGATCTTTTTAGAGGATTTAGTAGCATTGGTAACAGAGTAAGTCTTCTTCTTTTTATTTATTTATTTAGATAGTAAATTATATATTAATTAATTAATTAATTAACGAACTGAATGAATGACTAAATGACCAAGTGACCAACTAACTAACTTACTAATTAATAATTATAATAATTATAATAATTGCTCTTTTATTTTGTGTATGTGTAAAAAAACAAAAAAATAGCTTACAGATAAGCTAAAGGAAGGTGCTTTGGGAGGTGGATTTGAAAACTTGTTGAGTGGCGTAAAGAATCTTTTGCCTACTCGTAAGGAATTGGTGATTTCAAAGATCGTGTCCGATATAATGACCCCACCACAAAATGAACCTTCAAAGGCTGATGATTATCTCTTCTTTGACCCTAAACTCGGCAAGAACTCCCGATCACGACAAAAGGTGGCATTTCAGGAGGCAATCGTGTTTGTGGTTGGAGGAGGCAATTACGTCGAATACCAAAATCTACAAGAAATTGCTACGGTAAGAAACAAATAGAGTATGTGATACTTGTTGAATTGAATTCTAATATATATATATATATATAATCTTCTCTCCCCCAAACTATAATGATGATCATGATGTGAAACGATAGCAAAACAACCAAAAGAAGAAGATTACCTATGGATCGACTGATATTTTATCACCTCATCAGTTCTTGGATCAATTGAGAACCTTGGGCAACGAAGCATAGAGGATTAAGTTTATAATATTCTTCGTATTATCATTATATATCTCTTTCGCTTTTTTTTAAAAAGAAAATAAATACAATACAATACAATACAATACAATAAAATAAAATAAAATAAAATAAAATAAAATAAAATAAAATAAAATAAAATAATACTTCTTTATTTTGCAATTAAATGATGATGATTCTAATGATTCTAATGGTGATGCTGGTGATAATTATGATGATAATAATAAAATGACATTTTATTTTTATTTATTTTTTTACTATTGCTTTGATGACCCAAATCCACTGAATCCCATCATTTCTGAAATGTCAGCCGCATCCTCGGGCTCGTCTTCCGCCTTTCTTTTCTTTGCCTCCTTCTTTTGCCTCTTTTTTTCTTTTCTCCGACGTCTCTCTTCGTCCTCTTCTCGTTTCAATTCAGCAACACGCGAGTCAAGATCTAAAAACAGTAAAAAGAATGAGAAACATGGGTCAGCTCGTGTCCAACTCCCCCCAATAACTCTTCTTGTGTTCCTTACCGTACTCCTTCTCCGGTTCTTCTTTCTTACGCTTTAGCATAGCCAATCGTTCCTTTACGGAATCAATACTGGCCCGCTCAACCTTCATTGAGATACCAATATTCTTTTGATCTATAACAAAATATTATAAAGTAATAATAAGAATAAGAATGGTTAGATATTGTATATATATATATATAAATATTTCTTACGCTTTCTGCCATTGATATGGTCAAGATAGTTTGCACTATCTTTTACTACAATATCGCACGCCTTGCAGTAGAATCCAGGTTGTCGTGAGGCTTCACCAGATGCACCACCTTGGACTACAACTGTCTTTCCGAGATTGGCATCTAATACAACCTTTTCTTCTCGGGGCTTCAACAGTTCTCGAGGTTCTTCTTCTTCTTCCTTTTTTCTAATTGGGGGTAATCCTTGTCTTTTTCGCTCGGCATTCTTGGCATGTTCGCGTTCACGTTCTTCACGCAGCTTTGCGCGTGCTGCGTACTCGTCCTTGTCCCATTTCTTACGAAAGTCTGTGTCTTGCTAGAATTCATAAATTATATAAATGTAAACATAAACATGACAGTAGTTGAAAATGAGTTTACCACTCAAACCAAGAATTCAAAAGAGAGAGAGAAAAAAAGTATTTACAGCTTTTCCTGATCCGTATGCACTTGACATTAGGAATTGTAAATGAAGTTATTGTAAGGAAGAAGGACAAAGTGGACGAATAAACAGTCACAATAAGAATCTGCTCTAAAAAAGGAAATGCTAAAAGTAACAATTCGATTATAAAAAAAAAATTATTTGTTTGAATTTTTAAATTTTTATAAATTTTGTGTGTCAGTTAGTGTATTTGTATGTGAACTGATAATATATAGTGTGATTTTCTCATCCACTTTCATACACACACAATGTAAATATATATATATACATGTAGAAAATTTTGTTTGTAAGTATGCAATAGTAAAAAATCATAGTAAGTTTCTTTCTTCTTTACATAAGCATATTTGTATTATATATATAAAGAAACAGGTAGCAATTGATTTATAGGTTTTGTAATCCATATAAGGTCTTAATCGGTATTTAAAACTTAAATAAACGCTTGTTTAATTTAGTTCGCTATTTAAAGTAAATTGCGATATCAAATAAAGCTCAGATTCTTAAAATAGAAAATGCGTTATTATTTCTTATAAGATAACTTTTATTATACTACTTATTGGCCACCTTTCATTGGATTCAAGTAGTTTTCTACTAAAAATTTTCTAACATATATGCCTCGCATTAATTTATACATACTGTTTAGCTATATTTATATAAAACGAGGCGAGCAGTAAAGAAAAATCTTTAAGTGCAAATTGCTAAGATGTGTCGGCGATATAAATGTTTTATTCGGAATATTAAATATAGTTCACAAAAGAGTTATTTCCGAAACGCGTGGATATTTGACAGTCCGCTAATCTTGCTGTGTAAAAGAAAGAAAAGAAGGAAAAAAGAAAATGAAGTTAATTATATATATCTGTCACTAATTTTCAGGTACTGCTTGATATTTGAACCTTCAGGACAATCATTAACCTTGTATTTTCGAGGCAAATGCCTCTTTCTTTTTCGCGCTCTCTTTTTGTCTCTTTCTCTTTTGATATTCTTTCTTTCTTTTTTTTTCTTCTTTCTTTTGCAAATATATTAAGGTAAATATTGTCTGGTAAGCCAAATAAGGTTTTAATCTTGGACAGTAAGAGATGGGGAAGGAGGGGGAGGGGTGGGGTTTGAAGTTTAAAAAACTATATATCTCTCTCTCTTTTTCTTTTCTTAATAGTATTTTCTACTAATAAATCATTGGTAAAAAAAAAGCAAGATTTTATTTTTAACACAATATATATATATATCTAATGCTCACATATAAAATAAAGAGAAAATATATATAATTAAATTCCAAAAATAATTTATTATCATAATATATATATATATATAGTCTATTTATTTATCTACTTATAATAATAGTTATGTATAAATGTATGTATATATTTCATAATTATTATTACTATTATATATTATTATTATTTTGACTTTCTCTGTGTATCCAAGGCTTCACCATTAACTACGAATCATTTTTGTTTTTTATAAACAGAAAAAATATTTTTGGTCTTTGGCATCAAATGGTAGCACAGTTGGCTGTGGATGGGAAAATGACTCGGGTACGAATGACTTGGTAAATAAATAAATCTATATAAAAAAAATTGGCTTGATTTTTTTTGTACTCCTCGTTTCTCTGTCATTATTTTTATATACATATATCTATTTAATATATATATATATATATGAATGATTATAATAGAATAGCTTGGATAATGGCCTATAGATACAATTTATAAATCTAAATGTTTTTATATTATCTTTATTCTTATGAGTAGCACATCCTATTAAATCCAATTGGTTTATACATTTTTTTATATAAAACAATAATAGTCATAATCTCGGTCCGTTTAATAATCACGCGGGTTAGGTTATGTAGAGCAAAAAAACGATGTGGGACAAATAGAATTTTGTGCTTGCCTTTGCTACACCTCGGGCCGGCCATTTACATTAGCTCTTTCTCTAGAGTCAGCTTTTTAATTTTGTCTATAGCGTGTCTATAGTGTGTATGTGTGTGTGTGCAGTGTGTGATTTTGATTGTGGGTTAAAGACAAACATAGAAACAGAGAAACAGAGTAAAAGATCAAAAGAAGGGTAAAGGAGGATAGATATATATATTTCTTCTGTATTTTTGCATAATTACAAACATGATAATGTATATATTCTCATAGTTCTGTAGAACCATGAATATAAGTCTTTAATGAAATATACATATAGACCTTTAAATTTTTAATTTTTTTATTTTTTATTTTTATTTTTACTTTTACTTTACAACTTAAATCTCTATTCAGAATATGGTTTTGTAAAGAAACACTTCACTTGCTTTTCAGCACGTGGAAGAGCCACGTTGCGTAAAGAATAACAATGACAATTGATGTCTTCCAGATGTTGGATATTGAGAGCAAGACTATGAACTCCATCTTAGCCTAGTCATTTAATGCCTTCGTGTCTCTTAAGTACACGATTAGCAAGGCTTAGGGGGGAGATCACTCTAGAATAGAACTAAAGTCTATTTCTGAGCCAGGCCACTGTAGGACAAGAGACTTTTTCCGTATCCCAAGAAACACATGATGCTCATATCTTTATATTTTAGTTTGGTGATTTGCAAAGCATCTTACTTTAATCTCTTTTTCTCTTTCTCTATCTTTTTTCTCTTTCTCTTTCACTTTCTCTTTCACTTTCTCTTTCCTCTTTTTATTTCTCCAATTATCTTTTTATTTTTATTTTTATTATTAATTTTTCTTTTCTTTTTTTTTTTTTAATTTTTTAATTTTTTAATTTTTTAATTTTTTAATTTTTTAATTTTTTTTTATACCGACTTTTGTGTGTATTATATATTTGTGTTTCAAAACCCCAAAAATTACTTGTTCTAAAATATTATCTATTTATCTTCAAGTAGATACATAGATACTTATTTTACTTACTTAAATACATTCATACATTGAATTAAATTATAATTATAATTATTGTATTTATTTATATATATATACATTTAAGTATTTAAATATACATATACACTTTTAATTATATACGCATGTATCTATGCTAATCAAATCACAAGCGCCTTTATCAAATCGTCGTTCGCGCTACAGTACCACCAAACGTCCCCTAGAAAGAACAATGGTTAATAAAGAAGGAAAGAAGTTTCGCTGGTCTGCATGTTTTGCATTTATTAGCAAGGCAAAACCATTAAAGCGCAAGTCTTCTAAACCCCCCCAAACCAAACCGCTAGTCTGTCACACACCATTGGCCCATGCGCTTGTTGTGCCATTAAACCAATCCTCACATTCAATGCAATCGGTCACTATAATTGGGACAAAAGGTACACACACAAGAAAATCAGGCCACTTAAAAAAAAAGATTTTTTGTATACATTTACATTTACAAAACCCTTTTATTTATTTTTAATTTACTTATTTATATACTTGAAATCATTTTTTTTGTCGATAATCTTACTCAACTATTACTATCTCTAGTAACCACATTACTGACACCGCAGCGTTTCTCCTTACCTACACCAACACACACACCTATTTCTGCTCTATCACCACCACCACGCCACAATCATTTAAAACGCCGTGATCGTACGGCCGCGGCGGCTACCCCTTTGGAATCCCAACCATCGTCCCAACCAAAGCCAATACCTCTGAATGGTCTTCGGCTGTCTCTTAATGCGGAACTCGATCACGAAGATGCCAAATCAGACTGTCATCGTCATTCAGCCCCAATCTCAACCAAAAGCGATTGTAGTAACACGCCAAAGACTCTCAGTAGAATATCAAGTACGCCATCCCAATTCTCGGACAAGCCTTTTTCAAGTAACACACTAGGTCTCAAATCAAATTCTCGGCGGAAAGAACAGCAACAGCAGCAACAACCACCACTACCAATACCATCACCGATACCATCACCGATACCATCCCCATCACTATCACTATCACTATCATCATCACCACAGCCACCACAACCACCACCATCATCATTATCACTGCCTGAAATTCCACTCGACACACCAACCAATCCATTGCCACTCAAAGAACGCCGTCGCAGACGTAGCCCGCTAATGATTCCTGACGATGAACGCCTCACACTCAAAAGCCTCGAATCGAACCTCACGGTCAAACAACCCAAACCAAAACACATCGAATACGAAAAAAAGAAGCAGGAAAACGATCTGGCCTGGCGCCAACAGATCCTTCACCAGTCTCTCAAGTATTGTTTTGAAAAGATCCACCGAAAGCAACCCAGTCTGTCAGCAAAGCCAACCAAACAGTCGACCAATACATCGGCTACGATACAAAACTCCCGGATTTCTTCTTCTGTTGGTACTGCTGTTGGTACTGCTACGTCTAATGTAGATAATATCCATATTTACGAGTCTCAGATACGCGTTCCTCTTTCGGCATCATCTTCTAGCTGTTATACTCAGGGCGGAGGAAGTGACATCGGTCGGGACAAGGCCCAATATGAAGCAGTCGTGGCCCAGACAATGCACCGCCGACCAAAGGGTCACGATGGTCGCCGCAGGACCCGGTCTGACTCAACACCGGTTGTGAACATGAATGGAAATGTGGTAGAGGATCCCTTGGTAGTCGTGGTTGCGACATCGACGGAAAACAAGGAAATTAACCAAACAAAGACTAGTAGCCTTCAAATCATTCGTGAACACCATCATAATCATAATCATAACCATAATCAGCATCATCATCACCGTCCGTCTCGTTCCATATCCCCACAAACAACAACTACGTCAATGTCAATGACTGGAACAGCAACAATTCCTCAAAGTGCCCGGACCCCTTCTCTAATCTACGATCCCTCCTCGCCTAGCTCTATTGAGTCTACGGTTGACAATGATTACTTGGATGGAAAACAAGATACCCTTTTGCCTTTTGCAGAGAATACCTCTTAAAAATATATACATAAATATATCTTCTTCTTCTTCCTCTTCTTCTTTTAAGCCTGGTGCTACTTTCTTTCTATTTGCTTATATAATTTTTTGTATGTATTTTCGTTTTAATAATAGTAATAATAAAGAATATCAATTTTGATAAGCACACACAAACCTGGTGTGTATAAATATAGTACAATATAAATATTGGGTTTTCTTTCTTTCTTTTTTATTGAGAGAACAGTGTTCTCATTGCATATGCAATTGACTGTCATTTAAATTAAACAAAAAAGGAAAGGGAGAACAAAGACAAAAAAAGAAAAAAAAAAAAAAATGAAGAGGGGGTACAAAGTCTAACTTAGCAACCGGTGAATTTGTGCGCTTTCTAAATAGCAGTTATAACATTTACCTAAACCCCAATACAAATTACAAGAAGAAAAGGTAAGAAAATAACTAAAAAGAAAACAAGCCGTATTATCAATATGTGCACTAAATGGAGTGTATCGTAATTAACACAAACATATATGAAAAGTACGAAAAGAAAAGAAAACGTAAAACGTAAAACGTAAAAGATAAAACAAATCTGAGGTGGATTAAGGGAGAAAAGCGCAAGTACATAGTCAAAGACGGATTTTCTTTATAGTGAAAATCCCATTTTCCAAATAAAGCAAACAAAAAGATATATAAATGTTATATCACAGAAAACGTGAATAGCAAATATATGACCACGGAAATAATTATACAATTTATTCATTTTATTATGGAGGTACCGAAAAGAAGGGGCGAAAGTTCGATTATCAGTCAGATGAAATATCACGAATTGGCTGGTAATTTTGGAACGAATACAAAATGAAAGAAAAGAAATAGATTGAAATTACTTGATATATATATGTATATATAATAAAGGAGCTATACAAGACAAGAACACTGGTTCTCAAGTGCACATCATTTGATTTTAGTACAGTGAAAGCAAAACAGCAACTTTAAGCAACAGTAGATAAGAACAAGAGCAATAAACCTGCTTGTACGATAAAGACTTAATTGCAACTTGCAGCACTCATGTCCAGTACCTTTCTCGTTCTCTTCTTGTTCTTTTTTTATTTTAATTATTATTGTTCTTCGTTCACGTTTTGACATACCTGTCACGTAACTTGTCAATTAACTCTTTGCAACAGTATTATGAGAGTAACTGTACAAAGTGTGCACAGCTTGCTGACTATGACTATGACTATGACAATATCCGCACAATTATTGTCAAGATTTGGTCTCATAATGTGGAAGGTTGTGGTTTGGAGAAATAAACTCAGGCAATAGTTCCAAGAGATAAGGAGAGAGGGGTGGGGTTCTTTCTTCTTCTTCTTTTACTTCTTTTCTCATATTTCTACTATATTCCCTTCAGCAGCAATAATCAAACCCGATATATCCTACCACTGATTTTCTTCTTTTAAATATATATATATCTGGAAAAATTTGTGATGTCTGTGTCAATTACTGTTCTCGTCAATAATGATCATTGTCCCCCCATCAAGCAGTCAGGCAGACAGTCAGATCTTCCCAGCTCCAAAACGGGGGTGGGGGTGGAGAGAGAGAAAGAAAGATGGAAGAACATGTGACAGCAAAGAAAGTGTCAGCCGCTAACCTTCACGACCGTCATGGAAATCCTGACCTTGTTTGGAGAACAGGACTCCATTAAAGTACTGTACAACAAAGGTTTAGACCGACACCTCCGAGATTTTATATAGAAAAGAAAATATTACAACCTTTTGGTTTGCCTTAAAAAAAAGCCGACCAGGAAGTAAAAGAAAGAAGAAAGAAATTGATAGTTTTGTTAGGGTATAAGTCCATCATTTTCTTTAATTGCAATTAACAAAAGAAATATATGTTTCTTGAAAATATTACGAGGAAATTATATGGCCTGTGTAATTTGTTTCTTGTTCATTTGTTTTACAGTTTGTACACAATTGTACACTTAATTGATAGCGTTGTGGAATGTCAATGTTCATTGGCTTCCAACACCATGAACACAACGTATATTATCAAAGACGTACATATTTTTTGATAGTTCCGTTATTAAAGAAGAAGAAAACAAGTTCAATGCGCAAATAAAATAATGAAAATATTAATAATTTTGAAATATATATCTATATGTATATATAGATTCTAAAGAGGCGTATCATTCACTTGACCTCCTTGTTCTACATAGTCCTGATAGTGCTTCTTAAAACTGGTCAATACACTCTCCGGAGTGGCATTCTGAGAATAGCAATCCAAGAAGACACCCTCTGGACTCATAAGATAAAAGAAGATCGAATGATCAACCAGGTAATCATCATCCTCTGATAGAGCAGGAGGAGACGATACATAGACACGGAATAGTTTGGCAACCTTTTTGATCTCTTCTTGGCTGCCAGTTAAGCCAATTAGGTCTGGGTGGAAATCCTTTACGTACTCCTTGACAATGGGTGCGGTATCACGACGAGGATCACAAGTGATGAAAATAGGTACGAGTGCATGTTCTCCCAATTCTTTATCTTTCTCTGTTATTATTATTATTAGTATTATTATTGGTATACATGCATATAATTATATTTGCTTACTTGTTGCTTCTACTACTTCTGACATTTTATCCAATTCTTCAGGACAAATATCAGGACAATGGGTAAATCCAAAATAAATCAAATGGAAACGACCACGAAGACTTTCTGAATCGAATTCTTCGTTGTTTGCTGCATTTGTCAGCTTAAAGGGTCCGCCGAGCTTTGGTTTTCCATACGACTTTGACTTTTCCTGTATCTTCTTTTCTTCACCTATATACACATATATACATTTAAGAAGTTAGAATTGACCCTTATTATACAGAATAATTAAAGGCACATACGTACATACATATAGAAAATATTTCTTTTTAATACTTACGCAGCTGAATTGATTTCTTCTTTTCACGATCAAAATAGATCAATGTGGCAATACCGGTACCAATAAACACCGTAGCTGCCTTCCAGGTAAAAGGCTATATGGATAGATAGATAGATAGATAGGCATGTATATTAATACAAGTACAATTACAAATATACACACACACATATATATATATATATACATATACATATGTGTATTCGTTTATTATTTTTCTTTCTTTTTTGACGTACGCCAATAGCAGACTTTGTGCGCATCTTTTCTTCAGTGGTGGCATAAAAGCGTCTTGGAGCAAATGTTGCAGGTAGGCGATTCTGACTGGCCTTTTGGAATGATCTCGACAATGAACCAAGATTCTACTTTTTGTTGGGTTAATATGAATGGACTCTGAATTCCGATTTTGTTGTGGATTACTTGCTCCAAGATTAACGCGAACAAAACGAGAGGTCATTCTGATGTCTTTAGTATCAAGTAAAGGAAATCAAATGTAGAAATGTAAATAATACAAAAAAATATGAGGTTTACTGTCGGAGGCAAATACACGCTTTGCACACTCACAAATAGTATTTGACCCTTGAACATGGCAGTCATGTAATGTCAATAATAATAATAATAATATTAATTTTATTAATAATATCTATCTATCTATTTATCTATTTATTTATCTATGCAAATATCTTTATACATATACAAGTCTTTATGAAATATAGTAATAAAACAATCAATAAATCAATATTGACCGTGAATACAAGAAGTCAATATTCGCACTTTTCTCTCTTTCTCTCTCTACATGTGTACAGTGTGTACAATATGTACAGCATGTGTGTGTGTGTGTGTGTGTGTGTGTGTGTGTGTGTGTGTAAAGTGTGGCTATTGGACTACAGATTGTACTCAATCTCATTTGGATTTCTTTGGAGTCTTTAGGAAGTAGGTTTAACAATAAGAATAGAAATACAAATAAATAAATAAATAAATAAATATATAAATAAATAAAATGATGTTTTGCGTATATGACTATATTTGTGTTCAATTGTAACAGGTTACAAGAGCCATTTAATGGCCTGATTTGACCCATATCTCACTCACTAACGTATTCACTTATTCATTCATTCTCCCCCAAATAAAAATATATACAGGATTTTACTCTTAATTGGTACGATTTGATTTTTTTTTGGTACTAAATATTTTAGGAACTAACATGGATTACATTAGCTATATACCTCCAAGCGACTACTATATTATTGACAATGAGTCCGAAGAACAAATTGAAGATGTAGCCTATCAACACGGCGACATCAAAAAGATAATTAACTTTGACACAATTACTGAAAATTTGAAAACTATATCAATTGATGACGACAAGAGAAAGTACAAGAAGTACATCCCCGAGAAAGTCCGTCAGTTTATACAGATAATGCAAGACAAAGACACTGATATATCTAAAGCGTTAGGATAAATCTTTGTTCATACCCGTTTTTTTCATTTCGTAATTGGGATTTCGTTCAATACTTGTTGTGCTTGGTAGTTGGCTGAAGGTTCGACATTTGTTGGTAAATTGATTGATTCTGGCATAGTTGGGCTGGGGGAGGGGGGACCTTGTAGCAAATATTTTGAGATACATTAGGCTGGGTAGTGCGCGCCATCCAAGGAATATTGCTTGATCATTTTTATGTCTGGATCATCTTGCTCCAGAGCATCAATAATTCTTTTAAATCGGTTGCCTGTGTTGTTGCAAACATCCAGTAATACATGCACCGTTTTTTTTATTTCATCTGTACTGATTTGACTATCCAAAGCTTACTTGGAGACTGCCTTTAACACCTTAATAATCGGGGCACCTTTCTTCTCTGATCCAAGTAGTGGCTGTTCTTGCTTGCTGAGTACATATTCAATGGCAACTAGAGGTGACAAAGGTGTATCCAGTAAGGATTCTCTGATCGTTTTTGGACCCAGAAAATATGCTGCTTGTACCCAATGTTTCGACAGAAAAATCTTCATATAACTTGTGGCATCTACGTCCACCATACCTTCATGATCTGCTCCAGAGATAGCCTCTGTAGGATACCTCCCCATAACATACGACATTTCCACAACCGCATTCTCGCCTTCTTTTGCCATCACACGTTCTCTCTGGTAGAAAATCCTTTGGAAAAGGGTCCCAACCGCTGAGTTTGTCTTCAACCGCACCTCATCTTTCCTCCCCGATGTATTCGTAGCTAAGGAAGTGGCTGCCATACATAGATCTTATGACCTCAACACCACCTAACTAGCGTTCATATATTTTTCTTTGCCTTTCCGTAATTTTATCTTCTTACAAATTCCACTTTCAAGGATCGTGCACTGTGTGTGTCGGCAGTATTCATAAATACAAAAAAAAACCAATCGTACCAATTAAGAGTAAAATCCTGTATAAAAATTGCGTAAATAAATATCCTGTGTAATCGAAAGCAAATAACAATAACAAAAATATTATTATCTTTTGTTACTAGTTTGATTTTGATATTGTTCATATAAAAGTCATTGGATTCCATTATTGTTATTCTTATTCTTACTTTGTTGGAATCACAAAAAAGAAAATAAATGTTGTACAATAAATGCCAAACAAAAAAAACCTAAAAATCAGAGTATCTTCTTATTCGCACAGACACAAAGAGAGCACAAAGGACATAAATGAACCATCAAATAAGAAAAATGTTTAACGAGAAGTCTAATGATTTTTCAAGTTCATTTGATATATAAATTTATATAGCTATAGAGCCAAGCGATCTAAATAAAATATAACATATGGACATTTATACTCATTTGACTTGTAATCATGTAAGTATTGAAAGAATCAAAGAGCTGGTACTTTATTTTATCTTAAAAAAAAATTGTTATGAATTATCTCAATCATTAAATGTCAACAAGGTTTATTTAACAAACTGAAAAGTTTGCTGACCAAACACAAGACACAAGACACAAGACACAAGACACAGTCATATTGTCTTTTAATGTAGTCAACTCTTTTCTATTATTTTTAACGTTATTATTTTAGTGTGGATATTAAAGATAGTATATCAAGTCTAAAGAACCTGTGCTGGGCAGCTTTACACATAAACGACCATATAAATGACCATATAAATATCCACATACATATACATAATTATACATGTATTTGTACCTGTACATCAAATATCCAGTGAACAAAAGAGCAAGTAGTGCTGTGTAGATTGTGTAATAATAATAATAATAATAAAAGGGCAAAAACAGAATTATTAGCAAGATAAGATCCCTCTGTACAATCAACCAATTCGTTTTTGATTTTAAGATTTTAACTCTAGTGAAATCTTGTTTCATTTAGCCTGTCTCTTTGTGAGTACAGATTTATGGTTTCCCCCTCTTTCTATATATATAAAAAATAAGCACCCTGTTCCCACACATCAGAAATAAAGTATATACATATATGTGTGTATCTATTGTGAAAAAAAAAGTCGGCTGATAGATACAGAGTAGAATTAAGAAGCAAGCTGAGGTATGAAATCCCAAAGTATATTAACTTACTCTCTTTACCTAACATACACACACAAATTTACACGCATGAATAGTAATACAACGTAAATTTGTAAACCCTTTCTAGGTATACGTGGCGTACTATAAAGCTTGATTAGAGTTTCTTTATATCCAATACTTGTATGGTCTGCTTTGAGGTTACCTATGTTTGCACGTACATGTACAAGTCTATCATTATTAAGATAGTCAAGAACAAGCCTGATTATTGATATTGATAATAAAGCTGCCCACAAAAGAGCCCTGACTCAAGTAGCGCTTTGGTACCAATGTCTCTATTGATTGTGCGTACCAAATAAGTAAAATCAAGAAATAATACTTTAGGTCCAAGATTGATTAATGAGTTGTATTGTATTGTATTGTATTTGGTTTGGTCCGGTTTGCTCTTTATAACAAGTTTTAAATGTGTATATATGTATGTTATACATTTTCTTTGTTGTTGTTGTTGTATACTTTGTAATATTGTTGCTTTACTTAATGCGTTGTCAAAAGAGTATCATTATTTTGCTTCCAGTAAATAAAGTCTAATTAATGTACGATTATCATTATCATTACTGTATTATTAAAATATAATGAGTGATGTCTAATTAATAAAAGAAATTACAAAAAGAATCTCTCATTTGGATTTGTGCTAAATAGAGCACCACTTTATTCTGTTACTTGTAGAAACAAGAGGCACTGAGTCTTAGTCCATGCAAAACAAAATACACTTTAAAGAAAAACAATGATCCAAACCCAAGTCAAAAATCTAAACTGCCTCCACAAAAAAAAAGGTAAACCAAATTGAAAAAAAAAAAATACGTTTTTGATAAAGAAACATATTCGATGGATAGTAAGATAATCTTAAGAAATGCAAGGATTGTTATCTTCCCTTTTTTTTCAGTTGAATATTCATACATGTATATAAGCCATTAATTTCTTGTAAGAAATAAATAAATAAATAGATAACATTACCTTTAATCTTCAATCTTTTTACTTGTTTTTTTTTTTGCAATTAGAACAATAATAATATGGTTAGAGTACCTAAGCTTGTGTTTGCTAAAAACCAAACTGATATACCTTCAGATAACCAAATCATGCGACTTGATGTTTCTATGCCATCGATTATGAAGCTTTTAGGAAGGCCGTCTATAGTCAATATGGACTTTATATTCCTTGGTGATGGTGTTATAAAGCTAGGAAACCCTAAAACTAAAATAGAAGACGTGGGTTATGTTGGATTCAAGACCAAAGGACTAGATAAATTCCATGCTGAGATTTCACTTGAGAATAGAAAAGTAAGTATAAGACAAAACAAAACAAAGCCCAGACTTTATTCTCGGGAGCTTTATTGATTTAAATTGAAATATAAAATTAGTTTCGTATCAGAGACACGGCCTCTGTCTTGGGTACCTATTTGAATGGAATGAGACTGAGCAAGGAACGCGAAGAATCAAAATGGTTCAATTTGGAGGATGGAGATGAGATTACACTAGGTTACTCCCAAAAGAGTATTTTGAGTAAGTCTAATTAGAATTAAATCAATAATATATTCATATATTGCATCTATCAACTAGAACCATGTAACCACATTTCCATGACATTTGAAGAGCTTAACAAAAACGGATCATATATGTAAGTTCTATGATATGTAAAGACACACATACACATGTTTAGCTAAACATCTTCTTCTTCTTATTATTATTATTAATAATAATATTATTTGCTTTATATAGCCCTACAAAGAAGAAGATGGTAAATCCTGAAACTCTTCCTTTAGCTGAAGATTTTGGAGATCTTATGTTTCCAGAATGCTGTATATGTCTCGAGGATATAAAATACCGCCAAGCTCTGTTGGTTCCATCATGCTCTCACACACTCCATTATGATTGTGCAAGACAACTTATTGCCACTGATCCTGGCTACTTTTGTCCTGTCTGCCGTTCATTCTCGCATCTGTCCATTACCAATTTCTTGACCCCAAAACAAGCCCATGATACCTTGTGTAGTGCCATCCTATAAACCAATTTCACTCAATTAGCTCTATATCTTTAGTATCATATCTTTTTCTCGGTTCTTTCTTTCTTAAAAGCCAAAACACTTGTACTTTAGACAAATGCAAGTCTGGAAACTAAAACAAAGCAAAAATTGTTTTGAGCTTTTATCATTTTTATTTTGGCTGTTATTATTGAACGGTATTGATAATAATAAATTTAATTTTTTTTAATATAAACATATATTATTCCTATGGTTAACTTTAGCCATTCATCAAAAAACCTCCCTATATCCAAATGATCCTTGTCTTCCAAAAAGCCTAATGAATCATACTAATTTTCTATGCCTTTTCTTTTTTACTTTTTACTTTGCTCTGCTACATTGATCCTGGAAATTATTATTATTTTATGAGGGGTTATATTAAACAAGGAGAGTTGAGCCTACACACTCGCGCACACACACACACATGAAAGAAAAGAAAAGTCTTGAAAGTTCAAGGTTTCATTTGAAAGATACTATTTGGCCATAAAATAATCTCTTCAATCTAATGGAAAGGGCAAAGACATAAACACATTTTTTTTTATATTTTCAAGGCAGTTTGGTTTGTTCAATACCCCTTGTTCTCACAGACTTTACTCCACGTGTTTCTGAAAATTGATATTAATGAGGAACATTCGGGAGTTTTGACATATGTTAGTCTAACTAAAGTTCTTTGTTTTGGTTATTGGTCTTTGTACTTATTATTGTCACTAAAGAGGAGTATTGATATACATAAAAAAATTGTTTTTGAAATGGAAACAAAATGATTTACTCTATTAAGAGATATAGTGTATCAATAAATTTCTTTCTCTTTCTTTTTACCTCTATCTCTAGACAGCTTGATAAATGCTCAGAAGGTTTAGCGGTTATTTGTTGTACGAAAATTTATGTATAAAAGAAAAGGATCAAGAGTCTTGGGGTTCACCAACAAGCCTAAAAAAATCAACTTGATTGTTGTTTCTTCTTTGTTTTGTTTTGTTTTGTTGGGAAAACAGTAATTATTACCAAGTAATTGATGTAACATTGTAAATAGAAATGATACTTTGGCAGGTTGTTGTTCTTGTTGTTTAAAAAGAAAAATGAAAACAGAAACCTACTCACAAGGAATGAATTCAGTGCATCATTTTGATAACCTCAAGAAAGAAAGAAAGAAACTATCGGATTTTGTTATTCATGGCTGTTTTCTTTGAGAGTTAAAATAATGATAATAATGATAACCAAGGAAACGGTTTATTACATAGATATTAAATAACGATCACAAAGCTTATTGACATTGTAATCTCATCAGAGTTACAATAAAGACTAGTGCATCACAAATTACGATGAGCTCTTTATATATAAAACAAAATAAAGCAAAACAAGAAATTATATGAGAAAGAACGCAACCATTGCCTTTATTACATTATATATATATATAACATATCTCTTTGCATGTATGTGTCAAAGTACTTACTCTTATTCTTGCTCTTCTTCTTGACCTTGGTTCTTTGTTCTAGCATGGCTAACATTATCGATATCAATAAGCGTGGCGGTGCCTATCTCCGTATCTTGTCACAGGATACGCCTGAAGGAACTAAAGGACCAGCATTTGTGGACCGAGAGTTTGAAAATATCGACCATATTATTATAGGATCGGGCACTACAAAAGAGGTCGAAGGCGAATATGTAACGATACCTGGAGTTACCGTTAGTGAATTCCACGCCCGGATTTTTTTCTTAAATGGATCGGTAGAGTATAGTGAAATACGATATAGCTATTATATATATATATGAATGCCAACCGTCATAATTAGTATACTAACGATTTAAACGCACACACACGCACTTATATAATAGATGTATATTCATGATGTCGGGTCTCAGTATGGGACTTTTTTAAACGGTCGGCGACTAAGTTTATCATACCATAGATCCTCGACACATCTTATCATAAACGGCGACAAACTTCAATTTGGTAGAAAGATGGCAGATGCGAAACAAAGTAAATGAAATATCTTCTTGGCAAAATAAAAAAAGAAAATAAAAAAGAAAAATAAGGACAAGAAATCAAATGATAATAATTTACACTGCATTATATTACTAAATGTCGATTCAATATCATTTCATTTATTTTTTTAAAAAAAAGATACAATCATTGGGACCAATGCAATAGTCGAGCTAAAGACTTATGTGAAGCTCAATAAATTTGAGTAAGTATATATCTTGTCATGTTTTCTTTTCAATGTGCATACAAAATTCAATAGGCCAAATAGACTTGCAGTAATTTAATGTAATGTAATGTAATGTAATGTAATCTATAATACGTATATATTTGTGCCTGTGTACGTGAATGCAACTGAATGTCTTTATGGTTTATTAAGGTTCCAGACTTATTGTGAATTAAGGAAAATCTCGCCTCCTTCTGAAGCCCAAACATTACAGTCATTGATGTCAGATTGTGCTATATGTCTCAATGCTATTGCACCCCTTCAATCACTATTTGTAGCGCCCTGCTCTCACTCATTCCACTTTTCCTGTTCAAAACCACTCCTGGACACGTACCCCGAATTCGAATGTCCTGTTTGTCGTATATGTACCGATGTCCGTGTATACACATCTTCAGATGTCAATACTCTCGCAAATAATTTTAAAATGACCAATATTAACTAAATCCATCCCGTAAATACAATACATACACACGCACTATGATTCCATTCCCTTTTTCTCTCTCTTTCTCTTCATTATATATTTGTATATACACAAGCACACCAAATTGTCAATAAGTAAAAAATATATATAAAACACAATACATTCAGACTACAAAGAAGCACAAACACATACACACACATGTGTCTTTCCATTTTTTTTAATTTTATCAAAAAAAAAGAAACATAGAAAGAGAGATAAACCATTGAACAGAATTGAAGATAGAGAAACAGATAGATTGATAAAGAGAGTCGATCGTAATGTATTTCTTTTTCTTGATTGTTTTTTTTATGGTTTGGGAGAAATGATTTACTCCTGGGATCTAAGACGAGCACCAGCGTTGATGACCTTGACGTTCAACTGGGCAGCGCGCTCAATGATGGCAACACGCTTCTTGGAGGAGACGTTGTGGGCGATCTCGGCGGCGTAGGTGCGGTTGTGCATCAACAAGAGGCTGAGCTCACGGACGTTGGAGACGGTGAACTTGCGGAAGCCGTTGGGCAACAAGTTGCGGGTCTTCTTGGCAGATCCGTAACCGATCTTGGGCATGGGAGAGCTACCCTTGAAACGTCTGCGCATGCAGTTATCAATACCCTTGGGCTTTCTCCACGACTCACCAACACGCATGAAGCGGTTGGACTGGTGGCGCTTGAAGGTAGCGGTACGCTTCTTCACGATGGTGTGCTTAACGGCAGGAGTGACCATTGTTGCTAATGATTTCAATAAACAATAAACAATAAAAGGAAGGTAGTAATAGTAATAGAAATTTAAAAATAAAAAATAAAAGATTAGCTGTCTGATTCAATTCCCATGATTGTAATGGAGTATTGGAAATAAAGTCGAGGTTGTGTCATATGTAAATTCTTTAAAAGGTCCTTTTTTTGTGTGTATCTGATGGTTGTGCTTGTTGTCTATGATTATGATGGAGTATTTTGGACTGGTATAGGCTGATGGATGGCATTTTTTGGATGGATGGATGATGGGTTTTCCATAGCTTACCTTCAAACTAATGGATGGATGCAAAGAGGAAGAGCACTAATTCGAAGCCCCGTAAAATTTTAATCGAGGGGTGCTGATTCTCCGCACGCACACATAAATCACACACACACAAAATCACACACACACATTTTACACCCATATAGTGTGAATATATATATATATAAAAAAAAATTAATATAAATTGTAGTCTATAACCAATATACACACACATGGAATTCACATTGTGAATGAATAGGTAGAATACATTACTTTCCTTTCACTAACACCAGGCAATTTAGTAAAATGCTTCTTATTTCTTTTTAATATGTATATTGATATATCCATTTGTATTTTTGGTTGACAGGACAATAAAAATAATAATAAAGAAGTATTATATTATATTATATTATATTATATTATATTATATATATATATGTTTCAAAAAATTGAAACTTTCGTTTTCCCAATAATTTTCTTTGCCGTTTAAAGTTACAAGAAGAGTGGAGTTTGAATTATATTCAGAAATAAGATGTTGTAATAAAAAAAACACAAAAAAAAAACAAAAAAAATCCTTCTTGGCTTTTCCCAATTGTCAGAATTTGGTTGTGAAATATTTTATATATATATATGTATATGTATGTATTTACAAGGTAGTTTGATAATACATATACAAGAAGGTGTATAGACAAAGAGAATTAGATATCACACATTCCTCTTCTTCATGTTCATGCTCATGTTTATGCCCATGTTTCTATAATATAATATAAAAAATAAACAAGAACAAGAATAAATATAGGTTATTCACATAAATATGTTATATTTATATGTTTATATGCAAAATAAAAAAAAAGACAATCAAAAACCCCCAAAAAAAATAAAAAAAATAAAAATAAATGCAGGTCTGGGCAACAGTCTTTCAACCCGCATAGTTACGCTAGTTAACAACCAGGAGAAAAAGGGGTAAAGATAACCATAGTAATAAATGAATAGATAGATAGATAGATAGATAGAGAGTAAGTGAGATCAAGGATAATTTTTTTTTGGGATTTATATTCTGCCCAAGTACAAGTTATTACTAAGAAGAAGAAGAAGAAGAAAAAATAGTGCTATCCATTCTTCCCAATGAGATAATCCGGCACGCTCATTGTGCCGTACCAACGGAAAAGAATACGGTTGTCATTTATATACATATACATAAAGAATAGAAAGAAAAAAAGAGAGTCAATTACACGTGCTTACAAAAGGGAATTCTTGTTTGATCTGTTTATTGAGTTATGTCTTGGCTACTGAAAAGAAGAAGAAGAAAAAACAAACTCGATGTGTCTGTCTTCCCTTATTCGTTTGTACCCTATTGTTGACTAATATTATATACTTATGCATATGAATGTATAAGGGTCTAGTGTAATTGCCCAAGATTTTCTTTATTGCTATGGCTTGTGTTATTTTTAAGATTTTTTTTTTTTAAAAAAAAAGAAGCTTGGTTGACATGTTGTGTGACAGTGTAAAAAGGATATACAATAAAGTAAGGGAAAGGGACAGAGAAAGGGGTAGTGGGAGCTTAAAGGGAGAGAAAGAAAAGAAGACAAGGGATGGGATGGTTCCTACAGTGCCAGTGATAAATTCTTCGGATTGAAGTTTGGAAATAGAGTTAGGAGAAACAACATTTTTTAGGATGATACCTGTAATTGTGATTGTGCTTATTACAATATATCTATACTTATTTATGGTGCTGATCTGTGCGTAACTTGGTTACTAATTTGATTTTTTTTTATTATATTTCTATTATCGATTCCAATGAACACACATCTAGAAGATTTCGCATGTTTCAAAAAGACATACATACGTACACATATATATATATATAATATCTTATAAAAAAAGTATAAAAACTACCTTGATTTATTCCCTTGAATTCAATCGTTTTTTTTCTGGTTTATTTACTAAACGCAAAATGTCTTGTCCTCGCACTCGTCGTAATGCAGTCAGTGGAAATGACGCCAAATTCAACACCCCCTGCGACACAGCCATTGAACCTACTGGTCATCATCGATCAGGACATGGTAGCTGGTCTAGCTTTACCCCACACCTAGCCAGTAAATGGTTTTCTCGGATCAGACATCGATCCTGTTCATCAGGCTCAGGATCAGTGGTCGGCCCAAGTAGCAATCCAACCGTAGAAAAGTCAGAAGAAAAGAATTTATTTGAATGGAATGATTTTGAACGCCACTTTGAGATAGCACAAACAGAGGTATAAAATAATAATATTTTTTTTGGTTATACAACTAATGCATAAATGCGTATGCATATGCATGTGACGCATTTAAGCATAAGATATTGGGTTGATTGTTTTAACCTTTATACCATATATTGCTTCTAGATTGCTTATGCTGTAGAATCCCATGGATCGATTTACTATGAAGAAGATCATATCACTGCACAGACTGCAGTCAACGCATGTGTCGACAAGTACCTTTCTCTCCAACAGGAGCATTCGGACACATCACCAGCAGATGCTCGATGGGCAGGAGAACTTTTACGCCTAAGAGCTCAGTTAGAGCATCTCCCAGTACCATGAGGAACCCATCTTACCCTACCCCTTCTTCATTCTCCTTATATATATATATATTTTCTTCATTCATTCACCATCTCCTTCAGTCAAATCATTTAAACAATTAGACAAAAGCATTCCACTCCCTCTCTGTCAAACAAGAAAATTAGACACTGTACATAAGTTGACTTTTTTTTTTAGAGAAAAGAAAACAAAAAAAAAAGCTGTATATTTCTTCTTTGATTTTTTTCTTTTTTTTTCTTTATACATATATACATAAAACGTTTCAAATTCTTTGCTTTTTTTTCAATTTTCTTTTTCGTTTGTTTTGTTAAAGTACAGACACAAATACAGATAAATGTTTATTATTATTATTTTTTTGTTACAATACCTCCCCTTCTTCTTTTCTTGATTTTTTTTACGATGATATTAAAATGAATAAGTGGCCTTCAAGCGATGACGAAGATGTTCGCCTGCTGTCATGATTGGTTTTTTCTTGGTCTCATCTTCTGATCCAGCAGCAGTATGAGGAGGCACAATGCTGCTCGGAATTGGTGTCAACAAGACACCGTCCTCGGGATGCACAAAAAAGGGAATCGAGTAACGGTCGAGATGGTTATGCTCAGGTAAAAAGGTTACTCGGTGAAGAGTCGATTTAAACAATCCGTTGGTCCAAAACTCCATCAGATCACCAACATTGACAAGCACTGCACCGTCCACCAGGGGTGCAGGGATCCATGCAGCCCGGCTTGCCTGGACTTCAAGACCCGGGACGTCCTTTTGGAACAAAAGTGTGAGAGATCCGTAATCAGAGTGAGCGCCTGCTCGCACGGGCTCTTTGTAGCTAACTTCTCCTCCACGAGGATACTTGAGGAACCGTAGCACCTGTCCAGATTTTCGGTTGTAGTGATGTCGGTCCTTGAACCAGTTTCGACCACCTTGATCTTCTGGAATCTATACATATGTAAATTATATGAGTATAAATATATATATATATATTTATGTGTATGTGTATTTATGTATATTATTTTCACAGTCCAATTCAATTCAATTCAATTGTTAAAAACAAAAAAATTTCAAAGACTCTTATTTTCTGATGATTATAATAATAATAATAATAATTAATTTATAAGTTTTACCTCGAGTGCAATCGCAAAGGCTTCCAACACACGCGCCGATGTTTCCTGACAGGCGTAGGAGAATGCCTTGACAGCTTCTTCACGCTCCTCAAAGAAGGCTGGCAAAGGAGCATAAGCCTTTCCGTCGATGAAGTTCTTAAAATTGAACCCTCTAATAAATCAAAAAAAAAATTAAAAAATAAATAAATATAATCTACTATTCTCTATTTATCTCTGTCTTTTTCTAAAGAATGAAAGAATGAAAGAATGAAAGAAAAAAGACCTCCTTTACTTACTCTTTGTGATCACCTTGACGTTGGTTATCAGGATCAAGGCTAGAATATTTTTTTTCAGGATCCAAGAAAAACAACAGTCAGAATATGATATGATATGATGTGTGTAGGCCAAGCTTTAATCAAATGATTCTTCTTACGTTTCACTATAAAGTTCTGAATAGCCGTAATTGTCTTCTTTGATCAGAAATTTCCTTTTTTCTTCAGATGGGAGGTCAAAATAACCCTTGGCCTACACAGAAAAAAAAAGAAAAAGAAAAGAAAAGATATTTAGTAAACCAACAAACAAACATATATATATATATATAAAGATATGCAATCGTCTTTGGATAAACGAGTTTTTACCATTTCAAATGCATTATCTACTTTGTCCAGGGGGATACCATGATTTGTCATGTAAAAGAATCCAATAGACTTGCAGGCATCAAGTACTTGCTGAGCCACCTTGACAGGTTCTTTGTCAAATGAACCAAAGTCAATGATAGGTAGTTTGTCAAGGGTTGCCATGTCAGAGTTTTTGAATAAACAAAGATAGATATATATAAAAGGAATTAAAGAAGTGTAAGGCACAAAGAAGAAAGAGAAAGAGAAAGAAAACAAAAAAGAAAACAAAAAAGTGGCCTGGTGGTTAAATGATATATAGCTTATACAATGCTATATTTCTCTGCACTCTATAATTTGCACACCAAATAAAGAAATAAAGATGCTTTAATACAATAGTTTAATTCATGTATCTTTTGTTACTATATTCTTCTCCTCTCTATGGCCCGATAAAGAAATAAATAAAAAAGAAAGATAGATAGATAGATAGAGATGGTGCAGATAGCCTGACTCAAGAGTTGGCGCTACTTTAATACTTGAGTGTATACAAACAATAATATATTATAAAACAAGGGCATCTTTATCAATCACCACCAAATAAATATATATATAGTGATACCGTTTGACAAAAGAGATAAGCTATTAATATATTTATGCAACATTCACTAAAGATCAACTTATATTCTGCTTTGTTTCCTATAGCCACGATGTCTCGAAGCACTGTTTTTTTTTTGCTTGTATTTATCTAATGCAAAACCTATTCATGACTCATAAATAAAACCAATTATAAAATAAAAAGAAGACATATACACATTCACACGCATATTCACACACAATTCAAAATCAAATTTCAAATTATTAAATAAATACAATATAAATACAATATAAATATAAGCGGATATTCTATTCTATTGTATTTTATATACAGTACAATATAATATAATCTCCTTTGATAAACTTCTTTAACCTACTCTTTCTTTCCTTTCCTCTTTTGCCTCCGTTAATACATTTCTTTAAATAATAATAATAATACCATTGTTTACATTCTCCACAAACCTCTTTTTCATTTCATTTTATTTTTAACATTCATGTCAAATCTATCAACCTTACTAACCGAGGCTGTGAATCAGACAATATACTATTGGAGACTACCTGAGACCTATGATATCCTACTTTTAATCTACAAGAGCTTACCGGCAATCATGACTCCGCTTGTATGCATTGTTAATGCACCATATGGTAAAGCAGAAAAAAAAGCAAAAAAAAAGAAGGGGGGGGGCGAGGGAGGGGCTGGGGGAAATGAGGGGAAGGAAAAAGGAAGAAAAAAAAAGGGGGTGAGGGTAAGGGAGAAAGAGAGAGAGAGAGAAAAAGAAAATAAAGAGAAATAAATAAATAAACAAACAAGTTGTAAACAATTCGTTGCCAATGGAAACCGTTGCCAGAGTAACTGTTACTATGGTAGCAAATTTCACCAAGGCAACAGTTTCCTAGACAACCACAACACAAGAAACAACGAAACCAAAATAACATATTTAAATTTGATAAATATTATCAATTGTAATGATTGAATGATTGATGTAAAAACAAAAAAAAAATGAATATATAAATATACACAAATATATTTATATAGGTCGGTTTTCGGGTCAATTCTCTAGCCCGCTTTCATTGAAAGTGACTTTCTCTGGTCGTTGGAGTTGGTGTCTAATGGAGGCCGTCTCTCCTGCTGTGTTCCTCACAAGTGTCTGGTTGTGTTCACCATCCCCCTCACTGCTCAACTTGTCAATGTCACAGATGGTATTGACATCGCTGTGGGTTGTGCATTATGTCAATCGCAGTATTGTGTATTCCTGGAGAGCACCTTCTATAGCACCCATTCATCTGCTGGTTTCGGTTTCGGCAGCGTGTTTTAATATTTTGAATGGATACGTGAATGGGGTCTGGGTGGCAAGACATCATGACCTTGACCTTAATCCAAATTTAACAATGACGGTCTGGCGCTGGGTGGGCGTAGGTATTTTCGCAACAGGGTTTGGACTCAACCTGTACCATGACTCGATTTTGTTTGACTTAAGAAAGTCTAAGAAGAAAGAGTCCAAGGATAGTAATCCAGAAAAGACACACGATTATTCGATTCCTTTTGGTGGACTATACAGATATGTGAGTTGCCCAAACTATCTATCTGAACTGATCGAGTGGACCGGGTTTATGATTGCTGCTTGGCCGAGTACCCCAGCCATGGTATTTGTGTTGAGTACTGCTGCCAATCTCATCCCGCGTGCATGGCGCACACATGCATGGTATAAGCACCAATTTCCGGACTACCCGGCCGATCGAAAGGCCGTGATTCCTTTTGTGTTATGAAAAATATGTACATAATTCCCCATCCCCTAATAATCATAATAAAGAAGTAATCCCTTGTTCAAAATAAAAATAAAATATATAGGGTTTATGTATCATTACATTTGTTGTTGTTGTTGATGTTGATGTTGATGTTTTTGTTTGTTTTTTTTTATCTAGATCTATCTTTATTATGATTTTTTTTTAAAACAAATAAAAAAAATAAAATAACAAAATTATTTAATTATTTTCTTTTATAAGCTCTTTTGCGGGTTGGTTGACGGTAGTGGCGGTGCTGGTAGTAGTGGTGCTGGTATCTTGTGTGATTGTTGATTCCTCTGATTTCTCTTTTTGCTCTGTTTCCGACTCCTTTTCTTTATCAGCCTTTGCTTTTGATAATCTTGGGGTCGAGTGTCCTTCGAGTACCCGCTTGGTTCTGTAGTAGTGGTTCCAGATATCCTTGGGATACCGCTTGCTATTCATCATCTTACTGACCTTGACCATGTCACCGTGCTTCTGGTAACCATGATAAAAATCCAACTCTTCTTCAAGTGTCCAAGGGGACCGGTCAAACTTTGGGTTAAGTATGGCATTATAGTGTTGGGAGATGTGACGAGGAGTCCGCTTGATCCCCGTTGCTTTCTGAATCAAAAGGAAATTGGTATTTCCGTGCTCCTTGATGGCATCCATAATAAGCTTGTCTTCCTCATCTGAATATTGACCTTTTTTTTATTTTATTTATATACAAAGAATTTTTTTTTTAATAATAATGAATATATTTGTATTTGTATTTCATTGTATTTTTTTTAAAAAAAAAAACCCCCCCAACCAACCATGTAAATAAAGAAATTAAATTGAATAAATAAACAAATAAAGAAAAAATTGGGATACCTTTCTTAATATCTGCCATTTGCCACTTCCAGCGTTCTAGACACTGACGTTTGGTACGCGTTTTGAATTCATTGCCAATTGCAGTCCAATTATTAGGGCCATGTTTTTCAACAAGCTGAGTCAGCTTGGCGCTTTCTTCTTCAGACCATTTTCCATGTTTGATAGTTGGGTCAAGACTGTATATCCAAGTCTGTTTGATGATAGGAATCGGACGACGGAGGGGCAGCTGGTCTCTGATTTTGACCCAATCAACGTCCTTGGCATCTCCAACGAGATCTCGCAAAAGATCGAGTTCTTCTTTTGACCATGGACCTAGGAATTGCGAACCTTTCATGGTCAGGCATCGCTGTTTGATGTGAGCCGGAGATCGCATGTCAAAGTGTTTGGAAATCTCTGTCCATCTTTCACCATAGATTTCAATTAGCTTTTCGAGTTTTAGTTGTTCTTCTTCGGTCCATGAGCGACGGAAACGACCAAGAGAGGAAGGATGAGTAGAAGTAGAAGTAGAAGTATTGTTGGTAGTAGTGCTAGTGTTTTGAGATAATTGTTCTGGTGGAACGATTGGCGGAGCAGTGTGTAGCGGCTTGACAAGTCGTGCGACAGAGGAAAATGGAAACTTTATTGGACTAGTTCGTAAGTGAGCTGCCAGAGGACGTAGAGAAAACATGATTAAGAAGTTATTAAACAGAGCATGATGAGTGAATGGTTGAATGTGACGTTAAAGAGTATATTGTGACTTTTTTTTTTATCATTTGCTTTATTAAGTTTTTTTTTTTTTTTGCTTTATTATGCTCTATTTTTTTGTTGTTGGTTCAATGATCTTTGTAAAATCATGTGAGGGTTCTTATGGGTCAATGCATCCTGCGAGTTGAGCAATTCGATTGAGCTGTGCAAGACCAGGTTAGAACAGACCAGGCCAAAACAGATCAAATCAGGCCAGGCCAGGCCAGAACAGACCAGAACAGACCAGACCAAACCAGACCGGATTGAATTGAATTGAGTTGAGTTGAGTTGAATTGGATTAGGTTGGATCGAATTGAATTGAATTATAGAATTGAATAGTTGAATTGAATTGAATAATTGAATAAGTGAATTGAATTATAGAATTGGATCATATTTTGTTTTCATTGTGAGCATACCAGTGAAACAAGAAAGACCAAAAAAAAAACAAAAAAAAAGAAAAAAAAAAGCTATAAAAAAGCTATAAAAAGTAAGGGTTGGGACCATCCGATGTCTTATCATTTTAGCCCTTCTATATTCCCCTCCTTCTTCATCCTACCCCCTCCCTTTCTCTTTCTCTCTCTTTCTCTCTCCTCTTTTGATTTGATTTGATTTGATTTGATTTGATTTCTTTCTTCTTTTCTCTCTCTCTCTCTTTCTTTCTTTCTTTATTCTCTCACACCCCCCCCCCCTTCTTTCTATATCTCATATATTTATTTTTAATATTATCTTTACTATTGTTGTACAGACACATACATATTAAATACATAAATATAAATATTCATTATCTATTATTTATTTTTCTATCATTCTCATTTCATATCTTCTTCCTTCTTCCTTCCTTTTTTCTTTATCAAATATATATATATATATATCAAATATCAAATATCAAATATCAATAGCAGTAGTATTACTATTACTATCACTTGCTAGTATTTTCTTCAAATATATATATATATATATATAAATATATATAAAAGAAAGGGAATCGACTGTTTTTATTTTCTTTTTCACAAAGGATATTCTTGGCTTGTAATTCTATAGAGGTTTTATAATGACCGTATTAGAGGGTAAGAATTTTTTTTTAAATTTTTTTAAATTTTAAATTTTGTTTTGGCTGTGGTATTTCAGAAATATACAAATTCTTTAAAAATATATATATATATATATATTTATATACATAGAGCAAATGCTGTACATAGTATACATAAACACGCACATTACATTGCTGATACTCTATTCCTACATATATATATATATATATATATATATATATATATAAATGAATGAATGTGTTTATACATAGTCTATCCTTATTTTATCCAATTACCCGAAGAACTCCAAATCAAGATTTTTGGGGCTCTTCCAATCCAAGATCTTGTACAGGCAACAACAGTAAGTAATGATTAATATTTAATTTATAATTCTTGTATATATATATATATGTATATTAAGGATTCTTTATTGATTTATTGATTGATTTTATTGATTTATTGATTAATGCTATTAATGCTATTGATACTATTGATACTATATAAAAAAATATATATTAATCTTAAATATTAAAATTAATATTAACATTAATGTTAATGTAAATGTTAATGTAAATGTTAATAACATTAGGTGTGCCATGCATGGAGAAGACTGGCTTACGATGGTAGTCTGTGGACAAGTATTGACGTTACAATATTCTCCAACATCATTCCAGAAGACCAACTGGTGCAGCTTGCAGTCAATGCAGGCACCTTTCTCAAATCCATTAACCTTCGGTGAGTAAAATATAGAAAGAAAGAAACAAAATTATACATACAGATACCTACAGATACCTACAGATAGATACAGATAGATACATACAAAATTTAATAACCATATGCCTATTTCTCTCTTTCTTTCTTTAATTCAGTGGCTGTTCTCATTTAAATGGCTATGGACTGCGATCGCTGGCGGTGGCATGTCCAAACATTCAAGTAGTTTACCTCAAGGACTGTCGAGGTCTATCGACCGCAAGCATAGGATTCTTTCTTCAACTCATCCCGTCCGTGTGTGTATTAGATTTGAGTGGATTAGATAGCGTGAGCGATGGAATACTCCAGACCATCGGGTCACACCTACCCACCCTCGAAAAACTCAATCTGGCATGGTGCCGGAAGATCAGCGGAAAGGGCATTCCTGCACTGGCCGAGGGCTGCACAATGCTTAGGCACCTCAAACTTAACGGATGCACTAATCTGGACGAGCGGGCAATGCACAGTCTTGGAGAATTACCAAACCTCACGCACCTTTGCCTGACCTCTTGTGTCAGCCTAAACGACACCTTGCTCCTAAAGTTCCTCAGCCGCTCAACTGCTCCTCTGACTCGCCTCAAACTCTCCAGATGTGCTCTGCTGTCCGATATCTCCCTTCGCAATCTCGCCTTGCACTCCACAAAACTCACCCATCTTGAACTCGCCGGCTGCATTCTTCTGACCGACCAAGGCTTCTCCTTTTTGGCCCCACGGATCACCGGACTTGTCCACCTTGACCTCGAAGAACTCCTACACATCACTGCTCTGACTGTCAAGTCTCTGGCAAATCACCAGCCGAACCTCAGGCATCTCTGTCTCTCAAACTGCACCCAGATCGGAGACGACGCAATCACCCATCTCGTACTTCATGGCATCTGCCACAACCTCAGTCACTTAGAACTCGCCAACTGCATCGTCACCGACACCACTCTCCAAGCGATCGCAGGCCACCTCACCAAACAAAAGCCATCCACAGACTCCAACTTTTCTTTCCAAGACACCAATACTGCCGAGCGCAACTTTAATGTCGAGGTCTTGGATTGTTCAAATATCACAGAAACCGGAGTACGAACAGCTCTGGCCAAGGCAGGTCCTCTCCTTACAATCAAAAGTTTCTATTTAAGGAATAATGAAGAAGGACAGGAGAATCTCAACAGCAACAACAACAACAACAATATTGGTAATAGAGGAGGAGGCTTAGGCTTGGGTATAGGTTTAGGTGAAGGCGGCGGTGGTGGTGGTGGCGGTGGTAATGGTCGTCGATACAATTCTATGGGGCGACAACGGCGACAATTGATGAGTCCGCGTCCAAGCTCTTCACCAAACTGCATAATTCTCTAATAAACAGACTACACACACACATATATATATATATATTATATTATATTATATTATATTATATTATATTATATTATATTATATTATATTATATTATATTATATTTATATTGATTTTATTTTTTCAAAAAAAAAAGCATTGGATTGTGTGTGTGTTTAAGTGTAGGTGTAGGTGTAGGTTGTATTTTATATGCGTGTTGTATTGTGTTGTGTAGGTGTGATATATTCCTTTCTTGAATTTCTTGGGATTTTTTTTTATTTACTCTCCAGCCTCGTTATTTTCGGCTGCTTGCAATCTGAACCAGTCTATGGTTTCTTCCAATCCTTGCTGCACTCCAAACCGTGGTTGCCATCCCAGATGTTTTTGTGCTATTTCAATCGCAGGCTTGCGTTTCCGGGGATCATCTGTGAGAGCAGGCAGCCTCTTGATGGCAATAGCCCGACTGGGATCCACGATCTTATTGATCATCGTGGCAAACTGACCAATCGTGTATTCTTCCGGATTTCCAAGGTTGACTGGGCTCTGGTACCGTTTGTTCATCAGAAGGATCAAGCCATCAACCAGATCATGCACATATTGGAATGAGCGTGTCTGGTCTCCATCTCCATACAATGTCAGAGGATTTCCTCGAAGCGCTTGCATAATAAAGTTACTTACTACCCTGCCGTCTGCAGGACACATGCGAGGCCCTACATACACATTTTTAGATTTTAGATTTTAGATTTAAGAAAACAATTGAATCATTTTGCTCACAAGATTACTATACTATATATCAATAATAATAATAACAACAACAAAAAACCAGAATTGGGCTCATATAATTATAATCATATGTAAGCTGCATTCAATTAAGCTCTCACCAAAAGTACTAGGCAAAAAATAAAATAAATCATCACATTAGATTAAACCACTGCTTCTTTCTTTTATATATAACATTTGATCTTTGCATTCTATAAATCTACTATCGTACAACTTACTTGAAGATACGTGCCACTCTAACATCTACCCCATCTTGTCTCATGTATGAATAGGTCAAGGTTTCTGCAATACGCTTCCCTTCGTCATAACATGCTCGCGGTCCGATTGGATTCACATTACCCCAGTAGGTCTCTTTTTGAGGATGCTCTTCAGGATCACCATACACCTCTTGTTTGTTTGTTTTTAAAAATAAATAAATTCAAAAACAAACCGTTAATTCTATTGTAACGAATGTAATTTTTCTCTTTAAAAAATAAAATTATTATAATTATTACTTTACCTGAAGTCGAGGTTAACAAAAAGCGGGCTTTGGTACGTTTTGCTAGTCCAAGCATATTAATGGTTCCCATCACACTGGTCTTGACAGTCTTGGTGGGATTGTATTGGTAATGAGGTGGGGATGCAGGACAGGCGAGATGGTAGATCTGCGAAACCTCGATCATAAAGGGATCCACGACATCGTGACGAACGAGTTCAAAATGTGGATGCCCTATCCAGTGCTGGATATTCTGCTTGTTTCCAGTAAAAAAGTTGTCGAGAACCACGACCTCATGTCCCATCACCATCAGACGGTCTACGAGGTGCGAGCCAACGAAGCCTGCACCGCCGGTGACCAGAATACGCGTACGTTCGGATGGCTTGAGTCTGCGGACGGGCGGGTAGTCAAGCGTGGCCTTGAAGGTGATCGTATTTGCGTCATCGTCGATGGTGTATTGTTTTGGTGGGGTGAGGTATAATGACCGTAGAGTTGGCAGAGACACATGGGATCCTACTGATTCGTGGCCAACATTCTCGACCAGTTTGACACTTTCGGTGGGAGTTGGTAGGGTTTCTTTTTTTGTAGTTTCCATCATAGATAGATAACTATTTTATATTTTATCTTATTTTGTTGCACTGTATGTTCCTTGACTGGTTGGCTATATGGCTGTCTACCTATTTATTTATGCTTGTAATATAAAAGGAAGAAAGAGAGGTAAAGAAAAAAAAATTCCAAGTGAAATCAGAATAAAAAATAATATTAAATAAATAAATAAATAAATAAATAAATTAATTAATTAATTAATAATAATAATAATTTATAATTGAATACTGGTACTAGTACTATAAACATCTATATATCTGTATATCTGTAATTCTGTATATAAAAGGAAGTATGGATATTGGATAAAGTAAAGCAGAGTAAAGAAGAGCAGAATAGAGATTCAAGTAAAGAGAGGTAAAAAATGAGTAGAAAAATAAAATAATGTAAAAAAAAAAGAATATTAAAAGTGGGTGCGCTTGATTCCAAATGTCTATGCTTCACGCCAGATATATCCTTTTATAGCAAAAATATCAATAAAAAATAAAAGAGGCGCCTCATTAAAGTAAATGCAACTTTGCTTATCATTCCTTCTTTCTTTCTTTTTCTTTCTTTCTTCCTTTCTTTCTTTTTTGCTGCTGTCGTTGTTGCTGCTTAAAACATGTACATATATACGTAAAGAAGTATAGATATAATATAGAAAAGAACAAAGATAAAGGAAATAATTATTCAAAAAAATAAATAAACAAAAAAAAAAGATAAAAGAGAGGTTACAACTATTGACAGCATGAAGATCCACCGGCAGCATTGTTCTTGGGAGCTGCCTCGAGTCTGACCTCTTCTCTCTGACGTGTCTGTTGAGCCTGTTGTGTGTCAATCAGACGCTTCTTGATGTCCCGTGCAAGGTCAAAGAAGGCTTCTTCAACACCAATATTGGCTTTTGCACTGGTCTCCATGAACCGAATGCCGAGCTCAGTAGCCAACTGCTGACCCTGTTCAGAAGTAATGATCCTCTTGTCTTCCACATCACACTTGTTACCAATCAAAATCTTGTTTACTCCTTCACTAGCATGTTGTTCAATATTCGAAAACCAATTCCTAACATCTTTTTATTTTTGTTTTTATTATTGAAGGTTGTTAGTCTATGAAACCATATCACCCATAATCTTTCACCTCTCACTAAATTACATGTCTATATCTATTCAAAAAAAAAAGCATGTAGACTTACTTCCAAATGATCGTTCGTCTGTCACATCATACACCAACAATATTCCCATTGCACCACGATAATAAGCTATGATTTATATATATATATAAGAAAAATTAATTGATTAATTAAATAATTATTAATTTCGTATCGTATCGTATCGTTTCGTTTCGTTTCGTTACCTGTTGTAATGGTACGGAAACGCTCTTGGCCAGCAGTATCCCAAATCTGGAGTTTGATACGCTTGCCATCTAACTCGATGGTACGAATCTTAAAGTCAATTCCAATAGTTGTAATAAACGAAGGAGTAAAGGAATCATCAGAGAAGCGGAGTAACAGACAACTCTTGCCGACACCTTTTTAGAATGAGTAATATTGAAGTGAGTTAAACATGACTATTGTTTTTTTGTTTGTTTGTTTTGTTTTTTGTTAGGGGTTCTTCTTTTATATACCAGAGTCGCCAATGAGAAGAAGTTTGATAAGGTAGTCGTACGAGGCACTTTTTGCGCTTGTCATTGCAAGAGAGTAGATGAATATAAAAAGAGAGAGAGAGAGATGGAGATACTAAATTTATATGTGTTTTTGTGTGTGTATTAAACAAGGGATATGTTTAGGTGTATATGATAAGAATAAGAAGAAGAAGAAGAAGAAGGAAGAGAGGGAGAAAAGGGCTTTGTCTCTTTGGGTTTTTTTTTTCTTTTTCTTTTTTTTTTAGCACCAGGCAAACTAAGCTATGTGAGAGGTTGGGTTTGTTCATCTATCAAACAAAAAAAGTGACGTAGATTCTTTCGAGGCGGCGGAAGAATCTCGGAAGCAAGCCTTTTTGTTTCCTTGGGCGATACACACACACATATATATATATATATGTATATACATTAGATACGCATTTAATGTATTGTCTGTATTATAACCAGATCTGTAGCCTAAATATATCTTTATCAGATAAAACTGAATATTCTATATATATATATATATTTTCAAACCTGAGCTGTACTTTTTGTTGGTTCGTCTTTTTCACTTTTATTGATCATATTATGCATTCTATTTTATTATAGTATTCTAGTATTCTAGTATAAATGCTTTTAAATCTAATAAGGCCTGCGTGTGAATAAGTAAGAGTGTGACAAGTACGCGTATCTTTTGTGGATAAGTACACAGACACAGACACACACACAGAGAGATATCATAAAGATCTATATACTTTTGTATAGAATCTTTATAAAGACAATAGACTGGTGATATTCACACCTCTTTAGTAATCTGATTCGTTTAGAGGACTACTTAAAGTCTGTATGATAAGAACCAGACTCTATATACTTTTGACAAGGTTCTCTTTCAGTGGAACTCTAGTCGGACCAGAAATTACTATAAAATAATATTATATTATATATAATAGAGTAGAATAGAATAGTGTTTATAATACCTCTTTATCTTCATATACATGATTACATTGTGATATTATTTGGATCAGCATATAAAACTGAATTTTTGATTTGTGTGAAATTTCAAAATAACAATACCAACAACAATAATAATAATAAAAGCATTAAATGTATTTATCCACGTTGTAATTCTAATCCCAAGGCTCATGGCTCATGGCTTTTTTTTTTGGTCTCCACGTTTGGCCATATTTTAACTCCGGAATTACACAAAAAAGAAGTGGAAAACGGTGCCCATTCTATTCAGGAACATTTGTTCCCCTTCTTGCCTCTCCTCCCACTTGTGTTTTGTTCTTTAGTAATAAAACAATTAAACAATAGTATCTCCCTCTATAAGCCCCCCTCCTTCCTATTTTATTATCATTATTATTAATATTATTTCAAGGGTGACTATCACTGTACCAACATTATCACTGTGGTTTAGATAGATAGGTTATTATTATTATCAGCAATTTCACAGTACACTCTATATAGATCATTACAAAACGCTTGGTATCTAACAAACAAACATTACAAGGTTTTATGTTTATTTTCTCTATACAAATCACACAATAGAAAATCTATTTCCAACTTAAATCACATACTACCATTACTACTACTACTAATATTTAATTTGATTTTATATGACTTTTTTTTTTCATCTCCCTTTTCTTTTATATATATATATATATATATATATATATATATATATGTTTGGTTCGTCTATATGTATGTTCATATAAATCATGAGTCTCCTTGTATACCAAAGAAATTCAACTTGCCAAAAGACTCTAAAGATTTTTTTTTAAAGAAAAAAGGCAATGGTATACTGTCAAATCCGAATTATGTATATATGTATGTATGTAGTTTTAAAAACTTTTAAAAAAAAACGTTACACTAGAAAGCAAACCTTCAAAGGATTCTCCGATTAACCCATTACAGTGTGTGTTTTTTTACTTGAGATTAAGACAATGTTAATTATTATTATTTTATGGGCAAATGAAGAAGAGGATCGAGACAAGTTTAAATAAGAAAAATGAGATTCTGCTAAAAGGTACTCACAGAGCTGCTAATCGATTATAGCTTTACAATCGATTAAACTGGTATTTCTTTGGTAATCATTCAAAATACAAATATAGGCACTGTTTTATAATAAAGACCATACCCCAAAGAAAAGGTTATTTTTGCTAGCATAAATTCAACAGATTTTAACAAAGTTCCTGGTAAAATATAGTATTATATTTAATAATTATTAGCATAGAAAAATACCAGCCTGCAAAGCAAACAGGAGGGTGAAAAATGAAACCTCATAGACACCATAGATAAAATTAGCGGGCTATAGAATATTACACTATATATGGTTGAGCTTTGCCTACATTTGGGACGCGCAATACTTGTTAAACTACCAGCTATCCATCAAATCCCAGATCAAATATTGTCAGAAAATACATTATACTCCCTCTACTTACTGCATTTCTAAATGAAAGAATCACACCAATCCGAAATAGACTGCCCAAAATTCCAGTCAACAAGGCCAACTCTTAAAGAAACCCTCGAGCAATTATGCCTACCTTGAGATACATTTTGAATATTTATGTACAGCTGCTTGAGAAACCACAACCTCAACCTCAACAACCTATACTCCCAAGACTGTTTGCATTGCTTCCCTTGCATAGTTTCAAATGAAACTTTATTAAAATAGACGGTGAGAACATTAGATAATTTTTCCAAGCAGGGCCCAGAGAAAATGCGAGACAAACCATCTGTAGCTTACACAAGACGTTTATTTGCCCACTTCTTTAATTTTAAGAAGTTCAAAATCAATGATATAGAAATTTTTAATAAATCTCCCAAACGAAAAAGAAAAGATATTTATGAGCTCACTATACACCGACGGATATATGGGCAAGATATCGTTTGCAAGACGAATGGCGACTGATCCTATCAATTCTGTTGAGCTCACAACAGATGAACTTTAATATCCAGGAAATTACGGGAAATTTCCGAGTGTGTACGGTAGATCCTGGAAGAAGAAATGCCTTCAATTCATATCATGGGAATGCTGACATAAGACGCTTAACAACCAAAGAACACTGCAATGTATATAGCAGCGTTAAGCGAATATGCAAGTAAAGTGGCCCAAGGAATCAAGGAAGTTGAAACACATTTCATCAGTAAAAACAAAATCAAGAGAGCAATTTCTACAGCATATCCAATATATCATAGTCAATATTCCCATTATATTCAATCCTTACAACCTTAGAGTAGCTGAAATATATTGGGAAAAAAATAGAGGTAGACAGAAAGCCCTAGACAGATTGCTTAAACATCCTTATACATGGGTCTACAAAATATAACAAAGAAAGAATAGGCGTCGTATAGCAAATTAACGGAATTTTGAAGGTACACACCAGTCTGTCCAGCCAAAGTATCAAGACAATGCCTTATTGTTTGTATCCAATTCCTCTTATAATTTAAAATATTTTTGCAATAACTGTAATATTTTCTGGAATAGGGATATCATGGTGGCAAAAAAAACATGCTCTATATTCACAGAAAATTTGGAGTGACAATGGTAGGCCAGAAATCTTCACTCCTCAACTGTAACCAAGCACAACAAACATTATTGTTACCCACTCCGGTGGATAAACTTAAAGACGCTTACAGGTAAAGAACTGTTTTTGTTTTACCTTGTCTCAACTAAATTCCCTTTCTATCCCCAATTTTATTCTTTTGTGTCTCAATCTCAAGTAGAAACACTGTAACAAAGAGACACATAAATTATAGTACTAGTTGATAAGCACATAACGATCAAATTTTATCTTTATTTTGATTTTTAAATTAAATTAAATAAAAGGATTATACAATTTTTTTTTGCAAGACTTTCATCCCTTCAAAGGTTCAATTCGTAAATCATATTCAATAGTGTAAGTAAAATAAACCCCCTGAGAACTGTCAAGAGTTTTTGAGTAAGGCACTCTGTATTTATTGAAAATAGTGTCGTCCAATTTTTTTGGGGGTGGTGTCATTTACATGTAACCTGATCCAGAATTGTCTATACTAAAATACCATATATCGTGTGGATTTGAGGTTATTCTTTTTTTTTTTAAAAAAAAAAAAAAGAAATCCCATGGTTGAAAGACCAAATAAATAAAATATATTGTACATAAGGTGTCTAGAAACATTTGAAATATTGACACAAAAAAATTGGCAAGAGAGCCAAGGAGACTTTCCTTGTGCAGATTATACAAAAAAAAAACAAATTGCATTAGCTCTGGCTTACCGCCTGATATTTCAATTGAAACAAGTTAATATATAAGGAACCAAGCTCAGTTTATGTAAAATAAAGCTTATAAGCCGACAGTTTTATTTTGTCTTTTTTTTTTGAAGAAAGTACACACACATACACGCATATATAAATGTATACTACAAAATAATTTTATAAAGATTAACATTTAGTTAAAGCAATAGAAGAGCGTCTTTCTTCTTCTTCTTCTTCTTCTTTAGCTTCGATAGATTTATTACTCATAATAGATTAAGACCCTATAGACAGTTTATATTTTTCATCAGAAGAATTGAAAATATAAGCAAATAATATCACATTGTTTCCAAGCAACAGCTCTTGGAATCTAGAGCTTTTCTATGGTAATTCAAAGAAAAAAAAACCTCTCCCTCCAGTCTCCCCACATATCTTAACGCTATAGATAAGCTCATACTTCAAAACTCTTGTGACGATATGAATTGTATATACTTAAGGGGTTATATAGAGTACTGGTCACCCCAAAGTTTGGATTTAAATGATATTAAAACTATTTTGCTGGATATATATATATATATATAGAAGCTTAGTATGCTTATAAGAGTCCGGATAATAAATATTACTAGAGATAATTTTATACTAACGTAGAGACTTTTATATGAAATTATGCCCAGGAAGAATGAATTTGATGTTAGACCAGTAGAAACCAAATTGTCTGATCAGAGGGTTCAATATTTACATTAATCAGTAGCTGTTATCATTATTTATTTATTTTTTTAAAAAAAATGACCATAGTACAGTCATTAGATAGCCAAGGATGATACACACACACACATATATATATATATAGAAGAAAAGAACTACAGTCAGAATGCACAATTTGTTGTTCCAAGAGATCTTATCTCTGTACTTTATATATCTCGGATATTAATGTTATTCAATTAGCAGAAGGGAAAAAAGAACATAACTTGAATTTATATTGTTATTACTTGAAAAGAGTGTTGAATTAACCTTTTTGAAAGTTTGGCTTTGTTCTAAACACTCTTTCTTTCTTTTTGATATATAAAAAAATTGTTAATCAAAATCAAAATCAAAATCAAAATTTGACTTGTAATGTATTTTCTTTATACACAACTTTACTTAGCAGACAAAAAACTTAAATTTTCAATTTTTTTTTTGGATGTTGTCCTGAGAAAAAAGTGGTATCCAGAATGGACTTTTTGGTGCACATAGCTCACTTTCCATTAGTAAATGGTTTTTTCTAGAGTGAAGAAATGGGATGGTTTGATCAATATTTGAGCAGTTAATGTAAAACAGTGCTTTAATAGTGGATCTTAATGTGCTCTAGCAAGCTTCTTACAAATGCGAGATTGCGTTACACTTTAGTGGCAACAACTCATACTGTTCTGCATAGCTGGCTATTGATATAGTGTATCTGGGACTAATTATTATTTCTTTGTTGTCAAGTCCAAGTTCAGGACTACTAATTGAATATACAGGTCTTGATTTTTGTATGAAACAAAACTTTATTATTAAATTTACCAAATACAGACCGTTATTCCTAAAAGAATGAGAGTCAGGTACCTTGAGAGAGATTGTTGAAACACAAAGTGTGGGGACAAAGTAGTAAGCTAATGCGTACAATGAATATATTGTGTGTGTGTGTGTGTGTTTTTTTTAGGACACACCGTTTTGTCCTAAAGGATTAGAGAAAGAAACCAGGCCTCGGACAGATGGTCACAATTAACTCGTCCGGTTGGATATAAGCATCGTGTCGCGCCAGGAAATTTTGTCCCCGTAAGATTGCTGAATTCTGAGCAGGCCGGTGTCGGAAAACGGTGGATAAGTCGGTCTCATCATCTTTGTAGGCATGCTTCCAGGACTTTCAGAGAGGGTCGAAGGTAGCAAGAGAAATATTTAATAAAACTAATGACTTCAAGCTTAATTGTATCTTAATGGGCTTGAGGGAAAAAATCAGCGCAAAAGGCAGGAACGAGGGTGGAGATTTAAAATTTGAGATTTGTGGGGAACGAAAGCGATTGAGCAAGTCGAGGATTAGCACGCCAAAGTCCCTTACCACAAGACTGGATTGAAAAGAGGTATAGACTAACAGTAACAAGGTAATAATACGACTATTTCTGGTGGGTATACGTCACTTGCGGGGGTGCATAGTGCGAGGGTGAAAGTCTGAAGAGGCAAGGACGTACTCAATAGTGGTGGAACGTAGGCTGTGGGTGCTGGCCAGGAGGAGTGATACAGTCAACCAAATGGGTATCTATAAAAGTGTGGGCACAAGGCTGGAACAAGATAGCCGAAAGTATAAATCAACTGGAAAAGCACAATGCATGTAACATATTCTGCATTTGGACAGGTATACGCGAATCATCCATTCTTTATAGGAAATCCCAAAAAAACTAAAATTTTGGTATACCTGTAGGTTTTAGTCATCAAGACCCACTGATCAATAAATTCTGAGCTAATGGATTTCAAAGAAGAAGAAAATAGAAGAACAAGAGAAAGATGTGTTAGATATTATACAGGGTACTATACTCATAATAGACGGCATTCAAAGGCGATATTGGTAATTTATCAGTTCTGAAAGGCTTCAATCTAAACAGATATATATATAAATTACGCAATGCCATTCACCAACAGAATCTATCATTAGAAGACAAATGTTAAGTTGCAGTTGTCTATATTGTATATTTATGTCTTTTCGGTAAATGTTACACTTCCTGAAGATCATCGTGTAACTAAGTTTCTGATGTGACAGCCTTCTACAGGTATAAAAGGTACGAGTGATTCTCGTTAAAAATGTATCATTATCAACTCTCTTTATAATTCGATAAACATGACTCTAGAGGACTTCAAGATGGAATACGTTCGCTTTGGCAATACCGGCATGCGCGTAAGCAATTGAAAAAAATGGATACAATTAACATCGTTATAATTAATGCTGGCCTTATGTTTATTAATACAAAAAGGTATCGCGTGTGTGTCTTGGTTGCATGTCTTATGGGTCATCCAAATGGCAGGATTGGGTTAAGAATGAGGCCGAGTCCTTGAAGATTATCGAGGTTGCTTACAAGGCCGGCATCAACTTCTTTGATACTGCAGATGCCTACTCTAACGGAGAGAGTGAACGCATTTTAGGAAAGGCTATCAAACAGCTGGAGATGCCCCGCTCCCGCATCGTTGTTGCCACCAAGCTATTTTTCCCTGTGGCAGAAGATATTTCTGCCAACCTTTTCCGGACCAGGATTGATAATGTTCCAGAACTTGTTAATGGTTATGGTCTCTCAAGAAAGCATGTTTTTGATGCTGTTGAAGCTTCTCTTGAAAGACTTGGTCTCGATTACATTGATCTCTACCAGATTCATCGCTTTGATCCCGTAAGTAAAGACAAAAATACACATATCTATATATCTACTGTATTACAGAGCACCGTTATCTAATGCGATTAGCTAGAACACTCCTATTGAAGAGACCATGGAAGCCCTTAACGACCTTGTAAGATCTGGAAAGGTTAGATACATCGGTGCCAGCTCAATGAAGGCCTGGCAGTTCCAAAAGGCAAATTCTATTGCCGAGAAGAATGGTTGGGCCAAGTTTTCTTGTATGCAGAACCTTTACAACCTATTGTACCGTGAAGAAGAAAGAGAGATGATCCCCTACTGTATTGATCAAGGCATTGCTCAAATCGTTTGGTCCCCCCTTGCCCGTGGCTTTTTGACAGGCAAGAACCGGACCACAATGCGCAGCCAGTCCTATAAGGCTATTGATAGTCCATCTGCCAGAAGGGAGAATGAGAACAATGACTTGATTATTGACCGAGTAGTCGAGATTGCTGAAAAGAAAAACATAACTGCTGCTCAGGTAATATACATATAAACATATAAAAGAGACAATGGAAGAAGTCAAAGGTTTATTGACTGAGTATAAATTAGGTTGCATTGGCCTGGTTGTTTGCCAAAAATCATGTCACAGCACCTATCTTGGGTATTGGCAAGGTGGAGCATCTGTACGATTTGTTGAATGCTATTAGCTTGAAGTTAACTGTGGAAGAAATATCCTACCTGGAGGAAGAGTATACTCCTAAAGAAGTAATGCCAATGTAGTTTTAGAATCCTTTATGATAGATACTATTGCATTATTCTTCACTAAAACATTGACGATGACATCAAAACGGAGTGTGTCCAAATAAAGTATAACTCTTGTTGTGAGTCTAAAGTTACCAACCTCATCATCGAATTAGAATTGATTCTCAGCATTGTCGTTATCCAAAAAGAAGCAACTTTTTAGTAAGGATTTTAATAAGCAATGATTAGTAGTTAGAGAATAGCAATGAAGATGTTAATAAGCAATATCTTACTAACGGCTCAATGTAACAATAGTAATAGCATATTTAGAAGACATATAAATATCCAACATATTTTATCAATAAAAATTATCCTTCGTTTCCTTCAAAAGTTCTCTATTTTCTTATACTCTTTCAGCCTATCATCGGCCTCCTCTATCTGGGTTAACCCTAGCTTATTTTAATCTTAGGGGAACAACGTTTTGATTTAACCGGGCAACAAATTGTGGCCTGTTGCCTGGCATCAAATAATTATATCTGGTATCTATATACTCATACTTATAAGAATAAATCTACTTTAATACAAGGTAAAATAATAGCTTTGGCTAAGTGTAAAGTCATCATATTAAGTATATAATTTTACACTTACAGATTTATACTGCTTTTTATAAATTATTATTATATATAGAGTAATAAGTTGACCACCTATCATATTACTTCAAGACATCCTATACTAACAGAAAATGCTGGCTTCCACCCTTATATGTATGAGTTTAAACTTTGGTCAAAACGTCGTCTCCCACGCTTGGGCCACGTTAAGTACACTCGAATTGGTTTACTATCTCCAGTTACAAGTCCAAACTCGTTGGTGAGTGCATATTTCTAAATTTCTGCAGTTTATATTGGCATCTTATTGTAACCTTTGGCTGGTGGAACAGGAAGAGGTTTCTGGACAGGATAATGTTTCTTTCTATCGAAAGGATTGATTCTTTTATTTATAGGGTTCACATTATAGAAAAGTATAGCGATTACTTATTAATACCATAATTTCTAATTGATGGGCTGCAATGAGCAGATTAATCTCTCTGCTATATCTGAGAAAAATAATATTGTCTAATATAATTGTTGATTAGTAACTTTTTTTTAGGAGAGGAGTATACAATAGAAAAGAAGGTTTTATATTCAAACGTTAAAATAATACTTTTAGAACATAGTTTTTTTTTCCTTGAAGGATTACAGGAAAGACATCGAATCTCGGAAAAATAGCTACAATTAATTAGTCTGGCAAAATATAAACGTCGTTTCCGAAGGATAACTGCTCAAAAAACTGCGTGTTAGATATCACTGGGGCTATAACCCTTGTAGGTAATATAGTAAAGTCTCGATTTATCCCATAAATTACACCTCTATTTTGCGTGTATATATATAAATATGTGTACTCATATTTGCTCTTAACAAATTTCATTGGGTATTGGACCCTGCTGAAAAGGTAGATGTCTCGGTGGGATTCTTGGTTGTTTGCAGACTTGATGTACCAGATGTTATCTTTGAGGGGGAAAGCAGCTATTTGTAGTCAAAGATAAGGAAAATTTACCATTTAGTAAAATTTTCTTAGATTGTATTCCTCAAAATCGATTTATCAGAAAACCCACATAAGTATTTGCATAAATCAATATACTTGATATATGTAAATTGGCGTAAAATATGTAAGCTTATATATATATATATTGGAGAAAGCTCCAAGTATCTGTACATGCTTTTGATAAGCTTTGGTCTGTCTTGAAAATATTGATACGGGTATGGGTATGGGTATGGGTTTTGGTGCATGTATCTTTGTATTCTCTTCTTATTAATAAATGGAAGCATAATGATTTGCGCCGTATTGACCACTTTAATGTGGCCTCAGCTTTGACGGCTTCTCCTTGCGGTTAGTAATGGTAGCAATATATGCTTACAGGTTACAATTGTAGTAATTTTGATATATTTATTCCAATTTTAGAAAAGTTGTGTACGCCACACAGGACCCTAATAATAGGGTACAAACATTTTGTAAGCGAGTATTTTGGAGAATACACGTAACATATTCTATATTTAGATAGGTGTACACGAATCATCCATTCTTTATAGGAAATCCCAAAAAACTAAAATTTTGGTATACCTGTAGGTTTTAGTCATCAAGACCCACTGATCAATAAATCCCGAGCCAATGGATTTCAAAGAAAAAAATAGAAGAACAAGAGAAAGATGTGTTGGATATTATACATGGTACTATACTCATAATAGACGGCATTCAAAGGCGATATTGGTAATTTATCAGTTCTGAAAGGCTTCAATCTAAACAGATATATATATAAATTACGCAATGCCATTCACCAACAGAATCTATCATTAGAAGACAAATGTTAAGTTGCAGTTGTCTATATTGTATATTTATGTCTTTTCGGTAAATGTTACACTTCCTGAAGATCATCGTGTAACTAAGTTTCTGATGTGACAGCCTTCTACAGGTATAAAAGGTACGAGTGATTCTCGTTAAAAATGTATCATTATCAACTCTCTTTATAATTTGATAAACATGACTTCAAAGGACTTCAAGATGGAATACATTCGCTTTGGAAAAACCGGAATGCGCGTAAGCAATTGAAAGAAAATGGATACAATTAACATCGTTATAATTAATGCTGGCCTTATGTTTATTAATACAAAAAGGTATCGCGTGTGTGTCTTGGTTGCATGTCTTATGGGTCATCCAAATGGCAGGATTGGGTTAAGAATGAGGCCGAGTCCTTGAAGATTATCGAGGTTGCTTACAAGGCCGGCATCAACTTCTTTGATACTGCAGATGCCTACTCTAACGGAGAGAGTGAACGCATTTTAGGAAAGGCTATCAAACAGCTGGAGATGCCCCGCTCCCGCATCGTTGTTGCCACCAAGCTATTTTTCCCTGTGGCAGAAGACATTTCTGCCAACCTTTTTCATGCCAAGCTTGATAATGTCTCAGAATTTGTTAATGGTTATGGTCTCTCAAGAAAGCATGTTTTTGATGCTGTTGAAGCTTCTCTTGAAAGACTTGGTCTCGATTACATTGATCTCTACCAGATTCACCGCTTTGATCCCGTAAGTAAAGACAAAAATACACATATCTATATATCTACTGTATTACAGAGCACCGTTATCTAATGCGATTAGCTAGAACACTCCTATTGAAGAGACCATGGAAGCCCTTAACGACCTTGTAAGATCTGGAAAGGTTAGATACATCGGTGCCAGCTCAATGAAGGCCTGGCAGTTCCAAAAGGCAAATTCTATTGCCGAGAAGAATGGTTGGGCCAAGTTTTCTTGTATGCAGAACCTTTACAACCTATTGTACCGTGAAGAAGAAAGAGAGATGATCCCCTACTGTATTGATCAAGGCATTGCTCAAATCGTTTGGTCCCCCCTTGCCCGTGGCTTTTTGACAGGCAAGAACCGGACCTCAACCCGCAGCCAGACCGATAAAGCTATTGATAGATTATTTGCCAGAAAGGTGAATGACAACAATGAGTTGATTATTGACCGAGTAGTCGAAATTGCTGAAAAGAGAAACATAACTGCTGCTCAGGTAATATACATATATACATATAAAAGAGACAATGGAAGAAGAAGTCAGAGGATAAAAAGAAGAAGATGAAAAAAAAGAGAGGTTTATTGACTGAGTGTGAATTAGGTTGCATTGGCCTGGTTGTTTGCCAAAAACCATGTCACAGCACCTATCTTGGGTATTGGCAAGGTGGAGCATCTGTACGATTTGTTGGGTGCTATTGATGTGAAGTTAACTGCGGAAGAAGTATCCTACCTGGAGGAGTCATATATTCCTAGAGAATTAATCTCAATGTAGTTTTAGAATTCTTTATAATATTGTGTTATCCTCCGCTAAAACATTGACGATGACATCAAAACGGAGTGTGTCCAAATAAAGCAATCCACCTTTTTCTGTTTCCCTTTTGTTACAGTCCGCTTTCTGTTCTTTCTGTATATTTTGTACCTTTTCTCCGTGTGGTTCTTTGAAACCACTCACGCCATTAGTTAAACATTATAAATTGTACTCATTCTCATGGAAAGCGAAGGACAAGAAGACTCCACAGTCTCATTTAAAGAGCTGAAAAAGCGTTGGGCCCAACATGAGACAACTCTGCGTCAGGAAGGATCCTCTCTCGAGAACATTTCCAAAACATCTCCCACACCCATCCAAACCGACAATCATACCCAAAGTGCAATTATTTCTCCACCACAAGAGCCTGTACGCACATCCTCTGCACCACCTCTTCCTCCCAAACCAAATATAGTTCATACTACTTCTGTGGCCGAGAAGTCTCAGGCTCACTTTGATAGTGTTCGCCGAGTCTCTCTTCTCGCTCAGCAGTTTAACGCAAAAACTGCTTTAGGTGCATCTCCCGGAACCGGACCAGAAATACCTTCTATTTCATCAAACACCGAACAGCAAGTGTCGTCTCCCGCACCTACACAGATACCTTTGCATGATCCGTTTAGCGAAGAAGAGCTCCAATCCGGAACTAGTGACACAGATTCAGAAGGAGACACTGGTAGCACCAGCAGTGGGGAAAGTGATATGGATGATACACTCATCCACCAAGTTCAAACCTCACATATTATTCATTCAAGTCCTGAGCATGACATGTCACTCAAAGGTATCGAACAACAGCGTAGAATACCACCAAAACCATCACAATCGACCACGAAAGCCCGTAGCCCACCACCACCACCACCGTTAAGTAAAAAATATCATGGTTCTGTAAACAGCCACCCACCCCTACCACCACCACCACCGCAAAGTAGAGCTATTCAGATAGATAGATCTGCTGAGGTCACGCCCCCAATACTTCCTCCTCGCCCAGTCCTGGCCGAAGGACCTTCTGTACCTATTCTTCCTCCCCGTCCTTCATCCTCATCGATAGCTCGCTCTAATACTGTAACTGCCACCGGACGATCCTCCCAAGGAGGCAGCTTTGCTTCCAGCGCAAATAATGTACGACGAGCCCTGACTACTGTTAGACGGGGGATTGGTCATCCTGCGTTGCTAATGTCCACAAGCGTATATCCAGACTTCACCAATGCTAGTCGGAAACCTCCTGTTGGTAATAGTGCTGGGCAGCGCTTGGGAGGAAGTAAACACACTGTATATACGATTGCGGCGGCTGGTAGTACACTAGCAATAGGAGGACATACAACACGGATTTGGGACATTGAAAAAAACGCATGTTTATATGCAGTTGACCCAGCAATGCCTAATGACAACAACGATAAAGTTCGGTCGATGGCATTTGCACCTTGCCGGAATCCTGCCAACGAAGGTCATTATCTGTGGGTAGGAATGCAAGATGGTATGTTGATGGTTCTCGACGCTAGCCGCCAGATGATTCTTGGCAAGCGTGCCAATTTTCACTCTGCACCTGTTCAATTCATCATGCGCCACAAGAATACCGAAGTATGGACGATTGACGAGAGCGGTTCGCTTAAGATATGGCCGGCCCTAGCAGTGGACTGCGATCAGCATGACCCCTTGGACCTCAATCCAGGAAAGTGTCAGGTCACATCCAAGGCAGTTGCGGCTGTCAAAGTCGATTCTTGTCTATTTATGTCTTCTGGACGAACGCTCGAATATCACACAATTCCTCTGTCTCAAAATCCTGTACGCAAACGCATTCCAAACGACCTTGGAAATATTACACAGTTAGCTGCCGTTCCCTATCATTATCACCGTATTTTTGCATCTCACGACAATGGAAAGATTAGTATCTGGGACAGTGAATCGATCGAACGTCTCCAAGTGATCACAGTGTCGATGTACGGTATATCAGCGATGGTTGGAGTTGGAGACTATTATCTTTGGGTAGGCTACAACACTGGTATGATATATGTGTACGATACCCGCCCAGAGCAATGGCTTGTAGTAAAGGTCTGGAAAGCGCATACAAGTGCAGTATCTTGCATGGTTGTCGATGATACGGGTCTTATCTTAGACCGTAGTACTGTGCAGGTTGTTAGCACAGATTCATCTGGAAATATTGCCTATTGGGATGGTTTACTGACTGATGATTGGCAAGGTAATAATTTACTCGATAGCGAAAAACCAAAAAAAAACAAGCTAAATTTTAATTAATTATTTTAGAACAAAGATTACATGCTCATGTGAGAGAATACTGCGATTATCGGGATATCGAGGTTATGATATGCTCGTGGAATATCGATGCCACTAAACCGGAAAAACTGGCAAATACAGATGATGACATTAAGTTGCACGAATGGTTGAAGGGTATGAAGAACCCGGACATTATAGTTGTGGGCATGCAGGAAATTGTTGATTTGGAATCCAAGAAGCAGACAGCAAGTAAGTACGATAGTTCTTTGTTTTTCTTTTTGTTTTTCTGTTTTTTTTTTGACTAATTCTATCTCAGGGTCACTTTTTGCCTCTCGAAAGAAGATTGAAACCTTGCAAGATGCAGATGAGCTCTTAACTCATCGTTATAGTTTATGGCACGACTATCTGGTCCAAGCAGTAGCACAAAACTATGGTGAACATGCTTATATAGTTAAGAAGACAGACCAACTGGTTGGTCTTTTTAGCTGTATCTTTGTCAAGAGTAGCCTAGGAAGTAGAATATCAAACTGTGAATCTACTCTAGTCAAGACAGGCATGAAGGTCATGAACAGAAGTCTCCACGGTAACAAGGGTGGTATTGCTGTCCGTTTCCTCTTGGACGACACGTCTCTTTGCTTTGTAAACTGCCATCTGGCTGCTGGCCAGTCGCACATCCAGCAACGCAATGCGGATGCTGAAGGCATTCTTCAGACAACAGCATTCTCCGCTCATGAAACCCCAGATATATTTACAAACGGAGGTGATGGCAGCCTTGTACTTGATCATGAAGTATGTTTCTTGAGTGGGGATCTCAACTATCGTATTGGGATGAGCCGTGAAGATGTCATCCGGGAGTTAAAGAATCCTGACCAGCAAGCTGCCCGGGAAAGACTTATGGCCGAAGACCAATTACTCAAACAACGCCACACCAATCCGCTTTTCAAACTACTCACATTCCAAGAACCTCTTATTGAATTCAATCCGACCTACAAATATGATCCGGGAACGAACTGTTACGACAGCTCTGATAAGAAGCGTGTCCCCGCCTGGTGCGATCGTATCCTTTATCATGGCGAGAGTATACAGAATTTGTACTATAGACGCCACGAGGTTCTTGCCTCTGATCATCGACCAATTAGCGCTGGTTACAGTTTGGAAGTGAAATATATCGATTATGGCAAACGTGATGCAATTCAAAAGAAGATTCCGGAGGCCTGGCGCAAACATCTGTTGGAGATAGTTAAAAGTAGAAAGACTCTCTATGTTGCCGACTACGACGCTTGTAGTCTATCAGAGGCTCATTCTAGATTAGAAGCCAATCAGTGGAATGTACAACAGACAGTAGAGGATCTCTATGAGTAGAAAACTCTTGGTCAAACCCTACACTAAAAAAAAAAAAAGAAAAAACTAATAGTCAAACACATTGCATATGGCTTTTCAAAGCTTAACCCTCATTATATCTGTATTTTCCACGTCTTTATGATATTTTTTCAACAAGATGTACTTTTCTTTCCCGCATTCATCCCATTCTCCTTCTCTTAATTCCTATACCTTTCTAACAATGGAGTAAAAAAAAACATAGCCCTTGTGCTGTATTGAATGTGCATTCTAGTGCACAAATGTACAATTGAAGTGTTTATTAGAGTAAAAAAAAATAGGAAAGTTTTCTCTATAGTATATTACAATGAAAACGCTTATTTGGAACTTTGGTAGTAGGCTTTACTGACCCTGAAGTTTTAGTCAAGCTAAGTGGATGGTTGTTGAATGCATTAATATCTTTTGTGGACACTGAAAATCAACTTTCTCGTGGCGATTTCATAACAATTGGGTTTCATTTTTGTTTTATTTTAAAGAAAACAAAACCAGGTTTTAAGTGACTTTGGACAGCATACATCTTATTGAACAGACACAGGACTTTTTTCAATAATTATCATCTACACCTCTTGGCAAGTCCTGCTCTTCTACCTTTTATGGATTGATTGAGCATGTCTGTATTAAAGACGATCAGAGAACTATGTCAGTCTAACTGCAAGAGTCGATGGATCTACTAGGAAGAACTAGATATGAAATATAAAGAAATTGTTTCTGCCGTTTTTTTTTGCACCCAGAAATACACTCACTAAATTTAATGTATATAGTTAGCATGACCCACTTTAGAAAACTAGGCATTTATATCTTAATAAACAATGTATAACAAAGTATGAGAATGTAAAAACCAGTCAAGGTTTAATAACAAATGTTTCCATTATTTGCAGCAATTATAGATACAGTCATATCAAACATACTTACAACAAGCTTCGTACCAAATTCTGGATGCAAACTGTTCCGACTTCTTTTTGTCAATCAAAAGCCTTGAGATATCTAAGTATTGTTTGTAAAAAAAATGCTTCTGCTTTACACACTCTGTTTTATAATTCATTAATAGTACTTTGATTTGATTCATACTGAGACATTGTGAAGACTAATAATTAAATCCCTTCATACTACTGAAATATATAAATACTATGAACGGCGAAAAGTGTTATCGTAAAAGCATTATTTATTTACTTGTATATTTAAAGATATCAAATGTTTTCTTATATTAGTATATTTCTCCAACGAGTATATGTTATATAAGCGCTGATAATTATATAGTTATTGGTAATTGAATATTATGTTAGGTGTTTTTACTATTAGCATTGAAGGTCGTCTTGACATATAAACTTACGAACATTCTTAATGTAGGATTCGAGAGACAGTTTTTATACTTTTAGTAAATTCTGATTTCCCGCAAGATTGTCGATCAGTATACTCATTCGCGCTATAGATATTTTTTTCTCTCTTTGGAATCCCCTGTGCAGAAAACAGTTGTGGAGAAGATGAGGTAAATGGTAGAAGTTTTCGAACCAGCACGGCCTCTTTTCGTATTGGGTCCATTGGCTATTCACTATTTTTTTTTCTACTTTTACTTGTGAAAGTATGCAAATGAGTTCCATTAAAGAGATGCATTATAAGAAGAGATGCAAGGCATAGACTTTCAAAAGCAATGTTTATTTTTTCCAACTCAACGGAGATTATTTTTGTACATGGTCCACTCTGAACGACATTGAGTGAGAATCAGGCGTTTCTTCTTTTCTTTTCAAAAACGATATTATAGACATCAAAGCTACCCCCCACAGACTTTGTTTTTATATGATTTGTAGCTATGGATATAATATAAACGACTAAATATTGCACACTATTCTAGATGAAAATAAAGCTTCCGATACGATAAAGAAGAAGATATTTTGTAGTATTTTTGTAGTATTTTAATATCCAAAAAACTCTGCATCATTTTGTTTTGTAGTTATACTTTTTTTTAGGAATCACTAAAGTCTTTGATTCCGGAAAATTGGTTCCTTAAGTTCTGTAAACCCCAATAAAGGAATATGATTTTCTGTGACTTGGCGGGTGCTTGAGAAACCCCTAAGCAAATCAATGCTCTATATACATGTACTGGATGTCAAAGGTGACACTTACGCTTATAGAAATAAAATCTATATTCCCGAAAATTAGAAAATTTTCCGGATCTTACCGCTTCATATGGAATAATAAGACAAAAAAGGTTCAAGGGATAATCGAACCCTGCTTATCATAAGAGAACCGATGATGCAACAAGGCACAATGCTGATGATATGTCACACAAAACTAGCACCTAAAAAATGAATCGAATATAAAGTGAGATCGAAATATAGATAGCCTTCTTCCTTCTCAACTTTAGAATATGTCCTCTCAAAAGATCTTTAAGCTGTAAGTACATGTTGATACCTAATTATATCGTCTAATCCATACCCTTTTTTCTTATTCTTACAAAATAATAATTATCAACAATAACAATAGTAACACTGGTGCTGATATTCCAGCTATTGGCTTGGGTACATGGCTTTCTGGAAAAGACGATAGTGGCTATACTTCTGTTAAAGAGGCCATCAATGTTGGCTATAGACATATTGATACCGCATTTATGGTAAGTATAGTATTGGGTTTGGCAATAAAATCAAATAAAAATAAAAGTCATCTATTGACGCGAAACAATACATGTACATTATAGTACGGCAATGAGGAACAAATTGGCCGTGGAGTACGCGATGGTTTGAAGGAGAATGGTTTGGAACGTAAAGATATCTTTGTGACCACAAAGTTGCCTCCTACTTACCACCGCCCTGAGAAGGTGGTTGAGGCCTTTAACAGTTCTTTTGCCAGCTTAAACATCGAGTACATTGATCTTTACTTAATGCACTGGTAAGAGGGGGGGGGGAACATAGTCACCGTCTTAACAAATCTCTAACCAAACTTTCTCACGACAATTCTCCTTTAGGCCTGTCCCTCTCAATCCCGCGTCGGGTGAGAAAATTCCACTCCGCCCAGATGGCTCCCGCGATTTGGATGAGACAATGCTGGGAAAGTTTGATGTTACTTGGGCTGCAATGGAGAAGCTTCTGGATACAGGAAAGGTTAAAGCTATTGGTGTGTCGAATTTCTCTATCCCAAATCTTGAGCATCTCTTGAAGACTTCCAAGGTTGTCCCAGCTGTTAACCAAATCGAACTCCACCGTATGTACAATATTTCAAAAAAAAAAGATATTAGTATTAATGTATTAATTTGTCATTTTCTTCTATAGCCTTCAACCCACAAAACAAACTCCTTGAATACTGTTCATCCAAGGGAATTCACTGCTCTGCTTACTCTCCTCTTGGTACCAGTAATGGTAACTTGTGTGAGAACAGCACAATCACCGATATTGCTGCTGCTCACAAGATATTGCCTGCCCAAGTCTTGATTTCATGGGGAATCACACGAGGCAGCGTTCTTCCCAAGAGTGTTACACCTTCTGTAAGTGCATTACGAGTAATCAGTAGACATTTCTAATGGTTTGGTGTCTTCTTTAGCGTATCAAAGCAAACTTTGAAACTATCGAACTTTCCAAGGAGGAAATTGAGCGTATCAATACTCTTGGATCCACTCATCCTAAGAGATTTGTTTCCCCCAACTGGGGAGTTCCCGTTTTTGATGAAGAATTTGAGCTCGCATCCAAAAATTAATCTACTCTTTTTTTTTTACCTATAATATACTATATAAAAGCAAATTGCTGTTTAATGCATAACGAATGAATATATTGTGTGTATGATAATGACTTGGTTATTATTATTATTTAAAAAAAAAGGGGCAAATGTTGGTCTATTGATGGATATTTAAATGGATGTTGCTGTACCAGCTACTCGGCGACCTTGAACAAATACATGCAAGAGTGATTGATCGTTTCCAAGGAAAAGAAACTTTTCAAACATTTGAGTGTTTGTATCATTCTCAAAGATATCTACAGGGCCACCTTCTGCCAAGTCTACCCAAAGTGCATCCAGTGATTTACCCACTGCAAAGTTGCCGATGGTATCCTCTAGGCCAAGAACCTTGGCACCTCCCAATGTAGCCAGGTAAAACAGCTCACTAGGAACCAATGGCTCATATTCCTTAGATCCACCAGTCATACCATCCCGGTGCATAATCTTCATTGTTTTTGAGGCCATAAAAGATGATCTTATGGAATCCAAAACTGATGGCGAGAAACCACCTGCCACGTCTGTTCCTAAACCGACCTTGATTCCCTTTTTCAAGAAGCGTCGGACATCACATACACCACTGTGAATTGAGAAATTGGAGTTGGCACAGTGTGATACGCCTACACTTTTGGCAGCCAGCATATCAACCTCATCATCCTTCATGTGCACACAGTGAGCCATATAAGATTTGTCGGTAAGCAGGTTGTGATCATCATAGATAGCGGTGTAGTTTGCTGAGTCAGGGAACAAGGAGCACGTGAATTCAATCTCGTCGTGGTTCTCGCACAGATGGCTTTGAACAGGTACGTCATATTCTTTAGCAAGTTTACCCAGACCAAGCATCAGTTCCGATGTACATGAGATTGCAAAACGAGGGGTTATGACTGGAGTCAAAAGACTTGACTTCTTGGAGTTTACGTAGTCTATGAATAACCGAGTATCCCGCAAACTGCCCTCTGTGGTCTCGACATAGTAATCGGGCGAATTCTGGTCCATGTTGACCTTGCCGATAAATGCACGTTGGCCCAGACGCTCGATGATATCTGTTAAACTTTGGCATGCGTTCAAATGAATAGTAGCAAACCAGCTACAGGTAGTTGTTCCATTTCTGAGGAATCGTGAGACAACCTTGGTATACGCCTTTTCGGCGTATTCAACTGACTTGAATGAAGACTCGGCGGGAAAAGTATATGTGTTGAGCCAGTCAAGTAGTGGAAGATCCATTCCCAAGCCAGAAAATACGTATTGAGGAGCATGCTATACAACAATAAACCTTATATTAATTATTTGCTCTTTTATACCCCCCCCCCTTTTTTTTTATCCAAAGATATTATTCACTTACTGCATGTGTATCCACAAAACCTGGTGCCAAAAACTGGTGTGGGTTCAATCGATGTATCTAGAAAAGAAAGAAAGCTAAAAGTTAGACCGATGTAATATACTTCAAGAATATTATTATTATATTATACCTTTGTGATTCCAAAGTCATGTTTTAACAAAAAGGCGTTGAGATCAGGGACATTACGCTCGAGATGGATAATGATTCCCTTGTCATTGATAATCAGAACACCATTGTTGATCACCTCTAATTCTGCTAGAGAGAGAGAATGGATGAGGGTTCCATAGAATACGGTATTTGAAGTCATTAGAGAGAAAAGGGAGAGTAAAGAATGACTACGTTTGAAAGCCCTCCTTTATTTATATATATGTATGATAAGTGAATCAATTATACGCCAGCAGAAGGTTTAAAATTGCGCAACTTTTATAGAAAGATACACGCTTGTTTTCTATTCTGCCAATAGAAAGATGACGCATCCTGAAAATACCCTTATTTTTGATGGTATTTTCATTGTAGTATAAAAAAGCACTACCGTCTGACATAGTTTCCTATCTTCACAATTTCTATATCTATATCTACATATCTTTTATTTATCTATTTATCTATATATTTTATACAGTTTTATTAAATATCTTCCCGGAAATCTTTTTACCCTACAATAAAGATAAAAGTAGACTGGGATATTTTCTAGAAAGGTTCAACCCATTAAACTGATGAAGTACAAATAAGGGTCTGGTCTGTGCGTTTTTTTTTTTTTTTTTGGGGGGGGGGGAAGTATCTTATTGTAGTTTTGATAGCAGACCGGCCGACAATCGCTAGTGATAAAGCAATGTCTACTAGCGACAAGTTAGGTTATTTCTCTTCAAACTCATACAAGAGTAAAGCATCAATATTAAACAAAACACAAAATATTTATAATATCAAAAACAGCACCAAAAAGCAAAGAATTTGTTTTATGTAATAAGGAGTTATGTGATTCGATAATTCAGCGGATATCTATGTGTAAATGTGGACCAGAAGAGTCAAGGTTTTGCTCTGGGCTCAAAAGCTCGTTGTCATAATATTGTGGAGGATAAGTATAGGTCTTGTCAATAATATTAACCTTCACACGAATGTTGCCCAAGCAAAAACGTATAAAGATATTAAGATTTGCTCTATCTTTTCCTGGCTTCAAAGCTATTCGAAATTGGGTGTCAAATTTAGCCACCAACTTAGCGCCTTGTGGTTTGTACATTTTTACAGGTTCATCTCCATCATAAGAATAAAGAGCTATGCTTATCGATAAGTCAAACTTTCCTTTTGTTTAATCCTTGAGGTAGTTACTTACAAATGCTTTTTGTTTCACCTCTAACCCATGATGTCCAGCCTTCTATCCACATATTCTCCCTTATAGGCTGGCCTTTTCTTGCCCAAATGGTGAAGCAATTTCTTTTGGTAAATCCATCTTTGATGACACTATTAAAGCCATAGGTTCTCTGTAGGATGCGCTGATCTATAACCTCAGGGTTGAGGCCAAATAGAGCTGCTCCTCGTCTTACAGCTCCATCTTTTTCACGAAGAAAATGAAGAAAATCCAGGCGAGATTCAAAGGCTTCCTTGATGCGATGGGTTAGGTAAGGAGATTCTCCAAATCCTCCAGTAACAAACATAACGTGTATGTGTTTGTTTCTCATTTTTTTGAATTGATCTCTGATCAAATGAATTACATGACGAATTATGGGATCAAAAACATCTTCTTTCATTTCACGAACAGATATATATAATTTTCCTTCCCCAATTTCAGCCATAGGATCAAAAATTAATCGTAATTCTTCTGGTAAAGTCAATTGAACGTTTTGTGTTCCATCAAACTCAGGCTATAGTAGACACGATTAGCTACATTTGAGATATTCAGAGCGTATCTCATAGCCTTACAATTTACTTACTTTGATAGTATTTACAAATTCATCCATAAGACGTTTTATATGTTTATTAGAGGTATCCCGGAGGTAGAGCCGATTTCGGAGTAGACGTTCCATGCAATCATCCAGACACATCGACCCACAAAAGCTTCCTGAGCTGGCTATTACTTCACGGAATGACTTTCCCGAAGATGTGTCGATTTGTAAAACTGAAACATCAACTGAATATCCACCAGCATCGCAAACCATGAAGTACTTATCGTGAGTCAAATCGAGATTAGGAGAAATATGCTCACACCAAAGACCCGCAGCTTCAGATTCATTGATGATCAGTAGTTGATCACAAATGTCATCTTTTTTTACTATGCCAGCTTCGATTACGGCTCTTCTCATAATAAGTCTAGCATTATCCGAGTAGAGATTAGGAACAGTAAGACAATATCTGAATCTGGAGGGATCATTCAAACTTGGATCCTTTGATTTTAAATACTTCATGATTTGAATGTAATAATTTCTGAAATAGTCCCTTATAACTAGGGAGAGAATAAGTGTTTCAGTTCGAATAATCTGTATAAATTTATAGGCACACACCATCAACTGTTTCTAAACTGTGTTTGGAACTTTTGGGATCTTTGGACCGAGAATTCAGCGCCATCTTGACATTGGTTATTAAATCATAACCAGTCTCATGTCTGTTGCCTTGTTTTACGGCTTTGAATCCGCAGCACACAAATTCTTTTGTGTTTTTTCGATACAAAGATTGTGTTGGTGTTTTGATATTTCTCGCCCTATTGATGGTATGATTTAGTAAAGAGAACCACCATCTTACTGTCATATTACCGGTCTGGTATATCAATCACAGTAACAGCCGCATCATCCATATAGGCATAAGAGCATCCAGACGATGAGGTGCCAAAATCTGTTGAATTCGATCAATAGTGTACCTTTAAAATCGACAAAGAAAAACTTGATATATTTACCTATTCCTACTGAGATTACAAATTTATTTGAACCGACTGTCATTACTAAATGTATCTTAAACTGAGAGAGAAAGAGAGGGGAACAAAAGAAAGACAAGGTAATGAAATTATTTGAGATGTAAATATCTCTTATTCTGGAGTAGACTTGACTGTCGTACAGAATGACAATATTACCCCTTTAATTTAAAAATTTTTCTAAGCCTTTATGCCTCTGGTGATTTATTTGATACATGGGATGCAAGCTCATTTACTTGGTTTTCAAAGGAATAAACAAAAGAAGTGCTTTAATATTATCTATTATACTCTTCATTTTATTACTTGTACTAATATTCAAAGCAACTATATGATAAACTATGCTTCCATAACAATTCTACAAAAGATCAAAGCTAAAGCAGCTACTGTAAGCTGATAAACGGTCTCTGATTATGTGAATACGACATTTAATTTTAACTGGATGAGCCAAATGCAACCTGATACCCGGAATCCTTGGTTACAGATGATTCCTAACGAGCTACATATACTTATCTCACCTGCCTTTTTTTTAATATATAACAGGAAAGGTTTAAAGAATTTATCATATAAGCTTGTTAGACAATATATCAAGTAATTTTATATTCTTAGATACTATTTTTTTTAGATATCCTAGCTTCCTTCTTTCTCTCCTTCTTCTCCAATCTCTACCTTTTTTTTATATGAAAATAGCAAAGTTGTATTATTTTTTTTTAGAAAACAGGTCGCTTGTATTTAAAAATGCTGTCGTGTCATAATGGTTTCATTAAACGAGAAAAGGTATAAGCTAAACCTCTCTTTAACATGGGTAGCTTTTATTTTAGTTTTAGTTTTCAAAGCCTTACATTTTAACACGGGCATTTAAGTATCTTTAACAAAAATGGTAGCCCTGAGCCAATGGAGTACGCTGTTGATGAAAAAAAAAGAGTTTGTTGTTGAGGCAATTGCTATTCATACTGATTACTTGGAAAATTCGACTTCCAAAGAGTCATTTTTTTTAGTTGCTCAATGCGAATAACAAAGCCAAAACATGAAGACATCCGGATAAAGGAGGCAAGTATAAAACATTATTATGCTCGGTACACGGTCCAGGATCACGTTAGATTTTTCGATCCGAACATTGAAAAGTGTATGAGCGCATAATCTGCAGCGAAACAGACGGGGACTTACATTCGGGATGCTCAGAGATGGGTTATGAGGTACAGTGCGTGTGTCATAGTATTTCTGTACTTTATCAGCAAGTTTGAAGTAAATTTATCTTGGATGAAAAGCAAAAGTAGCTGTTACCAACTTCATTAACGACAATCCCTCTACTATTGTTATACAAAATCTAATAATTATATCTCATCCCTAACGGTATATGATTACTATTATAATAAAGTTAGTTTAATACAGAGGATGTGGACTAGTGGTATGTAAAGGGACGCAGAATTTTTCTATGCTAGTAAAAGACTTTTTCATTCAAAAATATTGTATTCAGGATTTAAAACGATAAGTAAAACCCTGTTGAATAATCATGATAATAGACCGTACTGTGAACCAGGTAGCAAAAAATTAAATTAAAGCCCATTAAATAATCCACTTCTAGCCCGGTTCATTAACCTGGTCCATTACAGCCAAAGCTCGATATAGTAGAGATGAAGCAATTTTTTCTTTCAGCCATCCCATCTCATAAACAAAATATCTCTCTCTCCTATGCTCCTTCTACTCTTTGTACTTGTTAGCTTACTATTTTATCCCCGCACTTTATTTTCTCAACAATATCTCCACAGACATCTACCTCTTCTCTATAGGAAGCAGAACCTACTTCTTTAAGCAATTTAATAGATTTCTATCTCATACAACAAAAACATTTGGCAAATACAATAGTGGGTAAATCACTACAATTAAACACCCTCTCTAATAAAAAGCAGGATAATGTCTTTAGAAAAGTATAAGGGGTGCCATATTGAGTACATATTTTTCTTTAGATATATAGCTTTATACTACTATTAAACTACTTCAAAATGTTAAGCCTAACAGGCAAAATCAGCTTCTTACCTTGGAAGCATTGTACCCTTAATATCGCTGATGATAAAATCAAGTGCTTGTAGTTGTTTCAATTCCATCAAGAATAATCTTATTCTCGATTCGATTAGCAATGGATGAACACAGACCAATCACTGGTTTGAACCCCCCCCCCCCCCTTTTTTTTTTTTAATAATAATAATAAAAAAAACTTTAGCCTAGTAACACTGCTTAAATGTTTGACCGCTTTGATCTGCCCATAACAACTGTATATATAAGATTACTTTATTTTATTTTATTTTAACTTTAATTCTTATTCACACCATATTTATTATCATTTTGGAAGGTCGGACGGCTTTCTTGATATAAGCTTTTATATAAACTGGAATGATGTTTGTATTGTTTTTGGATAATACGGTCACTTCACCTGCCAGGTAAAGGCTGCAGGCCCGTACACAGCTTAAAAAAAAATATGGTCATGTTTTTGTTTTGTTTTGGATGTAGGCTGGGGTGCACAGAGCCAGCTTGGAAACACAGCTAGGCATCCGATCATTTGATTCGTCACTGTGGCGACATATTGATTTTATAGTTCTACGACCCCCCACCTGGTCTGGCTTTGCTTTCTGAAAAGACTCTATCCCTTTCCCATAGATTGCTTATACACTGCTTGAAAGAAAGAAAGAAAGAAAGAGAAAATATGGGATTTTTTTGGGGGTGATTTCCCATTATTATTATAACGCCCTGCATATGTGAAATAATAATAGATTGAGAAAACTATACGATCTTTTTACCAAGCTTGGGTAAATAGCTTTTAAACAAAATTGGAACAAAGCGGCTTAAAGCTAAAATACTATTAAATCCTGGGTACAAGCAAGTTTATTTGTAAAATACAGTTACGCCTTCTAACGCCATTGGAACCACCAGTTTACGCGGTTAATCAATGTCAAACGCGTCAGGAGCAGGTGTATGAAAAAAAAGCGGGTGGAACGTTGCTCTCTCTTTTTTTTTTAAAAAAAAAATTCTTCAATTACCAATTTCTTCTGCTTCTGCTTCTTCTTCTTCTCTCCTACACTTTACTTCCTCCATCGTTCTATACTTATATCAATCAATATGCCTGCCAACGGAAACCCTGGATGTTGCGGAACTACCTGCGCTTGTGATAGCACCAAGTGTGACTGTACTTCCGGTGCCTGCAAGTGCGAAGCTGCCAAGAAGAAGGATTCATGCTGCTCCGATGGGGCGTAAGTTTTGTTGTTGTTGTTTTTTTTTGCGGAAAAATAACCTCTGTTGGCTTTGTTGTTGTGATCTGTAGTAAATGTGCCCACAAGACCGTAGAGGAGAAGAAGGGCTGCTGTGGTGGTCACTGTTAAATTTGCCAGAAAGTACGACCATATGATGGATAGGGGTTCAAGCGGGGATTGTCCCATCATTAGTCAAAGTATTCTAGGATTTTTTAAACATGTATAAAACGAGGGTCTTTCTTTCTATTATAGCACAAGCGAACCAACGTTTGGTTAGAATTCTAACATAATAAATACACTTTAATCAACTAAAGAGGATCGAAATAATTATGTCAAAGTCAAGTATTACAATCCTTTACTTTCTTCTTATGTATGTAAAAGATAGTCATATGGACATAAAGAGAACATGGGTCTCTAAGAATTATCCAAAAAAAAAAAGATATGTAGTCAAGTAAACTATTGTGCAATACTTTAGAAACCATATTATTGAGTAGCCTCCAATTAACTTGGATACCACACACACACACACACACACAAATATCATATAACCCTTGTTGTACCATTGTATTAGAGTTGTTTATAGTAAAAGAAATCAAACGTATATTGTTTTTGTTTTTGTTTGGATAAGTAATTGTTTACCGAGATCACTTTGTTTATTTGGGATATGGAGAGAATTTTCAAATGAATACGGTCAAAAAGGCTCATAGATTAGGACCAATACAGCACGAAAGATGATACAATGGCAATCATAAAATGAGGTAATGATGCATTTGATACATTCGGTTCGGTTTGACAATTCAAATGAGATTGAAGCAACTGTTTCAAATGATTTTTTTTTGTAATTAAAGATTTTATAGATTCAATCCCTTGATGAGGTATTGATGATTAGAGTATGAAACAAAAAAAAAAGAATCAGCAAAATATTGGCAGTTCAATTGATTTTTTTTTTGCGTGCTTGACCAAAAAAAAAAAGTAAATACCATCAATAGCTCTTATACATAGAGATGTTTACTCTGTGATATTAATTGAAGTGGTTGTTAAACATTCACTCAAAAGTATGATTAAGATTCCTCAGGCTGTAAAATAAGTCTTTACAAATACTTTGGTCGCTCTGAAAGCTTAGCACTGAGTATACGTAGTTCAAGCCTGATCCTTTAAGCTTAATATTTACATTCATAAATTTGGGTTTCTGTATAGCAAATACAAGGTAGGTATAAGAAATACAAATGTATAAAACAAAAAGATGAAATTCAGTAAGGATCTATATTATGATGGGGAATTATAGTATTTATCCGTTTCAACTAAGAACTTGAGCTATCAAACAATTAGAGAATCGTCAACAATCATTTTTATCTCAACTTTTATGTCAAATTAAACATTTTAGTTACAAGTAGTACCCCCAACAGCTCAATTTAGTTTATTTTACGAAAAATTTACGGTCCTAAATTTTATCTCTCTGCTAAATTTGACAGGGATTTAAAAGTTTTAACTGAAAACGCTCTCAAAATCTATTTCAAAAAAAATTGAACTGTTGGGTGAAGTAGCTTTTTTCTTTGCTAACTTGACGGTGTTTGGTTTTACGAAAGATAAAATATAGCTGACTGTTGGAGATGCTCTTGACATAGCTACCTCGTCTATGAGCTTGAAACTTGGACTACAAAATATTTAAAGTATAATTTTGCGTTTTTTTTTCTTGATGTCATCAAATTCATTCGCATATAAATCATGCTCATAGTATCAAGCCAGAGAAAACAATCCAAAAGAGGTGCTTTTATTTTACTATAGAATCTTTTGATACAATCGAATTACAAGATAGTGCCAATATTGAAGAATTTGAGGGAACAGAAGAAGTAATAATAATAATAATAATAATATAGATATGGTTTCTACTGACCACCAAGGAATATCAAGTCTTCATTTTTCTTTCATTTATTAATTTTAATATTACAAATTAACAGAAACACAAGTGTGACCCACAGACAACCATTGTAAATAGCTAACACTTTATTAAGTATCTTTAGTTTTATCATTATATTAAAATACCTTTAATTTAGCGCATATGTATATATTGAATTAATTAAGTAATAAGATCTTACGGGTGGGCCTAGACCGCTCAAGATGATATGCATAGATAAACTTAAAAGTACGTTTTTTTTAAAAAAAAAAAGTTTCAAAATAGTAAAGTAAATGAGTTTGTTTCAATTTATTTATCTATAATAAAAAATAAAAACAAGCTCCATTTTAAAGAAATATATGTATATATATATAAAATAGGCCATTTTTCTCGCACCAAATGCTTGTAATTGTAGTATATATCTCTCTGTAGCTTAATCACCAAGAGCATTAGGAGCCTTTGTTTTCTATTAGTCTATCGTATCGTCTAAATAAAAGAATTCCATACTAATATTTACCCTTTTTTTTCTTGTTTGTAAATGCAGTAGGAATACAATGATGATCTAAATAAAGATTTTTTTTATCATTTAAAGCTGATGCATTTGAATATGTAAAATTAACATCAATCTCTTGAATTCTACTATGCGCATAATTGTTTTTGACAGTCGATTCAATTAAGTAGACAGATAAGATGATTGGGCTTTGTAGAAATTATATATATATATATATATATTTGTCCAATTCGCAATGGATTAATCAATAATACAGGATTATTTTATTGCTGTATAATAAGATTTATTGAAGCTACAGAATGCTTGGGCACATAATTTTCTAAGCATTAAACTTATTGAATTCTTCCAAACTCTAAGTCCTGACTGGGCCATTCCTCACAAAGTAAACATTCTTTGTAAAAAAATAAAAAAAATAAAAATAAAATTGAGCAATTTTGAGTACTCTCTTGAAGTTTGCTTATTATTATTTTATATTATACATAGTATCGTATGGTTTGACGGGATTGAGAGAATAACTGACGAGTGTATTGCGTTGTTCTATAGATTCTTTCTAGAAACGATCAAATAATAATAATAATAATAATAATAAACAAAAAAAAAATCCTCCATTTATTTGGATGAAAGTTGTCTCCATAGATACAACAAAGCTTAAAAAGATTAGATTAATTAAAGAAAGTTGATCAAACAAGCCAAGAAAAAGGGCTTTACTATTATTCATACAATTTTGGTTTCTCAGACCATGGACTTTGGGTGAAAAACTATATATATATATATATTATTACGATCAATTCTGGTATTTTTCTTTTCTTTTCTATTAAAACACCGAGTTGGATATTTCCATATGTTGTTGCTGGAAACGTCAATTAATATACACACAAGTATAGATTATTGATAGTTGTGATTACTTGACGGTGGATTGGTATTGTTTTCTAAAGTAATTTCTTTCTCTCTATTTTAAAAAATTGCCATGGCAATTGTAGTAAAATAAAGAGGTCTTGAGTACTCAATATAACAATTACCAATGATAGAATATTTATCGGCCCCAAAACAAAAAACAAAAAAGAATGGTTTTTAAAACAAAAGTTGTAAGAATTGTGTATCCAAACTCAAGATATGCCTTATTGTACAATATTGATAGTTACTACCAGTAAGCTTGTATGTGTAGAGTTTAAACTCTTTTGGAATGCTCGTATTAATTTTAATGCGTTTTAGACAGATAGATGTACTAATCAGACAGATGCTTCAAATGAAATATTATTGGTGAAAGGTCGTCGTATCAGATCTTCCTTGAATACCCGGATTGGGAAACGGCGTGCCAGTACTCACAATATAAGAGAGAAGGATCCGGGCTTAGTGGTCTATAAAATAATGGTACATAGGGCAACACGCTGAAAACATGATAAATATATGAATATTTACCTGAATGGCTTCCACTCTGGATCATGACATCGCTGATGCCTTGATAATGTGGTTTTCCGAGTAAATGATTTCCCACAGTTTGTGTATATACAGATATATGGACGTTTTCCGGTATGTGTCCGTCGATGCCTTGCTAGAGAAGATGACTGTGTGTTTGTTAGTTCATTTGAATCGTACACATATTTATTTATTTATATATATATATATAAAAAGATCTTACATCACTAAACGATTTACCGCATAAATCGTATTCGCATGTGTGGGGTCGTTCGCCAGTGTGCGTTCGAAAATGAACAGTTAAAGCCGAGCGCTGAATAAAGTGTTTGCCGCAACCGTTCCATTCGCAGCGGTAGGGCCTCTCGCCGGTGTGAATTCGACGGTGGCGGGAAAGATCGGATCTTCGAGAGAAACATTTACCGCAATCGTCCCAGGTGCACTCAAAAGGCTTATAGTATTCAGAGAGATGTTGTTCGGAAGAAGTAGTTGTTTCGTCTTCTTGGCTATTTAATAAGTTGCGAATGTCCATAGAGATAATTGGTCTTTACTTTTTGCTTTCTTTTTTAATCAATAAAAAAGACAGGCACATATAGAAATAGAAGATAATAGGAGGGATAAATGCTCCTTTTTGGACGTAATACCAAAGGACAAGGAGAATAAGATAAAGATAAAGAAAGAGAAGAAAGAGAGAGAGAGAATATATATATATAAATATATTTGGTTTTGAAAGAAACAAATACATATATGTATACGTAAAGGTTATTTAAATAAATAAAAATTTCATGGCAACCATTGTCTGGTCTAAATTTATAAACAGCGCATTTTTTGATGAATCACGGGGCAGTGTCTACTTGGAAGCAGAACCTTAATGTGTATTAAACAGTATAAATATATATATAGTATGAGTTGAGTGTGGCAAACGTGTGTAACCGATTCTGAAATGACATCTTCATACACTACCTTTCTTTACTCTCTTTGGTCCGTTTTGAGCCCAAAGACGGTCTATTCGAACCTTCAGTCCAAGTTCCTTAGACAAATTAACTCATAGTAGCTTTGATTATCATTCACACTATAGTCTTTATACATAATCTAAGAAAAAAAAAACCTCGTTCTGTATAACAGACACATCACCATACACAGAACTGAGTGACGTCCGCGGAGACCAAAAGAAAATCAAGAAAAAATAATAATAATCAAAAAGAGTGTAATGAGCGCGCTTAATGACAGGATAATCCTCTACTTTCTTTTTTTTTCTTTTTTGATGCTCGAGAATTACAAGCCAACCAATGATAATCAGGTACATTCTTTTTTAGCTGCTGTATATCAGCACGGATCCATTTTCTGCCCCAAACGGTAATACTTCTTTTTTTTTCTCTTTGCTGGTTCTGTTCGGCTCTTTGAATTGAGTTCATTATCAAGAATGAAAATAAACCAATTGTTTTGTCCCGATCACAATTAGAAGAAATGGAACTTGAGGGTTTGAAACTACACCATTAAAACCATTTGAATTGGCAGGGTCGACCTTTTTTTTTTCTCTCTCTTTATTGTTGCTGTTCTTGTTATTGCAAGAATACCTGAGGATCTTTACAAGCCTATAACATTCGGGCACTGGCGGGTTCGTGCGCTGTATTTTTATTTTTATTTTATTTTATTTATATTCAACCTCCCCCAATAAAAATTAAATATTTAATTTTATTGCTTGAGCCATATAAAGAATGAAGACAATGATATTTAACCAGCGTGATGTGTATGTATGATATTCTATTTATTAGATTAACAAACAATTAGTATCTAAAGCAATAAATACTATTCTTCATCTAATCCTTTTAGTAAATCTCAATCATAGCCATAAGCACGAGCCACATCAAGTGCAGAAAATAAAATAAGAAAAAATAAGAGTCTTTATCAAACATGTTTGATGTTGACCCAGTCCCTTTGCCCGTAAATCCGGGAATATAATTAATCAATTCTAGAGGCTTCTCATCTTAAATTGTTTTACTATCCTATCTACTGTACAAGGGCCATCATTTGTGGGTAGGAGAATGATCTAGTGAAACATATCTAGACTATTTTAAACAACAGGCCGTAACTAATAATCATAATATGGTAATCAAAAGGACCGGTTATCTTTATTCAGGACGAAGGCTTTACTGGATTTATTAGCTTCAATCATTACCAAAAAAAAATTAAAAAAAAAGGTCGTAACTAAGGATATCAATCATTTAACAAAAAACCTTACACTAGAACAAGCCAGAAGAAATAAAAAGACCAGCGGAGAACGGTATTCAAATATGCTGTATTTTTAAGAATCTTGAGTAATCAGGCGTTTGTTGGACGCGTTTGAATATATTTATATAAAGAAGCCTTCTAAAATACATCTCTTGAGAAAATCTAACCCCTAAAAAGTTAGCCCTTTTGCTTGGCTTTTGCGAATAGTGTAGATCTGATCAATGTGCCAAAAAAAGAAAAGAAAGAATTAAAACTCAATAATAACGAAAGAATACATTAAGTTTTATATTGGTTGGCTTCAATGCAAAGCACCGAGCGATTGGCTTTTTATACCTGAGAGAAAAAGTTTTGGTATTACAAAAAATAAAAAATAAAGACTAGATAGCTTATTCTAAGAAGCGTCGTATCACCACCGCAGACTTGGCTATTATTTACTTTCGGAAAAAAATGTTGTGTATCCATAACGTAGACCTAGTGAACCCACCAGATAACATGTTTGGTGTAGACAATGATCAAAGCTTGGGTGTGTTTGGAAATTGATGAGTCCACATATCCAAGTGTAGTAAAAAAAGAAAAAAGGGAATAAAAGTGTTCGTCTTTATCAGCGACCAGCGTGGACACATTTGGAACATAACTAAGCTTCATATAAAACGTTTACAAGGACATTTAGCAAAAATAATGGTCAGGGGTATCTTCTTCAAACTGACATATAGGGCAGAGGTCAGTTATCCACAAGATTGGTAATAATTTGAAATACAAAGGATCAAGCAGACAGGAAACTCCTTAGGGCTCTTTACGAAATCGTTTAACTGTCATAAGAAATTCAAAGTTTCCAAAAAATAATAATACGCTACTCGAGAGAGATCAGGATGGTGTATATGTGGGTGAATATGGCGACGAAAATTAGACGTAAAGGTTGTATACAAAGAGGTAGGTATAATCGGGCATGAGTAAGTTTTTATGCCGAGGTTGATCTACGAAAACGGTGGCAAACTGGGAGATACCCAATTGTGCAGTCGATTTTTTTTTCGTAAGAAGGAAGTTCATGATTCGACTTTGGTAACAAAGAACCCTTAGGGAGATATTAAAAAGACATTCTTAATATAAGAAGTTAGTGAGGTTGACAGTATACACCATCCGTATCAGATGACTGCCATTTTGGTTTTCTGTTTCATAAACATATAAATCACGCCAGTGTGAGTCGATTTATATTGTTCGACTGGTTTCATAATATTCTCTAGGCTTTCTTCATTTGCGCTTTTACCAACGGTCATATACTTACTGGTTGTAGCATCTATATTAACAAAAGAAAATCAGCTTCTTGTAATATGGGCGAATCGTATTGTATATGGTTCACAGTGACTTTTTCTTTTTTGTATTGTTGGATATTAGTAAAATCGTCAATCTATTGTATCCGTAATACGCCATAATACTGACATACACTACCCGATTAATTAAAATCAGTGCTAAACCGTTGTTTGCACTTTTAGAATGATATTTATTGGCTATGAAGGCACGCTAATACGCATTCATATGAGATTTCATATCTGAAGCCGTGATCTCATTCTGAATTTCTGATTTTAAAAGTATTTCCATTGCATACTAATGGAGCTCTTGTGATTGCATTCTTCATGTCGGGATGTTTAAGAATGAGTTTACTGATTTGATCAGAACCAGGCCGATTGTTAAATAGTACATTATATGCCAATAAGCTTCTTATTCGCATTGAGAAATATTGAAATTCAATTAACTTTTCAACCAAGTGTCATTAAGCCTGAATCGAAAAAAAAAGACTTTCTTTTTTTTTTATATTAGTATAGACAGTGATCATAGACACGGAATTTGGAAATTAAAAAGGAAGATCGAAAATGTAATATGGTATAATCCCGGTAAGAGCTCCCGAGGAAGAAGTAAGAGGAAAGGAAGAAAGTCCCGAAAAGTGGGAAAGTGTTGGGTCATTGAGGCAGGGAGAAAGGAGAGTGGGAAATCAGTCCAAGGAAACGGATCGTAATCGTAGTTTTCGAGTCCCGCAAGCAAATAGAAATTACTAAATACAAAGATCTGTAATGTATCTATAATAAAGCTGGTTTGTTTTGTAGGAAACACAAGGAGCCAGTGAATGGTATGTAACTTTTTCTACAGATCTGAAGAAGAAGTATTCGTGACTTGCTATTCTTTTTTTTATTCACTCAAGCTTTTATAATTCAGAAAGCAAATACTAGGTAGCGCAAAAAGAAACATATCTCGTAATCACTTCTTCACAAAGAGATGGGTAAGATCAGGAGTTTCTTGTCTCTACCAAAAAAGAAGAGTGATATAAAGCAGGTTCAAGCAGAGACCGAGTGAGAAACAGCCGAAAGAAAAACAAAGATATGCTGAAGTATAACTAAAGAAACCAGAAAGATTTGAGTGATTAAATGTGACCAAGAGGGGAAGAGAGGAGGAAGGTCTTATCCAAGACCTCAAAGTATAAGTACTTACTTTCTAATTGTCATCGTACGTGGTATAGCAATATACTTTTAGAAAGAAGGCTGTGATGAAATGGATCTCTCATTAAAAGGGCTTGCTTCTTTAGTAATGAGAGGTAGAGATATGTTAAAGGTGATTTAGATATTAAGATAGGCTTCACATTATCATCACCGTCCCAAGTAAAGAATATGAAAAAGATCCGTGCTTAATAAAACTATAGCATAATTGAATACAATAGAAAGTAATAATAGTATAATACGAATAAAATACCCTTTCAAAAAATATCTACTATTAAATGTCAAATTGTCATTATATATTTTCATTAGAGAAGTTTTTCTCGTTATGCTAAAAAGAGAGCCAAATGAACATACAGTTTACTTTTTCTATAGCAGCCGACAGATATATTTTATTTTCTGTCTAACTTACAAAATGAATAAATCATGTTTACTGTAGATTCATAAAAGTTTGTTCTGATTTACATGAAAATTGCATAGATTGACTATCACTATCACTTGGCTGATCATAATAAACCACAGGTGAAGTAAAATAGTAATAATAATATGCAAATTGAATTTTATGGTTTGTGCGTCAAACGAAAGAATGAAAGACAGGATTTGGCTTATTTGATCAACATGAATTGACCAATAAAATTAACGTTATTTGAAATTCTCCAGTGCGCATTGAAATTTTAACTTGCGCAAATTGGTACCGTGAGTAATGTACCTCCACCACAAAATAGAATAGGGAAACCGTTACTGCAACAAAGCGGGGCCTAATCTTTGTACGAGTCATTAGGTTGGACAGCTAAGTAAATGCAATGATAAATAAAATAAAAAATACAAAAGTGATGTACAGAGACTCTTTTGATGCTAGTGATGCTGTAAGAAGAGCTGACACAATAGCAAATTAGAGGTTATAGGAACAACCATACTCTTGGACACTCCGAAAATAAACTCTTTAAAGAAGTTGTATTCTGTTTATAAAGCCATATTAAGAATCTAATATCAGAATATATATATATATATATATTTATATATATATTTATATAATGATGAACAGGTAGCGTAATATAGAATAAATTAAGATTAAGTGCTTCGATCATAATTGGCCATAGTCGCATGCTTGCCTTTTTCACCAGCGGACGAATCGGTAACAAAGATTTTTGAAGACTCATCAATCCAAAATGTATAGCTTGGTGCGACTATAACAGATGTCTGTGCTGTAACTATGTGGGACCCATTCTCTTTCTTCTTATAATACATTAAAAATGGAGTTTTTTTAAGCTGTAACGCCGAAAATGGTTTATTAAATCAGGCTTATAATCCTTTAAAGAAAACTTTATAAAAAAGGTGTTGTCTAAACCACCAAAAAATATTAGTTAATATTGTCATTCCCATTTGAAAACCTGATATGTTAGACTCATAAATAAATTTACGTCTTCACACATAGTGTATATAAAGCAGAATGTAGCCAATCTAAAATATCTTGTGGCCAAATTAGAGTTCTATAGTTGCTACAATCATAATTGGAGTAAAGAACTGTTGCACTGCTATGAACAAATCGGTGGGTTGACCCGGACCGTAGTAAGTGCCAAAGAAGAAACAGACTAAAAATTGTGTACACAGTAAATACTCCTGGAATTAACAATGTATTTTGAATGATTGTGCACAGTAAGCAAAAACAAAGTAATTATCCAAGTTTATTTGCTTATTCAGTAATAAAGTTCGAGCATATAAAGAAGTCTTTCGTTCTTTCATTATTCTTCTTATCTTTCTATTAATATACATAATTACAAAAAAAAGTATTGATGGCTAGATTGCTTTTCTTTTCTTTTTCATATTGACGTGATGTTTAATTAAGTTTGGCACTGGGAAAATAAATAAATAAAAAAAGAAATATCTGGGCTACTAGTAAATTCTTTACTTGGCAACTTCTTTAATCAGTATGGTTTATACTTTATACTTAAAGGCTTAGTAACATTCACAGGCCGTTGATGCAATGATATATGATGGGTGTTACTATAATAGCATCTGGTGATACAAATCAAATTAAGTTTTCCTTCTTTCTTTGGAAAAATTGTTGCTATTGTTAGTATTTGTACTGGAACTGGCAGTGCGAGGGGGTTTTTTTTTTAATATTTCCAAAATATCATAGAAAGCTTGAAATTATACATAGGTGATAGCTATACGGAATTATTAATGTACCTTATATACTATTATCTGTTGTGCACAGACGCAAAATATAACATTATGTAAATATATGAAGGTTTATTATGAACAGCTGTCATTCGAAAACGACGCCGTTGTCAGTAGATAGCCACATATTAGACAGAATAAATGAAGGGGGTTATCTGTCATACTAAAACCCCATTATTTGTTTAGGGACTAATGTTGAATAGGTAGATGTGGAAATTGTTCATTTTTTATCTATAAGAACGACACACGGTTAATGAGGCTGAGAGTGTAAATGCAGTAGTCAACAATAACACTAATCAATGCCACCTGGATGTTTAAACAAGCGCAGAATTCTTGAAACAGACGTTGAGATGCAGAAAAAACCTGTCTTCAAATACCAAAATTAACTTTAAAGGGTTAATTACCGGACGTCAATACTTCTGACTAAAATACCAAGCAATATATATTTTATGTAAAGTATACAAAGTATCCAGAAAAATAAATAACAAGATTCCAAAAGGAATGTCTCTAGAAATGTATTCATCTTAAAATCACATTATTTTCTGTATCTTCCCACAATATCAAGTAAGAAGGAAACATTTAAGCTTATCGTTTAAGGTGTCGATATGACACAGCTTATGCTACGTAATTATCAAGAGGTCTCCTGTACCTTTTATTCATCAAGAATTATCATCGAACATCATTCTAATCATTTTGAATATGACTTACCGTAATTGTCAAATTACCCCAGAAAACAAATCTATAATATTTCTTCTATATTCCTATAAGATTAATCTAATTATGACAGTCGAGTACAATACTTGCAAGGCTTAGGATAATATAAGCGTACTAATTATCGGCTACGAGTCGTCAATACATTTGGAGAGGAACTGTGGCTCATTGAAACGCTTAAAAGGAAATATATGACCTAAAACATTATATACAATTTTTTTTTAAAAAAAAGTGGATGAGCAAGTAGTGTAATTTAATGAGCATCAGACTTACTACTGTAACGATACTCTTATCGTTGAAATAGAATTGTAATGGTGGTAAACAAACCAATTGTTATATTCAGTATTATTGAAATAGTGATTTATTTTGATAAAACCATAATGTCATCTAAAAATAACAGATAACATCAAAACATATAACATTGGAGCAGTAAATTAAAATATATTTGTCTGCACCCTTGTTCAAATTCTCTGTATAGTATTTATGAGATATAAACAAGTCCAAAGTCTGGTATTAGAGATAAACCTTTTTGAAAGACGAATATCTAATGCACACGCACGCATTTGCTGAGCTTAGCAGTTAGCTGATAACCATCTGGAAAAGATAAATGAGAGAGTATCCATGGTCTTTTCCACAGCTTCGCAAATTCATATATAATGGGCTGTGATAGTATAAGAGAACTATAGATGGTATAAATGGAAAGTGGATCTACAGCCATATACTAATTCATTTAGATTTTCTTGATTTCTCATCAATCTATATTTATTTTTCAGATTCAATTTTTGTAGTGTATTTCTCACCTTATCGATGATAATACCGCCTCTATTTTATTTGCCTAATATGTCATGTAAAATTCTAATTGTTGGGGACTTCCAGTAGAAACATCAAGTGTTTCCGAAATAGTGGTTCAAAATATAAAGAAAAACATAGCTAACACTAGTAGTATGTTGTGTAAAAATTCTACCAAAATAAATTGTGCAGAATATAACAGTTATCGTGTACTCTGAACATTGTACTAATAGGAACATATGTACTCGACGTTTTCAATATTTAATAAATAACTTTTGTTGTATATATATTTGCCATCTGGAATACAATAGAAAACACAAAACATTACTGAAAAGATCGCTGGTTTTAGGATTGAACTTTGGCCAAGTCGAGTTTCGGTTTCAATAATGCGTGGGTTGTACAAACGATGGCCATAGTGACGATACAGAAAGATATGTTTCATAGTCTGAGGAAAGTCCTTCTTATTATAAGTCTCGGTACAGCAATCCGATGTCTTTTTTTTTAAAAAAAAAAACAATATTTAACTAACACTCTCATCACATGGCTGTGCACCTATTGTATAACCCACAACAGTATCAAACTGGGGATTACTAATGAGAGAGATATTGGTGCATAATTAAGGATATAAGCATCATTTACAGCCATTCAATTCCCAAAAGTCTAGGCATTGATAACTCATTGCGCAATATATGTAATGATAATGGATACTTTCATAACATTCATTCTATAATCCAGCTGAAATTGCTAAAAGGAATCAATGTCATTATCCTTTCATTTTGCATTGGTTATCAACTTACCGACTCTAGGTTCTTTATAATCATAACAATACGCCCAATATCACTAAATAAGTTCTTAGCTCACAGTCTTAATTGCGTTGATTTGTCCATTCACACATATAGAATTAGACTGACGATAATTAGGCCAGAACATTTATGGATGTGATTAGCACCAAAAAGATCTGGAACCGATTCGCTCAAATTAGTTACAGATACTGCGAGAGTAGTTCTTTGGAAGACTTGGATAATACCTCCTTTAGCGTGAAGTTTATGTAAGAGGGGATGCAAGCTTAGAGCGACAGAAATATGTCAGTTCTAGGGTTTACACCGAGAGTTGTTTCTTTCGGTGATACCACCGGCTTCCATCCAATTTTTGGTTTATGCATCTTTAAAGAAGAATAATAAGACATCAGTAGTGACCCAAATCATTCACAAAATATGTAGTCTTGGGCTAATTGGTATTTTACTTAGTTGGATTTGTTTTTTTTTGCCGGTCCTGAGGTTACAGTGACTATGTTGAAAGTAACTGGTATCTATTTCGTCTTCCACGCATCCTTTGTTACTTTCAATATATTTCTCGTTGATCTGTCATCATTTTTCTATTGTCTTTCACATGTTGCATAGACAAGAGTACTTTTTCTCCCCTCTATAGCTTGAATATTGTAATTCTCTGCTGCTGAATTGGCTACATACTTTTGAGGTGAGTTAGCCGTCAATAGGGGTAAAAGGTAACCCGCCTTAAGCTTCCCTATTTTTCTTTAGTGCGTTTCAGAGCATACCTATGACCCCGACACAAGCTCCCCGTAGTTTGTCGTTATCTTTACCAAACATACCAGCACCGAATACAATTAGCAAGATCTTTTCTTTGCCTTGTTCGCTCTGAAATATGAGTTATATATTATTATGGTCCTCCTAATTGCGTAGTAAATAACCTACATAATATTACTTTTCCAACTTGCTTTTTATTGAGAACTCTTATTTTTTTATCCTTACTTTTGGTCTGGCTATTATTCTGGCACAGAATTAATCGACTTCTGAATGAGCTCTAGCAATAAAAACTAAAGAATGTGACCAAAGAAGTGAACATATATTTTGCATACAATTGACAATTAAAGATCTTGAAATTTTGGATGTTGAAACACATGTTTCAATATCTTCTTTTTCTTTTGCTCCTCATTTTTTTTTCAATTGAGCTCGGACGTTGGTGGATCTGATGAGGCTGTGATCTTTCTTCGTATTACATCTTCAGAATTAAGTGTTACTTGAAACACAGGTTTTCGTCCATAGCCCAAAGTAATTAGAAATTATTTAGAATCGGTTTTTGTGGGATAATTCCTCTAAATACAAGCTGGAAGTCCTAAAGCACTCCTCACTGATTGACTAGTATGTTTTTCACTAAAAAATAATAACGAAAAAATTGACTGTATAAACATTTGCTTTGACTACAGATCCATATCAACGGTTATCACAATTTATATATATTCCGCAAGATCAATCGAGTTAAAAACCTTAGTAAATCCAACATCCTGGCTTATTTACTTACGCTTAAAAGTAACATCACTAAAAATATTTTTTGGTTTAAGCACATACTTATTATACACTTTGAAGAATTGTTTAATAATAATAATAAAAATAATAAAAAGGGAGCATTTTTGATCCAAATGGGCAAGTTAAATACAAAAAACAGTAATAAATCCAAATGCGTCAAGTAAAGTAGTCTTTCATTTGTAAGAAGTTTGCTAGAGCACATTAAGATCCACTATTAAAGCACTGTTTTACATTAACTGCTCAAATATTGATCAAACCATCCCATTTCTTCACTCTAGAAAAAACCATTTACTAATGGAAAGTGAGCTATGTGCACCAAAAAGTCCATTCTGGATACCACTTTTTTCTCAGGACAACATCCGAAAAAAATTGAAAATTTAAGTTTTTTGTCTGCTAAGTAAAGTTGTGTATAAAGAAAATACATTCCAGACAGCGCTTGTTTGAGCTAGAAAAAAAACAGATATTCATGGAGATATCAATAGATTTAAAAATGCCAATATCAATGTTTTTACCACTCGAGCAAGCTGTTTAAATGTCTGACAGTAAAAGGATGTGTGCACCAAAAAATTAATCTTACTGTGCGCATGCGAGTGTTTTGTAATATTATTTAGCATCGAGAGCTATCAGGATGCTAATGGAATTTATGTCCATAGAATATTATATATATATGTGTGTGTGTATTTGTCCATTAGAGTATTTTTGTAATCAAAATCTTGTCATATTTCACCTAAACAACAACCAAATCAAACAACGGCGATACTTCTAAGGAAATGTTTCTTCAAATGAAATACACCAAAATAAAACGATGAAGTAATATTGACACCGAGAACTTGTAATACTGATATATAGTAGCTGCATACTTCTTATCACTACCAGTATATTAAATATAATAATAGTGATGATTAGCAGAGAACAGACCAAAATGCTCATAAAAAACAGAACTATAATGGGTTTATGCTGTAGAAGGTTTGGCCTGTTGATTTCAAGGAGTATAAAAGTACGTTACCCCAGCTTAATCCTAAATGCTATGCAAAACCTGTTGCAGGATTTTATAGTTCATTCCAGCTCTAACTATATAGTTCCAGTCTTCAAGGTTAGCAGCTAGGCGTACTTTCCCCCTATTTTAAAATAAATAAATCAATCAAAAAGTATCATACAAAGGTGTCTTTATTAAACACTGGTTAGAATTTCAGTAATTCTTAAAGTTTCCTTGCTGGTAAACATCTTAAGTACTGTGGCTTTACTAATAGTTCAAACCGTTGATCTCTTTTCCATATATCCAAAGATCCATTAAATAAGAATAATAAGAATAATGATACACTGTTGGGAGACAAATGCACCGTTAGGGGCCAATAATACAATGGTAATCCGAAGAATACCCTAATTTAATTAAATAAAGAACAGAGAACCCTCAGCTCAACCTAGTGATTCAGTACATATTCCCGCGTACAGATAAAATAAGTCAGAATATCCAAAAAAAAAAGACTATAAAGCTAGCAGAAAGTAAAAACACATAAACATCTACCACTGAATGAAACACAAATGGACAATTAATGGGTCGCCCCAGAAGATAGGGTGCCACCGAAGAGTCGATTCCAAGTCCCTTTAGCCTACGAGTAAAATATATTTACAATAAATCAACTCTTTTTGAGCCTATATACATAACACCTATGACTATTTAAGCCCTAACGGATAGTGAAAGATGTCGCAAAGAAGACAATGGAATTTTTTTTTTGAAATTAAAGGTCAAAGAAATATTATATATCTAAGCTTGCCAGGATTTCTCTAAATACGTTATCATCAAGGAACTCAACATGATCAAGTCAGCATTGAACTGCTGTAAAACAAACCAAAAACACTTCAAAGGCATTTTACTTATTTTGTCCAATTAAAATAAAAGATCGGCTCTTGTGAATGTGGATATAAGAATCAATTATGTGAATTTGATTAGACAATTTCTTTTTTAAGAGAAAATATACCAATAGTTTGTGAATTATTAATAAAAACACAGTGTAGAAAGTTTAAATGTAACATAAGACTTATTTATTACTTTTTGTTTTTTTTTTGGGGTGAAGAGCTTGGACTAGATTTTAATGTGTGTAAGCCTAGTAAGCTTTGTTTTGGTCAGATCAATATATCACATGTTTATACAAGAACAAAAGATTCCTAGACAAAAGCACATAAAATATGTGCAAGATAATTTTTTTTTTCAAGTTATCATATTTGTATAAAATATAAACTATTATAGCCCTGTGGGTGTACATTAGAAATATTTACACATTTTATAATCAATATCTCCTAAACCCCTTTGTCTCCGAGAAATTGTGCTGTGACTACGGCTAATTCAACTTGGGATCTTGATTATCATTGTCCCTATTCTTAACTACATAAATTTATTACGCATCTTATATAAGTTTGTGAAACCAGAATTCCATAAACATGCCAGGAATCACTAGGTATATTCATGACAGCTGTATAATCAATCGATATCAACCTCAAACAGATCTTACTATAAGTTAATCTTGGTACCTTTCAACGACAATTATACAAATATGATAAAGAGGTACGGGTGCGATTAATGACCTTCTTCTTAGTTTTGTTTTATCTTTCATTTCTATATCAAAATATATATAGCCTTTTATTTTATTTTTGCTCAGACCAGGCACCCCAGCATACCCCGCCTTTAAGCTGAGCCTAACTACCTATATCGTTTGGCTTTATTTGATGAATTTTTGAATTTGTTTTCACTATCCACCCTTTCCTCCTCCTCTTCTTCTTCTGCTTTTTTCTTTTCTTTTTCTTTTTAAACATCAACATCTTGTCTTTGCAGAGCTACTTAATTTCACATGCGCCAACTCCACACTCTATACTCATCCTTTCATCGTACATCAATATCCCCTTCCATACAATGCCAACATTACATCACTACATTTCCTCGTTCAAACACACTCCAAAGATATGCCATTGCAGCATCCCAGCCTTTTCAACAGAATCTATCGGTAAGCCTGTCAATATAAATCTTTAGACTTGATACGTTAAAGTCTCCTGTATAGAATATTCGACAAACCAAGAGAGAGAGAGCGAGGAAGCCAGACAAACATTCAGCTGGATAAAAATAATAACGATTTATTGCTTATATATATTTAGACTTCTACTGAACCGATAGTTCTTGAAGCAGGTCTACCACAGGTAATTCCGACATTCGAGATTTAGGTTTGAGATTCTCCAAGCTCATTTATTGGGATCATTATAGACACATGTTCTTCATCAAAAGATATCTGGGGCACGCATGTTTATTCTCAACAGACCAGAGAAACTCAATGCCCTTAATCTTGGAATGATTAGAAATATAGAGCCACAGTTAAAGGTAAACGGTTTTTTTTTCTCTTTTAGAATAAATGCTAATAGTAATAATAACTTATTTATATATTAATAGGCTTGGGAGGTATCCAAACTAGCAAAGGTTATTTTGATGAAGGGTACTGGAAGTGGAAAGTTTTGTGTTGGAGATGACATATCTGGTAAATATAATATTAGATGGTTTCTTTTATAGATTACGGATTTGTGATGTATATGATATGTGTGTGTGTGAATATATACATATATACATATACCATTGTTTGACTGGAATGAAAGCAGAGGTTCTGTTAAAAGTTAAATCAAAAGATCCGGATGCGCTCTACTTCTTCCAAGAGAAATTTGGCTTAGTGCAGACAATTGCAACATTGAATACGCCATATGTTGCCATATTAGATGGCTATGCATGTAAGGACAACTTCAAATAATGGATTTAGTAAATATCATTCACACAGTCATTTTCTGATTAATTGGGGCTTTACTTTTTTTTTTAGTGGGAGGTGCTACGGGACTTTTTGTACATTGTCCATTTCGAATCGCTACCGAAAAGACCATATTTTCGCTACCTGAGGCCAGTATTGGAGCGTTTCTCAGTTCAGGCTCGAGCTTTTTTCTACCTAAGCTCGATGGTGAGACGGGAACTTATTTGGCTTTGACTGGTGATCGGTTACAAGGAATCGATACATTGTGAGCGTGAGCTTGTTCTGTATGAGGAGGGTACGAAGAATACACAAGACTCATGCGGTCTTTATTACAGCTTTGCTGGCATTGCAACTCACTATGTGCCGTCGTCCCGATTATCAGCCCTAGAAGATCGGCTCATTGATCTGGAAACATCTGAACACGAAATCATCCAACGTGTACTCGAGGAGTTTGTAGATCCTGTGGCTACGGACAAAATTGGATTTACACCAGTTGTACGTGAAACAATTGACAGGTAAGAAAAATATAAAAAGTATTACTCGAGTGAGAGATAGATAGAAAAACACCATAAATGATAGCTATATAAAGATGTATTTATACATATATTTTAGATGCTTTAAATACGACAGTGTGGATGAGATTATTGGTGCACTGGAAAACGAAAAGTCGACTACGTGGATAAGAGAGACAAAGAAGAAGATCATGTCAATGTCACCAACAAGTTTGTGTGTTACCCTGAAGACACTGAGAAAGGCTCAATTTATGTCATTTAATGCTTGTCTTAAACTCGAATTTGATCTTATTCAAAAATATCTAGTAAGTTTCAAAGACAATAACAATTATACGGTGGAAAGAAATTTCGTTTTGTGTGTGTGTATGGACCAACCATGTTCATTCACAATTACAGGTCACCAAAGATTTTCACGAAGGCGTCATTGCAGCGTTTTTGAGTAGACCAAGAAGAAAGCCTCAATGGCAACCGAGCTCACTTGAGGAAATAACTGACGACGATATCGATCAGCTGTACTTTAATGAACCATCACCAAATGCACTCACATTGCCGTCTCGACTCGATATTATAGATCAATACCCTTATTCTCGTTTCGCTCTTCCAACTGAGGATGAGGTTCGACGTGCAGTTACAGGCGAAGGTGCAGAGTTTGGATTTGAAGGTCGACTGAAGGAAGAAAATGATGTGATCGAATGGTTCGAAAAGGGTCACAAACGAAAGTGGGGAGTTAAAGAAAAGGTGCTCGATATTCTAAGGCGCAAAACAGTATCCACTGAAGATGGTCTTGCATGGAAACGCACATTATAGATTTGTAAAATGCGCCTTTTTATTTTTTATTTATATAATGCCATATAACTTTATATACATCTCATATTTATCTACTTTATCTTATTATAAGCATTCATTTCAAGCGTTCCTTTTTACACAGAGAAAAAAATCAAGCATCTGAAATTATGCCAAAGTGTGTGACGCTGATTTTGTACTTCTTTGTGTAAGCCACACTGAATGAGGTTCCTTTGTACCTGGAGGAACTTGTCCAAGATATATATGTATATAAATAAATAAATAAGAATATGGAGAATCACTACACTGTGTTAAATATATCGGAAAGTGCTACTACGGACCAGATTAAGTTGCGGTATAAAGAACTTATTCTTAAAGTAAGCGAAGCAATAATAATAGTATTTTACATTTTAGTCGTTGTTTCTACATGAAAACAGTCTATTGAGTTTATTTAAAAGTCTAGCATCATCCAGATAAGCATACTGCAAATACATTAGATGATGGAGACTATGCTCATCGTATTCTCAAAGCATGGGAAACCCTGAGAGATGCAAAGAAACGTCAAAATTATGATGCAGAACTAAAGGGTAAATTACTCCTCTGGTCACATTCTGCAGTAACTTATTGCGAATAATCTACAGCAAATCGATTTCAACAGCCCGCGATCAATGCAGAGGTGGATTTGGATGACATGGAATATGATGAAGAGACGTGTACATTCTCAATCGAATGTAGATGCTCTGGAATCTATGCAATCAAGGAAGATGATATGGAACAAGGGATTGACGTAGTTTGCTGTGATCTGTGCTCTCTTCGGATACGAGTACTGTATGATGTTTTAGAAGATTAAAGATCGTCATTAATACTACTCAAAGATTGTGTCGATAATTGTTTAGTTTAAATACTTGACTACTAAGAAAGGTTTTACACAATCAATTTCTTATCAAATATCCACATATAGAAAGTTGGATAAATCTGGCACTCTAAATTTTGATACAACTATGCTTTACTGTCGTTCTTGTGATTAGAGTATTATTAAAATTTAACGCCGCGTATATGTATGTTACTTTATGCTGTTTGCATTTAACTCCATGAATCTGATAACCCTGTTTTTGATTGAATTAAATATTAAAAAAAAGTTGATTTGATGCTTGTATGGATACTCGATCAGTTGAAATCTTAATGTGGAGAATCGGTGATAAGCGGAGCCGAAGAAGTCTATGCAAAATGTGTAATTATTTCCTAATATTTTACCAGGAGAATGTATCTTTTATTATGTTTAAATATAAAAAATACAAAGGGATGATATACTGCACAGTGTCATGATAATGAATCTTTTTAAAGAAGGTAAACCCTACATCAGCCACTACACCCTACTGCCCTTGTCATATCCATGCAAGTTGTGTTATATATTACAGGGCAAGAAGAAGAAAAAAATAACAACTGTGACCATTGGTCATATTAAAATCTAGTTTTGGTTAAAAAATGCAAGATCAAAAGAATAAATACAGCTTTTGCCTTTTCCTTTTTGCACAATGACGCCTAAATTTCGGAAATTAAATATCCCGATATTCTTTTTTTTTTTCTTTTTTTAATTGTCGAATAAAATGCCAAAAGAACCAAAGGCCTGTCACAAGGAATCATTAGCCTTTAACTAAATGTCGCTCCTCCGTAACCTACGTTTATTGATGCCTCTTAATGGTAGCCACCGATGGATGACAACAGCAAAACCAAGCATTCCGGAAAGAAAGAAGATTGTGCTTGATGACAAGGAATTGATCGAGACGTTTGTAAAGGGATCTGGACCAGGGGGACAATGCATTAACAAGCGTGTAAGCTGCGTGGACTTGCGCCATATTCCAACCGGTACACGAGTTCAGGCAAGCTCTCGGATTCATTGTGGATAGCAAACCATGGCAAAGTCCAACATTTTTTCTTCTTCTATGCTTCTTCAGTGTCAGCAGACAAGATCGTTGCAGGAAAACCGTGGTATTGCACGCAAATTAATGAGAGAGAAGTTAGATGATCTTTTTAACGGAACTTTGAGCAAAAATGCCCAAAAGGCAGCAAAAGTATCCAAACAAAAGGCTCGAAGTGCTCGTCGATCGAAAAAGAAGTATGCAAAATCTGAAGAAACTTTGGCGCCTGAAGAGACGATTGAATCGAAGTCCATGCCTGAATAATAACGAAATCAATACCTAAAGAGTGGGAAGATCTAAAAAAAAAACATCGACAACACCACTACCACCGCCAAAAATAAGTTTATAGCACTACATAAGAAGCGAGGCTCTTTAAGAATTATATATTTAGCGTCATTGGTATTATATATATGTATAAAAAAATACAAGCAAGATTGAGGCATCAAATGGCTTGAATGGTGTTGGATCTCAAACTGATGATGCGTTCTACTGCAGGAGTTAGTAAGGACGATCCTCCTTTGAACTAATCAGTGCATAGCGAATGGCCATTGGACCCAATGTAATATTGTTAGGGTGGCAAACTTTACACTCTATTATTTATCCTTGACATATCCACTTGCCCGGTCTTATATACCATTAGTTCAATTGAGGGTCTGCCTTCTTTGCTTTTGACTTTTACTTTTCGACACAAAATAAAAAAAAAATAGTAGGATATTCTTTTTCCTTCAAGATATATAAATACAAATCGCTCTCTATAAAAAGGACATCTGGACTGAATTGCTTCTAATACGAATTACAAAACAGTTACAATAATCAAAGATTTCATTCTCTTACATTTAGGTTATCTGTTTCTTTTATTTATGCTTAATAGCCAGAACACACAAGCACGTGTGTGAAATTTAACATTTTTTTTTAACTTCATACAAGCAGCTTGCTCATCGTCAATATATTGTTTGTTTGTTTTTTAATAAAAGAGACTAAAAAATATATTGCTAGTTTTATTGCAATAACCTCAGTCTTTTTTCTTTCGCTGTATTCTTACAATAATAAAAGGTAAACTTATAGATAAAACATTTAATATTTATTAAGTAACTTTATTCTTGTGTATATAAGCGACATTAATAAAAAAATGGCCCATTAGAACTCGAGGATTAGGATAGGCGTAGAATATATAATATTCTATGCAAACGACCGGAGGAGTTTTTTCTTTTACTCTTAAGACTTGCATATTAAACTTGATAATACGAGAAAGAAGAAAAAGGAGGCTATTCATAGACTAGGATGACGTCCTGCCCAAGACACATACACGCACAGAAGAAGAAAGAACAAGAAGCTAAAATAAGATAATAAGATAATAAAAACTTTGTTAGCAATTGAGGGGTCAAGGGGTGAAAAGAAAGGCAAGCCAAGAGGATAAAGCTTGTATAAGGAGTTCACGCTTATACCTTGGTAAAGGAAAGTAAAATAGAGGCATTCAAGTTATTCACTCTTGTCTTTATTTACATCATACTCTCTCACTTCTTGACATTTTTGTGCCAAGAATCATACCCTTTCTCTTCTTCTTTAGTCAAGAACTATGAAAGACACCACAAGAACAACCAACAGCATCAGAAATAGCAAAAAATCATTGGATAAACCAGCAGAGTCATTAAACGTGTCAGTCCAAATCAACCAGGATTTTAATAATTATTGTCCACACTCCATATCTTACTCTCAAGTAATCAAAGGCAATGATGCTGCTCATCGCATTGAGCTATACCAGACATTTTTTCAAATGTGCATAAATGCCGATCCTAAGCTCAGAAAATGGATCAATAAAGTTGACCAAAAAGGTCTTCCGGGATTAATGACCCAAGGTAATTATTTTACTCTACTCAAAAGCATAATTTGATCAGTGCATAAGAAAAAAAAGTTAAATGAGATCACTAGCAAAAGCTCAAAAAATAATTAAATCATATGAATCAGGTTATTGTCCTCCACCAAGACAGTCAATTGACCAGTCAATGCCAACAAAACGTAGTTCTGGAGTGTTCGATCGTATGAGTGGTTCAGTAAGCACTCTGTTCCGCAAAGCTACGGCATCTGTGCCGCCTCGACCGAGTGGGCCCAAGAGTACCGTTGACCCGTCACCCAAGCCTTCCTCGAGCAGATTTTTGGCTAGTTCGTTTGGTCAACTTGGGTTTTCGCGATCTACTTCACGCGTACCTTCCAAATCCGAATCCTCTAGCTCAAAGTCATACCAAAATACGCACAGTCACACAAAGTCATCAATGGATGATGAGCGTTTGAGAACAATGAGATTTTCATTCTCAACTTGTAGCAGAAAAGAAAAATCAAGTAGCCACTCCCATAACAAGTCTCCAAATACTTTTGGGCATTCGAGTGCAAACTTCCTTAGCTGCCTGAAGTTTCAAGATGCTCGTATACCCGGTGATTTGAAGGATAAGCATTTTCTGCATTCAGCAACAAAACCTAGTAAGAAGCAAAAAAGCGCAAGTATCAATTGGGGTAGAGGAAAGCGTGGAAATCATGGATTGAATGAGGCATCAAAAAGCCAGTGTTTACACACTACACCTATTATTGAAATACAAAGAATATGGACTCAGAACTCTGACCCTATGGGCTCTGTCAAACAGGACTACAAGGATTTGTGTACACATGACCCAGTAGTTGCAACCATTCATATGCCTCATGATGAGCAAAATAATAAATCGAGGCGGTCATTTTTGAAGGAAAGGCGGCTCCCTCTTCCGTCGCATTTACTTTACGTCAGAAATAGTGCACCCACCTAAAGACCTATTATCAATTATCAATTCCTCTTTGTACACTTAATAGCTTAGCTTGTATCTTAACATCAAATATTTACACCATAATTATTTACTAAATCAAAATAATCTTAATAATAATAATAAATATATATGTATATGTATATGTATGTATTCTATAATCTATTTCCAACAAGATAGGCATTACAAGAAAAATAACTTTGATAAACTCTACGAAACAAAAAAAGAAGTATATAAGCCGATATTTAGGCTATATGTCTTAGTAGGGTTAAGAATAATTGATCGAACAAGTTATCAAGTGCTATCATTTTCATTATTTCATTTGACATCTCAAGTAACCCGACTCTTTTTATTTGTTTGGGTTTTTTATAGTTTGACTTATACAACCTTTAATAACATGGCAAAAGAGTTTTGTACCAAGAATCTGTACATAGAACAGTTGTTTCAAAAGGTGTTTTTGGTTCCCTACCTTTTCTTTTGGTGCTTTTTTTATTAGTCTCCACAAGCCTAAAAATGATCGCACACTTTTTGTAAGATTGAAATAGGATAGCTTTACTTTGTATACATATAAGACTAGGTCAAATACTTCTCAAGGACAGATAGAGATAATAAAAAAAGAATGGGCTTATATTATTCGCTAGCCAGTACACATATATGGGACATTAGTCAATAAGATTGAAAAGTTCATTTAGTACAGCTGCTCATCATACTTTATTTAAAAATAAATAGCCAGTGTGCTATGACAGTCTTTCCAAATTTTCTTTTTGGCATATATTTACTAACTGGATTTACCTACAAAATTAGATATATTAAATTACAAACTATTTTAGTGAAACATTAGCATAGAACCAAATTATTTACTAGCTCCTATTGTATGTACATGGATTATTGTTGTAACTACTATTATATTTTTTTAAAGAAAATAAAAACAGAAAGAAATACTTTAAAAACGATCTTTATGAATAAATGTACACAAAAAATAAACGTAGATATTTGGAGAGTCAATATGAAATAAAAATGATAAAGAGAAATAGCATATAGCGTATATGTATAGTATTACTTTTACATTAAATACATACACGCAAAGACGCACTCAGATGCTCTTAAAATGTCATATCTAAACTTTTAATAAGATCCATGCAATCAGACAATTTTTTTTTGGGTTTTATATGCTGCTTGTCACACAGTTGCTCATCACTACAACGTATTTGAACGCTTCGTTTTCTGTTGAATCTTCCTATCATCCTGGTTTTATTTTCTTTGACCTCTTTATTGAACAATGACCCCTACTCCCGATAACACCAGCCGAGAAGTTACAAAGGCGTATGCATACTATATTCCAAAAGGTTATTTTTATCTGGCGGCTGAGACTTGGGCGAACTTCAGGGTCGAGCAAACACAAAACTTCTCAAGAACAGAGATTTACGAAAATGATTTAGACGTCATGCTTGCTGCAAATGAAAGCAAGGGCCTGTCCTTCCTACTGTCAAATAATACAACCAATTGTCCGTACCACAAGCCTCCTAACAGTACAAACAGCCCAAATAGACGAGTCATTCAATTTATCTTGGGGCCAGGAGAAGAGAAACTGTTAATACACCAAACTGTTACTTCTCCACTTACTTTTGCATTTATAAGACTTATACAATGTTGTAAGATGTATGAGAATAAGCAAGAAAGCCGTTTGTACCTCCAGAGACCAGTGTTGCTACTTGAGGAAATGGATCGTGTCGTTTTCAAAGATACCTTGGCTCCCAAAGTTGACCATGTCCGTGAAAAACTGTACAAAATTTTGTTTGGGAATATGTCGATAGCTAAAGGAGTTTTACCTTTTTGGAATACGATCTGCGATTGGGCTAGATATCTTCAATCGGATAATCCTGAGCATTGTCTAATATTGGGACTTCAGACTTACAAGCTCGCAAAGCAGTATTGTGCACATAATTAGGATATTTTGCCTATCAAATTAGTTAATTACATTGCCTAGTAGTAGATATAATATAGTATGCCTTATGATTAAAATTACGGTAATAATAATTGTACTCTTTGTAATAATTGTAACCAAAAAATGCTAGGAATAATAAGGAAGAAGGATAATAATACCATATTAGCATGCATTTACTTTTTTTGTTACTCCCTCCTTTGGCAAATAAAGAAAAAGAATACATACTTTAAAGTATATAATGGTAAAGATCTGTAATTCTACCTTTATTGTACTGATAAATATAATATTTTTACTATCGATTCTCAAGATAATTAATCGACCAAGGTTATTTATTCAAGGTAGATATGTATATAACTTTTTATATCCATTCTTTAATGTGTGTATAATCCTTGATTAGCTTGATCTCTTGATTTGAAACTTTTACACCCAACATTGCAAAAAAAAGTTTCAATATTTGATGGCTTAATCTTATATCATATAATTTAGTAAGGTTATTCACAAACCAAAACCAAGATAAATAAACACCACTCAGTTAAATTGAGATTTAATTAATTAAAATATGTGAATAAATATATTTAATGGAAAAGGAGATATACTACTTTGGTCTCCAGCCAAAACAGCACACTGATAGCCATATGGTAACTTGAGCCTACTATGATCCCAAGATGATCTATTAAACTATTCTTGTGATAAAATCAAAAAAAGAGCTGATATCCCATGTTCGTGCATGTTCGAAAATCTTCGCGTGGAGTTTTAATAAAGTCAATGATAGTAAAATAGCAAAATAATAAAAATAACAATAATAGTAATATTGAAAAGAAGCCGTCAATTCTAATTAAAGAATAAAAAAGAGAAAAGAAAGTCTCCATAGAGAACACCAAAAAAAAAGATAAAGAAAGAATGACTTGAATAGAAGAAGTGTTTAGAAACATGATGTAAAGAAGTTAGACAACAATAGCTAAAACCAGAGTCTAAAAATCACTTTACACCAATAAAGGTGTTCATAATGTAGTCAGGTCAAAATGCCATATTGGCACAAAGAATGGGGTTGAGGATACTGGAACCCTCACCACCCTTCACATGGGACTGACTTTAGAGAACCCCAGTATACTATCTGACGTAGTTGCACAAGCTCTTTTTAAAGGAACTTATTGAGTTGAAGATTGCGGTAATTCAAGTGCCTTTTGAACCCTTTTGCAATACTCGTAAGATCTTGTTCGTAATTACCATCGACTACCATGACTCACTCTCTTTTTTTGTAGGTCACTATCCTCATATTTACCATGGGCAAGTATTCTGTAGATACTATCACGCTTAAAGCTTCCTATTGACACTTGTCTGCACACAAAATACTATTATTATAAACAGCTCTATTATCCCCCGACAACTCCCCACCCGTAAAGCCTACCGAGACCAAAACAAAACTTACAGCAGAAATGACAGAAGGGTACCCATTCAAGATCAACGAAGTAAGGAAACGAGCATGAACACAATAATTCGTTTGTTACCGTGAAAACAAACCATATAATTAAACCTTGTTTTTCTTTTGTTTTTGTTTTTGTTTTTTGTGCTCTTTATTTTATAACTATAACTATAACTATCTACTATCTACTAGCCTCCTACTGGGCGTCCCGTGAGAATTTATTGTGATGGCATTTATGATATGTTCCACTTTGGTCATGCAAAAGCGTTGGAACAGGCCAAAAAGGCATTTCCGAACGTTCATCTTCTTGTTGGAAGTATGTATATCTGATCCAAAATTCCTTAGATTGATTAATAGCTCACGCGGTCATTTACAGTTTGTAGTGATATCGAGACTCACAAGCGCAAAGGAAAAACAGTAATGACAGATGTGGAACGATATGAGTCTGTGCGTCACTGTAAATGGGTTGATGAAGTCGTAGAGGATGCACCTTGGGTCATCACACAAGAATTCCTCGACGAGCATCACATTGACTATGTCTCACATGATGCCGAGCCATATGTTTCATTAGAATCCGGAGATGTTTATTGTTTTGTCAAAACCCAAGGAAAGTTCTTACCCACACGACGCACGGACGGTATCTCGACATCGGATCTTATCACACGCATCGTCAGAGATTATGACGCCTATCTTCGTCGTAATCTTGAACGTGGCGTGAGTGCAAAAGAGCTCAATATATCATTTATAAAGGTATTTAATCACATCTTAGTGTTCCTATACATACATACATATATATATATCAATGCGACGGTATCTAACGAGCCCTTACTAACTATTTGGCCAAAGGAGCAAGAAATAAAGACAAAAAAGTCAATTGAAGATCTACGAAAGCTGTTCAAGGGGGCAATCCTGGATCAACTGGTCTTTTGGGAAGGACAAAGTCAGGAGTTCATCAAGGGATTTGCAGGCATGTTCGGCGCAGAGACAGTGGTGGTAAGACAATATTATTATATTTAAACTTGAAAAAAAAAACACACACACAGCAAGGCGCAAACTTCTTCACTATGATCCACTAACCTATTATTATTTTCATTATTATTTTTTAAATAGGAAAAGTTCTTTAATAGACGTAGATTGGCAGCTGAAAAAGGAGAAAGATCATCTGGATCAAGTGAAGCTACAAGCAGCAGTAGCTCAAAGAATGCTTCTGATGATGAATCTTGATTTATCAAGCGTATCAATTTACACAGCTTATATGATCCCTCCTCTTCCCATTCACAACCTCTCCTTTCTAAACATTAAAAAGAGTCAAGACGCTTTACAAGCCATATTCTTCTCAATTCCTCACATATTCACTTTCATAGCCTTTTCCTTGATCAATATTAATAACAATGATAATAAAAGATTCATAGAATAAAAAAGACTTCTTCATCCTAACTAGTGAAATTGATTGCATTGTATTTGAATATCCTTGATAAACATGCCTTAGAATTCCCCCCATTGTGTTTATTAGGATTATCAATGGCTTTCTCTTAGGCAGTCCAGGTACGAGAGATGAACTCAGTAAGACCGACATCGTTGGTGTTGAACTGGTAGCATCCGACAAGGACACCGGCAGTAGAAGCGTAAAGAGTGGCAGTCATAAGCTTATTAAGGATGGGTGTTTTACGAGTGTTGAAGTAATCTACAATAGAGAGAAAATGTGGGTGAGTCTCATGTCGTACCGGACTTCAATTCAATTTCATCCCCCTGGCCAAATTTCATCAATGCGGGGTCATGTCACAACAGAACCAAAAAAAAATTAAGTCAAATATATAACCCCCACAATAACTCACCAGTAATGCAAGCACCGAAACCTTTTAAAGTTATAAATATACATTATTGTTAGTATTTAGTATTATTGTTTGTTTTGTCGTATTACCAATGTGAAGGTGGAGGGGGAGGACAACACCGAGAAGGGTATCAGTGACTGGAGAGGCACCGAAAGCAAGCTGGGAAGCAATCAAAGGAACAAGGGCAACGGATGCAGCACGTTCAATGTCCCAATGAAGTGAGCCATGAAGACGATCAGGGGTATGGGCAGTGGTCGAGTTGGCCTTGGCAGTGACGGCTGTAGAGGATAGCATAAAATACGTTAGATTCGATGTTTATGATAGAAACTTTCGTAGTCGTTTTGCTCACAAGAGTGAATCTTTACAAGGCCCATGGGCTGCTGGCGAGCAGCCATCTTGGCAGCTGAGCGGAATGCAGGAGTAGCAAGACGAAGAGCCATTGTAATTACTAAAGAGTGGGGGAAGTTGGTGACAGTGTAAGGCAAGAAAAACCTTGGTTTTGCTCATTGACACCGGGACTATTCGCACTTCGCCTTTGATGACGCAATCAACCGCACGTGAAGCGGAAAAAGGATTTAACGATCTTAGCTGTAAAGAATGCAGTTATGTGTATGTGTATGTATATTCGCGTATTCGTGTTGGTATGATACATCAATAGCTATTTGTATTTGTATTTGTATTTTTATTTTTATTAAAGTGAAAGACTGTAATTGAAAGATGAATAGGGCAAGGTATGAAAATTTGTAATTTAGAGCTTAGAACGGAGGATTTTGACAACCTTGACTTGAGTATACTCTTGAAGGGCATACTTGCCAAGCTCCTTGCCAAAACCAGATTGCTTGTAACCACCAAAGGGAGTAGATTGGTCGAATACATCAAAGCAATTGACCCACATAGTTCCGGTCTTAACCTCGTTTGTAACCTTGATAGCAGTGTCAATGTTGGATGTGTACACACCTCCGGCCAAACCGTAGTCGGAGTCATTGGCAATATCGATAGCTTCCTCAATAGTCTTAAATGTACCAATAGCTACAACAGGTCCAAAAATCTCCTCTCTCATCACGCGCATGTTGTTGTTGCAGTTAATAAAAACAGTAGGTTCGATGTAGTATCCTGTAGTACCCCATCTCTTGCCACCATAAGCAACCTTAGCACCCTCCTTCTTTCCAAGCTCAATGTAACTCAGAATCTTCTCGAATTGGCCCTTGCTGATCTGAGGGCCCTGGAAAGTTTCGACATCAAAAGGATCGCCCAATTTGATGTTTTCGGCTTCCTTGACAAACAGCTGAACAAACTTGTCGTGCACAGACTCATGAACCAAGATACGCGAGCCAGCGTTGCAGCTCTGACCATGGTTGTTGAAGATACCACCGGCAGCCCACACAGCAGCACTTTCGAGATCAGCATCTGCACATACAATCTGGGCAGACTTTCCACCAAGTTCAAGCTGAAGTTTCTTTAAGTTGCTCTTGGAAGAGGCTTCCATAACTTTACGACCAGTAACGGTAGAACCAGTGAAGGCCATCTTGCTCACACCAGGGTGGTTAGAGAGATAGTTGCCGGTGGTGTGGCCATAACCAGTAATAACGTTTACAGTACCCTAATATACCTTGTGATGAGTATGCGCAAGTACAAACTACAAACTACAATTATACAAATAAACAATAAAACACATGCTTACAGCTGGGAAGCCGGCTTCTTTGCAGAGAGCAGCAAACTTGTAAAGAGAAAGGGGAGTAACCTCGGAAGTCTTCATGACAACTATCAAATTAACTGTTAATACATCTATTACAAAAAAGCTTATTCACTTTTCAATATGAGGAGTTAAAATTGTATCTTACCACAGTTACCGGCAGCTAAGGCAGGAGCAAACTTCCATGCAGCCATCATAAGAGGGTAGTTCCAAGGAATTACTGCACCAACAACGCCTAATGGCTCGTGGCGAGTATAGCACAACTTATCAAAAGTAGTATCAATGGTCTTGCCGTGGATCTTGTCAGCCCAGCCTGCGAAGTAACGGAAACAACCAATCGAGTCGGTCACATCCACGTCACGGGCAATAGTAAAGGCCTTTCCGTTGTCGAGAGCATCGAGGGTAGCCAGCTCGTCAATGTCACGCTGCATGAGATCAGCCAACTTGTTCATCAATCGGCCACGTTCTGCGGGTGCAATCTTTCGCCATTCGTTCTTAAAGCAATCGTTGGCAGCCTTGACAGCAGCATTTACGTCGGACTCATCAGCAGAATGAACAGAGCAGATTACCTGCTCATTAACAGGGTTGATCGTCTCGATCAAAGGACCATGACCGGGTACAAACTCGTTGTTAATAAAAAGATGAGTATGGACTAAAAAAAAGTTAGTATATGCCCTGTATTATTTCAGGGAAAATTATTAAACGATTTTTGGGATACCTTTGATATCCTTGCCGTTGGAGAGACGAGCAGTTTGAAGGTCCTGGTGAGACATTAGGTAAGATGAAATATACGGTGAGAGATGAAAGCAAGGATGACACTAGACACGTTCTTTTTATATAAGTGCAAATCCTTGTTTTGAAAGTCCTTTTTACAATGAGGATACGTTTCATTACTTTACTTGTACATAGAGTGTTTCATTGACAATCCATATGCATAATATCTATACTATTTTCCATTATTGATCGATTTTGTATGACCTAGCTTTTCAAAATGAGTTTCTCAGATGATTTCCATGCCATTACGTATTGTTATAAAATTCGAACCTGAACTTCATATATGTATGTATGTAAGCATCTCTCACTTCTTTTCATATTCCTCGATATTCAACTATTTGGACTACGTGGGAACAGTAACTATGTTACAAATCCAAGTGACACAGATTACAATTTTCATGGCAGTTTAAACGCAGAATGTCTTTTTTTGGATACTTATCTAAACTTGCATTAATCCAGGAATCCTATTCGATCGTGTACTAGAGCCGCCTTATGATTCCCCTCACAGAGCCATTGGATCAATCGAACTATTGCTGACTCATGTACTGCTTGGTTAAGTGTATAAACACCAAATAAAGCAAAGGCTAATATAAAACAATGACCAAGCAAAAAAATTGGAAAATGGTAAAACCCGCAATTAAGACCCACACTTCTCAACTAGAAAATAGTAAGCTGTATTATAAATATTAGTACTTTAGTATCAAGTAACATTCAAGGTACCGTGCAAAGTAGTTGAAACACTTTATTCGTAAGATGTAAATATATGCAGTATAAAGTTTTTCTTTTATTTTGTACTTGTCGTCTAATTATTAAACTATGAAATAATTTGGGAATTTTGAATAAAAACAAGATGAAATCCAAAACTCATTATGTGGAAAGGCCAATTTACCCAGGAACAAATTAAAGATTCATTAATCACCAGCAAAAGTCTTTATTGTATTGAGGGGAATAGCGTAAGTAACGCCGATCTTCTAATTCGCTATAGATTTATTTCAGGTACCCAATACATTTATATTCTGGAGACCTGCTATTTTATTCCTTAAATTATTTCGATTTCGACTTTAAATATCCCCAATGAAGTATAAAAATGTAACGAATACATCTTCTTGCATAAAAAAAAGCCAAAACAAAACAAAAAACTTCGGTGAAAGTTTAAGTAAGTACATTAGTCAATCTTATTTTGCTAATGTGCTACATATAACTTTATCTCATCGTTGAGGAACTTGATAAACTATAATTTTCCTGGTATAACTCTTGGGTTTTAAGGTCTTATCTTGAACTTATTTATACATGAAAAAGAAAGGCTGTCAATAATAACATCGCTTTTTCCGAGCTCCTACTAAACAAGATACATACTGCTAATTTTTTTTAAAAAAATGCTTTGATTAGAATTACATAAATACTCTTTTATTACTATATTTAAAAAGATCAGTATTGAATCTTTCGGTCGACAGTTTTGTTTGCGCTATATATCTCTAGAATTATACCTGTCGTGTCTCTGTTTAATATAAAACTATTTGTATATTATCTTTATTTTTCCCTTGCTCGCAAGAGCAAAAATATAATCTAGCAGGTATAACACTCAGCTCATTTATAATGATAGTTGTCTTTATCAACCTGCCTTTAAGTTTGATGTCTATATTATACACTCTGAATAACGTATCATTTTTTTTTAAAAAAGGGCTTTTCTTACTGAGTTGAGGTCAAATGTTTTATTATTACTATTAGGGTGTTTCAGCAGTTTTAGATGTTTAGATTTTACTTTTGCGGTGGTTTAATTTGTTAAATGATTGGCTCTTACTAATCTAAATTTGAGATATTTTCAATCTATAAACAACTAAGGGTAGTCCTTAGTTGTTTATAGAATGCAAATTTAGATTCCCCAATTTTGCCTATGAATATTTCATAAGAAAATAAAATTAAGAGCAAAAGGAAATACGAAAGCTTTCTACAGCTTTATTTTCATATCAATTATCATTGGCTCACGTATTGAGTTACCGCAAAAGTAAAATCTAAACATCTAAAACTGCTGAAACACCCTATTGTTTATTTATATTTATTTACACGTCAATACGAGATCAAGATAGTATTTTTACGAGGTCAGTTCAGTTCATCGTATCTAACAATCTTCCAATAACTTTATCCGACTTGCAGGTCATAATGATATCCTCTTCAGCCAGGTTGAGAGATATCCGCATTCCTAGATCCAAACGACCGCCCTCTACTACTAGTGCACGCGTCTGACCCAACGACTCGCATACGCGCATAAGATCACTCATTGTAGGGCGGTCGATGCTGTACCATTTACATGTTTCCATATGATCTAATGCTGTGTCTCCAAACTCTACATCAGCCAATCCTGTGCGTCGTGCTCTTCTCATTACAGAAACCAAGAACAACTTTTGATGCAAAGAACAGGACTGAATAAAGGCAACAGAAGGAGACGAAAACATCTCACGAATTGCTTCGTTAACGATACCAATGGTTACATGACTTGCAGGTTTATCACTATCGGTTTGTTTGCGGATCCTTGACTCGACAATTTCGACTGCTCTTCGGCAGATATCAAGCGCACGTCGAGCATCTCCACTTACTGAGCTGACTTTACGGGCAGCAAATTCAACGGCTTCTTTCTCAAAGGCATCAATTCCTTGTAATCGAGATTCTACAATTTTGAAGAGCTGAGAGTGATTATAGGACTGGAAGTTGATGCGAGTAAGACCTGTCAATAATAAATAAGATAAAAGTACTTCTTTCTGAAGATAATTCTGTTTAATAATATGATGGATGTTTTATATTTACCCAACCGACTGGAAACCTTGTTGCTCAGCATTCTCTCAGGCAAGTCCATGGTATTTGCTACGGCAACAACAATAAGCTTTGAGAAAGGTCTATTAGGCCATTCAAAGAAATTGTACATGACTGTTTGTTTCTTTGTAACCAAAATGTCGAGTTCGTCCATCAAAACAACCCTGTATTTTTCTATCCATTAGATTGTACAAAATATAATCCAAGTCCTTATTTTCTTACGTTGTTTTCTGACTTGAGTCTTGTTGGTTGAATTTGGCTTCTAGTAGTTGAAGCGCATGCGCTGATGTTACTCGCTTCTTTTGTTCTGCTCCTGGATTAGCAGATTTCTCAAGACAATCCCACAATAAATTATAAGCTTGGTTCGGATCTGTGAGCTTCATTCCATTAATCTCTGCAAAATCAAAAGGAGGAATTTCCTACAAAAAAAAAAGAAATAAAAAGATATCGATATATATTTTTTAATATAATGTATATTATGGTGTTGAGTAGATATATATATATAATACTTACATTATTTTCACTTTTGTGTTGAAGGTGGCGAATAACCTCTAGTACGGTGGCTGTCTTTCCTGTTCCAGGTACACCAGATATATCTAAATTAGAAATGCTTAATATTATTGATGTAGTGTCTCCGTGTATTTTCTTTTAAAAAAAGATAAAGATAAAGAAAGACACGTACAGATACAAGTTCCTGTGCCCTCCTCTAAAGCACTCTCAAGATATCCCATAATTTCCTCAAATTCATTTTCACGGCATGGTAAAGAATCAGGAACAGCTGAGACATGCAGACGTTCACGGGCTAGTTCGTAAGATGTTGCTGGTGTGGAACGTTCTATGCTTCTCTCTTTCAATGGAGTTATAGGGATAATAGTATTGACACTATTTAAGATAGTTTGTTTTCCTATTTGTTAAACAATCTCATCCTCAATCCTGCGACTGTAAAATGTATCTTACCGCTGTACCTTGCGTGGAGCAATAGAAGCCTTTACAACACCCTTTTTTGGTCCAGGTTTCTTTTTTGTAACTCCAGCAGCCGTAGTAGTGGTAGAGACAGTCGATGCTTTAGCTCGGCGGCTTCTTGTAGCGACATTTCTAGTACCGGAGCTTGCAACTGGGTCACTAGAACTTCCATTGTTGAGGGATTCCGAATCAGAAACTGAATCCTCGGGATCATTCTCAATGTATTCATTTTCAGATTCATTCTCGACTTCCTCATCAGATTTATCGATTTTATTTGTACTTTTCTTTTTTTGAGTAATCGTTGGCTTTGAACGACGTTTGGGAGCTCGCTTGCGATCTTCCTCATCGCTGCTATACTCTGCCATGCTGCCTATGGCTCTCCTTGACCTTCTCAATGGACGAGGCGCTTCTTTTGTACTCAATCTTGGCATGGCGTGAACAATGATTAAGGGGAAAAGGATTGTCGCTTAAAAAGGACCACTGTCAGCGTGACTGCAGCTTCCCAGCAGGACGCTAACTCAAATCTGCGTATGCGTCTTCAAAGCGGGGTCTTGTTCCTTTTCTTTTGTCATTACTCGCACAAAAACAATGTCTGAAGCTGGAAATTGGTGTCTTATTGAAAGCGATCCAGGTAAGATTAATCTATATATAAATACATGTGCTTATTCTTTTACTTTAATAGGTGTCTTCACAGAGCTCATCTCTGGAATGGGCGTTAAAGGTGTACAAGTCGAAGAGATCTATAGCCTTGATGAATCTACAATGGAGGAATTAAAGTAAAAATAATAAAATAATACAGAAAGGGCTCTAGTTTATCGCTTTAATTATTCATATTAATTATTATTGATAATAGGCCTGTGTATGGCTTGATCTTCTTGTTTAAATGGCAAAAGGCAGAGGCAGTACCTTCGCTGGCCCATTCTGACAACTCCCCAACCGATCACATCTTCTTTGCAAACCAAGTGATCAATAACGCATGTGCAACCCAGGCAATCCTTTCTATTTTGTTGAATCGGGATGATATTGATCTTGGCGATGAATTGCGCAATTTTAAGGAATTCACCTTTGATTTTCCCCCCGACGTAAGCATTCTCACATCCACCTACCAACTCACAACCAAACATATAGGCGAACAAAATGAGAGGGGGCTGGATAAAAACAATGAAATTTAACCTTTTATATATATTTTGATAGATGAAAGGCCTTGCTATTTCAAATAGTGATTTAATTAGATCGGTTCACAACAGTTTTGCTCGTTCCGACCCTTTTGTAAACGAGATGAAGGATCCTAGAGGATCAAAGGATGAGGATCTGTTTCACTTTATTGCATATCTCCCTATTCATGGTGCATTATATGAGCTAGATGGACTCAGCAGCGGTCCAGTTAATCTTGGTAAATATATTTGATTGATTGCCTTTTCCAGTACCAGCAAAGGGAGAAAAAGAAATGTACAATCTTATCAGACTTTTTCTTTTTTTTTTCTTAAAAGGACCTTGTACAGATGATAATTGGACTAACAAGGCCAATGAAGCAATTTCAAATCGAATGGGTCGTTATGGAAATTCAGAATTACATTTCAGCTTGATGGCATTGACAAGAGATCGGATAGAAGTATACGAAGAGCAAATAGAGGAAAAGGATTGTCTGCTGCTTTCTTTGCCAGAAGATGCTAATGCCGAGAGAAATAAAATCAACAGAGAGCGAAGCTATTTGGAGCACAGATTACACTTGGAGAAGGAAAAGAGACAGATGTGGCATGTAAGTATAGTGTGGCTAGATATTAACATTTGTATATATGTCAATAACCAAACTAAACATTTGTATTTCTGTTTATATAGAGAGAAAACATGTTGCGAAAGCATAATTTTATTCCACTTGCTTACAACCTTTTGAGAATTCTTGCAGAGCGCAAAGAGTTGACTCCTTTGATCACACAAGCTACTCAAAAAGTATTAGCTGAAAATGAAAGAAAATCCAAGAAATAGATTTGAATATTTTTTATTGCTATCCATGGTGATCTTGGAATACCTCGCACATTATATATCGTTTTTATTCTTCTTGAATTTTATTTGTAATAATATTATTTTACGGATATAATTCCATTTATTTTTTGTAAATATAATAAGAGTCTTTAGGAGCGTTTACAATTGAAACATGTATTTTCATGAACCAACAAAGAATATTATACCAATATCAAATCTATCAAAATAGTTCTTTTTTTTTTTTGGTTGCATATGTTTTGCATACAAAATTTCAATGTGAGTAGAGATTCTTAATATATTTAGTTTCCTTGATTTACAAAATGAATTTTTATTTCAAGTTATTAAAACAGACTCTATAGTTTCAAAATCAACAATAAATATGAGGTAATCAGAAACTAGACTCTTGATAGGTAAAAGTGTACATATAGCAATTTTCTATTGTCTTTAAATAAATTTATCGATCAAGGGTTATCGTGTAACATCGGTCTAGAAGCCAAGAATAGATACCAATATCAATTTGACACCTGGGAGAAAGTGATCCTTTCTTTTGTCTATGTTATGGAGTCATATGTTTTATTTATTTTTTCTACTTTTATTAATGATCACTGGACCAAGGCTTTTAAGCTTTTGCAAACGAATTTTCCAACAGCAACAAAAATTACCTTGTGGTTAACAAGTATAGCTTTTTGGCTTACATAAATCCTTTCATCTTTAGAGAGAAAGAAAAAGCAGAAAGTAGCCGGAGCATATTGCGTTTCATAAGTAATAGACACTTATATTATCAAGGCTTAGCCAAGGCGAGACTAACGATGATATAAGTTTTATTCGTGTGTGTGTGTGTGTGACTACTGACGCCAGAAAAAAAAAGGCACAAAACTTCATCCGTTGATAGCTTCTTTCTTTTGCTCTTTCTTTTTTTTCTACTTCTACCATCTACGCTTTATAAGTACACCCGCTCATGACAGTAGACGAAAACGACTACACGCTTGTTATTGGAATAGGTACGTATATTTGATAGAGTAATACTATGTATTAATATCTTTTAGATTTCGGCACTACATTCTCGGGGTGCTCCTACGCTTACGTCCAGGATGGATTTATGGAAGTAAAGGATATTACATATTGGTAATGTATAACTTTCAAAATTGTGTAAAGAGAGGGCGGGAAATATGAAATTCTAAAGTACCAGGTTCATTCATATTTAGGCAAATAGGACACAGTTCCAAAGTTCCAACCCAGTCTTTGTACAAAAAGAACACCAAGGAACTGCTTTCGTGGGGATATCTGGCCATAAACAAAGCGAAAGAGCCAAGCAATAAGGATGACTTGGTAAACCGAGTTAAGCTGTGGCTGGACAGAACTATCAAACACCCTCCCACGCTACCAAATGGCCTGACTCCAACAGATGGTAAAATTTTTTATTCTTCTTAATCTGTGCTAATATGCGTTGATCTAATCTCAAAAAACGATCTTTCTTTTTTATTAATTTCTAGTCATTAGTGATTATCTCAAAGAGCTTAACAATTATGTTGTTGAAAGGTTAAAGTGGAAAGATACTAGCCTCGAAGATGCTTCCAAATTTAAATACTGTCTCACAGTGCCAATCATGTGGTCTGAGGAATCAAAGGGCATAATGCGGAATGCTGCCATACAGGCTGGTATCGTGAAACAAGACGATTCCCCTGAAAAACTACTAATAGTAGAGGAATCCGAGGCTGCTGCTCTGTGGTGTGAGCACACATCCCCAGAGCTTAACCTTCAGAATGGTAGTCGATATATGATATGTGATGCTGGTGGTGACACAGTTGATTTGGCTGTGTTCGAGATCGATGAAACATCAGGAACAAGAAATATGCGTGAAGTAACAATGGGATCTGGAAGTTCTTGTGGATCTACATTGTTGGATTATAGAATGGAGGAACTATTGAAGAAGAGGCTCTCGCGTTTTAGCAATGTTGATAGATATAAAGTGGCACTTATGGTTCAGCAATTTGTAGACACTGTAAAGGTATGAAGGGGGGTTTTTTTTTTAAAAAAAGGGGAACATCCAGATCCTCCTATAGTGTGTTCAAGCCAGAACAAGACTTCCTGCTAATTAATTGTGTAGCCTATATTTGATAACGAAAACGACAGCCTCCTCGATATACCACCTGGAATTGAGGGCATAATTCCCCATGTTCCTGGAGATGGAATTAAAGGCGATAAACTCTGGATATCTACAACTGAGATGCGTGAAGAGGTGTTTGAGCCTGTTGTCCAGCAAGTCCTTGATATGATTGAGAAGCAACTTGTGCAACTAGGAGATAGAAATTTGGATGCTATGTTCATAGCCGGCGGATTTGGACAGTCTCCTTATTTGTTCGGGCGCATCAAAGACACATTCAAGGATAGAGTTAAGAGCATTGTACTTACTCCCAAAGGTGATATGGCTGTTATGAGAGGAGCAGTGTTGTTTGGTCTCAAGCCACGAGTAATTACCCAGCGTATTTTACGTCGCACCTATGGCATCAAATTCAGTATACCACCAGAATCTGATATCAAGCAGGACAACAATACTTCTCCAAACAAAGATGAGTTTCATGTGTGTGTCAAGAAGGGAGAACCAATCGATGAGGAAATATGGATTAAGAAACGGATTTCATGGAGCAAAGCAGACTTGCCGATTATATGTACGTACATATTTCATTTCGATACAAAGGCTAAAAGCCAAAACGTGCCTGAAAATATATTTATTAAATTGTTCTTTACTGCATTTTATTTTTATTTTTAGCTTTATATGCTTACGATGGCGACGATCCGATACCTCAATATGGTGAGCCCCCAGAGCTCGAACTGGTAGCTATGTTTGATACCCAGTTTCCCATTGAGACTAGAAAAAAGAAAGAACGACCGGTCCTGAATTTACATATGCAATTTTGCTTGGATAAGATCAGGATTAAAATTAATGTCCTTGATCGAGAGTTTGAGTACAGTCCAGTAGAGGATATAACTGGAGAAAAGGAAACGATACGATATGCAGAAATTAGCTCACATCCTGATGTTGAGAAAAGACGGCATCATGTATTGAAATGGTTAAAGAAAATCAAGGCTGAGCATATTAAACGAAAACAATAAAAGCTTATGATACCTATACTCGCTAATAAAAAAAACCATGACTTTCGAGCAAAGTAATCGGCACAGTGTAGCTGAGAAATATGTGTATATGTTACGGACAATAGAAGCCATAAAAAAGCCAACGATCTATGATAAAGTATTCAACACATCAAAGTATTCAGATTTGGTCAATATATATATATATATTCCCAAAATATAGCTAAAAAACAATAGGCAATAAAAAAAATAGATTTCTTTTCCATTTTATTAACATAATAAAACATGGAAGATACATCTTCTTCAGAAAATACCTGCTATTAATGTGAGAAAAGGGATCCCTACAAATACGGGTGTATTATGTACATGTATTAAGGAGATTTCAGTGCAACCCAAATTTCATTGGTATCTGGTATATTCCTGTCCACTGTAAAGTATATCATTAAGAGAGTAAACGAAAAAGGATTTAGAGAACTAAAAAAAGGGTTTGGAAGTTCTTAGTAGATTTATGATAAGGCAGCTAAAATCACTGTTCAAATGGTTCAAAATAACTTATTTGCCTAGTATTCTAGGCTAAGATCTTATGTAAATAATATGAAGATATCAGAGCATCTGTAGCGGTTACATTATAGTCCATTTTTTGCGGTTGATTTAATGTAGATAACGAAGTTTTCATAAAATCGTCTTGAGCGGCTAAATTTTAGACAGCATTATATAAAGTGTAGCATTATAGATCAACTTTTGGGGCTTGAATCGTTTTATTTCCTTTCTATTTTTCGTATCCTTTGTTAAAACGAATAATAGTCTATAGAGAAGAGCAGCTTTTCCAAAGGAGTGGAAAGCCTCCACTATCGAAGCTTGAAGATTTGTATATATCTAGCACCAGAGGGATGTTATAAAGGTTAACTCTAATGACAAAGCTGCCTGCCAAGGTTAAAGGCGATTATAAGATCGTTTTGTTTTTAACGACGATCTCTTTGATTAATGACTCTGAGCAGACTCTTCTCGGCGTTGAGAAGATACTCTACAGGTTCAATAATTTGTTTGTTTTTTTGTTGAGGTTTTTGTGATTAGGTCCATGCCTTCTGGGAATTGCAATGTTTAAATCTCAAACTCATGATGGTTGATCTTACGCAGATCACGATACTACACACTCTGGGCCGAGGGAGTGTGCTTAAAGGACACCAGCTTGATTTTGATCTTGGGTTACGAGGCTCTCGTATTCTGGTGCCGTGCATATTATTGTTGGGATATTTTTGGTTTATGATTTTCCATTGACAAGTGCATGTTTTACTGCTACCTGGTTCTACTACTTTCCATCACCTGTTCGATGGGAGTTACTGTCAGTAGTTGTTATTGTCGAATTCAGGAAAAATGTGTTCTATACATGTATATCATAAACCCTGTATATTCTTGTGAATAATTTGGCTGCGGAGAAAGAGGTACTACCAACCTGACTGTATTAATACTCGTTTAAAAACCATGTACACACACACACACACACACACACTAACTCGCAGGCTTAAAAGCTAAATGCTCGATCATTGGATACTTTAGTTTAGAAGATGCGCATAGTCAATACGGAACGTGCTTCTTGCGGAGACGTAAATTCAAATATATATATAAAAAAAAAACTCTTTTTGCATGAGATACTGGTGAAGTTGTTATGTGGAACTTAAGTATTATTTAGAATTGAAAATCACTTGCCTTTACAAATCTTATATATACATATAAAAGAAAAAGAAAAAGAAAAAGAAAATTGAAATTTAATTCCAAGCTGTTACAACTGAATACATTACCTTGAGCATTAAAGAAAAAATAAGAACTTATAGTGATTAAGACAGCACCTACTTTAATTTGTGTGATTCAATAAATCGGTGTGCATGTGAAAATGTTAGGCTTGTTACTAAAAACAATCAGTTTAGTATTGCGTACTTTGGATGGTCCCTGCCTCACATCCGGGGATTGGAGATTACCAAATTGACTGTAGAACGCTTGGCTTCTGATGATCGGGTATTTTCATCAGTATCCCGTTCGATCTAGGAACACTGACATTTGATAAAAGAAAAACACGGCTTTTTTCTTTTTCTTTTATGGGTATTATTCCTGAAAGCCACATCTACAGTAAAATGTCTTTTGTCTTATTTGGGGCCTTACTATATTTGATTAACAAAGACTCTGAGTAATTTTAAGAAGAATAAGAAGAGAAAGGATCTATTATATATTTTCCATACGCATCTTTGGATAGTATTACTATTAGTAGCCGGATATATATATAGAGAGAGAGAAGGATATGTTACTATAGCCGTAGTACAAGCTAATCATACTATATTATAAATACACTACTTTTTACATACAGTAATATATTCGTTTTGCTGTTGTCTTTTTGATCTCTTAAGTCTCTAAGCAAATGAACTTGAGAAGTTTGATCATAGTAGGTATATGGTCTTCTTTTCTTTTTTCCGCCTTTCTGTACATGGTAAACTAACATACTAGTTTGAAAAAAAAAGATCCTATGCATATGTCAATCATAGAATATACAACAGATTAAAAGGTGTGCCACCATTCCATACCACATACTACAAAATTGGTGACTTTGTACCCCACAAAGACATTCCCAAAGTAGCCGTAATACACAAAAGAAAGGAATATTTAATGGATTTGAAAATTGATGTAAAATACAAATCATTTTTGTTTATTTTCTTTAAGAAAAGAAAATGGAACCGTATTAAGTATCTAGTTTAAATTGTAGAACAGTCAAATCATCGTAAATCGCGTGTCATTTATACAATTCCATAATATTGATTTGGTACAATAAAAACTATAAAATATGAATTGATGCTATCCAATGAAAAGCATGAATATGAGTACTCTATTAGATTTAATCTAGAGTAATTATGATTCTATAGTTTTGCCTTGGCATTGAGGTAATAATTCTTTGTTATGATTTATGCTTGATCCCTAGCTAGTTAAATGTTTGTACTATGAGCAAATCATATGATACTACAGATTGTAGGAAGTTTTGGGATATTAATACTAGTTAAGAATTAGAAGGAGAAGAAATTGGAATCAATTACAAGTAAAGCAGCCTTTTTTTGCTTAAGATCTATTCAATACATATCATGCTAAAATTTTTTTTTGTTCATACTGTGAAGGTACCAAGTTTTTGGGAAATTTAAACATTCCGTGTTAGTAAATATTGATTCAGTATTTCTATTTCTTTACTAGTAGTATGAACTTAACAAAGTATGAAAAAAAAAGAGAATAAAACAGACAAAAAGGAGATGTGATGTACTCTTGCACCCGATCCATAGTGTTTAGTTTGTACACTGTCGTATTGTGTGTATTAAAGCATTCATAATGTTCCTACAGTATGACCTAGCCAAACACACACATTAGGTATGTTATTCAAAAAGGAAAAAGAGAGAAGAATAAGAAAAAATGTCTGGTTCCTAGTAATCATAAATCAGTAAATAAATTATTATTTTCGATACAAAAGGATAGGAAATAACTGGGAAGAACAAATATTATTTAGGTAATGTACAAATTAAACTATAAATACAAAAAAAAAATCCATTAAAATAATTGTTCTGTAAGTTTCTTAGCACACAAATTACAGATATATTACAGCAAGTAAATTGTAACTATAAGCGTAATTATAATTACAATTATGATAATAATAATAATAAGAAGAAGAACAATGATCTCTTTATTATTTATTATTATGAGATTATATATAGTAACTTATTAACAATTATTGTAATAAACTACAAGTTATGAAAAAAATGTGTCTGTGCTCACAATTAAAGACGAGTTTGGAAGAACGATTGGTCAGATAGATTTGTAGTGTAGGCCAGGCTTTAAACCTTAACTATCCTCACATGAGATTCCCCAGGTACAGACTGAGTATGGCTTTGTTTTACAAGAATATACAATCTGTGTCACTTCACAAGTATCTTTTGCATTTCTAATATAACTGTCAGGCAAGGACAATTCGATGCAATTTATTCATAGTTGGATGTCCGGTTTCTATTATTTAATTTAATTTAATTTAAAAATTTCCTTATTTTTTTTCCCAAGAGATATCTAGACTCATATTGGTCCTTTTCTCTTCTTCTTCTCCTTACTTCTTCTCTACCTATAATTACCTACAGTTCCAAGATTCGTACATTTGTTCAACCATCCAATCGTTTCAACTAAAGACATTCAACATCCTTTTGAACAAATAATACGTACACCAACACACAGACGCACGAACCATACTCATTTACACTTACATCCAGACTATACACAACATACGCGCCACACACACATATACAAAGACAAAATGAGCCTTATCGAACCAAATCAAACTATTTTTTGGCTATTATGCGACAAAGACAATGTGTGTTATTGCGACTGGAGATTATATCTAAAAGATTGTGTTCTTCAAGACGAACTCCGACATATTTTACTAGGAGGAGCCATAGTTTCGACTATTGTTGCTGTTGTAGGTACGAAAGAGATATAAAAGAACCGAACAATTGTATGTATAAATGTATGTATATCATGAATACTAAATATGTATACGGACACACTATCTCTTGTTCAAATTAGCGATTTTGATTTTATTTTATCGTGTACACTGCAAAGGACAAAGTGTTTGGGAATACTCTCCAACCACAAACTTTATTCGACCAAAACCCATCGATTCATTCCTTTTGATGCTTGGTCTTTACAACGGGCGTAAGTTGGGAGGATCTTGTTTTATAAAACAGAAATTTGAAGTAGATGTATAATTTACACCATACTTATAGTGCGTGCTATCCAGACTTATATTGTACTTGGAGACGTTTTACAGAATGTTATATTTCGTTCCTGTAAGTATTCTCTATATATAAGTAATTGTCCTTTTTATAATAGGAAAAGTATTGATCTTGATTTATAAAAATAGTTTTTCATGAATTACCATGGCAATTTGCAGTTGCATCCATGACTTGTTACTTTTTTGGTATAATTCATACCATTGCTGAAGTAAGACATATATCCTTAAAAGAAAAAGAAAAGAGATCATACAGCCACATATATATATATATATATATATATATATACTAAAATCAAATAACCTTTTCTTTAGAACCACAAAACACTCTCGATCAGATGGATTCGTCGACCAGTTCTTATCGACAGAATCTGCACTGTCTTGATAATATGCCCATTTATAACCAACAATATATTCTCCATATGTTCTGGAGTTTATGCACAAAATGGCAATTTAAAAATGGCTTATATTTTTTCACGCGTATTGCATATTACCTGGGGTGCCTACTGCGGATTCGCCTTGTTGATCATATTCCTTTCTGGAAAAAGACTGGTCAGACTTCTTCAAGAGCACCGTAAGATGAGAATCAAAAATAATTCTGATATTGGTGCCATTAATGTTGGTATTATCAAGGTAAGACTCTAAAATTTATCATATTTAATACCAAAGTTATATTTTTTCTTTAAATTTTACGTATGTATACATATACATATACATATATATATATATATATATATCTATATTTACTTATCTATTTACCCGAATAAAATTATAAAAACACACAAACACACAAAAAATTCAAAACAATACAACAAAGGTCAGAGTGGTTGCTTTAGCTGCTTCTGCTGCACTTGTAATGTTTACATTCTTGTCATTTTCGTACGGAGCAGCCCGTAACGAGATCATGATGAGAAAAGGGCTTTCTTTGACAATCTGTGTGTTTTGGATGTTCAATGCCCCTGTTGCATATTCTGTGTGCGAAGTTGCCATTATCTTGACGTACGTATCTCTTTTGACTCAACTACACTTTAATAACCAGTCTTCTATTTTATTTTATAGTCCAAAGCTGACAACGGCACTTGGATTCTCTGACCACAGTACACACGAAGAAGAGGACGACATTGCTCGCCCCAGTTCAAAGATATTCAACCACATCCGGTCATCATCGCTTCCTCAAAACCAAGTACGGTTTCCAAAAAGAACATTATCAAAGATTGATACACAACAGAAGAACGGGAACGGGAACGGGAATGAGATCGACTATGTATTTTCAAAGGACGTTACGAACAGCGATACAATTAATAACGGTTACGGACTCAACAAAGAAGGTCTTGGGGTTGGGGCTGGACATTACAGCGCAAATACAAGTCCTGTGCGATACGAATTCAATAAGGTTTCTAGCGAACATCCCGCAGATTTTAATGGCTTCGTAACTGCTCTGGATGCTCCTCGTCATCACACATCAAGGGAGAAAAACAGAGAGTTTTCGACCAAGGCGACGGACACAATTCCTCTTCAGCAGATTAGCAGTTCGGATGACGGATTCCCACCGGCTCGGTCCAATGTAAAAGAGCTTTCAATAAAAGACTACCTGTAAATTACTGTGAGCTCTCTCTCTCTCTTACTGGAAATCACTAGTTTCCGCTATTTCATCGTATAATCTCTGCATACATATTAATCTGTCATTCTTTCCTTCATCTCGCATCACAACATATATCAGATATTCATTTTATTTTTCTATTGTAATAAACCTCGTAGACCCGGAGTTTCATCTGTAAAAAAGAATTAGGAAAACTCATTTTTTATGTATGTATTTTTTTGTTGTACCTTTTCATATTGTGCCATTTAAAATTAAAATCAAGTCCCAGAAAATGAGATTCATTCCCAACCCAGTTTATCTGTGTTCCTTGAGAAGTTAAAGGTAAAATGTTGAGCTGAAGGTTGCACAGAATATCTCTATATTACACATATAAATGTACATTGTTGATCAAAAAAAGAATTATTCGTTAGTATAAACATAATCGTGTTAAATGATATTAGCAGGTTTCTTGACTAATAAAATTCTCGACTGATCTTACACCTTCAGTATATTGAGAATGGTACGATGAAAAGGTTTATATACATATATTGATTGATTGATTGATTGATTGATTGATCTCCTTTGTGCTTTTGAATAAGAGAACTTGTAAATATGAAGTATTATGAGCAAAAGTAAAAGCAGCTAGAAAATAATAATAATAATAAATGAATATCTTAATCTGGTTAATGTATTTGATTGACTCCTAAGCTATGCCTCTTTGTCTGTTACTGTAATAGATGTTTATAGAATAGTCTATTTCAGGTACACCGATCGATTTCGCTTAAGAGCAGTAGTTTCTTGTTGAAATTTTTATTACACTATATTTTAGGTAATTCAAATATCCTATGCTCTTATATTTCTTTATACGCATATGCATATATATATATTTCCATATGCAATAAATGGGCCGATCTCAATATCGTGCACGGGTGGGGATTTTTATAAATACCTTTTATATAATGGAAATGTGGATGAGCTTTTTTTATATATTTCTTTCTTCTTCTTTTTTTTTTCCGATTACTAACTTGGTTTAGCCCGAGCTTTCCAGTTTGAAAGTACCGGGAAAAGTGATTGAGCACATGTTTGGTTACATACAAACTAGTGAGTTTTTTTTTTGGGAAGTACGGAAAAGATAAGTCTAGCAGAGTCGGTGTATAAACCTATCAAAGTCCTTGGGGATTACGCTTTTTTATGTTTTTGCTTTTCCTTTTGCTTTTTGTAGAAAGATGTGGGGAGATCTTTTTTTTTGTAACCTTTTGAAATGAAGCATTGGGTTTAATTGCCTGAGCCAGTTTTTGAAAGAGTAGATAATGCTGGTAAATTTCGTGATTTAGGCATCCAGAAATAAATAAATAAGTTTAATATTATGCTTCATATAGTCTTTCTGGTATATTCTGTACATCTTTTGTCCATGATATATTTGAATAGATAGGTTGTATATCTACGGTTCTCTATTAGTAATAGCTATAAATCATGGACAATTTAGAGAGGACACATATATATATATACGCATGTCGTGTTCCTATGAGTTTTATATCTTATTTAAAAAAAGAAAAACAGGACTCTGAAAAAAGAGTAGGGTTGTTGCAGATTTTTGCTGGCAAATATAAAAATTTATAAAAGTCTCTTCTTCTCTCAGGAAAAAAAAGAGGCATTTACAAGCACCTTCTATAATATCACGTATTTTTTAAAAAAAAACTTATCAAACTCATTGAATTCCTGTTAAAGTCAATTGGTACTGAAACTACTGTTCCTACAACGCCAAGGCTTCTTAAGGAATATATATAGGAAATATCCCAGGTATTATTTTTGTGTAACACACTGTCCCCATCATCAAAAAAATATCACTGTTCCCTAAGATTCACGGCAATATTAAGGAAGTATACCTCTCCAGATAATTACGTATAAGATATATTCCTAAGAAGTAAACTAACTTTTAGAAAAAGAGACATGTAGACCACTCGAAAGATAGAGAGAGAAAACAGCAGTTCATCGTGCAAGACAACTGTGTCAAAAGTATATACAAAATAAGATAATGCATTAATATAATTTTAGTGTTAATCAAAAGTCTGTATGATTAGCTCAATCATGAGCAGCTAGTGTATATTCGACGAATATGTACATTAAATACCTTGTTAATAAATAATACTAAGTCAGTCATATAAAAATATTATAAGAGCAAGTAAAAAGCAATATAGATATGTAAAAAGTACTTTTCAAGACCCAGTTGACCTATCTATTTTGAAAGGTACCACCATACTCATTTCATATATAAAATAATATGGCCATGTCCCTGCAGTATATATTATATCTCTTGTAGCAATCGTATTCTTGAACTATTCTCTCTATCCATTTATAAAAAATAGTAATAAAAAGTAAAGGTAGGATATTTAATTTACATTCTTTTCTATTTTTTTTTTCAAAGAAAAAACACGCAGACACATTATTTTTCAGATGAATTTTTTTTATTCAGATTTCCAATATCTCAATATTCGATACTAAGGCATGAAAACACATGTGAAGGAAACTTTGTAGCAAAAACTCTCTTTATATATACATTATGGAACAATGACAAACTTTATATTATGCGTAACACATTATATTCTTGCTGTTACAATATATATATGTATAACTATCAAGTTCTTTGATTTGAATGGATTTTATTGTTATTGATTAGATTATGAGTACAAGGTACACGAAGTTTCTCTCTCAAGCATATTACTATAAAGGTATACAAGTTTGTGTGTGAATTTGTTAAATAAACGAATCTACTTTGAATCCCTACATACACGCAAGCACTTTTTTTTGGAAATGTAAGTCTAAACTATCAAAGCAAGAAGAAGAAGAAGAAGAAGAAGAAAAAAAAATATATAGAAATAATAAAATTCTTCTTGGTAAACATGATAGTACCGTTGAATCGACAATTATCCTTGTAACAAGGATATAATATAAGATCTTTGACCACTATCACTACTTAATAGTCGAATGTCGAATAAATCTTTTGATTTCTCAGAAGGCACACCCCTTTATTATTATTAGCTTTGGGTCAGTATAGTAAGCATATGAAAGAAAGAAAAAATATAAGCCAGTATCTTACGATTTTTTTTCTATGGTTGGCTTTGTTGTTTACAGTTATAAATGATTCTAAATAAGATTAGTTCCTAATATTCTTGAGAAGATTTTTTTTTTAAAAAAAAAATGCTGTCAAATAATTTCTTCTCCAGAATTAAATATTTTCAAGAGTAATAAATAAAAGAAATCTCGATATCAATCATTGTCTAAAGTCAGTAGAAAACCCTATAGTTTGCCAGAAAATTCTTGAGAGTATTATTGTTATTCTCGCAGTAAGGATTTGTAAGACGACAGCCTGGATTTGAATGATAGTAGACCTGATGATGAAGAACCTGCTACGGAAAGCTGATAGAAACCCCCGGGAAAAATAAATAAATGAATATAATAAAGAGCTGAAGACAATCTATCCGGAGAAATTGTTTATTAGTTATTAATACCCTTTTGAGTATTACTTTCCTTAGGTAATATTGTTTGACCAAAGCACTTTATTCAAATCGACACAGAATACTTGTGTGCTAAAAAAAGAGTATATTACTGTAGAGAGCGTTTATCTTTGGTACGTTAAAATTTCAAGTGTGTAAGATACACTCAGATGTTTGTTATTGTTACTATGGCTACCATTGTTACTATGGTTACTATTGTTGGCCTAGTTTATTACAACACCTCGATATGTTGGACTTCTTAGAAAGAAACTCCTTGAAGAACAAGACGAAGACAAAGATGAAGACGAAGAAGGGATATCACACTTTTTTTTTTTTAAAAAAAAAGGCATTTATTCAGTCAAGACATTAATCATAAGCACTACCAAATGCTACTCGGATTTCCGGATAGCTTGTCCGACCTATGGTGTTGTTAAAGGCTTGCTTTGGTCTTGCAGCATGTGAATATCTTAATCGTATGCTGCTCAAAAGCGATACACGTATACACTTAGCTAGGCATAGCTCGCCTAAAAATCTCGGAAACCATATAATATTCTAGCCTTCACTTGTTGTAAAAGAAGAAAAAGAGAAACATTTTTGAGATACTATTTTAACAAAACCTTAGTCTTTGAATGATTGTTCTTAAATGTGTAGTATATTTCTATTCAGACTGACTTGATCCGACTCCAAATAAAGATTCCCCCCACCCGCCCCTGTAGTGCCTTGTTGACCAAACATGTTTGAAATGTGTCTGTGTGAGTTCGATGAGCTTACAAGCCACAGATCTGGCCACTTGAGTATCTTTATGCATTTGTGAGATGCAAAATGACTCTTGGTCAAATACAGTATAAGCAAGCAAGCAAGCAAACAAACAAACAAACAAACAAACAAACAGACAGACAGGCAAAAGTAATGTATCCACACAATCGAATAAATAAAGTTTCCTTATTTTTTCTGTTCTTTCTTTCTATCTCTTGCTCTTTTTTTTGTTTTAATCTTTTAATATTACATATATATATATATATATATGTGTGTGTGTGTGTGTGCGAGTCATCACAATCTTAACAAAAATAAATATCAGCTACAACAAGAAAGACTTCAATTTATATATCATTTTAACTATAATTTAATTTGCAATAACATATATATATATACTCACATATATTTCTTGAAATGAGTGAGGCACAAATATATTAGAACTTTTTTTTAAAAAAAAAAACAAAAACTAGTATTAATACTTTGTATTACAATCAAAAGGCTTTAGTATTGCTGGAACTGTGGAGCCTTGTAATTTCAGATGGTCGATTCCCGAATGGTCCAAGATTCCCATGCTACATTACCTGAGGAGTCCCATGTTTTGCGTTGGAAACTTACAATGGCAAGTCATTATTATTAACTAGAAATAGACATTGTTGATCATGTTAATGAACATTATGATCTTGATTACCAAAATAAAATTAAGAGAGAACAAGAGAACAATATTATACTAACTATTATATTTATATATCTTATTTTATGTGTGCGTGTGTCTTGTAGGAGTATTCAGGTAGATCAAACGAGAAATCGATAGATATTAGTTGCTCATGATTTTTACGCTATTAACTCAGCTTATCAAAGGAATGAAAGACTGGCCAAATGTTTGTATATTATTTTATTATCATTTTATAAAGATAAAGATATTGTATATGTATTTATGCGTGTAAATTGACTATCAATTGTTACGTTTATTTATTTTCTTATATGTTTGGATTAAGTGTCGTTTGTCCCTTGAATTGGAAGGGACATATCCCGTAGGCAACACATATGGTATCGATGCTACAGTTCATGGTACATTTAGTATAGAGAAACCAGAAGTAAAACAAACTAAACTTGGTGAGTATTCATAGTATTCAAATTGGCTGCTAAATAAATATGTATATATTTATATATATATCTTTTATTTTTATTTAAATGATAAATTATTAGCTAATATGCCCCACTATCTTCCAAGTAAGTCTTGCACATAATTAGATACACCTTTTTCCTTTGTCTTTTTTCTTCTTCTTTCTTTTCTGGTCTAAGTATATAGTTTAGAAAACAAGACTAGTAGGACACCAGATTGGATTTCATGTGTTAGCCTGAGTACAATACAGCAACATGTAATCAATGATCGATTGACCATATCAGTCTACATTGATAATGATAGTCCGTGTTTCGGCCAAAAAAGACAGAGCTGCCCAGAGCCAAGAATTCTCAAGGTCGATAATGAGAAGTTTTCCAAGTTTCATGACATCACAATGCATGTTTTCGAAAACGAAGACGAAGACGAAGACGAAGGTGACAACGGAGACGGGGACAAAGACGGAGACAGGGAAGGAGAACACGATGGGAGCAACAAGGTAAAAAAAAGTCAAAATGGGATTCTAAAATCCACAAATCACCAGACATTCCGAGGCCACAAGGTTATTCTGGCAACAGCATCCCCTTGGTTCGAGAATCTACTTCTGAGTGGCATGGAGCCCAGACTGAACGAGGTGACGATCCGTGGGGTGGATCCTGAAATATTCAAACGATTTTTACACTACAGTTACAAGCAAGAAATATACATACGGAGTGTATCAGATGCCCTTAAACTCATCAAGGTAGCTGACATGCTAAAATTTGACGACATTCGGAAAGATGCATTCTATTACCTGCAAATGAGAATCAATAGCGGAAACTTTTGGAGTATCTGGAAAGCAGCGGGTAATCACAATAAGAAGAAAATGCGTAGTTTGTACAATATGGTTAACTAACTAAGTAACTAATTGATTGATTTATTGATTAATTAATTAATCTATACACATAGACATGTATAGCTGTAAAACAACTCAAAAGTTATGCCAAGTTTTCATAAGAGAAAATTGCCCTAATGTTCTCAGCTCACCAGGATGGCTTACTGCCGATTTTGAGTACACTCTGAAGGCCCTTAAAATAGATTGCTTACCCGTACCAGTAGAAGAATCGACGTTCTACGAAGCTGTCATTGACTGGAGAGAGGCAGCAATTGAAAGGATAAGTAGAAATAAAAGACGAATGACCGAAAATGCACAGGCGGCAGCAGCAACAGCAGCAGTACCCCGGAGCCCTGATAGTGTATCTTCTGATGATATGACCAAACATACGACCCATGATATAGGGCGTACCGAGAACAAATCTATAAGCGACAGTAAAAGAAAAAAGATGACGACAGAAGATGCATTGTTACTTACTGGTGATGAGAAAACAAAGATTGAGCTGGATATAATTGAGCAGCAGTTTTCTACTATGGTCCATTGTATAAGATTTACTCAAATGAAGAAAGAGTATCTGGCTGACGTTGTTGAAACAGAAAAGGCTGTGATGAAAGTAAACGGTATCGAACGCTTGGTAAGAAATGAAATCACTTTCTACGATAGACACAAAACTTATACATACACAAATATATATATATTTGTAAACATTAGCTTATTAGTGCATATCAATATATTGCTTTTGGCGGTAAAAGACCAGTTCCAAAAGAGTTGATGCCGCGGTACATCAGTTCAGCTTAACATGTAGCCTCACAAGAAACAATCGATTTATTTATTCTGGAAATTCAATTTCTATAAACAGACTCATTTATATATTCTATATTCTATACCATACACAATTCATATCAGAAATATAAAATAAAAGACATAGTACTACAGGATAAGTACTTGTTCAAGCATATATACTATGTCCAGAGTAATTGTATCATTTATTATCTTTACAGGCGATTTTCATATGTAAAAAAAAAAAAAAAAAACAAAAAAAAAAAAAAACAAAAGTACACAAAGTAGATCATACAATTTTTAATATATATTTCTTAATAATAATTATATAAATTTCAAGTTGGCAGCTTATTATAAAGAAATGTATAGATACCATACAAGAAAAATTAATTTTCCGGCTTTAGTCTTTTGGAGAAATGTTTAAGACGTCCGTTATTATCTTCATTTACAAGATTTTTTTTTATATACATCATAGTAACCACGGGTTACAAAGCTAAAGAGATGTTTACCAAAACTTTCTGTAAATTTTTTCAACTTAGTATAGATGACTAATATAAAAAAAAACCGCCCCCCACAGAACATATCCAAGATTCACTTTTATATACAGATATGTAATATGTATAATCACAATATCTACTATATCATATTACCAATTTACTTCACCTACCACAAGAGATGAAGTCTACTGTTAATATTCTTCTTTTTTACAATTAGGTTTAAATACCGCATTTCTTCAAAAGTGGGTAGAAATTGTGGAGAATGACAAAACTGAACGTTTGGTTTTAGTCAACTCGACCAAACAGCAATTTATCTCCCTCTTTATATTAAGAGAAAGAAATGAACGAAAAAACTATCGAATGTATTCCAATTTCCTGGTTATTAAAAAAAACTACAGAACAAAATTACACCAATAGTGATATTGGGATAAATCGGCATAAAAAAAAAGGCGGCATTCCAAGATCTCTTTATAACCTTGCTTCTTTAGTAATACTTCATAATAGCCTGTCTTTAAACCAAACCCCACTTTTTTTTATATATATATAAAAAGATAAAGCAGAGCAAAGCAAAGAAAGGTAGGTAGTACACCATAAATAATGTCTAATCCAAGATGCTGACAAATACAAAGTTCTGGGGAATAGCACAGAAATTGTGTGATTTATGTGCTTTGAACGTATATTACCAGTATGTACTTTAAACTAAAATATACATTACTAAACATACTGTTTCTTTTTCCTTCTCTTTCATTGTTAATATTTCTTTGTTATACGTCAACTCAGTCACCCTTAATATTGAAAGCCAAAAAAAATGCATATATAAATTGTAGGTGTGTAGAGCAACAACATTTCGTATTACTCTTCTTTTTTTCTTTATCTTAATTTTTTGTATCTCTTCTTCTTTATATATTTAATACTATGTCTAAAACATATCTTGTAACTGGAACTTCGCGCGGTATCGGTCTTTGGTTTGTCAAGACTCTTAAGGAACAAGGCCACACTGTCATTGCTACTGCACGCAATCCCGATGCGTCCGAACAACTCAAGGCAATCACGGGAAGTAATATTCACAAGGTTCCATTGGACATTACTTCCCAGGAATCCATTAAGGTAAGAATGATTTCTTAAAAATAATTATATATAATACTACTATATGTATATACCTCTGTGTGTGTGTGTGCAATTATGATTATTATTATCTCTGACCCAGTTGATTGTATTAAAGGCAGCAGTAGAACATGTCAATAAGTTGGCACCACATGGTATTGATGTACTGATCAACAACTCGGGCATCAATGAAAAGAAGTATTCTATAGATAAAATGTAAGAATATATATGGTTTTGTGGTTATACGAGACATACTACTGAGTACTGGTACTAATTAAATGCCTTTTATGTAATTAAAGTCCTAGTGAAGAGTTTTCTCTGGTACTTAACACAAATGTGGTTGGAACTTCCAGTGTTACCCAAGCTTTTCTCCCATTGTTACGCAAAGCAAACACACGCCATATTATCAACATATCATCTATCGTCGGATCTCTTGCCATCACGGACACTGCTTCAATTCCTGTCTATCGTGTCTCAAAGGCAGCCGTGAACATGCTGAGCAAACTCTACTCTATCCAGTTAAGCGACGAGAAGTTTATTGTCAGTGCTGTTCATCCAGGATGGGTAAAAACAGACATGGGTGGTGAGGAAGCCCTTATTACTCCCGCTGAGTCTGTAGCCGGTATCCTTGAATATGAAAGCAGGCTTACATCAAAAGATAATGGCACTTATGTCGACTATCAGGGAAAGCCTTTGCCTTGGTAGAATAATTTCATTTTATAATAGATGGATATAATAAAACAATTGTATACATATATGTGAGATTTTATTCTTTATTTTATTTTTATATCAAAACCTAGCTTGTTTGTTGGTTGGTTGAAACCCATTTTTTAGATTTACCACAAATCCGCCACAGAGCTCAATTTTTGACGTCAATTTTGGTCTTGTCTACTGGGTTCTTACGCACATGCAGACTTCAATTCCTGCTTTAGATTTTGCGTCCCGCAAATTATGCAAAAAAAAAATGATAATCACTACGGAAAAAAAAAAGGGGGGGGGGGGGGGGGGCGATTCAGAGGGTGGTTTTGAAAAAGGTATTAACATGAATCAAAAAACACCCTCTGAATTGTCCGTTTTTTTTTATAGTCTTTGTTCAGAAAAAAAAATCTATAAAGCAAACAGAAAATATATTTAGCTTTGCTTGAGTTTTTTTTTTCATGACTCAAAAAACTTTGTTGCAAATGACAGAGTACAATTTTTTGTCACTTATAAATAAAATACACTATATATGTGATCGTATATTTATTTAATTGCATTGCATTGCCATCGCAACAGGCTCAATAACGAGCATAAAATCTCTGGGTATAGCTCATTACTGCCACTCGTTTGTATTTCTTCATTATTTTTTTTTGCTTTATACGTATTGCCAAGATGGAGACTCCGGTCATTGATAGCGTACAAGGAAATATCTCTTGGGTTTGCTAAATCATTATGTCCTGTAAAACAAAGTATGGTGCTTTTTTGTAGAATTTCTCCTTCAATCCTTTTGCAAGAAAAAAAAAGCTATTTCTTATTTACATTTTTGTTTATAAAGATCTATCTCTATTTTGCTTTTGCTTTTGATTTTATTTATTTTATATTGAACGTATATTGAACCTTATAGATATCATTCATCTTTCCTGACTTGCAATAACTCAATACAGTGGTTTATATTTCAGAATAGGAATATGCGCCAAAGAAATTAAATTCAAAGGCCAAATAAAGGCTCTTATTTATGAGTAATTTGTCTGCTCTTGCCATATCTCTTACATTCACACGCCATCAAAATTCTAGTCTTACTGTGTAGAAGATGATATCCTAAAGGTTATATAAAGAAAATTGAACAAAAAGAAGAAGAAAAAAGGAGGGTATATTTGAATATACACGTAGGTCTCTTTATGTCGTTGTCGTTGTCGTTGTCATTGTCGTTGTTGCTGTTGTTCTTTTTCACAAACGGTTTTTTTTAAAAAAAAAAAAAATCTCGTTTATGCCTCGGTTTCATGCCCGCCAGTTTTCTCCTCCTCCCTTTTTCCCTTCCAAAAAGTCGATGACGATTCTTTTTTTTTACTGGACATTCAAAGGGATGTGGTACTTTTATCTTGAGTAGTTATCTTTGGTCTTCCAGGAGACTTATTGTCGGCTACTGAGCCAGTTCGCTTGAATTTGTCTATAATACGAGTGATGGTGTATCGAGATACATTCTCCATTACAGCGATTTTGGCGACAATCATTCCACTCTTGTAAAGGCCAATTATGATGCCTTTTCTGAATTCAGAAAGTTTTTGGTAAGGACCACGGACTAAACGAGCTTGTTCTTTGGGCATTACTGTTGATGTTGATCAGAATCTTTCTTAGATTAAAGAAAGGCTACTTTTTTTAAAAAAAAAAAAAAAAAAGATGTGTATCAAGAGTTGCTATGAAACCAAGTGTGCAAATGCAATTGTCGGACTTTATAATATATCAGTAACACAACAAGTCTTTCAAATATAGATAGTAAAGATATCACTCCTTATAAAATATAATAAAAAATAAAGAATTGAATACATATTCTTCTTTATTTTACTTGAAAAATTTTGGTATCAAAAAAGAAGAAGAAAAATAAGAGTATCTTTCATTAGTACAAATAAAATAAATAAAGGTTAAGAAAAAGATCATCTTCTCCTTCTTCTTCTTGCTTTTTGTTTTTTTGTTGTTTTGATTATATATTTTTTACAATGAGAGAGAAAGAGGTAAAAGGTAAAAGAAACAAGAAAGAGTGATTTAATGACATAAAATACAAGATAAATTCTATTGTGACAGTTTGACGGAACGAGCGACATTGGTCTTGATACCAGTGGATTCTCCACCATAGCCAGAATGCTGTTCTTTGACGATCTGCTTGACTGAAGAAAGCTTCTTGACCTGCTTCTCGAACTTGTTTCTGTGCTTGACACGTGTGTTTCTGACGGTCTTTCTGCGGTGAGGTGTGAGACCCTTGTTCTTGAGAATTTGGTAAGATGCCAATCGTTTGTGTCCATCCTCGACCTTGAAGTCTCCGTCGACAATCGGTACTCGCCCAGCTTCATACTCTGCCAATTTGGCTTCTTTCTTTGCTGCTTTGCTTCCTGCCACTTCTTCATAATAATTATCCTCGTCGTCGTCGTTTGTGCCATTTCGGACTGCACTAGCGGTCTTATTATCTTCAGCATCCCAATCGGCACCATCCAGATCAGCAGAGTTGTCCAAAGGCTGACGAACACCTGTCTTGCTGTATTTGTTATTGTCTCTGTAAGGCAGATCAGAATCACCATGGTATTTCGCTGCCATCTTCAATTGTTTCTATAGAGGGGGAAAAAAGTAAAACAAGTATCAATTGAGTAATTTGTCAGAGAATTGAATTATCAAGTAATTCTTTTGTGTCTGTGTGTATATCTAGATTACTTACAGAATCGATCTTGGCAACATAATCTCTTATTGACTTTTTCTTGGCAAGTTTGTCTTCCATATCCACTTCATCTAATGCTTCTAATTCACCAAAGTCATCTGTCATTGTTCTCTTGCGCTTCTTATTAGCCTTCTTCAGACTCTTGAACTCTTCTTCAATATCGATTAATTCGTCCAATTCAGCATCCATATTATCGTCTTCGTCTTCGTCTTCGTCTTCTACAGGCTCTTCGACTACTGGGGAAGCCTTCTTTTTGGATTTCTTTGCTGTGGGTGTGGGTGTGGTTGTAGTGGTAGCATTCTTTGTCTTCTTTGATTTCTTTGGCTTTTCTGCTTGTGTGAACAGTTCTTCGACAAACAGATTAAGCTGGGACGCAATCTTCTCTTCAATTTTGTCGAGTTTCTCAAGTTGACCACGCAATTCAACAAGGGCATGGATGACAGGATGGTCACGAACGTTGGGTACACCGGATGCCTTTAGGGCAAAGTAGAAAGATACGTTTGTCATGTAGTTCAACAAAAGTTCTGTTCACATAAGAAAAATAAATAAATGAGTAAATGGTGAATATTATTAATCTACCAATGTTTTGCTTATTTCTGAGGAAAGAGAAGAAGGAGTTGGGGATTTATTATGTATTCCTTGGTTTGAATTAGACGACTTACGTTGTTTGAACAAGAAGAATCTACCTTCAGGGTCCTCAGACTTTCCACTTGTACGAATCTTATCAAAAAGTTCAGCCATAGTTTCGAGTTCTGAGGCCTTTTCTTTGAATTCATTCAGCAGGTCAAGCAATTCTGGCGATTCGTTCTGTAAAATCTTGATCTTTTCAGCTACAGGCAAATTGTCTCTTCTCTTTGCAGCTGTCTTGGACACACTGATAATTACAATGCCAATGTTAATGTTAATAAATAAAGTATGATAGTTTAAATAAGCCGCTATTATAATAATTCATATTATTTTCTGCCCTTAATTTCCCTCTTTATTTCTTGTTCTTCTGTGCCTGCCTCTGCCTCTGCTTCTGCTTCTGCTTCTGCTTCTGCTTCTGCTTCTGCTTCTGCTTCTACTTTTGTTGCTGTGATTGTAATTAAATTTACTTACTCGAACGAGATATCCTCCAACTCCTTACTGACAGTGTCAACAAGTTGTTTGTCTGCTTCTGAATCCTATATGTACATAAATCCTTGTGCTTTAATATCAATTCAGCCCAACCAATTACCAGAAATAAAAATAAAAAATAAAAATTTAAAAGGCAACAAATAAAGTAAAAATAAAGTTACCTGCTCGTTTCCAAGACCCCATCCAGGCATAGAATCATCCACGAAATCAGCTTCGTCCATGGCAGCCAGGCGCTCTTTCTGGATTTTCAATGCTTCCTTTTCTTCTTCACGCATTTCTTCCAAGTCAGAGACATCCTCGGCATTATAGTAAGCTTTCTTGGATTGACCCCAAGTTTTGTCTAGGGTGGATAAAGTTTATCAAGAAATAAAGTAAGTATTAAGGTTTTTTCCTTTCCTTTTCTTTTCTTTTTTTGGCTAATAAATGTGCATTGCTTCCTGTCTTTCTCTTTCTTTGCTTTTCTTTTCTTTTCTTTTCATTTCATTTCTTTTCTTTTCTTTTCCTCGTGTTTCCAAACAGCTCTAAATTATTTGCATAAAACCAACAATACTTCAAATAAAATAAAGACAGCCTAACAAACAAACAAAAGGAAGACTTGTAAGAATAGAAAATCTACACCCACCCTCAACTTCCTCTTCTCCTTCTTCATCTTCTCCCATAATATCATCATCTGAGAGCTCTTCTTCTTCTTCATCTTCATCTGATCCAAGTCCTTCGAGTCCATACACTTCTTCCACGCCTTCGTCATCATCTAAGAAAAATTTTTAATATATATATACTTTTTTTTTAATCCCTGCTTTGTATTTTATTCTTTCTTTCTTTCATTTATTCATTCGTCCGTTCATTTCATTTCATTTTTTTTTTAGTGATTCTTACCATCGTCCATTCTACGTCCAAATTTGGCATCGTTCAAAAGAACCTTTTCTCTTTCGTCATGGACTGTGATAATGATAACAGTAAAGCTTTATGAGTTACTTTCTTTTTTTCTTTTTTGTAGTTGTTGGAATTACTCTTTTTTTTTTCTAATTTTTTCTCCAAGTATACATTTTCAAATGTATAATATTGTTCCCTCTCCTCTCCTTTCTTTTCTTCCTCTTCTTCTCCCACTCCGGGATTATAAACGTACAATCGTCTTCTGAATCGTGTTCAATGTCATTCCATGTATTGATTGCTTTGATTTTGCCGTTATTGCGATCATCATTGCGATCGGATCCGTCACGGAAAACTGGTGTTCTCTTCTTTCCCATGCTGTTTATTTTTTTTTTTAAAAAAAAAAGAAATAGTAACAAAAACAGTTCAATGCTCGAATGTAGTAAATTATGTAAATGTATATACACACCTATAACTTCTTTGACTTTATTAAAGTCTTTCAAAAAAAGGAAAAAAGCAAAAAAAAAAGGGGGGCGGGGTTAAAAGGTTTTTGGAATAGGTCTGCCTTGGTGGCTTACACAAATCCAAAAGTGGAAATATGTACAAATAACGAGTCACAACAGTACATTTCACTTTTGATACTAGCCATTGGCACAAAGTCTTACCTGTCTATCTTTTCTCTTACACACACACACACACACACACACATATATATATATATATATAAATAAATATATACAACGCACATCTATACACACATACATTTAAAAATTCTTTTTTTTTGAAAAAAAAGGAAAACTAAAAACCAAAAAAGAAATAAAGAGAGAGAGAGACTTGCGATTCTTATGGATTCAATTGAACATTCAGACTTTGCCAAACGAAAGTTTCTTGCAAAGGGAGTCGGAGACGCAGCTACGAAAGAGTACATTGCAAACAAGTACCTAAGTTCTGGAACAGATGAAAATAAAAAGAAAAAGAAGAGAAAGATAGGCGCCAAGAAGATTCGCAGAGGAAATATTGGAATTGTAGATGAAGAAGAGTTTGGATGGAAGCAAATCGGCACCCGTGATGAAGAAGAAGCAGAGACGAAACGGTATCAAGAAGAGCAGGAACGACTGATGGCAGAGGCCGCGGAGAGCAAAGAGGCGGCAAAATCACGCGCGAGTAGCTGGCAGACAATCCGAGGGGAAGAACAGACAGACTATAGAGGAGAGGATGATAATGATAATGATGATAGCGAGCTCGAAGACGAAAAACCCATGATTGTGTCTCAGGAAGAAGCAGGATCACGGAGAGATAGAGGAGAAGAGGGAGGAGGAGGGCCACGAATGTCGAGTGGACAAAAGGCAGGCCTATTGACAAGCCACGAGCTTAAGGCTGAAGCAGCAAGAGCACGAGAATTGGAGCTCAAGGCACTGCAAAGGCTAAAAGAGGATAGTCAAGGGCAGGGTACAGAAACAGTCTATCGTGACGCTACAGGGCGAAAGATAGACCCGAAGATTAAAAAAGCTGAGGAGGCACGGGCAAAGAAGGAAGCAGACGAGAGAGAATCAAGACGAATGGAATGGGGCAAGGGGCTTGTTCAACGTGAGGAAGCTCAAGCTGAATTGAAGAGACTCAAAGAGGAAAAGGATAAGCCGTTGGCAAGGTATTTATTATATATATATTATTTTATTTTAAAGGGCTATTCAAGAATTCAAGCAAGAGAGAAAGAGAGAGAAATAGGTGAAAAGGGGAGAGGTAGTGTATAGATTTGCGTTTGTGTTTGTGTTTGTGTTTGTATTTGTGTTGTGTGTTGTGTTGTGTTGTGTTGTGTTGTGTTTTGTGCGTGCGTGTGTGTGTGTTTTTTTGTTTTTGTTTTTGTTTTTGTTTTTGTGCTTTTGTGCTGCTTATTGCCAGGAGGGATGATCTCTACTTGGTTATTCTATTAGGAGTTCATTTAGTACAAAAGAAATCAAGGGGACTTAGAGAAGGTTGTAAGATGCCTCGACACGGAAAGGGATATAACAGAGGAGGAGGTGTTGAATAATTAGACGGAAGAAAAGAGGTTTGTAGAACAAGGCTTAGTTTAGGTTGGGCTCAGATATACAATAGACATTATTTCTATATTTCTTTTACACACGCACACGCACACGCACATACATAAACATAAGCATAAGCATAAGCATAAGCATAAACATACATATGTGTGTATTTATATACGCGTACATACATGCACAGATTATTATTACTTTATATATATATATATATATCGTTTGTATATATCAAATATCAAATTAGCCAAACATACATATAAATATAAACATAAGCACAAGCACAAATACACATTGTTTAGAAGAACAATACAGGGAAAATTTTTGTCTTTCTTTTTTGAGGAGAGGTTGAGGAGAGGAGGGGGGGAGAAGATCCAGAAAAGAAAAGAAAAGAAACAAAAAAGCATAAAAATATTAAGAGTAATAAGAATAAGAATAATAGTAATTAATACTTGGAAAATGGACAATTGATAATGAACATAACGCTAATGGTACTTATGATCTTTTTTTATTATTATATATATACTTCTTTTGTTTTGTACTCTAGATATGTTGACGATGAAGATTATAACCAAGGCCTTAAAGACAGAGATAGATGGAATGACCCTGCGGCAGGTTTCTTGACTGTAAGGCTCTTTTTTCTTTTTCTTCTTCATTAATGTGCTATAGTATATACACGCACATACATACATACATACATACAAAAAAGAAAAATAAAAGGGAGGGAGGGAGAGGGGGTGAAAGACAAGGTATTATTTTTATTTTTATTTTTGGGATTAACAAAACCAATTATTACTGTTATTATTCTGTAGAAAAAAACCAAAGGTAAATCAAGTGTTTCAAGACCCAGTTACAAAGGACCTTGGAAGCCAAACCGGTTTATGATTCCACCCGGTTATCGGTGGGATGGTGTGGACCGTTCGAATGGGTTCGAGGACACCTTTTTGTTACATTTGAACCAAAAGAAGTCTTTGGCAGCCGAAGCCCATGCTTGGTCTACAGAGGATATGTAAAAATAAAATAAAAAGTATTTATTTATTTATTTATTTATTTATTTATTTATGCATTTATGTATTTATGTATAATTAATTAATTAATTATATGTACAATAATATATACAAGTAATACTTTCCTGTCTATTGTGATTGTTTATCTGTGGCAACTTGCACTCATTCACACATATATACATAATATAATCTGATATAATATAATATTGAACTTGACTTGTCGTCTAGTAAAAAAGTATTATTATTATTATTATTATTATTATTTCTTAAATTTCCCCTTTAGGTCTCCTCTAATCAACCACGTCTCTATTATCCTTTTTACTACAATGGGTTAAAAAACACCGGTTCTCCTATTTTTTAATATATGTAAAAGGGAAAAGTTGTTAGGTCTGTATTATACTTGTCAATAAGTTGTATCCATTGTAAAGATCTGCGAATAACTTTGAGACAACGCCTTCAAATAATAGTCTAACCTACACCCAAAATTGCTAAATTTTGTTCCTTAATTTTAGTATTATTAATTATACTGAGCACACACTATACATAGACAAGCAGGCAGACAGGCAGGCAGACAGGCAGATACGCACATATATATATATATATATATACTTATACTTATATACACATAGACATACACACATATACAGCTACAGCTACAGCTACAGCTACAGCTACAGCCACAGCCACAGCTACAGCTACAGCTACAGCTACAGCTACATACATATATACATATATATATATATATATATATATATATATAGGATATTTAGGATATATTTATACATGTATATTTTAATAAAAAAAAATTTCTAAACAATATATAAAGGTCCATGATCATTTAACGACAAGGTTATTCCACTTTCAATACACAAATACAAATACAAATACAAATACAAATACAAATACAAACACAAAAATGAAATCTACTTGTACACTTCCTCCACTTGCAGATCTACTCTTGCTCGCTCGTTCACCAAACATGGATTCTCAAATGAGTGGATATTATCCACCAATCTGGTCACCTCGGCCTTCTTCACCCAGCCAATCCTTGTCTTCTATTCCCACTGCCCCTTACAATCCTCACCCGCTCAAGGCCAAGCGTAAAAGAGCCTCTGCACCTCAACTCGCAGTCCTAAACCGTGTGTTTAGCCAGACATACTTTCCATCGACAGAACTGCGAATTGATCTCGGAAAACAGTTAAATATGAGTCCTCGTACTGTCCAGATCTGGTTCCAAAACAAGCGCCAGGCTCTTCGCACTCGCGGAAAACTATCCGATAAATGCGAATACTTTCAAGAGAACGATCACCATCATCACTATCATTATCAGGAACAGCCGCAACAACATTTAGTTCCTCTCATGAGCCCCCCACGCTCACCACCTTCTTCTGATATTTACCCACACTTTCACCCGCATTCGAATCACTCTTTATCATCACCCCACTCTTACCAAAATGAAATCTCCAGAACCCTACCACCAGCCCGCATCTCACTTCCTCCACTTCGCCTGTCGCCATCATCCTATCCTCACAGCCCTGTATCGCCTTTCCCAAGTCCAGATTCAATTTACTCTATTTTCTTTAGAGAGTAATTTGATCGACTTGAAATTATTATCATCCGAATGATAACATTAACATAATCAATATAATTTACCAGCCACAACTGCTACGATCAAACTTTATCATCAACACCTCACTCTCACTCTCACTCTATACTCTCTCATGCGACCGACCAAGATAAAACGCCTATATACAACTCCAACGAATCATATATCACTCAAAGAAAAATATACCAAAAAATATATATATATACACCAAAACTTACAAGGACAAGACCAAAGACAATACAGAATTGCGACATTTGCAATACAAACCACCCGAAAAAAAATCCCTTTTCTATCCATTGTTCGATCAATTATTCTGACTATAACTATCCATATTACTACTACTTTAACTATTATTACTATTATTATTATTATTATTATTATTATTATTATTTTTGCGCCGTGTATAGTCGTCATTTCTTTTTCTTTTTCTTTATGTCTTGTTCATTTCTCCCTTTCTTCTTAAACCAGCCTTTTTTTCTTATGCACCTTTTTTATACTGAAAAAGAGAAAAGAGAAAAATACCTGCTGTTTTGTCTTTCTTTTCGTATTATGTTTGCCTTATGTTCTTTACTCTAGTTCTTGTATATGTCATGCTTTTTTTCTATCTATCTATCTATCTATCTATCTATATATATATTCTTATATATATATATATATATAATCATTCTTATAGTTTATTCTTTTTTTTTTCTTTATTGCCATAGATCTTTAAACGCAAATAACCTTTTGTCTTTTTACACACTCACACTCATATTCATATTCATATTCACATTCATATTCACATTCACACTTGCAAATATATTTATATAAAGAATTGTTATATAGATTGTCTCTGCTCATTTTGGCTTTATATATATAAAAATATCTTATTTATTTAATAAGTTAATAAATAAATAAATTCAAAATATATATATATATATATACTATTTCCCCTCTCTTTTATATGCTTCCCCTCGTCCTTCAAAAGAAAACCACTCTAATTTTCATTTCAAGACACCCCTTCATAAACGATGATCTTTTGGCCATTATCTCTCTTGGTTTGTGTGAGTTTATTCTTATTATTATTATTTTGTTTATTTCTTCACTACAAGACAGCAAACAATATCATCAACAGAAATAAGAAATATATATACAATTAATTAATTAATTAATTAATTAATTAAAGAAGTGGTGACATTTAAGAGTGCATTATCATACGTTAATATTAACAATTCCTTTGTGTGTGTATATATATATATACATATTGCAATAATAAAATGAAGAACAAGTAGAAGAAGTAGTATAAGAATGGTAATAAACATAATAATAACTCTTTTTTCTTCTTTTCTTGTTTTATTAAATTATCTTTTAAGGCTATGTAAAAGAAAAGAAAAAAAAAAACTTAAAGTCGCAAAGGAGAAATAAATGGTTTGTTGTGAAATTGATTTGAAACCAAAGTTTTGGAAAGGTAAAAGGAAGAAGCTTTAGATAATGATTTACAAACAAACAAAAAAAGATATATGGTTTCTGTAATCGTCATAGTTTCTGTCTTTAATAGAGAAAAAGAGGTGATGAGCTATCCAGATTAACTATATATATTTTTTTGGAATCGATTTTGGGAATCAAAATCAGCGATCTCAGAAAACAAAACAAAATCTGGAATGCTTTCTTCTCCTTGTAGATTCTGTATTCTTTAATATTTATATTGACACGACACGACACTATACGAAACTACACTATACAGGAAGAAATAGGAAAAGGTTTTTAGATATATATTATTTTGAATTTATATATATAATTGTAAAATTGATATCCTCACCTTGCAGGTCAATTTGATTTTTCATTTATACTTTTTGTGAAATGTTTGTATATATAAGATTTTGAAAGGAGTATATACACAACCATTCTAGATTTCATTAATCTATTCTATTATATTCTATTATATTCTGAAAGTTGTACAACACAGACACCCAACTTGTTTTATGGGTGGGTGAGTGAAATAGGGCATTATAGTCAGATACTCCAATGAGTATGTCTGTGTAAATCCGTTGAATAGCCTACTGGATAGCTAAAAGTTGGTTGGTTTTGTATTCTAGCTCTATTGATTAGACTATTTATGTATAGTATGTCTCTATAACATTTTTACTTGGATTTCTTGGACTTCTAGTCCGAGCGCTTTAGCATTATAACTTATATTACATGTTACTCTTATTATAATTATTTTAATAATATAATATAAAATAAAGTAAGACAATTGTATTACTTTCTCCTAGATTTTATTCTTCTTCTTCTTCTTCCTTTTTTCCCAAAACTTAACAGCCCTATTAAAATTGATAGCCATTGTTTAATATATGTATATTCAGTCGTACAGTCTATTTATTTATTTTATGTGTTGCGTTGTGTCGTGTAGTATATATTAATATTATATTCCTTTATTTTATATCTGCCTGTCTGTCTGTATGTACCTTTTTGACAAAATAAGACCTCCTTCATTACATCTATATACATCTAATAATATTCTATTACTCCCTCTTTAAAGCATTATATTAATATAATATATAAATCTTGTTCTTTTTTTTTTCTTTCTCTTTTTCTTAAAATGTATATAGATAATCAATTATCAATTATCAGTTATCAGTCCCTATATACTATAATAATGCCATTGGATAATATCAATAAAAATAAGAATTATACGTCTTTCACCTTCTATCTTTAAAGGAGAAGAACAAAATATAGAACTATCGACAAGGGGTGCAAGTGTTGTATGGCGCGGAAAATATCAATTAGATAAAATATAATGCGTATATAGATACCTACATATCCTTGTACATTGTTATAAGGATTCTGTCTGTCAAATGTGTATAAGTATAGATATAAATAACTGTATCTATATCTATATTTATGCATGTGCATTACTGGTTTAATATCCATCTTGTAAATAATCTACAGTACATTGAAAATTTTGTCTTTTTTTTTTCTTTTTTTCTTGTTGTAATATTCTTCATATAGACTTTACATGCACCTGTACTTGTACTTGTACTTGTACTTGTACTTGAACTTGAACTTCTTGAAATAGAATAAATCAACATTATAGCCATTCTTATTGACTTTTTTTTAAAAAAATTTATTTTTTTTTAAAAAAAAATTCTACTAGGAAACCGGGGTTAGCTCTCCTACGCACGCACAAAGTAAATCCTAGTCAGAAAAAGAAAAGATACCAACAACAACAACAACAAGAAAGTTGGAAAGGCTAATAAGGGGTGGGGAAGAATTTTCACTTTCTTTTTGGTTTTTTTATTTTATTTGATGAATTGGGTTTATTTCTTGTATGTATTTGAGTGAGTGAGTGAGTGAAAAGTTGTGACACTGATACACAAATGCAATGTTCATATTTAACTAACAAAAATCTCATATTTAAACAAGCCAGACTCTAAATTGACTTTTACGCAATATGATTCAACAGATTATTAGATACCAAGGCTCATGTCATTCTAAAGTCTTTAGTACTGCAATCAAAATAATAATACTAGCAATAATAATAATACAAGATTTGAACCCTAATATATATATATATATTAATTTATTTCATTTTCTTAATCTTTTTTTTTTATAATACAGTATAGTATTATGATAATGATAGTAGTAATAGTAATTAATGTATGCATTGGACTTTTACATTTGGCGGGCAGTATACGGACCAGATCCCAGGCTATAATCAAAGCCAAATATAGCCATAGCCATAGCCATAGCCACCCACACACACACAACCACACTATATTTATATACACATTTCATTTCATTTCATTTCATTTCATTTCATTTCATTACAGATATTGAAACCAATTAATACAACCAAGTGATGTGTTGAGTACATGGTTTGAATTTCTTCTTATTATTATTATTTTAAACAAAACAAAAAGAAACTTTGAAAATGAACCCTTATTTTAAATTATTTATTATATTATAATTGTTGTTGTATTTGATGCAAATCCAAATGCAAATGCAGATGTAAAGTGTAGATGTATGTACTTAGCCACACGCTGGCTGGCTGGATTGACAGACAGAAAGACAGACAGACAGACAGATAAATATACATATATAAAGTATAAAAGGGGGGAGAACTAGGCGTTTGATATAAGAGAAGTTGGATGGCTGGGGTCTCCTTTTTGTTAAGGGATGCACGTGGTAATAATGCACACGTCCCCTTCCTTCTCCTATTCAACCACAAGACTAAATTTATATATTTTTTATATTTAACATCTTTCAAACAAGCATAGTCAATTGGCCAAGTGTACAGCCAACCACATACTGTGCACATACATATACATATCTATATATTTAGATATGTTAAAATCGTACAGCTACTGCATGGCTCACAGCCTATTTTTATATACCAGTATCTAAGAACAAGAAATTAAGAAGAGTACAAAGAAACGCGAGTCAAGTACAACACAAGATCCCTTGTTTTCTTTCTTTCTTTCTCTTATTTAGTCAATTGAACAGTATCTGTAGAAACAGAATACCAAACCTTTCCTTTTTCTTCTTCTTTTGTTTGAAAAATATTCTTGTTACAAGTAGATAATTAAAGCTTCTCCGCTGTACAACAATCAAGACACTTCATTACACGTGTTTGATATCTCTAATTATCATTATTATTATTATTATTATTATTATTATTATTATTATTATAGTCATCAGTATTACTACTATCACCATAGTAATAGCAAAGATGCATTTCTGTTTTTTTTCTTCTTTGGTATTTATTGGTAGATAATACACGCATATATATATATATATATTATGTAGGTAGAATATATAAATTCAGTCAATTATAACACTGGTTTACAAACAATGATTAAAAAACACAAAAAATAAGGTAAAGTAAAGTATAAAAAAAAAAGTAAAGTGTATGTATATACATGTAAAGGTAATTCAATTGGTAGAGAGAGAGAGAGAGAGAGATTAATAAGAGGTTAAATATGAATAGGTTGATAATATATGTAGCGTACGCGCGCGTATATGTGGCGTATGTGTAAGTATGTGTAGTGTATATAAAATGTAGATAATATCAATTTAAACTATTATGCATTTTCACTCGTAAATTCAACATAGGATTCTGGTATCAACCCAGTGTCTTCATTTACATCCGCAATTAACCAGCCCTGTTATACGTATATAGGTATAGATTATTATTATTATTATTATTTTTAAAAAAAAAAAAAAAAAAAAGATGAAAATGAGTAAATTTGAATTTGACTTTTTCTTCTTCTTCTTCTTCTTTATAATCATATTTATATATAATTGTCTGACTTACATGACATTGTCTGTATTGAACCCAGACAAGTTGGCCAGCCTTCATTGCAATCTCATATTCAGTTTCTGGGTAAAAATCGTAAAGAACGCGTGCTTGTCGGCCGGTGAACTCTGAACTCGAGAGAGAGATTTCAGATAGTCGATGAGATGATCGTTTGTTCGATTCAAATAATTTTCCGTGGTGAAGTGAAGAGGTAGCTGGGTAGGCAAAATCACGAATGATTACATTGAAATCTACACAATTGATGATGTATAGAAAGATCATTTAGCCTTCTAACTCTATTTTAGAGATGTATAAATGTATATAAATTTTGTATTACACAACTATAATTCTAATAATTATTAAAGGTATACTTGCTTGGTGTTTGAATTTGTGTTTGTGTTTGAATTTGTGTTTGTGTTTGTGTTTGAATTTGAATTTGTGTTTGGGTAGGTACAGGTGCAGGCATTAATGTTGGTGTTGGCGTTGGCGTTGGTGGTGATGAGGTCTCGTTACCCAATACAGGCTTTGGTTTTTGTATAAATATAATGCAATTACAAGTCCATAGATTTACGCAAATAAATAAATATATTAGTAATTGATACAGACATGCGCATATCTCTTTCCCTCTTTCTCTCTCTCTCTTTTACATATATATATATATATTTATATCTATGTATGTGTGTGGGTATTTACCGGTCCAGCCGCCTCCAAAGATGAGGGTGTATTAGGAGGTACATTAATGTCTTTTTCTTCTTCTTCGTCTTTGATTTCATTTTCCAGGCTTTTCTTTTCAGAGTTACAAACTAAAGAGACCCTGTGACGTTCGGTACAGATAGCTTCAATCGGTTTCTGTTGTGAATCTCGTAGGGCGGCATGCTCTTTGAGTTCTTTAGGTGATGAGATTGAAACGCTTTCATCATTAGAAGAACAAGACGTAATGGACGTATTACTGTCTTGGCGGGTGAGTTGGGTTTTTGGTCTGAAGGGTTTTGTCGATTGGTTCTTTCGAGTGACCTATTTTAAATACATAGAATGTAGAATGTAATAAAGTCATTTAGTCATTTAGTCATTTTAGTCATTTTAGTCAGTCAGCTTTTATTTTATTTTTTATTTATTTATTTTATTTTATTTTATTTGGTAGAGGGTGTAGTTATTGTGAATGAAAAAAAAAAGACTAGGTATTGGAATATAATGTACTCAAGGGACCATTACCTTTTTCACCAATAGTGCAAATGTGATTAGGGTAGAGAGACTCATAATACTAGTAGGTCATAAAACTACTGGACTTGAATAAATAATAATAATAATCTGTATAAAGATAGATAGATAGATAAAGAAGAAAGGAAAGGAAAGGAAAGGTGTGGGTTGTGTGTAGTAGGTAACAATTGGCAGTGACCGAGGGTGTGCAAAGACAAAGAAGAAGAGTAAAGAAAAGAGAGTATGGGTTGGTTGGAAGGCTAAGCCTTGGCGCTTGTGGAGATAAAGAAAGAAAGAAAGAAAGAGAGAGAGAGAGAGGGAAAAAATGGGCGGCAAAAATCACAAATTTGATGATGATTACAATAATAATAATAATAATAAATTCTAATTAATGTTTTTTTTAAAAAAAAAAACTATAATATATTGTATATATTGTATATATATATATATAATATAAAGAGAGAGAGACAGGAGAAGGGAAAGAGAGGGAGAGGAAGGGGGGAGAAGGGTGGGGATTATTATTATTATTATTATTTTGGGTGGGAGACACGAAAAAGACAGATGGCTTCCAAGTTTTATATATTAAACAATATTTCTTGTGTTGCATTTGAGACTCCAGTTGAGCTGTAATTGGTTTAATTCATCAACCAACGTAGTACCACTTGTTATCGGCCTCTCCAGGGTTATTGCTCTAAAATAAAATAAATATAAGGTCAATATAAACCCTTAGATTATGTGTTTATTTACTTTTTTTACTTCTTGACTAGGCTTGATCGATTTACTGCTGGTTGTATATGGAGAACCCTTAATGGTGACATTTGCACTACAGAATAGACGCAAAATAAAATATTAATATTAATATTATTATTAATGGCAATCAATAACTTGAATAAGGTTGGTTTGGTGATCCAAAATAATAATAATCATAATCATAATCGTAATCGTAATCGTAATAATGCTCACACTGCCAAATCATGTGTATCAGCCTTGGCGGGAGTATCTCCCTTGATCAGTTTTTGCCAGGCTTCATGTGTCTCTTCAATAATGGTATTTGCATATGCCTAAGATATATCCACAGTTACAGTCAAATAAATAATTTTTTTTGCGTTACCTTGTCTTTGCATTGACCATCAAAAGCAAACTCGTTTTCAGGTTTACCATCAGGGACCTTGTAAATCTTGAACCAGCGATAAGTGGCGTCCAAAAGTCCCGGGAAATGGGTCTCGACATCCTTGATATCTAGTTATCTCAATATATATACATATTAGCTAAATTATTTTTGTTTCTATTTCTATTTCTATTTCCTGTTTGCTTACCATGTACTTTGTTGGCCAATGGATCTTTTGTGTCAATCGCAATCACCTTCCAATCAGTCTCTCCTTCGTCCAATAGAGCCATCACTCCAAGAACCTTGACTTCCTTAACCTCGCCTGCTACACCCAATTTCTCTCCAATCTCACACACATCAATCGGATCATTGTCTCCACGTGCATTCGTATCTGGGTTAGACTGTGTAGGGTCCTCCCATGTCTAAAATGTATATACATACATATGTAGGTATGTAGGTATGTAGGTATGTATACATGTATGTATATATGTGTTACCACTTTAAGCAATCTTGCCTTTATATAGATTGTATACATGTACATGTACTAATCAATTGGTCAATTGATTGGTTGGTTGATTGATTTACCTGCGGCAATGCGCCATAATTCCACAAATATCCCTTGTATGGAAAACAGTTACGAACAAATCGAACCTTGCCCTTTTTGACATCTTGCTTCAATGGATTAAACTCTTCTCCAGTAGCAACCTTTTATATGTATATTTATTTATTTATTTATTATTATTATTATTATTATTATTTGGATTTTAATCAATTAATAAAGCAAATGATATAATTTTAATATATATATAGATAGATAATATACAAAAAAAAAAGAAACTTTACTTCAATTTTGGCATTTGTCCATCGAGGAATTTCAACGACCATATTCAAAACTGACTTTTCAGTGTTGGTAAAAAGAGGAATGTCATGGAAAGGAGAAATAATCTGACCATCCTTCTCTAAATACAACCATTAGTTTTTTTTTTAAAAAAAAAAAAAAAGAAAAGAAAGAAAGAATGCATATAAAGTATATATAAATGAACTTGTGTTGGTAATCATTCCTCACCAATATAAATACGATGAGATTCAGTGAATGGTGTTCCTGTTGCCAAGCGAGTATAGTTTGACATTGCTCTTATTGACATTCTTGTTGCAGAATGAAAATTAAGGTTGTTAGATCGCATTCCAGTAATCAAGAAATTCATTTCAAAAAAAAAAAAATATGTAATAGCAATAATAAAGAATTTTGTCTACACAATTGTATATCTTTTTTTTTTTTGTCTTTCTTTCTAAATAAACGTATTTGACTCCTATCCTCTTCCTTGATATTCAGGGACCTTGTTTTAATTTTTAATTTTTCTTAAATAAAATAAAATAAATAGAAATGTATGCTGTAAAACTACTCGCCGTCACACCACGTGAAAGTAAAGTCTGAACAAAGAAAGACTTCCTTGAATAGAGAAGTCATCATTTCTAATTTTATTTTTTTTAAAAAGAAAAAGAAGAAGAAGAAAAAAGTGGACAATTCTCAGCTCATCTAAACATTATGCGACCTGACGAACATAAATCAAAGGAATCAAAAAGATACCAAGCTAAGAAATTAAAGCAAGGAGATGCCACTGCAGCAGAGATTGCCGGTGCCCGTAAGATAGCTGCAGCTAAATCACGCGATAAAGGAACCGGAATTGCAGCAATCCGTAGACGAAATGGAGAAGCATTACCACAATCTCAGATCGATGAGCAACGAGAAAGGTCTATTTTGTTTGCACGTCGAAAACTTGGAACGAATGCGGATCGTTACAAAGAAGTATCAGCCGAAGGTTAGTGTACTCGATACATAAATATAAATATCAAATGTTTCTATATATGTATATATGTATATACATATATATATATATATATCTGTATTTTAGATGAGATTACACAGGACGCAGAGCTTGGTATTGATCGTGAGACGACCGAACTTGTTGGGCTGCTTGAAGAGACAGGTAATTAATAATGATAATAAGGAAATTTGAGTTGGTTTGCATTAGTGTGTGAATTGGGTTTAATTTTAAATGATATGTGTATTAATATGTATATAATTATCAAATGTGATTTGTGTGTATTGTTAATAGACGATACGGCAGCAGGCGCATCTTATTTCAAATTCAAAGAAGAGCAAGTGTGGGATACACAAACAACAGAAGAGCAAGAAGAAGTATGACTTGAATATATCTATATATCCATATCCATATCCATATTTAAATGTATTAAATAGGTATATCGTACAATGATGCAAGTTGATTTTGATTCGTTTGAAGGGATACTTCAACAAACAGACACAAGAACTTTACTGGGATTATCTGAAAAGGACATTGGTCTGGTAAGACGTGATTTTTGTAATCGTTGGACCAAAAAAAAAATTAAAACACAAAAATACACGCATATACATATGCATATATATATATATATATATATACACCAAAAAAAACAAGGTTGATTGTGTGTTTGAACAAGAACCCATTACTGTCACAAAACCAATTGTTCCTGCGGTTACAAAAAATTCAAAGGGGCTAGTTCTTTTCAAGTCCTTGATTATTACGGAGCCAAAGAAGGAAGTAGATGGGATTTATTTGCGAAATGACGGATCTAATCATCGATCGGCTACAAACAATCCAAAAGCAGCTTTGGTGGATAGCACAAAAGACACAGGTAAAGTACAATTACGAGCAATCGAGTTTGTATATAATTACATATATACAAATCTGTATACCATTGAAATACATTATGGTTTCCTTTTTGCTGTTCAATGTCCAAAAGCGCCTTTTGATAGTACAGTACAATAAAATATCTATATAGCTATTCATGGCAATTAGTAGTAACATGTAATTTATTTTATTTTTCTTGAATATATATTTATATTTATATATAAAAATGTGTATGTGTGGTCATGGCTACATAATGTGTGTATCTCGTATATATATATATATATATATATATTATATATATATAATAGAGGATCTCGATGAATTACTGGCGTTGGATACACCCAAAGTGACAGGTTTGTCATACAAATACTACAATTGAGCACATCATTATTATAATTGTCTGAGATTTACATGCACTATAAACACACACACACACACACACACGCACACACACACATACACAAACAATTATATATGTATATATTATATATGTATATGGGCTGTATTAGAAAATCATTACCCTCCAAGAGGCTTTTCCCACACAACAAAGGAACCCCAAGCAACAAGACCAAGTGTCCCAAAGCCCACTTCTAAAAAAGGTAAAATATACTTTTATATGTAAGAAAAGAAAAAGGAAAAATTACGGCTCACTAATCAATCAACATCTTCTCGCTCCATTTCTTTATCTTTTTTCTTTATATATATATATATATATATATATATATATATATATATAAATGTGTGTATTAGGGTTCGTCTTACCTAAACCCGGAGCCACGCGGATGTCGAAAATGGCTGCCCAGACCACAGAACCAACAGAAGATGAGGCCTGGTTAGATGATATTCTTGGATAACTAAGAAGAAATAAATAAATCAAGGATATTGATTCTTCCGATATTAGTATTGCGATGAATTCTCTTAAGCGTCTCTCTTTAATGATATTGCCTATATTGAAACTAGCCTTTCTTTAGTATCATTAGCATTATTAATAATTAGTGGGAATAAGATAGGATGGCAGGTTGTCAGGCAGGGCTTGTAGACAAGAGCAATTGATTATCAAGCTTATTGTTGTACCTTGGGCTTTTTTTTTCCATGGGCGATTGATTTATTTTTAACACACATGGATTTCAAGTGTACCTTCTTTTGTGGAATATGTCGTTGTACAGCCCTGGGCTTTTTATGTAAATCGTCCGATGAATGATTATCAGAACCGTTTATTACTATATATATCTATTTGTATTGCCTTTGGTTTTTGCGCAGACCTTTCTGTCTGTGTGTCTATAGGCTGTAGCTATATGATCCTGGGTATGGGTATAGGTGTGGGTATGTCTGTGTCTGTGTCTGTGCCTGTGCCTGTGTGGGTGAGTGTAGCAATGGTTTTGTATATAATATTCATTATCCTGTACTACTAGCCACATCTTCTTCCTTCTTCCTTATTCTTCGCTTTCTCTTTTGGTTTTATACGACGCTCACAAGTCCAAAGATACAAACACAAGCAACCAAATAGGAATCATAGCTCTCTGTTCATCTTGAAACAAACAACAACAAAAAAGAAAGATATCTATTTGTGATTCTTCCTTTGCAATCTGGCCAGCCTCAAGCACGAGAGATACATGTGATAAAAAGAAAAAGAAGCATAGGAAAGGGTTATCACACAAGAGTTTCTTGGTCTATTCAGTTTATCTTTCTTCTTCCCAAACCCCCTCGACATACCCCACGCACCTTGCACACTTACGCACCATACGCATACACACCTACGCATACATATATAACTGCGAATCCAAAAAAGATACAGAGAGAGACAGAGAGACAGACCCTTTATTCTACATTGATATTTCTTCCTACATGCCTATCTAAAGTTCATTCCTTTTTCTTTATCAATTCGATTCATTCTTTGTCCTCTTCTTTAAACCAAAAAAAAAGCAACAACAATTCACATCTTCTTGACACTTTAACGACATGTACCCACCTGATATCCCAGAACCCAAAGAAGTCTCTCTTGCCTCTGCCCTATCTTCTGAATTTGCCAAGGAATCAGTACGATCATCAATTTTCAACAATAATAATATTAATAACCGGCCTCTGTCGTCGTACTTTGCTTGTATTGTTCCTTGGTGGAATACATCACACCACAATAAACAAGACAACACCGAAAAATTAGCCTGGTGCTATCGACCACTTAACCACTCCAAATCAGTAGGCTACAGACCCTTCAAGCAAAAGAACCAGTGTATCTTGTGGGAACATGCCCTTCGAATGGAACAAGTCGATTCTGCTGAGCAGGAGGAGTGTCATGTCTGGGAACGTGACAAGAACGGAGTCAAGCGAGACATCAGAGTTATCATTGAAGAACAAGTTGGATTTGTTGCCGATCCTTACCGAACACAGCCGCTGGTCTATGAGGTCAGTGTGTGTAGCATGGTCAAGATGAGCTGGAGACAGAGGTTAATTCAGGCACAAGCTAAAAAGCTCAGATGAAAAAGAAAAAATCTGCTCCATATTTTATTGTACTTTATATCTATCTACACATCTTTATTTATTTTATTTTTTTGAGCTGGTATCATTTAGATGTGGATATTAGATATCCTTTATATCTAAAGCACACCCTCCCCCTTTCTCTTATTCCTTTTCTTTTTCTTTTTCTTTTTAGCAAAACAACTTCTTTACCTCTATATTTTCTATACATATTTTCCTTTTTTTATATATTTTATTTTAATAATTCTTGCCTTCTCTTTTCTCATTTCCTCTCAATATTATTTTTATTTTTCTTACTACTTAACAAACAAACAAATCATAATAATAATAATAATATCACTTAATACTACCACTTAATCATCTTCTTTGAAACAATCCAATCAAACGTCACAACCGACTTGCCACTACTTCATTGTTTTTTTTTAAAAAAAAAATGCTTATTTTATTTTATTTTGCTGTATAATCTTCTGTTTTTTATTATTATTATCATACTCCTTGAAATCAATCCAAACTAAACTAAAAGAAAAAGAAGAAGAAGAAGAAAATGTCAAGCGAAGGAAGCTCTGAAAATCCAAATATTCAATTAGCCAATTATTCTCAACCAACGACATTCACAGTTGACACAGCTTCACGCAACTCATTAGCAGAAGCAGAACAAGATTTTCAGGATCCAATTAACATCAACATTCACAAAAGACAAAAGATTGACCATCCTAACGATGGCCAACCTGTGCAAGATTCCAATGAATTCGCTACCGAATGTTCTCTGTGTCAAAAGAATTGGACTAATAGTGGACCTCATATTATTGTGAGTCTCAAGTGCGGGCACTTGTTTGGAAAAAGGTAAATTATCGTATTAAATACATACACTTACATACATAAATGTGTATGGGTTTACATTTATTGCTACATGCAGAAAATGTACTATGGTACTTGAGCCTTTTTTTTTTCTTCTTCTTTATTTATTTATTTATTTAATAATAAAATATATATGTATATATATATATATATAAAATGTACACTGTGTGTAGCTGTATTAGTCAATATATACGTGCAGGAATATGTAAATCAAACGTAAAAGGAACAAGATCAATGTGTCCTACATGCGGGTAAGACCCTTTGGAAAAAATAAGTAAAGAAGAAGATCTTTACAGGATTCAAATACATTAATCTACCTTGGTGTATTGGGAGGGATGTGAATTGGGATTGTGTATATTGGTTGGTTTTTTTTAAAAAAAAAAAAAATCCCATTAGAGAGCCAGCAAAAAAACATCATATTCAAAACATTTGGCCAAGCAAGGTTATTCCACACGATCCAAAAGAACTTAACCGACTAAAGCAAGAAATAAATGTTCTTCAAGAAATCATAAGCTTTCAAGAAGAGGAACTCGCATTATCCACCAAAACCTACCAACGAGCATGCAAAGTACTGAGCCAATACAAATTACCTATTCCACAAAACAACGAACCAGTCAATCCAGAGAAAGACGATCTGAAAATAGACAAGATTCAAGACTCAAGACTCTTTGCACCATGGAGTTCGAGTTCATTGTCACCCAATGTAAGAGGGATAGTAATCTTTCTCTTCTTTCTCTGCGCTGTGAGCAGCAAACACAATCTATCCACCACCGCCACCACCAAAAACAACAATGGATAGTGGATTGAAGCCAGTCTCTCTTTTTTGTTTGTTTTTGTTTGTTTTTTTTTTGTTTGTGGATATCTATTTATTCTTAGAGAAATTCATGCCGTGTTATGGCCATGGATTCTCGCGATAGGATATTAGTGGCATCTCTCAAACATCCTACCAAAGGATACGGAATCCATAAAACGAGTCTATTGGACCCACTCTCTACAGATTTTACTCCAATTCATGATGGCTTGATCCGTGATATCGTCTACTCTGCTAAAAGAGGTCAGATACTTACCACAAGTATCGACAAGACCTTGAAAATATCATCGGCACTTAACAATTGTGTTCTTCAAACGTAAGTCCTTTACTACTCTGATTTGTTTAGATTGAGTTAATTAATGCCATTAAAGATATAATTTGGACTGTGCTGGTTGGTCTTGTGATTTCGATTCAGTTGACCCAAATATACTCTACTGTGGTCTCAGTAACGATACGGTGATGGTCTATGATATTCGAAACACAAAGGAATCCTTGTTCCGTTTGCGCAATTCAGAGATCACTGGAGGTGCTCAGATCCATTCACTCCATACGTGTGTGATTGAAGGTCGATCAACCATATTATGTGCAAATTCATTAAAAGCATATATGTGGCAATCAGAATCAACCGAGTCGAATACTGAAGATGATTATATTTGCAGTCTTTTGAACCTAGGAACAGAAGGTGTGTATATGGATATATAAGTAAATATATTAATACAAGTTTTTCTTTTTGTTTTTTTTTTAAAAAAAAACAATAATAATAGGATATACATCATTCTCTTTGTCAATAGATTTATCAAGACAAGAGCTACTGCTTTCATCAAGAAAACATGGCTCTACCCAGCATATTGTGGCTTCATGGGACAAATCCAAAAAACTATTTACTTCAGAATGGTCGATCCAGTCTGATATTTCACAAAAGACGCTAGCAAGGACAAGCTGTATACAAAGAGGCTCACAAGATCCTGCCGTGTGTTACTCGGACGAAAAAAGTGGAATGGTACATGATTTAAAAGAGATGCATAGACTACAATGTGGCTAATATGTGCTTTGACGCAATTTATTAAGCTGTACATAGAAGATAAAGATCATGAAATATTGACAATACCAGTTGGTGGACAGATTATGGATATAAAGTATAGTAAAATTGATGGAGAAGAGATTCTTGCTGGCCTTACAGATGATTCACTTCATCTGTTCAAGTATCAGTAGAGTGTTTGTGTAGATTGGAGTAAGAAGAAGACAAAAGCTTGTGTGTACGCCTTTTAAAATCAGATTCTCTTATTTCTTTGATATATACATATTAAAAATAAAATACCCCCTCTAAACACGAATCTCTTTGTTATGTGGTTTCTTATAGTCTATTTTACTGTCCATACTTCAATGTTATTCTAACCAACCATCGGTCTTCTCTGTCCGAGCAAGTCCAGCCTTGTTTTTCTCAAGTAATATCTTTGTTTTAGAACTTGGAATGGCTATCAAAAGGATCACCAGTTGGTACAGAAAAATAAAGATGTTTAGATTGTAAGATTTCTGATATCTTAATTTACACATAATATGCATACATTTATGCACATATTGTATGTATTATGTATGCGTGCATAGTATGTGTAGATTAATTAATTAATATTAAGCATCTCGCTCTTTATTCACAGTTTGTATAATCCAAAAGTATTCTTAAAGAAGTATATGTATATCTTTTTCTTCAAGATAATAATAATAATAATAATAATATATTATTATTATTATTATTATTATTAAATATTTATTTTTCTGGCTGTTTCCTCATTTGGTTCTTGGTTACTTGTTTGTTTCTCAATAAACAAAGTAATACGTATCAAACCTATTATGCATAAATAATAATAATAATAATAATAATAATTTTGTCATACAAATAAAACACAAGATCATCTCCAAGCTATTAAAATATATATTTATATATATCGAATAAAAATAAAATACAGCTTCCATTTTTCTTTTAAATACTATCCGTTTCTACCTTTATCATGATATCTAAACTACCCCGTGAAATCATACTAATCATCGCAAGTACCTTTTCCGCCAAAGAGATACGTTCTTGTTCCAGAGTCTCCAAAGAATGGCTACAAATCTTTGAATACTTTCGATGGATACATATCCAAGTAGCACTTTCTACATTGAAAACCTTAAAAGAAGACGAAATGACATACTGGAAAGATAATGGGTATCGGTCGAGGTATCTATGGCTTATTTACAAAGAGGATCATGCTACCAAAGGCAAACCCAGACCCAGACCTAAAACCAAAGACAACGATGACAATGGCGATTATCACATAGAAAACATAAAAGACGCCCAAGACTACTTTCCAAATATCAAAAGTCTGCGCTTTGATTATGATGAAAAACGTTTTCCAATATCGATGCTTTTTGAGAATGGCCATGGATGGAGCTCCCTGACCCACTTAAAGCTAGGCTCCTTTGGTGAATCAGGTAAGCAGCCGATATGCTCTATTGTACTCTACATTCTTTCTTCCTTTCTCGATTTGCCTTATAAACTTATTGTATGTATTGTCCTAGGTACAATTCCATGCGATGATCTTGATGGATTCTTTCAGTGCCTCCCAAACCTGACAGATCTGAGACTAGATAGTATAGACATCGGTTCTTGCGTTCATTTTGACTTGAATCAAGCCGTTACTCCAGCAAAGCTTAAGGTCCTCGAGATAAAGAATGGCTCAGTTCCGTACAGGCTGGCCCATTACTGTTCAAGAAAGTTTCCAGAACTCCATTCTGTTGTTTTTGACACGATTGATGAATGTCGTATATCTGATGTCTACAGCTTTTCATTTAATGGCCGTCGTGATTTTTGGACAGGAAAATACCTCCTTGATTTGGAAGCTGCTGATATACGGATTAAGGATTCCGGTGGGAATGCATACCATGTTAGGTGTGCCTTGTGGAATCTAGAGAAACTTTTGAGTTGTCCACTCCATAAGCTTTCCTTGACTCTCTCGGTTCATATAAATCAAAATATTATTATGAAGATGGGTTTATTCTCACGTATACCTGCTTTGACAAGAACTCTCCGGGCTCTAGATCTGGATATATCAACGCCGTTAGATAAACCTTGCTTCAGCCTCAATCTATCCAATGCGCCTTGTTTGGAAGATCTAAACATCCGATACTTGGGTGGAACGATCGACTTTCAAGACTTTTTATCCAAATCCCCTGTCTTAAAGAGAGCAATCTTGGAATTGCAAACACTCACGTTTAGAAACAAGCTTGATGAACCACACGGTCTAGAGAGCATCGAATTAATTGGACTATCGATAACTTCAGAAGTACTTGAAAATATCTCGGCTAGTTGTACTCAAATCCAGACCATAAAGATATCTCCTGCTGTAGACAACATTTCCACAACCAACTGATTCTCTTTAATTTTATGAGAGAGAGATAGAGAGAGAGAAAAGTATTAGACCAAGTCTAGCAGTATTTTTCTTATCTGGACTGTTATATATATAATTTGATAAAGCTATATTGTACCAATATAAATATATCGGGCTAGGACTATGTGCTTAATAACGATCATTTCTCTAACAATTTTTTTTTTTATGAATTACTCGGTACTTGGAATTTCACAGCACAAAAGATACATACTTGTGATAAGTTAATATTTAAACATATGTATATATATATATTTTAAGAACTAAGTATATGTAGTTACCATTACTAAGTTCTATAGCATATAGTGTATTACTCCATTATTACGAAAATAATAAAAAATCACTTTGCTTTTTCAAAAATAACAATCTTTTGATGTTTTGGCTTTTGCTATTATATATCTAAGCCTAATGAGCAAGTTCTTTATTAGAGAGGGTGTATGCTTGTCCTCTTTATTAGACCATTCTTGAAAGTGGTTATTATGATAATGTCGTGAATTATTTGTCGATAGGTGCTCACGGAATCAGTTATTGATATAAAATTTCCTATTGATTACTTTACTAAGCACCATATATAGTGATTTCCAAAATTCAAAAAAGGCTATTTCGCTTTAAAGTCCGTGAATTTTTCCCCTGCTCTCTACCAGGGGAAAAAAAATTAATACCCATATATGGTGATTTCCATAATTCCTATCGACACTGCGTGTAAGAATCATCTTGTTTTTACTATATTATCTCATTTTCTAGGCTTTTTTATATATATCAAAGCTAGTATTTTTTAGAGAAGCATGCAATACATTACTGTAAATAAAATATATTGTTCCGAGCAGTATATTTTGTACTTCTTTAACAAGAAATGGGAAAATAATCGATTTTAATATGCTATATGTTCAAACAAGGTCATATCTCTTGAGTGTAGTACTGATTACAGCACCGACTTAAAATTACGTAAATAGCACCTATACTTGGTAATTAGCGCTATCCTAAATATGGTGTTTAGTAAAGTAATCAATAGGAAATTTTATATCAATAACTGATTTCGTGAGCACCTGATATTAAAACAATCAAAAAAAAATGAAGTAATATGATTAGTGGACTGAGTGAATTTTGTAATGATCTGATATTCAATACCTGGATGCTCATTGGTAGAAATTATTATTATTTTTGAATAAATAGAGACGTTTGTGGACTCAGATTTTCAACTTTTTGCACGAGCTCATTGCCTTAGAAAGGAAACCCGATGTTACATACACATCTATATAGAGACACTACTCTACCAAACCTTATTCAAATTGGTAGCCTCTCATATTCGTTTATTTTCTGCTCTAAACTAATGGCAAGCTGATAATTATAACACCGAAAAAAGTCACTTTTAATTTTAATTTTATAAACATCCTACTATCATAATACGCGTTTTTACCACTTTTCCTTCACTTGGTTTTAAACATGAACGCACATATGAATACTTTCGCTGCAGACGCTCCCATCAGATTTAATCACAAGATAAATCTGATCGCTGGAAGAGACAGACTCCTTGTGGAATCGTTGATCCACCGACACCCCTCATATGCTGGTCATGAGCAATCGGGTGCTGCCTGGGATGAAATCCTCAAAAAGGTCAATGATGCCGGAGGTAAAGGCAACGAAATTGGTGTCTCAACACTCAAGCAGAGACACAAGAATCTGATCAAGCAGTTCAAAGCAAGACAGGCCCAAGAAAAAAAAATGACAGGGTCAAACGAGAGCTACTCTGATCTCGATCAGCTTCTCTTTTAGCTTGCTGAATTGGTAATCTTCACGTTGTATTAGGTATATTCGTCGAATATCAATGTGTTTAATACTATAAGTTTTTAAAGGAGGCTGAAGGAGATCGGGGCAAGGCCATGAAAAAGCAATTGGCTTCCGAGGAAGAAGTCCAGAAGCAGGCAGCTGCAGATAAAGTCGTGGAGAGAGCGACTTTATTGAAGTCCAACAATCCGTTGAGAGTTGTTGAACAAAAGAAATGGACAGATAAAGTAGAGGGCAGTTCTTCTGGACATCTAGTCGGTAAATCGACGGCCGACTTTTCTGATGCCAGAGAAATGTTGAAGTCCTTTCGGGATGAATTGTCCAGTATGGTGGCTGGAATAAGTGATGGTGAGGTACTTACCTCAATGCGCAGGCTGGAGGAGAATGTCGAAAGAGGATTTCTGGCTATCGAGACAAGGCAGAGAACACTGGAGCAGAGACAGACTCTGCTAGAGGAGAGACAGGCTCGTTTCGAGTACAATATGCAGAGATACCTGCTTTAAGGTCTTAAAAAACAATAAAAATATATATACGTAAAACATGTCATAATAGTCATCAAATTTCTTCACATTACAGATAGTTTGGAGTAAAAAAATATTATTGGTTTAATAATCCATAAATGTACTGCTCTGGTGTAGGAGGAGCAACACCGTACTTTTTGCTTGTCTGGTTTCCTCCATTATAACAGACATGGAGGTTCTTCAAGAACGTTCCAACAATATAATATAGTCCCACTGGGGACTGACCACTTCTTTGGGTCTGTGAGTACTTTAAGAAAGCCCACAGACTCCCGACATGAGCAAACTCGTGCTCCACGGAAATTCGCACAGCAGACATACTTTTGTTGATAGCAAGTTCTTGCTCATCAGCCGTTTCTAAAACAGACAATATGCAAACCATAAGACTTTACCGTCGAGATAGATAACTGTACAATACTTACGTCTTCTGAAAGGGATCATCATATGGTCTGATGCGGTATATGCCGGATCACCATACAAGTAATAGCATGGACCATTTATGCTTGTAAAGTCAAATGCTACGCACATCATGGCATCCAATTGACTTTCGCGGTACATGCGCACGTCGTGATTCCTACCACTGTCTGGCCCCATAATGGACGAAGTAACACCATCGGGTGTTACCACTGCTTGGTACTTCAAACCATGTCCTCGCTATAAAGAGTATATAAATTGAGTAAAGACATGTGTCAGATCTATATATCCAATCTTTCACTCACGTAATGGCCATTGTATGCCCCCTCTTGATCAACAATGGGCCTTGCTATCTTGTTGAAGGTTCCATCAATAAACCCAACACAGTACATTGCCGGTGCTTTTATCCAAATAATATATAAAACGTAAGTACTATTAAACTAATATTATATTTTGCAAGTGTTATTTACATTTTTCTCTAATGGCTCGGCTGAAGCACATCTGGTTTGATTCCCGGAATTGACAGTAGTCAAACTTCAAGGCTGGATAGAACTTAATATAAATCTTCTCTATCATTTCATTGAAGATGACACTGAGAGTAGACTTTCCCTTTCCAAAGAGCAGAGATAAATCTACTAAGCGAGCAGGGAAAACCATTCTGCGAAGCACAATCATCAGAGCCAGTGTCATTGGCAGAGAAAATTCACTTGGAGTGCCTTCTCGAAAGTAGACGATGTCTCCCATTTCAAGAAGAGTGGCCAAGGAGCGTATCTGGTTTTATAAATATATTAAATTAGTACTTTTTTTTCTTGAAAGCAATGATTTAATTATACCTCGGGCTGCGTGAATCTAAACAAAAGTTTAGAATCTTCATCAGACAAGGTGCTTGGGTCTAAGCAACCTTGACAATGCAAGGAGACAGCTATGCGTTCCCCTTCCTGCTCACGGTCTCGGGCATATTGAGCAAGTGCTTCTTGAATTTCTTCATTGGTGGGCTCTTGATCTTCGTAAACATCTGCATGTTCCTCTTGCTGTTCAGGAACAGATACCCATCCTCGCTCTTGTTCTTCAGCAATACGCCGAGAGCTGTGATTTATGTAACGATCCGTTAGTTCGATAATAGGATCAAAACGAGACATTTTAAGATTTTGTTAAAGAAAAAGGGAAAGGTGCTGCCCTTTCAAGTAACGGTAATGTTTTCGTTACTGAATATCAAGTCACAATTGATAATGACAGCTTGTACGTTTAGTTAAAATGAATGTCCTACAATTTTATGTAACAGAAATAAGCTAAATACGGCAATACAAGTTGAAAATTTGAGTTTCAAAAAATCCTTTTTTTTAGCTAATATTCTGTGCAACTCTACAAATCTGAGTCCACAAACGTCTCTAATAAATAAAAATTAAAGAAAAAAGGGTACTGTTTGTGACTTGTGTTTGTCGCTCTTGAAAACCCCTCTCTTTTTCTTTTCAATTAAAATTTTTTTTTCTTATATTTTTTTTGTATTTGTAAGTCGCCGCTGGAATAGTAAAGAAAACTATAAAAGGGACCGATGTCTCTGCAGTCTGTTTGTTTCCTTACCATTAGTAGGAAAATGATCTGTTCGAGGTTGCTTTTAAAGCACCTCAACAAAGATATAATTTTCCATATGATGAAATATTGGGAGTTAGAATGAATCGTCATCTGATTACACAGTCTCCTTGCTACTTTGTGGCTTTCTGATCATTGCTATTTTATTATACAAACAAAACGAAAATTATAAAGCTATATGTATTTTATACGCTTGAAAAATCATTTATTTTTTATATTGTTGAGATGGTCATTAAATGATCGGCCTACTTGGTTTGGAGGTGTATGAATGAAGAATAGAAAAATGCCGTTTTTCTAGTGTATTAATGTCTTTGAAAACTATGGCACAGATCATAACAACAACAATATTCAATTGATCAATATAATATAAAAAAAAATGTATCATATAAATATATATATATATATATACATCATCTTACCTTGGTTTACAAACGGAACGTCTGGTTCGGACTGAAGCCAGAGCTCCTTTAGAAATACCAGGAGAGAGGCAGACAACATGATAGATTGTTCAGCGTCCAGGCTATCAAAGATCTCCATGGATATTTCAAATGGATTTTCTGGACATGGATCGACTGTCATGGAGATGATTTCTTGTACAATCTCCCACAGTGCAACCTCTGAATTTTGTTTGTTTAAGAATAAATGAATGCATCGATGTATAATGTATACCTTTAGTTTTCCATGCTACTGTCGTCTCTAGCCGAAGTGGATTGTCTGTATTGACAATCTCATCGTCCTGTTCCTGGGCCAATAAAGCGTGATGAGATCTAAGCTGGTTTCGAGCAAAGTATTATGATTATGATTATGATTATAATGATTCCATCTGTATATAAAAATGTTATACCCAAACGTAGGGACATCTGTATCGCGCATAACCTGCTATCAAAAATACAGTACGGTCTTGATACTATTTTAATGTAATGCAATTAGATCAATTCAAATCAATTCAAATCAATTCATTCACACTTCTTTTTGTTACCTTTTCAAAGTCTTTATCCAACGGACTCATACTTTCTATCAATCTTTTAGACTTTGTGCTATAAATTTGAATCGACCCTTGATAAACTTAATAGATACGCCAAAGGTTTCTTACTTTTCGGCTTGTTGGTGATTAATGTGTTTCGGATCATACACCGACAATAATACTTCTTCTCTTCCTCTCTGAAGCACCTCAAAGTGTTTAAACCCCTTTATTTTATTGTATTTTATTTTATTTTATTTATTTAGTATTTTTTTTTTAAAAAAAAAGAAAAAGAAAAGAAGAAGTATGGATAGCTCAACTGTGAATATCTCTTTTGTTTTTATTTTATTTTATTTTTTTACTGACCTTTAGGCTCCCAAACATTCGACATTTATCAAGAAAAGTAGCTAATCGAACAGAATCCCTTGAAGGTTTCGACTGTTCACAATTTCACAATTTATTTATTTTTGATTCTTAGTGACATTCCGATGAATTGATGTGAGAGCTTGATGTTGAAAGTACCATTGTATTGTCAATGAGCATCTTTTGACACAAATGCTTTGTAAGAATGAGAGAGTAAGATTATAATCACACTTTGGATGTTCAGCAATTAGTGTCAATCAACCCCACTGTCTCATTCTCTTTCCTTCTTCATTTTTTTTTTAATATTAAAAGCGATTCAATCCCAGAAATTTGGATTATATATATATATATATGTGTGTGTGTGTGTATGACAATCTTTCATACTACTTGTAATAAGAACGGTGTGTTAGAACCTTTGTTAATCCTGTCTAGTGAGGGCTAAAAACCAATTAAAATTCCGTATTAAGTTTGACCTTTTTCTTATTATTATTATTATTATTATTTTTCAAGTATTAACCACTATAGTCCCATAAAGTATCCAATAAAGAATTGCAAGGAATTATACACAAGAGACTTTTATGCTTGGATTCTTTGCCCAAATAAACGGGATTGCAGTAGTACATATTGTGTTCTGGTGGGATGATATAGATAAACACCAACTTTGGTGAACATTAGGGGTGGTCAGTTGAACACGTTTTAAAAGCTCGCGTCTTTTTAAATAAATATATAAAATATAATTGGCCGTTTTTTTTTCTGTCTTGTTAAGCCTTTGGTTGCTTATTTTTCTATAGCTTATAACTTGTTCATTCATCTGTCGTAACTTTGTGTCCGTATGTTTTCTTTTCTTTATATCAGAATAATTATTCCTGTATTTATACCCCTCTCTTTTTCTACTTGTATGGGTGAATAGGATTCTCAAGTTTCTATTGGCTTTGTTTCTTTTGTTGCATAAACTACAAAGAAAGATGGTAACAAAATTTCAGGGCAGTTACTTTTTTTTTTTTTACTTTCTCTTTTGGTACAAAATGTCACGTGTTACTTTGAAGTGCTATAACAATTAAGAAAAGTGTAAAGTCTAAGGTTAATCCAGATACACACAAATAAAAGAAGAATAATAAGAAAAAAAAATGCATAAATTTATGGTATATCTGTAGTCTGAAGTAATTCTTTTATATATATATAAATAAAGAGATACTAATGGATTTACATAGTTAATTGAACTTTCTACGTTCATAGATGCCCGTGTTTTATTTTATTTATTCATAGACACTATATATATTTGCTGGTACTACCTTGCATCACCTTTCGTCATTTTTTAATAATGAACTGTAACAAAGCGATACAAACTTGTTTTGGGTCTAGAAATAGAGAAATATAAAACTATATAGTTTATCATCAGCCTCATCAATAACAACAACAATGAGAATAATAGAAGCAAAACAAAATATTGACGTTTTGTATATTAACCAATTGAATGTGGATATCAATTTCCATTTCTTAACAATTATTTAAACTGTTTGAGATCAACTCAAAATTTATTTAAAGATTGAACTAAAAATGTATATTATATTTATATGTGAAAAAAAAAGGGAAGACAAGGAGTATGTATGTATTTATGTATTTTGTAAACATTGACACAAGAAACATTTATCATTATTACCTATATATGTAGTATTGTTTATTAAACCCAATCGTTTGATTTGTTTACAGTTACAAAGAAAACACAAACTCGCCTAATCATATTTTATGTAGACTTTAATAAGAAACAAATGATCACTAATTTTTTTTTTGAAACAAAACATAAAGAAGAAGAAAAGGCGGGGCAAAAGACCTACTGCCTTATTTTACCCAACGCCAAACATTACGGATATACGCCAAATTGTAGAGTAGCGCCGTAATTAAAGACATTAAACATTTTAGCACAAATACATATGCACTATATATATATTTTAATATATCCAAAAATGAACAAGGATAATTATACAAAAAATATATAATATATATATATATATATCAAAGGATAATAGGAATGAATCTATTGAATCAATTGAATCAATTCACAATATTTCAACACAGAGTACCCCAAAGAAAGGAAGAAAGGAATAGGATATATATATATATATATTGCAGATTTCTTTTTATTAAAATTCTCTAGCATAAGATCTTGACAGAATTTTGACGCCAATACCAATGTGTATATTCGTTATATATATTTATTTAAAAAAAAAACACACACACACACACAAATATGTACTAATCGTTTTTATTTATCTCCTTGTTAATGACGCATGGTTAGTGTACAACACAACACGACACATCACAGTAGAGCACAGCACAGCACAGCATAAACTAGACTATTTTATTTTAGTTGTATTTTTACTACACATGGACAAATTTGTATATGCTACGCGCACTGCTGTTGGTCTACCATGTCTACACACACACATTCATATATTTAAACTCTTTCATCTTCACTTATATTTCTTTGGTGCTGTTACTAGAATTACGGTGTAACCAAAAAGTGCCCTATACCAAGCCACTTTTAATTGTCATATGCTTGACTACAGAGCTTTTAGTTTTTTAGTTTTTTTTTTTTTGGTTTTTGTTTCCGCCATATCTTGATTTTTTTTTTAAAAAAAAATAGATAGACCCACAGAGTGCTTCAAGACTAATTCAGTTCACACAGTGCTTTGACGTGTGCTATTAAAAGCTGAGAAAGTTAATGAATGATTAAGAAACAACAAAAAATAAAAAAATAAAATAGAAAAAGAAGAAAAGTATATAAATCGATAGTTGTCATGGCTACGGATCATTCCATATTCTGCTGATAGATTTTTTAAACAAGCATGTGCGAAATGAGAGCGGGACTCAAATGAAAGCAATACGGTAATACCATTATCTTCTATTCTTATATATATATATATATATAATATGTATAAGAAGAAGCAGAGAAAGAATAAATCGATCCAAAACCATATAAAGCAACAGGAATTGGGGAGCAGAAAAAAAAGAGAGGTAATCGATCTTCTTCCTTCTTCTTCTTCTTCTTATTTTTTTGTTCTTCCATTACTTACACATATATACATATATACATATAAACATATATATACACAATGACAACCATAGCTGCTTCACAACCACCTTCTCCTCAACCAAAACATCGGCAAATCGAAACAAAAGTAACTGAACATGACTCCGATTCAGAAACCGGAGGAGCATTGAGTGCTGTCCAGCACATCCGAGAACTCAAAAGACTTGCTCGACTGGCTCACAGGCGTGCCCAGGTAATCGAATCCCCATCCACAACCAAGACCCACATCTACACCAACCTGTTTGGCACTCCAGAAACCGAAGAGTCAGAAGTGAGCAACACATCCTGGAGAATGAACGCCGATGGACTGGCCGAACCGTCTCGATCCAAGCCAAGACCTTACCTAAGCTACATGCTCAATACCTACAGGAATCTCTTTTTGACTTTTTACTTCAACTGGACAATGATCTTCACAGCTCCCATAAGCTCATTGGCCTTTGTGATTGTCTATCCTACAGCCGTCGTTCTGCTGTTTATTTTTGAAATTGGTCTCAAAGTATTTATGGATTATCTTGGAGGTTCTGCATTTGTACATTATATCGGCAGTAAATATGGAGAAGGTCAGTTGATTAGCAATTCTTTTTTTTTCTTTTTAATAATAAAAAGAAAAAAAGCTTGCTTTTATTTGAGTTTTATATATAAGTGTGTGATTTTTGAACGTTGATATTGATATTAATATTTATTTCCAAAAACTATCATAGGTCTAGGAGCAATTAATTGGGGTAAGTTTGTTCGTTTTGTTTTGTTAAAAAGAAAACCACCCGATATATAAATATTGGAACTTTGTTGTTAAATTTTTCTCTCTCTCTCTGTGTGTGTGTGTATATGTATGTGTATGTGTTTTAGGTGCACCAAATCTTCTGTTGTCTGAACAGACGGCTGAACTTGTAAAATCAACTCTTCCGAGTCTTGGAAAACCCGAACCACCAAATAAGGCCGGTGGAGGAGGCGTGCGTTCCCGGACTTTTGATCTCTCGATAGCCCAGACATTTACTGTAATTTCTTCGGTTATTTATGAGCGCGATGCCGACAAAGTCAAGAGCGCCTATGAAGTTTATGCAAACGCCATGAAGTCCTCAATAGTTGATTTAGAAGACCAGGTTGAATCTCCAGTCGAAAGGAAGATGAAATGTCTGTTATGGCAGTCAGAAAGACGTATTAGAACCATTGTAGCAAACTGGGGTCTTCACTTTGCAGGCAAGTCCATAAACAGAAAAAAGAAAGAAAGAAAGAGAACAGCTATATATGTTTCGTGTGTATCTTAATAACCTCTCTTGCCTTTTTTTTTGTTCCCTTTTATACAGGTGTTTCCGAATTAAAATCATTGGGCGGTCCATTCTGTGGTAATAAAATATTAACATTTATATATATATATATATATATATATAGACAAGAGAGATATAGAGTTCTCAGGTTTCTTTTTTTTTTAAAAAAAAATCTTAAAAGCACTATATATATATATATATATTAACACAAGCATGTTTATCAATGTATTCAAATAGGTATCTTTTGGTCGGAAGAACACCCGTTTATAGTAGTAGCTTTCAAGGGAACCACCCCAACCAACTACGAAGAGTTCTTGGTTGATGCCACCTTCCAGCGCACAGACGCCCGTTCGTATCTATTTGGATCGGTCCACGAAGGCTTTTATGAATCCGTGTTTCCCACTGCCGGCTTTGGCAGCGACGACACACGCGATCCTTATGGTGCCATTCTTTCGGCTGTCCAGGAAAAGGCCCAGCAGATGCAGGCGCGTATGGGAACATCCGAACCTATCCAGGTCTGGATTACGGGTCACTCTCTCGGTGCAGCCATGAGCTCACTTTTGTTTGCCCGCTGGCTAAAGTGCCCCGAAGATCTTACCAGTCGCTGTGTTCTCCGAGATGCATATGTGATCGGTACCCCTGCCGTCGGTGACAACGACTTTGCGTCTTACTTTTCCTCTTTCTCTAACCACCCTGTTTCACGTACCTCGACCCTTTGGCGTATCATTAATAAACATGATATCATCTGCCGTATTCCCCCTGGTTACGATAGCCAAACCATTGGTAAGAAACCATAAAATCTTAATATATACATATACATATGTGTGTGTATGTATATGTGTATCTGTACTATGTTTGACAATATATATATATATATATTATAGGTAATTATATGAAGAGCACCGATTTCTTCAATTACTCTCACATCGGGCACGCCATTCAACTGAACAGTAGATGGCACCGGAAGCCTTTACGAGTCTATCCTTCGGGTTACCAGGCCACAATGCAGGTCGAGATCACACTCGGTGGATTCGATTCAAGATGTGTAGACTATAACCTGCCTGATGGCCAGATAATTACAGCCGCTGAAAACCCAAGCCCAAGTACCAGCACCGATATCGACACCAACACCAACACCCACACTAATATCAAACCAAAACTGACATCTGGATTTGTTGATCCTCGAAAGGCACTTGTGTTTATGCAACACGATGACCAAATTAACCCCGTAAAGTTCCTTGCATTGCCCCGATTTGCCATGTACATTTCCAAAAAAGCTTGGTTTAGAACCATGGCAAACAAGTTCACTGATGGTAACCCAATCCACTCCCTCGAGAGCATCTATCCTTTCTTCTTTAAGGATCATATTCCTGTCCATTACTTCGAAGGACTCGAAAGAGCACGGAGTTTCTGCTATGATATGGAAAAAAAAGATCGTCAGATCAAACTTTAGATATTTCTTTTTTTTTCAATTTTAAGAGAAAATAATAATAAAATCAAAATCAAGAAAGAAAGAAAAAGAAAAAAAAAGCATGTATAAATTTGTGAATATGAATGTGTTTGCACCATATCTTCAAAGAAAAATTTATATAAATGTTTTATTATTATGATTATTATGATTATTCTCCTCTTTATCTTAGAGATTTTCGCTAGTATGTATTTTACAGAATTGTACGATGAGAATTTAAGATTTGTACTCGTAAAACATATTACGACTAAAAATAATAATTATAATAATAGTAATAGTAATGATAAAGGCGATTATTAATTAAGTTATCTGAGAGATTTTTATCCAATAAAAAAAATAAAAAATAAAAAAAATACTAGAGCTCTACATAATAAATAGTACAAAACAAAAGTCAAAATGAAAAGGGCCACACTGTGAAATCCAATTATTTAATTTTCATTTGCCGACATTTTTTTGCTACTTTACTTGTAGCACATAAAAATAGACAGGTTAGTGAAAGTTTTTTCTAAAGTAAGCTTCTAATTCCGAAGTGATGGAATTTTGCTTTTTTGATTATACGACATTAGGAAAAACAAAATATTTAAACACCGCCGCATTTTTTTCTGTGTAGAAGAACTGCTAGCCTCACAAAAATGCCACGCTCCCAGGTGTTTTTAAATTACTAAAAACAGCTTAGACAGTTTGAGTTCCAAAAATGTCATACAATCTACCAAAAAGACTGGGCATTTGAAATTCAATTTTTTTTTTTTTTGTATGGAGCCAGGAAGAAAAAGCTCAGGATTTTATTAAAGGTCTCTGATTGAATAGGAAAAGAGAAAATTAAAATATTTGTTTGAAAGGTTTTGTAGATTATATGATGTTTTTGGCAAAATTAATTATTTTATTTTATTTTCATTTTTATTTTTGCTTTTTTTTTACGTTTTCACTTAGTCTTTAATTTTTTATTATTTTTTGATAACCAGTAATTGACCCTCTTATTCCAATTATAATTTTTTTTAAGTATTATACTGCATTACAATTAAGGTATTTGTGCTTGATTTCGGATTAGTATCTCAATATTAGAAAAAATAGATACTGGGAGAGTTTTATTTATTAAAAAAAAAAAGTTAAAATAATATTCGAAGTGTTTGGAACTGATTTTGGGCTAGTATCTCAATGTTAGGAAAGTTAGATACTGTGAGAGTGTTATTTATTAAAGAAATAGAATAATATACATATATCAATCGATAAAGACTTTCTTTTTCTTACTATTCAATTTGCCTCTCTTAATATTTGTACCTCCGCTGTGCCATGTCTGGTACTTAAAATCCACCCACACACATAAATCTACCCAGGCGAACATAGATCTATCCAGGTACGCAAATCTACCCAGGCACACATAAATTCATTCGGACACACATCTTTTTTGTGATGAATTCATAGACCTATATAAATAATAAATACACTCTTTCCGGATATTAATGGTGTAAAAATAAAGATAAAATTTGATGCAAATTTCTACCCTTTCTCTGCTTAATTCATCTTTTTTTTTTGGTGCATTTGGTGCATTTGGTGCATTCCATTTTTGCACCAATAGTTTCCCGAAAAAGTGTATATATATATTGTAAAAGACGATTGTATTAGTCCTTACTCGGCCACGCACCATAATGATCGGCGATGCTGAGGGGGGTGCCTCAAAAGCCTCAAAATCATGAGAGGACTAAAAATAAAGAAATTGAAACAAGAATATGTACATTGTATGGGATGCAAAAAAAAAATTAAATACAGTGAATTGGGGGGAAAAGTAAGAAGAAGAAAATGGAGAGTACTAGAAAATCAATCAAAGCGTACTTGGTCAAGATAAAGTATGGAATAAATCATGAACAGCAGAAGTAACGGTAAAAAGGGAAAGAAAGAAATGTTAAAAATATGATGTATATATTTAGTGGATTACAGAGAGTAACTTTAAAAAAAAACATACACACACATGATGAGTTATCAAAGCTAAAATCAAATGCCTTTTAATTTCATCTTATCTTTCTAATATGCGTATGCGTAAAATGAGATATGCGAGATGATGATAATGATGGGTATATATATATATATATATTTGCTATTCTCTATCAATAGCAGAATCTACTTACTATCATGTTATAATGCAAAAAAAAGAAGAAGAAAATATTAGACAGCTAAATGTTTCACAAACAACAACAGCAAAAGGCAACAACAAAGAGTTGACAATTGAAGAAGAAAAAAGAAATGTATATATATATAGCTATTTAATTTGGTCCACCAGTTGTATATCTACGTTTACTGATCTACAGAGAGACTGGAGAATATTTAAAGATATGAAATAAAGGGATAAAGAGAAAGAAAGGTATGGGGTAGTCAAAAATGGGAAAACAAATAGGGGAAATGGTTTAGGAATCTGCTAAATAGATAAAGCCCGTACAACGGTTCAACTCTCGTAGACGAGATAGCCCTGGATTTTTTTTTTTGGTTTTTTTTTGGTTAAAAAAAAAGGAAACAGTTGTTTGATAGATAATATTAATAATATAAAAGGAAACGGAACGAAGTATCTGTGTTTGTGTAGGTGAATAGGTGAATAGGTTAATGGGTGAAATTCGTATGTGAGTGGGTAAGTGAGTAAATGGGTGGGGTAAGTAAGGAAGTGATTGAGGAAGTAGGTGAAAGAGTAGATGAGAGAAAGAGAAAGATAAATAACTTGTGTATGAATAATAAAGTATCGAGGGGAGATTTTTTTCTTAGATCTCTATCTCTGTCTCTATCCAATGTCAACAATAAAGAAGAAGAGCAAATAGCCCTTATTTCAAATTTGCTGCAGCAACTTCAACACGCTGCTTCAAAGCTTCTTTGTCGTACATAAGATGAGCCAATTCGGTTATCTCAATGGTATCAAGCAATCTAATGGTAATCTTGGGGGCATGTTTTGCGCCTGTAGCCTTAACCAGAGGGAACAGTCTATCTCCCAACAATTGCTTCTTTTCTTGGGATGGTCTACCTTCCAATGATTCCAAAAGTTTCAGTGTGGCTTCCTCGCCGTTCTCTTCACTAGGTGCCTTCTGTTGCAGCTGTTGTTGTTGTTGTTGTTGTTGTTGTTGTTGTTGTTGTTGTTGTTGTTGCTGCTGCTGCTGTTGTTGCACCGTCGCAATTTCTACGGGAATGTGATTGCGAGAAGGTGGACTAAATTGGATAAGAGCAGCCTCTTCTGCATTAGGGATTGTATTCAGATTCTTCGTCGATCGGCTAATAAACATGGCCGAAGAAACCTCTGCCAATAAAGGTGATCCTGGGTGTTTTCTTGTAGGCATTGGTGGTCTATAAGAAAATAATAATTAATAAACAAAAAATGAATGAATATACGAGGGATTATAACCTTTTTTTTTTTTAAAAAAAAAGAAAAAAGAATTGAAAGAATAACTTACACATCTTCTTCATCTGTGTCAAAGTCTTCACTAAACACATCTAATGCCTCAAGTGCCAAACCAATCTTCTCCTGCAAGAAGTCTGGGTTGAACAGACACAGAGTTCTCTCTTTACGTTTCAGAGTGAGGAGCATGTCGACAATATCCGGCAAGCTTTTTCCATAAGAGCCACAATGCATGACTGCGTTTGTCATCTTCTGGTGCTGTACATTTGAAGAAGTCTCGGTCATAACAGAGCAGATAGACTCAAGTGACCCCCTGCGCCTTAAACTGGGTTTTCCTTCGGGCTGTTTCTTAAAGTCCTGCTGCTGGTGTTGTTGGTGATGGTGTGGCATGGTAGGTGGTTGCTGGACAGAAATTCCCGAAGCAAGGGAAGCCAAGGAAGGACCGCCACCAGTGCTGGTACCAGAAATAGGAGGAGATGGGAACTGAGGTGAGAGGCGGACAGCAGAATGAGGAGAATGTCCATAGGGTAAATCAGCAAGAGAGGGCTAAAAACACAAAGATAAATTTAGTTTCTCTCTATCTCTCTTCACATAATATATATATATCTTTCAAACAAGCCAGCTAGCCAGCCAACCAAAACAATAATAAAAAAAAAACTTACCTTTCTTTGAGTGGGATGAGGCACAGGCATAGACATGGGCTGATGACGTTGTCCTATTGAAAGATCCTTGATATTTGATGCTAGTTGATCCACATTATCGATACCAAGCCCACTGACAGGGGAAGACACTAATTTTTGTTTTTTTTAGGGAAGAAAAAAGAATTAGCATTAAAATACATTTATATTTATCTGGGTATGTAGAATAGAATTGTACTTACTGTGAATTGATGATTGCATTATCATATCATGAGGATGTCTGTTGTCCGATGTATAGTATACAGGCTCAGGCATATGGGATGGTGTATAAGATGGGTATTCTTGGGGTTGATTTGATTGGAGGGTATTTGTGTTGTAGGACATCAAATTATGATTGGGGGAGGATCCACCTCCTGCTCCTCCACTACCATTACTGTTGCCATTATTACCACCACCGGTCATTGATTTCTCCTGGCGTGGTCTTTTGGGCTCGTGGTAGGCAACAATCAGAGCCTTTGAGCCAACCATGACGTTGTTCATGTCATGAAGTGCAGCACTAGCCTCATCTGCCTTTCCATAACTGACAAAGCCATATCCCTTTGATTGACGAGTAGAAGGATTGCTCATGACTCTGGCAGACACAATGTGACCATACTTGCCAAAAAGCTCCTTGAGGTTTTCACTTGTGATTGAGGGATCAAGGTTCTTAATATAGAGGTTCATGTAATCGACGTGGCTTGATTCTGACTTTTCCCCAATGTTATTATTATTACTACTGCTATTGTTACTGCTGCTGTTACTGCTGTTGTTATTTGATCTAAAATCAAAGGACGAAAGCTAATAATTTTGAGGGTTTATATTTGCTGTAGATTATCGATTCGACTTACTGGCTTTGAGTTGGTCTTCATGGTTGCCAAAGGGGTGATGGTTCTTTAAAAGAAATCATTAAATTTAGTAAGAAAATAAAATTTTTACTATCAATATTATAATTTTATAATTCTCATAGTTTTTTTTTGAAAGAATAGAATAGAAAAATTTCACTATTAACCCCACACATATTCACTCCCCCCTCCTTATTTTTTTGTACTCTTTTAAAGAAATCACATCTTAAATATATATATAATATCTCTGTAAATGCCCCTTTTAATAAAAAGCGATCGAAAGTTTTCGATTGAACTTCTTCTATATTACAAACAGACCAACACACACACACACACACACACACACACACACGCATTATCCACGCACGGGCATATACGCAAAACACGCGCACATGCACACACAGGTACAGGTACAAGCAAGGTACAAGTACAAATATTGTACCCAATTACAATAATGACACGAATACAATAGAAAATACAAATAAATAAATAAAAAAAAATTAAATTAAATAAACTTACATTATATTGCCACTAGCGTACAACGACTTTCCATGCTAGACAAGGTGAATGTATATATATGGGATGAGTACAGGATTATCCCAATAAAATTCAAAAACAGTAAAGTGTTTCCACGTGGGAGAGAGAGAGAAAAAGAGAGCCAAAACGAAATGATAATTACCAAATGGTGCTGGGCGTTTTCCGAACTTTCATGAAAGAAATATTCAATCAACGCAGCGCCTCGGAAAATGTTGTTTTCCACAATAGGTTTGCAGACACTGAGAGGACCAAAAGGACGGAACAACTCATAGAGACCGTCGTCGTCTATGTTGTTAGGAAGACCTTTTACCTGCAAGAGATCACCCTGGGGAGCAGGATCATTATACTTATCCCGGTTAAGACGAAATTGAAGTTTAGACCCATCACTGAAAGTATAGCCATTGCAGACTGCATACAATCTGTCGGCTAATGTTTGTATATACATATACAAATGAATTATTAATATATATATATAATTAATACCAAAAACAAAAAAAGGGCATGTACATAAAAGGTTGTAAGCCTAAGTACAAGAAGCGCCATCTTTACCTGATTGGGGGTCACTAAGACGCAAAAAGCCACTACAATGATCGCGTGCAAAGGTAATCCTAAAATGATAATAATAATAAAATAAGCAATAGTAGTAATAAGCAATATGTCTCTTTTGTTGAAACAAAGAAAGCAAATGGAATTGAAACAGATCTCTAATTTAGCCCTCTTCTTTACTACCCTTTTTCCATTTATTCAATCACTGATTC